GAATTAAAGCTGCATACATCTTCCACGATATGCAAAGATAGGCCGCATGCTCCAAGTCTTCATCTACCGAAAGTTCACTGCTTATCGACTGACCGGGCAGCGATCGGCAGGCGAGCCCCATCACAACGAGCATTTTTACATTGTCAAGTTTTCTCCGCTCGCGGCAACTGTCGTGTGAAATTCGCTAGGCAACTGTGAAGGGCCTAGGCCTACGTTGCTTATTGCAACCCTATCGGCAGATATCAGTCGCGCCCAAAAATGCAAAAGATCACTGTCTATCAGATTGTGCGATAGGATCCCGGTGCTGGCTATGCGAGCTCCAGTCGCCCACCCGGCTGGAAGATCTCCAGGCCCCCTCGACCTTGCTTCCCGCATCCCTTGAGGGTCGCTGTGCAGCTTGGGTGTAGTTCCGACATCTGTTTTCCGGGGTATCTCTCCAGTGGACACGAGGGAAGCATTGTACCGAACACGAGTCTGCGCCCAAGGTGCCGCAGTGCCACATGTTTCGCAATTTGTGAATGAAGGACTAGACCTTCTCGTCTTCCGCTTTGAAATCGCTATTTCTCCAGCCGAGCCTTCTCTTGCGAATGTTACTGCATAAGCGGCATTTCTGACAGGCGACAGCTTTCTCTTGATTGGCCTAAGGATCACTCTCCTTCTGCCGGCTTTTATCATGAGACGGAGTGACCCGTGCCACCCCAGTCGATATCATCGAGCTGCGACAAGGTCCGGCCGGTCTCCCGTGCCTTCCCTGTTCTCACCAAGCCTGACGGCTTCACTGATTCGAGCGGACACTTGTGGAAAGGATTCGACATGGGCTGATGGGTGCAGCAGCACGTTAACCGCTGTTTTCCATGATGTCAGTCAGCGCTAGGTCCCGATGTACTGCACCAAGCTATCTGACGAATTGGCCCGCCTCGGCTTGTCAGCCTTCTAGGCCCAGCCCCTTCAATACAATGAGACGCGCCACAACAGCGCACCCCTCCAAGCACTGCATTTCGGCACACTATGTAGATCGTCTGCTCATCTGCAATCTTTGAGTCGTAATTAACATAGATTCTCGATAAGATGACACAATCGTTCAAGACGCGTGACTTCTATAGACATGGCCTGTTTACATACGCGGCCCACGATCGCGTTTTCTTACTATATACTTGGCAAGGTAACAAGAGATCGCCTTCTCGGTGGTATTTTCCATAGCTGGGTTATCGATATCCTGATGCAGATGCGTACTGTTGGCTATATCTCGGCACAAATGCGCTCGACCACAAGTTCGACCACTCCTAGATCGTACTGGTACATGCTATTGTCACCGAGCGCCGACACATTTCACCATATACGAGGTGTTGGTTGACACGCTGGTCGAGAAATTGCTCTTCCAAAACACCAGTACATGCACCGATATCTAGTCCTCGAAAGAGCGGTGCATGAATTGCATTGCGTTGGAGATTGGCACCAAGCAAAGTCGGTCCTTCTGTCAGATGCAATAGTCCGCCTTACACTGCAGAAAAAATAACTTTGAGGCTTGCCTAACTAGAGCTGAGTACGTACTCTAATCGCAATGGTACTTGTAATTGGCCCTGGTACGCGTTTCACGATCTTAGTAGCCTTCTAGCGGCCTTCTAGAAGGGTAGCTCACCAATGTGCTCGCCCAATGCTCCATGCTTTTTTGTCGAGTCAAGCACCTCGATACACCAGCCTTGCGATCGTGTGTACGTTTGCTCTGTTCATGCGCACAGTCTCCCGTATTGTCATCTCGAGCTGCGCTGCAGGACCTTCGTCATTTTATCTCGGCACGACCGCGTAGTGATGGGAGTACAACCGGATCACGATCTGCGATCTTCCCAAGGAAGCTCATCCTGAAGTGAACAAAGCGCCAAACCCAACCTCCTTTTGAGTACATGCATTTCCTTCACGTCAATCGTGTGCTCATCTCCTTATCACGCATTTCATATCCAGAGCGCTGGATGCGACCACAAACGAAAACTGGAATTACATCGCAATGCGCCACGTGTAGCGTGTAACAGCAGATTGATCCCAAAGAAGAGGTTTCACAACTTCGAGCCTAGCACGGCAGCCCCGAAACTCACACAGATATCACAACACTCAAAATAGCTTTGGGACCACAACGCAATGATTATGATACTTCTGTACCCTCGGAGCATGCAAAGGCGTGCACGCCGATGCAATGCGCAAAGTCGTGAGTACATGCGATGCAGTTGTTGCTTCGAATATATCGAGGTTTCATGGAACGTTGACATGTTCGAGGAGATGCTCAGACTGGTGTTTCACAATCACGTCCCGCATTGACAGCCGGACGCCTTCAAACTCAAACGATCGGGTCTAGCATCTTGCTAACGGCCTTGTATTTCACCTAGGATCTGGGAGGCTGGGCTCCCTCGACTTGTTTCAACCTTATCGTACGACTTGGCAATTATGATCGGGTTGTCGCGCTGGGAATATGTGGCCAGTCAAAGATGTCATGGCCAGTTCCATACAAGCAGCAAGAGTCTTCTGGAATGCCGTTGGTGGAAGCGCAACCCGGTTGAGATCAGGATTTTCTGTCTCATATTACGCAGCACACGCGTGCCGCTGAGAACATTTCCACTTATAACCACACCCAAGACACTCCCTTTGACGTGCGCAACGGAGAAATGCCCGGGTTGGAGCACTCGCATTGCGCTGCATGAACGTTTCGAGGTGCTCGGTCCGCTGACTCCATTTTCACTGGTAAATTGAAAGAGCTGTCGTCAGTGATCGCCTCACTTTGATGAGAACACCATTGCCGTTCGCAAGCACCTTAGCAGCTTCACAACCTTCAACAGCTCGTACCATCTCCTCATCATCCCTCACAGTCTGTACAACCAAGGCCCAAAATATACTGTAGTCTCCATCAGATCTCAACACTCTTTACCTTATCGGCCCACCTACTGACGCGTTATACACTACGGCTTACTGTACATATGATTGCTACCCAAGATCAGCATCAACCTGCCGTTGCTCCAAACGTCCGCCTTGATCCAAGAAAGATCCAGGCTCGTAACGACTGCCCAAGAGCAAGTGAGGCGTGAAGCGAAACGCAAGTGTGCGGGGAACATAGATGAGCTGGCAGTCACCCCGTTGGCTGTTTCCTCGTAGGATGTTCCTGGCCGACGGGGAGAGCAAGGGACAGCCAACTACCGGGATTATCAGTGGCCCAAAGCAACTTGCTCTCAGGCAAGCCTAACTTGCGCATTCCACCAGTCACAGGTTGAGCAAGGGCAGTAAAACGTAAGTACGGCACAAGAGTTCCTAAACTTGATTAGAAGCTTTTCTTGCCACAAACTACTGCACTGTTGAGGTGGGGGGAGATACTGCCTTGGGCGTTTCGAACTCACGGACTACATTACAGTGCACTGGAGGGGAAGCCTTGTCATCACTATCGTCGGGCTCATCGTCCCGTCTCGGGCTGACTGATGTGAACAGCTGATATCTGCAGCCAACAACCGGGTCCGCGACACTTTTCCAGTCAAGCCAATAGACCTTGTGAAGATCAGACTTGCTGGGTCTCAGCTAAACTGTGGGCCGCGGAGGTTTAAGTTTCCCCATACGATGCTCCTCAAGATCGATGACAGATCACGGAATCCAAGACGACGGAACGGAGGCCCAGTACGTGCCCATCTGATCCGCACTAGGTCTTGAGATGCTGCGCACAACAATGCCTTGATCAGATGGGTGATGTGCAACAGGAAACCGGTATACAAGAAAGTATTCGGCCCAGAAGAAGGGCCGTCGTTCCCTATGACTGCCATGACGTACTTCTCGCGATCGTTCTTGCTTTCCATGGTATCTCTCTTCCAGCCAAGTACGTCTGTAGCCATCTCGTCATAATGGCAGGCCTATGACCAAAATGAGCAGTAGGTTCATCACGCATCGCAGAACCACGAGGGCAACCAGTCCATTGTGATTCTGCCCTCCCAACACTCACACGTCCACTACAGACAATACTTAGTAGACGATAACTTCCACCATACAATCTAGTTAGTCTACTCCATCCTGTCCATCACCCTCCCTGTCTCTCGTGTCTTCCTCACGCCTCCATCGGAACACCAGCGTAGCCTCCCTTCCGAACTCAACGCTTCGATCACGTAGATACAACAGCTGGACTTGGAAAAGGAGGCATGTCGTTGCGGTAGCCATCTCAAGATTGCACTACGCTACTATAACATGACCTCTCCTGACAAGGAAGAAGTGTGGTCTCGTTCATGTAGAAGTGAACTACGTGAATGATATAACTTCTATCCTATACTGTAGATATGTTGCCACCATGACGTTTGAAATATGTCGATGCTGAAGTCCTGTGCTGTGTGAATGTTGCTCTTCATCAGTAGCTGCGTTTTCAACTAGTAGTGACATGGACGTATATTTTAGCTCTATATAACAGGCGTAAACATTAGAACATGTATAGGAGAACCTGTATACACAGCTTTTCCATTATCTCCTACATGTATGGTAGGAGAATAGTAACATTTACAATAAGCCCTCTAATGTTACCTTTTTCTTGCAATATACTTTTGTGGTACAGACTTCTCGTGTTTGATATATTTTTTATGACTCCGTGTTGTAGACAGAAACATGCCGGTATCCCTATGATAGACTCGTATTAAATATGGCCAGCAATGTTGCGTGTGATTATATCATACATTCTTCAATTTTCGACCATACGTTCCACGAACAGTATTCGATTGTCACTTTTTTTTGCAAAGCACAAAAATAACCCAACCAACACAGTTCACAGCATGAAATATGTGATCAATAGCATAAATTGGGTTAACATGATATAGATACTGTTTTGTAGACTTGTTCAGGACTTTCTTTGTGATGATGTCTCGATATCCTCACCACGAAAACCCCCCAGGAAAACTGTTCACATGTAAATTCCCAAGTAACCAGATGAACATCATAACTCATAAAAATTTTTAGGTGCTTCGCACACATTCTGAACTATGCATACCAAATCACTATTTCGACTCTGCCTCCGCGTCTGGCTCCTCAAACTCCACCAACGCAGTCCCCGCTTTACATAGATCCCCCTTACCATGCACAATACGTTTAACAATACCGTGACTCGGACTTCTGATCACTGTCTCCATCTTCATGCTCTCAATAACAACAAGGGCCTGGTCCTTCTTGACCTCCTGACCCTCTTCGACTTCTACTCTGAGGACCTTGCAAGGCATAGGAGCGAGAACGCTGTTTGCCACGTCCTTGACGCCAAGCGCCTTCTTTGTCCACTCGGGCATTGCGAGTTTGAGGCGGTGTTGGCGGCCGAGGTGGAAGAGGGTGAGGCGGTCTTCGTCGCGGATGAAGGTTGTGGCCAGGCGGGTGTGAGGGTAGAAAGAAGTTAATGTGTTGTTGGAAGGGCAGAAGGTTGATGTGACGTTTGGATATGTTTTGTCACCGACGGTGATGTCGAATTGTTGGGGGCCGATTTGCCGGATACTGACTTCTGTTGCTTTGGCTTCTCCTTTGCCGTCGGCGGGAATCTCGATGAGGTTGAATTCCCGCTGTTGGTATGCGCTACTGAAACCGAAACCTACAGCTGTCACGGGCGGTCCAGTCCATACATCTCCTCTTGACGAGGAGATTTCTTGCAGTGCAAGACCCAAGGCGGCTTGTGCGTAGACTTCTGGTGCTGGGGGCTCGGGTGTGAAGAGCTCAGCGTGGTGCTTTTGGATGTATCCCGTTTCAACGTCGCCAGCGACAAAGTCTGGAGATACGCACATGCGCTTGATGAACTCGATGTTTGTTATGGGACCCGCAACTTCGTACTCTTCTAGGGCGGCTCGCATCTTTTGGATCGCAGCCTCACGCGTGGGGCCTTGGACGATCAGTTTGGAAATCATGGGGTCGTAGTGCGAGGATACTTCGTCGCCCGCGATGAAGCCAGAGTCGATACGAACCGTAGATGTGGGTACTGGAGTCTTCAGATGTAGTAGAAGACCGGAGTCGGGAATGAAGTTCATATCTGGGTTTTCGGCGTAGATGCGGGCCTCGATGGCGTGACCCCTCTCCTTGATCCTCTGTTCAATCTCTTGCTGGGTAAGAGGTAATTTTCCACCCTCAGCAACGATAAGCTGCCATCTTACAAGGTCTTCACCGGTAACCATCTCTGTGACAGGGTGCTCGACCTGTAGTCTTGTATTCATCTCCATGAAGAAGAACTCGCCCGTCTCATTATCAAAGATGAATTCGACTGTGCCCGCTCCTTCATAGCCAACTGCGAGTGCAGCCTGCCTCGCCTTCTCCCAGATGTCTTGCCTAATGGCCTCATCCAAGTGTGGTGCCGGAGATTCTTCTAGAATCTTCTGATGCCGGCGTTGGATACTGCAATCTCTCTCTCCAAGTGCAACGCAGTTCCCATGCTTGTCAGCAAAGACCTGGACTTCGATGTGGCGAGGCGTAGTGATGTACTTCTCCACTAGCATGACTTCGTCGCCGAAAGAATTGCGTGCTTCTGATTTCGCTGACGCGAGCTGGTCGAAGAACTCGGCTTCTGTGTTGACGATGCGCATACCCTTGCCGCCGCCGCCTTTGACAGCTTTGAGAAGCACGGGGTAGCCAATATTCGCTGCCTGTTCTTTGAGGTACTCTGGGTCTTGGTTGGAGCCGTGATAGCCTGGAATGCAGGGGACGCCGGCCTTGGTCATGATGTCTTTCGACTCACTTCTCGGTGTTAGTTACCATGTCTAGGGTAGATGGTTGTCACCTACCTCTTGCTTCCCATAGATTCGATTGCTTGCCATGGCGGCCCGATGAATGTCAGACCTGCATCTGTACATTTCCTTGCAAACGTAGGGTTCTCGCTCAACTGTCGCCCTTGTTAGCTTGGGCCCACGTTATCAACCACAGAGACCCGTACGAAGCCGTAGCCCGGATGAATGCCCTGGCAGCCTTGTTCCTTGGCGATCTGTATTATGCGGTCTCCGTCAAGATATGCAGAAGGGTCTCCGAGGTTTACGGCGTAAGGTGAGCTCAGGGCATGCTGTGATCGAGCATCTGGGTCTGTGAACAGAGTCGTGGTTCGGATGCCGTATTCCGAGGCTGTTCTTCCAACTCGCCTAGAAATTCGTGTTAGTTCTAGTTTTGTCATGTCCCATCTGGAGTCTCACAGAGCGATTTCTCCGCGGTTCGCTATGAGCACAGAGGTAAGCGGTTTGGTAGCTGGCGCAATGGTGGAGGTGTAGCGGACGCCATTGGTAGCGAGAAGCTGGCGGGAGAGGTGAGTAGACTTTCTGAAGGCACGCATGTTCACCAGATGGGTATATGGAGCAAAAAAATATTGATTGAACAGCTACAAAAGTACCTTGTTTGTGGAACTGCGGAAGGAAGTCTGAAGGAGCCTCGGTGGTGTTTAAGCCGCGTGGAGCCGCGGTACGTCAATTCGCGGGGAAGGCGCGCTCTGTTTACTGCAGCAAACAATTGCGGAAGTCGCATCCATGCCATCTCTATAGGGAAGGAGCGTATGGCAGCGTCTGTATTCGCACGGGCAGCCACACATGCCGAGCTGTCTTCTCTCCGCTGGTCTCGACTCCCTCGAACTGGTGGCTTGAGGTTGCGCTGATGACCACCGTGCGCCCAGGGAAGTGCTCTGCACGCCCGCGTCATACCCTCACACCCTTACTCACCCCGACCGCGCAACCCCGACTCGGCCCTCACTCCAACGACACAGGCGCGCAACGGTATAGTCACGTCTCCTATCGCCTTCCAGTCACGACGCGCCACGAAACCACGCGCTCACGCCTCGCATTAAACCACGTCCTCGACTGCATTCAGCGCAGGTGATCGCATACACCACCATCGACCTCGCCCAACATGAGCGACTACGACGATGACTACGACGATTACGATGGCGACTTCTTCTATGTCGAAGATGAATACATGGCAGCCGACGACCTCGCAGAGCACGCTGTTGCCTCACCACCACCGGCAACATGCGGCGATGAGGATATGGAGGACGACTGGGACCGTTTTGACTACTTCAACGACCTCGAGTACGCATCAGACGGCTATGACGATATCCAGTTCCAAGCCCTCGATGTAAAGGGCGCCAAAGCAGGCCTGAAGAGGAAGCGAGTAGTGAGGAGCGCTCCAGCTAAGAAGAGGTTAGCCAAGGAGAGTGTGAACACGCAGACCGAACCGACACCACTAGGACACTCGCCCATTGTTTGGCGTTCGCAGGCGAATCGTGGCACAAAGCCCAAGACACTCGACGACAACGCGCAGCCATATGCTTTGTTTAAGAACTGGAGGGAGAAGCTCGCAGACATACCAGAGTGGGCGAAAGGCTCACCACCCAGTTCGCCAGGGACACGACCATCACGGCCGGGCAAAGGTAAGGCAAAAGTGGCGTTTGTTACAGAGCCTGTATCGCCTCCCTACGACGAAGACGATGATGGCGACGTTGAAGACGATGATGATATGGACGAAGGAGAAGATGGCATACCTCAGGAAGCGCTAATGGCAGCATTACAGCGACAACTTGCTACTGCTGGCGGACCACTTAGCGGTATGGACCCCCAACAGTTGCTCGAGTTTGCCATGCGTATGGCGACGGACAAGGATGCTGGTGACGACATCGCGGGCGAGATGGCAGAGGCGATGCTAGGTGGAGAGGACGATGAAGATGACGCAGATGCAGAAGAAAAACTCCTTTCATGGGTAGCTCAACAGCGAAATGGGACAGATCAAGAAACCGCTGGCAAGGAGGAGGACATAATAGAAGAAACCGCACACCAGCCACCAACGCCGCCCTCATCGGACCTCAAGCGCAGTGTTTGCGTCTCCGAGACCAGCATCGCTTCTTCCAACAACGTTTCGACCCACCTAGCTGCAGAGACTGACACAAAAAAGACTTCTCTTAAGCGGAAGGCAGAAGACGAGCCCATTGGTGAAGGTTCTACAAAGGTGCTCAAGAAGAAAGCAACGAGGTCATTCGACGCGCCCACAGCATCAAGCCATGCTAAAACCGCTCCATCGCGGCCGACGACACGATCTAAGCCTGGGAAGCGTAAGTGAAGAATACTGAGGCATTGAGCCGATCGTGGCCAGCACAAGCCCAGGTATGGGTCACTGAGCATACCCAACATCCCACATCCACACCAAACACCAAGACACTTGGTACTACCACCAAAATGCCTCAAGACTACAGCAGTTACTCGTTACTCAGCATACTGCACATCTCTATTCTGCCCTTGGTGGCCTTTTTCTTTTTTCACACTTGGATATGACACTTGTACACTATTCTCACATGAGACGAAACGAGATGAAAGACGGTATTCAATGAGTGCTTTCGCATCTTTGCTGGAGGAGGAAGTAAGTAGGGTATCCGGAGCAAACGTAAACTACATGTTGAACGATGAAGGCATGAGATTGAGGTACAACTAGGTAGTTAGCCGTCTTACGACCAACTAGTCCAAACATTTCAGAGAAAGGTATCATAAAAGAATATAAAAACCCCTAACGAAACCGCGAAACGAAAAAAGAACCCCCAACTAATACCCCAATCTACCAGCCACAGCCTAAGCAGTCTGAGTCCCAGTATCCATCGCAGACGCCGACTGGACAGGCGCCTTCCTCTCCCCAAAATTATGCAAACGCTCCCCAATCAAATAAACCTCATCCCTAACAACCAACCTCCATCTCACAAGCAACCTGACAACCGCCGAAGAAGCCCACATAAACACCAAAGCGAGCCCCACAGCCGGGAAACTAAAGCGCCAAAGCAAGTTCTTCGTCGCCTCACTCGCACCGCGATAAAGTGTTCTGGACGTAACAAACGCCAAACTAGACGGCACAGCAATGGCGACGAGGAACAGCGCCAACACAGGCACAAGAAAACATCTCGTCGCAATCTTGGCATTGGGGTAGAGCCAGCCATCACGAATAACAGCTTTGAACGCGCGTGCAGGACGGGAATTGCGGTTCGCAAACACTAAACGCGCGGCGAGACGAGAGTACAAGAAGCCGAGAGTCCAGTCTTGGATAACGTGGACGACGTGGGGTTCCTTGGGGCCGAGGTAGGCGTGCAAGGGCATGAGGAAGTAGAGTTCAAGGAGGACGGCGAAGAGGAAGGGGATGGCGAAAATGAGCGTGGCCCAGACGTATGAGAAGCGGAGGGCGCGGCCGCCAACGCGCGAGGTTGTTGCTGCGATTGTGTGGAGCGTGGACATGGGGTCGGGCATGGATCTGTTGAGGGAGGAAATGAACTTTCCAGCGTGGTAGGCCGAGTAGCCGATGCTGGCTAGCGTGTAGACGCCGAGGGAGAAGGCGTGGATGTCGTTCATCTCGACGGTTGGTGGAAGGAAGAGGGAGAAGAGGTAGCGGCCGAAGAGGAGAGGTAGGATTGTCACGCTGACTCCGGATAGACCCATGAAGATCCATATCGTGACGATGAAGCAGAAAATGCGCACGCGGAACCACGGTGGGATAAACACCATCGATACGAGATCAGAATTGTGTACTCCACCCTCGGTCTGCCCATCTTTGCGCACGTTGTCCCGGTCGACTTCGACAAAGACAGGCTGACCCTTTGGAATGCGAGCTTGATCAGAGGCTGGTGCACGAACATATCGGCCGTCGTCGCCTTCTTGCGTGAGGACTTTGTCGCCAAAGAGGAAGTTGGACAGACGCAGGAACCCAGCGCATTTCTGGAAGCACCATTTGTAGATGGTATGCAGACCCTCGCTCGGCTTGTAGAACTTGATAATGACTGGCGTGAGGAAGTTGTAGAAGAGGAGATCGAGCGGAAACTCTAGCGAAGGCGCTTCTGTTGTCCAGTGAATTGGTAGGACGTTCGTAGTAGCGCGGCTCAGGGTCCATACGACACCGCCGAGGCATACGATGACGAGGGCTCCATACACGAGCGCACTGAAGGCGATCTTGCGAAGTTGAGTTGTGACGCTACGCTCCAGAACGTCCCGGACAGGATGGAATGTTGGATCGTCTGGGTCGCGGATGAAGTACAGCACGCCTTTGCGCATGATCTTGCGGCACATGGACACAAAGAGGGCAAAGTGAAACATGTAGCAAGTGCCGATGAACCAGTGCACAAATCCAGATGTCCAGGGGCTTTCTCTCGCGAACTGCCACCGGCTGTACAGCGTAGCATTCCTGAACAGCGGAAGCATGGCCAAGTCGAGAAGCAGACCGCAGTATAACGGGAACGCCAACATTTCTATACTGATGATAAGGATGACTTTCAGCACACCACCAGCTTGCTGTAATATGTCGGAGAGAACGCGCTCAATTTTCTGCCCTTGCTGCGACGAGCTGAAAGGGGTTCCGCGCCTAAGATACACGGCGCCGGCGAAAGCGAAGAACCCATAGCCAGCAAGAATTGCGATGAGGCGGTCGCTCGCTGTCCACCGCTCCATTGCAGTGTATGCTGCAGTGGTGTTGCGGCTCAGGTCCAGATCAAAGGTAATCTTGTACGACTTGGACGTCCAAAGCCATGTCAGCAGAGCGCTGCATTGGCCATAGGCAGTTGTAAAGACATTCTGGACCAACGAAGGTAAGCCCCCAAGGACTCTCAACACAAGCCTGGGCGGTGAGTCTGCTGAAATCTCCTCGATGATAGCGTTCGCAAGGTTACTAGTCTCGTTCATGGCGAATGAAGTCGTGTTCTGCAAGCTTCGCAACGAAGCATGCGCATTGACCGAGAGCCGGAAGTAGTCGGGACGAGGCGACAGAGGTGATTCGACGAACATCTTTCCAATGCGAACCATGGCACTCTCTGCAAGCGAATAAGCTGGTGTAGACACTGCGCGGAGTGGGCCCTCTATGGTCTGAGATAGCTTCCCCAAGGAACATAGTTTGACCAGACTAGAGATGGCATAAGAACCCCAATACGTCGTACCGGCCACTAGGAAGAGAGTGACGTCGACGATGAAGTCTGTGACTGCCGCGATGACTTGCAGAGGGAGCTTGACGAAGAGCGAGATAGGACTTCCCATGAATAGGATGACGACTTTGCCCCAGAGATAAGGAAGCCAGACAGCGCAAGCCAGTGTGGCGGATATCAACACAGCGCTGAACAAGGCGTTCTGGAAGAGACCGACGATGGGCCCTTGCATACCGATGAGCTCAAGTATGCCTTCCAAGTCTTCTGCATCTTCGATTGCTTCCTGGTCGTTGACGTCTATGCCAGCTTGTGCAGCAGCGGCGGCGACTTCAGGGTCTTGGGGTGCAGCATTGCCATGATCCCGCGGCTCGTTCCCTAAGAATGGGACAAAGGGCGCCTCGTCTGCTAGATCGCGCACGATATGCTCATCGTTGCCTCCTTCCTCAGCGGCTTGCACCGTCGGTGCTATGTCGCCAAACATCCAGTCTAGAACTTGGTTCATCGGGTTTTGTGGAGGTTGAAGCTCTGCCGGATGGACATTAGCTGCATCTGAATCTCGTCGGGCCACCTCAGAGTCTGTCTGATCTTGATGTGTGCTCGGATCTTGTTCAGGCTGGCTACTGCTGTTATCAACTTCAATCGTAGTATCAACTGTAATTGCGTTGTCTAGATTAGTGGCGCTACTTTCTGCAGGCGATGTTGACTCTTGTAGAACATTGCCTGTACTGGTATCGGTAGCCTTGGCTTTACCCTTGTCGTGAACATGTTCTCCTTCCAGCGCTTGGTCAGAGTCATCTTCCACAATTTCAGGGACTTGTTGCCAGCTTCCACTACTGTGCTCACTACCCGGTTCTTGGTCTGATGCAGCCCCGGGCTCTTGATTATCTCGCTGATGCACATTGTCGTCATCTTCCCAAGAATCGGGCACGTTCTCAGCCGTGTTTGTGTTCGATGCCGACGCTTGTGGTACGTTCTCGAATGACCATGTATTACCTTCCTCTAGGCTGCGGCGAATTTCTGTCGCAATAAAGGACTTATCGCGTGCTGGCATGTTTGGTCTATATGAAGATGAAGACGACTCGGAACTTGCTACGTCTAGTGTTGAGTCTGGGGGTTGAGGGAGTGACGAGGTCCTCGCAGGGAAGATCGGACTGCTAGCCTCGCTGTCGCTTTCAGCTCGGTTCGAGGTATCTCTCGTGTTCATTGCTCGCTCAAGTGTCTCTTGGAAGTTCTGAGACGGAACGCCTTCATTGAAGGCATCCGCAAGGTTATCAGATGTCCCCAATTGCATCATTGACCTTGCATCATCATCGGACAGACCATCCCGTACTATGTTGCGAACAAGCTCGTCGCGTTCTCTGCGAAGCGAGGAAGACCGGCGAACTCGGCGTATTGTAGGTTCGGAGGCCTCAGGCTCATCGATCTCGCGAGCGGGGCCACCAGGGGCGATTGGTTCGTTCTCGTCAACATTTGCAGGTTCGTGAGCCTCTTCAGCTTCCTCAGCCACCTCTGCACCTAGGGCATCTAGAGCCTCTTCCAACTCACCCTCGTCAACAACCACATTGTCCACAAGGGCCTCTTCTTCTACGAGCGCAGCCCTTTGCGCAGCAGCGTTGTCACCAATAGCAACCATGTTGATTACAGGTTGCTGCTGGACCACCCACTCTCGGATAAGAAAGACGAGGATAAAAGCTACTACGACGAGTAGAGTGATGATTTGCCCTTCTATAACGTCGATGATAAATCGATTGGCGCTTTGGGACTGGAACCAGTTGAAGAATGGGACATCGGACAGTAGTGACGGGCTGCGAATGCCGAGGGGGTCTGATGTAACGTTGGAGACTGTGCCGTTCTTGTCAAAAGTAGCGAAGTAGCTTGGCTTGTCGATCTGCGCAAGCTGAGAGAAGGGGTACGGCACACCGAAGAAGAAACGCTTGGCATAGTTCCAGAGGATGGATTCGCTGGCTGTGGTGTTGATTGGGGTATATGATATCGTCATGGGCCAGGTCGTCTCTGATAGATGCACAGTCGAGTTGTTGCTCTTGGCGGTATCGATGGCGGCACGAACCAAGTCCATATCTTTAGCGGACAGCCCACGTGTCTCAGACGTGATTGGCGTCTGAGGGGTGTCGACAAACAATTCTTGTGACCAGCCACCGTCGCCGACCCAGAACAGGCTGCGCCATACGACGCGCATGCACCAGGGGAGCAGGAAGAGCCACACAGCGCCCACAAGAAGTCCCCGACACCAGGTTGCGAACATATTGAGGACGTGTAGAGCAGCGCGGCGTACGAAGACAGCCGTGGGTATGCGATTCGGCATGCCGGGGTGGTATAGTTTGGTGAAGCGGAACGATGTCTTGCACAGTTCGCAGTGCTTCTTCTGGGTATGCGACAGCCATTCCATCAAGCATTCTTGGTGGACGTATTTGATGCTGCCGCTGCATTTGCAAGGAAAGAACAGAGGCTCTTCAGCGGTGCCCTCTCCTCGACATATGCGGCAGGTATCGGCTTCGTCTTTGTCGGCGGCTTGCGGGTCGGAGGTTTGGGCTACGTCGTCGTGCGCGGAGGCTTCGTCGAATAGCCCCGCACTGAGGGGCTCGGCGTCAGTTGCCATGGTGGAGTGTGATTAAAAGTATACACTGGATAGAAGAGGCTGGTTGAAGGAAAGCGGAGGTTGCGGTTCGGGTTCGGGCAGATGCCGCAGATGGAGACCTCAAGTATGCATCGGAATCAGAGCAACGAAGTTGGGTGAATAGTACAGGGCAAGTACTGCGTGGTCGAGTGCAATATAGGAATTAGGGAAATGAAACGGCAGGAGCAGAGAAGGCCAAAGAGGCGTTGCGGTCAGAACCGTGGTTGAGTGTAACAAACCGAAGTGGTGATGTCGCCGCCGCCAGATACGCTCGGTCTTGGCAGTCAACCACCCCTGGCAAAGACGGCGACCTAGTACTTAGTGCGATTGTGTAGATGATTCTCTAGTCTAAACCAGTGGCAGACGATCGGATCTTCACATGCATGGTTGTCCTGTCTTTGTGTGCGTTCTAGGTACAACCAACACGGGCTACTTGAGTACCGTCGGCAGCCAGCCGTGCTTTTCGAGACGCGAACTGCAGGGGCAGCCTGAGGCACCACATGTTTAAGACTGGACATCGCGATAGCCAGTTCGCCTTTTCCAGCTGTCATTTCTCAAAGTTCGATTGTTCCACCACGTAGTAGTTGTACCATCTACCGCGCTCCAGCGCCCTATCGCAAGTGCAAATCCTGATCTTGATATCGTGTTCCCGTCCCGCGTCCGCACGTGCAATTACATCACTGCTGCAGCTCGGTTGTCCTCCCCCAGCGCTAACAGACAAGTTACTTTGAGCTGCCATCCATCACCATTATTCCCTGGACATCAACAAACCAGACGCTGCCGCCCATTGCTGAATTTTTGTACGTAGCAATACCCGTCTCTCTACTGGCGCAGTGCCACTAACCTCGAGACCCTGAAGCTGGTCAGCCACACAGCGTCACCGCTTTATCGCTCACCACACGCGAGCATGGCCGCCCAGGCCAACGGAAGGGCGAAGAAGTCCAAGCAGAATGGCAGTTTGAACGGTTCCACCAATGGCACTGCCAACGGCCACGCAGACAAGACGCAGCTCACGTCGCGGTCGGCACGATCACGAAAGCCAAAACGAGGCCTTGTGGGAGCTTTCACAAGCATGATTGCCAGACTATCCACGTGGTATCTCATCATCACCTTCCTGTTCCGGTGTCCCACATCGCTCCACCAGCTGAACGACGACTCTCCACGCGTATGCAAACCCTACTTGCAGACCCGATCCTACGCAGCGCCCTATCTCGACCCATACTACGAGACCTATGTCGCCCCGCAGATTGAAAAGGTCAAGCCCTACACCACGCCAATTACAACATTCGCTCAGGACAACTACGCTACCTACGGTGCACACAGGGTCGAGCATGCGAGGAAATATGCAGAGACGCAATACGACAAGTCGATTCGGCCCCAGCTGCAGAATGTCCAAAAGCAAGTCAAGGGACAGTACGATGTATACCTGGGCCCTCATGTCAAGAAGGCGACTGATGTTGCTGCTCCATACTACAACGACCTCAGGACTAGCTCTGAAGACATCTACGTCCATACTCTGCTGCCAGCCTATGAGCAGTCTAAGCCGTACCTCCAGCAGGGTCACGCCTATGGCCATCACGTTCTCGTCGATATTGTCTATCCCCACGTCCATACTGCAAAGGATGCCACCTGGGCCTTCATTCTCCGCACTGTTTGGCCCCAGCTGCGCGTGCTATATGGCGATAACGTTGAGCCTCAGTTGGTCCGTATCTCTGAACGCCTAGGCCGCTACAGGGACCAACAGAAGATCGAGTCCGTTGTCTCTGCTGTTGATGCCGAGACTGTCCTTTCAACAGAGTCTATCAAGGACACTCCCACCATCGCCAGCTCCTCCGCCTCCATTGTACCTCCTCCCAGCTCTACCGAAGGGTCTGGTTGGGGTGTGCTTGATGAGTTCTTCGGCAGCGAATCAGCAGCTAGCACCGCCTCCGGTGAGCTTGAAGCAACTTCTGTCAAGCCTTCTGAGCCCAAGCTCACTGGCGCTGAACTGCAAGAAAAGCTCAATCAAGATCTCCGTGATTGGCAGACCAAGTTCGCTACAGCGGCAGACAAGGGTTCCGAAGATCTCGAGGTACGCGTTGCAGAAATCACCAAGCGACAGATTGACAATGCTGTCAATGGACATGGCAAGGCTCTGGTTGTTAAGCTAGAAGAGACTGCCGACTCCACCATTGCTAAGCTGAAGAGCTACATTAAGAAGACTATTCAATCTCTTCCGGAAGACGCTACCGATGCCGACCTAGAGGCTGCGTACGAGGAATGCGGCACCAAGACTCGCGAGTTCGGCCTCACAGTCAAGGAGCGCGCCCAGGACATTCGTGTTTGGAAGGCATCGTACGACCAGGAGACTGATTCCCTAGTACAAGCTGCCGTCAGGAGCACTGTCGAAGTGCTCGAGAAGATCCACAGCCTCGGTCTCCAAGAAGTAGGCATGCGATGGGTATGTTATACTCAGCTTTCCTCTTTACAAGCCTTACTAACTATCATGGCAGGCATGGACTGACGGAGTTACGTACAAGGACTGGCAGAACTACCACAAGCTAAGGAACACACTCAACGAGTGGCAGGCCGAAGTCGAAGCCGTTGGTTCAAGACACGAAGGTCTTCGCCTTGCCCATGAGGAGTCCAAGAAGCTCGAAGACAAGGCCATGGCTATTGCGTCAGATATGGTTGCCGAGCTGGTACGCTTGAAGGATGTTTCCAAGTCCAAGATCTGGGCCGGCGATGCCAGTGACGATTTCTCTGACAAAGTCTTCGCGCCCCGTGTCCGCAAGGCTGCTCAGCAAGTCATGGAGAACGTTGAGGGAGCATCATCTCAGGTTGCCGAAGCGATCCAAGGCAGCTCCACACCGCTTTCCGAGAGCATTGCATCCTCCGCCAAGAGTATATACTCTGAGGCTTCTTCGCAGGCATCCGAAGCTATTCAGGGTAGCTCAACACCCCTTGCTGAGAGCATCGCTTCATCTGTCAAGGACGCAGCATCCAAAGCCTCATCGCAGGTCTCTGAGGCTGTTTCAGGCAGCTCAACCCCACTTGCTGAGAGTGTCGCATCCTCTGTTCAAGACGCAGCGTCTCAAATCTCGTCCAAAGCGTCTGAAGCTATCCAAGGTACACCTCCATCTGAGAGCTTGCTGTCCAAAGCTTCCTCCAAGGCATCTGAAGTGATTGACGACACGGCCTCCAAGGCTTCTGCAGCCTACGAATCGCCCAAGAAAGTATGGGGTGGCGCTAATGCGCAAATCCTCGCCGAGGCAAAGGAAATCGTATTGGAGCAACCTCTGGACGATGACGATGAGGACGACACGTACTCCAGCAAATTGCAGAGCGTCGTCGCCGACGCTGGAGATCGCGCGGCTGAGATAAGCCGAGCAGTCAGCGAAGCGCTCCTAGGTGCTACTAAGACCCAGGGCACGGTCGAATCCGCCTCGTCAGTCGCAAGTGAGCAGTACGCCAAGGCTCTTGCTGCCGCGTCGAGCGCTCTATATGGTACCGAGCAACCGGCCGTTGAGAGTGCTACCAGCGTTGTAGCCGACAAATACGCTCAGGCTGTGACTGCGGCATCATACGCCATCTATGGTACCCCGACACCCACGGCGATAATCCAGACTGTTCAGATTGAGGCAAGCTCGCGCTACAACGACGCCGTGAGTGCGGCAAGCAAGCAGTTGGAGAATGCAAAGGCCCAGCTGTCTCTCTTGGTCTCTGGAGAACCCCAGCCTGCCCACCAAACCATGCTTTCTTACTTTGAGCAAGCCTATTCCGATTCTCTCGCAGTTGCCAGTGAGCGGTTGTCCAACGCTATGAAGTACACTGAGTCGGTGAAGAGCTATGCCGCTGGCCCTACTCAGGGCTACTTTGAGTCGGTCTCCTCTATTGCGTCCTCCCGTCTCGCCGAAGGCCTTAGCCAGGCTTCCGCCCAATTCTCGCCTCAATCTACTGGCGTTGCCGACGGAGCTCGTCGACAGTACTATGAAGCTGTAGGCCTTGCCCACGCCCGGTACTCTGAATTTGTTGGCGCTGCATCAACCGCTGTATACGGTTCCCAGCAAGGAACAGTTGAGTCTTTGGCTTCGGTTGCCTCTGCATCTGCAGCTTCTGCTGCATCCGTGGTATCTGGATCCGCCGAGTCCGCGGCGTCTTACATCTCTGGATCAGCACAATCGGCCGTCTCGAACGCCCAGGCTGCTGCCGAGTCGGCCGCTTCCCAAGTCAGCTCCGGTGTCATCGGCTCTGAAACCCCCTGGACCGAGTCGGTAGCCTCCCAAGCCAGCCAAAACTGGGAAGAACTCATCGCTCAGGCGAGTAGTCAGGTCTACGGCCAGCCTACGCCATGGGCAGAGTCTGTTTACTCTCAGGCTGGCGCATATGGTGCTCAGGTAAGAACAAATCTGATGTGCGAACTACATGCAAAACAAACACTAACTTTATACAAGGCCACCGCAGCTGCCGCTTCACAATATGCCGAGGTTCAGGCTCTTATTTCGGAGCTAGTCATTGGGAAAGAGCCCGACTTCACTGAGAGTGTCATGAACCGCTTCGCGTCCGCATACTCCACAGGTTTGCCTGCAGCCATGGCTTCTGCCCAATCCTACGCCAACGAAGGTATCAACGCTGCTAGCTCGTACGCTGGTGACGGTTACGAAGCCGTTACTGACGCTGCTGCTGACGCGTACGCTTCTGCTTCGTCAGTCGTCAGTGCCGTCTTCACGCCCCCAGCCATGATCGAAGACGTTTTGAGCCAAGCTAGTGCGTCCTTGGATCTCGCCGTAGAGAGTGCTTCTATCGCTCTTTACGGAACCCCCAAGGGTGCTGCAGAGCAGGCCAGCGAATCAGTTGCGAGCGCCTACTCTTCTATCCAATCTCAAGTGAGTGAGAAGGTTTATGGTACACAATCAGCTCAGGACAGCTTTTCATCTGCCGCCGTGTCTGCTCAAGCTGCCATCAGCGCAGCTATCTTCGGTACGCCCACTGCAGGCGATTACGTTGCATCAGCTACAAGCGGTGCCGGTGGTGTCTACAGCTCAATTTCCTCCGTGGCCAGCGCCAACGCCGAGTACGTTGCTTCTGCCGCTAGCGAGAACGCAGCCTATATCTCCTCAGCAGCCAGTTCGGCCGTCTATGGACCCGAACAAGGAGCCATGGAGTCTGCAAACAGTCGGATCGCCGACGCTGTGGCCGCCGCCAACAGCCGTATTGCCTCTATGTACGCAGCTGCTTCCGGTAGCGCTGAGGAGGCTGCCAGCAGCATTTCCAGCGCAGCTACTCAGGCCACCCAAGCGGTAAAGGATGAGTTGTAGGCTATCACTCGAAGATGCTTGCTTCCCAAAACTCACAACATCCCCCAACACACCATACCACAGCACATTCGCTACGGCACGACATGAATGTATCATTACAACACCCGCACCCCCATCAATCACTCCCCACACCACCACATTGTCAATTCCTCAAAACACAACACATGACCAATACACAAGGCCAGTTGATCTGGACCACGAAACCGGGAAAGGAAAGGGATATGAACGAGGTAATGCCTATGTATGTAGCTATGAACAGTCTCAGTTTCTTGTTTCTCTACTATCTGCTCTTTCGTTTGAAGGTTAGTACTGGATTCCGTTGGTTCTTATGCAACGTTGTAGTCTAAATCTAGGCCAGTCTCTGCAATGCGAGACTAGCTAGCAAATGTGATATACCCTTTTCGTTCGACTTGTGCTCACGCGAACCTTTTTACTCAATTAATGCACAGAAGCAAGTGTTGTACGTCATAATATCGTTCCATGTATTGCTTTGTGGTGTTACTACATACAGTCCGTGAAACATCGTCCCGATGATCCTTGGTCATCATTCCATCCATCATTAGTATACCCTTCGCAAAAGTCTGTACACTATACAATCGCACCAGTTTCCATGTCTCATCTCGCTCGCTGTACCAAGGTTGAAACTCGAAGAAGTCGCTCTAATCCAAATAACGCCAAAAAGGGGGTATGATACCTCGAATCATTCTCATTACCTCCGAATCATGCAACAAGGTCAAGAAAGAAGAGGAAGAAGAAGAAGAAGAAGGAGAAGAACAAGGACGTGAACGACTCTAGTCACTGTCGCTCAAGCTGTCCCTGCGTCCAACGGCACGGACACCACCGCGGCGGTAGCCGTCCATGACATCTCTACCTCCACGCTCCCTCCTTGCGTTTGTCGGGACACCGACTTGAGAAACGCTCTCCATGGGGTGTACACTGCCGGCCTGGCTAAGACCAGGGATGTGGCATGGGTAGCTCATGTGGCCCTGGGAGTCACCGTTGGTAGTGGTGAAGATGTCGGATGGGGGAGGTGCTGGGCGCGAGGTACGGTGTTGCTTGCGGGGTGATTCAGAGGTTGGGCGAGAGCGGGAACCTGATGGGCGAGGACGAGACTCTGAGGTAGGGCGACCGGAGCGGGGACGGTCTTGAGATGGGCGGGCTGAGCGGGAGCGAGGGGCGTGCTTGTTGGGGTCTGAGTAGAGGGACTTGTCGGCGTTGGGGCGGTAGTCAGAGTAGTAGCTTGACTCGGTAACTTCAGAAGGTGCGGAGCGCTCAGTCTTGGGGGCCTTGGGTGGAGGAGGTTTGGCAAAGTCGCTGGTGGAGACGCCAGTGTATACGGTTGCGTTGTCGTCTTCGCCGGTGGTGAAGGAGTATGCAGCAGAGGGAGGAGCGCGGCGAGGGCCAGAGGGTGCCTTGCTCCTTGTGGGAGCGCGTGTGGGTGTGCCGGCTTCAGATGGGGCAGTGTACTCGGTGTATGCGGGTTGGTAGTCGCTCTGAGGTGATCGGTACTCAATCATGGGGCGGGTGACTTCAGCCATTTCGGGAGCTTCAGAGGGTGTGGCGTTCTTCTTGGACTTCTTTTGCTCTTCCTTTGCACGCTTGGCCTCTGCTTTCTGTTCTTCCTTGCGAGCCTTTTCTTCGGCGGCAGCCTTCTTTGCAGCTTCCTTTTCAGCAGCTTTGGCCTTGCGCATGCGTTCCTTTGCTCGTGCTTCCTTAGCCTTGGCCTCCTTCTTAGGGTCCTTGGGTTCCTTCTTGACAAGCGGTGCGTTACTAGAGACATGGGAGCCGCCGACTTCAGAGGGTTGAGAGCCAGAGTAGTCGGTGTACATGCCATCGCCAACGCGGTTGAGGCCGCCGACGCGGGCAGCCTTCTCCTCGCGGTACTTGCGGAGCTCGGGGTCTTTGTAGTCATTGGTGTGGTCGCGGCGGTGCTTCTTATGCCTTCGTCCGTCTCCGCCACGAAGGCCGCCCTCACCTCTCTCGGCGTCGCGGTACTCGCTCGCGTCGACACTTGTACCAGTCTCATCAGTGTAGGCAATTTCACTCTGTTCGCCGAAGTAGCTGCCACCGTGTACAACGCTGCCGCCACCGAGCCTGGTGCTCTTGGTTGCGTTAGAGAGAGTCTTTCCGTCTGGTCCCTTGCGCCTTAGCACTGTCGATTTGTAGTCCTCCCAGTCGTTTTGGCGCCACTTGAAACCACCGTTCTTAGCCCAGAAGAAGAACCAGATGGCTCCAAGTGCCAACCCAACACCGATGAGTGCAAACAGTGCTTGGAAGCCGGGTCCAGAGAGGTCGTTGGGTGGGCGTGCGCCTGCTGAGGCGAGGTTCTTGTATGGGTCGGCTTGGTCACGCTTGACCATCGACTTGGCCAGCTGCAGAGCATTCACAGCCATGGGCGAGAGTGCCTGCCCGTCGGCCGCAATCTCGGGATGGGGCGCCATGGTAGGCAAGACAAAGGCGTTGGTGTTTTCGCAGGTGCAAGTCGATTATAGCGTCGAACAACGAATGCAACTGGCAAATAATAGTCAGAGTGTGTTCTGCGAGAATAGTAGTAATGTGTAGTGTGGGGTTTGGAATGTGGAAGCGTAGCCCCCGTTAACTTTTGGTTTGATGCGTGTTGGGTGCGAGTGGCTGGTGAGCAAATGCAGGAGGTTAGGACGAGGTTGGGGACGCGACCGACGTCACCCAAACAACGCGTTGATGCAGCAACAGCACGGCCTGGAACACCAACCATGATCGTTGCCACGCGGCATCCCTCAATTGATTGGAATGTCGCCTCAATCAGACGTTACAGCACACACTCTCAACAATTACCCTCTTTACCGCTATTTTCTAAGGACGGTGGAAGTGCAATCGGCGGTGAGGCCATGCACCGACGCGATCGCCTCCTCACCAAAGGCCCCATAAAGGGCTTGCAGCGCCCTGCATCCGACCTTTGCGGGAAGTCCACATCCCCGGACTAGCCTCATGTAACGTGTATATCGTATTGGCTGCCATGGAGCTCAGCAGATGCACCCGTAGCCTTTCTTTTGTCGCTCATGCTCACACCCGGCGCATGCTCTTCAGTACAGCCTTCGAAGAACCTAACGCAATGCGCTGAACCTTGATAGGTGTCGAGGTACCGTTTAGACCTCATAGATAATGCTTCCGTTCACTGCTTGTCGCGATGGATAGAAAATCTGGTAAAGAGAGTGGACCCTGAATTTTGACATGTCTCCAGTCGTAGGGCGCAAGCTAGTCATCGATAAATTTTGTCGATGAACATGTCAAAAGTAGGAGGCCTAGATTATTGCCTATAAAACTTTTTTGGTATACCGTGCATTCTCTTACAGACCGTCAAGCACAAGTCGAAGGATGGCGACGCAGACAGAGACCGCGACTGAGGTCTTCGAGCTTCAACCAACAACTAAAGGCACATTCTCAAAATCCATCTCCCAACTCCCACGGCCATTGCAGGAAGAATCAACATCTGGTCAAAATGCATCCGACACCGAATCATTCTCATCACCATTGCGAACAAGAGTATCCACCTTCCAAACCTTCCTCACGATCTTCACCCCCTCCTTCGTAGGCTTCATAGCCAGCTTCACCAACGGCATCATCACAGTTGGCCTACCTATCATTGCGCGCTCCATATCTCTAGAACGCTCTCTATACCTATGGCCCTCCTCCGTCTACGGTCTAACATCTGGCGCCGCATTGCTCATCGCCGGTTCCATAGCCGATATCGTTGGTGCCAGGTCCGTTGAGCTAACTGGCATCGCATTCCTCGGTATCTTCACGCTAGCATGCGGTTTTGCAGAGTCGGGCGCTCAACTCGTTGTTTTCCGAGCTCTTCAGGGTGTGGCGCTTGCGTTGCATTTACCCGCTTCTGTTGCCATCATCACTGGCGCTGTGCCGTCTGGACGAGCGAGGAACCTTGGCTTTGCGTGTCTAGGGTTTAGTCAGCCGCTTGGGTTCGCTGTTGGTTTGGTGCTGAGTGGCATCATGATTGAAAGGGCTGGATGGCGGATAGGCTTTTACTTGACTGGAGGTTGTTTGTTGGCTGTTGCTATGGGTGCAATGTGGACTTTACCCAAACTTCCTTCCGAGAATAAAGACGGTGTCGTTGCACTTTGGAAGACGGTTGGTAGGGAGATTGACTGGGTTGGTGGTCTTATAAGCAGTGGTGGATTAGCAATTCTTGCCTACGTTCTAGCGTATGTTGTTTATCCTTTTATCTACAGTTTTTGAAGACAAGCTCACACCATACAGAATCATCAGCGCCGATCTGACAAGTATCCGTTCAGCTGAGACGGCCTCACTTCTCGCTGTTAGCATGCTCCTTCTATTCGCCTTCCCAGCCTGGATGCACTACCGTGAGCGATGTGGCAAGCCGGCCCTCGTACCAAACAAACTGTGGAGCAATCTTCCTTTTACCAGCACATGCATCATGGTCGCACTGTCCTACGGTGTCATGAACTCGATTGAGCTCTTCTCCAGTCTTTAGTACGTTCCATCCAAGATATTCTTGGAATTCCACGACTAACTCTAAGAAAAGTTTCCAAGAAGTCCAGCACGCCTCCATGCTAGCAACCTCCCTCTACCTCCTCCCCAATTTAACCACCGGCGTCTTACTTCAGATATTCGTCGGCCTCTTCATCCACCGCGTACCTGCCCGCTGGCTCGTCGCTGGCTCCGCATTCATCTGCGCTCTGTCGCCTCTCCTAATGGCAGTCGTGCCACCAGCTTGGAGCTACTGGAAACTCGCTTTCTGGGCCCAGATATTCGCCCCATTCAGCGCCGATGTCTTGTTCACCGTCGGTCTCATCATCGTCAGCGATAACTTTCCGGAGAAGACGCAGGCGCTAGCTGGTGCTGTGTTCAATACCGTTGCGCAGTTTGGTATGAGTCTGGGTATGGGTAGTTGTCAGGTTGTTGCGTTGGGGGTGCAGGTCAAGAGTGGGAGTGCCGGTAGTGCCGGCCATGGTGACGGAGAAGGTGGAGCGTTTGAAGACCAAGATGACGTGGCTCTGTTAAAGGGATATAGGGCGAGCTATTGGCTCATGTTCGGATACATGCTCGTATGTATGATGATTGCGATAGTGGGATTAAGGAAGGCGGGTAAGGTCGGACTGAAGAGGGAGTAAGGGCTTGAACCTTGGCCGGATGTTGTTGGCTTCACCTCAACAAGGGACGGTGTAGGTTGTGACTCATAGCCGCGCGAGGACGATACAAAGCCGAAGGTCTGGCCTAGCACTGCGGTAAGAGTATTGCTACCAGCGCTGGGTAGCACATTGCAATCCATACAACCTGGGACACAAAGTACCGCCGTGCAGTGTAGCCAACGGTCATCCCATATTCAGCGTCTAGCCCTGCTCCCACAAGCCAAGAAACGAACTCTGCGCGCCAATTTGTTCACGCGAGCAATACCACCAGAAGTTAAAAGGCGTTTAAAAAGCATCCAGTGTACTCGAATGCAGCAAGGGCGTATGTGAAGGTGCATAGAAGGGGTATGGCGATAAAGATTAGACAGTTTGTGACAGCTTTCATAGTGCCTGGTGATATGATGGCGTGGAGGACATTTTGTGGAGGATGAGAAGGTGGGAGACAGAGTACCTAGGTAGGTTTTGTGTGGAAGAATCATGGTGCCGAGTCCCCTCAGGCTAAGGTCGACTTGGCTGTTACGATGGCTCTACCACGGTATGGCTCTGTCTTATGTAGCTACCAGCTGTTTGCTGGACGAGTGGTTATGATGAAGCTTGATGTGATTCGTACACATTGTCACATTCTTGGTTGGTCTACGTGACAGGCCCTTAGAGACCTCAAGAAATGAAAGAAGCAGATGCGCGTCTTGCCGATGCAGCATTGCGAATTTTCCCCATAAATTCTTGAGAATAGTGATAGCATTAGCAGGCATCGCATATGTCTCTGAGTTCGTCAATAGAATGGATGGAGGTTGGTCTTGATGTTCACCGCCAAGACAACACGTGCATGTGTCCACGCTGCAGCGGACCTTCAAAAGCTTCGCAGCATTCCAAGCTTCCTGCCACATTCCTTAAGCTCACCACTCGATGGCATGTCAGCTGGAAATCCATCAAAGATGCGCAGTGTATCGCTTACAACACTGACTGATCACTCATGACCTGCTCGATAACGACACTAAACGGCTACTCCCGGCTCCTCCAACGCAGATGCGGAAGGTCATACTATACACGACCCCAGATTCGCGCCGACCCCGTCGCTAGTATTCCACTAAATTCGAGATATAGACAAACACGTAAACACCGACGCGTGACTATTCGTTGATGGCAAATCTAGGCTTTCATGTTCCTACTAGTTTAGGCAGTTCGTTGGCTGCGGCTGTTTGGTCCCCCTGCAGATCACCGCCTAGGCGCATAATGCTTCTGTCGCCTTCGAGCTTATCGTGGTCTTAGGATATTAAATGCCAAGCTGACATCCAGATTGTACCACTGTGATGGGAACAGCTTCCTTGGTGAGGGTTTGCCCCGTGGTAGATTAATGCCAGTCGGGCAGGTGGGCTGCGGGGGTTCCGTTGCTCGATCAAGATGTGTTTGTTGCAGGGCTACGTGATCTGATCTGCTCTACGATATATAGCACATGCGGTGCCTTTCCTTCTATTCTTCTTTACGCTTCTCTCTCATCTCTACTACTATTACCTAGTAGCGATGAAGCTTCTCAACGTCACTCTTGCCTCGCTAGGCCTCGCATCCGCGGCTACAGTTACAAAGAAGGTCAGCTATGACGACTGGAAGGTATACCGCGTCAATGTCGGCTCCAACGCTGCCAAGCTCGACAACGTGATGACCAAGCTCCAACTGGAGCTATGGAAAGGCAAGCCAGCGTCCAGCGACGTCGTCGACGTTATGGTGCCGCCTTCAGCCGTCAAGGACTTCGAAGCATCTACCGAGGACATCGAGACCAAGGTCATGCATGACAACCTTGGCCTCTCTATTACAGACGAGGAAACCTTTAGCGTATATGCCGGTATATTTACCCCACAGGCTGGCATTACATGAACGTGGCGCTAACGATGAACATCAGCTGGTGCTGCACCAAGTGCTACTTGGTTCAACTCATACCACTCTATTGCCGACCACATGCAATGGATCACGGATCTTGCGGCTGCGTATCCAAACAATGCTGAAGTAATATCTGCCGGCAAGTCTGTCGAAGGCCGGGATATCAAAGGTATCCATATTTGGGGTAGTGGCGGTAAAGGATCCAAGCGAGGTGTAGTCTGGCATGGCACAGTGCACGCACGAGAATGGATCACGACGATGGTACTACCAATTCCAACAAGAAGCATCCACCGTGATACTGATCCCTCCAGGTCGTCGAATATGCTGCGTACCAGCTCCTCACGTCCACTGACTCTACGACGGCCGGTTTCAAGAACTCATACGACTTTTACATCTTCCCTATTGTGAACCCAGATGGCTTCGCCTACACTCAATCAGCCGATCGCATGTGGCGCAAGAACCGCCAGAAGACTTCCGGAGCCTCTTGCGTAGGCCGTGACATCAACCGTGAGCAAACCCTCTACACGTACAACATATTTGCGAAAAGACATACGCTAACCTCACACTCTCATCTCAGGTAACTGGCCATCGCATTGGGACCAGCGCGGTGGTGCATCAACCGACCCTTGTGCACAAGACTACAAAGGCCCTTCTGCTGGCGACGGCGTGGAGACTAAATTGCTCAAAGCCCAGCTCGACAGCATAGCCGCAGGCAAGGGAATCTCGTTATACATGGATATTCACTCGTACAGCCAGCTTTGGATGTACCCCTACGGCTACACCTGCTCAGGTGTCCTTCCCAACTCCGCAAAGTACGCCTCTCTCACAAACGGGGCCATCGCCGCTGTAAAAGCTGTGCACGGCACAACATTTACCGGTGGTCCCATCTGCCAGACTATTTACCAGGTCAGCGGCGACAGTGTGGACTATGCGTTTGAAGTTGCTAAGGCGAACTACTCGATGACGGTTGAGTTGAGGGATACCGGAAATTATGGGTTCGTGTTGCCAGCTGCGCAAATTCTGCCTAGTGGTGAGGAAATGTGGGCTGGGTTGAAGTATTTGTTGGCCAATATGTAAGTTGGGCTGTTGTGGTTGAGGAGTAAGTGGAGTTCAGGATGAAGGACAGAAGAATGCTGCATTGTATGGCGTCTGAAGAGGTGTAAGGTGTAGCAATACGTGAAATGGGTATGCCGTGTGTTGACTACGACGTAGCGACCAAAGACGAAGCATTTTCAACGTGTTTTCTTGCGGATGTAGATTCGAGGTACACGGTGCATAGTCGATTTCGACGAATGTGTCAGATGCAATTACAAAGTACTCAATTCTTCTGCTACCAGAAACTAGCTATGCATCGACAACAACTGCGCGTGTTCTCATCAGACATTATGAGAATGCATCACATCTGATTACCTGAACACTCGAACATCCCCCTTGTATGCCCACCAGTCGAACAAGTTCGAAGCCTCCTTAGGCCTTGTGGGTAGCCTCCGAACCAACTGTTAGCTTACTGGTGAGATGGTCTGAACAGTAAGGGCCCTGCTCATCAAAACGGCAAGGGGAATCTCCACATTCCATTGAAACCTGAACTTGCCATTCTCGCACACAAAGACAGCGTATGTATCGCTATGAAGGTCATGTTTCGTATAGCAGCGCTTCTCCCCGTCAGCACAGGTAGGAGTAAGTGGACGTTGGCCAGTAGGTTCATCATCGTCCCTTCTAACTTGAGTAGTGGATGTGTCGTTGTCGTCGGTGACGGCAGCAGCGTCCAGCCACGAACATGTAGAGAAGGTCAGATTGTCATGACAACGTTCCGACGGACGACAGTGCATCTGCGTTTTCCAGAATCCATTCTTGCATCTGAAAAGTACACCCCCGTTTCCATTCTCGTTCCGCAACATGCACTTTGGTTCGTCCTCAGTGCACTGGTGGGGACCGATGATGTCGCGAGAGACGATCGGCATACACTGAGGTTCAGGATCTCTGTTACAACGGCATGGGTCGATGACCTCCCACTTTCCGTTCTTGCAAATTTCGATGCCGTCATGGCCGCGGTCAAATGCAGTCAGACATCGCTTTTGGCTTTCGGAGCACTCGGTCGTTCGTTGCTGAATGGCGGCGTGCGAAGGGACGCATGCACCGTTGTTGCAGGGAACATTGGGGTCATTGCAGCGCTTGATCCAGTCCCAGCGGAGGTTGTTGCATTGGAAGACGTCATTCCCATAGCTGTTGAAGGAGCCGCAGGCTGTGACGCCTTTCTTGTCGTTGGTGCAATCTGGGAGCATTGCACGAGTCACGGCGGAGCCGAGTGTGACCGCGGTGAGGCTTGTGAGGGTGTTGATGATACTGACAAATTTCATGGTGAGGATGTTGAGGGTAACAGATGGTTATCGGAAGAGATTCATGTGGGAAAATCGAAATACTAGATAGAGGATGAAACGAGACTAAAGGGGAAAGAGCTCTGCCTTCACCTAACAGGCGTGGGGGACAGACAGGAAAGTGAGAGCAACTAAGTCGCCTAATCTGTCGAGAAGACATCATATCATCTGTATCTTTGTTACATAACACAAAAGGCATCCACTATTCAAGATTAATTCTCCCCTCAGTTCTATTTGCCCGGATTGCTTTCACAATTCGATATCAGGCATAGGGAAAGTACGTCTGGCTGCTTTCACATCAGCGGGTACGCTTGTCATACACGAATGAAGAGTTCTCAAGCGTCCTGTTAAGACAACTGGTCAACCGATTAATGATGCACTATAGTATAGATACTACAGTGATACCTGGGCGCCACAGTTACGTCATCTTCTGGTTAGATTACCTACACCAGGAAATTCTGACGGCAGGGCACAGGGGGAGTTCCGATCATAGGGCCATGCCAGTAGAGACTGACGACGCCGTTGGAAATGGTGTGAGAACGCTCTTAAGCCGAGCGACAAAGTTCAGCCATATAGTCGACTTCTCTCATTTCAGTCTAGATTGCCTAGAGACATACTGCAGACAAGAGCTTTCAGCCAGAGAGAAGCTCTCGCCCTTCATAGAGGACACACTGAATACACTTCCCGTTTGCGTTAAGTGTCTTCATCAACTGTGGATATATTCCTGCTACGCCAAGCTAAAGCTGCATCTCGATTCTGCACGATTTAGTCCTGCATATGCTAGGTGGTACATAACCTTTACTAGATCTTTTGAATTAGTTCTAAACACGAGGTATGACGGGAACTCGAGAGGTTTGCAGGAGCAAATGATGACGTGTTGCCTGCTAGGCACAGACCATCAACGGCAGGGACATGTTACTTCCTTGGTGTATCTTTTCTTACGAAGTCCCAGTTAACGTGTATGCACTGAACCAAACTGACATAGTACACAGGTTTCAACAGTAAGCTCGTTTGTAGAAGGGGTATATTTTGTTGCTGCGGTGATGTATTCCCTACAGCTTCTAGGTAAGAAGATCTAGTAATTGAGGGGGTACTTTGAGAACAAGATCTTTCCTCAATCATCTAACCCAAAGACATCCATCACGCCGAACTTCCGTCACATGAAATCATTCATCGTAACCATCAAAGGTGCCAACCCAAGGGCGCAAGGCCTATTGGGTCGGTGCATCGCCCGCAGACTCCTTCTGAGCCTCGACAGCAGCAGCAGGATCTGACTCCTTGTCTTTGTTGCTGACTTCCTGACGAATCGGTAGCTCCGAGCTACTCTCGCCAGCGGTCTTTGCAGCGTCATCAGCTCCTGCAACATTGACGTTGGCGAAGTGCACCTTGCGGTCTGGGGTCTCCGAGATCCTCCTAAGCTCGGTGACGAACGACTCGCCCCACCAGGCACTATGCAATGTTAGAGTGGTTTGCTGTTATACAATCAGGGGTACTTACCTAGTGTACTTGCGGACGTATTTTGAAAGCTTCTGGTAGTTGAGACTACGTTGCTCATCGCCCATTGTGACCGCGTCGTGAATTGCATCCGCCAATTCCTCAGTATTCCATGGGTTAACAATCAGACTACCGTTCAGACTCTGTGCAGCACCAGTGAATTCAGACAGAATCATGACACCGTGTCGCTTCTCCTGTGTCGCAATGTACTCGTAGGACACCAGGTTCATACCATCGCGTGTTGATGACACAAGACAGACATCTGAGACAGCGTAGAGCGCGATAAGCTCATCGAAGGAGACTGACTTGTGCATGAAATGGATGGGCATGAATTCGATGGTGCCGAATTTACCGTTGATGCGTCCGACAAGCTCGTTCACGACTGCGCGAAGGTTCTGGTATTCCTCGACATCTTGTCGAGAAGGAACAGCGACCTGGACGAGCACAACCTTGCCAATCCACTCAGGATGCTCGGTAAGGAAGACCTCGAGAGCGTGCAGCTTCTGCGGAACACCCTTGATGTAGTCAAGACGGTCGACACCAACGATGAGCTTCACTCCCTGGAACTTCTTCTCGAGAGCCGCTATCCGCTCTTGTACCTTGGGCTTCTGGAGACCCTCGTCGAACTTCTCGGGATCGATACCGATGGGGAATGCGCCGACGGTGACGACCTTGCCTTGGAACTCGACTCCGTTGGGTGTTGTCGCAAGTCCCAGAATGCGCGAGCAACTGCTCAAGAAGTGACGAGCATAGTCGTATGTGTGGAAACCGATAAGGTCGCAGTGGAGAACACCGAGCAGGATCTCGTTACGGACAGGAAGGATTCGGTAGATTTCGGAACTGGGGAAGGGTGTGTGGAGGAAGAAACCAATCTTGACATTTTTCTTGGTATTGCCAAGCTCTTCGCGCAGCATAGCAGGCATGAGCATCAGATGGTAATCGTGTACCCATACCATGTCGTTGTCTTGTACGTCTTTTGCGACGGCCTTTGCAAATAGGCGGTTGGCCTCGGTGTATGCGTCCCAAGCGGACTCGTCGAAGGTGATCTCACCAGGGTGGTAGTGGAAAAGCGGCCACATGATCTCGTCTGCGCTATCGTCAGTAATTGAAACGATATGACAGTGCTTGAGTGATCTCACTTGAGAAGCCGTTGTAATGTCTATCTGCGAGCTCATCATCGAGCATGACAGGTACCGCGTTGTACTTCTCCTTGAGCTGGGCGTTCAAGCCCTCCGTCTCGTCCTCTGGGACTTCGAGTCCGGGCCAGCCATACCACTGGAAAGTGGTGGTCTTGGAAAGTCCGCTCAAACCGCTGACCAGTCCTCCCGAGGACATGGACATGTCGTACTTGCCCTCATCGGAGCGCTTGATGGTGATGGGCAGCCGATTTGACACCAGCAGTAGACGCCCCTCCGACGACTCCGGCTGCTTGAGTTTTGTGGGTTCCTCGGGCATTTTGGTAGTGATTGTCGAGGTGGTTGTCGGGTAGTGGGGTGGTGAAGGTAGCTGGGTCGTGAACCTGGTGAAGCGGGAAATTTATCTGCGGCGTAGGGTATTGGGCGAGGTCAGCAATCACCTCCGCAACGTGTTTGGAGTCGGCGAGTGAGCGGTGTGGGAGGTGTCTGTGGCGCGAGAGGGGAGGGATCAGTGATTTTAATTGTGGTGCTTGCGTGACGAAATAATGATAATAGACCAAGGCCCGCTCGAAGGTGGAGGTGGATTCTCGCACGTTCCGAGCTCAAGCGTCCAGAATTGGCAGACGGTAGGGCACAGCTGCAGCGCGAGCAGATGCTAAAGTTAGAGAAGACAAGGGCTAAGGGACGTCGGGACTGGTGGCATGCAGCTTGTTCGCTGACAGGTGTAGGCGATGTTGGAAAACGCTGGATGAAGCTGGCCGTGTCCGTGTGAAACTTGCAATAAATGTGACGTCGGCCGTGGAGCTGCCCAACCAACGCGGGGCACTCACAGACCAGCTCAGTACCAAAGGGCAGAGCCCAGCATCAACTACGGACACACGCATTAGCCATGTCATACTGCTAATCTGAACAACAAGAAGGATACTGGGGCACAATTCCCACATCAATCGTGGCTCTCCAAGACAAATTCCCCGCAGGCTTTCATGCCACTTGACGCAATTGGGTGTCTCCGCGGAATCACGTGCACGCTACCGGAGTCGTGCCTGCCCTAACCGCCGACGCCATCGCCCATCGCCGCGTCTATCGCGTACTGGTCGTCGATCATCAACACCACCAACGCGCAGCGCATCATGTTCACTTCCAAAACAGACCGGCCCTCAGAGGCGACCATTTCAAGCAAATTACGCGACATTGTCATCGCGATACACAAATCCGGAAAGAGCGATGATCTAACCGTGAAGCGTGTTCGGGCACGCGCTGAGCAGGAGCTAGGCCTAGACGAGGGCTTCCTCAAGACGGACTCGACTTGGAAGGACAAGTCACAGAAAACAATCAAAGATGCAGTGGTACGATATCATTCTACACAATCTGAAATAAGCATCTAAGAACGTGTAGGAGAAGTTCTGCGCCGATGAGCCTTCACCAGAGCCTACTCCCAAGAAGGCCGCCCCGAAACCCAAAGCAAAACCCGCAGAGAAGAAGACGAAAGCCACGACAGAGAACGCTCGAGGTGTCAAGCGGAAGGCTGCTGCACCTGCCAAGAAGCCCAAAAAGCGTGCGAAGACAGAGTCAGAAGAGTCGGAAGCTGAGCTCTCAGAACCACCCGCCGAGATATCCGACGCCGAGAGCGAACCACCTAAGAAGCCAATACGACGGGGGAAGAAGGTCGTGACAGAAGACTCGGACGAGGAGGATGCGCCGAAGCCAACATCCAGACCCAGCACCATAGCTGAAGATGAGAGCGATGTCGAACCCGAACCAGCGAAGAGGGCAGACACAAAGGGCGATGTATCTGAAAGTGAGCTATCCAGCGTCATAGATGAGGAGCCTAAGAAGAAGAAAAGAGCTCCTGCAGCCAAGGGCAAGAAAGACAAGGCCCCAGCAAAACCAAAAGCAGCGCCCAAACCAAAGGCCGAAGACGACCCCGATACTGCCGAAGTCAAGCGGCTTCAAGGCTGGCTCGTGAAGTGTGGCATACGCAAGGTGTGGTCGCGAGACCCTGAACTTTCCCAATGCGACACCTCAAAAGACAAGATTCGCGTACTGAAGGGCTGGCTGAAAGATGTGGGCATGGACGGAAAGTACTCTGTTGAAAAGGCAGCCAAGATCAAGGAACAGAGGGAGTTTGCAAAGGATCTCGAGGCTATCAAGGAGGGCGAGGCAGCATGGGGGAAGACAAGTGAGGTCACAGCTACGGGTCGGCCAAGCCGAAGGGCAGCAGCCAAACCTGTGCCACAGCAGAAGGTTGTGCTCGAAGATGACAGCGAAGAAGAAGGCGGTGGTGATGACAACAACAACAACGACGACGATGACGACGATGACGACGACGTTCAAGGCGACTCTGAAGACGACGATGATGGTGACAAGAGCGGCGACGACAGCGGAGATGACGAATCCGAATAAGCTACTTCCTCGACAGTCTAGCCTTCTTCAAGAGGCGCTCTTGCGTACACATCAACAACGTGGAGCATATCAACCCACACTTAATACATGCATTTGGTCCTTTGGTGGTGTAGTAGGATGTTCGATACCCCCAAAAGTATACATCTTTCTTCTTAAACTTCCAATATCCTGTGATGTCACTTGTTACAGATGTCCTGCTGATCCTGATAAGACTAAAATCCTTGCTTCTCTCTAAACACTCAACGTCCTGTCCTGATGAAAGAGACAGAATCACTAAACGAGGTATTGTAATCGAACGTACAATCGTACCTGCTACACTACAAAAACAGAGTAAGAAGAGACTGGAAATACTACCCGGTCGGTTCATACGGCGGTGGCGACGACGGAAGTGCAGATGAGGCCCAACCTGAGAAACGAGGAAGGGGTGATGAAGAACTCTACCTCGAGCTTGTTGCGGCAATTTTCGCAGTGGTTCAAGAGCTCACATGTCGCCATAATGTGTGTCGTAGTATCGCTCGAGAACGTGCATGGTGCTGGAGCGTGATTGACGCCTTGCTGAAAATGTCTGGTCGTTGCCCAGTCGCATAGCCGCGTATGCTCTGAGGTGGTAGAAACATGTTTGTGGCCGCACTCTATGTGGCTGACTAGAGCACAGCTGCACATGATCCTGCAATTCCGTGGTTGGATTACGGAGCTGGTGCTTGGTCGAGGCCCTGTGAATGACCAGATGGAGCTTTTGTCGCAACCAAGATCGGCATCGTTACAACAGGGTGCAAAACTACTGAGACCTGGAGTGAAATCTGGATGGTCCCCCAAGATAAGCAGCTGGTAAATGTGAGCCGAAGAAAAACTTGTATGGCAGATTGAAGGGGGAACAAGAGTAGACCCAATCAGTACTGTTGAGAAAGAAAAATACGTGAAAATACACAGCGCTGACCACAACTTGAGTCAGTCAAAGAGTAACGTCTCGTGCTGCGTCCCAATTTCATTCACGATGTCGTTTGGAAGAGCGAGTGATGTGGAGCAAGAATGAGAGAATGGAATGATATACGGGGTGATAATTATATCGCAAACCGAATCAATATACACGAAGGTTCCATACGCGTTAGACAAAGTGCCAAACGGGAAGGTGCCTCCTTGATGAGAATACTGGGACAGTATATACAACAGCGACTGTTTGCTCAAAGACAGTCGCAAGACAAACCAGACAAGCGAGCGTCTCACTTCTTGTTCAGAGCATTGACCTTCTTCGCATGCTCATAAACAAGTTGTTTGGCCTCAGCATCGTCCAGGTAGATTGTGAATCCGTCGTCGTGGTTCCTTCCGTACGAGTAACCTGAGTATCCAAATTGCCAGTACATGTCTGGCATCTTCTCCTTCAGACTGGTAGCCTGCCATAGTCCAATAGCTTCGAGTCTAGTGACGTTCGACGTTTTGCTGAGGTACTCTTGCCTCTTGTCGTCGGTCAACCAACCATATTCTTCGTGCACCACGGGCTTTCCGACAGCACGAGAGGCTGAGGCGTGGTCGATGATCCATTGATTAGCCCACTCAACGCTCCTTGACCACCCTATATTTGGCCAGAAAGTTAGTGGTTGCTCAAGCAGGAGAAATGCTGGACCGCTTCAAGAGGCTATACGTACAATCGGGATAAGTGTGGAAGGTACCAAAATCGATGTTCTTGAGCGCCAACTCTTTGTCGTAGTCTCCGCCATCGAATCCATTGTAAAAGCCATCGTCGCTGGGTCGGTTAAAGCCTCCTTCGCCACCCCATGTAACAAGATGGTTCTTGTCGAGAGACTTGACATATGTGCTCATCTCGTCAATCCATTCGGTGATCACCTCGGGCGTGCAGTTCTCGCTACGGGGTAGGTTACGTACGCCGTCGGCACCACATCTGGGTTCGTTCGCGAGTTCCCACGCCATGATGGCTGAGGATTTCGCGTAGCGCTTCACGATTTCCTTGACGTACTTCTTGTATGCCTTCTTGATCGCTGGAACATGGTAGAACTAGCAAAGGGTATGTCAGTGCATGATCATTCAGTCGAAGCATCATAACTTACATCATCATGGTACTTGTAGCCTAGGTTGATCGTGTACACATCCATGCCACCATAGTCGGCCCAATTGTTAGTCAAAGCAACGATAAGCTTCATCCCAGTCTTCTCCGCGGCCTTGACGACTTTATCGAACGGTTCTAGGTTGATCTCTTGTGTGCCGTTGTTCCACCATTGCATGACGTTCGGACTGGGACCAGCACCTTCACCACCGTATTGCGGTAGTCCATTTGCGAGAGTCGTCCTGTTTCGATCGTTGAATCCCCATGTCCTGAAGACATTCAACCCTGCTTTCTTCGCTGCACCGAGGCCAGCTTCTACATCTGACTGGAGCTGTGTATTGTCAGTACATTTAAAAAAGCTTAGACCAGGATATACGGACGTCGTTGAAGGGAAAGTAATAGGCATTGCTGCCAGCGAAGTAAAAGTCTTTCCCATCTAGCTTAAAGACATTACCCTTGGTTGTGACGAAACCCGCGGGTGCTTTTCTGCTAACCACTGCAGCCGAAGTGCTGGTAGCTAGTAATAGGACCGAGGCAAAACTGTAGAGCATCTTGAAAAGTCCTTTTGCTTGCGTGTATTGCTATACAATATACGCGCATTGCAAACATATGTACATTTTCGGGTCATGAGCATTTCCACGCTATACCAGTTTGGACACGGAGAGCTATCATGCGAGATCACCTTGCATCCAAAGTTAGTCTTCCCCGGGATATATTATGATCGGAGTCGCCAAGCATCCGACATGCTTACTGATTGGTGCAAACGGATTGGGTCAAGCTTCCGTAACGTGAACCAGCTCTTCCAGAACATTTAAAGCCGGGAAAGACCTAACAGAAGCTATGGGGAACCGAGTACCTGGAACAACGGGCCTACAGCTACTGCACAGTGTAATGTGCATATCTTGACCCGGACTCCACGTGCCAAAGCATGGTCTACCCAGAATGAAACCTAGCCATGAAATCGACGATCTAGTCGATTTTGAAGCCGGAGGTACTCTTGCCGGTGTGTTTTTCTCTTGGATTAGGAATAGCCTTGTCGTGCTCGTGGCTTTAGGACTAGGGATTGTATAGAGCTTTGCCTTCTGTGGCGTTCTTGTTAATATAAACGTCTCCGGTTGTCTATAGGATTATAGCCTTGATGCTGAATGTACGAACGCTCCTCATGAGTCGACATGCATGCGGCGGCGAGGTTATAATGCGGGAACTAGACTGAGCTTTTTAGAGTATATTGCCCAAGACGGAGAATCGGGAGAGACGCAACAGAACTATAGGTAAGTAGCATATGCAGCCCACCAGCAGTCAGGATGTTACATTGCCAAATCCAATAATACAATCCGTTGTGCGTAATAAAGCGATTTCTCGGGTGGTAGGGTAGGTCGCATGACTGTGTGTTGCCGGTCTACTCCATACAAGCCGCTCGAAATAAGGCAAGACTGTGAAAGCGCTCTAGATCATGATAGGGAGACGGGGAAAGGGGTCAGAACACTTGCGATCTTTCGACGGATGGTTCTGGACCGGAACGACGTCATCGGATTCGTCCACATATACTAGTCTTCCTGTCGACTTGCTTTGCTTCTCTAATACTCAGCAAACGCACCCTGGATGCGCGCTGCATCGAATCCGTGTCTGTTTCGCGCGCATGGCTCAGTCATGTCTTGCTTTCGTGGCGCAACAATGGAAGGAGAGAGGTGGTTGGTACGCCAAGACCTGAGACGCGGAAAAGGTGGGAACGTGTTGTCCGTCGGTTCGACTGCGTTATCAGCCAGACCTGCCGTCCTCCTATCACGCGTATATCAGCATCGATGGCATACTCGGTACATGGTTAGAGGTACCGCTTTTCTTGTCCGTTAAATTCTCTTTGCTTTTGAGTCTTCCGTCATCGTCCTCCGTTTTACTGGAGCTTCCGCTTCGCACAATCCGGCGTTGACTTATCATGCAGCGCATCGACATAACTATGGCTCAACACATTAGTCTGACGACACGGTTGCTTTACGAGAGATACGATTTAGCGATGAACGATGCTATTGAGGTTATCTCACACGATGATACTACTCTGGAGTCACTAAAGGGAGAAGATGGTAGATTGTGAACGAAAGGGTATGGCATTATAAATAATCAACCTTTTGGTACACTCCTCGATGATCAAAGCCGCTAGAATAAACCGGGAGAAGACGTCTAGACTTTCGATTCGTCTGTTCGTCCGAGTGAATTAGGATCAACGTTCTCGATGTCGTCATACGTCTGTCCTTCTTCGTCCCTGATCTTCGTTATGTCCGTCACGACTTTAGCCGCAAAGGTATCGCAACTGACGTTCATCGCCGTCCGGAAACGATCGAGGAACCAATCGATGGCGATAACAACGGCGTACATTCCGGTAATGGGGATTCCAACGCTAGAAGCGATCATGACTACTAGAACCAGACTTGAACTCGGGATAGGCGTCGTTCCGATCGAAGCAAGAGTCGAGAGCAAGATAACAATGATGTAATCAGCAGCGTTCAAAGTTATCCCTTGAGTGGCCGCCAGGAACACAACAACGATCGGGAAGTAGATCGCAGTTCCGTCCATGTTGATCAAACAACCGAGAGGCACGGCGAACTTCGTTACTATCGAGTGTCAGTGAAAGCGACAATGTAGATCCGACCTTGTGAACTAACCTGTGATAGGTATTCCTTCCTTCAATACACAGCGGATGGTAACCGGCAAAGTCGCAGCGCTTGATGCGGTACCCCAAGCGGTGATCCAGGCAGGGCTCATCCTCACCCAGAATGTATATGGGTTGCTCCTCGTGAATGCGAAAAAGATGATTGGAATTATGATGAACAGATGGATAAACATGCCGCATAGGGTTCCTCCGATAAGTATGCCCAGGTTCGCGCCGATCTCGGAAATGTCCAGGCGGAAGAGGTTTGGCATGATCAGAAAGAACACTCCAATTGGTGCAAGATGGATAAGGACCGTGATGACCTTAAGGACGATGACTTCGACTTCTTCGACTGCTCGGTGGATCGCGCCTCCTGGCTTGATAACATATCCAAGGACGACTGCCGTGACTAACACAGAGAGAAGGGCATCGGTAGCTAGTGCGTTAACGATGTTGTTAGGTACCAATGAGAAGAACATGTCTTCGACGACGTCGTGGATAGCAGTTTCTTTTCTCTCGTCCACAAGTTTCTGGTTCTTCTCGTCTAGGTCCAAAGCACTGCCCGAGACTGGATTCATCAGTTTACTCCAGACTAGACCGACCAAGAGGGCGGAGTGAGCGACAGCGATGACGGTGGTAACAACGTAGTAGCCGATCGTCCAGCGAGCAAGTTTGCCGGCTGCACCACCTCCTTGCGTCATGTTTCGCAGACGTTGGATAGCCAGGATCATAGCAGTAACGATCATTGGAAGGACTATAATTGTTAGCCTGCGCACCTAGGAAGGCTCTGTGATAACATACCAACCGCCCTCAAAGCACGTAACCAAAGGTTGCCGGGGATTGCAAGTATGGTGATAGCAGCGACTGGCACCTCGTCTACGGTGGTGGTAACGGCCAGACCAATGGCAATGGCCAGAATAGCAGCGAAAATGATCTGCCATACCGAGCCTGGAGTAAGCACTTTCTGGATGAACGTCTTCTTCTCCTCCTCAGCAACGGTCGGTCGCGGCATGATGTCTTCCGATGGAGAGCTGTTCGGGCTCGTGGTGCGAACAGCTTCGCCGTGCTTTAGTCCCTCGATTTCGCCCATGTTTGGCAGTATCAAGAAGGCGAAAAGGATACAAGACTTCTTCTGGTTCTAAACAGAGGGCAGAACAGTAGTCAAACAGGCAGCCTAGTCGATCGCGCGCAATAAGGACATCTTATACACCAACCCCGCCCCTTGGTATTTGCACATCATGCTGTGTGGCAACCAAGAGATAACGATTCTGTTACCAATACTTTGGAATGCTACCGTACTCTCGCATGACCCCTGTTACCAGCTTCTATAGCCTATCAGAAGGGCAAGCCACACCGGTCTGTGGACGTTGATTCGCCATCTACGAGTCTAGGTCACGACGGAACGCCCGAGGATAGTGCAGGCTATCTCCCCAGAGAGCTCAGACATCAAAGCTCAAGCCTTGGAGCAGTTGGCGGCGTTGGTAACTATTGCAAGATATGGAAGGTTACAAGCAAATTCACGTTCCGAGTTCCGTCTGGTCGAGCCTTGGCCGAACATGGGTCGGTTGACCGGCCCATCATGCCAAGCCCTAGTATCATCACTTTGTTCGACATATGGACATGTTATTGGACCAATATTGGGTAACAGAATGTTGTGGGGTAGTGTAGCTCACGTTGGTGTGGAGAAGTACAAAGCCTTGGTGCTTCGTCGCGTGTGCATCGAAGCTTGGCCAGCAGCGCAGCGCGTCTGGGCGCTTGCTGCCATCGCGTATGCTAAGATGAGAACGATGATAAGGGCATGGGGCAAGAACCGGCTCAAGAACATTCGGATGTGGGATGGATGAGGATTCTTGTCGCGTGAGCCGATGCACCACCGAGATAATGAAGATCATTCGGAGGCGATGCAGGACGACCTCGTCCATATGAGTGTGCCTGACGCTTTTTTTGCGGATAGATTCAGGTTTTCCAAAGCTACAATAGCAAGCTTTCCGTCTGCCTGGATGTCGGACCATGGCATTTCGCAACTGCATACACTTGCAGAACAACCAGGCGATTCTAGATACGCGAGGGCTTCATGCAACGACTACTACGGCATATCGACCCATGACACTGGTCGGGAAACATCTAGAACAATATTTAGCGCCGAGATAAACTGTTGTGGTATTTGAACCATCTTCCTGGTTCCGCTATCTGTTCTGGGCCAAGACGTTGCAGCTTGGAGGCATGACCGATGCAGGAATGTGGCTGTGCGTACCTGGTATCCATCACAGCACCAGTTTCTACTCTTCAAACATTGCTATCTCTTAGCAACTTAATAAATGCACACAGAGTTGGTGAGGCCAACTATGTCGACGCCCGCATATCAGGAACAGACAGATTCTGTCTTGCGCAAAACATTGTTTTGAAGGACTTGTGTTTATCGATCCTACATGCATCTTCATGTCGAAAAGTCGTTAGCTTACTGCTTGAACAACTACCGAGGGACCCTTTGTGTCGAACGCACCACATGCTTTTGAAAAGGAAAGCCTACGATAACGATTCACGAGTCAAATTTCGGTCATGGGCTTATTTGTTGTCCCGGAAGCCTCAACAAACTTCTTCGCGATTTTATGCATGATGAGCCAGATCAACAATCTGCATCCTGCCAGAACGATACTTGGCTCATATTTACGTCCAGCCACCCGAAGACGATTTTGTCCAGCTGAATTCACTTTCGGTATCATATTCGTCCTTCGCTGTCGTTGTGTTGACCGGCTTCCGCCTTTTGTTTTCTGGTGAAGCTTTCTTTCGAGAAGGTGTCTCTGGAGAAGCTTTCCTGGGCGTCGCTTTGTTTGCATTAGTTTCCAGATTATAATCATCTACTGACGTGGATCTCCAATTCATGAACGAGAGAATAGCCGGCAAGGATGTTGTATCGAGATCCATGGGGATTAATGGTTTACCCTTGTCAGGCCGATCCTCTGCATTCCATTCATCTAGGTCATCATTGATGCGATATTTGTAGGACTGGGCCAATAGTGGCCCTCTCCAATGCTCACCAGCTGCTTGACCTAGTAGTGCCATTACGCATTGGTTATAGGGCTGCTTGTTGCCAAGAGAATTACTGTCGTGCCTCACAGTAATCCGGTCGAGCAGTTGTCGGTTACCCTCGCGGAAACAGTCAAAAGCGGCGTCACCATCGGAAGGCACGCCGTTCACGTAACTCCTCAGATGCTCACGATCGATCTCCTGCTGGCCAGGCGGCCCATTATACTTCAACCAAACAAACCGCGGCTCTGCTGCGTCCGCGGGAAAGAAGATGCAGCGATAGTGAAACCAAGACGGTCGAAAGCTTGTGTGGTTGTCTAAGAGAGTGTTGCAAAGTGGCGCATGCCTCCCCGCATCTTTCTTACGACAGGCGGAAGAACAGTAGGGCATGTTAAAGCAGTGTGTGCACGTCTCGGTACTGGGCTTGGGACACACGCCGCAGTATTGTTGAGACATTGATTGCGGGTGCGTTCACTTTCGTCGGCGACACGACCCCTCATGGAGCGATGATGCGATATAGGTGCCGTTTCTCTGAGATGATTGCTCCAGAATGGAATCACCATGTGATGCTGTCATACACATTTACTGTGCTTGTGTGACAGATGTGTCGACAGCATCCGTTATCGACACGCGCACAAAGGGCTAGCAACCGTTATTTGACGCCGGGAAAATCCTAAAGGGGTCGTTGTACGAAAATCTCTGGCTTCCGGAATCAGCGCATACTTTTTCGTGATATAACTCGAGGAGCTTACTGGCTACCGCGTTAGTAATCGCGGAAGCCGGACACCAACGTACATCCGATCCGTCCCAACTGTGCCCCACACGAGATCAATCATATAACTACACTTAGAATCGACACACAACCATGGAACAAGAACACTTATAATCTTCCACCACATTACGCATATATCGTCTACCAAGAAGAACAACAATGCCCCAATTCAAAGTCGCAATCTACATCTACAAAGATGCCGACCTCCTGGACTTCTCAGGACCGGCTGAGATTTATTGCCATTACCACGATATGGATTGGAGCAAGCCAGCACCTTTCTCAGTGACATCTTTCGCCCACACCAACCCAGTCACGTCTGCCTCTAGTGCCATGGTCTACGTCCCCAACACCACTTTCTCCGACATCTCTACCCATATCGAAGATTACGATATTCTCGTCATTCCAGGCGCTCATGACGAGACCATCAAAAGATTCATCAGCAGCAAAGAGGGCAAAGATTTGGACGAACTAATTCGAAAATTTGTAACACTGAAGCCAAGAAAAGAGACGGGCAAGAGATTTTTGCAATCAGTGTGCACTGGAGGTCTCATACTTGCAGCTTCCGGGGTACTTGCTGGTCGCACCATCACGACACACCATATGTCTCTTGACTTGCAGAAGAAGCTCGCCGATGAAGCAGCGGGCGGCGATTCAAAAGTCAAAGTTGTTAGGCAACGATGGTCGGACGCTGGAACGACAGATGCCGGTGTGCGCATTGTGACTGCGGGGGGAGTCAGCTCAGGAATTGATACTTCTCTATGGGTTGTGGGACAGTGTTACGGACAGAAGGCAGCTGAGATGGTTTCGGAGATCTCTGAGTTTGACATGAGGCCAGCAGCATGGGGAACAGCACCATAATCGACGGTATCACGATAGATCATGCGACACGTAGTAGGTGGCTGTACTTTTGTATATCGTGAAGTTGGATTTGGCAAGCCTATAGGGATATACAAGGATGAATTAGACTTGGACTTGTATAGCAATACATAATTTTCTCGGTTTCATTGATCGATCGAGACTTTGTAACTGCGTTTACAAATAAGCAACAGGCACGCGAAACATGATAAGGTAGAGCAATAATATTAGACTGCGGCACGATCCAGGCTCAATCGCCAACTTGGTCAACTTGATGAAATGAACGATGATGCGGCTTCATCCCGACACAGGAGAGAGTCCTAGACTCCGCAGTGTGCGCCCTCGGTTCACATCCAATTTTGACATCAGTTTCCAAGCTGGCCGGCACGAATTCCTTCTTGGGCGCAGTAGAGGTTGCTTCGGTAGAGAAACCGATGTTCTTGGTAGATCGCATGTACTTGGTAGCCTCTTTCCTCATTACGTTTCGGTATTTGATCTTCACGTCAAGCTTGACTGCCTGGACAAGTCTGGCTTCCGTTACGTTGCGATTGTCACTACGGCGGTTTTTGTCGTCTATACTTCCATCTTCGATACCGAAGGTCGGAATGCGCCGCTCAAGTGCTGCGACTTGTTTCATGAATAGGGCAAGCTGCTTTTGAAGAGTAGTCTTACAGTCGATGGAAGATGAGTTATGGAGATCTCGTCACGTCCCGGTCGGCTGAGCCCCTTCTTTGTCATCATCAGCTTGATAGCATCCCCAGTATCGAAATATAATTCTTCATCATAGTCTTCCTGGTAGTTATCTTGGTAATAGTCTAATTCAGCACGTTTACTGTCGAGAGCGCGGCGAACGTGAGGCTGAAGACGTTCAGGCAGCGCGTTGATGTCCTGCTATAGACGTCATTCTACTTGCGGCAATTCAATGTGCTTTCGGCACCAGCTCTCGAAATTGTCGTACGCCGCTTGGTAGCTGGTGTTGAGCCTGTATCGTGCCAGCTCGTCGAGCTTCACTGAAGCGAAGTGAATCGCTTCCTAGCAGGCTGCAGCCCATTCTATAACTGGGGTAGGCCCAATGCCTTTGAGTTCGTTCCACCATGCGCTATTGGCGTTGAAGATACCAGTGGGAAGCTCGCCGTCCCAGCCTTCGTCATCTTCTCTCTTTGCAACGTCGTATGCGTTGGGGTCAAGGTGAGACATGCGATACTCATACGCGTGTTGAATTTCGCAGAAACGGTCAGTAACCTCATTCTTGCGTCCCGGATCAGCCTTGTCGGGGTGATGGACGAGAGGAAGGAGCTTGAACCTCGCCCAAACTGTGGCCTCTATTGCTGTCGTTGAGAGACCGAGAGCCCTGAAGAAGTACGCGTTTGACGTGTTTGAAGTTCTGTTTAGACCGGCGTTTATGAGTTCGTAAGCGGGTGGGTGAAATTCCAAGACCGTATTTTGCCTTGGTGTCGGAAGAAGTAGTGGTTGTCTCTTTTGGTTGGGTGAGAGGAATTCCCTCCGTCGGGCAAGCATTTATGCATTGGACGCGTTTGTGCTGTTAATTCATCGTAGCAGAGATTAGGCTTCTCTCTTGACTGAGTTATTGCGAATTCCCACTGAGAACCAGAGTTGGGAATTAACGAAAATGCAGGCCTACCAATAACAGGTGCACCGGTGCTGGAGCACAATACAAGTGCGCTAACGATTGAGTCATGCTGATTCTCACAGTGGAGAATTTCGGGCATTGTATCAACAAAATCTTGTAGTGGAATGTAACATGTCTTACGCTGCGCTGTTGCAGATTTGAATGCCTGATGTGGGCAGTTTTACATCGCATTCTGATCCCAAATTCTGTCAATGTTAGAGTCGTTAAATCCGAACCAAGTTCACTGCCTTAACGTACTGAAGACCTCAATTCGTGTATCCAGAACCACCAGAGAAGATATTTTGTATGGCACGTTACAAATGTTGCGAGATTCCTCTCCATCCCGTGTAGAACCAGAAGTCAGTACTTGCATACTCCAAAAGCTTGCAATAGTGCTTGAGGATGGCCCTAATCTCTGGATGTGTTCTTGACTTGAGCGCTTCGATGAACTCTGGCGTGACGCTGATCGGCCATATCATCGTTGCCCGCAAGGCTGGGTGAGTAGAGGAACTCATCGCGTATTGGAGACCATTCCGGAGTACCTCAGCCGCTCTAGCAGCAAGAAGATCTTCCGGTGACGATTCCGCCGTAGTGGGACAACTCAAGGCTTGGATCTCCACGAGAAAGGCAGACAACAAGGACGGTGGCTTGGGTGTGTCTTCGACAGGTAGGACAATGGCTGCGAACGGGCCCTTCTTCAGCATGTCGGTAACATTGCTTAGCACATAATCCATTCCGCGTACTAAGTGGAAAATCTCCACTAGAACGTCCAAGTTGTACGCACGCGCGTCGGCAAATGCATTGATGACAGTCATTGATGCTGCAGCAAAAATGGCATGACAATTCAGATGCCCGATATTTGCAACAGCCTGGTTCAGGCTTGTCAGTGCAGCGCTTTGATGTGAAGAGGCGGCCATGCGGAAGTTTGCCGCCCGAGAAGGGTTAATGTATGCAAGATGATTCGCAGAAAAAGCTAGTATGCTGTGTAAGAGAAATGGATACTTGAATGCTTCTTGTGGAACAGCAAACCCCCAGATTTGTTTGACGTGCTCAGTGCCAGGCATAGTTTGGTACGCATGCGCAGTATAGTGGTGCGTCAATTCCAGATCTTGCATCCATTCTGCCGCTGACACACTTCCTGGCAATGAGGGTGAGCCTTCTTCCCGGAATACGCCTGAGTACAGTGGACTTGCAGCACTTCCGTTCGTGGGTGTTGACGCGTTTATTGGGGGCGGATCATCGGCTACAAGTGCCTGAGTGCTACGTGGAGAAGCGGTATCTGAGGGGTTTGGACTTTGGCTCGCACCCCTTAAAAGACTGCACTCGACTCGATATCTAGTGCACGCGCCGCATGGCCTACCCTCATCGCACTGTATGTGTGTAAGTATGCGATGACGTGGCGAAGGTTGAGGGGAAGCTACCTTCACTCGTCTTGCCTTGCACTGTGCGCATCCTGAGCGACTCTTCTTTGAGCCAAGTCTAGGCATTTACGCGAGCTCGAAAGACGATGTCCGTTAGCGGATGGATAAATGCGGGTTGGTTGGCTGGGCGCGATTGGAGACATGCGGCTCGAGAACGAATGCGAGTGCGCATGTTTGGACGCTGATTACATAACCGAGATGGCTGGGAGACGCGTGGTTGGCTCAGCGAGCCGTGCATGCTTTTCCCTCCACCCCACCACTTCCTTCCTTCCTTGGGCTCAGGATTCACCTGCGAGGAAGCTCGGAACGTTAAGCTGTATCTAACTCATGCGTCAGCCTTGATCAATATGTCATGCCCTTCCACAACATGCAAACCTCACAAAAGACATATAGGTAGTGTATACAACCCGGGTTATATTTGGCGTTGCGCATCACTTCGAGAAAAGTTATGTTCGTATGCCTAGTGAATTTCTGGACTCGCACAACAATACTTCAGTTCCGTTATCAATTGGATTTGCGCAAGACCTACTACCCTCTCTTCTTTGAGCGTCAGCCATCCTCATCTTCATCGGTATGCTCAGGTCCGACTTACAATCACACCGGCACACCCCCTGCCAGCTACGATTACCACACTCTCCACTAACGCGCACCTAAACCTCGTTTGGAGCACGAGGTGAAGCGCGTAAGGACGAAAGCCCATACGCCTTACTATTAGTCAAATCTTGCGACTCTCACGCAAAACGCTAAGTAATACATGGTTGGCCCAAGATGCATTATCAAGACTGAAATGCAACTATGTAGAGAGCTGGGACGCGTTGCATACTACTATGATTCTAGCGAGACGGATTAGGCCGTACAATTGTAGTATTGTTAGATCCACTTATATTCATCGATATCGATACACTGAGAGCCGACCCAGCTAGTCATCGAATGGCCACCCTATTTCGCGTTCTGCGGTAGCGATGGTGGTAACCTGAAGTTAAGCCCACCAAATTTGAAGTATCACTGCTGAATGAACATATAGAAATGTCTAGATTCAAAAAGGATGACATTCACACTTGGTCGTGGGGCTCGTTTGATTAGGAGCAAACAAAGTAATAGTGGTGCTTAACCTGGTGTGTGAAAGTGATGAGCGCTCTAGCGTTTCTCCATGAGGGAACCGATAACCAGCACCGGAGGGGTCGCGACGAATGGAGGCCAATCGTAGATCGAGGTGTTAAGTTCGAGAATGTACTGGTAAAGAGCGTGGGCTCCAAAGACGACTGGTCAGGTATTGAGGTAGAGCTAGGTAACTAAGCCTTTCCTACTACTAATCCTCTATTAATCCACTAACAGAAGCTAGGCGACTTCAGTATGGCCAGTTACTACAACCTAGAAGATCCTAATCCTCGCGGGCATGTTGGTACAACTCTTTACTGGCCATCGGAAGTCACTTGGGAGACTGAGTGACTAAGCCCAGCAAGCAATGTATGGGGCGTCGCAACCATCATCCACGAACTCGCTCATAACTTTGGACTGCTCGTAGACCCTAACGTCATCGAGAAGAAGTGGTTTCTGCAAAACGACGAAGCACTGTACCTAGATTTCTGGCCGAAGAACCTCAAGTGGAACTACTGGTCAAGCAAAGCGCCTCGGAGACCTGTATCAATCAACATCGAACCCAGCGCTCCTATTCCAATATTAGTCGACGAGCGACTTGGATACAACACACAGGCATTAGCGTTTTGTCCGTGTAGACCAAGTCCGAACTACTCTGATGCACTGAATCATTGCATGATGGCAGGGTTAGCAATGTCTCCAGTTGAGCGGCCAGAGTCTGAACAATTATTGCGGCAAATCGAGACAGCACATGCGGACATTCTTTTCCAGGACCTGTGCTTGGCGCACAATCGCGAGACGATCATAGAAGATGAGGAGATCGAAGAGGATGACGCGGGATGCGACTACTGATGGAAAGTTGGGTACAAGGCAAGACTGTCGACATGCTCGCCAGACTTCGAGTCTCCAACGACGGCTTTTTACGAGAACGTCCGATGCTAGATCTTTGTCTTAGGAGAACTGCGTCTGCAGCAAGGAAGAGATGGCAACGAACAGACGAAGGACATACAAGTATAAGTGGAAAAGACTGGTTTTTTCCTACGTGTGTGAGCTCGCGATCCGAAACCAGTACCACGTATATTCAGTGTTGTGGCGTCAAAACAGAACTTCAAGGACAGTGTTTGGAAGAACGAGACAGGAACGAGAAATCGGAAATGCCATTCTTGTGGACGCATGGCAATGTATGGAATTGCGATCGTCGTAAATGCACCTGGATAGATAGCCGTGATGGCGAATGAATTTGACCGTTGCACATTAGTGCTGACATCTTGTCACTCCATGAGTACCCTTTTTTCGGTACCTACGTGCGAGAAGATGCTATAGCACCAAGCGAAATTACTATCGCTCTGTCGTTATGCACTGCTTCGTGACAGTCGGCATTCATCATGCTCGTCTGGGCGTAACAGAGCGCGCAACGCTGATGCTGGAAGCATAATATTCTAGCATGTGACTGCTCTAATACATGCGTTGTGCGACATGTAGATGACAATGGTCTTGTAATTTGCTAAAAAAGAGGGCGGCGTGAGCGGCAGTTTCCGGATAGGCTTATCGGCGGTTTTTCGCTTCTGCGATGCGGCTTCATCTCCGCTACCTACCGAAGCAACCATTCTGTGTTCGACGAACCGCCACATTTCTCACTGAAACTTTATCTCAGAACTTTGTTTGTTGGCGTTTGGTACACTTTGAATGTGTGGTAAAAGGGTGGCGAGAAGGCGTCGCTTCCAGATCGTAAAAGCACTGCCATAAATAGCGTGGAGGCGTTGAGTACATCGTATTTGCTTCTGGCTACAGTCAGCCACGTATTTTGTTGAGATCAGATAGAACGTTATCCACAGCGCTAGCAACTTCCATCTTAGACCCTACGTCAGCAACTACCGTCACAATGGCACTGCCGTTACGCGTAACGATGTGCGGCTAAGGATCGACCGATTTGTATGCCCACGTTCCCGCGTGCAACTAGCTGCCACGGAGTGATTGTCAGTCAAAGATTGTTGTGCATTCGCACACTAAGAGTGGCTGACACGGTTCTTTTTTCGTCATAAATAAAAATTGATGTCGTAAGGATGACAGGGTCTAATGCTACGCGCAGCCGTAAGTTCGGTCAGCCGCTTGTAAAACCGACCATAAGTGATACCAAAAGTAACGGTTTATGGGCCTGTGCTGTTACCCAAAGCTTCTGTAACGGAGGCTTAGCTAGCCTACAGCACATGGATCGGCCATGTACCTTTCGGCTGAAGGACAGGGTTGAGATCAGCGACGCGCATTGCTCAAGAGCTCGGCGCAATGGCACAATTTGATTAGAAAGTTGTAGTACTCCCCGTACAAGCGTTGTCGTCCTGGTGCCATTCAATTCCTTTATCGACCCCTTGTCTCGTCGCATTCGCGGAAAAGTGAGCGCTCTCGCTTCACCAGCCATCATTCGTTTGAAAATGCTCGCTGCACAACGCTCCAGTGTTGTGGCCATCGCCACTTTCGTGGTAATGGCAGCACTATCTTTCTATGTGTTCCGCGACCAAGGCGCATTAGTGGTTGAGAGAATCACAAACCCGCCATATGTGTAAGTCAAACAAAGGTCTTGGGATAGTACCTTTTCACCAACATCTAGTGTAGATCATCGAAACCGACCCTCCGAGATACTATCACCACATTGTTTGCCTCAATAAAACACGACCCGAGTGTTTCTGGCTACGTCGATCCGTCTGGCACCTATTACAAAGGTGGAAATGAAGCAGTTTGGACAAGGCCCCTGGGCAAGAAAGTACTGATCGTGGACATCGACACGCGTGTACCGACCGGCGAGAATGAGCTTCTCAACCCAGAACGCATGGACTGGGAGAATCTCAAGACTTCAGGCGCCGGCATGGTTTCTAACTCCATCATGAATCACTACCTATACGCCATGGTCCATGGGTACGACTACAAATTCTATCAGGCGCGCGACATGAAGGATCATTACAACACGTGGATATTGCCCCACGTTCTGCGCGAGCTGATACCCGATTACCAGTTTGTGGTCGTAATGGATGCCGACGTTACAATCCCACACCTCGACGTTCCATTCGAATGGATGTTCAACCGCTGGGGCATCAAGCAGCATACGTCAATAGCTCTCCCATGGGATACTGAGGAATTTCGCGACGAAGGTTCGATTAGCATAGATGGCAAGGGGATGCGCGTCCTCAACACAGGCCTGGTGATTGCGCAGAATTCCTCCATGACATTGGATTTGCTCGAAGCGTGGCGCGATTGCACGACCGAGACACGCTACAAAGGCTGCGCGCGATGGAAAAACGAATGGAGTCATGAACAACGCGCATTCTCAGAATACATTCGTTACGACTTCAACAAGACGCCTGAAACGATCGTTAGTATACCCTGCGATGATGCAGTGGGATGGCCGGGTTTCCGCCAGGATATGTTAAACCGTCCCGGTACCGCCAATCAGGATGTATCGGATTGCAACGGAAACTTCGTTAGGCACTACACAACCATGGGTAAGAGCCGAGTCAAGGATGCGAGCGCAGTCAGCGTCATGCAGATGTTGAGCGAAGCACTGCAGAAGAGCATCTTGGCGAATCCAGGAGAAGTATGGTACAAAGAACCAGAAAAGAAGGTCGAAGAGTCAAAGCCGAAAGATCAGCCAACAGAAGTGCGGGAAGACGAGAAGAACAAATCGGACACCGATCTGGTTCTGATAGAAAGAGAAGAAAGATGATCTCTCTTCGGGGGGTTCTTGGATGAGATTTGGATTGCATAGGGACGGCGTTTTAGATACCACTGAATTGAGTTCACAACAGCGAGCTGTATATTGAAGCTGTTTTATCCACGTTAATACTGTGATCACCCAGAGACAATTCTCGTCGTACAATGTTTGTGTGCGGTCAGTGCTCTCTTTCACTCGCGCATTGAGTCTAAAACTTGCCACGACCTAGCGCACCCGGGCTAGCAAAAGCAAACCACGAGGTTCACGAAGGAAAGGCAGAAATGAAGACTCTCGGTTCAAGTGTAATTTAGGATCATCATTGGGGAAGTGGTGAATCGGAAGGCAAAGTAGACACGACGTACCTTAGTCCCCCCGCGTGCTTTGGTTTTGCGCGTCTTTGAGAATGTCGATATCGGCATGCAATTTGGTAAGATGCTTGATGAGATGTTAGGTGAGATGCTTGGTGAGCTTGACGCGTTGATGATATTGCTAGCAAGAGACTAAAGGAGGCGAGCGAAAGATGGGAAAAGGCTTAGCCGAACGCTTATGTCAGCTAGCGCGTTTGGTCTCCCCGGAGCCCCGCGAGTGCTAGGCTGCTGGGTGTCTGCCATTACCCACCGAATTTGAACTTCTCCACACATTCAGTCTACTTTTCTACAAAATCTCCTCGGGAGTGACAACTACCCAGTTCTTGTCTGCCGTAACCTCCCTACCATTAGCAATCTGCGCCTGCGTGTTGTTTTTGATTTCCTCTTGCAACTGCTCGAAGTACGCGGCCCTACGGTTAATCCACAGGTGCACACCTCCCTTCGCTACGTCCACGCCGTGGAACTGCATGTACGAATCGCTGCCGGGAGTATCACCACCAACCAAGACAGGGCGTTTCCATTGATCGATGTAGGTAAGAATAGCGGCCCATTTACCGGCGAACCACGTGGCAGGGGTCCAGAGGTACGGAGTTACAACCAGGTCGAGATTGGCGGTCTCGTTGTAGGTGCCTTCTGTAATCTGCTTGCGTGCGTTCGTGAGCGCACCTGAGGTAGTGTTCTTCAGAACGGTGGTGACGCCAATGACGTTTTGAGGTGGGACGTTGTATCCATACTTCGGGTCGCTGGCCACCATGCGTACAAGTTCCTCATGCGCAGCGCTCATAACATACACAGCGATACCGTTGTCCATGAGAGCGTTGTAAAGTTCGACCTGGCCTTGGAAAACCTTTGGCGGGTTGACGCTGCTGGATGTGACCTCATCGCCGTCCCAGTACTTTGTCGGAATCGTTGAGTTGTACGCCATGAGTTCATCCACGTACGTCTTGAGTTCCCGCAACGTAAAGCCGGACCAGACCTGCGCTACCCAGGGATAGCAGATGAAGTCGTCGATCTCGCACAAGCGGTTGTAGTAGCTGTACAAAGATTCGGTAAAGTTGGCCGTATCTTTGAATTCAACCAACTTGAGGCTGGGGTCCAGGTTGTCGCGCGTTAGGATGCCTCGGTTCTCAAGGAAGGGAAGGAGTGATTCTTCAAGATCGTAGCGGTAACTAGTGTTGTCCATATCAAAGACCGCATAGTTGCTCTGATTCGCGTTCTTCGCGATCATGTTGGAAAGAGCGGTCGCAGCTTCGACAGGCCAGTGCTTGAATTGAACCTTCGGAGGAGCGCCATACTGGGGCGTAGCCGAGCTGAGAGAAGTTGTGAATGCGAGCCATGCAGCTGTCTTGAGGGGAGTTGGCGACCACATTTTCTATCTATTACCAGCTGTTCAGGCACCCAAATAAAATGGACGAGGACAGGGAGCGAAAGAGTGAGGATACAGAACCAAACCTTCGGGGATGCTGGGGTTCTACAAGAAATAGTTCGGGGCTAGGATGTGTGAACCCTGGCGCGTGAATACCGCCGACGTGAACAACCGAGATAAAGGTCCCACACTTGCGATTCAAGGTCGGGCCTACCTTGAGGAAAACCATGATTCCAATGGTTGCGCTATCTTCAACTGAGGTGCTTTCGCGCGTTGCTTGAACCAGTAAGTGTTCGCGTGGGCATATGTACGATGACGTAGGTGAAGCTTTGTCAATAGAGTTAAGTACACGGCTTTTCCATGCCGTGCCTCTTCCGTGTTGAGCTTGGTCCTAGTTGCAACTAGCCTCCTTTTCCTTCCCAGGCACGAACCGTCGTGGATTCACATCGTTGGAATATTAGTTAGATATACTGAGTGATTTAAAATGTCTGGTATTGCATTATTGGTATCAAGCCTTTTTATTTCAACGCGATGCTTGGCATGCCCATCGTATTCATCACATTGTTCCGTCTCCTACTACCTCTAACCCAGGAGGGCAGCAGCCTTGTAGATCTGGTATGCAGCTAGTCCGAAGCCAGTAGCCCAGAAACTGCTCCTGATGAAGCTCTTAGAGTGGTCGGCGATTTGTACATACGAAACAGCGTATGCTGCCCTGACCACGAACCAAGCTGATATGAATGTGGTCAAGCCCGTTGCGTCGCCTGAGATGACCTCCCGTCCCATTCCTGTTGCGGTGGTGCGCTCGGCGATGATGCTGGCGATGATGGCAGCCGCGAAGAGGGGCATTTGTTCGATGTTGTTGGACTGGGCGTTCTCGGCTCGCTGGTATTTCTGGAAGCTGTAGATGTGTCAGTGCCTTCCTTGAGAGAGGACATATGGTGATGAGGGTGGTGAAGCCTTACACAGCATCAGGGACCTTGCCTTTTACGGCGTCAGGCGACAAAGAAGCCTTGGGGTTCGCATTGTTGACTTTGTAGCCGTTAGCGGAGAGGATGCTACCAGCGTACATGTGCGGGACCAGAGAGAAGACATAGTAGGCTGGGATGGCGAGGAGCGGGTAGTTGAGCGAGTTGGAAGACATTGTTGCGGTCTTTGGATTATTTTGAAGATGGTTGTTTCGAGTGGTGGTTGAATTGGCTGTGTGGGAGGAAAGAGGTAATTGCTGGTGCGGTATTGAAGGGCGCGGTGTACATGGCCGTGGATTGAACGTTGACGTAGCCATGAAATACGCTCAGGGTCCAGCGGCCATGACGCGCATCTTCACGCCAAGTATCGACATGAGATGCTCAAACATCTCAAGTTTTCCAACACAATCGTGAGAATTGTTTCAATAGCAAGTAGCCGGGCAGTGTTGTAGGTAAGTCCTGTGGCAAGGGAAGAGTTGATGCGCCTGCGGTTGGAAGTCATCTCGGAACCTATCAGATTACTCAGCCGCGCTATGATTCGTGTCAGTCTTACTGCGCTTCAACTGTCTCGTACACCTTCACAACAGCCGATTACGAGTATCGATATAGGCAAACAACATATGTAGGTTTTAGAGCTAGCTGAAACTTCTACTTATGTAGTCGATGGATGCTCCGCTTGATTGCAAATGAGCACGCGACTGGTCCCTTATTGCTGGATGCGAACGATAATACTTTCAAGGCTCATCTCACTCGAGCTAGATTCAATGTACCTCCGAGATGTGATTCCCACGGCTGACCGTCGCCGCCATACTCAAACGTGTAATCGAACTCTAACTTCGGGAGCCGACGTGTTCGTCAGTGGTGCATATACCTTAAGCCAATCGTCTCTGCAGCCCTCAGCCTGCGCCACGCATCTGAGCGCGAGCCAGCCTTCTCAACTTCGATCGCACGCTTCGCCATCATCATTCCCAGAGACTTACGGCCATTCGTTTTTGTCGCCTCTTCGTGTGTTCTTCCGGAGCTGCTAAAAACATCGTCGCGACCTACGTACCAGTAGAACAAGCTCAATACGTCAGCCCAGGCATCGTACATCGGTTTCGTGCATCTGCCGACTTTCCGATCAAGGTCGCTGTTCCAGCGGTGAGTGTTGATAACTCTAGTTATGATAGGAGGGCTGTGTAGAGAGCTGGCTAACATTCGTTAGTCGCGCTCCACGCCTGCCGTCCTCAATCTAGCAACTGCCCAGCGCCACGCCCATATGCTTTCTGCCTCACAATGAACGGTGACAGCGCCCTCAAACGAATACTACATATTGAAGAGGGCCAGCATTACTTCCTCAAACCCGGCGACGAGCTACCGTACAAACTACTACGCAATTTGGGACAAGGAGGTTGCGCCAATGTAGAAGAGGTTGAGGACCAATATACCGGTAGGGTCTTTGCCCGGAAGGTCTTTCGAATTGGTGGTTCTTCTGCTGAGAGAAAGCGGATTTTCGAAAATGAGATCAGAGTCGTTCAGCGGCTGGCCCCTCATCATCATATTACTCGAATTTTCGCTACATACGTGGGGAGGCGTGAAGTAGGTCTCCTGCTAACACCGGTCGCCAATCGCGGTTCCCTCGACGCATTTCTGCAAGATGCGCATGAGGGTCTTCTCACACCGGCCGAGCTAGACATTTTGAACAACTCCTTCGGGTGCCTTGCTAGCGGGCTAGAATTCATGCACGCTCAAAGGGTGCGACACAAAGATATCAAACCTCACAACATTCTTGTACACAATAATTCTTTGATATACACGGACTTTGGGTCGTCACTGGACTACAGTGCAAATACGCGGAGTATCACAACTGGTCGCCCTGATTCGATAACCCGCAAGTACGCTGCTCCGGAGGTGCACGATTGGTCGCCACGCAGTTCCAAAACAGACATATTCTCGCTCGGTTGTGTCTACCTTGAGATCCTCAGCGCACTTTTCCTTGGCCCATTAGACGTGGACATGACCCCCTATCGGGATCATACTGAAGCGATCCTCGCGCTCATGCGAACAACTAGTCCTAGCTGTGATACTTGGATCCGGGTTGTTATTGAAACAGCTTGTCAAATGCTCAACATCGAGCCTGGAGCACGGCCACCTGCCGAGATGATCACGAAAGAGCTATGGATGTGCTGGCCAAACGCATTCTGTGACGGGTGTTGCATGAATCTATCGGCATACGCACAAGCAGGGGACCTGTCCAACTCGATATTTGATTCCTCAACAACTCAGTCCAGCTGGTACAGCCAGCACATACCTGTGTTTGATGACATGCACAACATGCAGCGATCAGCAACAGATGATGTTTACGAGAGCTGGATGAATAGTGCCTTGCATCAACAGCCATCAGTGCTGGAAGTAGACCAACGGCCAACAAACTCAGTGCAACAGCTGTCTGTAGGCCCTTATCGTCCAGTAGTACCTTTGTTTTACTCAGAGGACTTTGCAAACCCATGGAAATATTCATCTGCATCGGCCAATGAGCGACTAGAAGATGGTGATCTACTCTCACCCACCATATCCTTACCCAACAATTCGGTGTCTTTTTCCGCTTGGGAGCCCTACAACCTTGGAAGACCACAGCCCTCTTCCGTTCAGACGGAGCATTATCCATCCGACGTGGCAGATTCTGGCCGGTCCCCCAGACGGTGGGTGTACTAATTGTACGACAGGAAACATATGCTGAAGCATCCCGAGTCCTACAGATGTGATGTGATCGGGTGTAGAAGAACAGTGAGGGTTACTACGGTAGGGGACCTTGAACGCCATAAGAGAAGCCGGCACTGGCAGACAAATCAAAAAGGCTATCAGTGTGCAGCGAAGCAATGTAGAAATCGGGACAAAAATGGCTGCGGCTCGACAATTTCAAACAACACATTGAGCGGATGCATAGGGACGAAGATACATTTGACCTCATCAAGCGGTATGATATACTTATGCGTTTTGACGAATATGGTTAATGAGTTGCAGATCCACCTTAAATCCTACGAACGTAGCCGCAACTGTAGATAATTCGAGGTGGATCTGATTTTGACCGTAGGCACCTATTTTGCATAGGACCAGGAAATTATGAACTTCCATAATCTCGTACCACACCTCGAACCTTGATGACACTGCTGCTGCCACCGCCTCGCTGAATCGGCATGATCTATATTATGCACTCCTCGCAATCCTCATAACATCCTCCTCCAAATGCAGCCCCCTAAAATGCGTCAACACATCCGGCAGTTTCTTTCTACTTCCATCAATAGCCGGATCTCTCTTCTCCCTCGCCGCAACCCCAATCATAAAGTCCTCTTCGAACGCTTGAATCTCCACCCTCGTATCCTCCAACCTCCTGCTTTCCCCTTTCTTCAAACCCCGCACACCCGCAGGTCCCTTCCCCTCGCCCTTCATGGAGAACCAAACCTCCGCGTCACTGACCCTCTCACCCCAGGTGCCATGTGTACTACACCGCGGCGGCGTTCCCGGTTTTGGCGCACGCACATGCTTAAATTCCAACTGCGGTATCCACTGTGCGAGCAACGCCTCGCCATCAAGTTTGATGTACGCCTCTTTGAAGCACCAAAACGTGTAAAACCGTCTTAGTTTCGCATCAATGAGTAAATCCGAATCAAGCTCCCTCTGCTCTCCGTTCGGGAGCGTAACGCTAAGATGCTCGTTACGGTGACAACACCGATCGTGCCGTCCCAGAATCTCATGCGTGACCATTGTTCCATCGAGAAGAGGAAAAGGATCGACATTGTACTTGATATCAAAACACTCTTCTGTGCTGAAGATCTCAGCGTACATGTCTACCCAGCCGTCGAAGCCTTCTTCGTCAACAACGCGGTAATCGTTCCGTTCGTTGACGCAGACTATGTCTACGCCGACTTCAGCGTCGAGTTCATGAGTTGCGCAGCCTACGAGGGCGACTAGACCGGCTTGGTGGCTGATGTTGAATTCCACGGGGGCGGGCCCATGTTGCGGTGGTGTTAGTAGGGCGATTGGTTTCCCGTGTTTGGGGTCGCGTTTGCGGCCGAAAAGGATGTCTTTCCAGGGTACGTTGAGGGTTTTGTGGACGAAGAGACGTTTTAGGAGGGCGGACCCTAGGCTCATTCGCGCGTCTGCTATATGGTATTTGCGTTTTATGAGGTCTTGTTCTTCGGGGCTAACGAGGGAGAGTGCTTCTCGGGCCTGACATTTATTAGCTGAATGTTCATGATGCAGTGGAGTGAACAGACAGATTCCGAATCTGTAATCTTCTCCCCGGGCCATATCGATCGCGTATCCAACAACCAGCACGTGAGACCGTGTCCCGCTGGCTTTTCATCCTGTTCGTCGATCATGGCGCCTTCAGCTAAATCCTTGGACTGTAACCGAGTTCCGCGTCGGCTAAAGTAGGTTGACGGTTGAGACTAAACTACTAGAATGTCTATGGCCTTATAAACTCTGGAACCGTTTGCGTGGAAACAATCTTGACGTGATGTGTGACATGTAGATTCCCACATGTCATGGTCGTTCACGGGATCAGTGGGGGTCCCGAGATGTCGATGATTGAGACCAGACGGGATCGAAAGGTGGGACCGCCTTGGGGTAAGCGATCGATAGGCCTGAGCGCATGTGTGATGTGACATGTGCCCAACGGACAAGTTACCGCTTTTAGTGGGGATGAGGTTTATCGATAAAGATTTAGCATTTGCCGTCGCTTTCCGTGATATGACTGTACATTTTCTTGACGTTTCTATTCCTTATTTCCTTCTGTAACGGAGTTCTGGGAGTCTGATCAAATCTTACAATGACGGTCAAAGAAAGCAACCCAGAGGTAACGGTCGGCGTCCTTGCCCTCCAAGGCGCTTTCAGCGAACACCTCCAACTCCTCCGCGCGGCGTCCTCGAATATCCCCTCGTCACCAACCTTTCACTTCATCGAAGTCCGCACACCAGCCCAACTCGCACAATGCGATGGCCTTATCATTCCTGGCGGCGAAAGCACAACAATGTCCCTGGTAGCCGCACGTAGCGCCCTCCTCGAGCCCCTCCGCGACTTTGTCAAAGTGCAGCGCAAACCGACGTGGGGCACATGCGCCGGCCTCATATTACTAGCCGAGAGCGCAAACAGAACAAAGAAAGGAGGCCAGGATTTGATTGGTGGTCTGGATGTCAGAGTGAATAGGAATCATTTCGGGCGACAACAAGAGAGTTTCCAGGCAAACCTCGAATTGCCTTTCTTAGAGTCGACTAGCGAAACGAGCAAGACCGACCCGTACCGATGCGTCTTTATTCGCGCGCCAGTTGTAGAGAAGGTGCTACCCAGTAACAAGACGGTGGGCATACAAGAAGGGGAAAGCGAGAGGGACGATACGATTGTTGCGCCGAGCAAGACACCGGTAGATGACTTGGCGAGGAAGGAGTTGGATCGCGAGGTTGAAGTCATGGCTACGCTATCGACGAATGCGAAACCTTTACAAGAGAACCAGGAACACGATCATCCAGGTGCGGAGGACATAATAGCGGTACGACAGGGCAATGTGTTTGGATGTAGTTTTCATCCCGAGTTGACGGATGACGCACGAATACATGTGTGGTGGCTGGGAGAGGTGCTGAAGGCAGTGGAGAGGCGACAGCAGTTTGAACTTGTGGACCGGACTAGATGAGCTGCAGGTGGCGTCAAATACGACTTCAAATGGGTGGGTGTCTGACTAGCATTTGTAAAGCATAGAGACGGCGTTGAAAGATGGTAGTGAGTTTTGGGAAGGTATCTAAACTGGTATCTTTCCTCCCTGGAAGCATCTGCTTATGACTAAAAGACTAATGAGCAATGCCGAATGATAGACGCCTGACGCCTTCTGTGCAGCATTTTGAAACCCGATTAAGAATGGGTTGGGCGAACTTCCCCATATTCCTGAAAAAGCCATTTATCCCCTCCATTTCAGTACACTTGGCTGGCCTGTGGCTGTTGGATCTTGACCGCGAACCTACTGCGCTTCGTGATATTCGTCCACAGCCCTGCCGTATCCACCTCTGCCAGGATCATACTCGGCCCTGTACTCGTCGCGCACTTGACCACCGCTCTTTCCGCGTCCGTATTGCCTGCCCTCAGCGAAACCCTCATCCAGATCTGTTCTGATGACACGCTCATCGAGCTTGGTGCCGCCAATGTACTTCATGCAATCCAGCGCATCCTGATGTGTGTAGTATTCGACGAAGCAGAACCCGCATGGTGTCTTCTGGAATCGATCAAGACCCATGACCAGTCGTTTGATCTCGCCGCATTTGCTAAAAAGCTCGTGGATTTGTTCTTCGGTGGTGTAGAAGGAGAGGTTTCCGACGTAGAGGGTAGTTGCGTCCTTGAGTTTGTCTTCGGGCGAGGGAGAACGGCCGCGGTCGTCGTCACGTGTGTTACGGTCGCGTCTACGCTTCTAGAGGAAAGTCAATCTCTAGGTACTTGTTTGGTATGTTGTAGTCTACCATACCTTTGCTGTCGCATATGAACTCGGCTTGTCGAGGCGGTCAATGGTACTTCGAAGCGCCGGCATGGTGGCGTGCTCTTTATCGCAGTTACGGATAGAGCTGTGCAGAGCGACCGTTTACTGAGGGTTCAAGAGATATCGAGCGTGGTTGTGGAGTGAGTGTAAGGATTGGAAGGTGAAAGTTGAGCTCGGAGCTCCCCAGACGCGTCGGTCTTGGCACCATCTCGCGCGGCTGGAACTTTTGTTCGTCCATATACTCTTACCTTTACAAACTCACACAACTATTGCATACCCACATTTCCACTCTCTCAATTCCCCCGAGGGAGCTCTCCAACATGCCAAAAGTTCTGGGTTACACGCCAGACTGGCTCAGTCGGCCAAACCCGGGCTATCATCTGTTCGCACCGAAACAGACCAACGGAAATGGAGTCGCTGCAAAGAAACAGGAACCCGGACCACGAAAGACGATTGCAACACGGGGTTCCGAGATATTCGTTGCGGTTGGGAGCGAAATACGATGGGCGGATTTGCTCAACCTGAAGGAAGAACAACAGCCCTCATACCGAACACTCCGCGCCTCGATACCTCTACCCATCACGCGTCTTGTCATTTCCCCCAACGAGGACTACCTCGCAGTCTCCACCTCGCATACGGTACACGTGATACACCTTCCCGACTCGGCGCTGCTTCAAGCTGGCGAGGACGACGGTCCTTTAAAGCCAAAGACCTTCCAGTTGGGTCCAACTGTTCACGTTCTGGAAGAGTCGCCTGTCGCAACCACACTATGGCATCCCTTGGGCTATCATGGACGCTGTCTGGTCACTATTACAAAGGCGGGGGTAGTTCGGCTATGGGAGATCAACCGCGCCGACAGGTCTACCTTCAGTGAGCCGTCGCTCTCCATCGACCTGCCGAAACTTGCAAATGCTACCAGCGATCAGGACGATCTGAGCGCCTCCAAGTTCGGAGCTTCCAAGGGTTTCTCTCCTGACTCGGTTGAGCTCGAGGTTGCGTCGGCATGCTTTGGCGACTTTCCAGAGCAAGAAGGTGTCCATGGCTGGGCACCCATGACGCTGTGGATCGCAACAGTGCCCGGAGACGTATACGCACTTTGCCCTCTGCTACCGAGCAAGTGGCAGTTGGTCGAATCACCCGGCAGCCACACATTCCTCCAGACCCTCACGTCATCCATCAACATCAACTACGCTGAGCTCTCAGAAGACGAGACATCACCCAATGACGAATTGAAGACATCAGAGAAGCAGGTCTCATGGCTATCAGACATCTTGTACGAGGAACCTCACGTAGAGGAACGGGCGCAGGGCGACACGGTCCAGGTCTTCGCTCGCCCGCACAGCGCGCCTGCGGTGCCGTTGCTACAAGGCCCTTTCACTGTTTCACCTGAAGTAGACGATTTTGAGCTTAGCGACATGATTGTCTTCTCCCTCAAGACCCTTTCGGAGAGCGAAGAGGACGAAGCTGCAGAAGGTCTGCCTACTGCTGTCGTGTGCCTGCTCACAGACACAAGCAAGGTACACGTCTGCTTAGACCTCGAGGGTATCGTCGGGCGATGGTTACCATCTCCTGAGGACGAGATTGATGTTATAGAAACCACCGATCATGAGCTGATCATCGCGGAAACCATCACACTGGTGGAAAGCGACGATTCCTCATTCAACCAAAGCATCACGCCAGATGTGCACACCGACTTCTCATTCTTCGTATCCCACGCCACTGGGGTTTTCTACGTCTCAATGGAGCCTTGGATCAGGAAACTTGAGACTGAGCTTTCTCAGCCGCAAACCGAGGGCTCGCCTTTCCGCATCAAGCGCGTACTGGAATCGGCGAACACCTCCGTAGAGCAATACCTACAGCGACGCGTATCTGGCGACGTGGCTGAACAAGAAGTGACCGCGGCTGCCGTCATTGAAGATGGAAATGTCGGTTACCTACTTCTTACTACAGTCGATGGCGAGCCTCAAGCTGCCCTGCTCGATGCACCTGAAGACGGGCTCCCTACCCAGGAAGAGCTCGCTGAATACATGGCAACTACCGGCCCTACCAAGGAAGTGCGTCAAGCGTGGCAGCCACCAAAGGAACTATACGAACCCTTCGATCTCTACGGATCTATTAACATTCCCGCACGACACCGAGGCGCTCTCAAGGACGAGATTAGGCTATCTCCTGCGAACCTGGGGCTCCTCATGGATGTTCATCGCGTACTCTCAGCGCAGACATCTAAGCTTCAACTCGCCGTATCCGATTTGTTCAATCGTGCAACGCGACTGCAGGAAGAGTTTAGGGATCAAATTTATAGGACGTCTGAGATCGCAACCAACATTGACAGCGTCACCGGTAACGACCAAGCTGGCTCAGAGAACGGATCAACATACGGCAGCGCCAATATCGATGACCGCATGGAGAAGGCCATGGCGCGGCAAGATCGAATCAACGCTCGCTACGAAGCCCTTCGACGAAAGATGGTCAGCATCGGCTCTAGCGAGCTCAGCGAAAAAGAGAGCAACTGGATCGAAGAGTTACAGACTATGGACAGCGCCATTGATCCTTCAAGTGAGACTTTGACCGACAATGTCGATGGCAGCGAACGCCCTGCCTGGCAGCGTCTCGACAGACTCAAGGAGGTACATAAGGAGCAGGCACAACAGATTGAAGCAGCCATGAGGAACGCCAAGCAGACAAGCGAAAGTGAGCAGGCAAGGGGCACCGGTGTCAAAGTACCGAGCTATTCGAGGAAGGCGGAGAATGAGCAGGTGCAGGAGTTGATACAGCGGAACAGTTTCCTGGTTGAGGCTGCTACGGACAGGTTGAGGAGTTTGGGAATCAATGTACCCGTGGAGGGTGGAAGCTAGGTCCAAGGTGCGCATGACGAAGTTAAATGTTTTACGTATTGGCAAAGCTCAACTTTCTGGATACGATTGGTTGAAAGAGAGATTGTTGGATCATTTTTTGCTGTTTCAGTATGCGTATCAACGTAGCGATGTTTCTATTCAGCGACGTGCATCTTGTGACATTCATCAGCTTGGAGTCTGTACAGTAAGGGCCGAGTGAGTAGGGTGCAACAGGCCAAGAAATGTGGTGTCAGCTCAAGTGACCCCTTGCTTAAAGCTACCCGCGGGTAGAGATGGCCTCGAGTCTGTGAACCGAGAAGAACAATAACAAGCCAAAAGAAGGTCTGGTTTGCGCAATCGTCCAAAAGAGCCTGAGGTGACAACATTTAGGCTATACATATAACAGTGAAAGTGTCAACATGCTGCTGTTCGCAATCTTCGAGCTCGAACCTTCTATTCGCTGGCCTGTGTCAGTTGAGCGTTTACGGTCAGAGCAGGATCTCAGTACGTCTTGTCCGTAATGGCAAACAATAATGTGGGAGGAAGGAAATTGGGCGAGCAGACAGAACATGGACAGGGCATTAAGTTCGAAACTCTCTACGACAATGATTATGTCGTTGGCAACAAACTCACAGACGAGAAAAGAGCAGAACTCAACAAGAATGCCGCCGAGATCAATGAAGCGTGCGTACCTATCTCAGACCATTTGATTCGGATTTTGAAGCGTGTAGGTATGCTGATACTCTATCAGCTACTTTGAATTCATCACCGACGTCTATCAGAGCGGATGGGGCAACAAATTTCACTTCAGCGGCTACCAACCCAACGAATCCTGGGCCACAGCCGCAGCCCGCCACGAACACTACCTTGCTCTTATCATGGAATTCAGGCCCGGTATGAAGGTCCTCGATCTAGGCTGTGGTGTCGCTGGTCCCGCACGCGAAATGGCCATCTTTGCTGGAGTCCACGTCACTGGCCTCACCATCAACGACCTGCATGTCGAGCGGAGCAACGAACTGAATAAGCAAGCGAACTTGCAGGACCAAGTACACATGATCAAAGGCTCGTTTTCAGACCTACCATTTGCTGACAAAACATTCGACATGATCTTCGCCATCGAGGCGCTATGCTGTGCACCGGATCAGCATCGTGCGTATACTGAGGCCCTTCGCGTGTTGAAACCTGGGGGCAAGATTGGTATCCTGGATTGGGTTATAACGGACAAATACGATGACTCCAATGCAGACCATCGCATGATTCGGGGGAGGATCGAGAGGAATGGCGCTGTGCCGCATATGATCACGCCCAAGACCAGGGTTGCGGCGTTGGAGAAGGCGGGCTTCGAGATGGTTCATGAGGAGGATCGTGCTACTGCCAAGGCCAATCCGATACCGTGGTGGTGAGTGATTTTCCGATTTCTTGTCTCTTTGAGGGCGCTCGGTACTTATGTGATGATACAGGCACGCGATCGATTATAAGCATTGTCCGACGTGGTACGACTGGAGCTACTGTGTTCGCATGACTTGGCCGTTATACTATGCTTCTCGAATGTACATCAATACGTTGTATTTCCTAGGTCTTATTCCGCAATATGGGGTGACTGCTTCGTACACAGTTGGGGAATGTGTATACTCATGCAGAGATGGTGGGAAGTTGGGTATCTTCAGCCCGATGCATATGTTTGTAGCTCGCAAGCCTGACATAAAAAAGCCCTGAACATGTTTCTCCAGGTTCGGGAAGATCGAGGATAGCACAGAATATTAGGATTATTTCGTAGTATCGCTTTGATGTACACCTTCTCTTCTTGCGATGGCAGTGTTCCGGGAAGACTGTAGTGTCTACGCGAGAAATGACGCAGCAGTTGACCCCACGATGATGCTACGCAAAGAAAGAGCCCACAGCGTCGGCTCGGCTAGCCTAATCTAGCGCCTTCGGCAAATCGACCAGAGCCTCATCGTATGACCCCATACAAACACCATCACCAAACCCTCAGATCTCGAAGGCCAACAACCAAAATGTCTTCCAAACCAGCAGTCATATCTGTAATCGGCTCCCTCAACGTCGACCTTGTAACCCGCACACCCCGCGTCCCCGTCGGCGGTGAAACCCTAACCAGTGAATCCTTCAGCATTGGCTGGGGCGGAAAAGGCGCCAATCAAGCTGTCGCATGTGCCCGGCTCTCTCGCACCAAAAGTCAAGCTTCGTCGTCTCAGGTTTCCGATGTCGAAGTGCGTATGGTGGGTGCAGTGGGTGACGATGAATTCCACGAGGGCTTTCTAAAAGCTCTACGGGAAGATGGACTGTCGACAGAAAAAGTACAGATCTTGAAGGGAAAGAAGACCGGTGTTGCTGTTATCATCGTTGAAACTGGGTCCGGCGAGAACAGGATTATGTTTTGTCCTGGGGCGAACGGGGATGTAAAGGTTGAAGATCTTGTTGACGAGGATGCCGGTGTTGCGCTTTTCCAGCTCGAACTGCCGTTGGAGGTTGTGTTGCATAATATGAAGACGGCGAGGGAGAAGGGCGTTGAGACTGTTATCAATCCCGCGCCTGCGATTCCGTTGCCCGATGAAGCGTATCATGGATTAGGTCACCTTATTGTTAACGAGACTGAGGCGGTGATTCTGTCGGGAATCGAGAAGCCGAGTTCATGGGATGAGGTTGCGGCTGTGTTTATTGCGAGGGGGGTTAAGAATGTTATTATTACGCTGGGTGGCGAGGTAAGCTTTTCTCCAGCTTACAGCTTAACTTGTGCTAATCTGGTGTGCTTAGGGTGTATTCTATAAGACTTCGAAACAGCAGGAGGCATCTCAGCAAGGTCACATTGTACCAGCACGTAAAGTCAAGGTTGTCGATACCACAGCCGCAGGCGACACTTTTGCTGGCGCATACACAGTGGCCGTCGCACGCTGGAAAGCTATGGCCCAAGGAGCAGATTTTGATCTTGATGCTGCGATTGCGCATGCAAACAGGGCGGCTTCTATGACGGTGCAGAGGGCGGGTGCGCAGTCGAGTATACCGTGGGCAGACGAAGTACCAGAGTCATAAATGACAAAATCTGAGTCAAGCCAGCCAAACAATGTGCAGTAAACTAGTAGCAATCGACCTGCTAATTGCACCATTACATGTCATGTACTGACTCTTCATTGTTCGAACGCTCGACCATCCCACATTCTCTTCATCTCCCCGACATACATCTCTTCATTCTTCGCAAAGTGATTGCAATGTGCTGTTCCCTCAAACACAACTTCTCCAACATCCCACCCTTTCTCCCTCGCCATATCCGCATGCTCAATAACATCCTTCCAGTCCGTCATACGATCAGCCTTGCTGTACAAATAGCATATTCTCCTTCCCGCATCTTTCTCCATTCCGCAAACGAAGGTCTCGTCTAACAGCGTCCGGCGAACTAAGACTTCAGGGTACTCATACCGTCCTAATACTACACTAGCGAACAAGCCAAGAAGGATACCATGTACGAAAACATAACCCGCCGATCGCAAGACACCTGGTGGTAGAGAGAGAACCATGGCGTTGTAGGACTTCCAGTAGTATCCTGCCGCGGGTCCGGAGTCCATGATGATACCAACTAGGGGCAGAGGCAGGGAAATATGAGTGTGAAGAGCGAGGAGCAGTGCAGTGGCGGAGATTGGACCGCCGTTTGAGAAAGTGTGGAGGAGAATTCTGGGACCTTGGTGCTTCTTTGTGGTATCATCCATTGAGGAGACGGTGGTAGATGTTGAATAAGTGCATTCTTTCAACACCGCGCACACTACTTCGACAGCCGGCATGATGGCTTTCCGCTGTTTGGGATAGGAACTTGTGACTGTTGCCACATCGCTTTGTACGAGCAGGATCTTGGCATTAGGAGCGATAGTGCGGTAGGATGCGATGTACTTGTCGATATGTTTCCGAGCGGCGCCAAGCCATGTGCATAGAATGATGAGTTCGCCGGTGGCGTATGACTGCGGAGTGTAGAATGATGTACTTGAGCCGATTTTGGAGAAGGATGGTGGCGGTGGTGTGGGCGTAGGGTGTGTTGCTGTTGAGACGGTAGACATGATGGGATTCTGACGAAGCTCGAATTGATCGACAAGAGGGCTGCTAGTTCTAAGACACCGTGCTCGCTCGTACTGTTATATCAATCGGTCATTCTCGTAATGATATCCCTTGAGTTATTTGAATATGCCCGAGTTTATATCGTCATATGTTCACTAATCCACGCCAACCTCCCGAGGCTTGAAAGAGCACGCCTGGTTTCTGTGTAAGCCACGCCTGTGCCTTACATGTAAGCATGCATAGCAGGAATGTGCATGATTGAGGCGTGCCGTGCAAGAGCCGCTAACTAGGTTGGGCGGACGTTGCGAGTTCGCATACGGATGTGATTGGTCTACCACGTCTTGAGAGAATGGCTAAATGGCTATATGTACGACCTCTCTCATTCCAGGCTCAATTATTGTACCTATCTGGACGCACAGAGGGCATGATTCGCTGTGATTGAGCGAGCTGTGCGTCGTGCTTTTACATCAAACCGTAGTCGTTGTCGTCCATAGGCAACGGTTCGACCATACTGAGTTCGCCGAACTCACTACTGACTTCTTCAGCATCATAATCGTAGTCGTCAAATTCGTCTTGATGTTCATTGCCAGTGCTGTCATCTTTCGCAGTATCACTTCCTCCCAGGACAAGAACCTCGGTAACAGCAACGTCGAGACCTTTCTTCTGCAACCGAATGGCCGCATTTTCCATGCCGACATTATCGTTCAAGTCAGGTACCAATGTTGTAGTGTTACTAGGAATACTTTTCGACCTGTCCAGGAGGGGCTTGTCAGGCAGGACTGAGGTTGATGCATCAACGTTCGATAGGGGATGCTCGTGTACGCCAGCGGACACGAGAGATAGTCCAGACAGTTCGGAGTTGCGGGTTGGAGCAGCTGTCGGCACTGGTTCCGAAAGATCTATTAGAGAGTTCGAAGAGTCTTGAGTGGTGGGAACTGGTCGATGTCGACGCTCGGCCATAGGCTCCTTGGCTCGCTCATTTGCTGCTTTACGTTTGGCCTCTTTCTGTGCCCGGGCCTTCCGCTTCTCCGCCTCCTCAAGGGCGCGTTCTTGTTCAGCCACCTTGTTGAAGTCCACATCACCAAACCCAACTTTGACCAATATCGTACCAGCCAAGTACCGATACCTGTCATGTCCGCTGACCAGCTTGCTCACATCAACGTTCTCCACACCATGAACATCCTCAACCTTTTGTAGACCTGCGACACCTACTTGCAGTTTTGTTGACCGATACAGAAAGCCGAGTACATAGTCTTCCGTGCTGTAAACATTAATTATACGTCCTGCAACGACCGATCGTATTTGTCTCCAACGTTTGGGATTGGCAGGTGCAGGAGTGCCCATAAGAACAGCAGATTCAACGAGACCGAATGCATGTTGTTCTGCGAGCTCGATCAGACATGCGTATACAACACGTGCACCGACTGAGTATCCTGTGAGGGTAACGGGCCGTTTCCCTTGTACGCCGTCGATAAGAGCATGGGCAAGAACTTTACCAGCCTTGTCGGCCCGTGCAAGTGCAACACTGAAAGGGTTGTCCAAAACGCTGGCAGCTTTGACCAGGCCAAGCGGCCACAATCCTGCGTATAGCGCTCCGAGGAGCGTGCGACTGACAACAGTGTAAGTAACACCGTCGAAAGCATATCCAAAGAGCACGTCGTTAAGTGAGTTTCCGAGGCGCAGCATTGCATCAAGCTCAAAACGTAAAGCGAATGGCTCAGTGGTGCCTGAGTCGATCACCTCCCAGGGCTTACTGACATCGGACGACGAGCTTAGCCAGCCGCTGACACCAACGAAGACACGCAGTCGATGTTGTTCACGTTTTTGAGGATCACGAGCATCTTGTTCATCGGCCCAATCGAGTTCACGCTGGGTTGTCGGTCGATCAGGATCTGATACGCTTAGCTGCAAGACAATGCTTCATCCCTGACACTGGCATACCTTGAACTGGAAGGAACTCGAAGTCTTGGATTTCCTTTGCATACTGCTCCATTACACGCCCTGTCATTTTGGCGCCGTAGGCTCCGAACAATGATCCGACGAGCACCGAACTACCCGCCAACGCACCAAGGTACGTTGAAACAACCCCGAGGCCAAGTCCGCCCATGACAGTACCCAAACCCGCGGCGAGTAGGGGCGCAGCGAGACCGCCCGTAACACCGATCAGAACTGCACCGCCCACAGTTGCGAGACCAACCTTCCAGCGGCGTGACACAGCATCGTTGGACGCTTGATTCTTTGCTGTCGCCTCAGCGTCCATCTGTGAGGCAGCTGTCGCCAAAAGTCCTTGTGCAACCGACTTCTCATGCTCGCCCAGCAGATCAGCCTCCAGTTTCAGACTGCTTGCGAGACGTAGCAGCAAGATGCGCGAATATGCCGAGTATTGTTCCAAGCTCAGCAAGAGAAGCAAGAGACAATGCAAGATCAACACACGTTTCTCCTCGTCAAGAGCCAGCAGTCTGGTCTCAAGGACCTCATAGTATCCATGTGTTTTATCCTTCGGTCGTGTGGAAGTCGCATTTGCGAAGGGGTCGACGTCGTCGAAATCGATGAGCGAGGAGATGCCCTGCTTCTGTCGTTCATTTTGCTCTAAAGTTTGCTTCCGCTTCGCCTTTGCTTGCCGAACAGTCTCACCCCGAACAGAGAGGACGTCGCATATGCGATGCATAACACTCGCCCGCCATTTATCGAAGAATGTCAAGGCGCTTCGGCGCAAAGCTTGCATTTGTGTGGACTCATGCTCTTGTGATCTTTCCCTAGTAGGCGAAGGTCTTTTGGCAGTCTGTCTCGGCTCTTCAAAGCTCATGAGATCTGGTGCTGATGTCTGGGTCTCTGGTGCAGGCGGCCGGGTCGCGACGGAGGGGTTTGGTTCGGGATTGATGTATGGCTCGAAGGTGGCCGTAAGATCGTTTCGCATGGCATCTATGCTTAGGAGTACGAGGAGTGCCAATTCGACGCGTAGGGTGGGTGTCCCGAGGACCGATGTAAGCGATTCTCCTTCATCTTTGCTTGCCCTCTCTGGAGCATTTCCAGATATCGCACTGGCAAAATTTGAAAACATGGTGGCCTAGTGGAACATCAAGAAGCAGAACAAGAAAGAATACCTTCAGTGACAAGGACGGGACATTGTGAACTGCGCAAATTGATTGACGGGGCGCCTGAGTCGCATAACTCGGCCCCCCATGTTATCAAGTACAATCATCTTCCAGGGCGCACCTGGCGCCTAAACTCACACCAGGCATATCAACGCGTCGGTTGTGACCACACAATAGCCACAGGTGTTTGTGTTGTCATTTTGGTGGAATGGGACGTGTAGATCAGAAAAGCGCAGTAGATGTCGCGCAACGTGATCTCGCGACAGCTGGGATGGCTCCACTTTGGCCGGCCCGCACCTAGCGCGATTCGCCCACGTGCATGATTTTGGACAGCCGACTCCTCACTTTCCCTCTTCCCTCATACGTTTCTTCACAAGGTTTTTGTAGGGTCTCATTCTTGTATTCCTTCTATCTTGTTTCTATCATGCACTTGATTGTCAGTATGGCTTGCTCGACGCGATCATCACAGTAGGAGCTATATGCAATGCATTTTGTCTTCCGAGCGTCCCTTCGCCATTACCCTATGCTTAGGCTCATTGATGCATCTATCACACTGTACCAACCCTGGTTTCTACTGGCTCACGAGAACACCAGTCTACCGCTGTATGCGTCTGAAAATGCACGGTACATGACCTTTGTGTAGTGTCAAATCGCTGGTTTGGCAGAAAAGAAAAAGGAACAAAGGAAGCCGCTCTGGCTAAAGAGAAACCCGATCAATGGTAGAGAAGTAGCAAACTGCGCAAAATAGGAGTAGCCTAGCAGATATATGTGATTGATATGAAGAGTTTTAAATTGGCTTGTTGTGTACCGTCAATAATTAAGTGGCTTTACCGCCCATAGTATAGTTAGTCATCAGTCTACTTGCTCCTCTTGTAAATCTTCTGGAGGAAGGTCTCGAAGACCTCCTTCTTCAAGCCCTCACTCTCATCGACCTTGTCGATCTTGGCTCTCAGGTCGGCAACGCGCTCCTCTTCCCACTGCTCGTAGAACTCCTTCAGTTTCAGCTCGTGGTACAGCTCCTTGACCTTGGCCTCCTTCTGCGAGTCCTTCTGGCCGTAGTTCTCTTCTAACACTTTTCGTTGCTCAGGGGTAACCTTCTTCAGAGCCTGGTTGATCAGCCATGAGCACTTGTTGTCCATGATGTCTGTGCCGATCTTGCCGAGAACGCTGGGATCGGCAAAGGCATCAAGGTAGTCGTCCTGCGCCTGGAAGTATTCGCCCATGGGAACGAGAATGTCTTCTGCGGTTTGCAGGTTCTTTGGGGTAGCTGCACCGGCGTAGTAGAGGGCCAATGCGACCGGGAGGTAAAAAGAGTAGTAGGCAGTCTTGTAGATGACAATGAAAGTGAACTTGTCGAGACTAAAGTTGTCGAGGTTGACATCGTCCTCGGGTGCAGTCAGCAGATCGCACAGCTGGCCGCATTCCGTTTGGAATGTAACCTCGTGGAACAACTCCATCATGTCGACGTAGCTCTTCTGTTGACGGAAGTGCTTCTTCAGGAGTACGTAGATGGCCGACTCCAGCATGAAGGCGTCGTTGATAGCAATCATGCCAACCTTTGGTGCGAGGTACCAGCAAGGGCTACCACGGCGGGTCTTTGAAGAATCCATAATGTCGTCCGAAACCAGGAAGAAGGCTTGAAGAAGTTCGATCATCCATCCTAGTAAGGCAGCACGGAAGTATTCCTCTGATGAGGGATCAAGAGTCTTGTTCTGGAGAATTGAGGTAGTGTCGATAACAGACATGCCACGGTTGCATTTTCCGCCGACAGTATTGTAGTCTAGAGACTATGCGATGTGGTAAGCAAGTTGGACCCTGAATGCACTGTTTGGGATTTGGATGTACCTTGGTGAACCAATCAAGGGACTGCTGGGGCAGTTTGTATTGCTTGCAGTGCTCTTGCAGGTCAGCAACAATGCGCGGCCATACGCTTTCGAACTCTTTGAGTGTGGTAGGCATCTTGAACGGTGTGAATTGGGTATCTCTGCAGAGCAGTGTTCAAGATAGAGGGGCAGTAGCAGATGTAGGGGTGCGGGCGGTGAAGGGGTCTAATTTCCGTGGCGGTCAAAGGTTCCGCCGGGCTATTGTTTGTGCCCCACCCTACCGCTACGGGAAGCTCACCATCAACACGCGCATCGGCGGCAGCGACATCACGCGATAGAGTATCGGGCAATGACTTAAAGCGAAGACCGAGTATAGTCTTCTCAATCTCGTCGCGATGGGAACGTTATCACAGGCCGATGAGGCCCAATTGAAAGCGCAACTACAAGACGCCGTCATCGGCTGTACAGAACGGTGTCTCTATCACTCTGCGAAATGGTGAGTGCCAAGTAATTAATGTACCGACTTTTGCATGCTGATATTGACAAGGGCCGCAGAACTACTCGATTCGCTGCCCTCAGCCGACGACGATGGCTCGGATACCGACGTAGATTCCCCTATGTCAGATGCGCAACCTCCACAAACACCCAACCTCGTACGCAAAGACCCTACGGAAGCGCGTCTAGAAGCACGTGAAGCGCACAAGTTTCTTCTTGCTAAGACATACTTCGACTGCCGCGAATATGACCGATGCGCCGCCGTGTTTTTACCCGGTCCTCTACCCAAGGGCGTGTCACAGCCACCCTCTACGCCTACGGCAAAGTCGAAGCAGGGGGCCAAAGAAAAGGCGAAGATGGTCACACCATCCAAGTCCAAGCTTTCCAACGATACAATGAAAGGCATCAGTCAAAAGTCGCTGTTCCTTGCGTTATATGCAAAGTACATCGCCGGCGAGAAGCGCATGAACGAGGATAGCGAGATGATCCTCGGTCCTCAAGATGGCGGCGTTACTTTGAACAAGGAGCTACCAACGGTCGCTGCTGTTCTAGAAGAATGGTTCAAAGATCTTCCCAACAGTGGGCGGCAACCGCAGGGCTGGCTAGAGTACCTATACGGCATGGTACTGGCAAAGGGAAAGAACGAGCAACTCGCTATCGACTATCTCATCAAAAGTGTCCACCAATACACCTACAATTGGGGTGCGTGGCAGGAGCTGCAAGCACTACTGAGCACTATGGAAGAGCTCAACAACATCGTCACACGCCTACCGCAGAACCTGATGACTTTCATTTTCCACGTTACATCGTCGCAGGAGCTCTATGTAGTCAACGAGCAGATTCATACCTCACTGTCGCAAATACTGACCATCTTCCCCTCATCAGCCTTTTTGAAGACCCAACGGGCCTTGTTACACTACCACAACAAAGACTTCGACGACGCCGAACAGATCTTTTCCGACTTGCTCATATCAGACCCACATCGTGTGGATCATTTAGACAATTATTCCAACATCTTGTATGTTATGGGCATGCGACCTAAGCTTGCATTCTTGGCACAGCTTGCCACAGCGACGGACAAGTTCCGACCGGAAACATGTTGCGTGGTCGGAAACTACTACTCGCTCAAATCGGAGCATGAGAAGGCAGTCATGTATTTCCGGAGAGCTCTGACTCTAGACCGAACCTTCCTTTCCGCTTGGACGCTCATGGGTCACGAGTTCGTAGAGATGAAGAACACCCACGCCGCTATTGAGTCATACCGTCGCGCCGTCGATGTCAATCGCAAAGACTACCGCGCATGGTACGGCCTTGGTCAAACATACGAAGTGCTAGAGATGCACTCGTACGCCCTTTTCTATCATCAGCGCGCCGCTGCACTACGACCCTACGATCCGAAGCTATGGATGGCGGTCGGCCAATGTTTCGGCAAAGTGGGCAAGATCATGAACGGCATTCGATCATACAAGCGCGCCTTAGTGGCAGGCTCATACTATGATGCCGGTGTCGGTGCCTCTTTCGGCAGTGGTGAAGTTACTGGTCTCGGTGGTGGTATCCTCGATCCAGAAGTACTCTACCAAATCGCTCTGCTATATGAGAGAATAAATAACATGAACGAATGCGCGGCGTACATGGAACTGGTGCTTGCGCAAGAGGAAGGACCGGATTATGAAGAAGTGGGCTCCGAAGGCGCTGGTGGTGTTGGTGTTACTGCGACGACCAGCAAGGCCCGGCTTTGGCTTGCTCGATGGGAGTACATGCGTGGCATGTATCAGCGAGCAATGGAACTGGCGAACGAGCTTTGCCAAGATGGTGTGGAAGTCGAAGATGCAAAAGCGCTAGTGAGGGACATCAGAGCGCGTATGGAGCGTGGCGGAGGAGATGCAGAAGATTGATTTAGCACAGCGTCGCAACAATTTGGGCATTTGCAGGCGTACAGGTATGATACCCAAGCAATACTGGATCTCAACATGTATCATATATTATTACTTGATAGCGCATTGCAGGATTTCGATACATTCCTACCTCATCAATTCATTGGTGCTCGGTGCCGTCAACGTGAATGCCTACTTCCTGTACAGATGCGCTGTCCTACCTTCGCCCCACCGAGGATTTCCGCCACTTTCCTTCTCCCAGCGCTTGTCTTCGTCTTCCATCTCCCTCATCCTCGCACCTCTGTCTTTCTACTTGATCCACGTTCCTGTCTTGGAGTCTCCGCTATCTTTAGGTACCTCTTCATCTACCTTGGTGTTCCCCTTGCTCTCTTCACTAGCGTTTTTGCTACCAACTTCAGCCAAAGCCAGATCTTCGACCTCTCGCATCCGCAGCTCTGCAGTAATGTAGTTTAGCGTTCTTTGCATGTCACGCGCGTCGTGGCCACGGCAATCCAGGATGTAGAGGTGATGTGTTATGGACGTCTGGGCAGATAGCAAAGAGGGAGTTGGCGAGAGGCGGATAGCGGACGGGGTCCAGGGGTGGGGATGGACAGAGGCGTTGAGGGTTAATGAAGTAGACATCTGAGGCAGTTGGTGGTGGTTTTTGTTCTGGTGTGTTATTTGGGCAGTCCTAGAATATGGGGTTCGATATAAGAATTAGATGTGGAATGATAAGTGGGGATGTAGGTGTACGAGAGTAGAGATTGGGTTGGAAATGTTGGCTGTGGACCTGTGAAGGTTGGCTGACATGACAGGGACACACATAAGATATGTGCTGTACAGAATATAACATCCTACTTGACTAGTGTGAAGGGCCGCTCAGTTGACGATAACCTTGATCGCAAAGGTGGTCGGAAGTGACCGGTGAAGTATAGATTATTGGCGTGTGCACCTTACGCAGCCCTTTCAGATCGGACCGGTAACTAGTGAATACAAGCCAGCGTTCAACTTGAGCGGCATTCAAAGATTTCGAGAAGTGCGACATCATCGGCGAGATCGCGAGTATAAAATTTCTTGTTTTCTGCTTTTGCACTCCGCACTATCATCTTCTCGCTATCGAAGGAGCAGCTCGAAGAAGACAACAAACTACATTGCCCAAAAACGAAACAATAAAGCCCTATTCGCCCTCCATGGTCTACGAGAGGCACGGATTTCTGAGATGTACAATACCCCATCCTTGGGAAAGGTCATACATACAACGGCAAGATCTAGAAGCACTTACTATAGTACATAATGAAATGTACTACTATCTGCAGGAACGTTCTCACCACGACGACGATATTCGTAGCAGGGTTCGAGTCACAGCAAGCAGAATTCAGGAGTGGCTTGAGCAGCACGGTGCGATGATGCTCACTGGAGCAGCAAGAGGCGGTGGAAACATGAACATACAGCTGTCAGTGCCAGCACCAGCACCAGCACAACCACAGCAGGACATCATTGAGCTACAGCAAGCACAGCCACACATACAAGTTCAGCAGCCAGCCCAGCAAGATGTCATCTACCGGCAGCAGGTGCTCAACCCGACGCCTCTCGCGCGACAGTAGCCTATACAGCAGGATATTGTCTTCCGACAGCAACCTTCTATTCATCCGAGCGTCATTTACCAGCAACAACAACAGCCTCAAGTGTTCGCCATTCCCGCCCCGGCGGCTACGCTTACTTTGTCGTCTGCTCCGGTACAGAACGTCTTGATTGGTCGGATTGGAACACCAGCTTGGTCATGGGGAGACCCTAAGAGGTTCCGAACTCGTGGGTTGCTTTACTACAACGACAGTGATAGCTATTAAACTCGTTGGGTGTGCTTCACAATTGAGGGTGGACACTGTAGGACGACGATGATGGACAGTGCAACCACCTCATAAATACATATCATTTGAATGGCACAAAACTGAAAATTATGGCACTCCGTTAGGAATAACATTGCTGTCTGATACAATTTGTATCACAACAAGGAAACAGTTTTGCTCCGTGGATCTATATTTGGAGTCCGATAGGTCAAATGCGCCAATATTGATAAGAAGATCGTTGTATGATCATTCATCCAACAACGTGAATTCTGTAACGTATATGGCTACTTGATACGCCCAGATACTATGCTGGTCACGGCAAGTATTCGCGAGCATGCCTTCATGGGTAAAGATCGTGACCTCCGCATGTGGAGCTCTCGTGCCGGTCTGGCGAAACAATGCAATCTGAGAATCACAACAGTACACGCATGCTTGCGGTTGCGAATCGTGCAGTGAATACCCACATTCGTAGTCGGACTCGTGGTATAAATCATCTTCGCATTTTGCGTTCTCGTTACTATACACTACCACAATATTTTGAGTGCATCTCCATATCCGCTTCCAACAAAGCCGCCTTGTACTCCACGAAACACTAAACAGAACTGCCAATAATAACCAGAATATACGTCTAAGATGCTTGGTTCCCTGGGTTCTTCTCTCGATCTGCGTCTACATCCTTGGGATTATTTGTACATAAGTGGCCACTCGGATGCCGAGCTCATCAACATTTATGGCCAAATTGATAGAGAACTCAGAAACGGGCGCCCGGGCCTCTTTCTTTCAAACAACTTGCGGAACACGCAGGCCAGAATTCGGCGTATACTTGAGCAAAGGGGTATTTCCACCACAAATATGTCCTTGGGCTTTACTTTGGGAAGCGTGAGCACACTCCAGGATCTATCGCCATGTTTCATCATCGGACAGCCAATACAGCAGGGGGTTGTCAACATTCCAGCCCCACAGCCCAACATCACCTTTCAGACCATTCCCGCTCCTCAGCCTGCTGCTCTCCTGCCGACACCTGAACTTCCCAAGCGGATCAGAGTTCGTGATCAGTGGGGCAATATCGTCGAAGAACACGACGAGACAGAACAGGAGAAAAATGACAGGGAATATGAGGAGTGGAAGGAGAAGTTTGGCGCCAAGTAGGAGGCGCTTGACTATCTCGGTCGGATGGCAGAGTGGGTAAGTTGGTAGGGTGAGCATGACGAAGTTGAAATTTGTTGCGGATATGTAAGAAGCGAGAAGTAGTGGTTTCGTAGAGTTGGAACTATTTATCTTCCAATAAAATATCTAGCTTGGTGGAGATTGAGAGCCGAGCGATCGATTTGATGTGAGCCCAGGCTATTGTAAATTTGTGTGTGACGCCACCGTCGAATAGTCAGCGCCTACTTACGCTAATGTTCCTCATAATCGTCGCTCGAGTTTGCTGCAGTACAGATCTGTGATACTAGTTTCTCATTCAGACGTATTTGTAGTAATGTGACGCGTTGCGTGGACGCGTAGATTGATGCTTAGTGATAGTGACATCATCGGCTCTCCACGCAGCCATGCTGCTGGCTAGTGAGGAAGTCGCAGATTGAATCACGGCTTTGTTGGTACATCAGTTCCTCTCTTCACGCCTTTCGCTGGCGCTGGGAAGCCGAGCGTATCATTTCCCGACCAGATCCTTTTTGAGAGACGACCTCGGGAGTGTCCAGGACATCTACGCAATACACGTACGAACACAATTATGTCTCGACAAGCGATTGATTAGAATGCGTTTGAATTGATACTTTATGATCAATGTAACCGCCGATGCCATTCAATTGTCGAACACAACATTCGCAGTACAAAACCGCGGCTTCCCGTGCGCTTGATCTCGCCATCTCACTTCCTACACTACCGTCTATCATCATATTTATCCACATCGGCTTCCCAACCTAGTGTACCTCATAGTAGTGCAACATGTTCTTCGGACGTATTTTTTCAACTGATCCCTCCAACTCCATCGTGAGCGCCAATCACCCGGTCTCAATCTTTACCTTGATGTTGTTCGATGATGAGGACCTGATTGACGCTTTCCATCTTCTCCTGGGCGAGATACAATATAGGGAACATTACCTTATGCTGGTCAGTGGAACGGCCGGACTCATGAAGACAGCCCAAAACATTATGGAATTGGTTTTCAGAGATCACGGCGGCTGGGCTTTCCTCCGGCTAGGACAGGACCAGCAGTACTTCCTCCAGCAAATGCAGCAACAGAATCTCTTGAACCTACCGCAACAGAACTTCGCGATCAGCCAGAAACCTCAACAGTCGATTGAGTATCGCCAACAGATAGCAACACCAATGATGGGCCAAGCTCCCAGTCAGGACATCATAGAGCGCCAGCAGGGAGCCCCAATTACCAATCAACAGCAAGCATCTTCGAATCCAGACAAACACAGGTTCTTTTTTGAGAGGTTCAATAAGGATAATGAGCATAACGAGAAGATGAAGAACAGGTATGCCGACGAGTTGGCTCTCAAGGCGAGGTCGGAGTTAGAAGCTGAGGAGAAGAAGGCTGTCGAGATCGAGAAAGAGAACGCTTGTAAGCTTAAAGAGGCGGAGGAAAGACTGAAGAAGACCAGAATCGAGAACGAGAGGAAAGAAGGGATGCTAATGCGCACTGATGAAGCGGTAAGCAGGGCAGAGGAGCTGAAGCGACAAGTGCGTGAGATGACGGAAAAGGCAGAGCAGGAAAAGCGCGATTCTGAAGGAAGGATTGAAGAGCGGCGTCGGGAAGCAGCTGCAAAAAGGGATCGATATAAGCAGCGTTTGTTCGATGACTCTAGAAACCGACTAGATGAGTGGGATGGGAACAGTTATGCCTATGAGAACAGTCAGACCCAGCGCGGCTTTAACGATCGGACAATGGGACGTGGGCATGGGGAGCGTGTAGGGAGAGATACCAGGGGGAACAATTGGTACGTCGATGAAGACAAGAAGCGAGAAGAGAATTACAGGCAGCGAATGCTATTGGACAACGTAATAGCTCATGAACCTTCTCCGGCTCCACCGGAGTACATCGTTCCCGAAAGCGATGACGACTCCTCCGATAGCGACGAAGAGAAGAGGCAAGATCCATACAAGCTTATCGGTCTACCTGACAGGGAGCGAACACCATTGAAAGACATCGAAATTAACCAACGCATATTGAACGGAATCCACCAGAAATCAATTGAGGCTGCAGTGTCAGAAGTTGCGAGGAGGCATGCTGAGAAACATTTGATCGAGATCAAGTGGGCAGCAGACATTCTTTTGGATGAGATGAACAAGAGGGCTTTTGATGAGGATAGTGCCATATACCCCCACGAACAGCAAATTTGGAAGAAGAAGAGCAAGTGAATCGTTTGGAAACAAAAACACGAATGCTAACACGTATGCAGATGATTTCGGTGGTGCTGGTGGTCCAAAGTATCTCCCAGGCTGAAGGACTACAAAGCCTCCCTCTTGTTTCAGATCTTGATGTCGTTCATTCGGTCTTGTACCACCTTGAGCTCGAAAAGGCGTTAAACCAAATCAATCAATCAATTGTACCACCTTGTGTATTGTTAATGCTACTCTTTCAGTTTTTATGGGCCATAGTGGTCATAGGTCTGCTTGAAAATCTGCTATCGCCAACGCGACAAAAAAAATTACGAATCTACCCGAATAGAACACAAATAACCAACGCAGTGGTGATGAACTCATAAACATGTCACCAGCACAAGCGTTGACATCAATGATTTAGCTTCAGTAGTCATAGTCAATTGTTCTCTTGAATAGCCCACTCCTGAATACCGAAGTAGGCGACTGTCTCTCCTAGTGAAGGATTCTTCCTTTGCTTCGTAATCTTTCTCCTATTCTTCTTCCGTTTTCTATCCACTATACCTTACAATGTATCACATCAACGTCAACAGCCCGCCGGTAGAAAGCACTTGTGCAGTCTTCGAGAGCGCTACCTTACCTTCCGCAGCATTGCACACGCATGGCAGTCTTACGCCAGACGCCTATTCGCTATCACTGGAAAAAATTCCGAGCAGAGTACGGGCGTCGTCCAGATCTTCCAGATGTCCGTGCTCACCCTCTTCGCAAGCGGAGCCACTGCAAGAACGAGAGCATGAAACGATATTAATTGCTGCATGGGGCCAATACCAAACACTCAATCAGATGCGCGCCTCACCATACTACATCTGCATCAACTTACCGGTATTCTCAGATGCAATGACTGTTTCACTTCTCCCCTTAGGTCCAACACATAGTGCGGCCGCCTCTGAGAGCCCTGATGTGCAAGCCGAGCAGACGCATTCAGAGCAGCATTTGACTTTGCACGCTGTTCATCCAATACCAATGACATATCTGCGTAGCCTCGCGCATTATCAGTTATATTTCCTATATGGCTATTTGGTCAGAAAAGTATTTCGACCTGGTGGAAAGCTCGCGAAACGATTGGGTCAAACGATGGATTGTATCGGGCAAATCATACACCAGAAGCAGAGGGGAAAGCACGTATAAGCGTATGTGTGTTGTGTAAAGTAGAGCTGATCTTGCTGAACGCGTCTGTTTTGAACCGGCATCACTGTAATATGTTCGTCTTAAGAAACTTTATTTTACTTTACTCGATTTTAAGTTAACAACGCTCGACAGTGGGCTTCTCTCGTTTGCTTGATACCCTATACAAAGATTACAACACACATCGGCCAGAGTGAATGAACGACCGCCGAGGATTGCGCAGGAAGGCATGGAAGAACATTGAAGCTGTGCCTTATAGGGTACTACTCCAGATATTAGCGTTGCCCACGATGTGACGGAAGTATTGGTTCGACTTTATAAAGTGCTCGACGCGAAACTTCCGCTGTCATTAGCCACTGGTCATCTCGACCAGTAGTTCGTACACTCGGCGCTCGTCAATTCGATATGGTGCGATAGCAACATGCTCAAAGCCAGCAAACCCTTACGGTGATCTAACCTCGCAAACACACTTGTTGTACTGTGGACTCTCGCCAGCCGTACAGCAGTAGCAGCATGCCTATAAAGTCAGCAGGAACGCAGGGCTTTGCTCCACATCACCAAGTTTCTCAACTGGCCTCTCTCAACGAGTACTATCTTCCATACTGCACAGCGCGATAAAATACCAACACCAATCGCCCATCCAATTACCATTGCTGCATTATCTTACGATATGAACGAGTCAAGTATCCCACCTGTGCAGACTCTCGCGCAGCCCTCGACAGCACGTCCCCTAGTCGAGCTTCCAACTCGTCCGTCCGCATATGCTGCATCCGGTGGAGCTGATGCAAGCACTGCGCCCATTCGCTCCATACAGTTGTGGAAGTTCACCCCCAAGGATTTTGAGGAATTTGTCACCTTTTGGAGCAAGTACACCACCGATGATCTTGTCAAGTCTTCTCCCTTCTACACCAAGACGACTATCATAGTCGATCCTCGGGCGAAGGGTCAGTTTCCCGAGAAGAGTGAGATCACCGAGCGAATTATGCACGCCGTACACCCAGTTCCCCGTAAACAGCTTCAGAATCTGGGGCCGGTCTGTCTCCATAATCTAGGCGCTAAATTGGAGGAGGAGCGATGGGACGTCGACAGGACTCCTCAGTTCAACGCTCGTGTACAAGAGACATTGGCTCGCGTAGATGACGCTCTAGAGCTCATATTCCGTGTCCATTTGCCAGGCACTCGTGTCTTCAGTGGAAGGCAGCCTTTCGAATTCTGAGTGTACAATGGCGATTAAGCTGCACATGTCGGAGGGGCTATATGGAGAATGTAGTCGATGCTATTCCATAAGAATTAGTACGGCGGTATTATGTATTCAACCATCTTCTGGCTCTAGTATATCAAGCGGCCATTAATAAAGTTGAGCTCAAATGAGTCGAGAGAGACTGTGTGTTGTGGTGTACGATTCGAGCCGCCGTGAATACTCGTGAGAAGACCCTACGTAACGCATACCGCGTCTTCGTGTGTGATCGCCTCAGCTACGCACAAGGGTAACGCTAATGCAGATAGTACTATCGCAACAAGGACTTCAAGAATCAAGCGAAGAGGTAATGTATGCTTGGTGTTCTTGCTATGATATTGGGCAGCGTTGATAATTCGTAAAGCTGCGTCGACGCGTCACAACCGCGACCTAGCTTCGTTGCTAGCGCGACATGGCATCACAGGGTTCCTTTTCTCAGTCTGCTTGCTTGCTTCACCAACCTCATACCACGTACACGTATTGTTCGCTTGCACGAACCGTACGTACGAGCTGTTGCATTGTTCTCGCTTCACATTTTGCGATTTGTTTGTCTGACCACCTGCTGTCGCCGCTGGCTTCAATTACCACAGAACTTCGCGAGTACTCGCAGTGCATGTTCAATGTTTTGGTGTGCTAAGCCAACACCATCTGTGAACATGAACGCTTGAATTCTTCAATGGTTGACGATGCTATCAAGGAGATGATTGTACATGGCAGGTATATAAGTATAGTTTTCTCCTCTTAATCTACACCATCTACTAAACCCTCGAAATATCAATCTACAGATCAGCAAACTTATACAGTCTTTTGCTATCTAATTCAAGCCTCTAACGAATTCCTGAAACATGCCTTCATTCTTACGTCCCACCGCTCAACACTGTCTTGACTTCTTGTCGCATCCGAATGCGTACGTAGCGCATGATCCAATCGGTTACGATCTCTACTTCACGTTACCATTCGATTTAGGTGCCCTGTATTCCATGCGCCCTCAGGAGTTAGAGACACTTTATAACCTCTTGGATACGATGCAGCACGAAGTCGCAGAAAGTCTAGATAGCCATATTCTGGAGAATGTTCTCCAAGTGCAGTCAATCATCTTGCGCAGGCTCGAAAACGCCAGGTGTCTTGGCGATTTGGAACTACAGGGCTGGACGGCTGGTCATGGCTTCCCGGTATATAATAAATTCCAATATCCAGTCGATTTCCGTTGGGATTGGGATGTCATCGAGTTCGAAGGATTATATTCCAAATACTTCAATCTAGTACACCCTGTAAGTGCCGGCTACCTCTCCCATTCTATATACAGCACTCCTATCAGGTACATCTCCCCGCCGCCCAACACCTCGGCCAGTCGTTCGCCGTATGGAAGTGCGAACCTCGACCGTATATATTCTGAGTCTGGTAGACCCGTTATCATGTATGGAGCCACCTTTGCGAATACAAATAAGTGCTTGGAATTTTTGGATTCACTTACAGACTGCGACATTGCCTTACTCGAAGACGAAACCATACAGCTTGAAGGCGATAGCCATCTTGGCATACGCAGGATTTGGGGCCGGAATGCGAATTCGCACTTCGAGCGAGTTACGCGGGCTTCGTGGACTGACCTGAAAACCATCGAATCTACCGAAATCGAGGAACGTAATCGTCAAAACAAGACCGAGACAAAGCAGCATGCCTCAAAGCATATACATAGTTGGGAGGATTTCTATCAGTTGGGTCTGATATCATATGATATGGCTGCCGAAGCTGATGGTCTGATGTCCCGTACCGATCTGTACTTGCTCAAACTATACAAAGCTATGCGCGACCGGAGGTTATCAGAAAGGGATGCTATACAAACAGTAGCTGATATCAAGTGTATTGATCCTAACAGTCTGCCCGCGCGACCTATGCGGGCCGATCACTCGCGATGGGGCGAAGAAACGCCTACTTACGCGTTCCCAAACGAGCCCAGCTATGACACTCCCCGGGTGACCATTCGACCAGCAACACCCTATTCGATCTTTGATAACCCTGCCGAAGAACACTATATTCTGTCAGGAAGCCGTCTGGAACAAGTTCAGCATCCGGGCCAAGGTACAGAACGGCGCTCCCAAACCATGCAGCCGCGATCCAACCGGGAGATTGATCAGCATACATTCACAAAACAACCAGAGCCTCATTACGTGACGTATTTGCAAACACCATCTGTGCATCGTCAGCCTGCGATAGCCCACGAGCGTAATTCGTTATTCTCTGCTGGCCGTGAAGGCAAGCGGAAGGTACAGATCAAAGATGCTAAGAGCATGCCGGAGTCTGAGGGAAAAAAGCTTGATCGGACCTACAGCAAGATGAAGTCGCAAGCAGCCATCGACAGAGCATTAGCTGCGCATGAGATCAAGAAGGCCAAAGAACGTTCGCGCCAGAACGCCACACAGCAAGCTACCTACTTTGAAGACCATAGGCAGCAGCCTTCATCTTCTTCATCCGCCCAGGAAGCTATTATAAGAAGCGAACACACTCCTGAGACCGTTGACGAGCAAGCCTTGAATCCTCGAAACACTATGAACGGCGTCAACCCTAACGCGTGCCGGACTCGGTCGTTCCAAGAGCCAACTCGCCTCTTCATACGTCCCGGAGCAGCAACAAGATCTTCGGGTTATCATGGAGGTCTGAAGGACTTGGCCCAGTCGGATCCTCATCGATCTACTTACCAAGCTTACGCTGAAGACAGCCTAGAGGATGCGCCTCGTGCTGTACTTGGCTCGTGGCGGGATATGTAAGGGGATATAGTTATGTGGCCGAGAAGAGTACGATACTAAGGGAGTGACTTGATCTGGAAATTGATATATGTGAGGTGTTAGTTCGATGGCAGCCTACTCTCCTCTCCATAACCAGCCACTACCACGGCTACCTTATCTTTGCGCCATCTCCCGCTTCGTTCCATTTAGCTCACTTCATTCTCCTGTCAGTCCCGTCGACGACGCGGCATCAACTTCACTACATGTAACATGAAGCAATTCACTAGCAATGCTTTACTCCAAAGCCCTACATGCTACAAAACTCACATGTACAATCTACTCACTTAACCAGCAACTGACCTGTGATTCCACACCCAACCGGGTACTAACCTGCTCACCCAAAACCAACAGCGCATCACCTCCACCCCACTAAATGTCTTTCTTGAATCATGCCCTCGACGCCGTGTCCTCTCTTCTCCCCCACGTCCCCAAACCCGCATCAAACCATCTAAACCGCATAGATGCACCACGCCAACTCCTTCAATACCATGAACCGACCTCGGCCCCAACCCACCCCCTCCCCGACACTCTTCTTACCCTACGCACCCGCATCGTAATCCCCCTCTTCTCCACCCTAGGCATGGAACAGACGCACGCTTACTACGAGGAAATCGACAGCACACCTGCGTCAACCGTCAACCAAACCAGCGCATTTAGTACTGGGTGCTGGTGGGTTGTTCATCCGGTGACTTGTGTTGACGTACTAGATTTGGGTACGAGAGTTTTAATGGATGTGAGGGTGTGGATTGAGGAGACGATGCCGAACGAGTTGTTTGTCCAAAAGGCCAAGCATGTCATGGATTTCAAGACTGCAAGACAAGAGACGTTGGAGAATGTGATGAAGGAACTCGGTAAGAGAAAAACTAAAGGGGATGTTGGAGGCGAAGAGGGGTATGTGGGGGGCTGGGAGACGGTTGGTAGTGAGAATGACGAGAAGGAGGTACTTGAAGCGAACGGTGAAGATGGGAACAATGAGCATAAGGCGGAGGAAGGGAAGAAAGCAAAGAGACTAAGCCGCAATTCTGATGCACAGTTGGAAGAAGCTGCCGCGGCTGGGCGAAGGGCTGCTGAGGAGGCGAGAGTAAAAGATGAGTACGAGTATGTGGTCTAGAAGCGATGGCGAGGGCAACAAGTCGGGAAACGAAAGCAGTCGGGTGCTTGGAAATTTCATGCAAGTTTTCATTCACTGGTTAATGCCTGGCTGAGAGAGATCTACGCTATATGGTATGTAAACATCAGATGCCAGTCCAAAAGTATGTCATGTCCAAGGAGATTCGTTGTCGTATCCTTGGCCCTCTCTCGTGTATATGAACTATCGTTGAACATATGGGAACGGGGTATCGCCAGACCAGCCCATATCCGTAAGCCATGGTATATCGGTACCATTCGTGTACCTTTCCATGGATCTACAAGCATCATATATCGTGGAGCCTCGTGTTGCGCCGGCATAGAAAGTAAAAGGTAAGAAGACAAGAGACGCGAATAAAGATCAAGGCGACAGGGGGAATCATGCTTGCTTAGAGTCGAAAACCTTGATGAAAAAAACAGAATGAAAAACTCCTCGCTATGCATGACCGGCCGTCATGTTATATAGACCGTTAACGATGTTGCGCGTATTACGAAAAACTTAAAACAAAGTCGCGCAGTCGATGGTAATAGGAATGGTCGACAGGGGTATCAATGCAGAGTCGAACACCAAATGCAGAAAAAGACATACTATGCCCTGCTCGGGTTGATGTTCTCCAGCTCGCTGCGCTGGCGCAAGTACTTGGCGGCAAGTTGATCGCCGCCCTTCATGGACTGCTCCATCCAGTGTTGTGCAACACACATCGTCATTGGGTCACTGCGGGCGGGGTCCTGTGACGCTTTCCTCTCACGGTTGAGAAGCTCAGTCTTGAAGACCTCGCTGGGCCTGGTGAGTGGCAGGACGGTGCGATGAACGAGCTCGGGTGAAGTGAGGTAAAAAATAGCAAGCTCACGCTCCGCAACTGCATCACCTTCTTTGGCAGTAATAAGAAGCATGCGCCCAGCGTCCTCCATGGTGTACTTGGATAATGGTTCGTCGGCCGGGGCCGGTGTGGTGGACGGTGCGCCTGCCTTCTCAGCAGCACCACCACTACTGGCCTTGCCTGCATCACGCTTGGAGTTCTGTGTGATGACCTCGTCAACGAGCTCAACCATGATCCGGCAGACATCTTGCTTGAGGCCAAGAGCAGCAAGACCGACATCCCAGAATGCCTTGCCTCGTGCAGTCTTGTCCAGCATCTGCGCGGGTACAAATGATGCAATGTATTGCAGGTCTCGGAACAGTGTCTTGGGTCGAATGTTAGCATCGCGGAAGAGGCCTTGGATGACTTCAACAATCATGTCTGTGCTTGGTGGTCCAACCGGGGAGCGTGCACCGTTGCGAGGTAGAGGAGAAGCGTTGCTCACACGTTCTACGTGCATGCTATGAGAGCGGCGTTCCTCGCAATTGGCGATTGCTTCTTCGAGGTTCTGTGCACGAGAAGTCTGAGTGGCTGGTTCACGAGAGCTGAGTTCCGGCATGGTGCCAAGGGTAGGCGACTGAGGAACTGGGGGAAGCGTCTCGCGGCGGTTGTTGTAAGAGCGACCTGTTCGAGAAGACAATGAAGCTATGATGAGTAGCTCCAGCTCATATAGTGCATGCAACTTGGAAAAGGGATTGGGATGCGTTTGGAATCTGCCCAAAAGCCGCCGGAAAGCAACGTTGTATGGAAACTCGAGGAGTCCTGCTTTCTTCGCCGTAGCGTTGCCAACCGAGCGTGAAGTTGCATCGCTAGAAGTCGAAGAATGCTCGCCAGCTGATTGATGAGCGTCGGACGCGCTGGCATGTTGGAATGTCGCAACAGGTGGGGCAGCTGTACCCCGCTCATTGCGGCCAAGCGTCTCCAAAGGCAGATTACGTTGATCGGGCAGCGTCTGCTTTCGAATGTTCTTCATGCTCTTCTTAGCAAGCTGCTTCTTGCGCTTGCGTTCTTCTTCGTCCCTGCGCTCGAAGACGTCGTCAAGTAGGTCACCACAGAACCATGAGTCCGTCTCACTCCCGTTGGCGAAGACCATCGTTCCGAGATCGCTCAAGAGAAGACCTGTGAGTGTTTGCTTCAGATCGAGCATGAAACGACGCTTGTCTTCGTTGACCATTGCAGATTGCTTCAGCATTACCGTACCCTTTGAAGATGATGCGGTACGTGGGCGAATGCTGGTCGCGTTGGTGGGCGACTGCGCTTGAGTTTGGAAAGGCGACCAGAAAGTAGCCACAGAGTCGATTGACAGAACAGGCGAAGAGCCGCCGAAGTAGTCATGAGAGTCCATAGGATTCCTTCCCCAGGGGCTCTGATCGAAGCTAGAAGAACCATTGCGGTTGGCTGCGGCACGTAGACTACCTTGACTTGGTCGTTGCGAAAAGTCGTGGCTACGTGAACCAGGTCGGCCATGGGTCTCGTACTCCTCATCACCAGCGATAGAAAGCGTGCCGACGCCAGTCAGGAATAAATCACCCTTCTGCCGTCCGCTCTCCAGAATCTGTTGGTCACGCTTGTATAGGTCGCTGGACCAAAGCACGGGACCGTCCAGAACACCCTCGCCAATAATCTTGGTGACGCACTTGTCGACTTCAAGACAGAAACGATGTATCCGCTCTTCGCCCTTGCAGAAGTTCTCTACGCTGTATTGCATGAGCCACTTTAGGGTGATTTGCGACTGCTCATCTGACAGCTTGTTTGGACCACCGAAATCTTGAGTAGCGGACATGAGGTCAACGAGCTGAGCTTCGTTTTGGCGTAAGAAGCTGTTGGTATTCCGCGGTTGGGAACCAGACGGGCCCCTGGTATTGAGTGTCTTCGACTGCTGCTCCATAATCTTGAGGGCAAGCGCAACGTTTCTAGCGTCCTCGTATGGCTTGGAGGTACGAACATCTGTGATATACCACATCTTGTCGCGGAGGTTCTTGAACGTGATCATCATCTCCTCAACCATGCCATCTGACCGCTCCTGGGACTGCTTGAGCCACACGAACCAAGCCTCGAACTCTTCGATAGCGTTGGCTGCTTTGCTGAGCAGGTCGCGCGGACCGCGGGAGAAGTAATTGAGAAGAGCCGCATAACCGTTCTTAACCAGTGTCGGAGAGCTGAGTCTTTTCAGACTCTGTAACGTCTTGTAGTACATGTGCGCGTTCACAAAATCGGATCGTGCTTGACACTGGTACATGGCCGTTTCAAGCATGGTGACGAGGACTGAATTATTCTCCTGCTTCTCACCGACTTGTGGATTACTGTGGCTTCTTGGAAATTGTGGTGAGCGTCGAGATGAGACGTTTCTTTGACTTGCAATCATGTTCGTAAGCTGGCTTTGGCTCTGGGTCGAATTGTATGGGTTGCGTGATCCGAGATTCTCGCTAACATTGCGTACTGGGCCGCGTCCACGTGTGCTCTTGCGGGTAGTCATCCGGTTGCTGAAGTTCTTTGATTCGCTGTCGGGCGCCAGTTCTTTCGGGATTTCATATTCTTCTACCAGTTTGGCGATTGCCTCCTTCAACTGGTGGTAGTCATTTCCAAGATCGAACCTGTTTCCACCCTCCTCGTCATCGCTGCTGTCACTGTCAGGTGAGTCCTCATCGTGTTCGTCTTCATCATCGAAGTCCTTGCGCATACGCGGCTTCAGCTGCTTTCCATCAGCGGAGATGTAAAGAACAGCCCATCGCTCTGCGCACGGATGGCATGAACCTGATGTCGCTTCGAAGCCTAGAATGCGAGTCATCTCTGAACACGCCGATCGCAGCTGTTTTCCGTATTGTTCTGTTGGTGCTGGCTTCATCTCGGTCTGGGAGTCGGTTGTTGTCGGGTTGCCGTCTAAGAGTGGCTCGCGCGAGGTCTGGTCGCTGGTCATGGAAGAAGCACTGGCACTCAGGATAGAGCTTGCATCAGTCACGGAAGCGGCTGCATTCCGGAATGGTACCGACATTCCGGACATGGAGGAAGCAGATGAAGCGAGACCAGTACGACGCTGGCTGTCATTGTCCATATGGCTAGATGATGGACGGCGCTCCGGGAAAAGCGCATTAACCAAGGTAACGATGTCTGCTGGGGAGAGGACAATAAAAGGCTGGACTTCTACAGTTTCCCTGGGTGATGTGATGGCCTTTGCAGGCAGCAAAATTGGCTTCGAGGGGGTTTTGGTGTGCTTGAACCGGGCCAAGATATTCTCGATATGTGTTCGGATCTCTGGAAGCACCGGTACTTTCTTCTGCCTGAATTCCTTGTTAGCTGATGCTTCTGGTGTGATCTAGGAGTCGGGCCATACCAGTTATAGGTCATGTCCACGACATATTTCTGCGCTCGGATGGCAACCTCCTTGAGGATCTTTATGCGGGCGTGCTCGCTGATGTGATGGCCAATCATGATGCCATGGGTCTAGCTGGTGTTAGTGTCACAAGTCTCGTATCGAAAAGGGTAAACATGCCTCAGGGTGGATGATGGCGTTCATCAGGAAGGTAGAGAATAGCCAACGTGAAACGAAAAAGTTTTGAGAAGCTCTGCGCACGTTCTTCTCGTCCTCTAGCTTCCGAAGGATGGCATTTCCAATTTCCAAGACTCCTTCTGGGATGCCACCGGCACTGGGCTCATCATCTACGACCTCGAACAAACGCTTGACAGCCTTGTCGAAGAATTCGTCTGCTGCAATAGTATCTTTAGTCGAACGTTGGACTGGCATTCCGGGTCGTGCTGCCTGCTCTTCTGGCTTCTCAAGCAGAAACTGGCCATCCTGTAGGGTCTGCATAAGATATAGCTCCAAGTTGGTCTTGCCAGGCCACTCTCGCATACCTGCCCAAACATCAAGTACAGTCCGGATGAAGTTAGGGTTGTTGTTCTTAATCAATTTGGCACAAACAGTGGCCCATACATCCGTACGACGAAGGTCCTCGGCTGAGTCGGGTCCAGACGAGTTGGCGAAAATGGTGTAGACAAGAGCAGACAACGGATCATGGCGCTGGAAAGATAGTAGGCGTTCTACTGGGCTCGTTCCTTGCTGTTGGGGCTTTTGTGAGGAAGCATTGCGGCTACGGGCGTTTGCAAACATGACGGAGTCAATAGGATCCATGGTCTGACGGAAAGACGTAAGAGAAGTGAGCTCTTGCTGCGAGAGACTGGAAATGCGGGCAGCAAGAAACTCAGGGTTGGTGCGGATTTCGGAAATGAAATCTAGAAGATTGTCCAGAATCTTGGACGGAACTTCATTCAGGAAAGTTGAAGCAGAGAGGGGCTTCTCGCTCTTCATGTTCTTGGACTTGCCAAATTCCAGATCCGGTTCCAAAAGGGCGTATTGTCTTGTGGCATCGCACGAGTTGCGAACATCGTTGAGGGCATTGTATAGGGACGCGAACGACTTCTTGTCATCTGACCGGAAGTTGTCTACGAGGGTCCGGTACGCAAGCTCTCCGCAATGTACCAGACGTGCGGAGAGGGCGCTTGAGACTAGCCATCGGTGCAGACGCACGCGGGCGTGGGTCTTGCGCTGCTCTTGGTAGCCCTGGAGGCGTATTAGGTGAGCGAGTTCGGCGAGGGAAGTGGCGGACGGTGGGATGGCTGCAGTCGGCAGGTACGAGTCGGTGTAGGAGGAAAGGTCAGCGGGCAGCAGTCGAGGCAGGCGGCCAGCGGGCGCAGACATGGAGGCGGGTATCTGGGGTCGCTGGAGAGTGTGAATAGTCTGGTGGCCATGGCGGTCGTTATCGACATCTGGCGTTCCGCCAGGTCGACTCCCCATGGTGGTCGTCAGTTGCTTGGGAGCGCGAGGTGAGGGCGACCGGGGCGGAGCCTCGGTGGGCGGGTCGTCGACTTGAGAAGTAGTCACGGCAGTGTGCGAGGGGGTGTGGCTTCTGGACGAAACATGCGTGACGGTGGGCGACACGGCTACGAGTAAGTCAGCGTCGGCTCGCCTGCCAGCTCATCGTACATGGACAGAGCAGCGCATTGATGTTCGCGCCAGCTATTGGACGCAGGACAGCTGGACGACACGACGGAATACAAAGGCCTAAGGAAAAGCACCTACGCGGAGTGTTGCCAGCCTGCGCCGGCGAGGCTGTGAGTTGGGTTCGTCTGATCATGTCGCCATGAGGGAGCCCCATGGAAGCCCTACGGAAGGTGCGGACCTCAAGAAGATGGCAGTGATCCTCTACGGCATTGCCAGATGGAGCGATGGCATTGGGAGAATAGAGACTGCTTTGGGCGCGACCTCTCCACAGCTATGGGCGTATGCGCTGGCGCGCCTTGACTCTTTAGGTGGTAATGATACAGAGTAGCGAGGCCAAGTAGGTGTGATTGGGCGCCTGTTTCGAGTCCCTGTAACAAGGGCGGGCAAGTCACGATTGCAGCTCAACGGCCCCCCTACTAATGCTAGCTATACTAATGCTAGGACCAGAAAGCGACCAGAAAGCGGTGATGGACAGCCAGCGGCGATATTCCGTGTATAGTTTCAGCGGGGGAGCTGCTTCAGATTGGTGGCCATGGCAGACCGCCAGACTTGCCCACGGCCTCACATCGCCATGGAACTGTCCAGGCGATGACTTGCAGGAACAGCACATCGCTATGGGACGAATGAGAGCCGACCGCCCAAATGCCTCAGCTCTGAAAGACCCATGGACCCTCTTTTGCCCACACGTTTCCGTAGCAAGCCATCCCCGCCTCGCACAAAGACTCGTCGACAACGCACGCTTCTGATCGGCGCCATCGTCTTTCTGTTGGAAGTTTCGGCGACGCTCTCCCGCCGCTGGTGCTGGCTCGCCATGTCGCCATAGAGAGACTAGGGTGTGGTGTTGGCCGCTTCTGCGACCACCCCTCGACGCTACCCCTCCCCTCCATCACCACGACAGACGACGCTCAACAGCAGAGCAGCTCGTAAATTCTCAAACACGCTGCTCTGGCGCATCTGCAAAGCCAAACAAAGGACGGCGTCCAGCAAATCACGTACGCGCATGTCTTCTCGCCCTCCTGACGTGACGGCCGTCGAGTGGAGTCGCGCTGCCCCTGCGCTGCCAGCGCATTCCTGTTAAAAAAGACCATGCCATGCAACATGCTGCACGCCAAAGCATCGCGCTGCACTGCTGTGAACCCATGGTTTCCCACTTCATCTCTCAGTGCATGCCTAGTGCGTAGTCAATCTCCAGATCATTCATCATTCTGCGGTGTATATGCCGTCGCCGTCCAATGAGCCTCACCGTCGCCCGGCATACTAAACTATCTGCAGCATCTCCTGCTTGGAGCTATCGATGCAGTCGCTGCGGAGCTTCGTTCCTTTTGCATGTTTGCAGCAGCATTGCGTCTGCACCTGTATCCTAGTGGGTGGCAGCTCTATCGCCATCGTAATATTACGAGATAAGAACATTCTGCGTGAGCGTTGAAATGTTACATTGGACATGTCCCCAAGTTTGAGTGTCGGAGATCGTTGTGCCCATCTGCCGGTCCTAGTCGCGTGCGAATACCCCGCCACCACGAGTTGCCGCATACAGACCGCTCCTTTCTCAGGTACCTACGGCCCACCGACGTACCCAACGGCATTTGGGCTGATGCTTACGTGCCCAATTGCTGCTAAGCGCCTATCTACAATGCAAGACATAGGAAAGTGAGGTGATCCCGCTAATCCGACACCAAGGCGCCAACGTAGCGCTCTACCGCCACTATTGTACCCGATCGATGGTCTTCGCGACTCCATCAGAGCTTGCCCTTTTGCACCCATAGTCAAGTCATGGCTTCCCTGAGTAGAGGTGCGACACGTTTCCGACTGTGCTGCACTCGTCGTTGCCACCAAATCTTTCTCCACTCGCTCTTGCTGTCAATGTCGTCGGAACCCTGCCACTCCTCCAGTCCCAATTCATCTCTTGAATTCGTGGCAAAGCTTTTGGCAGCTGACACGGCGCCGTCGTTGAAGGCCCATAGTAACAGCTCTCTCTGGAAACTACCACCTGAACCTGTGGATGTGGTCATCAGGGAATACATGTCCAACTGACGGTCCGCTGCAAAATCCTTTAACGCTTTAAGAAATGCCTCGGATGCCTGAGCGCTTGCTTCGTCGCCAGCCTTGTTCTGGAGGAACTCGATAGGCTTGACAACGGAGCTCACGCCGAGCTTCTGTCTACCCTGGTCCCACTGCTTGTAATCTTTCCGAAGTATGTCTTGCAGCTTTAGACCTCCAATGTCCTTCTTTGCTGCATTGATCTCCCTGTAGAAGCTGGTTCGGTCGAAGCTTGTCGCCAGCTGGGGGCAAAGCATAATCTTAGCTTCTAAGTACTCGACAGCCTTACGGTCATGCTCGGTCGTCTTATTCTCGTCGTTGAGATCAGCCGTATCAATAAGAATACTAGCCAATCCTAACTGGGCGACATCCGCATCCCAGCGTTTAACAAAGGCAGCATCGTTGGCCATGCTGTCACCCTGCGCATGGGCTGCCCCAGAAGATAGGGCAGACGCAGAAGCCATGTCCCATGATGGCTGGCAGTAGTTTGTGATTAAGCTAGTGCAGCTACCACTCTTCTCGATAATCCTCGGCTCCTCACCTGTGTCTTCTGGGACTTTGTTTTCATCATCATGATGGTCAATGACGCCAGCGACGCGCTCCGCATAGATCTTGCCTAGTTGACCCTGAAGAGCATTGTGGTCTACCAGAATCCATCTAGTGTTCTCAGGTGCAAGCTTCGACTGTATGTCGGATAGGGCGGGTAGGTCATCAAGCGTGATCAAGTGCTTGGACTCAATATTGGCGTGTTTGAACACGGCAAGATACTCCGGCCTTAGCTGAATATCAGAAGCTGGAATATTCGTGATTGGCACGTAAAGTGGGCTAAAGGCATTTTTGGGCGGCGACATAGACCGAATGTACGCGTATAGAATTGAACATGACATCGAATCAAGGTCTGCAATTCATGAGTTTGGAGCGCCATTGTGGAGCAGGAGTCATGCTCACCCGCAGACTCATTGCCAATGACGAATGTAATCTTCTGATTGGTTTCAATGGCGCTCCGGAGAGCGCCTCTCGCGTTTGTAAGAAAGCCCCGTAAAGAGTTTCTCGGCACTGCCATAATGGTGTTTGGCGGTGAGAGGAGTGAGAATTTCAAGAGATTGAAAGTAGACGAGCGAATGGTGTTCAAGAATGCAAGTGACGTAGAAGAAGCTCGGACCACACCCCGCGCATCACGAGAGCGGGAAGGTGCGATGACCGGACGACAGAGGGCAGTAGCAATATTGATGGAGGGAGACCAGTGAGCTCGTCGTATTGGGAATTTCGAAAAGGCAACCGCCCTAATCGCCGGATCCCAGCATCTGGCCTTGCTACCTACCCAGCACTTGGAAAGGTGCCACACGTTCATGCCGCTCCCCTAGAAGGTGTTTGTTACTGTACTGGGGCATTTGGAAATGTGATCAGTAATGTGCCTAACTGATCTCGACGCTACCTGCAGGGACTCCTCTGGTACTTCGTAACCGGCGAGCAAAGAACTGCATGATGGGCAGCATTTCGTCGCGGCTGCTCGGCATACCGTCACCGTTCTTCTTCCACTCTTTGAACTCGATATAGTCGAAAGCGTCTTTCAGCTTCATGGTAGCACTGTCGGTGACTGCAGACTTCTGATTTGCCTTGCAGACCAGCACTGGGGTCTTGCTCTTCTTCTCTAGAGCCTTCAGTGGTACCGATTGTGACAGTGGTCCGCCGATACTTATTACCCCGCCTAGTTCTTCCTCGAGCTCAGCCGCAACCTGCAGTCCGACCATGCCGCCTTGCGCGAATCCAAACATCATGATCTCTCGTCCTTTGTAGCCGCATTTCCCGATGAGGCCCTCGCGGATGACCTCATCTAGTACCAGACGTACTGACCCCTGGAGACCAGTATCCATGTCCATCTCACCAGTGCTGGAGTCAAAGATCATGTCTTCACCCCAGTGCATCCCGCCCAGATCGAACGGCACAGGGTTCGGTGCTTGTATAGCGAGGCATACTGTCTCAGGGAGGTTTAGTTGTTCCCCGAGCTTCGTGAAGGGCGCATTCGTATCGCCGAGGCCGTGCAGGAGGATCAAGATGTTCGTGGGCGGCTGCGAAGAAGGCGCTGCACAAGTTAGTCGAGGCAGAGGCGACACTAGAGAATGCGACATACGCGGCGTGATGCTCAGGGTGGCTGACGATGGGAAGTCAGCTTTGGTAGGAAGTCGGCCAGGCATGCTGTCGTGAAGATGGAGTTGTGGCTGAGCACATGGTGGATTTCGAGGCAGCAGGCATAACCACGGAGCCTCGGGAGATGCTCGCTCGCTAGCCTACCAAGCTTTTGCGGACGAGATCAAGCAACAACACATATCTCCTCACCAACCCACTAAACAGAATCCCTATTGACAATAATAGACTCTCGCTCGGTAATCTGTACCCTCAACTGTTATCAGTCGGAGCTTCTCACAGCTACCGCCCCTCAGCATCTGAGTCCAGGCGCTCTGTCATGCAAGGCTAAGCTTTACCAAGGAAGCTTGTCTCGCTTTGCCGTGCGTCCCGCCAGTCTGACGTCCACATCCTGGCCCATTACGCACGCATCTATACCGCAATAGGCTCATCATCATACTTCCAAACGTACCAACACGACACTTGGTCCACTCAGCTTGAGACGTTCGCGCGCTGGTGCGTAATGTGGCGCGAGAATCAGCTCAAGGACCCTGCGTATGCTTCGCAACTGTGCCACAAGTGGTCCCTGGATGGCTGAGCGACGAGAAAGAGAGGGGCACGATCGGCCCCGGTGAATGGTTCAATACCGTCAACAGATGCATGAATGCTGGCCGACTATGACGCCGAGTGGCAGCAGTTGGCCGCGAAAAGATACTTAAAGCCAGATCAGGTACGCCTCCAGGCTGGACACATCACTCAACTACTACATATCAAGTACTCTACTAGTAAAGCCATACCCTCATATCATTACTTCATCTTCACATCTTCACAATGGGCTTCTGGGGTACGTTTCCTATCCTGATTGTCGAAGAGATCCTGACCCTAACTTTCATCGTACAGACAAACACGAAGATAGCTACCAGCAGGTATACGAAAACGACAACTTTGACGATAACAAGGCCAGCTTGGGCCATGAGGTGATCGCCGGAGGCGCTGCTTTCGCCGGCTTCAAGGCTTTCGAGGACCACCAGCGCAAGGAGGGTAAGTGTTTCCACTCCCTTGATTCTTACTCAACGCTGACACTTGGATACAGGCAAGCCCGTATCTCATCAATTCGCCAAAGAGCTACTAGCTGGCTTCGCAGGTGCCGAGGTAAGCATCTTTGTATGAGAGAAAACCAGATGAATGCTAATTGGGTGTTTGTAGGTTGACCGTCTTGCTGAGACAAAGGGCGAGGACTGGTTCGACCGTGAGAAGGCCAAGCGCGACGCTGAACACAATGCCAAGCGCATGTACGACGAGCATTACATCCAAAACCAGGGCGCTGACCAGTACGACCCTCAGCAAAATGGTCGCCCAGAGAGATTCGAGCAGCGCGGATGGTAGCGGAGCAGAGAAGGATATGATTGGTGCAATCCTATAGACGGAACAAACAAACCAATGAATGACTAGCTCACCAACATGTACCCCGTTCCTTTTGACGAACCTCTCAGAATTGCCAACGTGTTTGGTGAATGGCGTCAGCTACAGCCATGCGTTGATATATGTAATCGGATCGGATCTTGTCCTTGGAGTGAGTGAGGGGGGTCCACAGCCTATGACGTTCGCCAATGTCGCCAATCTTGCCAAGTGCGTGCATGATTCGTGCAAATCTCCTCCGCGATACTCACACCTGAGCGTGACGGCCCTCGCATTACTTTCGAGGTGATAGAAGGTGGCATACGATCATTTTCGCGTTCACTGACACCTATCCGCGAGGTTGAAACACCATATATCGTCATCTTGTGGGGTCTGATGCAGCTACAAGAACGCGCTGTTGTGCCCTCCTTTTGTCGTGTTTCGCTATCAACGCGCCGACGACATAGTGATGAAGTTTGCGAAGTGAGACATTGCATTCAAGTATTACCAGCCACAAGACTGACTGCAATAGAGAACTAGAGCGCGATCTCGTGCCGGAGTGGCGGCTCAAGTACTTGGACTACAAGGTAATGCCGACTTCCGTTAGCCCACGTCTAGTATCGCAATTGACTGACGATGCCGGCAGGTTGGCAAAAAGAAGCTCAAAGGCATCAGTCGAGCCCTCCGCACCGTAGAAGCGACCCCACGACTTCGACGACGCGGCATCAATGTCCTCCCCTCGCCCTTGGATGCAGCCCCAAAATACACGTACCTCAATCGCGACCATGCGCGACAAGGCGAGACGGGCAATACAAGAGATCCCGAAGACTTGAGGGCCCTCGCCATAACGAACAGCCAGAGCCAGCATAGCTTGCAACAGAGAGCGCATGGCGACGGAACTGGACGCACACCAGAAGAAGAGCCATTGACACAGAGCGGGAGCGAGCAACGAGACTGGGGCAATAACTACGGCAGCTTTGGTGGAAACCTACCCGATGGCGCGCAGAGCAAGTCTACAGCCAAGGCCAAGGCACCGCCTTCTCTGAAGCTCCCTGGCGCAGCTCTAGATCCTGAGGATGTCTCCCCCCAAGTTGGTGGTGCGTCAGGCGCATCGATGCGGAGACAGAAGATAGTGACGCTTCCTCCCCCCGCGGAAAATAGCAATGAAAATGCCTTCGAGGTCGGAAAGACGGTGTCGCCCAGCAAGCATCACAGTTCGTTGCCAAACAGATACAAGAGCGTCTTCAGCCCCAAGCGCATGAACTCTCTGCCAGGACCCATCACCCAACACAAGTCGCGTCCATCAGTGCGCCGAATATTTTCGCTAAGCAACAAGACGCCTCCAGACAGCCCAGGCGATGTCCCACTCGAAGCCTATCGCGATCTGGATTTCCGGCAAGCCGAGTTCTTCAACTTCCTCGATGGCGAATTGGATAAGATCGAGGCCTTCTACAAGCAGAAAGAAGACGAGGCTACCAAGCGTCTATCCGTGCTCCGCGACCAACTCCACATTATGCGAGATCGACGTATCGACGATGTGATCAAGCGTCAAACAGATAAGATCAACGCCAAGTCCCGCAAGAAGCATGACGCAAAGTACGCCCTGAGCAACGGTCAGAACAGCAGCTCAGGTGAGGAGAATCAGCAGACCAACAAGACAAATGGAGGCACCCTCAAGGACACTTTCTTGAACCCCATAGACGCTGCGTTGGACGCCATCAATGCAGGCAAGTATGGGAAGAGCACCAAGAACATAACACAATTTGCGACACCAGCAGCACTTCAGCCCAAGGACCATCTTGATAGTCGTCGCGACTTTGCGAGACGCCCCGAGCTGCCTGATGTACCTTACCAAACAGCAAAACGGAAGCTCAAAGTGGCACTACAAGAGTACTACCGAGGATTAGAGCTTCTCAAATCCTACGCGTTGTTGAACCGAACTGCCTTCCGAAAAATCAACAAGAAGTACGATAAGACTGTCAATGCGCGACCATCATCGCGTTACATGAACGAGAAGGTGAACCAGGCCTGGTTCGTGAACAGCGATGTCATCGAAGGTCACATCAGAGCGACCGAGGACCTATACGCAAGATATTTTGAGAAGGGCAATCATAAAGTCGCCATTGGAAAGTTGCGTATCAAGATCGCACGAGCAGGCGATTACACAGACAACACGTTCCGGAATGGCCTGCTATTGTCAGCAGGTACCATACTTGGCATCCAGAGCCTCATCAAAGCAAGTCAAATAACTGACCTGCATGATCCGGACGGGAGCGTGCTTGCGATGAACACAAGCTATCTACTACAGGTAAGTCGGTGCTAATCAAAAACATGGGCAAAGCTAACGTCTACAGATTTACGCTGGATACTTCCTAATCAACTTTCTTCTTCTCTTGTTTTGCTTGGCGTGTCGGGTCTGGCACGAGTATAAAATCAACTACGTTTTCATTTTCGAATATGATACCCGCCACCACTTGGACTGGAGGCAACTCGCAGAGGTCAGTATCTATCCTATCTCTGCTGTGTCTAAAACTAACGCATGATAGCTTCCCTGTTGGACTTTATTCATGCTTGGACTGTGTATGCAAATCAACTTCCATCAGGTCGGAGGAGACAACCTTTATCTCTACTATCCAGTCATCCTTATCGGTATATCGGTCTTGCTTTTGTTCAATCCTTTGAGGATCTTCTACTTCCGCACTCGCATGTGGTTGTTGTACTCACTAGTAAGCATCCTGACTATCCCTGACAATATTCCCACTAACACATCGTCAGTGGCGCCTGTTGCTCGCCGGCATATACCCCGTCGAATGGCGAGACTTCTATCTAGGTGATATGTTCTGTTCTCTAACCTACAGTATGAGTGTAAGTCAATCAGTTCCATCTTTGGTTCTCCATGCTGACAATCCTAGGGTATCGCATTGTTTTTCTGTCTCTACGCGCATGACTGGAACAACCCTCCCCAGTGTAACTCATCTCACTTGCGTGTCACCGGCTTTCTCAGTACGTTGCCAGGTATATGGCGATTGATGCAATGTCTACGCCGCTACAAAGACACTGGAAACAAGTTTCCTCATCTGCTCAACGGCGGAAAGTACATGGCAACCATCCTGTTCTATGCCTCCATCAGCATTTACCGCATGGACCAGAAAACGTCCACCAAGGCGGTCTTCATAATGTTCGCGACTATCAACGGCATCTACACGAGCTTCTGGGACATCTACTACGACTGGAGTCTCGGTGATCCGCATGCCAAGCACCCATTCTTGAGGAAGGAGCTTGGATATAAGAAGGTGTGGTGGTACTATACTGCCATGTGCATTGATCCAATCCTGCGGTTCAACTGGGTAATGTATACTGTTACACCCCTCCAGCTACAACATTCAGCTGTCACCTCTTTCTGTGTCTCCCTCAGCGAGATCTTCAGGAGAGGCATGTGGTCCGTCTTTCGTGTCGAGAACGAGCACTGTACAAATGTTGGTCGATTTCGCGCAAGCAGGGATGTCCCACTGCCGTACTACGTACCCATGGACGCTGAGGTGGAGGAAGATCATACTTCTGGAATCCCTCGCGCGCCTACACAAATCGATGAGGAACAACCTGACGAACACCGTCCACGGACACCAACAGAGGAACAGGCTCGTCGTCCAGCTACAGCGACAGGATCAGAACTCGGACACTCTCAATTGTCCGCTCGCAAGCGCCGCGGTCCCCAAGACGAGTTCCGACCTTCACCCCTACAGCGTGCATTCACACATGTCGGTGATATCTTCCGCGACGCGCACGCTCAGGACTTTGAGCGCAAGTTGAAACCTGAACTTGGTCGTGATCCTCGTGATGCGAACAAAATGGAAGAAGACGACACAGATGACGAATCAGATAATGACGAGGAGCAAGAAGAGGTTCCAGATAGAGACGACAATGATAGCGCGGATAGCAGGAATAGTGATGCAGAACTTGAGGTCGGTAACGAGGTCGAAGACGACGAGGAACAGAGTGCACTGTCACGGATACGCGAAGACTTTGCAGTCGGCGTGAGCGGTGCGAGAAGCGACTGTACACATCAAGAGTAGTTCAAGCTGCCGGCCCACATGGCACTCAACAATACACGAATGAGTACGCATAAGATAATCATCGTATCGATGTTTTGTTGTGTCTTGAATCTAGTAAACAAACATCCACCCAACACCGTTTATCCCAACTACTTGTGCAGACTAGACCCTTTGCTAAAGCACAGCCCTAGGACTCCGTGTCCCTCACCCAGATTACCGTTCCGCGGCTTCTCCTAACCGCAATCAGTGTTTATAGAGTATTCGGCGTTCGACTGTCCTTCTAGAGGCACTTGAGCGCGCCATTCTAAGGACCGTGTTTCGTCTCCTAACGAAGTGCGCCTTTACATCCTTTGTATCACCAATATCCTCGTCCCCCTGGACATCATTCAGAAGACATGTCTTTTCCCTGCTCATTCGATGGCGAGGTTCTCATAGCACATCTATCAGCACTCGCCCATCCTCTCGTACTCGGTTCCCTTCCTCCTCTCCGCCGAACTCCAACTCCGGACCGGTGGCGTGTACTTGAACTTTGGGTCAAACGGCGCCTTGCACCTATCACAGCGGTACACTCCGTCCTTGTCGGGACCTAGTGCGATCGGCACTATGTTGGGGCATTTAGCGCAGAACCAGTCTCCCTTTGATTTGGGGCAGTAGGCGATGCTGTTTAGACAGGGGCCGTTGTGCGAGGCGGGGTTGGGGAAGTCGCAGCCAGAACAGCGGTAGGGTGTTGCTGCTGGCATTGTTGGTAGATTGGTGTGGAGGTAAGAATTGAGTTGCAACTTCACAAGCGTACAGGGACGGTGTTAGGTTTTATTATAGAAGATTTTGTGATAATTGGTGTGTACGACGAAGGCGAGTTGATTGTAGAGTTTGAAGTGCGGATGTGATTGAAGTTGTATCTTTCTTGAAGATAAGAGCTGGGAAATATAGTATTTAGGCTTGGTGATAGCTGAGTGGCAATTCTTTTGAGGTCCTTCTTTCTTTTCGACTTCGTACCGACAAGTTGCTATACATACGCAAAGCGAAGGTTTGTGCGTCGTGGGGTGGTCGGCGACGATGGTACGCACGAAGTGACAGTTTTTTTTGGGAATCTTCACCGGGGTTGTTGGATACTTGAATACTCGACTAACCTATCGCAGGCTGAGTGACTTCTCATACTCATCTTCTAAATCCCGTCGTCTCCGAAGAATCATCCCGGGAGCACATCACCCAACGTCGAATGACCTCACATCACTCAGATCGTCATTTTTTTTTCAACAGCAACTCGTGGACAGCCTCGTCCGGCCCGAGGACTCGGTCGATGAAACAGCTCTTCTTACTGTGCTGTTCCGTCTTGTTCACCTGGCGCACCGTGTCATAGGATCTTGGCGGGAAAAAGCAATCATGAAGATGACGCACAAGCCGCTGTCTCAGCCGCACTAATCGTGATACAGGTAACAAGAGGACTATCATAGATACGTGGCTGTTTCCGCGCGTCCAGATTTGCTCCGTACCACGTTTTCTTATGTTCCGTTCCACGTGGACGTCGCTCCAAGCTTTAGAGATCAACGTAGAGTGACAAATAGAATAGGTAAAGAACCTTGGAAGGTTCGAAAGTGAGGCGGTGCCATGTTCTTTTTGTATCATGTTGACGAGAATTGACGACTGCCGAGTGATTTAGAAAGCTGTCTTCGCGCATTATGATAAGTCGAGCAGTGTGCCGATTTTTGTGGTGTGGTAGGTGAGTATACAGAAAACCATATCATGCATGAGGCCTCAAATCCTCCCGAACGATACTCACGACTTTATTCTAGCCATTTCCTCGCGACCCTTCCCTACGGTGAAACCTGCAGTAATCTATACACACCAGCCTTTCATGTTCCTTTTAAAGGTTCATCTCACCCCACAAAGCTACGAGCTTGATAAACTCCCCAGCACCTCCGAACTCACCCTTGAGATCAGATGCCTTCTTCCAAGCTCCGTTATTCTCTTTAAGTCTGTTTGCCTCGTACTCGCCGACGTCCCCGAAGAGGTCAAAGAAGTCTTCACCGAAATTTCGGAACTGTTTGACGAATGCCAGCATCTGCATGCCATCCGCCCCCAAGCGCATGACCAGCTTTGAGACTCTCGTAAATAGCATCAGCATCATAGTCTTTGTTTAGCTTGAAATCATCAGATTTCTCCCACTTTTTCACCTGCTCTTGAAATAGGCTGAGCAAAGTTTTGGCCGCAGTAGGTCTGAACATAAGAGCATCGGCCACATCCATCGTCTGCATATAATTTTGGGCTCTGTCGGGATGACCGTCCATGGCGAGTTCAGTGTTGTCTCCGTCGGAGATGGCAGTTTTGGCTTCCAGGACCATGGTTTTTCGACAAGCTTGCGGTAGTCTAGGATGAAAGTTTTCAGCTTAAGATAACGGTTGTTGATAGCGGTAATCCGTGTGGCTAGATGAGGGTTTAAGCTGGACATCGTAAGATGATTGACACTGTTGAGGGATAAAGAAGGGGTTAGATAACGTGATTTTGTCTCAGGGTGTGGGGATAGGTCTTATTAGCCAACATTGCAGATGTCATGAGGTATGTCAGTTCGGAAGGTCATACTTCCAGAGTACTTGAAAGCTCAACGACTACAGTCAACATGATGACAGGAATGACATACTGTACTGCTTGGTGAATGCAGACTCCATATTCCCTTGAGTAAAGCCTTGGTTTGAGGAACTTCTAGATAATCTTCGCAGTTAGATATGGGAGTCTTGATAGCATCAAGCGGCTCCTCGATTTCTGTGATAAACTCATCCAAACACTTAATCTCGACCGTATCAAGCGCAATCCCCTTGCGCCACAGACCAGCGTATGTTTCTGACGTCCTCTGACTTCCGCTACGTTTATTCTAGTCAAATGCACCTCTATCCGCATCGACGACTTTGTTAAATCAACAGTGAATATGAACGAGTACAACGGCCTATTGCAACTGGTGGCTAAATTTCCGTCAAAATTGCGGAAGGCAGCGACTTTTCCATCTACAGCCTGACAGCAAGGCATCCGCCGTGATTACAGGTCTTACGTGAGGAGGCGGTGTCGGCGAGTGTTCAATATGCTTGGAGCAGTTGACCACAAGCCTATTGGTCCTTCGAGGGCGACGGAAATAGTTCAGCAATACCCGAAAGGTGTGTACGATGATAAGTGTTACGGTCTTGGAAGTCGTTGGCGATCCATGGGAAGCGCATGTTGGCCGAAAACTTGTTGTATACGAGTAACCGAGGATATTCGTGACTTGAGGACGATACTGATAAGGCTGAGAGCGGTGGTTGATCGGCTGGCGCATGCAACCTAGACTGGCTCTAAGTAAACATCTCACGCCGTCTTATGGCCTAGAGCATAAATCGTCTAGACCATCCATTTAGTCATACGTATCACTGTCCTCGTATCCATACTCATTTTCCATCTATACACGTCCTCACATGTTCACCGCCTTCCATCATCTTCAGTTCAGCTCTTCTCAGATCTTGGCGACTTTCTGATACATGTCGACCATCATGTGTCTGCTCAAGCCCGGATGTAAACAAGGAAACTATACGATCCGCGCGCATGCTAGTGCTCTATCGATTGATAGCGTCGACTTGGCTTGTTGTAAGCATTTGTGACATTGCTGGCATAACAAAATCGGTATAATAACGTAGAACTGAATGGTAATCTGTCGCGTTCTGCTTGGTACAAAGACGCGGAACTTGCTGGAAGAATTAGACAGAATAGGAAAAGGTGATGATGGATGCTCTAGTGCTCTAGACAAATGTCGAAATCAAGGACGTAAATAGAGCACGAGTTGACAGCACATAGCGTGGGGGTCAGTGGCTGCATTTGTCGGATAGCAGAAAACAGCTATGTTGTGGCGCCGCATAACGCTGTCATTTACGAGGTCACAACAAGAGACTCTTTCAAGGTACGTCCTGGGGGCTGGGAAGTCGCGGTCGGGACGAAGCGAGCCGACTAGACTGCTTTAAGTGGGGTCCCTGCATGGGTGTCGCAGTCATCATCGTCACGACTTTGAGTTCAGGCGCGTTGATGAAAGCGATAGGAATGGCTTGACACTGTTCAACACCGAGGTCATTCTATGTATAGTTGATTGCGATCAACGAACCATCAGGATACAAGACTCCAATCACGGGCGGCCTTACAACGCGGCGCAGAGCATAACCGCTGACTCGTGAAAGACGTGAAACCGAGATGATTCATGCTCAAACTCACAAGAACATCTAGAACAATGGAAGAGCCCCTACTTTGTATTGACAGGATAGTTAGCGCCAGGCACGGAACTGGGAGATGAGACGGATCACTGCTCATTTCGCGCACGGAAGCGAGCCATTCAAAGTGATCGGATCGATAGGCGAAGCCGCGGCTGCGCTGTTTTGTGTCATCTCGGTAGTTGTCGTGGAGAGGCCAGGTACAGCCTATAGCCCGCGGCATACGATCGTGGTTGAGAAAAGAAAACATCGTTGACGTAAATGCAGCGCCAAGCTTAGACTTGACGCGATATCACATGATCCGACCATCACCAAAATGCATTCCAGCGATGCTCGGATCCGTACCCGCACCTCAGCAACACTCCGTCACACCGCTCACGAAAAGAGGTGCGACATGTGTTGCGGGGTAGACAAAGGTGTTGACGGCGACTGGGTCTCGTGAGCCTCAGCAGATAACGCAAGCGGATGCATGTCATCTCCTTGGGCTGCCATTGGTGCGGAATGTTACTCAAAGATATGAGGGTTCGCAGAGGCTGCAGAGTAGAGTGATTTTGTGGATGGCACACAGGAAGGTGTGGCAAAGAAGGGGCGCCTCGTGACACTTGGTAGCGCCACCGAGTTCCGCGTGGGCTTGGTTTGACATGTTACTCAACAAATCTAAAAGGAACCACGATCTTTGTGGGAAATGTCCGTAGCCCTCTCAGGTCCTCGCACTGTGGAGTTTGGGCATTGCTAGCTGGATGATCGATGCTTTGGTCTTCGATATCTTTGTCGAACAAAGCAAATGGCGATATTCCATGGCCCGCGCCAGCCGTGTATGTTACGACAGCGGGAAAGTACGGTGAGCAAGCCAATAGTTGAGACAGGGTTGCTTTGCCTGCCTCAACTGCAGCACCCCTTGGCAGTCATACTCATAATGACGTATGAGTCGAACGACAAGGGTAACCCACCTCCGGCAACTCCAAGATCTGGCCTAGTAAAACTCAATCGGCGGGTTGACACCTGCAAACAGCAAATCTTGCACGCAAATTTTAAGGAGTCGGCGAGCTGGCGTGTATCGGTCCCAAATTCCGTGACCTGCACTCGTCGGAAGGGTGCTTCTAAACATGAGTTCAACGGCCGGGGGTTTTCAAGCAATCGGAATCGAGGCGGCACAAGCGAGTTTTGTGTCTGCGTCTAACAGGGAACGGCGAGGCTGCAGCACGTTAATCGTGAATGCGGGAAACGCTAGTTGGGGCACGGTGCATGTTGCGAAATCCATTGAGGGGAATCTGTCGGCCCGCGCTTGCTCTCACCTAGTGGCGCTATGATAAGCTGTTGCCCGTAAAACCTTGATTCCCATCTTCTGTTATTATGCGAAACTCCTCAACCTCCATTCCCTAGTAATCGTAATACCGCCAACATGCCTCCTGATCCAAAGGACGCGCCGTTTCCCACCAAGCAGCTCATTATTCTCGGTATGTATGGCGATTCAAGTGATGTCATTGTGATTGGAGCATTTCTAACCACCGCTTAGGAATATGCCGATTCTCCGAGCCTCTCGCTTTCAACTCTATCCTGGCCTACTCCTCCCTCATGGTCCAGGATTTGGGAATTGCCAGACATGATGCTTCTTTCTACGCTGGACTCTTGGTGTCAGCTTACGCCATCGCCGAGGCCATGACAGCCCCATTATGGGGAATGGTTTCTGATGTCTACGGCCGGAAACCTGTGGCGCTCATTGGCTTGCTCGGTGTTGCCCTGTCAAGTCTGTTGTTCGGTGTTGCGCAGACGTACTGGGTCGCGTTGCTTGCCCGCTTTGTTGGTGGTGCATTGAACGGAAATGTCGCAATTATGCAAACCATGGTCGCTGAGTCGGTCAAGAACCCAGCCCACGAGCGTAAGTAAATCGCGCAGTACCCCATTTGGCACGTCCCTCTGACCCGATACAGCGCGCGCATATGCGACACAGCCCTTCGTCTGGACGGTGGGCGGTATCATCGGTTCAGCAATGGGTGGCTTCCTCGCCCAACCAGCACGACTTTACCCCCATGTTTTCGACAAGCATGGCCTCTTCGGACGCTACCCGTATCTTCTACCTAACCTTATCGCGGCTGTCGGAATCTTGCTCGCTATCCTCCAGGGTATGATCTTCTTGGAAGAAACACTTGTCCGCGAAGAAAAGTCAGAGGGAGAAAATGGTATTGCGGACCACCATGACTACCACGACCATCTTGATACCATCAATGAGACTCCTGCAAACGAGCGAAGTCGTCTTCTTGGGCCACCCGCAAACCACCCACATGCAAACCGAGAGGCCCGAGGCTCAACCGCTGGCTCTATGCGCCACCGTGGTTCCATCGCCAGCTATACGCGCGACAGGTTGGCCTCCATATCTGTTCAAGGCAGCATTCGACAAATCCGCAAACGAGCTTCTTTCCTGGAGGAGGGCATGCCCATGCCCTTCGACCAAAGGTTTGATATCCGCCGCTCGTCTTTTGGAACCATGCATTCGATCAAGATCCAGCAGGATGTGCTACCCATGCGTGGCGGACCGACTCCGAAACCCCGAAAGACTTTCAATCGGACTGTGGTCATGATCGTTCTCGCCATGTCCATTTTTGCTTTCCATCAGATGGCTTTCATTTCGATTCTGCCGGTTTACATTCTTGATGTGCCTACGTCGAATGGCCTGGATTTCCAAGGCGGACTAGGAATGGACTTGCCCGATGTAGGAAAGTTCCTCACGGTCAACGGCTTCATCACGCTCTTCGTCCAGGGCTTCATCTTCCCTATATTTGTCGAATGGGCTGGTGTTTGGAACTCATTCATTTGGATGATCATTCTTTACCCGATCACTTACCTCATGGTACCCTTCATTAGCGCCCTTCCCAACGAGCTTGAGACCCCGGGTGTCTACGTTTCGCTTTTCCTGCAGGCGTTCTTCGGTATCATCGTGTTCCCATGCGCCCTGATTTTGATGAAGAACGCCGTACCATCGCCCCTTGTCCTTGGTCGCGTTAACGGCATCGCCATGTCGGCCTGCTGTCTGGCGAGAACAATCTCTTCTCCACTCATTGGACTGATCTACTCACTCGGAGGATCTGCGGCAGCTTGGTTCGCTCTTGCTGCTGCAGCCATCTTTGGCATGATCCAATTATTCTGGGTTCCCAAGGAGGATGTCGGTGCCGTCCAAATTGACAACGGCCTCAAAAAGGTTATGCATCATGATATGGACGAGGATGCGGTAGACGACATCTCCATCATTGAGTCTGTACGATAACAGAGCTCAAAACGATAACGAAAGCATAGTGTGAAAAGCGGTGGGTTATGGAGTAATATCTTCTCAAAACGTCTTGATATTTGACGTTGCATGGTTGTTCGGCGTTATGATTTTCGCCGACATGCTTACATCTCGGGCGCTTCTTTCTCTTTGTTCTCCACAGATGCGAGCATCTGAGCATTTTTCTTGCATAGCGGTCTGAAAAGCTCAATGCCATTTATGTCGTGTTTTGCACGAATCTCAACTTCAGGTCGCTAATGTGTGATGCTTAAGGGTCGGTCTATACTTGGCTACCGGCCCACTTGGAAAGTCCGTGCAACCCGTCTTGCTCACGCACAGACAGCTACCTACTGCAAGTCGATCCAGGCCCACAGTGGGTCCACTCCAAGGTTACCACTGGGTTGGTGCAGTTCACGGAATGGCGGACATCCGGTATAGTGATCATGACGGATCTACACAACCGTAATGAAGTAGTAAATAAGCTAGGCCGTTCAGGAGAGTAATTTTATTATGGGCCAACAGTATTGAACGAATCGGTCTGGACTTTCAAAAGAAAGATATTGAAACCGAAGAATTCGAGCGATATTACATCAAACAGAGCATCTCCCTGATGTTATCGTACCACACACAGGATTTTCTGCACTGTACATTGAACGTTCAAGATCCTTACGTACATATCAATGATATCAACTTGGTGAAGCAAATTGTGAGCGAGAACCATACAAACCATAGCGGCGACCCATCGAAGGTACACCAGGATAGGAACAAGAACCATGAAAAGCATAAAAGTAGTTCGCAGACGGTCTGAATGTTCACAAGACCACCCTGAACGGCTAAACCATTCTCCTCATCTTCTTTGTGAACATACTTCGGCAACTGCTATCTCCACTTAGGCGGCTTTGAATAATGTCCTATCACACCCTTGTTCATTTGATTCTTACCTGCGTTCCAGGCTTCGTAGCGAATTGCGGTTACTGGGTTGCGGAGCTGTTGGACCAGATGAACGTGGGTTCGTGGAGGGTTGCATTGTGGGATCTTGGTTGGGGTTGACATGGCGGGTTCGGAGAGCGCTAGTATTCTGTGATAGACTACATTAGAGGAAGCTCCGATACGGGTGTTGAACGGGAAGTGTATTCAAGCGTTATAGGTTGACGATGTATGCGCGGCATTGTCAACGATGTTCGCATGTACGTTCAATTGGTGAAGAGAGATACACAATATCGCAACATGGGATCTAGCAATATAATCGATCGCCATGAGTGAGCATTCTGTATTTGTGTTATGATTCAGGGTGTCGCGCTGCGGACAATTGTCATTTTGCAGCGTTACTATCGAGGTTGTGAGTAAACGTTGCTCGGGAATGAAGTTCGCCGGCTGTACAAAGTCCGACTCCCGGCTTGGCGGAAACCTGCATCTCTGAGGTAAGCTGACCTTTGATAGTTCACAGCTCCCTACCTTCCCCACTAATTCGTTATCGCTTGCGCTTTTGGTGATGCTTCTCTAGCAGAAGTGGCTCACTATGACGCTTGACGCAGCAGCCCGACCATGGATCATTGGGGCGACCCTTGGGCAGATAACAATGCCGACGACCAAAAGTCCCCAACGAAGAACGATGTGACCTCACCACAGCCACCGACGCTTGCGCCTGCACCAGTGCTATTGAATGGTTTTCTGGACGATGCTGGGTGGGGGAACGAGGACGACAGTTTTGGTGACTGGACTACATCATCTGGACACGATACCACTGTTGCTGCACCTACGGAGACGCGCATAGCTGAACCGAGTCCCTTGAAGAATCAAGGTGCAATTGAAGATGGGCCGCGATGGGATATAGACGAGAAACATGACGACGAGCCATCATATGGAAGAGACACGTGGGCTGGACAGATGGAGGACACATCTGATGTGGACAATGTAGCTTCGGATACGTCAGACACATCGACCACGATACAGCTGGACAAGGCTTCTGATGAAGCCTCGGTCGCTCCTTCGAATCGATTACAGCCAGACGACGACTCTTCTGCACGACCTTCTACATCCCCGTCCGAGACAAGCCGCCGTGAGGCACCTGCCGAATCACCGCGAACCTCGTTTGAGGAAGAGTCTATGAACAAGAAGCAAATTGTAGAGGAAACAAAGCCGGTGGAGGACGCCCAGACGGCAACAGCGAATGACGAGGATAGCGAAGTGGATGCCGTAAGCTCGAGCAACGATAGTACTGACGAGGAGTTTGGGACCTCCACAGAAGATACCCTATGGACAGAAGCTCCTTCTGGTCAGTCAAAGACTATAAAGGATTCTGTGGATGACTCGGAAGAGACGTTGTCAGAGCGTCCTGTTTCGCGACCTGGATCGCCGATAGCCTCCTCGACCACGACGACTGCTGCCTCGTATAACGCAGGTTCATATCAACTCGACACAGCTCTTTTCGACGATCTATTTCCCCCTGACGACGCTGCAAAGGAGCTAGGCGAGGCCCCAGACGACCCGATATATTCAACAGCTGGCCGCAAAGCTTGGTACAGGCTTACGCGCAAGCAAACCATGAGAGAATTCAATAGCGGGAACGGAGACGACAATTACATTCGGATTACATGGGCAGGTTCTGGGATTAGATCGGAAGTCAACAAGACCGTAGCAAGATGGGCCCGAGAAGACCGTCTTTCTGGCACGGGTCCTGGAGCCAGAGCTTCGTTCTACTGGGACACGCCAGCGCCCCCAGAACCCATAAACCCAAGAGGCCATTTGCGCACGAAGACCTCCGTTCCCACGCCACGAGCAGTCGAAGCTGCACCTGCAAGACAAAGCCTTCCTCCTGTGTCTGCTGACACTCCAATTGCTTTCAACTGGAGTTCCGCGACTGCTACAACAGACCCTTGGAAGCAGGATAGTCCCGGTCTGCGTTCCATATCTCCACCTATCGTATCGAAGCCTACTGCTGTAGCCAACGCACAGACCCAGGAGCTTCGCGCGGTTTCGATCGACCTTACACGCGATGTTGGGGGAACACAAGGGCAAACGTCGACTGAAACACCGGCTGTCGCAACGAAAGCAATCCCACCTCCTGAGCCAACCACGACTTCAGCAAGTCCTTGGGACGACTTCAGTGCTCCTGACACCAACACTCTCAATCAAGAACAACGTGTGGATGTGCCTACAGATGATGACGATGATTGGGGTGAGATGATATCAAGCCCTACAGCGTCTACTCCAGTCTCAGCCTTCCCAAGCTCTATACCGGCGACGCTTGACAGCACCGTGTCAACTTCAGCATCACCTCCAAAAACTCCGCCGACCCAGGATCGCTCAGCCGACGCGATGCATATCGTGCGTTTACGAAGTACCATATCGCCTACGTCGGCGATTTTTGGCCCGAAAAGTTTTGTTCCGTTTGGTGCTGAACAAGGACCTATTGGACCTGGAATCTTGAAACCGGCCAAGCGGCCTGTTGCTGTCACCCCCGAGAAGAGCAAGATCGAAGTTCCATCGAAGCCGGTTGCAGAAGTCATTCACCGGGACGAAGTAAAAGTCGATGCACCACCAGCGCACGACAAGCCCGATATAAAGGATACTACCGCCAATGAAGTCAGTTTTGTGGAGCCTAACGGCACGGAAGACGATGACTTCTCTGCCTTTGCATCCAGTACTTTGGAACCAAAACCGGCCCGGCCTAGCACACCGCCTCCACCCTCAGTGGTGTCAAATGAGACTCCTGTAGACGCATGGGCGAATGCTGATTTCTCTTTCTTTGAATCTGCTACAACTGCAAGAGCGCCTGCGCCTACCACGCGCGATCCATCAGACCCTTTCTCCGTTTTTGAGACCCCTCCGAGACCAACCAGTGCTGCATCTTCGGCAAAGACATTCACACGATCTCCTCCGCGGGATATAACTCCTCCGCCTATTCAACCGCTGACTGGAGCTACGAACGCTGCGCAACGAAGGAAGAATGAAGAAGAGCAGGTTATCAAACACATTCTGGCAGGGTTACCGGACTTGAGTTATATGTTGCGTTGATGTTATATCATGTTCTAACGGTTGTATTACTGCTATTTTCTGCATAACATATTGGCGTTTCCGGGTGCTTGGATATCCATGGTAGTCTTTGCATTGTTGAAATAGTCACAAGGTGACGTGAGAAGACCCTTCCTCCGTACATGTTCAATTCGTATATTATTATCATCATTGCTCAGATTTGCACTCGTATGCACGACCGCCCATTTTCTCTTCTTTTCACCCACCCTCTGCGCCGCTTGGCAAGCTCTTCATTTTCACTTCCATTCAAAGCGCTTCAGCCTGACTATTTCATTGCCCTTCTTGTGGTTGCCTCTGCTGGGCGACTACTGCCTTCGGCCCCCGAGCGTATATGCTCATTTGCCCCACCGCTCCATTGATAAAATCCCCCACCACTTCTTCTTCTGAACCAAGTTCTCTCACTTAACTCGAACACTACTCGAATCCCCAACATCAGCTGCTTTCAACTTCGACTTTACCATCGAATCCCTTGATACAACCAAGCGAATCACGATGCCTACTCGCGGTGGTCATGGTCCTCGGGAAGAACTCATACCAGAGGGTTTCCTCTGGCGTCCTCAAGGAGACTCATCGCCAGGCTCGCATTTTACGCGACCGAGTCAGACTCACGGCCATAGTCATCGACGGACGAAGAGCTTACGTGACCCTTTTCCCCAAGGATTTCCACAGTCTTTGCAAGACGGTAGACGATCGAACCTTCACACAAGCTACATCCCTGAGCACGCAGAGTTCATGCAATGGCGATTCCTATCACTTGGTGAATATCCCTTCGATGACGCCTACTACACAGACGACGTGCATGGGCAAGCCAAACAACGTGATGCATCTTTTTTCGATAACCCAGGCGACGGCGCCCAGTCTCATTCTCGCGTTGAAGGTTCGTCTACGTCTTTCCGACAGACTCCCTACGCCGTTGAGTCTAAGGAAGAACATTACGTGTTTGAACGTTCCCGCGGGAATGGCCATTCTCGGAGTGTTAGTGCACCCCAGAACACTACCACCCACCCCGACCACGGTGACAAGGGTGCGGAGCGCTATGCTCATATTCCTGAACACGTTCGTGAGCATCCGCGGTTCGAGGAGGCGGCGCATGCTGAGGAGATGGTTAAGAAATTTAGAGAGGGGGATCCACGGGCGGAATTATATAAGAAGCTTTTGAAGGAGATTACTGAGGAGATTAACAAAGATATCGGGGAGGAGTAGGGCTTGAGCCATTCTTTCAGGACGTGGGGGTAGGGAAGAGAAGTGTTCGATATTCAGCGGGTAAGACGATCTCACATGGAAATGATACCGGACAGATTTATGGCGAGTTTTGGTATAAAGAAGTCACACATTTTGAGGCACTTTATCTTCATTGGTGAGGGATCGTTAGTACAGTGATGTTACGGCGATGTACGTAGCGATATGGCACAGTTTTACAGCTCTTTGTATGTAGCACACTGACCATGGTGTGGAGAATTTCTAATCCCGCTACAAACTGTTTTTCATTTGTCTTGTCAAGCGACTGGTTATACGAGGCACCTAGAGTTGTCTACCTTGGCAAATCTGTGAACTTGCAGTCATATTAGCTAACTGAGTTGATTACCGTGTAATGTTTCCAGGAACCTTTAGGCGCCCAAGTCCATCGTATCCCCATCCTTCCTCCCCATCAAGCCAAAGCGCACGTCCAGCTTCTTGATTGTACCCTGCCTCAATTCTTTGGAAGGCCAACCCTCACTCGCCGACTTGACCTTCTTATCTCTCCTTAGCTGCCTCGGTATTGGAAAATTTTCTCCAGTTTTCTCATCTACCCACCCGTATATAACAAAGTCCAGATAGTACTGCTGTACATTGAGTCCTCTCCTCACACCCTCGGTGATGACCATACTCACAGCATGCTCCATCTTGATGCCATCCTCATGCCAGCCCTCAAGATTCAGCAAGCCCCACTGCTCCTCCGGAACCCCAGTATCACCTTCGTCTTCAAGCCAGGGGTGTGCTTCGACGTCAAGATCTTCGTTGAGGTACGTCTTCACGACGATATCGCTCGTGTTATCATAGTCCAACTTCAACTTCCCACTCAGTACCTTCCACAGCGTACTCAAGCTTCTCTGGCCCAGCAGCAAAGATCCTAGCTGACAAACGCCGTTGCCCAGAATAGGATCAGAGAAGCGCATATCAAGCTTTACGAAGAAGAGCTGAATGGTTATGATATCAGTGTCCGTCCATATCTCATTATCCTCGAGGAAAGAGAGACGTAGTTTCGTAGTGCTCAGTTCCATGAGTCCCCAGAACTTCATCAACGCGCCCTCGCAGCTTGCCGGCACACGGTGGCCTTCCAAGCTCAGTATTGTGAGGATGCTGCGGACTATATTCTGGCGCCAGAGAATCATGCCTACCCAGCGGAAGCCTGGTACGTCGCGCGCTAACCACTCTCGTTCGTCCATAGGTCGGAGCATGGGGTCTGAGATGCACAGGCGAGGATACAGCACCCAGCTGAAGACGTAGCCTGCAAGCGGCGCATGGTAGCGGGCATAGTCATGTATCAGGGAGACGCTGTACAGGTTCAGGCGGTAATGGAATTCTTTGTCGATGGCGTAGAGGTCGATGGTAGAAGGGTAAGGGAGACGGAGCGCGAACTGGAAGAAAAGGTTCGGGTGTCGGAGGATAGCTTTGTAGACATTGAAAGGCTGTTTTGGGGCTGATGCGCCGGTGGAAGTTTGTGTTGTGGGTGCAGAGGGTATTCCGGGACCCCAGACCTCAGCAGCGACGTTGCGACGGCGGTGTTGATGGCGGCGGAGGATACGAGGCGCGTTACTGTCGGCCATAGGTAGCCGTTGAAGTCTGCCGGTCGTTGGAGAACTTTCGTTTACTGCGCGCTTATTTTTGCCCTTGGAGCTCGGTGAGTCGATATACATCGACATCAGGCTTGGTGGACGCTGCATTGTTGTAGCGGAGTTGTGTTGTTGTTTGTAGGGGTGAGAGAAGGCCGTACCCAGGTATCTTTCAGTAGAAGACAACCAAAATATTTTACTCTCCCCTGATATAGGTTGACTTGGTGGTGAGTTTAGTAGTGTACGCGCAGCGGCGACTCTCAGCATAGTGGAGACAGAGGGGATGCGAAGTTACTATGCAGACGAAACAGTAGGATTCCCCAGGCAGCTACAAGCAAGATGCATCATATATGAATGAAGTGAAGGTGAGACTAAGGAGCTGTATCGTATCTATGAAAACGCGAGTATAATTCTGTGAAGTGATTCGAAAGCGCTCTGGCACATGCAATCAAGAAGGAAGATTTGCCTGAACGGAGATGTCAGCCTGCGAAAACCCACATGGTTGACGATGTGCTACAGAATTGGTAGGAATGACATTGTAAGGAATCGATAAGAGCATGACCATGGAGGTACTTGGTCTTAATCGGATTCCGACATCGTTTCTGTGGTTAGCACGCGACGCGTCAAGCTCTTCTGCCTATGGCGCGGTTGTCACCTAGGATGCTGTGCTCTCACATGTATACGACCTGAGTGGGTGCTGAACAGTGCTTTGGAGGACATATGAAGGTGCGTATGGGTGTATTGAAGGAGTAGGGAATATGTGAGAGACGTGACAGGGATGAGTCGGCCACGCGTCGACGTCATTGGCTGGCTCGTGCTTTATCCAACCCCCGCCTCGGCCCCTCATTGTCGTCCCTGCATATTCAGATAATTTAGTCCACCTTGAGAAAATCGCGTTTCTTACGTTACACGACGTTGATCTTCAACAGCTGATAGGGCATCGATTCGAGACCACCAAATACGGGAAACTTCCATCGCCTCCCGTACGTATCTGTTTGCCGTCCCAATCACACGCTTGCCGTCGGCGCAACTGTTGACCAGGTTCATCTAGGGCGACCTAGGCAACAACAACTCCCGACAACCGATTCGGCTGAAGTCATTCGTACAAGAACAACTGTCGCAAAGCCGTCTACATTCCTATTTACGAAAATCTTGGCCATATTGTAGTACCACGTGCATCATGGCGTCCAACCTTCTGGGCACTGCGAAATCGACGCTGCCCAACGAACTCGCTCTCCTAGTGCTCGACAATCTCGAAGACAACAACAAAGCACTATGCGCTCTTGCTCGCACGTGTCGCGGTATGCAACACCTCGCCGAGGAGCGACTCTACAAGCGAATCGAACTTCTTTCGGTAAAGAACCTTCATGCCATCATCGAAGCCTTCACATTGCGTCATGAACGCGTTCGTGCCGTACAAATACTCAAGATCTTATATCAATACAAAGACAACAGTTTGAAGGACAGCGACGAGATAAGGACAACCTTCAACGAGTGCGTAGCTCGTATGGTCAATTTGAGGGAATGGCATATTGAGAGCCCTTACGATAATTTCCACTGGGAGGGAGCTGGTGGCGAGGCTTGGGTTCATGGCGATATGCAACGTTTCCGCCGTGCACTTGACACAGCCTGTGTCGATGGCCCAATCGAGGCAGACAAAATCACGGTCGAACGCCGTTTGGGAAAGCACGTCGAGCGGACTGTCGGGTTGGGTCTTCTGGAGAGCTTGACCATTCATTCGCACGGCGCGGATACCGACTTCTGGAACCTCGATGGCTTCCATTGCCTCTTTCGGCATCCTGCACTCAAACACCTCCACGTCTCCTGCGTTGCTTTTCCGGCTTCTGAAATTCCCGAACTTGCATCACACACCCGCGCGACTCCTCTGACTTCGCTTGTCTTTGATGAGTGCGTGCTACAACCCAAAAGCTTGCTCAGCATCTTGCGTACGCCGGCACGACTAAAGACATTGACTCTCGGTGAGAACGTTTTTAATGTCAATCGTTCGAGGCAGGTTAAGCCTGTCCTGAACAAAGATCCGTGCGGGTCGCTAGGCGCTCTCTCAGCAGTTGCGCATTCACTGGAAAGCTTAACACATCTCAACCCCGGTTGGCGTATCGATAGAAGCCCCCATGTGCTGCGCAGCATACGGCCATCCGGTGACGGCATGCGCGATTTCCACCTTCTTAAATACATGGAGTGCGATACAAACTCCTTCCTGCATCAGGCAGTAGTCATGAACCGCGATCTAGCGCCACCTAGCCTGGAGACACTTCGCGTTCGCCGGCATTGGGACGTTCCTATCGACTTCTGGGATCAACCGCCTGACTTCGATCACTATGCCGCATTGCCCTCTCTGAGGACCCTCGAGTTGGTGCAATCATCCTATCTTTGGTAAGTTCTGACCCTGGTATCCAAATTCTCGTTTAGGCCATACGCTAACTCTCCCCTGCGCGGCGCACAGGCTCGACTTGTCAGACACTGATTACGTCTGCGATGATGAGCGTCTCCGCAATCGTCATGCGAAGGCATACAAGTTGTTCAAGGCCGGCATCAACCTCAAGATGATGATAGAGCTACACAAAAGCCCTAGCTTGATACCACCGTATCTCCATGACGAGCCCATCCCAATCATCGAATGCATGTACGATGCAAGCGTTGCCGGCTTCCACCGCCACATAAATCATGAAGAGACCGACGAAGGCGCTCAGATTGCCCAGGAGTCCCCGAAGGAAGCACCCGAAACGGATCAACTGGGTGATGCGGACATCAATAGGTTAAGAGGAGAGACGCGACGCGCTTTGCACGTCCTCAAGCATAAGTTTGTTAAACCCGGCCGCCGACTCGCATTCATGGACATGTTCGACTCCGATGACGAGAGTGAAGAGATGGCTGGTAGTGACGACGATTTTGAGGTCGACGACCTTGACGAAGAGGATGATATGGAGCTTGATCTTGAGCTAGATGATGATGGACACTTTGTGGATGAAGACGGCAACCACGTGTTTGAGCAAGACGGAGAGCTCTATGTTACAATGTGGGAGACAGCCACTGAGGACGAGATGGACGAGGATGGAGAAGACGATAACGACGAGATGCATGACGCGGTGGAAAGCCAACAGCAGCCTGCCAACGATGATGTGGACTAAGACAGTGTTGCGAAAGCAATCAGCATAGCTTTGGTTAGTGCTAGGGCTTAGGTTCGAGAGTCATAAAGATCATTTCGACATCTAAGCATCTCGGCAAGCAGGCTAGTCCGGAGGCAACGAGTATGGAATAGCGTTGGTACATCATAGGTGCTTAGATAGTTCATAAGATATATGCGTTGTTAGAAGCAGCATAATGGTAATCACCCGTTCCTAATTACCCTCATCTCAATGTATTCTTACTGAAAATGCAACGTCAAGCTAGTGTTTATATGTTAAACCAGCTGAAAGTGAAGGAACGCCGGGTATGTATGATGAAATGGTGCGAAATTTGTGTGCAGCCAGAGTGCTGTAATGAAAAGAAAAAAAGTCAGAAACTGCGATGACTATGTTAGCCGTTATCCCACACTCCGCGACGGTGAATAACTCACTGAGAGAAATCGCTTCATCTCGCGCATCCGAGATACTGTGACGAGCAATACGCGTTCTCCCTACTCGGTCGTTAGCACTTGATTCAATCTTCTTATTACATCCTTTCCTAATCCGGTATTCCGACGCCCCTGCCCATCCAGCACGCACGCCCAGAACCAATCTAGAGATCAACGTACCTTGTCAAATAACTTCCATCCGCCTTGGCCCTTCTTGTCTCCAATAGTGGCGGGACAAAGGGTAATGCAAGCGCAGAGACTACGTAACTTGTTGCGAGGGTGGCTTTGAGGCGGTAGTGAGGATCGCGTGGGAGACCGCGGGTCGAGTATTGCCGGATTTGGGAGAGGGCATGTGTTGAAATTGCCATTTTGTGATGTTTGGGGGAGGAGAGGTATGGGAGCAGGATATAAATCTGAACAAAAGAGCGACTTGGAAACTCGTGTAGCCTGGTTGTGGATTTGTCTTCGGGTTTGTAGATGCTTGATCAGCCTTGTGAAGATGGATGTGGGGCCGTGATGTGGTTCGGTTGTTTCGCGCGAGGTGGGGTCTTGGTCGCGTGCTTTCCGACCTTGTGTCTAAATACACTCTTTCAAGGTTTTGCTTTGGAGAATCAGTAAAGTTTGAGAAAAGATGGCTCGGCAGTGTTGCGGATATAAGTATGCTTCGACGTGGCTGCCTAATAAGACTCCGATCTTGCGGCGAGGCTTTAAGCAAGGGGGAACGAACGGTACTCACACTACGGCCGCGGGCTGGACTTCACGTGGAGATGAGCGACGTCAAGCGTATGGAGGCTTTTTGTGGAGTGCTGTTAAGGCTGCCTTGACGCTAGGAATCGTTTGCGTGCTTATATGCTGCTTTGAAAGCGTGCTTCCGGTTCCGGCTTACAAACGTCTTTCTAAAGCACAAAGGTATATTGAAAAGATGGATGGGGTACTCATGGACATCCGGTAGGTAATATCAAGGTCTTCTTATTGATGTTTATGTGGAGTATTCCGTAGCACAATTGTGCCTCAGGCTTTGAGAATCCCTTCCGGTCTGGGCGATCCAGATCACACCACAGTCGTGCGAGTACGCGCGAGCCGCCGCCTTACCACGGTAGAGGCTTTTACCGGAATACAAGGCACGTTTCTTGGCATTCATCAGCGCATTGGTGAGCAGTTGGTCACGACATCTCTAGTTCAAGTCACGAATCGATAGTTTTGCGGAGAAAGCAGTGGCTTAACGTGTCAGCAACAACGAATTGACGGTGATTGGGCAGGTTGAGTGTGGCAGGGGTTCGGCGCAAGCTCGCCGCAGCTTCTCTTTCTGATTCCACGCAACGCCGCACCCGGATCAGCAAAAAGTGACGTTTTGCTTGCCTTGTAAAGAATTGCAAGCTACGGTTTGTTCGATGCGCCAACGCCAGGCCCGTCATACAGATTATATACGAAACATCGACTTGTCACGCTATACTGCGAGGGCGTTGGATGAATCAGACATGGGTCAAAACTGCAGTATACATAGATATGATCATGGTGAGACACAGTACCTAGGTAGGTCACCGTATTACCCATTTTCCCTCTGTCATCATCTTCAATAGTAGCAACGTTCACAACACAAATTTGCATTATTTTCGAGAAAGCTCTCGAAAGCAATATCAAAAGAGAGAAACCAGACCTAAGCGCCACAGAGCCACACTTCGATTAAACAAAGGGCAAAAGCGACCATAGCACAGCTCATACGTCCTATGCTACATAGTCGTGTTTAATTACGACGGCCGAAACGGTCATAGTCGAAGAGCCGTCCACCGCCAGAGCCACCACCGCTACGGCGCGCACCACCGCCACTGTAGGCCTGTTGAGGAGCGTAAGACCGCTGCGGTCGAGGGCGTTCATCCTCCGAACCCGACTCATCGTCGTAGTAGGTCTGCTGTCCGGATGGCTGATGACGAGAAGAACCATAGTCAAAGGGGCGGCCTGAACGTCCACCACCTTGACCATGCGGAGCGCTACGCGGGTACTCTTCGTACTCCGAAGCGTACTGAGGGTTTGTTTGACCAGTATGTTGGCAGCGGGGCTCCTCTTGCGCAGATGGGTTGTATCCACCAGCTGGATTGCGACCAACCTGCCGGCGGAAGGGGTTATCTGCGCGTGTTAGGCCAGAAAACATGAAGCCTCTACCACCACCGCCACCGCGTAGAGTGGGCTCGTGGCCAGTACCTCTGCCACTGCCGCCAGCATAGTCGCCGAAGGGCTCATGACGTTCCTGGTACTGTTGGCCTTCCGGACGTGAGGAGTCGTAGGAAGAGAAGGATGAGTAGCCTCCTTGACGAGGGTTGCCGCCGCCCATACCACCCATACCACTCATTGGACCACCACGTCCCATACCACCCATCGGCCTGCCCATACTGCCACCCATTGGGCCTCCCATAGGACCACCGCGTCCCATGCCGCCTCCGAAGAAGTCGCCGCCACCGCCGCCGAAGAAATCGTCACCACCTGAGCCACCGAAGGGATTCATATCGTCGAGTGTTGTAGGTTTTTGGCTTGAAAAGGGTATCGTTAGTGCTAGATTTGAAGCGTAAGAGTATTCTGGTGCTTGTTGCTTTCTTGCTTTGATTCTTGTATGTTGTGGGTTGAAATATCGTTTGTGTGCGGTTGATGAGAGCCTAAGAGTAGGCAAGGTACATCTAATATAGTATGGGAGCAGTAGAATCCAAATGTGAAGGCAACTTGCTGCAATGCTTCACAGAGACGATAGGAGTGTTCAAGATTGGAGGGTGAGTGGACGACATTGGTGCTGTAAAGGATGAATGGCAGTCGGGATGCGCGTGTGGCCAGTGAAGATGCGGTTTGAGTAGGTGAATGCACTTCCGCCCTTGTATGGAAGGCGTTAAACATGTGACGATACCGGGTCAGTTGGGATCTGTATCTCATGGTCTTCCTACCTCACTCAGGCTTATGACGACCTTCAATTTTGAATAAACCAAAGTCACCCAGACACCGCGATATCGCTGACCATACAATAACAAAACAATGAAGAAGTAGTCTTTTATTCACTCTTCATCCTTCTCTACTAATCTCCTCTTCTCCATATGTAACTAAAAGGGTATATACATTGTTGGTAAATGTTAAAAACGGACCAGCCTTTGATTTCTCGCGCTTCTGTGCAACCAACCTCAGTCGATTATGTAGCTTTCACTGCGTTTTCGTGTTTTCGTCTTCTTGTACCAGATCAAGCGTTTAGCTCAAGAACTTGAGAGCGCGCTTGAACCTGTTGCCGCCGCGACCGTTGCCTTGACCGCCTTGGCCCTGGCCCCGGCCTTGACCCTGACCCTGGTTTTGGCGACCATTGCCTTGACCCTGACCTTGACCTTGGCCCTGACCGTTCTGGGCTTGGCCTTGGTTCTGCTGACCTTGGTTTTGACGACCGTTGCCTTGACCCTGGCCCAGACCCTGGCCTTGGTTGCCGTTCTGGTTGCCGTTGTTGCCAGCGTTGTTGTTGCCATTTCCAGCGTTAGGAGCCTGAGTCGCATCGGGAACAAGAGCTGAGAGAAATATTAGTAAGAAGTTCATTGCAACAACAATGCGACGAATAAAAGATGAACGCACCGGAAATGGCACTGGCACCCTCGTTACCACCAGCAGCACCAGCAGCCTGGTTCGCTGCGATGGCAGCAGGAAGATCCTTCTTGTTTTGCAGGATTTGTGCAGAGATACCCTCAAGTGTCTGAGCGGTGTCGACAGCTAGCGGCAGTGAGTATGGATACAGGATAGGGAAAATGCTTTGTAATGATAAAGGAAAATGTGAGACTTACCAGAAGCGCTCTCATTGGTACGACCAGTTCCGTCAGTCTGCTGAACGGCGAAGCATCCACCGAAAGGACCGGCAATAGCGTTGTTGCGGCATCGAATAGTGCAGATGTTTCCAGTTGAGGCACCAAGACAGTTGAAGTTGTCGGGCATCTGGACGTTGATAACAAAGTCCTTCTCCTTGGCCTGAGAGAGACCGAAGCTACCGGGAATGTTGTTGGATACCTTCAAGGGTGTGAAGGTGGTCACGGCGTTGCTAGTCTCGTCCATGTCGCACTCGAACGGACCAGCGCCATCGGCGTTGACTTGATGGATAGTGACAGCCAGCATGGAGCCAGAAGACACTTGAGCCATACGACCAGCTGCAAGCTCGTTCTCGGTTTGCTCGCCGATGTCGATGTTGCCGGCAATCTCGGTTCTTCCGCATGCGTTGACAATGTTTTGTGTGATCTCGGAGTCACGGATGATGGTAGCATCCTGTTGGCAAGGAGAGATGGTGGTGCAGTTGCGGGCAATTGCAGGATCAACCAAGAAACCTTGACTCTCTCCAGAATCTCCAACGGCGGCCAAGATAGCTGCGTGCGAATGCACAGTGGAGACCAAGGCGGCAAGCGCAAAAGAAGTGGCAGTGAAGTACATAATGATTGGAGTTAAAATAAAGTTGGCGCTCAGCGCTGAGAATAGAATGTAATGTGGAGTAAAGAAGGACTAGCGTCGAGCTGTGAAGAAGTGAAGACTGGTGATGGAGATAGATTACCAGCAGTGGAACTCATGGTAATCTATATACTGGGAATCGTGACAGGGCATGCCGCCGTATCGTGGAATGCCTTACTCGAGATCCATGGTGGGTGTCCACTTCCATGAGACGTGCTTCGGTATAGGTCAAGGGTTGTGTATATGCTGGTGCTGGCCTAGGCGCCTCAGTCGATACTTGGCAATCAAGGAGTGGAGTACAGAATGTTGCCAAGACAGGAATAAGCACCCATGGGCAGACTTCGCAGGAGCTTGTGGCGTCTCTTTGACGGGAACACCTAGCCTGTCATGGACGTAGAGGCGCTGTGGTGAGGCGAATCCACCAGCTTCAAACCTCGAGAACCTGTACGAGATCATGCTCTCCGTCACTTAGCGCTCATTGAACCTGTAATTCAGCCTCCGTTTTACCGTAGCACGCTAACGATGAAGCGTGGGAGGTTTCGACCGCCATAGAATCCAGTTTCGAATCAGAACATAGCACGCCACCACGAAACATGACGGCTTGGTACAGCCGACGTCGTATGTCCGGCTCAATTCCGGGAACCATGCTTGTGCAGTTGACAGCAGATAACAAATGGTGTTCTCATGAGATGGGAGAGCCGCGGGAAGTTGGTGTTTCGAGATCAGGCGCCCGGAAAGGTGGGTCTATCCCGTTACATGCCTGTGGGGCTACCCGTTGGAGGCTGAACACCGCGCCTCGGCAGATACGCTTGCAGTGTCTCTCGCGTAGACATTCGTCTTTTCGTCGCTTTCAGCAATGCCTGAGCAAAAGGGGTTCAATGTTGAAATAGCGCAGACATGGACGCTACACCTGTCAGCCCCGCACCCTGAGGCATTTCCGTAGCATCGTGCCGTTGTACCGAGCATCATAATGCAGCAAGCAGTGGAATATATGACCATACTCTATCAGTACTGCATACCTAGGTGGGTTATTGCCGGTGGCTTTTCGTCTATTCCAGCGTCACCGCTGCCGTCAGCAAAAGTAGTTCCACAATATGTCCATAACCTCAGTTGGCTGTAGCAATTACAGCGCCCAAGCTACAGACACTATAACCACATCGCAACATCGCCTAAGATATCCCTGCTCTTATCGTTGATTTTGAGAAGTTGCACGATTTTGGTATACACGTGTTCGATCGCTTTTGATAGAGCACGTCTCTTGTATTTGCCGTGGTAGTTGACAAGCGTGGAGTAGAGAGTGAGGACTTGGAAATCTTCCAGAAACAGAGAGGTTACCTTTCAGTATATGTGAGTATATACCAGTTTCGCGCAACCAAGCTCAGTCTCACGGACCAACTGGCTTGTGGCTGGCGGCGATACATCGTCTTCATCAAGTAAATGTGGAGAAAAAGTCCAAGTAGAAGGGTTGTTGACTTGGTGGTTTGTTCATCCCCGCGGCGGCCCACCTTGATCTAATCGCCGAATAATCGCCGTCAGCCTTGCAACAATCAGACCACTTTCATCATCCATCGCTCAGAAGAAACTTGTGAGCTGTCGCAAAGCCACAACGAGCTTCCCAACACATCAATTCCTCTCTCCAACCAGATAATCACTACCCATCATGAACACAGTAGGCTCCACCCGTACACCCGAGCCTGTAATCCGTGCTAATAGTCAAATAGATCAAATCAGTATAGTACGTCACACATGACTCCAAAGCTCTACCACATTCGTGTGCCTACCCACCCTGTCTGCGCTACAAAAGCCCAAAACAATGCTACCGCCACCACTTGACCAAGACAGAATGAACTCGACCTAACACGCGCACAGCTACGGCTGGGCGACCCTCATAGTAGCAGGCGGCGGTGCCTACTTCTTCGCCAAACGCAGCATAAACGCCGACCGCGCCGCAAAAGCCGAAGCCGACCGCCAAAAACGCATCCGCCTCTATGAACTCGAGCATGGCCTGAAAAGCTCGGCTCCTACCACCACACCGCTGAACCCGACGGCGAAACCAGGATCCACACAGGCGGCGCCACAGAGCGTGGCAAGTGAGCTGGGTAGGCTGAGAGGCGAGGGAGGAGGTAATGGCGGCATGGGAGGTGACGACAATCCGAGTCTGCAGGCTAGTCAGGATCCAGCACCTACGAGACATGCGCCTGAGAGTGAGGGGCAGAGGGTAGGGGAGAAGAGCAAGTATGAGGCTAATGAGGTATACCGGAGTCGGAAGGGAGATCGGTTCTCATGAGTTGGGGATTAAGAGGATTTCACGAAGAAAGACTGATTTAGGAGAGGAACTGTATATATATATGAGACCTGATCATCGGAAGATTGGATGATGTCTCTGCGCTCACTCAACGGCGCTATGGCATGGAAGATTTCACTCTTTGTATTATCGTACATGAGCGGGCTAGCGGCTCTAATACCCGCTCCAAGCTATGCTAAACAAGACCAATCATCCAAAACGCCTACGCGATATATCAGGGTATAAAGCGATATGTTGCCGTTCAGTTTCTCCTGCATCAACCGTTGTGAAGATTCCTCACATGAACATACTGCTCTTGGGGCTATCTCTCCTCTTCTCATACAGCCACTTGTTGTTCAGCCCAACACTCGCCTTGCCGGTGGAAGGGGTGGGAGTGCCTGGCGTCATGCTGCTCGAGCTGTCACCGAACAAGCTGCCGCTCATCGAACTACCATAGCTCATGCGCTTTATTGCCGATCCACTAAGCGACCTATCGAAGCTCCCCCCATTGTTTGGTGAGAAGGGTGAGCCTGAGCCAGACCTTCCGAAGTTTGGGCGCGGGCTGGGCGAATGCGAGCCATTTTCCTGGGCGCTGAAGCTGTTACTGCGCGGTGTTGATCGTTGATATCTGGGAGGAGTAACGTAGTTGGGCGATGCGTATGCGGAGCCTGGGGTGGGAGGGGCCTGCACGCCAGTTTTCAACCCCATCGAGGCGCGTTGTGAGGGGGTAAGAGGTATATCGACAATCTCATCGGGGTAGTAGCGACGGATAAGAGGCAGGAACGCGATGACAATGTTTGCGGTGAAGACGATGCGGACCAAGAGTATGGCCCAGTGGCTGTAAGGAACAGCTTTTACAACGGCGTTAATCGGCGTCCTGGTGAAATGTTAGCATGCCGTGCCAGGACAAGACAAGGTAGGCACTCACGCAGCATATTCCAGTAACTTGACCTTCTCAGTGACCGTGTTACCGTATATTGAGAGGAACAAGAAGCCAGCGTTGAGGACAATGGCCCTGACGTTGCGCTCATCAAAAGTAGTAGCGTACTGGCGGCGCGCAATCTCATCAAACTTGGGATGTCGCCAGGAGCCATTGGGCGTGTATGGCTGCTCCGTCTGCGCAGATGGTGTCGCGGGCGTTTGCGGAGTCGCCGGCTGTGCGTATCTGGCCACGGACATGTTGTGTGAAGCTTTTAGCTATTCGTGTTGATTGTTTGTTTGGTCGAAAGGGAGTCGCAACAAGTCTGCTGGTTCACGTGCCGGATCACACTCTCACTGCTGCTGTTGGGTTAGTAGTAAGTCTTTCACAGATGCGCGAGGCTACAGGAACATGATGTATGCCAGAGTGTGTCGCGATGGTGAATGTCAGAGTGGTTGTACGGACACCATGTTTTGGCAAGGGCCATCGGAGGACGGGCATGCTAACATTGACAGGGGTCCCTCACTAGCGGCGGCGTTGACCCCCGCCGTCATCCCGCAGCTGTCAGCCAAACCTCTTACTTGGGCTTTGCTTCCAGCTTCACTCGGTCCATGTAATTTCAGCCATGGCAGGACTTCTGGAGCAGCTTGACGGGTCCATCTCCGAGATACTAGCGGGCTGGAACATCTACACCACCCTCATCGCCTTCACTATCGTCGGCTTCCTGACTTGGATCGTTTACGACAGCGCCGATGCCGACACACATCCGCTACTGCTCGCAAGACAGGCAGTAGCTTCCTATGTGAGGCAGCCGGGAGAATCGGCTGTTTTCAGGTCTCCCGAGACTCCTCATGGTTGTATATGCACCTCACCACAAGTCTACTATATTCACAACTGACGTCGGCCAGACCCTCTTCGTACCGGACTTGCCGTGAGACCTCCGGGCGCTCCCATGTACTCGGCCGGCAAAGATGGAGACCTTAGAGACATCTGGCGACGAGTCACCGGCGAAATCCCTCTCGAGAAAGGCGCCAAATCCAGCGGCACGGCAAACATCATGACTGTCTTCGGCAAGGAAGGCGTGACCGAGCACAAAGTGGAACATGTCACCAAGGAGATTGCTATCCTTGGAAAGCATCTACAAGATCGCGGTGCGAAGAGAGTCGCCGTCTACCTCCCCAACAGTCTCGAATTCCTGGCTGCACTCTTTGCGGGCGCCTTCTATGGCTTCACACCCATCCTGATACCATACAACCAGCCACACCAGACCCTCATCGAGCTTCTCCTCCAGACAGGAGCCGATGCGCTAATCGCCGAAGCCGGCTCTGTTCCTCTTGCTGAAGTTGGCCAGGGTGTATCCAACCTCCGTTCCATCATCTGGACTGTGGAGAAGACAAGCAGACACATGGACTGGAGCGAGGTACCCGAAGGCATTGGTGGAAAGATTGATGTTGCGGTCTGGCATGAGCTTGTACAGGAACAGAAGAACACTGCCACAGCACTGCCCTCAACTTCCGAGAAGCCTCCGAATGTGGTCTTCCTCTGGCAAGAAGCCACTGGAAAGTCAGCAGACATCGTCGAGTTCACCCAACAGGTAGGAAGACTTCAAAGCTTGCAATATGCATCTACTGACACAAACAGAACCTGACTGCTGCTATCGGCGCACTTATCACATCGCTTCCTGCCTCCCACCGTCTCAATCCTTCGGACACGTTCCTCCCTGCCGACGCCTTCACGCATTCCTACAGTCTGTGCTTGACGCTTGCTGCTTTGTTCTCCCACGCGACAGTCATCATTCAGTCCGTTGCTGGCCCAGGTGTCGACCTTGAACTGGCTACACGTTCCATCGCCCCCACGGTTACAGTCATCTCAGCCGAAACAGCTGCGAAGCTTCACAACACTACCAAGACATCAGTGACCAGTGGCCCGCAGAAGCTGGCACACTATCTTGAGACGCGAATGTTGACCGCTGGTCGTCTACCTACTGACAACCTTCTTACCAAGCTCAATGCGCCTGCCAGGGCGGCCGTCGGTACAACACCCGGGAAGCTACGCTTGGTCTTTGTATCTGAACGACAGGGCCTGAACACACCACCACTTAGCTCAGAAGACCTTTCAGATCTGCGCATCTTCACCAAAGCGCGTGTTGTATACGCCTTGACCACTGCCAAAGTAGCCGGAGCCGTTGCGCAAACAAACATCTACGACTATCGAAGAGGTGAAACCCCGTCCAATAAGCACAGCCACTTCGGTGTGCCTCTCAGCTGCGTGGAGATCAAGTTGAAAGATACAGCACAACATAAAACAACAGACGAACAGACTGCTGGCGAGCTTGTTGTCACTGGCTCATCGGTTGTAGGTGGTGAGGTTCACCTAGGTGTGAATGCGACCATCCGAGATGATCACACTTTGGCCTATGTTTAGCTAGGGTGCGTACAGCTACGTGGAACACGTGCGATAGTCTTGACTACTATGTCTACAAAGCATTGTTATGTGATACACGTTCACTTATCAGCTCGAACATCTCTTGATATGCAATCAGTTCAACAACACCCTTCGTGTGCATGCGACTACGCGACTGACCTTGATTCTAGACCGATTTGTGCAGTAGTTCGGCATGCATCACAAGTGCCGAAACATGGCCATTTTCTTTTCTTGCTGTTCACCACCGATCGTCTCCAGCAGTGGTGTCCTAATGAGGTGCTTTAATCCTCAAAGCTCCCGTCTTCCATTCCATCTATGGTATATCTGTGGAGAACATATCGTTCCTATCTTGTCGCGTGGGGATCGTCCCTCTGGGGTAATTTGAGCCGAAGCGCCACCGAGCAGCGTCCTCGCTAAACCCCAATTGACTGGGGTGCTTATCTGCACCTGCACGAGCGTCGAATGACAGCCTGCACCATCTGACGACTGTCACATTTCCCCAAGGACCGAGACCGTGGAATTCAGCCGCTAATCGTGACGGCTTCTGGTGCAAGTGGTCCCTTGTTGACCAAAGGGCAGCGAAGAAATGCTCAAGGCGTTCGCCTAGTTCAGCTCAACCCCTCCCCGGGCTTTTCTCTGAACCATGGGTTGAGCACGATGGTCAGAATGTGGCGCTTATCTTATCGTGCTTCTGGAGAGATACCGACGTAACATCAATCCAGGGTGCCGCCGTTCGGAGATCTGCACCCAGACTGTGCATGGTGCTACAGGATAAAGAGGCACTCGCGTCCGTCGCGCGAGAGGACTTCATCTCTACATCCTCCCCACTCTTGCTTGTTCGCGCACGGCAGGCTTCAAGATGCCGTTGATCGAGAAGCCGCATTGGACGCTCAGGGTTGAGCAGCCTGAGAGCACTTTTGCGGTGGGTAATTCGCGATGGTATGTTTGAGTCGGGCACGGAGATGCGCGATGATGGACTTTTGTGCTGATTGATGGTATACAGGACGAACAAAGATCTCGACCCTGTTCCGAGGCATGCCAGGAAGTGGGGTGTTACAAGCTTCATCTCGTATTGGGTCTCGGATGCATTCAAGTACGTCGTCTACAACTTCTTCGAAACCAACAACATGCAAAATGCTGATACAATTACAGCGCTGCAACATGGCAATTCGCATCCAGTATTATCGCAATTGGTACTGCCTCTCCAGTCCACAGTTGGCACTCACTCTCAAACATTATCTAACACCAACAAGGCCTTACATGGCGCGAATCCCTCGGCATAGTTGCCCTCGCCTTCTTCATCATCTCCTTCGTCATCGCTCTTAACGGCGCAATCGGTGTCCTCCATCATGTCCCCTTCCCGGTCATCGCCCGCGCCTCCTGGGGATTCTGGGGCTCCTACATCGCCATTGTATCGCGTGCCATCCTCGCGGTCTTCTGGTTCGCCATACAAAACATGAACGGCGCAAACTCCGTTCGCGTGATGATCGGCGCCATCTGGCCGTCTTTTCTCACCCTGCACAACGGTATTCCAAAGAGCCAAGGCATCGATACGGCGACCATGATCAGTTTCTTCATTTTCTGGTTAGGAAGCTTACCCTTCTTGGTAATGCATCCTAACGAGTTGAGATGGCTATTCATGGCTAAGAGCATCATTGTGCCGATTGCATGGATTGCCATCTTGATCTGGGCGTTTGTGAGCACAGATGGCGGCGGCGATATGTGGAATCAGAAGGCTACGTTGACTGGGAGTGCTTATTCCTGGGGCTTCTTGTCCTCGCTTACGAGTGTCATTGGGAATTACGCTACGTTGTCTGTGAACCAGGTAGGTCTCATTCATACTACCCAAAATTTCTGTGCCAGTCGAACTTTTTGGAAGGTTGAATTATTCGACATACTGACACATGGGTAACAGTCCGACTTCTCCCGCTACTCTCGTGTTTCCGTAAAGTGGCAATGCATCTACGTCCCCTTCCTACCTATAGTATTCACCTTCATCGCCTTCATCGGTGTAGCGGCCACTTCAGCCGGCGCCGTCAAATACGGCACTCTGGACTGGGACCCCATGGCCCTAATCTCCCATTGGGATAACCGCGCCGCTCGCTTCTTCGCTGCCTTTTCCTTCGCCCTCGCCGCTCTCGGTGTCAATATATCCGCAAACTCCCTCTCCGCAGCCAACGACCTTACCGCCTTGTTCCCCCGTTACATCAACATCCGCCGCGGCCAGTTACTTTGCGCCGTACTCTGCTGGGCGCTTGTACCCTGGAAGATTCTGGCGTCGGCTGGTAGCTTCTTGAACTTCATGGCTGCGTATGCAATTTTCTTGGGACCGATTGCTGCGATCATGGTAGTGGACTACTGGGTCGTCCATCGTGGCAAGTACGACACGCTGGCTTTGTACCAGTACCATGGTATCTACCGTTACACTGGAGGTTGCAACTGGCGCGCCATTGTCGCTTTCCTCGTCGGCGTTGCACCAAATATGCCGGGCTTCATTCAATCTATCAACCCTGCTATCGACGCTGGTGTAGGTGCGAGACCGTATAGTTTCGGTTGGTTGTTAGGCTTTACGGCAACAGCGCTGGTGTATGCGTTGCTGGAAATGGTTGTTGCCCCACCAAAGGAGACGTTTATCGACAGGGCTGTGTATCCAGATGAGATTTATGATGAGGCGGGTGTTGTGGATGAGGGAATTAGTGTGGGCAGTGGGGAGGAGAATAGGACTGAGAAGACGGGGTGGAAGGCTAAGATGAGTAGGATTTTGTAGATGGCAAGGTTGCATGATTAAAGCCTGAGGCTTAGATGACCTGGATCGCCCTTGAAATAGAATGATTAAATGTTGCTAGTTCTTGATATGTGCGAGAAGTTGGAGACATATACCCTTTCGATCATTTGTGCATCTAGTATTCAGCACTGTTCCAAGTGACATGCAAGTCAAACTTTACAATACAAAATATCATTATATGAGTAAATGAGGGTATATGACATAAAAGAGCGTTACTTCGTTTCATGCGCTCCAACGCCATAATCTTGCATGCTTAAACCACGAGTCATAAGTCCGCCCAAGATAACAATCTCATCGCACTCTCGTGTTGTCGCCTTACAAGCCCACGACAACCCCCATCAAGACAACCCCGACGACAGCCCCCATCCCCACCGTAATCTTCTCACCCGCCCCCGTACTCGCATCCCCACTGTTGGCACTCGCAGCAGCAACCTGCAATCCATACGCCGTGGTCGTAGCTGCCGTTCCATTGATCGTGGTAGTAACAACACTCGTCGCCGTTGTCGAAGCCGAACATCCACTCCAGCTCGTCCACGGCGCAGAACTACTCCATGGTCCTGCTGTCCAGCCAGGCCAGTCTGATGGTGGACATGCACTGCCGCCCCACCATGCTGTCCAGGGTCCGTTGCGCCAGTCTGAACGTGTGGACCAGTCGCTGTAGGGACCCCAGTTTGATGAGCCCCAGGGACCGGGGCCGTCGGGACCTGCGGTGTGGTGTTAGTGACTAGTTTTGAGATTGGGGCTAATAGGGGTGGGAAGGGGATGTCTTACCTCCCCAGTGTCCAGGTCCTCCAGGACCGCCCGGGCCGTGAGGTCCTCCTGGTCCCCAGGGCCCTTGGCCGGGTCCGTAGCTACCGGTTGGCCATGGCGCTGCTGTCAGAGTTGATGGAATCTTTCCGTCAGAGACGAGCGATTGGTAGATCGAAGACCATTTCGCAGGGTCGGAAGACGCCCATGGTGGACCGGAGCCGTACCAAGGGTCGGTCGATGTTGGAGCAGGTGTTATGCTCTGCGCAACGATAGGCGCAACGAGCGCTGTGATGGCCGTCAAGGTGAGCTTCATTTTGACGGTACCGGTATCCCAGCTTTTGCTTTTCGTATTTCAGAAGAATATTTTCGTTTATGTTGTGAAAACGCGGTGGTAATCCAGAATATGTAGTGACTTGCTTTCGTGCAACGATACTCTGCCTTGTCACATCAAAGTTGCACCTGTGTCTTGCTAACTACAGAAGGCGTTTCTACGTGCGACACCCCAACGTTCAAATACCCCAAAGTATGACATACGCGGCCTATGAGCTCATTGGACGCCATTGTAGCTTACCTTACAAAACTCCGTCATGGAGAAAGCGTCCGGAGGGGGCCCGCGAGGTTCAGCTGAGGTTAGTTCACCAGCTCCACCTACACAGGATCGCCAGGCAAGCTGCAAAGAAGCGTATGATCAGAGATGACAAGCAACAACGCTTACAGAGCTTACGCGTCGGGAAAAGGTATGCGTATATGGTCTCGGGAGTCTTGCGGTTACGCAAGCGTCATTGGCATGGTGGTGATGCAGGGTCGAGCCTCAGCCTTGTCGCATGGGTTGGTGGAGTACACAAATAGGCGAACAAAGCTCGGTGAAGAATTACATTGGCTGGTTCTGGGCTAGGAGGATAGATGATTGGGTAGTCAGTATATCGAAAGATGATCTTATGGCTATAAACAGAAAGGGCGGCGTGAGACATAGGTGCGGCGTGCTTTTTCGGACAATGAGGTGGGGAGAAAACGCGGAGAAGCGTGGTGTGGTATCACCGCGCATGCGTATGTCGGCTGTTGACAATGCGTGATTCGCAGCATCAGAGTAGCCGTCTAGAGAATGTATTCCTCAAAAAACTTGTCGGTAATTTTGATTCCTTGAGGCTGGTTGCGCATTTAACAATGCAGTGTAGGATAGGAAAGATGAGGTTGAGTGAGGACTGTACTCAGACGTATGGTGCCGGAAGCCCGGCCATGGATTATCGGCACAAACGGAGGCGTGAGCACCGACAAGACGCTTACTCTGACAACACCATCGCTTCTCGATTACACCTAAGTACAAGTCGTGTGCGACAATATACGCGTCCCGTTGATCTTAGAAGTGAATACCTTGCAGTCACGCTACGCCGTTTCACCATCCGCCAAGTGCGCATACCTACATGCGATTTGATGGGCATCATTTAGTGACGATCAAGTCAGCCCCTTCACTCCGAGAGAAGCTATCGCGCTGATAGAAGGCAGCATGTCAGAAAGCGTGTCCGTATTCAAGGAATCACAAGCGAGATACTGTGCCGCGGCGCGCATTCACGGCTGATTTTGCCTAGGTAAAGTACTCTATGTTGCATATAACGTGTGTTACTTGCATGTCGTACGAGCGTTAGTCTTATGCACAATGGCCTTTGCAAAGATGTCAGGCGAATTGCTTCTTCACATCTCAGTATTCCTGATTCATTGTCATGCTTCACTGTGTCTCTCAAGAACACGCATCTGAAAAGTCAGGACACCAGGAATATGTATTCCATGATCATACTGGTATACTCATCACCGTCAAGCTTTCCACTTCCGCCTAGTTCACATCAGGTAATCGCACAGCGATGTCGCCTGACTGTGTGATGTATCGCACCCATGGTAGCGATGGGTATTGTAGCTGGATATATGTTAGTCGTTGCGTTTTCGAGTGCGAGGTGGCTTGTACTTACCTTAGGCTCGATGATCTTCAGATACCGCACTTGGATACCTGATGTGGTAAAGTACGGAATCTCAAACTTGACGTTGATGGGTCTCTTCGCCTTTCCACCGCCAACACCGCCCATGCTACCACCGAAACCTCCCATCATACCACCACCCTTTTCATCGTCGCCGCGCACTGATGGCAGACCAAGTTCGGCGCGCATGAGGAACTCCTTGCCACCACCAAACTGCTTGATCTTCCATACTATGGATGAGGTCTCAGGCGCGTAATGCACGGTACCGATGTTTGTTCGGAAACGAGGTGTGTCGGCGTCCTCGGGGACCGGTATCGAGATTTGGACGTTGTTCGCGGTGCTTCGTCGCTTAAACTGCGCTCGTGCCTGCAAAGTGTCAGTCTACTACTACACGCAGTGGTCCGGCGAGCCGCTGACCTTCAACATGTACTCAATCCTGCTGCCTGAATGACTCTCCACTATGCACTCTACCCAAATGAGGGGCTTGACTTGTGTGTTCAGTCGGTAGCTCATAAGCTCGAACTCGCCATCTGGCGGAATGAAGCTGATCGTCCGGTCGTTCTCGAATCTCGATAATCGCACGCACTGGTGAAACTTGACATCCTCCATCTCGACAGCCTTTCCTCGCGTGGCCCTTCCGGTGGTCTCGAACATGGCTTTGTCGTTCAAACCTAGTCGCAACTCGGGCATACCTGAAAGGTAGCACTTCATCTTGACAGCACCCAGAATCTCAGATCGTAGCACGCTGCCGGTCGCGGATACGAGGAGGTTAAGCGATTCGATGACATCGAGGAAGACTTCGTTCTTGCGGTATCGGATACCTTCGCTTCGCCAGCTGACGGCGTTTGTGACTGCGATAGGTGGCCGTGCGATTTCGAGCTTGTGCGACTCTTGTGTGATGTATCTGCGCAGATATGGTGTCAGTAGGGAGCAATGTTGAGTTTTGGAACTAAGGCTTACTCTTGCAATATCTTGGTCTCGGTGGTTTGTGGGTAGCCAAAGTCCATCATCTCATCGAGCAACTCGTAAATGACCACAAAGTTGTCCCTGATACTCTCTTCCTCAAGCTCCTTGAAGTATTCTGTAAAGACTTCGACGATCTTGTGAAGGAAGAGGAGAATCTCGGCAGCATTGGTGTTTCGTTTGGTAAGGGCGAGGAGGTAGAGGTTGTTGTGGCGGATGTAGAGGTAGTTGATGCCTTCGCTGGAGAAGCATGGTGGGACTGCCGAACTCTCGTCTTCGGCCTCGCTCAGTAGGATGGGGAATTTCTCGACCGCTGACATGGGAATATCTCCTCGGTAGTTGCGCGCCAGGAGGGTCTAGCAATAGTCAGTAGGTAGCCTTTCCAGACGCTTGACCACCATACCTTGCCCTTCAGGTCGAGAAAGAATACTGCCGACGCCATTTTGAGGAATTGTGAGTGCTGTGGAGAAGAGGAAAAGAATAATCAGCTACCGGGTCATGGTGCGCAAGGAAATGGCGATCGAGGGGTATATGTGCTATGTCTTGGTCGCGTCTCGGTGATGCCAGAGTAATTGCGGCTCTTCCCGCCCGCCAAGACTACTCCAGGGACTAGGCCCCCTCAATGTTCCAAGGTTCAAACCTTGGAACACCAAAAGTGCTGGTGCCTTCACCTTCTCATGTAACGCTCACAATACCTTCACATCTGCTGAATGGAAATACGTCATGAATCTACGTATTTCCATCTCATATGGAGCCGTCTGGCTCGCGGCAGAAAGCACACTACTCGCGTCAGCGAACAGTACCAGCTGCACTGGAAGAGTCAACCAAAGGCGACAGGCTTTCCAGGATGCTGTACTGGCGTGTCGAACGAGGCACTGAGAATCCATTTCGGCCTCAACTACCGTTCCCCGGTACCACTAACGAAAGCCTCGACTCGAATAACCGTGAAGCTCGCGACAGCATGCCCTGTCAAATTACAAATCGTCCCTGGAAGGTTACTTTTCTGGTACCCAAAGATCGAGGGTTCTTTACATATAGGTATCTGAACCATGTCAAAATTCATGGTCGCCTGTGTGGTTCTTTCGCTTGAAAAAGATACTGGCACATGCTGTCGTTTTCCCTCCAGCGCTTGACCTCCCTCTCTAGGTGACAACCTAGGCTTGAAGCCTACGATACCTGGCGAACATCATTCTCTCCCATGACCAAGGAAACTGACTGAAAAACAGCGTGTTCAGCTAGGAGACATTCCCAATTTCACAGCCATCATGTTTGATCAACCGTCCGGCAGCTCGAAGCATGTCTGACACAGGCTGGTCATCTTCTTTGGAATCTTCCAAAGATCTCGGGTGAAGGCAGCAGAGGCTGCAAAAATAAGCAGTCGTGAACTGAACTTAGTGCCATGCAACCATCTGCATCGCGACACATGTACATGTATTCACGAGTTAAAGAAGCAGATACCCGCCCATTCCTCTACTTTGGTGACAGCGAAGACCTTATGATGCATTCATCTCTCTGCTTGTCCATGAAGGCCTAGCAAAAACCTCATTATATGCGCTTTAGTACGTTCCGCGCTTCGTGCTCAAGCCTGCATGGCTCCCAGAGTCACTAAAGCCGAAAGATGGAGGTAGCATCTCAGCATGCGCAAAAGTGACTCCACTCGGCTGCGTCAACATCTCTCTAGACTCATCTTCTTCTTCTCCATCAATGCCGTCTTGATGTACGTCAAACCCAAGATCGACATAATGGTATATCCAGAACCCACAGAAGACGAACGTAGCTCCTGCAACGGAACAAATCGAAAGATACATAACCGCAATCTCCCGCTAATTAGTCACCTTGATTGATGGTGGAGCAGGGGTACTCACATTGCATCCTGCATTCCAACCTCCTTCTCTATGAATCAAAGGTGTACAAACTAAGATCGTAATACCGGCGAGAAACGTACAGACCGAGTACGACATGAACATTAACGGGCATTGCCAGGCGAATACCATCTTCTGCCTTGGGCAATACTCTGTGCCATTTCTAGACAAGAGAACAGGAAGATAGCGGTCGAAGCACTTTTCCATCTGTCTAACTTTCCTAGGCGATGGCAGTGGCCCTAAGAAATTCAACACCGCCACTTGCTGAGCGGATATCAATATTCCAAGGACAGAAAGTACAAGACTACCGTACCATAGACCAGGTGTGAGCCAATAAGCTTGGTCGATGGTGGTCCAGGAGAAGGAGCCAATAACTGCGGCGGCGAGTATAGCGCACTTTTTCGATGTGAGGACGCGAGTCAATATCGGACTGGTAAAACTTACAGCTATGGATATGAAGTGTAGCTCGGTGAGTTTTCTTTCCCGCCACAAAGCCACTGCATACAGTAACTTAGATGATCGTGGTTGTTCCGAAGCAATCGAGGCGATCTTTTGAATCGGATTTACTGTATTGAAGTGGTACAAGCGATAGTAGGGCAAAGTGCCCAAACGGACAAATACTATTAACATGAGAGACAACAGCTGCTATTTTTCGTTAGCATGCGCGACAAGAATGAATGCGAGCAGCTCAATCGTAAACAGATTGAAGGGAAGGCCTACGGATGTGAGGTGGCTCCCGCGCGTTAGAGCCTGTTCCAAGCGTGTCAAGATCATGATCAGGCTGAACCTTGAAAGGCCGAGATTCACGGCTTATGTCGTCTGCACTGTTGCTAAAGATCATATGGAAACCAGAACATATGTGAACAAGTCATGACCTCATCTCGACATTATTGGAGTATGCATCGTGACTGAAGCGTTAAAGTGGAGGCGTGATGGTGGAGTGAGCGTGCTCGCACATGCTTGGCTCGTAGGCTTCCATGACCTGGCAGGGTGGTGTACCTGAAAACTGCCTCGCGGCTCAGCCGCACTGGCAAAACCGCCACGAGGCTTCAAGGCTGTGCATACTTAGATTATGGTGCATCAAAACTTCGGCCTCCCCTCGACGACGGCTGATTCATCTCAACAAATGCTCGCTCTTTATTACTGAATATACGGCGATTTTGTCACACATACCTATGTACATAATGTATGAAACATTAGCCCAATTGACAGCATATTGGCGTTTACGATGATACAATGTCACTTTCCCCACATTTCACACACTCCGAATGCTAAACTGTCTTATTACCCCTGGAGTATCTTAGTAGATATCAAAATTGAAGGTTACAGAGCTGCCTAGCAGTTACGGAATCTGACACGGTATACCTTTATGCTTACCCAACAGGCTGAAACTGTAATACAAGACAACGGAGAATGGACGAACCTTTGTAGAATCGAGGAGAATAACAGGAAAAAGAAGAAAAACATCTAAGTGTAAATCATGCGATAACGTTGAACCCTCCTCCCCCATACTCCCAGCTTGATTCTCCCGGTTACATGTTCCTTGGGTATAAAAAGTTCTTTCTAAACATCGATAACCTGTAATGAATAACGAAACAAAAATTGGCCTCATCAGAGGATATTCTAGAGTCACTGAGTTCGTAGCATCTCCAGTATCCATCTGCTAGAGTATCTCCTAGCATTAACCTGTTTGTGTGACGCGTCGTACATGAGTCGTCGCATTAACGACTGCAGTCGCACAGTCCCTACGAATCTTGGTACTGCCACATCTTCGTACCATCCCTGACTTCGCTCTGGAGCTCATTTTCAGGGATAGAGTGTTCCCCCCTCAGGTGGTTTTGGAGTTGGATGCGGTCTTCGAAAGGTTTGCTGTTACAACGGCCGTGGTTACAAGCAAATGATGCGTTTGTAGCATATGCTTCCCATAGTCCGGGGCTCAAGGTCCTTGCTCGTCGTCTTGCTACTAGTTCCTTAGCGCATCTTTCGAGGAGGCCGTTCTCTCGCTCCACTACCCATTCATTGAACTTTCTCCTAATCTTCTCGAGCGTTTTGACTCCAGGATGCTTCGTGAAATAGCCGTTTGGTTTCCATTCGTCGAGGTCGACATTAATGCCATTTTCATCGTCGAAACGCCAATAGTAGGGTAGGCTCTCTCCTTCAACCTTTTCAGCTACGATTTTCGGATCTGTAGCTCGATCGAAAGACCCATGCACCCTCTTAAAGATACTTCTTCCACCTGCCTCGCGCGTCCCTCGAGATGTTCCTATATTGACGACTACACCTACGTTTTCTTTGCCACCATGGAGGGACTTGATCTCAGCGATACCCTCATAAGTAGGGTTATTCGTCTCTCCAAAGCCGCCATCAGAGAAGTAAATCGTCGTTTCGCCGTCCCTCATGTGCCGTCTCTCAGGTAACTCTTCGAAGTACATTGGTGCTGCGGTTGCGGCTCGGGCTATCCGCCAGATTTCCCAATCGTCGGCCGATCCATAGTTCCTCTTGTCACCATGCAATACGCCAGTATAGTTGCGCCGCATATCCCTCGTGATGAGACCGTGTTTTTTCTCATGCTTGTAAGTCCGGAGAAGGTATAGTCGTTCCTCCTTTACTGACGCACCTTTCTTGCGTTCGTACGCATAAGCAGTGACAAATCTAATGAATGTTAGCCATTGTCACACTGGTAAGCCTTTCGGGGCTGTAGTAATTGCAGGTAATTTCTCGTTACTTACGTCTTGCAGATGACTGGTGGGGACGAGAATTTGACGTTGTTCTGCGAAGTCTCTTCGCACCTCCTTGCGGTGACTTCTTTGAACGCATTCTCCAGAGCTGATGCGCTATATTTCGGCCACCTTACGATGCCAATATTTCTTTGCGACACCATTCGGGGTTTGCCGAAGATCGAGTGACTCATACTCTCATATTCACGCAAGCAATCCCAGACTGGCATACGAAATCGTCCGAGCATAATCGCGATAAGCCTGTTGCATTGTGAGCGTGGCTGTGTTGTCAGAATGTGATTACCACTCACGCGCCAGTGCTAGACCCACATATGTAGTCAAAGTAATGACAAGGTAAAAACTTTCGAGAATCATGGACGTATTGCCATGTCGATACGCGAGCACCTTTTATAGCTCGTTTTCTCTTTTTTTCTTCATCATCGGGTTGACCTTGGGTGACATGCCCCGGAAATTGTAACGGGGAGAAGCTATGGTGCTCCTCTTCACCTTCTCTCGACCTCTTTTCTTCTTTGGCAATCTCGTTCATCAAACGCTGAAGAACCAGAAGTGTCCAGTAACCGCGGATGCCACCTCCATCTGTGATGCGTAAGTTCCTTGATGGCTTTATTAGGATCATGTTTGCATACCAAGGCTAAGCAGGTTTTGTTGGCTCCAAGCTGAGTCAGGTGAAAGCGTAGAACTTGCGGACTGTTGATCACAATCGTGTTCAGATGACCCAGCTGTAGGAACGGAGCTTGCCCCATCTGCAGACCCAATTGTCTGTGATAGGGAATGATTTTGAGATGAGATCATGGCAGGCAAGATGTCTTGAAGTCCAGCTAGGATCTAAGCGGAGTGACAAACCTAAGGACTTATCTATGTGACACGGTTGTATAAACATCCATATATAAGTGCTTGTGAGATCATTTGTGAGTGCAGCCTGATGTGCTTGAACATCGATCAGTGTGCCGCCGAGCCTCATAATTGAACCGCCCCCTAAGCAGGCAACTATATGTGGCGGCTGACGATAACTTACAGTTGAATCGGTGAAGATATCAACCAACTAATGGGATCGAATTCCACAAAGAGTTCAGGCTGAGCTGAGGGACCTGCAAAGGCGCAGTCTCAGTAAATTCCGACGACAAGCGTCCTGGTCCGAAAAAGCAAATATGGGCAGGTTTCGTTAAACTCTTCGGCTCTAATGAGACGCGATGTGTGATTTATGGGAAGAACTGATTGTGACAGTGAGACGGACCAAGCGTTCGTGCAGATGATGCGTGGGCGTATCGTGAGAGGGGGTGGGAAGCTGACACGCAGTGCGCAGTGAGCCACTCACAACCACCGCAGTAGCAGCCACACAAACGATACCTCCTTTATGAATGACGGTGATCGAAAAATTAAGGTAAAGTCGTTAGGGGGTTGGGGAAGGTAAGCGATCAAATCCTCCATTTACACACAGCCTCCGGCAAGTGCTGTAACTCCAATGCCACCTGGATCGACCGATGCGCCTTCTGATCTGGCTATGGCTCTAGTACTGGACGGTGGAGGCGCAGAATTGCTATTGCCTTACATCGAGCGGCCGCAGTCCGGTGAAACGGAAGGACTGATTCAGCCTTGTTGTCCATGCGACCTCAGGACCTCCAGCCTCGTGCGCTGTGCGGAAGGATACAGGTGCGTCAGGTTTCCAAGGCCATAGCAGACGATTTCGGCCTCAGTACCAGTTGCGTATCATATGTAGCTGTTGCTCGGCAACCTGTCAATGAATTATACATGTTTTGTGTTTTTGATAGGGACCGTGGATGGCTGCAGCTGCGCCACCACATTCCAGATGCGGACGTCAGCGGCCTATCAAATACACCTACATGCGCCCATGTACGCCATGTGGGAGGTCACTTGACGCTCTCTAAGCGAAAATGTGGAGCCTATCGTCCTAGTCGCAAGGGCAAATTCTCAACCAAAGGCTGAAACCGTAAGATCGCAACAAGTATGAATAGTGGCCTACTGCTGTCAGATAGAGTCTCCGAGTATATTAAAATCGTGTCGTAACAGTCGCAAAACCTGCCTCAGCTTTGCCACGTCCGCAACACTGCGGTAACTTTCGACGTTCCCGAGATCTCTACTGATCTGTACTTTCATCTTCATTGCAATTGACTCGACCAACGCACTCCCTATGGAAGCACAAACCCGAGACCACGCCGCTCTAGCTCGTGCAGCAAGCCCGGCCAAGCATCAACATCCCAAGAAGCTCCAAAAGACTAGAAGTTGGGATCGCGTGATCGTTTACGATGCGGACAGTGGCGATGTCGATATACGCAAGAAAGGAGAAGTGGACAGAGGTACAACAAGAATCCAAAAATCCAGAACCACACTAATGAAGTGGGACAGAATCGAGCGGTTATAAGAAACTAAGTTTGCCAAAGGGGAAGAAGGAGGTTTCGCTGTTCGTCGACCAGACAACGGAGACCAACTTCAAGACGGAAGAAGACTCACGCGATAATGATGATGTGTTCTTGGCAACATTGAGTCTAGATCATCTCGGCCTCATCAACCGTGCATTCCTAATGTTCGGCTTCCTTTCAACATTATACATATCAATAGCAGAGCGCAAACTTGAACTCCCTTGATCAATAAGAGTAACACATCGTATGGTCAACAATGCCTTATTCTTATTTTGTCGAAGTAGCTGGTCTATAATACATCATCATATTTGCTTCACAAATCTGCCGGCTAGACGTTTAACCATCATGATATAGCTTTTTGTGAAAACGAAGCATGAAGCACGAGGCAGTAATGAGTTCACCGGAACGTAGAAGTTACGAGATGCCTACAGGACCATTCATCCCTTACAACTACTTTGCTCAGGACACTGCGACTGGAGCGAAATTTCCCCAAATTTAGGTTTAAAGATGTTGTTTAGAACCGAGGGTCCACTCTACGAAAGATGGAGGTCAGGACTTGCCCGCTACAAGGATGAACTGAAAATGAAGGCGCACACCCTGACTATGTTGGATACTGTCGCAATATTTCCTCCATCCGACTGACCTGAAGCTGCCAGAAGCCTTTACAATCGATTCAAAATGCTTCTAGAGACTTTCGACGCTGCCAGCGATATCATTCGATCCAGTGACCTAGTCGAAGACCGGATGGAGGATCGTCTTAGGCTATGTAGCATCTACGCGTTCATCTAGGGACTGATCTTTTATCATGCACGCTTGCATAGCAAGTCATTAGAGGAACACATGACTGACTTGCGTCGAATGCGTGAGGAAGTTGGTATCCTAGTAGATTTCGACCTTACTATGAAGCTTCACGACGTCAATATACGCTAAGCTCGGGGGCCTAGTTTGCGCCCACCGTGCGCGAATGCGCCCACCCAGCTCAACACGCGATAACTCAACAACGCCGCATTCAATATGGATCCTCATGAGGAGGCTCTATAAGGTGCTATCCGCGATCTCGAATCTGGTGTTTTTACGAGCCAGAGAGCAGCTGCTAAGGCTTGGGACGTTCCTCGCAGCTCACTCCGGCGCCGGCTGCAGGGCAGCGTTCCACACGCGATAGCTCATCAACAACAGCAGCGACTAACACCAGAACAGGAGGCCTTTGTAGTTGACTGGATCCTTGAGGAGGATACGCGTTCTCTACCTCCATCTTATGCGCGTGTACGAGAGATGGCGACTCGAATACTACGACTTAGTGGCGACCACGAGCCCCTCGGCCAGCGATGGATCTCATCCTTCCTTGCGCGTCAACCTCAAGTTGCAAGTATTGTTGGACGATCGATTGACACCCTAAGAGCTGAGGCTGCGAGCCCTGCTCAGATCCTCGCGTTCCTAGAGCTGAATATAAGGGTGGAGGATATATGGAATATGGACGAGACTGACATTGCACTAGGAGTATGTACTAACTCCCAGGTAGTTGCACGAGCTGGCAAGCGTAAAGCTTACGTCAAAACTCCAGGCGATCGCGAGTGGGTATCAATACTTGAGACAATCTCAGCCACTGGGCAGAAACTTAGGTGCATGGTAATATTTAAGGGACAGAGCCTACAGACAACGTGGTTCCCCTCTAAATCAGTTCCAGACTGGTTATACACTACCTCTAAGAATGGATGGACCTCGCATGAGATAGGATTTGAGTGGCTAAGACGCATATTTATCCCAGACACCCAGCCTCATGGAAATCATTGGAGGATACTTATACTTGATGGACATGGGTCTCACGTTGATATTGAGTTCATGCTACTCTGCCGTCAGCATAGGATATGGACTATATACCTTCCTCCTCACGCCTCTCATCCCCTACAGCCTCTAGACCTAGCTCCTTTTAGCGTACTCAAGTCAGAGTATAGAGCTAGGATCAGAGCTCTATCTACCCTTGATGACGCAGCTCCTATAAAGAAGGAGCGCTTTATATCCTCTTATCATCAAGCTCGAGAGAAAGGCCTATCTGAGCGCGTTATTCGAGCTGGTTGGAGGGCTACAGGCCTCTGCCCATACAACCCTTCTATAGTCCTCAACTCCTCTCAGGTTTCTGCTCGTCCTATTACTCCTCCATCGCCTGCGCAGCCTCAACCTCCTGCAGATCAATCCTTCTCAACTCCAAGGAGGGCTCAGGATCTATATAAAGCTCAGCAGCAGCTTCTGCAGTCAGAATCTCTCTCACGGAGCACACGCCAAGTGCTTAGCAAAGCAGGGAAGGCTATATCTCTATCAACTACTCTCACAGCTCAACTACAAGCTGAGAATCAACACTTAAAATATCAACTAGAGCAACTTCAGAGTAGGCAGACGAGAAAGAGAGCCAGGGTTGATCAGAATGAGCGCTTCAGCAATGCTGAGAGTATTAAGGCTGCGATAGACAGAGCAGCAGCTCAAGTTGCGCAGTCATCAACAACGGAGACAGAGAAAATTGCAAAGGCTGCAGCAGCTCAAGCTGAAGCTCTTACTCTAGCATCTATGTGTACACAATTTCAAATATAAGCGTTGTTGTTGAGTTATCGCGTGTTGAGCTGGGTGGGCGCATTCACGCACGGTGGGCGCAAACTAGGGGTGGACGCAAACTAGGCCCCCGAGCTTATCATCAGCAACCTTATGAGATTTAGGCGTCATTCTCGGGAGCCTTGGAACTGGAAAGGGTCGGCCCGACAATTGTTGTTACGAAGGCGTCCGCGAAGATAGTGAACCTAGACGGTATGGAGTGCATAATCTGTGGCTCTGACCTCAGTTCGCACGGTGTACTGACTGTTCCTTGCCATCACACCTACTTTAAGATATGTTTATAGCATTGGGGCTAGCCGTAAGTGCTCATACTGTCGAACCAAGCTGTTCCTAAACCCGAATATCGTCCTAAGCATGTTGACGGTCTGCGTAACTACGAAGTAAAGATGAACTGTCTTGAGTGGATCATGCTCCGGAGACGCTGTATTGAAAGGTTAGTTGCTTGGTTCGACATCGAAATGACGATGTAGCAGCGGTATGAATTGGAGACAAGAGACTCATCTCTATCCGCGAACGAAGTCGGTATCTTGTTTCCTCTTAATCGGTTTGTTGACCACATGATCTGCATTGAGTTGAGGGTTGATAAAAGTCCAGGAAAGCCGTCTCTCTCACCTGCATCCGAAACATGCATGATGAGATGATTTGAGAAGCATAATGTAACATGTTTGGTCTCAGTTTGTTACTATAGAGAAGCTTTAAACTGCAGGCGTAGTTGGTTCGCGATCTTCTCAGATATGGCTGGAGAAGAGTTTGCGGGTTACTGCCTGACCTAGACGTGAATTTTAGTACTAAACAAAGATGCTTGAGCTTCTCTTATCCTTGCTCCTGCCTGATGCGTATTAATCACGTGCGGGGTGCAAACGGGCTGCCCCACTCACTCGCTTCCACCTAAGTATACTTGCAGTTCAGCAAACGCCATGAAGCTGATGCACCCCCAATCTCGACCCTCTCAACTCCACTCCACTGTCAAAATTACCGACAGCAACATATCGTAATCAATCCCTGCGAACGCGCAGTCATGTCCGCAGAATCTGGCGAGTGGGTGCCACTGATAAGCCATGCGCCTGCAAGCGCAGAAGGTACGTTATAGACTACAGAGAATCTTGTTCCTGATGAGTTGTATCCCAGCTATACTGCACCCTGGAGGTATAATGAGTGATATAAGTTGATAATTTATTAAGAAAGTTACAGCGTATACCTTCAGGGTAAGTTTGGTATTCAGGGTACAACTTACAAAGAACGAGCTCACTCATACCTGAGTCTCTGAACGACGCAGGAACCAGTGCAGACAGGCTTTCAGATCTCTCGAAATTCGACTAACAACCGCAGTATATCAACGTGTGCGTTCGCGAATACGTAACCTGCAAGACTTGCGCAAGTTCGGACAGGGCCATAAGAACCTCAACGACGCACTTCCCAGAGCGCCTGTAGAACTCCGCGAGCTTGAACAACAGCATTTCCCAAGTCAGTCTCACGCCTCCCGTCTCGCAAGCATGAGCGATGGAGATATTGATCAAGAAGCCGAGGCAGCACGACTGTGGCTATTAGGTATGCTCGAATACCGGGACAGAGCCATGAGCCGGGAACACGAGTTAAGGATGTTCAGAAGCGCTGTAGAAAAGCAGGAGAATGGTCGACAAGAGGACTGGAGTGATCTGGAACGGCTCTACATGACACTTACAGACAGCAATCTCGTGTCGCCGGAAGCGCGATTGCGAGCAGCGTTCATGGTTGTGTTTCACCTTAACTATGCTGAACGTCAGGAACATGTTAGCAAAGCAGGTGCAGAACTTATCGAGCGTCTGCAGCGTTCATCTGGCATGGATGCCGAATTATTTGAGACGCGTGAGAATATCTTTGAAAGGACTCAATCTACGAACGTCGACCATTTCGCATGCGCCATTCCACTTTCTCTTCTCACTGACACGGCTAACAATGCCTCCATTGTCGATGACAACGCTGGCTGCTGTCCCATCTGCCAAAACCCATACACTTCCCTCATAGATCGCCCAATCGAAGAGCTGTTAGCTGACTATCCTGTACGAATAAAGCACTGCGGCCATATCGTTGGCAAGGCATGTCTTGAGCAGTGGATGAGAACACCGAAGATTGAAGAAGCGAAATATCCGCACCGCACGTGTCCATTATGCCGCATCAAGATTGAAGGTGTGGAATCGCCTCCGGTACCTACGGAGCTGTTGGGTCATCTGAAGACCAACCGACGAGCCATGGAAACAGTGAGAGAACTAACGTACGGTTATGACATGGACCGGGAAGAGCGCCTCAGCACCATCAGCGCTTGTATGAGCGAGGAGATTGCCTGCACACAGCTACTATCTGAGATAAGATGGATCGAGAGCGAGAAGAAGGACGTTGGTATGTTGGAGGATAAGCTCGCGAGTCTGGAGAAAGAAAGGTGGGCTTGGGGATTCAGAGGAGACGGCATCTGGGCGAAGCTGAGAGAGGAGTGGATGAACAGCGGTGTCGTCCGAAGGGGCTGAGGAGAACGATAGTAGCGTGTCTGCATGTCGCCGAGCATTTTTCGTTCCCATCTACAGTAATGTTCAGCGGAAAACACCTCAGTATAGGCCCCGACGAGAATATGAGAACCTCGTAGCGATCAATAAAGGGCCGAACAAACTACCCGTATCTACTAGCTCTTGGCTCTTGAGGCAGTGCAAGTTGATGAGGCATTTTCCATCAACACATCTGAGCCTCTTCCGAGCATTTATCAGGCTTCACGAGGATACTCGCTCGACAGCCAAGGATTGATAGATCGACATACCAAATGTTAAAAACAACGCATCACGAGGACGGACATCCCCGCATGTTCGAATATCGCGCATAAGGTCGGATCTGTCAAGCATAGCTCCACTGAACCCAGACGTTTCGTAAAGACGCTGCGACAACTCTGTCCTACGGGTACACAATTGCTTGTTTATATATGATTTCTGGGCCGAACGCGTTCTCTATGCAAGTCACGACGTCACGTGCCCCACTATGACCCTTCTTTTCTCCACGCTCCCCACGCTCTAGACCCCTCAACAGTTGCACATTTGCGCATCACAATGATCTAGGCAATTGAGGCTGAGTGCATAAACCAATAGTATGTGGCACGGGCAGCCCCTTGATTGGTTTCACTTCATGCACGTTGAGAGGGCAGATGACGTAGTGGCTGTGATGGTCGCGTGTGCCGCCGCTTATGGCCATGCTGGGCATGGCTTGGCCTATGACGATGTACAATTGATGCAAAAACAAACATAGGGTGCTCATCTTTCACTACTACATCCCACGCGGAAACCCATTCTTTCACAAAAAATCAACAATGAGCGTTAACATTATTGACGTTGGCGTCAGCAGGGTACGTAGTGTGTCCCTTGCATACTCCCGTCTTGTAGATGCCGCTTGTCCCGAGCAGTGACGAGACTCTTCGCTAACACCTTCCCCACAGATCCTGGGAGCTCGAGCGGATCAAGAAGACCGTTACATCACCTTGACACCGGGTTCGCTGAAGTCACGGAAAGAGCTCGCTCTCTTTGCGGTATATGATGGCCAGTAAGTAGCATCGAGTAACACCGAGTTGTGGCTTTAGGCTAACGGTTCGACCACAGTGGGGGTACGGAGACTGTAAACCACGTTGCACAGCATCTTCACACACACCTGGAACAACATTTCAGCAACCCCAAGGCATCAAATGCGGCTGAGTACAAGCATGCGATACAATGTGCCCTGCGAGCTTTAGATCGCGATCTAGACCGTGACAACCTTGACGGAGGCTCAACCGTCTCTCTCGTACTCATCGATACCAAGCAAAACTTGCTCATACAGGCAAACTTAGGCGACAGCCATGTATTCTTCGCAGATCACGAGCCGCGATCTCCGCAATCGTTATCGCCCGAATCTCCCACGCGGGTTGACTCCGGCACGGGTTCCATGAGCTGGAATGTGGAGGCACTAAGCGTGGAGCATGCACCAGACAGCCCATTGGAGAAGAGAAGAGTGGAAGAAGCAGGTGGCGAGATCAACTACCGGTCCGGTATTGCACGCATCGGCGGCGTGAGTATGTCGCGCGCACTAGGCGACTTGGACTACAAGAAGCCTCGCGTTAACCGTCTAGCGGGCCACGACCTTTCCGATCTAGTTGGCGTAGAAACTGGCCTTGCACCAGGAAAGACTGCGATTCATGATTTGGTATCAAACAAAGCGCATTTCACCGTTCGGACTCTCCATGGCCAATCCCTTATCCTCCTGGCGTCAGATGGTGTCGGTTCAGCGAAAGAGGCGGAGGAATGCACAAGGCTAGCAGTTGACGGGTGGCAATCTGGGAAGGAGGCGAAGGAAATTGCCGAAGAGCTGACTTCTAGAGAGGGGGAAATGAAGGGTGCAGACAACTGTACCGTCATCGTGGTTGTGCTGGATACGGAGAGTAAGGGACGCCGGAGCATAGACAGCGGGAGGAGGAGTATGGACATCGGTATGGAGGGAAGCGGATCAAGAAGAAGGAGACGATCAAGTATTGCTAGCCTGAAGGACTGGATACGAGACCGCTAGGTGTTCGACATGATCCTACAACTTCGGGCACAAACTGGGAAAATCTTCAATTTCCTTGGACAAGGATGGAGTAGGTAGGCTCGATTGGCCTGGTATGATGCAGCACAGGCGTTCCGATTGAGAAACGGGGAACTTCGTAGCGCTTTACCATCATGGTACCAAAATATCGGCATTATTAATAGTACGCTGAGAAGTGGGCAGAAGTGCGCAACTTTACAACACCGCAGCTAGTCATTCAAACTGATTCAAATACCAGCTGCCCATGCTGACCAATTTTGCTCATGTACCAGCATATCGCGTTTTCGAACTGATCATCCGTCAAGTCGTTGCTCTCTTTCTCCGACCTTATCGCTGCTCACGTCAAACTTTCTCCTAGCCCCAGCCTCTTCGATAAGCTCTATATATCAATAAGTATGAGTGGTGGAGCAAGATTCGGCTACGCAAACAGTATTGTGTCGACACTTGATCCACAGGTGAAGCAAACTGAGTTCTTCACCTACAACTCTCGCTCTCAAACGTGAAAGTGACGTTACGAAAAACCCTTCTCTTTTACCTTCCACTCATAACTCTTCGCTCCGTTATTCTCAGATTCCTCCCCGCTGTCATCACCCTGCAACGGCAAAGGAGCAAGACTACGAAGCGGCTGTAGAGAAGGGCGCTAGGCTGTTGCAGATACTAACTGAACTGACAAAGACATCCCTTCAAAGCGCATTCAAGCACCCGGAATAATTGGCTCAACATAATTATCACCTTGAACTCCAAATGTATGACTTTGAGATTGGATGTGTCGCCGAAACGCTCCGTGACCTGAACGTAGATGACAAAATGGTGTATGATGGTGGAAAGAACGTCAGGATACACCATATCCACAAGAGGTTTAGGAAGTTAGAAGAAGAAGAATACGCTGTACGCCAAGGTTCATCGCAAGACTGAACATGTGCTAGCAAGCCATCAGACAGCATGTGGATACTTCTTCCAAGTCAGCAACCTGCATGCTGGGAGAGAGAACAGTTGAGAAGGTGACCATCTTTCATGCACCAAAAGGGGAATCTGTTTTAGATGGCCGAAAATGCTGTTCTATATCGTGTAGAGTCAGAGTCAGGTGAGGAAAGTGCGCTTACGATCACTTTTCATGGACCTCTCCAGGTCGGGGCTTAGATAGCGCGTGGATTGTTGACAGGTGTTTGGCATCATCAGGTCGGTTCACACGTCACGCATGCTTGTTTGTGCCCAGTGTATAAGAAGCTCATGCCTACAGCTAATCAGCATCACTTTCGGCAACACCGCAACCCGTTTCTGAAATGCTCACAATTAATTATCCGTCGTTATCCAACCAATCGCCTTCAGCCTTGGACTGCGCTATGGCTTACGCTACGGCTCGCTTCAAAGGCCGTGAATTGTTAAGATTGATGCGAGCCAGCGACAAGGAAGCCGGTCGATATCGCGGGAATGCAGACGAATCGGTTCAAAGCGAGTATCTGACTTAAAACGCATTCCAGCAAGAGGGGTGGGCCCCGTACCCCGACGATAACTACAACAAGGACGATGTTCTTAACCGGTTATCAGAGGCTCTAGAGATAGACAAGTCTAGCAATATTCATATTGGTCATCACCACAAGGGGTCTGACGTCCAACAGGGAAAGCCCACAACAAACGCACATTTTGACACTGTGATCAATCCTCCTGCTGGCATTATCGTAGTCGTGAACAGCCGCAGCCCCACGAAAAGCGTAGAGAGCGGAAGGGCGGACGAGTGGAGACAGGGAGATCAGCTACCTGATCTGAAATTCTGGTCCGATGTTGCCTACTTGCAATGGACCAGCGTCACAGATGAGTCCTCCGATTTACGCTACGTCATCCGATTGAACATTACGAATGAACGCACGAAAGCCGTTATCGGGCACATCATGACCCAACCCTCACTCATAGATCGGTACCCTATGTTCCCAGGTATCTCGTGGTCCTTATATGAAGATGAGGAAGTAGCTGCATTGCTGGGAACGCCAAATGGTATCGGGGTCGCATGGTTGCTCATACAGCATAAAGCGCAACTGGGTCACAAGATCGTGAAGAAGGTGACGCTAGTGTATAAAGACTGGTTATACCTTAAGGAAGGAAAGGTACCGACTCTGATATTCGAATTTGGTAATGTGGTTGCTGCTGAGAAGACGAAAGGCGAGGAATCGGCGGAAGAGAGGCTGCAACACATGAGAATTGAGTGAAATAGTTTCAAAGCTAGAATGAGAGTTGCTTGAGTTGCACGTCGTACTTCACTTCTGCTAGTTTCAGTTGAAAGCTAGCGCAGGGTAGCCTAGATTAACAGGTACATATAATGCACATGAACTGACGATGTGCTTGACATGATGACTGGAGGGTGAGTGCGACGGGTGCCGGTCGGTGTAGTCGAAGGTCCATGGGCTGAGTTATTCGTGGCCATGACAACATCAATTCAAGCGATTATAATCAGAGAGCATCTTAAGGCGATTTAGGTGGTTGTCGATATAGGTGAAGAGGAATGAGCAAAGAAGCGCTTTGTTGTTCCGCCCGATGGATGGCGAGGCTTGCTGATGACAGGGGGTGATCGGAAGCGAGATGCACCCCGCAAAATGCCGCGTCGTCATATCCCGGGGAAAGCTTCACACTTCTCTTCTTTTTGCATCTTTATCTTTCGTTTATACCCATTCTCTGGGCGCTTGTACTTTACCTGCTGCTCTCATCATACGGAACCTTCGATATCTCTCGCAAGCAATGCCTGATAAGCCGCACACTTCCACGGTACGAGCTGCATCGCACGCTCAATGTAAATGCATACACGGGATGGCTATGACGCCCTTACGTTTCCTAGCTGCGGAGGTGGGTTATATGCCTCGGCTTCGCGTACTAAAAACCAACTCTGTTTGGGTGAAAACCTCATGGATGCAGCAGCGAAATGCACGCCAAGCTAGACATGGCTTGCGGCGAAAGTGACTACTATTTTGACCTCGGGTTCGCGCCTGTCAGCGGTCAGAGTTGTATAAAGAGTATGGAAGACTACTATTTGTTCATGGTAAGGTTGTAGTACCATCAACATGTTTTCATCTTCTATATCCATTCTCGTTGGTCTCCTGCTTCTGTCGCTCGGCGCAACGTCCACCTGGGCAGACTATCCTTCCGGAGATGAGGTACCAACAGCGACTATTGATGCTGGAGTATTAATCGGAAAATCCACTTCACTGCCCTATGCACTTGGGCCAGTGTATCAGTATCTCGGCGTCCCGTTTGCATCACCGCCCGAGAGATTCTCTCCACCACAAGCTACTGTACCTTTCCGAGAACCGGTCAATGCCACAGCTTTTAAGCCAGCATGTATCCAACAATTTCGATGTACGTGACATCAGATGAACTTGCGAATATACGCTAATGCTTGTAGACCCTCTGTCGAGTTCACAATTCACACAAGCTGTCTTCAACAACCCACCACCCGAGGAGTCGGAGGATTGCTTATACCTCAATGTCTATGCCCCAGCGACTCCAGCAGGTGGTGCTGGCAGAGCTGTGATGTTTTGGATTTACGGTGGCTCACTTCAATTTGGCAATGCTGGTCAAGACACATACGATGGAAGTAGTTTTGCTGCTTACGAAGATGTCATCGTAGTGACAACAAACTACAGAACGAATGGTAAGCTGCTATCAAGGCTTCAAGTATAATATTGAGTTTCTAATAGCGCACAGTGTTCGGATTTCCTGCTTCACCAGAGCTGCCATTAGCGGAACGCAATCTCGGCTTTCTTGACCAACGTTTTGCTCTTGACTGGGTTCAGCGAAACATCCACGTCTTCGATGGCGATGCTTCCAAAGTTACCATCTTTGGAGAGAGTGCAGGTGCCTTCTCGATCGATGCATTACTGACAAGCTTCTCGAAAGATACGTCGCCGCCATTCCGGGCTGCCATTCTTCAAAGTGGGCAGTATAGCTATCGTGCTGCTCCTCAGACATCAAGCTTGCCCGCTTGGAACAACCTAACAGCGACCCTTGGTTGCCCAGGTACATATGAAAGCAACTTGACTTGTGTACGGGCGGCGAACGCAACAGCTGTGCGCAACGTCATCAACCAGAACTCGCTCGTGTTTAATCCAGTTACCGATAACACCACCCTGGTGACGAATCCAGCAGCGCGTCGCCTAAGTGGAGATATTGCACATATACCAGTGCTGGGAGGTACGAACGCCCAAGAAGGTCGCGTCTTCCAGGTCGGACAAACAAACGTCACTGCTTACCTCCAGGCGACCTTTGGTGTTGCTGCACCTTCTCTCATTCCCGCGATTAAAGCTGCATACCCAATCGGTAGCAACGGCCTTGGGAATGATTACGATGCAATCTCGCAAATTTTTACCGAGATCACTTTCCAGTGTCCGCAAGCACTATGGGCCAACGCGACCGCGTCCGTCGGCATTCCTACTTGGCGTTACTACTTTAACGCTTCTTTCATCAACACGCAAGCCTATCCGCAGCTTGGCGCATACCACGCCTCTGAGATTCCTCTCGTCTTCCGTACATACGAACGCGCAAACGCGACGACACAGGAGTACGCTCTTGCCCAATTCATCCAAGGCACATGGGCCAGATTCGCCAAGAATCCGTACGCTGGACCGGGATGGAACGCGGTCGGTACTGGGGCCGAAGGCAATGTTTTGGTCGGCGCCTACGATCTTGTAACGGGTGGATTGTACCAGAACCTTAACGCCACTGTGGTAGAAGGGGGTTGGAGCTTGGGTGTTCTCGGTGACATTGGGGACGTGAGAGGAAGTGGTGTTACTGTGTTGCCGCAGTCCGGTCTTGATTACAGATGCAGCCTCTTCAGGCCCATCTTTGAGGCTAATGTAGGTGCACAAGGCATGCCTGCTCTCTAGGGTAGAGCCTATGCTTTCGGTCTAAAGCAATGTCTAGATCCGTCAAATACCCATGTCACTCAACTTATCGCCCAGTGCTAACTTGTCCAACATCCACACCACTCCGATCCGACTCACCACCCTCATGCACACTCTTCTCTACACTATCAATCAAGCTCTCGCTGCCAGTTTTCGTACCCACACTGCTGCTTCCTTCGTACTCTTGCTTGGTATTCTGCGTCACATCTTCTCCGCGGCGCTGCTCCGAAGTACCTGAGGCGTTTTGCTGACCGGGTGCGGACTGCAATCGTAAGCAAGGTGTTGGCAAAACATAACCTCTGATAAGGGAAACGCTTCATGAACGACGATGGGCTTACCTTATCCATAGAAACACTCAGACCCGCAGGGTCTGCCGACGCACCAGTCTTGAACGGAACGCTCGAGTCACCCTTGAAGGTACCTTTGGTATCCTCGCCAGGGTTGACAGGATTCTTTGGCTGAGTGTTGGAAGATTCTTGGCTGGTTAAGGAGGACATATTCGGGCTATCTTTAGTGCGGCTTGTGGGAAAGAGTTTGTTGTGTAATATAATTGTTTAGTAAAGAATTCACTTTTTGATCAAGTTCTGAGTAGAAGCGTAGGGTATCCGATTGACTGTGATGGTTGGCTGAAGAGTAGTCTTGTAGGATAGCCTACTTATGAGCGATGGTGTAGATTCGACGTCATAGTGACTCAGGATAGGGATGTGGGTCGCAGTGGCGAAGGGGTCTCTGGTATGAACACGAAACATACGCGTGAGCTCGACTCTTTGTTCAATCAATCTCCCTTCCTTAGAACCTCATGTCATTGCTTGATTACCTCACTGCTGCTTGCCTTGGGCATGAGCTTCGATTTTGCCAGCATATAGTTCTGTCCCATGCACAATGGTCTATTACGTTCGACCCAATATTCTATACAGTCTACCCAAGTCTACAGCTTGCTCTTGCCGATTCCCCAGACCTCAGCTTGAGGGTTGTTCGACTTCTTGTTTATTGTGGCGCCCTCAGCGACCGGCTTCTCCCCGTCCTCGATGAAGAGCGATTGGTTCTGCTTCATTGTCTCAATAGCCTCTCGTTCGATACGGTTGATGAGCTCCTCATTGGTGGGGATATCGTGGATGAGGCCAATGACTTGGCCAGCGGTCCATACCTAGGTTTGTCAGCTAGCTGCACTCAGGAGAAGAATGGTGGCAACTTACACCAAAGTCCTTGTCTCCATTCAAGAAGACTTGACGTCCTCGCTTTCCGCTTACAAACTCAGCGACCTCCTCGAACTTGCCGGTTGTGCTGGTCTTCTCGACGTCGACAGCCTGTAGCGCGACCTTGTTTGCGAAAAGTCGCGATGTGTTCTTCCATCGCCTAAGTACGAGAGCGGTGTCTGTTTCTTGCGCATCGACGATGGCCTGCTTGATGTTGTGGTGGATGGGTGCTTCGATAGTGCACATGAAGCGCGTACCCATGTTGATGCCACAGGCTCCGAGGGCAAGCGCAGCGGCCAAACCCTGACCATCTGCAAAACCTCCCGAGGCAATGAAAGGAACGCCCAGCGACTGTCTGGCTCTGCTGAGCAGGATGAAGTTGGTAATGTCTGTCTCGCCAACGTGTCCAGCGCACTCGAAGCCATCGATGGACAGGAAGTCAACGCCAAGTTTCACCGCAGACTGTGCGTGTCTGATGGTGGTACACTTGTGCAGGATAATAGTGCCAGCGGCCTTGAGTTGCTTGATGACCGGTCCAGGACTGTTTCCTGCCGTCTCTACGATGTTGATTTTCTCCTCGATGATAACGCGGGCGTATGCGGCATAATCCGGGGGAACCATGGCAGGAAGGAGGGTCAGGTTGACGCCGAAAGGCTTGTTGGTCATGGTTCGGCATCGACGGATTTCCTTGCGCAGGTCTTCGGGTGTGGGTTGGGTGAGAGCGGTCAACTATGCTATCGTAAGAATGTGAACAACTGCGTGATAAGGTGCAACACGTACTATGCCCAAGCCTCCCGCGTTACTGACAGCGGAAGCAAGCTCAGCATATCCTACCCATTGCATACCACCCTGAACAATAGGCACTACAGACGTTAGTTGCTGGCTTTCAAAGTTGCGCTGATGAAGTTACCTCTGATGCCAAGGGCCCTCGTAAGCTCTGTGTTGAAAGGCATCTTGATTGTAGTCTATGGAAAACGGGTATTCAGAGGTGGGTGTGTGAGTGAGAGCTACACCTAAGCCTCAAGATGAGAAGATATCTGACACTCGGACGCGCGACGTTACGGCCGTTCGCGCCGGCTGGGGCATGTCATTCGTGTGGGGAAGCCATGTGCCTCGGCAACTCCAGCGCCGCGACACCAAACGCAGGTGCGCGTCGGTCGGCTGATTAGTCCTGCACCGACTCGTTCGCCGAATGATTCGATATCGCCGAGTCGCTCGTGATTGTCTGCTGGAACGCTGGCGTGCGTGGAGCTGTTGGCTTGTTGTTGCGAACGTGTCGGTAACGAGACTCAGTGCCGCGACGGGACATGCCGTTCCCCAGGCATTTTCACATGCATCTCGGCAGTGAACGATCACTCCAACACCACCGCCAACTTCTGCGTCCAAACACTCTTTCATCAGAACCAAACATCGGTGAAGAGGTCAGGCTATTTGCCATAGCCTACTTGACCTTCGGTTCTATCTTGCAATCAAGGACAACAACCACTATCTCTTGTGCAAATACCTTAGGTGAGGCTTTCACTAGATCTCTTGCGCATCCTTTTCAGTACCCAGTCTCCGCCTATCGCCTGCAAAGAATTAGATTGTGGCTATCGAGCCTTGCAATCTTGCGACGACTTCAGGTATGCTGCGGATGATGCAGTCGTCACACATGGGCGCAGTAACATGAGCAGATTCATTCATCTTGCGTTGCTTCACAGCGAGTGCCATCCTGTTTATATCCAGCCACATCCGAGCCTCAGTTTGGCCATTATCAACATCTTTCGATACTAATACTAGAGGTGAAGCGGACATGCGATGCAGCCTTTGTGTGGACCCGAGTTCATAGCCGCTTCGCGCTCATGGGTGGCCTTGTATTCGACAATAGCGACATGCCCGTGGATATTGATTCGCTGCAGGACATCCATCACAAAAATGCCATTGACTGTCACACCCGCCGGTGCAGGATAGCCTAGTACAAGCTCGCGCTTCTTTGTGAGATGAGAGATGAGAGACGGCAATACAAGAGCAGAGCAAAGGCAACGGTTCCGCAAAGATCTTGGTATGATTGCAGGCCACGTGGTCCTTGGTTCAGACTATTAAACATCTCTCAACGCACCTTCTAATCAGCCTATTGGACCTTAGCACTGCTATCCGAATTGCGGCGTTAGGTAGGACTAACACATTCTTCATCCGGACCTTCCTCAGTACGATACCATGCCAATCGCATTGTGATCGGTGTTAAGCCTTCGCTTAGAGTCGAAACTCCGCATTAGAAGAGTACATAGCAGTGCTGTTCAACCCGACGATTAGGCAAGTCCGTGCTTGGCAATGACGTAACGAGCCAATGACATACCCCGAGATCCACTGCATCGACAGGACTCGCTGCGGAGATTTTGGGAGGCCTACTTCCTTGGGGTCTCCACACACGTCACATATATGGACTACGATGCCGCGTCTGGGGCACCCAGGTAGAATTTCGAGTTCCGACTCCTACGATACACCATGTGTTGGCCCCTTCTTTTCGCTGCCCTGACCCAGGTCGTACGCGCTGCCTGCGCATCCGAGACATATGACTACGTTATAGTTGGAGGAGGTCCAGCAGGACTTATTGTCGCAAATAGACTATCCGCCGATCCCAATATCACTGTTGCAATTATTGAAGCTGGAGATTCAGCATATGACAACCCGAACGTCTCGTATGTGCCGAAGTCAATTACCGAGTATGGCCTATTCATCGGGACATCAATCGACTGGGGTTATATGACTGCTCCTCAGAAGTATGTGGGAAACACAAGCTTGAACTACTGGGCTGGAAAGGCATTGGGAGGCAGCACTACGATCAATGGAATGACGTACCTGCGCGCTGAAAAGGATCAAATTGACGCGTGGGAAGAATTGGGAAACGAGAATTGGAACTGGGATAATTTATTGGAGTATTTCCTGAAACAAGAGGGGTTCCAGGAGCCGAACGAGGTATTACAGCATGAAGGCGCCATCTTCAAGGATGATGCGCATGGAAGGACGGGAGAGCTTGCTGTAGGCTTCACACCATACCTAGTTGGCCAAGGGTTTGTCGATATCCTCAAAGAGACTTCCGAAGCCATAGGCTATCCTTACAACAAGGATGCGAACGACGGTAACATGCGTGGCTTCAACACCTGGCCTATGACGCTGAACGAAACTGGACCAACAAGAGCAGATGGAGCAAGATCGTTCTACTTTCCTGTTGCATCACGGCCGAATCTCCAGGTTTTCTTCAACACTACAGCTGCACGCATCATCTGGGACGACGAACAATCAGCGACGTCTGGAGTGGTTGCCTTAGGTATTGAGGTGATCGATGCTAGAAACGTGACTGATACTATCAGCGCTTCGAAAGAAGTCATTGTTGCAGCTGGGGCGATCAGATCACCAGCATTCCTTGAGCACTCTGGCGTCGGTAATCCTGCCATACTTGAGCCTCTTGGTATCAAGACTGTCAACCCGCTCCCCTCTGTTGGGTCGAACTTACCAGACCAGCCACAGAATGGAATAGTGTACAACTCGTCCACAAATTGGACGGGTTACCCTACCTTCGTTACATACCCAACAGCTTCCGACCTGTTCGGAGACGAGCTACCCGCGCTCGTGAAAGAGATTCGAGCCAATCTGAGCGCATATGCAGAAACTATCGTCGCAGACTACGCATCCAACACCATATCCGTCGAGACTCAGAAGCAGCTCCTGGAGCATCAAGTAGACCTGGTCTTCGATTCTGAAAGCACCGTTCCGTTAGCGGAAATTCTATGGGCGCCGACAGGCAATCAGATCATCGCACAACTCTGGAATCTGATACCACTTTCCCGAGGCTCAATACACATTCAGTCGACAGATGCAAACTCACCGCCGAGTATCGATCCAAACTTTCTACAGTTGCCCATCGATATTTATGTGCAAGCTGCTGCAGCAATCAGTATACGCAAACATTTTGCGACCTCACCGCTGGCCGAGCACACTGTAGGTGAGGTTTCGCCCGGTTTCGAAGCAGTGCCTCAGCATGCGAGCTGGAGGGATACAGCTTGGGAGACTTGGATCAAGAAGTCTTTGGGCGGTAACTCACATCCTGCGAGTATTTGCGCGATGATCAGTAAAGACCTGAGTGGCGTGGTAGATACGGAAGGCAAAGTTTATGGAACTGAGAATGTTCGGGTTGTCGATGCCAGCGTCTTTCCAACGCAGATTTCGGGGCACCTGAGTGCTTCTGTATACGCCATTGCCGGACGCATCGCGGATATCATCATCAGGGGGAGGTCAGGTTGATAGACAACGGTAATTACGAAGGCAATAAATCTTCCTGGCGCTTGCATACTTGAGACGGCAGGCGTTGTTCATTCGCGATTAGGCGTGCTGCAGCACCCCACTTTTCTACCCCAGGCAGCTATCTCACGTTATTGCCTGCCACAAGCAAGAGTTGTGCCGAAATCCGTACCTTTTGAAGGAGCAGCCCTGCTGCACATACCTGCAGTCATCATTTTTTTCAACATGTATCTGCATTTCCCGAGCTTGGTCTGATAGCATAATGTCGTCGTCGTTCATGACCATACCGCGTGAACTACGTGACCAGATATGCGAATACATCATTTTTTCGCCAGCTCAGCAGCCACGACCGCTTGATCAAACATTCGAAGAGTTAGTTGACGGGTATGTGACCTATGAATACCCAAAACAACGCATGACGACAGGCGCCATGTATCAACCACAGGAATTTGTGTCAAATGTGGAGAAGTTACTACTAGTCAACCAACAGCTGAGAGCGGAAACACTAAAAACGCTGGAACGATTGCGCAGCATCACCTACGATCTTGACATCATAATGGTCGATGATGTTGCGTTGGTAGCCACGTGGACCAACATTCCGGTTTTGACGACCAATGTCGAGCAGCTGAACGTTACATTGCGCATGACGGGCAAGTATAACTACAAGAAAAGGGAGGGAAGAGGCATTACGTGGCGAGAAATACCCCAGGATAGTAAGAAAAGCCCCAGGATACATTTTCACGACATACCAACCTAACCTTGTTCTTGTAGTCGACCACCAGATGTATAGTATATTCGATCGATTCGCCCAAGTTGGGCCACTCAGCGAAAGGAACGTGAAGAGTAAAAACAAGCATTTCACCATCAAAACTATCAATATCAACGTCGAGACACCGTCTCATATCGATCCTCCACGGTTCACTCGTCGTCAAGGTCTTGATCAAAATGAGGTTGGTCGGACCCTCGTAGACTACTTTGTTTGGTTTCTCCGATCTCGTCTGAATGGTAGTTGGCCATACGACACTGGTGTGGTATTTTTCGAGCACGTGGACGAGATTGTGATATATCATGATAGAGTTGAGATGGATCGCTGGGATGTAGCTGTACACCTTGCAGAGTATCCGGAATTGCGAGCGTCTCAGTGGAAGCCAGATTGTAGGAGAGAATCATGGCGGCTGAGGAAGTGCAGGGGGCTGAAAGTGCCTGAAGAGTATAGCCATATGGGCAATTCTTGAATCCGCGACTGAGATAATGTGCAGCAGATATCGTGATGACTCAGTATGAGATGGCGCTTTCATGTGACCATTCAAGACTGCACTTGAACGAGAATAGCTTGTACATAGGGGAGGGGAATGGATGGAAGCACCGATCATTCGGTTGCACAGCTGGTGATTGCTGGGGCTTCGAGCATCTGCAAGATGCATTTTCAGCTGGAGCTCATCTTGTAGCGAGACTAAGGCTCGAAGTACTTCTAATCAATATTAGCCTCTCAAACGAACTGCACCAACTACACGATGCAGTCTCAATATCATAATGCCATGATGCCATGTGATCCTCCTTCGTACCAGAGTCACTCTTTTGAGAGGCCGCACCATTACCGAACAATGTATCTCAATCGTCCGGCGAGCTATTGCGTTTAGCGATAGATTGGATCCCAAGAGCACCAACCACAATTCAGCTAAGAAAGCGAGCCCTTCAGGTGAACCAGACCCCCAACATCATTGACGAACGCGTCTTATTGACTCGTCTAGAAACCTGTCGTGATTCCGAGATTCGATGCAAGTGGTTTACTAGGAACCCCGTTTTCATTCATACGTGCGTACAACCCTAAGCTTCGTTATTTTGATATCCACGAGAACGACTTCGTCGCCTTCATCGACAATCTCAGTTTCGCTCAAGCTCCACCAGTTCCGCTCCAGGTGATGGACACAGCAGGATATGTAGTAGGTATTGTGTACGTTGACCTCTCGTTTCGATCCTTGAAATATTCTTACAGAACTGGTAGACCACATCATTGGACGATGCTCGCAGGGGCTAGCATGAACGTGGTGGCCGGTGTTGGAACTGCTGCTACAACCAAGACACGGACCCAGCGCTTTCTGGAGACGATAAACCGTGAGTACTTCGCGCCTCGCAGTCTAAAAGCTTCCATCTGTAAAAACATGGAACTGGAAGAGAAGCTTCAATACAATCTAGATAAGTCATCGTTAGCGTAAGTACGCTCTTACTGCATTGAGCGTCAACCTCTGACTCTGCAAAGGCCACTGGAGAGCAGCTCTTTACCCCAGACAACAGCACCACTGTCGTTCGATGTTCCTCCACCGATGGAGTAGCGCAATGCTCTCGATAAAGTGGCTGCAAAACAGATTGAACGGCGCATTAAGAAGAAAGAAGAAAATAACCACAGCTCACACTCCAGCATGAATTCTGTGTCTAGCGCCTCTAGCATAAGCTCCATCGAAGATTCCACATCAAAACCGCGCACTGCGCTTAACTGTAGACAAAAAAGGAAAGCTGACAAGGCGGAGCGCGAACGAGCAAAGAAGGAAGAGAAGAGATCCAGAAATCAAGACAGGAGAGAGGCGAAAGCTCATGGCAAACAAGGAAAAAGGGTGGGAAAAGACCAAAAGACGGTCGAAAAGGTGAAGTACATTGTCGTTGAGCCATTACATGCGCAAACGTAATAGGAGAGAGCAGAAACCTATATGATATATATCCGTTATTAACAACGTGATGAGGTGGCGTTATGACCTTTTTGTTTAACGACGCTTCATTTACCGATTTCAAGAAGATTTTTGGCCGATCTCCATAGCCCCCATTTACCAACCGATATGTCTTGCATGACTGACTGTAACCATGCCCTCACCACAGTTTCTTTCTCGCCGAGCCCGTCATACGCCATGCGTAGGGGGAAAAGTAAGGCAAAAACACCCTGCTCACCCCACATATCTTGCTGATGGTAGTTAACGCTGCGGCATATGGAAAGCGCCGCTACTGATATACGCTCTTGTCGCATTTGGTTTTCGTACGATGACCTCGAACCAACGTCGATGCTATCGGAAAATCGAAGAGCCAATATGATAGCGCCGTTGTATATCGTCATAGCGTTCGCATGATAGAAGGATTGGTAGTGGAAGACGGTAGACCAGGCAGGATGTAACACGCCGCACTCATCTTCGATTAGTGGTGTTGTTCGTGGCGCGGCAATCTCGTCTGGGGTGTGAGACGGATCAGATGTAAAACGCTCTGCCCAGTCATCCAAGCCGGCGACAATTCGATCGCAATCGAGAGAGAGATTTTGTGCCACAGCATTCCTTGTTTCTTCATTGACGTACGACGGTAGCTGATCGCGCACAACGAAAAGTCGAGGGCAGTCTGCGAGAATATCGAACAGAAGCTTAAGCCAGTCAACGCGCTCTGGATGCAAGCACCAAGGATCGTGTTTCCACTCAGCGTTTGACATTATCGTCGGCTTGCGCAGGACAAGAGCGGCGAATATCAGTGACGGGCGCGTCCTTTCCAGGACCATAAGACATGGGAGTGATGCCATAGCTTCAGCCCCTCGAAGTTCGAGGAGTCTCTCAAGTCCGCGAGCATGTTTTATCCAACCACCTTCGCTGTCTGAGACAAGAAACTGATAGCTGTGAGAAAAGGTGTACGCTGCAAAACATGCGACATACCTCAATGAGTGACATGACCATGACCGCCTCAAGCAGATCAAATGAAGGTGAAGACATCGATTCTTCCAAAGCTGAGTGCACGGTGTTGAGTGCACCACTGTACCTCTTGAACCCAAACTGGGTAATGGCTCTATCCTGGCGCTTGATACCAAAAAACAAGGTAGCGAGTGAAAGAAAGGACTCAGTTGTCATGATCCCAGGAGCAACACCTAGGACACCTGATTTCGGTAGAAAGTGTAAGAGAGTGAATGCAGTGAAGACATCATCGCGAGGAAGTGACAGTCCTGGATGAATCCGAGAATCAGGTTGCTGAACATTCGCTGGCGCCGTCGTCCTGACTTCGAGAGCAGAAGAAGCCGCGAAATCACGATCCTCAGGCAGAGTGGTATTGCCATGTCCGTCGAACTGGATGATTGCGATACCGCGAGGGCCACCACATGGTAGTCGCGCTTTGATGCATCGTTCGCACTGCGGCTTCGAAAGATCTCATAACGTCAACAGGCGCGTCAGAGCTGAGGCAGCTGGGACAGACCTACCACATTTTATGCGCCGCCTTTTGCAGTTATCGCACGCCTTAGAGCGACCGCCGACTCCGACCATGTGCAAGTTACATGTCAAGATTGGTGAGGTGATGAATGTATGAGGTTGGGAGATGACGAGTCACCCTTCGGATGGCGCGTGCGCGGCGCCATTTTGCCCCTCACCATCCGACGACGCGCCTTAGAAGATATACATACCCATTTCGGAGCTATCGACATAGACAAGCTACGCTGGTATTGTCATTCCCTCCTTTATCACCGGCTCCACTATCTGTTGCTACTACGTGAAAGGTACTTCGTACCCAGGCGATTCTATAATCTTGTACTCTGTAAAGAGACAACCATTTAGGCTCCAGAGCGCGGGCTGGACTTTCCGCCAAACGGGTTACAGCTAAGGATGCAGTTCCCTATAGAGGAGAAAAAGCTAGAAACGATTGGTGGAAGTAGTTGGTATATTAGTTTATCACTGCCAGCGACACTCCCTCTCTCCTGGACTGTGTACACAGCCCACGAACACCCTCCAGACGTCATTTCATCATGATTTAGACAGGCCCCTCCGCATCTTGGAAAGGTAACTCGATCTTGACGTCGAAGCCAAACATAGTGCTTTCAGCTCCATCAACCATGTTTTTCCCAACCCTGTAGCGTCCATACCGTACGAATCCAGCATCAACCGGCTGGCACGGGCCCCAATACACAATCTTCATGATCCACCTATCTTCCAGAGGGTCTTTGTAAAAGATCAGTTGCTTGCCCTGTCCAGAATCGCCTGTCATCTCGAGAAACTTTTGCCCACATCTTCTGATGAAGATATGGAAGAAAAGACACTCAGATGCAAGACATTCTTCAGGACTGTATCTGCCGCCCTGAAGTTCGTATCCCATCGGGTGAAGAAGAAGACATACAGCCAATATCTTCGTCCGTTTTGCGTGCTTTCGCATAGTGTGAGTGACTCGGGCCTTCAGGGTAGTGTGCTTGGGCTTGCCAGGTATAGAAATCGTGACTTGGGTAAGCGGTGTGCCATAGGCGTGTTCGGGTGGGAGCTCAAAACGCAGATTATCCTTTAACATACTGCGATCGAGTTTCCAGGCATGCTTGAGATTAAGGACTACTCGAACCGTCGATACCAGCCTCTCCATCTCGGAGTTAGTAGTGCGACAAGCAAGATATAGACCGCCGGCATCGGGCATGCGTCCATCAGCCAAAGCGTCAGTGAGGAGGTGACGGTAGACCTCGCGTCGTAACTCTGTGGGTAGATCGAAGAATCGGAAAGGGTCTTTTCTGGCCATGTCTGCAAACGTCTTGTCTGTGTTGAGTTGAAAAGTTTCTGTTAGGGATTTGGCATGGCGCTTTAGACCGAGAGAGTATGATTGCCGAGGAACCAGTGAAGGGCAAGTGAGTACACAACAGCTGAGGGCGATGCAGTGAATTTCACTTGGTAGTAGCGACCAATGTTCGTCACTCAGCTATTCTCAATGACTTAGCCATCGATCAGGAATATATTCCACCAGCATTGACCGTAGCCCCTTTCCATTCACCAACGGCGGTAACCCCTCCACAAAATCAAGGCAAATCGTCCATGCAGGATTCGGAGTCGTTCGACCAATGCCAATCCACCATCTCTTCACCTCGTCCCGTAGTTTCTCTTTCATCCAATGGCCTTCATTCATTTGATTTGCTCCAGTTCCGTACATTGGACTCGGAGGTGCTCCAAAAGTACCCAGGTCGATCATCAAACGATCGAGGTTGAAACGAGGTCGTCGGCTATGGGTCAGTGCATACGTATGTCCCAGTAAAATGCTTGAAATGTCGATACTAGCAAGCCACCATACGTCTCTTGTGGGAAGAGGGTAGTAATACCTTATGGTGAGAGTTGAGAGTTTTCGTATATGAAATGTTGCGTCGGAGATTTTCGACGGTACGAAATCATGTGTAATCTGGAAGCTACTCTTATTGCAGCGCAAAGACAAAGAAGGAAAACATGCCAAGTCTCGTTTATCTGTAGGGATACTTAGATTCGTAGACTGAACCATGGTTGCGTTTGAGAACCCTCCCAATCATCGTTCCACAATTCATCACTAACCCCACGGTCGCCAAACCTCCGGTCAAGCGCGCAATCGCATCCAAAGATGGCCAATGGACACCAAAGATCAAAGACCAAAGACCAAAGACTGAACAGTAATTCTTATACATTCAAAAAAAAAAGCCATCTATATCTATTCGAAGGATCTGTCAACGAGGTGACGATGAGTGTAAAACGCTGATGCCATAAATTCCCAATTGAGCGCCAAATAGATGTCCAGCAAATGCCCATGATCCCTACGATGTAGTATCCAGCAGACTATCTCGAAGTCTGGTAAAACGAAAAGAAGTAAAGTAAACAGGTATCAGTTGAGAAGGTACAAAACAAAAGGTAAAGCATGCTTATGCTCACTCCGCCCATGCTTGGTATGAAAGAAGTCGCAATAAAATGGCGCTCATCCCTCTTCTATACACGCCAGAAATACTGGTGTTCAGATATATCGTGTCAACACGCGCTTTGATGGTCATTGGTCGTGTGAGACCTTGTTGTTCCGTTTCGTCGTCTCGCTCAAGGCTTTTCCTTGTACTTGGCCATCCTCTTTACGGGATGGAGTAGCATACCCGGTATGCACATTCTCTTCTGCTCCAGCTCGCCGTCTGAGCCTGGCCCGCCGTCAATCTTTTCCGACTCTCCCCAGTTTTGTTGTACAATGGGCCAGTTGAGCCATCTTCGGTATAAATTACGTGGGAATCGCGATGCGTAGTACCAACTCCAGCCTTGGAAGTTGAACTCACGGTCGTGGTTGTATGGTGAGTCGGCTTCTTCGGTCCAGGCGCCTTGGCGGTGTTCCAATGCTTCGCCTGTGTCCTCGTCTACGGTCGATGCGGTATCGAAGATGGCTTCGGTGTAGGCAGCAGGCCAGTGACGGTCGTTAAAAATTGGGTGAGGCGCGTAGACGGCCTTCAAACCGTGTTGGAGTGCAACCGTTGATGGCCACATCTCAGCTTGCATACTGCGTCCAACCAAGTTCTCTTCGTGCATAGCCTGCAACATCTTCTTGCTAAACCGTACAACCGTGTTGATAAACGTCCGGCGATCAATCTCCTCGAAGATGGGATGTGTGAACCAATCGGCCTGGCCATCTTCCGGTGTGAAGATTGGTCGGATGTGTGGGAGGTAGTTCCAGATCTTGTCTTTGTAAGACCAGGTCGTGTTCCTCGGATCCCACATCGGAAGAAGGGTGATGAAGTCCGCAGGCTCAGCGACACCCCACTCAAAGTTGTCTTCCTCCATGGTTGTTGGTGGTGTAGGACCCAGTGGTTTCTGGGGAGGAATGGCCAGCCTCCATGGCCGTGGCCCCCAAACAGGTGGTGGGATGAGCGAGTTTGCTGATGCGTTAAGGACGTCTTTGTGCGTCTGCTCGACGAAAGATTGGTAATCGCCATGTACGCTCGGAAGATAGTAGCGCTTGTTGCGTTCCCACAATAGCTTCCTGGGTTGCTTGTCCGCGAACTCGCTAATCTTCTCGAAGAAATGATAGTGGTGTCCAGTGTATCTTGCGTCGGTTTCCCAGTTCCAGACGTAATCAAACTCGGGATGGGTAAGGCTGAACCATTGTAAACACATAAATTGTTGCCAATAGACCTGCCAGTCCATGACCTTGGGATACCATTTCGGAAAGATGGACTCTGACCACAGGATAGCGATGTCGCGTAGTTCCTCGGGGACGTTCTCTTTTAGAATGCGATCGTATTCATACTGGCTGTCGAAGATGGGCGCATCTCTGTCCTTTACGTGGACGTAAAGGTAGACCTGGTATTCACCGCCGGACTGAAGGGAGAGCTCAGAGACCATGGCACGAATAGCGGTGATATCGTTCTCTTCGTAGTTGTATCCAGTCCATGCACGGATGAGGATGGCTGTGCGGTGGTGGTACTTCTTCTCGCCCTCGTCGCGGTTCTCCAGGTTGCTTCGGCTCGTGTCTGTGGGGATCGCGAATGCAGATGACGCCACAGCGGGCTCGGGAAGGATGGTGCTGGGAATCTTTACAATTGGCGATCGAGCCTTTGGCCGGTAACGCTCCTTGTTGCGCTCGAGACAATCGTCCTGCAGCGCGCCCCAGTTTACCTGGGGCCACTCTGGAACTGTCTCTGGCGCCTTCCAGTCCTTGACCTCCTCTGGAAACTCATCGTCGCCATATCCGTACGGGCCGTATCGGGAGTATCGGTCGAAGCAAACATCGTCGTCCAATCCAATGACATCATACCCACCAGCGTATACGGGGGGAAAGTCCTCGGGGATGCCGCGGTAGACTTGGACCTCATCGTCAGTGCTCTCATTGAGCATCTTTCCTCGTGGACCCAGACAAGCTACATGTTCGCCGTGCCACTTCTTCTTCCATTCCGGAGTGTTGTACTTGGGAAACGGTTTGTATGCGATCGGATCAGACGCAATCGTGTCATTAAGCTTGTTATGGCTAGACTCGTAGATGCGGTAATCCCTACATATGGTTAGAACCACCAACGTTGCGCGCACAAGATACAAGCACTTACAAGTCGAATTGCTCCCATCGGTTGGGGTCGTACTTCTTGTCGACGTAATCGCCAAACGGCGGCCAATGACCGTTCCAGCTCGGTCGCGGCCAGTCCAGCATCTTCGTCATGTACTCTTTCCAGTTGGTCGGTTTCGGGGTAGGAGGGATAAAGGAGCCAGTTCTCGAAGGTGCTGTCACCCATGGCGGGTAGGATTTGGTGGGCTTTGTCGCGTCCACCTCAGGCTCGCGCGTGGCCTCCATTGGCGGCGGAATGACCTGTGCTGCGCCAGTTGGCAGTTGCGCATCAGTGGTGCTGGGCTTCGCGCCAGGTACAGGCACGGCATGTCCCCATGCATCTTCAGGATGCGCTTGCGACTCGCCTAAGCCTTCGTTTAGGAGCTCCTGTTCCTGTGGTCTCCTTCCCGGGTTGAAGAGCGGCATGCGCTCGTAAACCTGGTCTTGCGCCCATGGACTCTGATGCAGTACGGCGAAGATGAAAACCAAAGCGATAAAAGAGAGTATCGCAAATCTGCGGGGTGATCGGACAAACATGATGTCGGTGTTGTTCGTATTCGTATCGATCTAGTGGTATACACTAACCTTATGCCGGTATGGTACCTATTGTACTGGGGTAGTCGTATCTTTACCGATAGTGTAAAAGCTGCATCGCTTGAAGGTTGCTAGGGTGTAGCGCGAATGAAGGACTAGCGACTGATGGCGAAGAGGAGTGGTGAAATGGTAGAGGTGGTAAGGACAGTGGTGTTTAAGGATGGTGGCGATGATCTGGGTGAAGGCGCCGCCGAGCAATGCTAGCTTGAATGCAAAGGAAAGGAAGGCGGGGCCGGCTTGGGTGAAGAAGGCAAGAGAGATGGTCAATCTGTTTATCTTGCTCGGTGGTTCCTGCCGCACGTGGACTGGTCGGGAAGATGGCAGTGCAAGACTGAAAAGAGCGTACGAGGTTTCTGGAGGAGAGCAAGCATCAAGAGAAAAAAAACAGACAATGATTAGACGGAAATGACGATACCCAGAGCGCGGGACAAGACGACTCGACAGGGTACGAAATTGCACGAGCAGAAGAAGCGTCGAACACTCTCAAACGGCAGTACGCGGCCAGAGCCTCGTCGATCTGGGTGTCCCCATCGGTTTTGGCACCAACACACCTTAACCCCCAACTCCCGCACCGCCACCCGCTCCGTGCTGCAAGGTACTCCAGGGGAGGGCTGACGCGTTGCACACATGTTGATCGCCTAGCGACGAGTAGTGGTTGCGTCTGAGTGGTGCCATGTCTTCCTTCACGTCGGTGCTTGCGCGTTTCGCAAAATCTTCCGAGCGGCAGAGCCGTCGCACCATGCTCGCGACTCATCTATCCGGAGGAAGGATGGAACTAGTCTCAACGACTGATATGGCGACTTGTCCATTTCACCTTGCACATTTGCAGATATTTGGGGGCGCACGCAAACAACAGCACTCTCACTAATGGTAGCACGCGGCGCGGCATTGTTCGATGACGGCGGTCGAGACACTGTCGCATTGTCGTTGGTGGTATAATCAAAGATAAGGAAGGCGTCTATTACCCAAGCGAAACGGAACGACTCTGAGGTCGTCATCTTATTCAGCCGATCCCACGGACATGTGCACCATCAGTCCCATAGTAAACCCTGCATCAGCGAACACATACCCTGAGCAATGAACAGATAACGTTGAATGGAGAAAACCCTCTCTTCGGCCCTTCTGTCCAGACAAATTAAAGATTTGCAAACACAATACTAAACGTTCCGCCAATCGTGAGGCGACCGCCAAACAGACGGGCTGCAGTGCAACGACGCGTACACTGTCAAGCTTCATGCAATGCAATGCACCGTGCCAGACAACGACGGGTAACACATTTGGCAGGTTGTGCAACTTGTGCATCCTGCAGGATCGATATTGTCATGAATGCTATCTAGCTACCGTTCCCAAGTCTATGGTGCATTTTGCCATAACGCCCTCTGCATCTGCGTGCAATGATATTGTCATGATCAGCGTAACCCTTCGTCCTCCGAGTCTTCCATTACCCGCACCCCGCACTATCTGCTATGGCCGGCAATTCTGGACTCGAGGGCGCACCGACGTACAGTACGTCCTCACTTCCACTTCTGCACCACTACACCACCACGTTTGAACTCTGAAATGTCACCCAGCACTTGGGCCTTGTCCGTCAGCTCTTTGCTGGGGAACGTGGTCATGAGCGCCCAATCACGATCCTGACTGGCGGGGCTAGCTCTGTTGACAAAGTCGTAGACGTCGCCAATAGTGTGTGTAGTGTTGAACCGCGACGACAACCGTGTACCGTCACCGAGGCGAACTTGCAGTGTGAGGGTGGGGGCTGATGAATCGATGTCGACTGTAGGTTGCCCAGAGGCTCCCGGAGTCGAGGCTCCCGTACTGCTTGAAGCAGCAGCAGCCGGCATGGGAGCAGCCGCTGAGCTTACACCAGGGGTGGGGCTACCCAGACGGTTTCCGCTACCCGAGAAGGGAACGTACTTTTTCTTTGGCTTTTTGTAGTCCTCGTCCTTGTGCGCATGCACCTCGACATCCACCTCCTGGCCATGTTCTACATTTAGGATATGTAGTGGAGCGTGACCCGTGTTGATCATCTCCAATGTGCGTGCGTTTGCCGGATCATCGTAGCGGAACAGGTCGCCGTCATCTACTGAGAAGCCGTCACGCCAAAGGTGAAGTTCACGATGGGCGCGCGGGGGCGGTGCGGGGATGTTGGCGGTGGGGTCTGGAATGGTCCGGGAAGGAGCATCGTCGCCTCCAAGGGTAGTACCTGCACCACGAAAATAAGAGGAGCTTGCTGGCTGCTCTTCGTCACCGCCTGGTCGGGGAGCGTTCCTACGTCTGTTAGTTGGAGCGGCGCAAGCAATGCTTGGCTGACTTACTGTCGTGCCCGTTTCAAGATGTTGTTGATCTGGTCGCGCGGATTGGACTGGTTCGGGTTCTGAACAGCAAGACCTGATTTCTCACCGCCAGCGAAGAAATCCTGGTTCTCGTCGTCGGGGTGGTCCTCGTCATCATCATCGTCGTGGGCGTGCCCATGTCCGCCACCCGACGACTGAAGGTCCCTCAGCGTGCGCGCACCTGCCACACCCCTCTGCGTTGGCTGTCCGCGAGCTGCAGCTGGCTGCGATGATGAAGACGATGCTGCCGGCGTCGGCGAGGGCACATATGCGCCTCCAAGGGTACGTCCACCACCAGCTCCGGTAGGCGGAGGGTTCTGGGTAGGGTCTGTGTTTGACTCGTCACCGGCCATGTCGACGTCTGGTTCCGAAGTTCCCTCTTGTTGCTCGGCGGCCTCGTCGAAGAAGAGAGATGCAGCGAGAGTGAGATCTCCGTTGGAAGCGTTCAAGTAGCGTTCTGCCTATTGTTCGTGTTAGTGAGCAGCTCTAATAGCTTCGATGAGCTTCTATCGACGCACTGTTGCAGGATCAAGGCCAGTCAGGCTAGCAAGCTGGGCGATCAGAGCGTCGTTGTCGGGTACAGCTTCAGACATTACAGCTTGGTAGTGATGTAGTTGAAGATGAGTGTGTTGTTGGGGTTGGGATAGTTTGAACGCGTTGACTGGTTGCAGTGGGGTCTATGTACACTGTCAGAGCGGCGAGCTTTGTTAGGTACAGCAGGCGGTAGCTGGTGACGTCGCTTGCTCTTGCTGTTCCACCTTCACCGCGCACTGCAAACAAGTTCGTGAAATATATGTCTTGTCTGACCTGGAAACACGTCTATTGCTCAAGTTAGGTATTCTATGTCTTTGCCTTTCACAATACGTGAGGCGAATTGAGCTGCCTAGACAATGCACCAGCTTCCGACGTGCATCAACGTTCCGAGAAATGCCAAGAGAATTAATGTGAGCCTCACCAACACCGACGAGCATCTACCTCGGGGATATCGCGCGATCTCACCCACACGCGCTATCAGACTTCATCTGGCGCCATAGACAACAACCCAGGTCAATTGAGAAGGGTTGAACTTACACGTTACCATCCTTCAGCTCAAGCCAGACTTGCGCCATCTCCGCATCACCTCCGCGTGGGGCTCCTCCTAGCACTCGTTCAACATCTACCACCCAACACCGCATACCCGGAACACCCTCCCACCACCACACTTGTCTCGCACCCAATACACGCACGCTCTCCGAAATGGCGTCCGACGCAGCCAACCTCACCGAATCCGGCATAACCATCCCCTCGGATAGCGAAAACTACGACGCAAACAACGAACTTAGCTCTTCCTCCCCAGCATCCTCAAGTTCCACTCCTTTGATTCTGTACAAGCCCCCCACAATCTGGGGCCTACTCCGTGGCGCAGCAATAAACCTCTTCCTGCCGTTTGTCAACGGATTGATGTTGGGCTTTGGAGAGCTAGTCGCGAACGAAGCTGCATATCGGTTGGGGTGGAGTGGTACAAAGGTACGTCAAAGCATTGCAGATAAAGTATTTCATGGTGGGGAAACATGCTAACAATGTGCGATGCAGATATTCCCGTCGCACCGCTCCGGATCCGATTCTCGACGCGTGGGTCCTGGTGTGGAAATGCGTGCTGATCCCGTGGAGCGAAGGCGGAGGAATGGACAGGAATTGGACATGTACACGTCTCTCGAGTAGACAAGGGATAGAGTGTAAGGAATCCTGGGACACATCTGTATATACAAGTGCGATCGACGGCATGGCGTTTGTAAACATAACGAGCGAGATTTCGATACATTCAACAGTGCAAACACCGACATGGCAAGTTTGATCCGGAGCATATGCATATGCAGTATTTGTACAAAATCTCCCACTATGCGTACTGGCCAACTCCTATTCACCCCGTACCTGCTTCAAGATGCACGTACTAATCCTACTACTAACACAAGGTCGAACACCTTTCACGTCAACGCATATATCATACAATTGCCTTCACGTCTCTACCACGTCTCTTGATAGTCTCTAAGCCCTGTTTTGGAACCTCCGCCTCCTTTCAATCTCGTAGTCCTCAGCCTTCTTCTTCCTCTTCGCCTCCTCAGTTGACATCTTCTTGTCTCCGAAGCCCACCTTCCGAAGTCCGTCGTCAGTGGCATTGGTCATTCTCCTCCATATGTAGCTAAGGCGGTAGTTCCTGCGGTAGTAGTCCAACTTCTCGTTGATTGGCTTGCCCTTGGCGCCTTCCTCGTAGTCCACATCGCGGTCAGGGTATTCCGTGTTGATCTTGGGTGCCTCCGGCTTGAGATGCGCAGGGAGCGCAACTCCTGGCTTGACGTTGATACCAGACAACTGACGACGGTTGTTCGGGACAGCTGTGCGGGTAGGAGGCTGGTAACGAACTCTGCCGTCTGATCCCTTGATGTCTTTCAATTTCAACTCGCCCTTGGCGACTTTAGTGTAGAGCTCCGTACTCGCTGGACTGGGTAGTGTTTTGATACCAATCATACGTCTGAAACCGTTCTGGCGGAGGAGCCAACCCGTAAAACCGCCCATGATACCGGACACAAGGAAGTAAAGTTGGAGAGCGGAAGGCTGGAACGCTGTGACGAGACCGAGGAAGATTGAGAGACCAGTGAACATGTATTGGCGTGCAGCGGCTTTACCAACATCGGCTTGGATTCCAGTTTCACCTCCAGTCTATTCGATCCATCAGCTTAAGACAAGAAATTGTTCGAGGGGATAGACTTACCTTGAAGACAGTGTACATGATGGCTGAAGTGGCAAAGGGTAGAACGAAATAAGGATCCCGAGCGGTCAGATCAGTAAACCACAGGAAACCGTCATGAGCCATGCCAGGGACAGGCAACTCGCCCATAGCTCTCAAGAATCTGAAGGCCGAAAATCCAATCCAGGCTTGCATGAACATGAAACCTCCAGTAGAGAGAATACCTCCCATATAAGGCCTCATGATTTCGGCCTGCTGCATCTTGTACAGGTCGACTTGCTGCTTATCGCCTCGAGCGATGGCAGCCTCCATCTTCTCTTGAATAGGCTTGGTGATGGGTCCCAAAGAGGCCATGGCTGCCATCTTGTCCGAGCTCATAGCCTGAAAGACGAAGGTCGAGCAACGAACAACAAGACCAGCAGCAACGATGGACCCAGCCCAACCCCAGCCTGATTGTAGGTAGATGGTTTCGATGGTCTTCTCGAAAAGAGTCGTCATACCCCAGCCGTAGTCGAGACCCAGCTCCTTCAGTTGTCCTGCATGGTCGATTAAGCGGGTAGGATCAATTTCAGCCGTGGGGAGAGTGTCCTTGACAGGCTCGGCACTGAAGACGCCATCGAGTGTTTTGGGTTCAGTGTAGGTAGATGCGGTTTCCACTGCCGCTTCGGTGGACACGGATGCTCCGTCTACGACGGCAGGCTTATCAATGGCTGCAGGGGCGAGCTCGGGTGTAGATGTGGTGACGACAGGCTCGGCATGTTGTTGCGCGAACTCGGAGACGGGACGATTCGAGAATTCGGCGATTGGCACTCGCTCGGCAGGCGTAAGGGAACTGGCGTCGACAGGACTGCTAGACTTGCCCCAGCTCCAAGGAGCGTACCACGAAGCGTTTCGGACAGATGTCGCACTCAGCATGACATTATGAGTCCGGTTCGCGCCCGACTTCCACAGCGCCGACTGGAGCGGGCTCGCCCGACATGATGGGCCTGAGAGGTTGGCAGTTCGGGGAAGGGAGGAGAACTGCTGCAATTAGTACATAGAAAAAGCCCGTTTTCAACCTGAGCACAGCTGTGGTAGAGTCTTCATGGAAAGGAAGCTGTGCGGCTTGGGTATGGGAACGCGAATGTGTGAATTCAATGAGGTGGGTAGCTAAATTTGTAGGTATGCGCACCTTCCTTGTAGCATTGGATCGTAGCACGGTCGATTGTCGTGAGGCCAAGGGCGCGAATTGGGCCGGCCGCAGCCCTCTACTTGGAAGCATTGCGATGTGTCGTCCGACATCATTGAGCATCAGAGTCGGCTTTAGAAAAGTCGTGTGCACGGGCCTCGTTCGTAGCGCATTTCGAGCAAACCTCCGAGATCCCCGCATCACGCGCACAAACTGGCCTCAGCTCAGACATCACCAAAGGCCTCAGTTCTTAAATTGTTGCACCATGCGATTACTATCGAACTTTGAATTAAAACTTCGACTCCTTCACACGCCATTGTGGGTATGCTGGCTGGTGGCCCTCTCGTGCTCCCTAACACCCATCTGATGCAAAAAGCAGCGCCATGCTAACATGAACACCGAACCTTGCAGTAGCTATAGGAGCAGCTACTAAGCATCGATGAATCGTGAAATGATAAAACAATGACAACGCTGAATACAACACCCGTGTAATCCCAAACCGATACATGAGAACGAACCGTATTGTACAACGGTCCTTGCCGTACGCCGCCCTAGAATGCTTATAGGAAATTATGCGCCATCGTCTGGCAGTCGTGGCGTGTAGCCGTCGGAGTTCTAATCCATGTAGTTATTGCCCTCGGTGACAGCCAGTGCTTCTTCTGCCTGGCCACCACCCATCTCCATCGCTTCCCCAAACATCTCGTGTCCACTACCGGAGCTCTTGAACGGGTCTTGCATGGGACTAGTCGGAGCGGCTGGGCCTGAACTCTCAAAGAGACCTGGATCGATAGGCGCAATAGAAGAACCTCCACCAAAGCTGAGTGGAGCCGTCGTAGCGAATGTAGGAGAGTTGCTGAATGTAGATGTGGTCGTTGTGTTAAAGTACTCGCTGCTTTCACCAGCACCTTGACGAGGCTCGCCAGGGGGAGTATGCGATTGCTCACCAGCATCAGATTGTTGGCTCGATGTCTTTAGACCTTCTCCATCCTTGCGCTTAAACTGATGAGTCTTGGTCTTGAGGTGCTGCGGGAGATCATCCGGATTGGTGATGCCCAGCTGGCTCATAAGCTTCTGTTGCTTCGTCGGTCGAGGCTTACGCGTAGACAGAGACACTTGTAGAATCGGCGGCGGGGTTGGTGCAACCGGTGCCCACTTGTGCAACTCTTGGCGGAAGAAGTTGATCTCATTCGAGAGAAGAATCTCAGCGCCCTCAAGCTTTCGTAGGTAGAACCGTTGCGTAGTGAGTTCATCGGGGCTTGACATCAGCGGGTTGATGTACTGCGCAACGTAGTCACGGAACTTGGTACCGTGCTCGATAAGTGACTCCAATGTGTCTTCTTCTTCAGGTTGGAACGGCAAACCAGGGACTTCGTCTTGCCAAAGCTGCAGGTCCTCTAATTTAGGGCGAGTCGCATCGCGTGGGATCTTGACACGGTAATCGCAGATGGGACATGTGTATTTGTCGTCCTCTTTGACTTTTCCGCGCGCAATCTTTAGGCACTTGCCGTGGTACCTATCTTTGTTAGCGCATGTCTTCTTGCCCTGGAGTGGACAATCTTACCATTCATGACACAGTTCACACTCGATCATCATGCCAGCTTCAGGTTTTCGACAGATACAGAAAACATCTCGACTAGATCCCGAACCGTCCACCTCTTCCCCATCAGCTGGGCTCTGTTCACGAGAGGCGGGCTCCACAGGCATTCGAGGCTGGTCAGACAAGTCGAAGCAGGAACGATTGCGCTCGTCAACCTGCTTCATGTGCGCATGCAGGATATGTAGGGGCGCATTGGCTTTGCCAAAGAGCTTCTTTCCTCGTCTCATCCAATCTTCGTGTCGCTTTTGCTCCTTTTCAAGGTCATTCGTGCCATTGGGCTTGCCGTTCAGCGCATTCAAGGACTCCATGGCATTGCGTACCTCCATGTATTTTGGTCGCTCAGAGAAGTCAGGGTTTTTGCTTCGCTCGTACAATGACATGATAAGCTCTTGTGCATCCCGTTGTTTCTTCAAGATGGCGTCCATCGCGGCGCGGGTCTCTGGTGTTACGGGCAGGTTGGTCGCTTGCTTGGAGAAAGCGTCGAGTTGCTGGTAATGCACATTCTCTACTTCCATGAGTTCCTTCGCCTTCTTCTCCCAGAATTCGCCTTGGTCCCGTTTGTCCTGCAGGAAGCGAAGATCGGGATGGTGCTCTGGCATGCCGACTTCAACACCACTCTTAATGAGCTCGCCGACTTCTTGAAGCGTCGGTGCAAGCTTCACCTTGAAGTCCTGCGCTTCTTGGAGCCATTTCAATTGCTGTACCACTTTTTCAAGAGATTCAAGCTCGGGGAGGTCGACGTTGAAACCTTTGCCTTCCTCCAGAAGCTCATCAAGCCGAGCAATACTTTGCTCTGACGTGCGTTCGCGTAAAGCAGTACGCGCTCTAGTCTGAAACTCGACAATGCTCTCAGCGCGTTCTCGGAGCGTAGTTATTTCCGGGCTATCGAACCCTAAGTCTTTTGCTTGATTGAGAAGTTTCTGTATGTTCTCCACATTGCGGTATTCGCGATCCTTCTCGTCTGCCTCGGCGATGTTCGCCTTGCTTGGCCGTCCTCTCCCGGGGCGTTCTGCTTTTCGGCGGGCTTGTTGCTTCCGAGTGGTATAGAGAACAGCTTCCTCAGCAACTTCCTGGCATTTGTCGACGAATTCTTTCAGGTCCTGAAGGCCATTGAGATCCCAATCAATCTTCTCGCCCTCGTTTAAGAGCGCGCGCAAAGACTTCAGTTGAGGTCGGGGCCCTTCAGCAAGCAGAGCCTCCATCTTCGATTCCCAAGCTTCTGGCGTGCCTGCTTTGTCGACGATCTTCTGAACCAAAGTAGTGAGAGCATCCTTGGGCATGCGATATACTAGCTTGTGTTGACCTTGGGCTCCAAAGTAACGCTCAGATTCCGGAGTCTCTGGGCAGCACTCAAACCATCCGGCATGCTGTAGGCACAAGACCTTCTTAGTCTTGCTACAGTAGAATCGGGACAGGTAGCCATAGGACTTGCAGAAGGCGCATATCAATTCATCCTCATGCATGTCGGCATCATCGATGACGAATTCAAGCTCACATGGGTTTTCGCTATCACCGGTACCGTCGATCTTGCAAGTATGAGGTCTAATAGCTTTGTGCTTCTCGAGGAATTCGGCACGTATACGCGATTCTCGTTCGAGCATTCGCTCCATCGCAGGACCAAGCCATTTGGCAGTCTTAATGGTTGTATCTTTACGCGATGCCGCCGCCAAGAGTAGCTCGTCGTGAGAGAAGCATGGCTGACGTCGGTAATCCTGAAGGCGTTGGACTCCGTGCTCACCAAATGGCTCCCAATCACTCGGCGCGAAATTCACAGCCTCGTTCAGGTTAAAACCGTGGTTAAAACCGGCATGATAGGCTTCCGGGAATGTTATCACGAACTCGCCAGCACGTTGATCAATCGCATAAACTCTGACACCAGCTTTCAAGAGTTGCTCCGGGGTCAAAAGCGTCACGAGCTGAAACAGAAGGTCTGGTTGACTCTCAAACAGTTCTGGTACCGCCTCACGCATGGCTTGCTCGAATTTGTCGGTGTCCTCGGCGGGTACACCGTACCAGGTTTTGGTCGCGCCAAAATGCTGGTAGTTTGCCGAGTAGGTGTAATGATCTTCCGCATGCCAACAAAAGGTCGAGAACACCATGCCGACATATAGCCAAGGTACAGTCATGCCCGAAATGTCTGACTTGATGTGACGGAATAGAGAATCTGGCGCGTAGGGAAGTACAGTCAAATTCCATGGATCAGTGGAGTAGGGATCGCGTGGATTCTTCTCAATAGTAGGAAAGCCACTGCCGTGTGTTGTGGAATGTATGTCTGCTCCATACTCTACTTCGACAGTCTCTGTCACGTTTGCGACCGAATGCCAAAATTCGCGTTCTACATCATCCTCTGTGACTGGCTTTGGCGCATTGGTGATGGGATCGAAAGGCATCTTATTGGCGAAATGGCTCTGCTTGAACTGATGGGCTCGTTCCTGGAACTGTTTAAGCGAGTAAATACCTCCTTCCTCGAACCCAAACTCGCCCGTGCCAACAAGACACCTGGGGCAATGCCAGTCGTATGCAGGAATACCCTTGATCGGTGGGTCCAAACAGTAACCATGATAACCAGCGTCGCAGCTGTCGCACAGCAGAATGTTCTGTGGATCGTTGTCGGCACCGCAAGTCTCGCAGCGATCACCAGGTCGTTCGTCAGCCGCCCGAACGCGTGGGAAAGACCGACTGGGCGTTGACTGGCGAGGCTGAGTCATGTGCGAGCCTGCAACCGTGGGAGGAGCATCTTTCTTAAGTCGCTTGCTCCGTCGTCCATTTGCCTCATCCACATCGTCATTCGCGCTGCTCTCTGGGTCCTGGGAGAAGGTTCGCTTCAGCTGATTGAACTGATGTCCGTTGGCTAGTGGGGTCAGTCCGTTTCCGGGCGGTCGTAGATCGGGTGTATTGTCGGCTGAGAGCATTGGGCTACCGGCATTGCGTAAAGGTGTTGATGTGCGCGACTCCAGCACATCCCGATGCATAGCGCTTGGTGCATTAGCCGCAGCAAAAGTACTGGGTGTCGAGGGCTGCGTAGACGGCTTTTGTGATGAGAGTGCATTAACCGCTGTAAAGCCTCCAGAGTTCACTGGCGTGAAGCCTGTCTGCATAGCAGGCCGCGACAGATCAGGTGGTGTGGGCACAGAATCACCCTGCAGTGTCGCGTTCAGCGCTGCTGAGGCTCTCATGGCAGGCGAATCCGTGGCATTAGCGACGGGTGTGCCCTGTAGCGATTTCTTCACGGGCGAATGCGCAGGCGATGGTGTGAAGGGTCCGCCGTGCTCGTACTCCAACATCTGTTGCACGCCGGGTTTGACGAGGCGCAGATACTCCTCATACGGGTGCAGCCATTTCTGATATGAGTTCTTGAGTGATGTAGACAGCGAAGACATGATCTTGCCACTATAGCCGAGGTCGCGTCCAATCTCAGCCCACTTCTTCTGCTTGCAGACACGTTCAAACCCGCCTCGCTTCTCAACAGCCTTCTTGAGCTTGTAGAGGTCCAAGGGTCGTTTATCAACGCTAGGAAAGCGAGTGAGACTGTGGCCGTGTTGCTTGTGGAATTTGGCGAGCTGATCGAGATAGTTTAAATTGGCACGTGTACCACCCTCAACCGAGTTGAGTTCTTGCCTTCGTGTACGGAAGTGGAAACGCTCCGTATCAATGGCGAATGGCGGATTCCAATTGTCTGGCGGGACAATCTTGACAATGCCGTACTTCTGTGCCTCCTCTCGGATACTCTGAATGTATTGTACGGGGTCCTTGAACTGCTCGGCTGTCGGTCGATATGTTGGAGACTCACGCAGGCCGAAGAGCCGATTCTGTTTGGGCGGTAGGTTGTTCGGCGCTCCATGTCCTCTGCGCTCTACAGTAGCGAGATCCAGCGGTGCTGCCTTACGCGCGCTTAAGGGAATCGTGCCAGCCCCGTTCAGCTGGGCGCCATTCGTTGCAGGCACCGCAGCACCGCCCATTCTTGATTTTGATGCGCCAGCTGCTCCGTCAGGCGTTCCGCTGTCCGTCGCGACCCGGAAGGTGGTCATAGTGGCGCCTGTTGGAGGCCCATTGGGGGGCATGAAGTCAACCATGGCCCTCTTGCTCATACATCCAGGGTTGTCGCGATTTCTGCCCTACTCGCAGCCTTGTAACGAGATACAAGATGGTATAGTAGGTATAGCGATTGTGATTGGGAGTGAATCGGTCGGTGGTGGGCACTATCGAAGAGATATAGGCGTAGGCATGGAGCCTCTATAGCGGCAGGCGACCGCTCTCGACCCGCTTGGACCGTGCAATCCAGTCCTAGAAGAATTAAATGTGAGTATGATTGTACGTCTGCCTGTTAGCGATCGACGTCGTTGAGGTAGCAGTTGTGCAGTCTGGTTGTGGAGGTGAGGAGATATGGAGAGGATGAATGGGGCCCGCTGAAAGGTGCGAGATTCCCGCTAGCGGCGGATGCACATCTAGCCAAAGGTACCGAACCCAGAACGTCAACGCTTGTTCAGCAGGGCACACGGGAAACATAATAACACGATGACTTCGTCTATTCCAAAGGAAACTCTGGAGAGTTGTTAGACAATTTCATCCAAGACTTGCCTCGCATTGGTGCAACATGAAAGTGCCGTCTTCGACTGCAGTCATGGTGAGGTATGAGAGCTACATCATGCCGATCTGGCGACTGCGCGCAAGGCTGCCCAGATGCCGACCTCACCTCGCCAGCTTTCTTTTGCGCCGCGTTCTACCATCTTGGCGACCAAAGAACTGCATTGGCTCGCATAACAAGCACATATCAGCCTGACTCAGATATTTTTCATCGATGTTTACTTTTTCTTCTTTTCCAGCGTGAACGCCTGTCAGGCTAAACTCGCCACATGCTTGCATCATCACATCGGGTCTCGAAACAGCGAGCGTAACATTAGCAGCACTGCGCATTCGTATCACAGTGTCGCGGAGTTTTTACTTATGTGTTCATTCCATATCCAAGCCTGAACTGCTGCAGGTGAGGTCGGCAGCAAGGTTGTCTCATCGGGAAGCGCAACAGCCCACCAATCACAACACACTCCATCTGCATCATCCCGTCAGCCCTAACTGGCCATTGCACGCTTTTGGATGCGATCAACAATAACATCAACTTCATCTTTGTCATGAACCCAATAATGACCGATTCGCTCAAGATCGAAAGCCGGCCTATCCCAGCCTTCTATTGCTGTTACCTCCTCCGCTCCAAGAACCGAAAGGCCTTTTACATCGGTAGCACACCCAATCCGGCGCGCCGTCTAGGACAACACAATGGCTCGAGCAAGGGCGGCGCAAAGCGTACATCGATGCAGGGGAAGCGGCCGTGGGAGATGACGTGCATTGTTACCGGATTTCCTTCCAAGTTCGCCGCGTTGCAGTTTGAATGGGCGTGGCAAAACACGCACGCGACACGACACATTGAGCGAGATGTGCGCGACGCGAGGCTAGAGGAGCTCTCAAAGGGCAGAAAGAATACATCACCTGTAAAGAGACCAAGACCACCAATGTCACTAGAAGCGCGGCTGAAAAATCTACACCATCTTTTGGGTGTCGGGAGTTTCAGCCGATGGCCATTGCACATCAGATTCTTTGCCCAGGATGTGTTTAAGCAGTGGGAGAAGCATACTTCTAAGATGAAGACGAAGCTGCGGAAGGACATTACTATCTGGGTGACGCCAGCTGAGCTTCCAAAGCTTGCGGCGGACGTACAAAGCGAGATGCGAACTCATTTCATACCGGAAATGATACGAGCGATTCCCGTTGCGTACGAGGATTGTAAAGCACATGTCGAAAAGTCAAGAATGATACTCGGAGACAACCAGAAGCGACTTTGTGGTGTTTGCAGCCAAGACGTGAGCTCTGACAAATCGCTTGTGCTAGTCTGTCCCTTGGAAACATGTTGTGCAGTATCGCACATGGCCTGCATGTCGCAGAAGTTCCTAACAGAAGAGAGCAATCCAGATGCGTTCGTTCCAGTTCAAGGGACGTGCCCAGGCTGTCATAGCTCTTTGAGATGGTCCGACCTGGTGAGAGAGCTCAGTCTACGCATGTACGGCGAGGAAGAGCTGAAAGCCATGTTCAAAACAAGACGGAAGAAGAGAAAGTCAGATGGAACCATCGAGGACGATGCGGAAGAGTTTCCAGATATAGACGAGCTTGATGTCGACCTTGACGAGGACCTCGATGAAACATGGGTCGAGAACATAAACGACGATGAAGATAAGCTACCAGGCTCCAACACCGGCTGAGAATATCTACCACTCCTCCACAGCCCTTAGCGGTAGTTGGCCTTTCGCGACTCGCTCAATACACCTATCGACTTCTTGTCTGATCTTTGCCGCCACATCCTTCATACTCTCACCCGCATCGATGCGCACGAAGTCCTCGCCCTCCTTCTTCTGCATCATCGTCTCGAACAGCTCGCGCACGCGGTCCTGCATCTCCTTCTTCTCATACTTCTCGGTACCATATCCACCTCGCTTCGCTGCATCTTCAGCGGAGATATCAAGGAAGAGACACAAGTCAGGTCGTGGAAGCCCGACTTCTGGTTTTCGGCACCATTCAAGGCTCATGCTGGGATTCTGCTTGGCAGCAGAGTACACGCAGCCGCTGTAGTAATAGCGATCTACGATGATCGTCGTACCAGCCTCGAGATCGGCTTGTATAGAAGGTCTAGGCTGAACGTTAAGCGAGTCATAGCTGCATGCGACTGAGTATCGTTTGGCTTACACTGCCTCCCATCGGTTCGCAGAGAACAAGAGATGTATAACATGGTCGTCTTGCTCGCTCTGACCACTCAAGTAACTGTTGATCATTTGACCGATTGGCGTGGTCCTGTCTGTTTTGTTGATCAGCCTTTTGCTTTGTACAGCCTAATACCAACTCATATATTGCGGGATACCCTTCTAAGTAAATACACGTACCAGGGAACCGCATGTGGCGCACTTTGATGCCGTCATTCTGCAAATCTTCAACTAGTGTCTCGCATTGTGTTGATTTGCCTGCTCTGTCCAGGCCTTCGAATACTATGAGTTTGCCTCGCGCCATCTTGTTGGAATTGTGATATGAGAGGTGGTCGTCCTGCAGCGGTTGATGCGCAGTTGAAGCGAGGTCTTGGTGGGGCCGTGAACATCTTAGTGGCGGGGCACTAACAAATGGGCTTCCAAGGCTTAACTACCTTACCATCGCTCTCTCCACATTCAACCTTCTCAACTACTTCCAGGTGGGGTATGCGGATGTTGGTCGAAGGAAAGTGTGCTGTACAGTGCTTGAGCTGCGCTCATAGACGCAGTCAGCAACCGGTGAAGCACAGCCGTTCGAACCAGGACTCTAACAACTTACTATTTATCGGTACGGAATTGGTGAAGGAACATGCTATGTCACTCTGCCTCGTATTTACAGGCCTATATCATATGATTACTGACACGTATATCAGCTCGTGCACATGGATTGATTGGCATGAGTGTGCATAAGATGAGGGGAACCGCACGAGGCTGTGGCAGGCTGCCACCTGCTCGTACATACCTTCCTCCTCTCCTAAAAAGCAACCAGCAGTCAAATCGTGTCTATTTACAGATAGCCACACACTACTATACACCGCAATGAGCGAAACCATCATCGAGGACCTTTCCGCGCAGTTCAAGAAGGGCCTCCAACTGGAGACCATGGATGAACATGGTTCCGCTCTGGGCAAGACCTCTTACAGCACGATAGCGATTGTACAGCCTTTCGATAAGCCTACTGAAGACGATTACGCGCCTAATATCGCCAGTCTTACGCTTTTCGAAGACACCTCCCTTCGGCGAGTCGATTCCCACGAGGGAGGTACAGACAATATCCTTTCCTTGAAGTCGCAACTTGCCCGCTCAGAAGAGCAACTGCAACAGATCACATCCGAATTTCAGCAAGCGAAAGACCGAAACGACAGATTGCAGGTTCAAATCGAAACTTACAAGGCTACAACTAGGGGGGCAGAAGACGCGCTACGAACTGGGCTCAAGAAGTTCAAAGAAGAGTTGTTACGGATCAAGCATCGAGACAGCCCCCACGAGATGAAGTTGGACGGAAGAGGTTCTAGGAACCCTGACACAATACGCTTCGAGAAGTCGTTTTATGACGATTGGTCGACGGAAGTTGTTCTTTCCCGAACCTTTACTTTTCCGGAAAAGCAGTGGCGGGACGATGATGGGATAGAGTGGAGCTATCACGATGACGCGGCTGTTGGTTGCTTGAGATTTGATGGACGCTTATACATCGCCAAAGCTGGAATGACGCGAGGCGACGTTGGAGATTTCATCTGGAGTGAACACTGGAGGAGCAAGGCTATGTTTCTTGCCGAGCACGTTGGTTCTAATATGACGAAGGATTTTGCGATTCATGCGGAGCCACAGTTGATAGCATTCTACATCACCCGCACTCTGCAGAAATCAGGTTATACGCTAAGCAAATTTGGCGGCAAAGAAACGTTTCCAGCTAATGAGAGCCAGGCAAAACTTGCATCGATCGTCATATATGTCAGTCAGCGAATTTGTACCACCTGTACAGATTTTACGTCCAAAGTGAATGAATACGCGACGGGATATGGGTATCATTTTGAGCTTGAAGCGGTGGGGAAGTATGCTACAGCGGATGAGGAAGATGATGAATGGGAAGACCAAGAGGATTGCTAGAGGCATGGGATCTCTCAGCAAGTTCAAACATTATACTGAGAGGGTGCAGCGTTTGTAACACTAGCTGTGCACGGAGGAAGTATCTGTGGACACCAGATGTCACCATCCAGTCTCAGCGCTCTGTTTTGTACATGTGAAGATTTATCAAGATCATAGACACATCCGTTCTTAAACTGATGTATGCTCTCGTAGTAGGCTCAGTAAACTGCTGATTGCACCACAAGATCGATCGGAATAGTCACGCATATCGACGGCAAACACGACACCATAAACCCTATATATTACTATGTACCAGAGAGATTAATGGCACTCATACTTACAAGTAGCATGACATCTACCCCAGACAGTACAACGGCAAATTTTATGCTCGAAGAGCTGAAGAAACCATGGTCCGCTGCCAGCATCACGGAGAACCAGAAACAACGCCGAGGCGATGTAGCCAGAGCCAAGAGTATATGGGACGGTGTATTGATCGACTTTCGCGAGAAGAAAGCTAAACGGAATGGGAAAGCCGCGCCTGGAGGTAACGATAGCGACGGTAACGCGGAAGCGAACTCCGTCAAAGACCCATTTCCTTTCCCAGATCTTCCAGGGGAAATTCGCAACACGATTTACGACTTCACACTGCAGAACGATAGAGTCGAGCGTAGGCAGCGAAGTCGTGACAGAAATCTCCGATACCGCCGCGGCTATGGTAGTAGAGTCTATCCGGTGATATCCACAATCACGAAGCGCGCCATCGAGAGACGTATGATATCGCCTACTCGGAAACAAAACCAAGAGGAGGGGCAGTTACGAAAACTCCGCAATCGGCTGGCCAAGTGGCACCTTGAACGAGCATCGGCAGAAGCTCCGCTTACTCCTCGCTGCAGTGAAGCCTTTGAGAAATACAGATTGGAGCATGACATGTATACTTGCCGATGTCCGCATGAAGCACATGACGACGACAAGTTGGTTGTTCCAGTCAACGCCAGGAGCAATCTTTGTGATGATCTGCCATTGGTCTCTCTTGTCAACCGACAAATCTTTCACGACACCTTTTATCTTTTCTACTCGACCAAGAGAGAGGGTCTCTGGTTCAGATGGACGATCAGGAATCCTGACTTCTTCCCCTTCCCATTGTGGGGTTGCCTTACTGGCTTTACCGACTTCGAGGAAGACCGAGGTCCGCTCTTCGATTGGATGTACTCCGTTCGTCAGATAGTCGCGCTCTATCGGATCGATCGCCAAAAATGGAGAGAGCAGTCCATGGTGTACCTCCAAAAGTGCGAGTCAGACGATACGGATGAATCAGCCCCAAACGACTTCGCTGCACTACCCGACCCCAACCTTGTAGAGGCAGTCATCGATATTCTATGTAAAGCAATTGAATACAACCTCGGATATGATGGCAACTTCTCGACTGTTGACCGCGATGGAAGAGACTGGGACGAAGACGTCTTCAAGGTGTTCCGGTACAAACGCAAACATCGCAAGACTGCAAGTAGGAGGGAGCATATGATTGTGCTCATCATCCGCCAGTATCGTAAGAAGGTCGATACACTATTGAGGGAGCGGCTTCGAGATGAATACAATGAATGGGAGAGACTTCCGGACACGATGGGAATTCCGGAAGGAGTGGTTCCGTAATAGCCTAGGGGATTCGTAAAGCATCGCATGAACTTTGCCAAGTAGTTCACGTCTGTGTTACCCGCAGTACAAGCCACGAGCGATCAAATGAAAGGTGGTTGAAAAGTTGATGCCTGTTTACTGAACAACCACTAGATGTATGGAATCTCGGAGGTAACAACGGTCCAGTCTTTGCACGCCCGCGAGCACGATGTACATATTGCGCTAGGTCCGCAAAGTCCACTTTGACGTAGTAGATCATTCCGTAGGATCATAACTGGCGAATCAGCGTTGGTACTGACCGGCTTCGGCCGAACAACACGTGACTGCGATTGTCAGCATCCGAATAGTCTACCAATCTGGGGTTACAGGGCGAAAATACTGACAACACAGATTGTGGGTGCCTGGAATCTGGACAGACATAAGAATCAACGTTTACCAAGCAGAATGGGGTCCACAAGCCCACTATCTCCACTTCTTGAGCTACGAGTTGCCGAATCAGAGTCAGCGGAGCTTTTCACCTACACTATCTGCCGGATCTGTCGATCACCGAAGAACCGAAGAACCGAATACATTTGGAATACAAGAATAACTCAGAGCGTCCAACTCTTCCATACGAACCTTCATCTCAATCTCAAACCACAAGATGTCATCCCCAAAGCTTATCGTCCACCACCTACAAGTCGGCCAAGGCGAGCGTATCCCATGGCTTCTTGAGGAGCTCAACATTCCTTACGAGTTGAAGTTGTACAAGCGATCACCTATGCTCTCACCGCCTGAGCTCCAAGCTGTTTACCCTCTCGGTGCTTCACCTGTCCTGGAGGACCTGACCGAACCATCCAACCCCATTAAAATCGCTGAATCTGGAGCCATCTGCGATTACATTATCCACAAGTACGCCAACGGGCGATTGGCCCTGGCGCCACAACATAAGAACTTCGCAGACTACCTTTACTGGTTCCATTTCGCAAATGGTACACTCCAGCCTGGGATGTTTAGAAGGAGCATGGCGCGTGGTATGGTCGGCGAGCAGGATCCGCGTTACAAGGGAAACGATGCTCGTGTCCACAAGGCGCTGAGTCATATCGACAACCGCCTTCAAAGCAACAAGTGGCTTGCGGGCGAGGAGTTCACCGCCGCAGAGTGCATGACGGGATGGTGCTTCACAACAATGCGAACCTTTGAGCCGGTGGATTTGAGTGACTATCCAGGAATCTTGGCGTGGCTGGGCCGCATTGGTGAACGCGAAGCATATAGGCGCGCTATGGGTAAATCCGACCCTGATCTCGACATTGACCAAGGGCTCAGCGCAAAGGGACCCCCGATGATGGAGATGTTCGCAAAGGCCATGGCGATGAAGCCGTGAGTCCTGTAGTGTGGTCAGGAAGATGCGCGGCTGATAAACACAGGCGTCGCCAGAAGCTGTAAGCAGTAGTAATAAAGAGCATGCTAGCTCCAGTCAAGGAATGGAAACTCTTCTCATCGGTTCTTTGTTTGAAGCTTGTAGTGATGATGATGGTACACAGCTATGCGACGAAGATGCCCCGGGTCCACTTTGAAGCGAGTAGTCAGGTACAACAACACGCCATTCCTTCGACCTCATCATGGCCACCTGATTTGTCACACCACTCTTCTTGGTCGCAGGTACGCGTCGCATCATATTTGGTATGATCTTGGAGTTACCAAAAACAGGTACCATAGCATGAGCGTGACCTGAGAGGATTGTAGTCATAGCGAGCGGGGTTGCATGCCAACCAGGACGGTGGTACAATGAGATCACATAAAGCTTGCTGACCCCTCACGAGGGCATCTCCGCACCTGAGTATAGCTACATTGCTTGCTTTGAAGACACCCAACAGTCATTCACACAGCTCAATTGCACTCTACTTACTCTCCAATTACCACTACAGCTCCAGCTCCAGCTCCTCGTTATGGCAGCCAAGTACTCTCGTCGACCCAGCTACCTCGACGGCCCACTCTCCCCTTCCATCATTCCCGAACTCGCAATCCTACCTAAACCCCTCCCTGCCGACAAGGTTCCCTGTGGACAACTTGTCTCAAAGACGTCAAAGTTCACACCCAAAGTCCTCGAAGACCGCGACTACGACGACATCGGCACGCGATGGTATGTCAGATTTCATACATATAACTCGCGTACTGGGTACTGACCTCTTCAGGTACAAGGATGTCATCTTCTTCGACGCAGAGAACGGAGACTTCGTCGAGAGCTTCGGTGGCACGCATCTAGTGCAGAAACCACTTGACAAAGGCACAGAGGCTGGAACAATCGAGGCAGAAGAACAGAGCGTGAGGCTGCTAAAGGACGCTGATGCAGCACTCCAGAAAGTGTGGCAAGATGAGGAAGCTAGGAAGTGGATCAAGGAGCAAGATGAGGCTGGTTTCGTAGTCGCCCAGCGCCAGGTCTCCAACGCGAGCTATAAGCGTGCTAGGCTTATCGACATTGGTAACAACAATTGGGAAGTTGTACGCGAGGTTGGCAATGAAGACGCTGCGGGTAAACGCAGGGACTCTGGCTTGCCTGTTGAGACGAACAGCAAGTGGGATGTAGTGGGAGTAGTGGTTAGGAAGATTATCGTTGAGGGCGATGATGTGAAGCTTGGAGACGAGCTGGGAGCTCAATACTGGAAGTAGTAATATGTACAAGAATCCCATGATGCATTCATAGTTTCTTCAATTTGGCTCCTCACGAAACATCTACATCTACATCTATCCGATCAAACTGAGAAGCCTAGACATCGCAGTTCGGAAAATTTACCTACTGCATGTGCTCATCGGAGCGAACGAAGATGCTACCCGTGGCCCCTGCACCGGTTAGAACTTTCCGCTGGCGGCCTGACTTGCATCTATTGCAGAATTCCATCAAGTCGCCGAGTTACATGCAACCACCATGTACCGGCAAGCGCATAGGCTCGGTGGCATTGCGCATGTAGCTACATCTCTCCGCATCGCATCTCCTCTCTGTCGCAAGTCGGTCCGGTTTTCAGGGCACGATTTATCGTCGAGACGCGACTTCCAGAGTTTTCACGCTCACCAACAGATTGCTTTCAAGTCCGACGAGGAAGCAGTAGAACATGCCTGGAGGGAGCAGTTGACGGATCCATCCCTCAGGCCCTTCGTCTGCTGCCGTGATGACCCTGACAAACCCGATTGTTGGTCGGAACAATTTCGGAAGAGAACAGCGGAAAGAGCGCAAAAGCTTAAAGCCTTGGGTGCTCCAGATACACTGACTAGCTGGCGGGACGTCAATATCTTGGAGAAGTGGTATGCAGCTGGACCGCCGCCACTCTCCGAATACAAGCTCACGTTCGGCAAGCACAAGGGGAAGCGCCTCGATCAAGTACCGGATACTTATCTCGTCAAGTATCTGATCCCAAGGCGGCATGAGGGGCATTGTCCCATTGTTTCTGAAGCAGTGGAAGATTATCTAAAGAGAAATCCGGATGTTAAGAGCCAGGCTGGTCCTGGGAAGACGAAGGTGCGGGAAGGTGGCATCGCGGCACCAGTTGTGAAACGAAGAGGGCGACCACCGAAAGAAAGAGTTGATGCGACAACACCGTCTAAGCGAAAAATATAGGGATTGAGCGCGTCTCGATGTGAAGCGCGCATCGCAAGATGTTTGAGGGTTGAGACCTTCGCGTTGTGCTCTTAAGAAGCGCGGGTGCTCTGATTGGCCACTTTGGAGACATGCCATTGTTGCCGTTAGGCCTTCCATGACGACACATCGATCAGCTTCTTTTGTTGACTGATAACATTGTTGTTGCTGTGGAAGCGACGTATAGGAAGTGTGTACGACTGATTATTGGAATTCTGCTGTGAGGCGCACGCGTCAATCGTAGTAGCAATCAAATCAGCATGGGCTGCGACAGCCTCACACGAGATACATAAACGGGCTCACCCCCCTCTACTATCATCTCTAAATCATTAGCTATCCATATTACAGCACGACAACTCTTTTACGCTTTCCTATCATAATCTCTACCAAGATGTCGCAGTCATTCAGCGACCCAACCACCCTTGACAAGACATTCCACCTCGACGCCTCAACACATACCTTCGATATCAAATGGACCTCACTCGGCTCTCCATCCTCACCACCACTCATCTTCATACACGGCACTCCCTGGTCCTCTCGGGTCTGGGCACCCTTCGCGTTGGCTCTATCGCATAGGTACCATGTTTACCTTTTCGACAACCCCGGGTTTGGAGATTCGCCCATCGAGCAACCACTGCCCAATGTCAACTTCAAACCAAAGAAGCAAGTCGAGAAATTAGACAGCAATCTCGCCCGCCAAACCTCAGCCTTCGCCGCCCTTTTTACTTACTGGCAGGCGACCGAGGAATGGAAGACAGATCCACACGTCATCGCCCATGACCACGGGGGGTTGATGAGTCTTCGTGGCTACCTACTGCACGATCGTCGGTACAAGAGCCTCTGTCTTATAGACGTTGTCGCTATCGGTCCTTTTGGCCAGCCCTTGTTCAAAAGCGTCGCGGAGAACCCTGAGGCTTTCGAAAATTTGCCCAACATGGCATTCGAAGGTATCCTCGAATCTTATATCCGCAACGCCGCGCACACTGAGCTGGATGGTGAGACGATGAGGATGCTCAAAGAACCATGGCTGACGGAAGGTGGCAAGAGAGGCTTTGTTCGGCAACTATGCCAAGCTGCTTACCGGAGTACGGAGGAAGTTGAGGGACGGTATGCAGAGGTGGGGAAGAATCTGCTTGTGAAAGTCATTTGGGGAAAACAGGACAACTGGATCCCTGTGAAAGATGCACATAGGCTTGGAGAGGCGCTGGGTGCGAAGGAGATAGTGGAGGTTGAGGGGGCTGGGCATCTAATCATGTACGATCAGCCTGGGCAGTTGGGAGTTGAGCTGGGTATGTGGTTAACTTCGGCCGATACATGATCAGTGTTGGCAATGTGGGGAAAAAAACAACAGAGTCCGCGCCCATACGATAGCTTGACACAGTGATGATGACCATAAACATTTCTTGATATAGATAGTGATTGTGGTTTTCAAGAGGTGACCTCCGGTGTCCACGCACTCTTCCGGCGCCGAACCTCGATTGCTGCTGGAAGCGGAACTTGGAATCTGATAACCCACATCTTCTTGGGCTTCTCCGCAAGTGGCTTGATGTCGTAGTTAAGTAGCAATTCAGCGAAGATCATCTTGAGTTCGTGAGAAACAAAGAAGCGTCCCGGACTGCCATGTTGTCAGTAAAGGCCGCTATGCAAAAGAGCAAATTGACTCACCAAGCATGCCTTCCATGACCGAAAGCAAGATGATGCGCGGCTGTGGTGACAAGACCCGTCTGCTTCAGCTTCAACGCATCAACCTTCTCCTTCTCTTCAGCATTCATCGCCTCATACTCTTCTCTGGGTCTTGAGTATCTGAATGCATCAAACTCTTCTGGCTTATCGTGAATGTCTATATCACCCGCCAATGGCGTCCACGGACATGAGAGGAGTGTCCCATACTTCAAGTGTACGCCCTCGGGTGTTGTGATTCCTTCTTTCGCTATCACCTTACGATGAGAAAACGTGAGTGAGATGGGCGCGACACGTTGTGACTCGCGGATAGCAGAGTCGATACGATACATGCGGGTAAGACCCTGCTTTGTCCACCCGCCCTCTTCTTGAAGAATGCGATACGCTTCTTCACGCAATTGTTGGAGGACTTCTGGTCCAGCGCTCATGATATTGATCATAGTTTCGTAGGCCGTGAGAGAGGTAGTGTGTATGCTGGCGAAATTGATGGGCATGATGCGCTGAGCAATGCGAACTGGCTGCATCTCGTCACGTCGTCCCTCAGCCTGCGCAGTCCGGTAGCTCCAGTTGATGAAATCGTTTGGCTCCTTCCAGTTCTTATACTCTGGATCTCCTGCGTCTTTCTTCTCAAGGTCTGAGATGCGCTGCTTGATCATAGGTAGTGTAAATCTCGATGACAGCCAATAGTGGTACTTGGTAGTCAGACTCAACAATGTTCCAACGATTGGATGCAGCGCTTTAGGGAAAAGGAACATGACGCCCTGGGTACGGATACAGTCCATGGTGAAGCCCAGTACTGCGTCCAAGAATTTGCGCTCGCGACAGAGCGACTCTCCAAGGAGCATGCGGTTGGTCAGGACTGGAATCATCTTCATGAAAGACTCCATAATATCCAGCTTTTTCCAATTATCTGCATCCATCCCATACACTTCGGAAATGGCGTGGGGTACTTCCTCCTCTAACTCCGGAAGGATCGCATTGAGGTTTCGTACGAGATTCTTGTGAATGACATGTTCATGATAAGGATCCTTCAGTATCGCCGGCTTGACAAACGCGTAATCGCCCTGGAGGAAATCGTAGTGCGCTTCACTTACACTCAGCACAGTATCCGGTTGGTCAAACATCCAGTTCAGTTGGCTTCGTGGTATAACAACTTCCGCCATCATACCAAGTGTTGCAGGTAACACAAAGATCTTGCCATCCCGGCTATACTTGTCATAACCAGCCAACAACCATTCCTTGCTCTTAGTCAATGCAGTAAAATTGCGGAAGTCGGCGATCCAGCCTTTGCCGTAGCCCATCCATGGTATGCTCGATGGCGGTGTTGGCGTTGTGAGCAAGTTGTAGGCAGTCGCGACGATCCAGTAGGTGACAATTGCAGCGGCAATGTGTGGAAAGGTAAAGAGCTTGTGCGGCTCTGCCACTTCGCTCGAGCCTGTCATGGTGAGCGTAGTGGGTAGCAAAGGAGAGCTGTGATTGATGACATGAGATGTTAGCACAGTGAGCGTCATATATCTATTGGTGATGTGAGACAAGGGTAAGCGCTAAGTACGGTATCGCGTGGAGTTGCCTCCGCTTCCGCGGACCCAGCCTTCTGCAAATGCCACGCCACACAAATCTCCATCTCCACATCCGTCAACCTCACAAATGACCTGCCACACGCGGCTGTTTATCATCATTTCATCTTTCGCGTAGCGCTAGCCTCGTACTAAACGCGGCTGGACATATTGCCGACTAATCTAATGGTTACCAGCACCCCAGAAGACAGAGATCCTCAGCGCTACAGTCGGATAAGACACTTCCGAATCAGGGGCGGAGCAACAATAGGCGGCCACGTCCTCATCAAACGACCAGCCCTCTTGATTCCAATGGATCCGTTTATGAGACGCACCCTTCGATATAATAAGCTGTAAATCTCTAGTTGGCCATTTGCATACGAAGAAAGCTGCTTCGTATTTAATAAAGAGGGTTTGCTCGCTACCTGGAATCATAAACAGTGTAATATCTGCAACTATATGAAGATCTTGCATTCGTCGGGTATACTGCTCAGCTCGCTTGAGACGGCAGTCTGACTTAGCATGACGGCTTACACATAGTTTCAGGAGAGCTAGGGTATTAACAACCTTTTAGAAATGTAGTCGCGCACTCTCTTGAGTTCAAGAGGCATTCTCAGATATACGTACTGACTGTGAAGCATCGCTCGTCCTGAGTAATATGGTCGTACTTCGAGGTGACCGTACGGCGCAGAGGGGGTTCCTGAACCTTGAGATTTGGCTTAATCAGCTTTGGACAGTGTCTTGCCATTACCTTGGCCTAACGACACCGTACGGACACTGTGTTGACACCGTACGGACACTGTGTTGACACCGCTCAACACTATACAGACACTTAATTCGTCACAACATAGCGACATTTCTGTGAGTCAATTACCCCTTGTCGCGCAACGGGACGTCATGAGAATATTCCCTGCCAGCCCTCAAGCCGTTGGCACCACAAATCATGTTGCAAGACCAATGTATACGTTCATGGACGTGTAGACGAGTCCATTTCGCAGCGTAAGGATCTTAGTTGGCATGTATTATGCGGATGTCACTCCAGGATACCGTGGTTGTTCGGACTTTGAGCAGGAAGTCGATAAGAGGGAGCACACTTGCGCCATTTCATCTGAATCTACAAACCCGTTCGAGGCGACATACTTGATGTATATTCATCATTGTATTGCGAGGCCCAGGATTAGAATTCAAGAGCAGGCGCTCGGCATTTACAATGCCCTCATAGATCGAGAAGACCAGGTAATCGACGTCTAGTTCTCCTATATGAAACTGTGCAAATGCCTTTCTAGAAGCGCTTTTGATTGGAAAGTGCCGATTGCTGAGAGTAGACGCGACGTTTGAGGGTCGATGGAACGGTTATTGTCTGAAAACAAAGGCACAGGCAAGAGTACAGTGACCTCCCCAAGTCGAGGGTGTGTCGTTGGGACCGTCGTACGCACTGCACCCCTATGGTTCTACTGACACCTTGTGATTATTAGTAATACGCATCAGTACCGAACTTTGGGAATAAGAATAATATGTTGCGTTTTATTGCTATGATACAGACTCGCACCACATCCACCGGGCAAACAGAAAGTTAAAGGTGTTCCACTATGAGAACAGCGCCTAAGAAAACAATGCTATGCTAATGCAACGCCTCGCTTCCAGACACAAAGAATGGGAAATATACACAAATCTTCAACCAAGTCCTAGCGAACAGGCTTAGTTGGTGCACTGGGAGTACCAGTCGTTGGCAGCCTTGCAGGTACCGGCAGAGCAGCACTTGGCACCAGTGAAACCCTTTCCACCGCACTGTCCGTAGAGGGCAGCGCAGCCAGCACCACCAGCAGCCTTGGTAGGTGCGGCAGGGGCAGGAGCGACAACAGTGGCCATGGTGGTCTTAGCAGGTGCGGCGGGTGCGGCGGCAGCGGGGGCCTCCTCCTTAGCGGGAGAGGTGGCACCACCAGCGCTGCTAGCACCGCCAGCCCAGACAGCAGGGCCAGGGAAGGGGAAGTCCTTCTTGCCGTTGTAGATGCTGAAGTTGGCGTAAGGGTCGGTGGCCTTGTAAGCACCGGGGAACTTGACCATGGGGCCGGGAGTACCGCTACCACCACCCTGGACCTTGACCTGCATGCAGGAGACGTAGTGCTCGGGCTGGTTGACGTGGGAGCGGTGAACACCGATGTGCTCAACGCGGACGAGGTACTCTCCGTTGGGAGTGTCCTTGGGGATCTTGGCCGCGACCCAGTCACGGTTGTAGGTGCACCAGGCGTCGCTGGTGAAGTCACCGTTGCCGCAGACACCCTCCTGGAAGATCTTGAACCAGTCACCAGATCCATCGTATGAGGTTACGCTGCTGGGAGCCTTGGACATGTAGACCAGGGCAGGGCCAGGGTGCTGGAACTTGGCTCCAACAGCCAACTTGAGGCGGATCTCCTCGCCAGCGTTAACGGTCATGACCTGAGTCTTGCCGGCCTTGGAAGCGCCCTGGTTGCACACGATGTCGGGTCCATCGGCGGTAGAACCATCACGGATATCGGCAGCCGGGTTGGAGGAGAACTTGATGGGGTTGTACTTGGTAGGACGAGTGGACTCGCGGACGTATTTGAACTGCGGCTGCGCAACACCGCCAACGATGTTGGTGTCGAAGAAGTAATGGGCGGAGGCCACTTGGGCGACGGCGCTGAGGACGAGGGCGTTGAACTTCATTCTGGCTAGCAGTAATGAAACTTGTGTATTTGGTAAAAAAGAGTGTTAATGAACGAATGTAAAGGCTGAAGAAGCGAATGTAGAAAGCGACTGAAACGAATGTATTGCTTGCTGGTGAGTTGTAAATGTTGGAAATCGCCTTGCGTCTTATATCAGAACTCTGAATGCATGATTCGAAACAGCTTCATGCTACCGGCGCCTAGCTACCGGTGCCCTGGTACGAACGGACATTAATTTCCCATAGAAGACAACACAGGAGATAGCAATGCAGGTTCCATCGACAACCTCAGTCTTCCTTCCGTGATTATGGGCGTTCTGGATCTCTTGGGAAGTGGACATAACCTTATTCCTTAAACCGTTCTGAGCGTAGTAGCGCCTGTGAAAACGTCCGGATCATCTAAGGAGGCAAGGAAACTGCTTGTTTGGTAAACAAAGTCAATGCAGTAGTGATTTCTTCGGGTCCTGCCAAGGTCGTATACCAACATTCTGTTCCAGTTCACGAAGTGGCGAAACGCTGGTGTCCTCGTTATACGCTTGACAGACGTAGCGCCGTTTCGTTTAGAAACTTTTGACGCCTGGTTTTCCGCAATAAGTGCTAGAATGTGGAATTCAACGGTTGTGATTCGACAATAGTGGTGCACGGACTGTGTATAGAGAACCGGTGGTTATAACGGACGGGCCGCTGTCTGACAACACCAGATCCACCAAACCCGAGCCTAGCATGCCGTATGAAAGTTTGCGCGACCGCCGTCGTTGCCATTGTGTCGGACCCGCCAGCGGAACCGCCTGTGGATATCGTGATAGGCGCGCAAGCCTTGTCATGGCCGGTCTTTCAGAGACTGACCGTTGCGCATACTGCCAACATACGAACACCTTGTGTAGTAAGGCATATCCACATCCTCTCATACCATCAGACAAGACAAGGGAGGATTCGGTTTTGGCTTCTGGAGGGGATCTCTTGTATAATATACTCTGCTGCACGTTGAATTCAGATATAAGGTAAGTCGGAACAGCCGAATCGGACAAGCCTCAATTGGGAGCAAGACGGAACGGGGTGGAGACAGCGAGTGGAGCAGACGCTAGTATGACATGTAACGACGTTCATGTCATTGATAAGGGGAACAATCTGTTGGGTGGTTTGCCGTCCTCGATGTAGAGGTTTTTCGGAACCAAGTGCCGAATGCGAGCTCTCGCTTTCGTACAGCTTGAATGTTTGGCTCATGGGACTCCAAGAAGACATGTCCCGGTGAGCAACGCGCTGTGCCACATCAAGCGTCTCGTCGCTCTCCTCGGGATATGAGACAGAGGTGAGATGCTATTACAGTAGCTTAGGCCAATTCGGAAAGGGGTAGGCTCTAGCATGATCGCACAATCTCTCCAGAAGATAATGTGCAACAAGTGTCGGGTGGTGAAGGATTTCCGTGTGGGTAAGCTGGTAGTTGATGAAGAGTTGCTATCCATGTAGTTGGCTGCTTCCGGACGAGGAACTCGCTAGGCTCTACTGGGCTAGTCCATCCATGTACGACCAGCAACCAACGACGACAACCGCATTAACCGAAAGTATAGCACAGTGCGGTACTCAATTCAGCAGCTGACAATGTTGAATGATTCAGAAAGAGGCCAGAAAAAATAGATCAGATACGAAATGTGTGGTTATCAACGCCAGCTAAGAGTGGTGTATATAGCATCGCCTCATATACGCAAATAGAAATCGTAACAAAACAACATAATCTAACAAGCAATAACGACGCTTGTATGTCTCACAGTTCTCTTACATTCTCGACCTAGAACTCGCCACCACCACCACCAAGGGCAGCAGCGCCCCAAATTCCCACTAATCCCCAAACACCCACTCTCCATCCCCTCCACAGTCCATGTACACCCTGCCCCTTCCTTGTGCGCGGTGGCCTGGAGAAGCCCATTGCCTTTGCACTCGCGGCCTTGGCAGCATTCGCAGTCTGGACGGAAATGCCTTCTTCACGGGCGATGAACCACATGGTACCTAGTACGCCCCTGTACTGACCCGGTTCCACGATGGTTTTGAAGCTCTGGTCAGAGCTCGGTTTGTCTAGACCGTATGCTGGGCTCTTAGCACGACTGGGCGGGGTCTGGTACTCAGAAGCCAGACGTTGGGTTTCGTGGTCCTGGAGAGCAGCGACCTGACCGCGGCGAAGGACAGTTTCGAGGGGCAGGCGGATGAATAGTTCGGCTGTGGAGGAGAGGAATGTGCTAAAGGAGTATGTGGTGGGTGTGAGGATAGGGTCGATGCTCAATGTTGAGCGGAGGAAGAGGGGTGTTGAGGAGGAAATCAACGTGGGCACGCAGGCGTGCATTATGGTTGCCGGGAGGAGACTGGGAGAGACGGAGAAGGAGGGGAGAAGAGACAGGCAAGGGTATATCGATCGTGGAGAAGAGGAGATGGGTGTGATGATAAGGCGGGTGCGCACCATGTCGAGGGGTGCGAGGAGGGTAGCCGCGATGGCTGTAGCGGCGACAGCAACACCGAGCGAGGTCAGTGGGCTTGGGCTATCCAGGATTTCCAAACCTCCCATGCCACTTCCTGCTGAGCCCACGAGGCCTGGGTCTGGTATGTTCAACAGGGCTGATATTAGACTTCTGAACCATCCCTCGGTAGTCTTGAGCAGGAAGTTGTAGATGAAAGTGCAATTTGTGCCCTTCCACACACCCCACGCCGATTCCTTCTGCCACAACTGTGCTATTACTTCGAGAAGTGAGTCTGGACGCTTGAGGTCTAATTTGCGTATGGCGGATGGTGGGGGTCGTGTAGGTGTTCGTGACCGTGATCGGCTATCAAGACGTCTCTGGCGCCTCCGTGGTGACCTCGATTGTTCGACAGAAGGGGAATACGGCGATGGCGATGTAGGGTTCATACGCGGTGCCGTGGATGTGAAGTATGATGGCGAGTCCTCGTCAGACTCCTCATCTGAGGGCGGATACTGCGTCCATTAGCCCACATTCACATGCCAACCACCCCACTCAGAGTACAACACATACGTCCTCGAACTTTCCGCTCGCGAAGCTCTGAGGCCTACTCTTGTGACCGAACGCATCTCCATCCAGGCCTGCTAATTGTCCCTTTGCTTCGTGTATCTGCAATATCGTCTTCGCAACCTCGAATGGCTGGGCTAGCAGGACGCTTGTGTAATTCCATAGAGCATGGTCGAGCAGCTTCTTTGCATGGCCAGCTACTGAAGGTGAAGTCTCTGGGAAGTACGAGTCATAGTCAAGATCGGAAAGAATGTCGCGTGCCTGGCTGCCCAGACTCGATTTACTACTGGCACTGGGCTTGAAAGCGGGCGGTAATGAAGACGATGTCTGGTTCTGCGGGACATCCGGGGGCGGACCAATGGATGGTGGGATATAGTAGGGTCGTAGGGGATTTGGGGCATCGCGAGAGGTCGCCATTATACCTATCGTTTCTTGGAGAAAGATTACGTGAGGCTGGGGATGTTTATCGTTTTCTTACCCGCGGTGGTGGATGCGCTGTGAAGATCGACCGGGGTTATACATGGTCTGTGCGTCAACATTTCTGACGTCTCACAGCATTCGTAATTATCGGCGCATTCACTCTTGGTGACACTGCAAACACTGCAAGTCATTCACTTCTGCACATCCTTTCCCTCGTCCTTCAAAGGTTCGGTCGGTTAGAGAGCTTCAATTCCTGCCATGGCTGCTAGAAGAGCTTGTTTGAGCGCTTTGGAGGGGAGGATAGCGGGCGCAAGAGGCGCATCGTCGAGCCCTCGAAGGTTCGCCAGCAATTGGACGACATCGACGTGTCAGAAGTCTGTACACAGACGGATGACGGCATCGCCCATTCTATCACAATCAAGTATCGTCAAAGCAACAAGCCCGTCATGGCTCCGAAACCGCCGCCAGTTCTCCTCCAGTCCCGCATCCCGCCACGGTCATCTGGACCCACCCCGACCAGGTGAAGAGTGCGTGAAATACGTCTCAACTGTAGCGATGTAGCCACTAATGCCATACAGACGCAAGGTCACCTTCATAGACAAAGATGGCCAAGCCACCACATTCGAAGTAGCCGACGGCGACAACCTGCTCGACATAGCTCAGGCCAACGATATTGAGATGGAAGGTGCGTGTGGCGGGTCCTGCGCCTGCTCAACATGTCACGTCATAGTAGAAGACGAAGCCTACTACGACAAGATGGAAGAGCCAGATGATGACGAGAACGACATGTTGGATTTGGCATTTGGTCTTACGGAAACCAGTCGCCTGGGTTGTCAGGTTAAGATGAGCAAGGAGCTTGATGGCTTGGTCGTGCGGTTACCGAGCATGACGAGGAACCTGCAGGCTAGCGATTTCGACAGTAAATAAACCAGCTAAAGAAGATGGACGTGTGACATTGAAAAGGGGATATAGCAGTGGTGAAAACCTGTTGAAGGAAGATATCTCACGCAGTCGCGTTGGATGGCATATATGGGTCATATCGCATACTGAGCATTTGAGACGACATGTATTATACGAAAACTCCGCTTGCAGATGAACTGGCGTTGAGTACGACTTTGAACTTATGTATAATATATGGTATCATGAACGTACTGAAACTACGTCTCTTTTGTCCGAAACGCCGAATTGTGCATACTGAAGTGTCTTCAAGCCTCCACGCTGCCCTCCTTCTTCTGTCCTCCAGTAATCATATCTAGGAAACCCTGCTTGCTCATTTCCTTGACTTTCTCCTCCCTCTTGTCCATGCCAACCACCATGCCCGCTTTGCTCTCCCTCTCCGCTTGTTCACCCTTGACTTGTGCCGCCCTCACAGCGTTGAACAACTTGATAACACCCTTCTGTGCCGTCCGCCTAAGTTCCTTCTCCTTTGCCGATGTAGCAGCTGTGCTGACATTCGGGTCGTTGAGGCCCAAAACATCCTTCACGCGGCCTTTCTCTTGTGCCGCCTTGCGCTCAGCAACGATTTGTCGACGCGCTTTCTCGGAGAGTTTCGAGTCCGCAAGCTCGCGATTGGCGGTTGCGGCATCTTTACTGCGGGACAGAATAGGCTCGGAACGTTTCGAGGTTGTCAGTTTGGAACCCAAGATCTTGGATATCGAGTTGGCGAAGGCTTCAGGGTCGTTTCGCTTTCGTACTTTGCGCGCGGCGGTGGTTGAGGTCTCAGATACGGATGATGCATCTGATTCCGAGTCGGCGATGGAGAACTCATCCGCTTCAGGCTCAGAGTCGTCTTGGTCGTCTTGGTCGTCTTCGGCGTCGCTGGGTAATGGGGCTTCGTGATCGACGGGCGCAGTCTTCTTTAACGCAGACTTTGCTGGGGCCTTTGCAGGTATGCTAGCCTTAAACTTGGGCTCAGGCTTCGTCGGAGGCGCCGCTTCAACTTCGTCATCGTCGTCGCTGGCTGAAGACTCCTCTGCTGCCGCCGCTTGCTGTGCTGCTTTCTTGGCCTCAAACTTGGCTTGCTTCCTCAGCTGTTGCTTGGACAACTCTTGCTTGCCCGGTAGCATCGCATTGACTCCAGAAGGCTGGAATGGCTCTTCTGGCTCTTGGCTGCTTCCGCGCAAGGGAGCATCGCGCGCGGCACCCTCTTCTTCGTCGCTTGAACTGTGGTAGTGCTTCTGCTTCTTGACCTTTCTCTTCTCCTTCTTCGGCACCTTTCCGCGCAACTGCTCTTCGGTCCGTCTCCGTTTCAGCGATGTGTTGACCATTGTGGCTGTGAAAGTCGCGATATGTGAATGTTGGAGGTGAATCGCGGTCGCAGAAAAAAAGTTCCAGGCGATCGGCGTTAGTAGCCCAAATCACCGACGGCAAGCGCGCCCCGCCATACTGGATTCCCCACAGAACACCACGAGAGGCACCATCACCACCGCACACCCTCACCTTCGCCCCTACCCCTAATACTCCCTAACAACCGCCGCTATGGTGCTTCAAGATCTCGGGCGGCGCATCAATGCCGCAGTTACTGACCTCACGAGGTCGCCAAACCTCGATGAGAAGGTGCGCGCCACAAGAAAGCGACATGATGATAGGTGGCTAACATGCGCAGGCCTTCGAAGCCATGGTCAAGGAGATCTCCAACGCCCTCGTCGAAGCCGATGTCAACGTCAAACTCGTCATGAATCTGCGCCAGTCGATCAAAAAAGCCGTCGACTTCAAGCATCTCGCGCCGGGAGTCAACAAGAAGCGCCTCATCCAGAAAGCCGTCTTCGATGAGCTCGTCAAGATGGTCGACCCGCATGCCGAACCATTTAAGCCTCGCAAGGGCAAGTCGAACGTCATCATGTTTGTTGGTCTACAGGGTGCGGGTAAGACGACTACATGTACAAAGTTGGCCAGATGGTATCAGGCAAGAGGCTTCAAGGCTTGTTTGGTGTGCGCCGATACCTTCCGTGCTGGTGCCTTCGATCAACTGAAGCAGAACGCGACCAAAGCGAAGATTCCATACTACGGTAGCCATACACAGACCGATCCCGTCGTCGTGGCAGGCGAGGGTGTGGAGAAATTCAAGAAGGAGCGCTTCGAGATTATCATCGTGGATACCTCCGGGCGACACAGGCAAGAGAAAGACCTCTTCGACGAGATGGTGCAAATTCAGAATGCCGTAACGCCCGACCAGACAATCATGGTGCTGGATGGAACAATCGGTCAGGCTGCTGAGTCGCAAGCACGCGCCTTCAAGGAGGCTGCAGATTTCGGAGCCATCGTCATTACCAAGACGGATGGTGCAGCAGCAGGAGGTGGTGCCATTTCCGCAGTCGCAGCAACCCACACGCCCATTGTCTTCCTTGGTAACGGAGAGCACATGCTGGATCTCGAGCGCTTCGCACCGCAAGCTTTCGTCTCGAAACTTCTCGGTATGGGAGATGTGCAAGGGCTGGTCGAGCACGTACAATCACTCAAGCTCGACCAGAAGGATACAATGAAGCACATCACACAGGGTATCTTCACCATCAAGGACCTGCGGGATCAGCTATCCAACATCATGAAGATGGGACCGTTGTCTAAGATGGCAGGCATGATTCCCGGTCTCAGCAGCATGATGGGCGGTATGGACGACGAAGAGGGTGGCACAAAGCTCAAGCGCATGATCTACATCTGCGACAGTATGACCGAGAAAGAGTTGGAGTCGGATGGAAAGATGTTCGTCGATCAACCCACACGTATGACCCGTATCGCTCGTGGCTCCGGTACCTCAGTGCGCGAAGTCGAGGAACTACTTACCCAACACCGCATGATGGCTGGTATGGCGAAGAAGATGAAGGGTGGAATGGCAAACATGCAGAAAGCACAGGGCGCCATGGGCGGAGGCAACAAGCAACAACAACTTGCAGCTATGCAGAAGCGTATGCAAAGTATGGGAGGAGGCGCAGGTGGTGCGGGCGGCGGTATGCCGGATATCGGTGCTATGATGAAGATGCTCGGTGGAGGCGGCGGCGGCGGCGGCGGCATGCCAGATATGTCCGCACTTGGTGGCATGGGAGGTATGCCTGACATGGGTGCTATGATGAAGATGATGGGTGGTATGGGTGGTATGCCGGGAATGGGTGGAGGTGGTGCTGGCGCTGGTCAAGGGAAGGGAAGGAGGTAGTGTCAGAGTTAAGAGGATATCAGTTTGCGATTTTCGATGCATAGCCGCGGCGTTCGGGTTTGATATCACATCTGGAGGGTTCTCTGCGTTGAGGTACACATTGTATGTCACTACTTCCACCTGCTTCCTTCTTGAACCTTCTCCATGCCTAAAAGCTGTCCCTGTCATGTTTGATCCGACGAGATTTACCATGTCAGCTTATGCCAGAAGCTCGGTTTTTTGTTCTAGAATCCTCACGACAGCACCCTCAACAATATCGGTTTGTTGAAGCCTACATATATGAGCTAGGCTGAGCAATCCCCCCAGTATTTCCATACCCTACCCGCTATCAGTTACCTGTTCCCAAACATGCCATCACTACTCGACTTGGTGCGACGCTTTGCGACTTGGGTTGGCAGCAGTGCCTGCTCACTTTCAAGACTGATATTCCGCTATGCTACAGCCCTATCCTCCCATTCCTACCTACTCGACGTCCCCCGCGAGATCCGCAACAATATATTCCAGCACCACATCGCAAACTCACAAGATGGTCCGTCCACCATGCTGATGGTCAATCGCCAACTTGCTGCCGAATACAAGGAGGCAGTCATGTTCCATCACTACTATGGCTTTTCCCTCCTTCTTAGGCCTTGCTTCCGAACTACACTGCCTGATCTACAAATGCTACGCTTACACGCCGCCAACAGCAACCGATCCAGACTCAACCAATATGTCTGTACTATGCAAGAAAACGCACGACGAGTGTGAGTACGAAGCTTTAACATCACATCAAGGAGATCTCCAGAGCCTGCTAGCTTCGTACAAGAACTTGGAAATTACGGCATCGATTCCAGAATCATTCCCTGCTATGTGTGAATTTGAAATCGACTTGCAACTGACGAGCAACAACATCTCCGTCACCCAGACCGAGCAGGTGAAATCGCTAATTCGGCACCTCCTTCGAGAAACAACAGCACATCTGCACAGTCTCACTATCAACATACCCACACCATCATCACCTTATCAACCGAGCACAAAACAACTGCGAACTCACCCCATTTCCAAAATTGCTCAGGAGATATCTGGATATCTTGCTGATAATGACGAGAAGATGATGAAAAGGTCACCAAAAAAGGTTGTTCTTTCTGCAGAAGGTACCAGGAATGACTTGGGGATGTTTGCGGGACAACCGAGATATGTTCTAACGAATGATGAGGAAAAGAAGGCGGGAATGAGTGTGAGGCCATGGGAGGAGGATGGAGAGCAGGACATTGGACATGTACAAAGAAGTGGGGTTGTGTGGCGGAGACTGTAAGGGAGGATTATTAAACCGATACAACTTGGAGTATGAGTCTGCATAGGCCATACGTATGATGCAGGAGGTTGAATTTCCTGATGAAATCTATTCACTATATCAACTCTTCACCTTCCTTGTCCTCGACGCCATTCTTTTGCCTTGCCTGCTCTTTCTGGTATTCTTCGAAGTCGAAGCCTAATTCCTTGACATGCCTAATCTCTCGTCTCTTCTCCCCCATCTTCCCAAACGCCTGTCGTATCTTCGGGAAATTCTCACGACACCAATACTCCCACTCGCCCCAGATTGGTGGTACCTTTCCTTTGCCTTCATTTTCCAAGCCGTCCTTGGTTTCAGCGCTCAATGCCCATTTACTCATTGCGTTGATATAGTTTGCATCTTTGGGGAAGGGCAAGAGATGGAAGTTTCGCCCAGCACCCATTTCCTCTTCTACGCTCTTTTCCCAGTCGCGCATTTCTAAGAGTGGTGGGAGTGAAAGACGGCCGGAGTATACTCGTGCGAGGACGGCGGATTGTGCTTCTGCTATCGGAAAGGGGATGACGCGTTGGTTTAGGGCTAAGAAACTCAAAGTAGGTCGTGGTGCATAGAAGAGGTGTTGATATGTATGGTTTACCCTTTCGCCGGTTGTGATTAGTTTCGGTTCCACGTCCTGTAGGAAAGGTAGGCTGTAGAAATATCCGGTAGCAAAGACGATAGCGTCAATGTCGTGCTCTTCTGTTCCATCTTCGAACAGTACGCCTCTGTTTTCGGGAAGAAACTGTTTGATTGGCGGGACTTCTCGTCTCTTTTGGTCTTCACCTGCTGTTCCATGTGTGGCGCTGAACATGGACTGTGAACGTGTAGACCACAACAGCGGTTTCTGACAGAATTCAGCAATCTGGGCACTCACGTCCGCACCAGATGCCGAATTGCCCACGACGATCGCTTTCTTTCCGCTAAATTCTTCGGGTTTACGGTAGTATTTCGAGTGACTAATGCGACCAGGGTGTCGCGCTGCCCATTCCTCGATACCAGCCATAGGAGGGATGTAGGGAACTATGAAGTGGCCATTCGCTACAATGACTGCGTCATAGACTTCGGATGTGTCTTCATTCGTAATTAGATTCCGTGTTGTGACGGTCCATGAGCTGTTGATTTGATTTAGATCGGTTGGGTTGATACTGGTCACTTGTGTGCAGTATCGAACAAGATCTTGGACATCCGCAGAGTAGTCGCTGATGTATTTGAGTACCGTTTCGTGTGTAGGGAATAGTTGGCTATCAGATGGCCAATCCAAATCTTGGAAGCCCATTAATCCACGTGGAATATTTGTTTCCAGCTTCTCATACATTGGCGATAAGAATGAAGGGATCTTTGATGCGAAGTCGATTCCATTGGTATCGATGCTCCCGTTCGCTACTGCTTCTTTGGGCTGCCATTCCGGCTTTTGTACATCTTTATTCGGATTGGTCTGGGGTATGTCGAAGAGATTCTCGTCTCGCTGATGGCCTGTATATATCCATATTCCCCCCGGTCTACTTCGTTGTTCAAATAAGACGATCTCGTTGAATGCTTTCTCTGCCCGGAGATATTTTGCTGCCACCACACCCGACGGCCCCGCGCCCACTATTGCTATCGTCCTAGCTCTTACTGACGTTCTATCGCTATCGGAAGACATTGTAGATGATTCTAGGATGGCGAAGGAACGAGATAGACGAGATGATGGTGGAGTGCGCGCCGATCTGATGAAAAATCTAGATAGAGGGTATCTCGAAAACAGAAAAGAAACCATAGGAAATCAATGACAATATGAGATGACGCCGAGATGTTAACATGGGCATGATGCTAGATGAGCGAGATTCGGGCTGATCGGAATGGTCTTCCGATCGGAACTAGGCGAGGCTGCCGCGCATCATCGACAGCTTCATGAGCTGCGAGGCAAGTACCACCGGCCGTATATCGACAAGAGCTTCCCCCCATTGTGTCCCGCTGCCACTTGAAATACACACAGCAATGCTGCGCACACTAAGACTTGCACGTCTGTCATCAGCACCACGACCAGTCCGAAGCTTCTCAACCAACAGTGCAGCTATGGCGCCACTACGCATCGGATTCGTGCCAGGTAAGCGCGTCGTTATTCACGGTACATCTCAGGCTGACGTGAATAGAACATTTCTCCACGCCGCTCGAGTTCGCGAAGAAGCACTATAACCTCGATGCGAAGCTCCTCCCGTTCCCTTCTGGCACTGGCCACATGGTTACCGCCCTACAATCCAACGAGATCGACATAGGTGTTGGTCTTACCGAAGGCTGGATAGCGGCACTGGGCAAAGCACAGGCAACTAAAGAAGACGCTGGCTTCAGCGTAGTGGGTACATATGTTGAGACACCGCTCTGCTGGGCCATATCAACAGGCGCCCGGAGAAATGAGCTCAATGGCATACAGCATCTCAAGGGCAAGAAGGTGGGCGTGTCAAGAATTGGAAGCGGAAGCTACGTGATGAGCTTCGTGCTGGCCGACCAACAAGGGTGGCTGGACACCACTTCAGACTGCCCCCCGTTCCCAGTCGAGCCGCTGAACACGTTCGCAAATCTTCGCGATGGAGTCAATGACGGCACAGCAGACTTCTTTATGTGGGAGCACTTTACGTCGAAGCGCTACTACGACAACGGCGAGATCAAGCGCATCGGCGAGATCTACACACCGTGGTCCTCGTGGAAGATCGTCGCTGCAAACCATCTATTGAACCCGAAGAACTGGAGCTCTGCGCCCAACGCGAGCAAGCCAGTGCTGACTGAGGAACTCGAGGACGTCATGGATAAAATCAACAAAGGAGTTAAGCACTTTGAAGAGAACCAGGAAGAGGCTGTGCAGTACATCAGCACCAAGCTTGATTATTCGGAAGAAGATGCGAGGGAGTGGTTGAAGACCGTTCGCTTTGCCAAAGATGTGAAGGGCGTGGACAAGGAGGTAGTCGACAAGACCGTTGGCATACTGCAGAAGGCTGGTGTGTTGGGCGCGCAGGTCGATCAAAAAGCTATGATCGGACTCGAGCGACATCTGGCATGAACCTAATGTGCTTAGACCGCCAATTGTCATACCACGCAATTCGGAACATGGTTTGCGGGCCGTGTCCAATAGCTCAAGCTCCATCAAGCACTCCGTGTAATAGGATTACCAGCGCATGTTCAGAACCATGTCATAGCTCCGAGATTAAAGCATTATGCTTTTTGCTTGTCTTGCGCTGCATATCAATCACAGCAGCACCCGTCTGCAATCACGAACAACCAAGATGCCTTCGCCTGTACTATCACGTCAAGGTGTGACTGCACAGCACCCAGCAATGCATTCACCTGCGCTACCTCGTCAGAGTGTAACTGCACAGAACCGCGAAGTATTTATACTTGCTGGAAGGTTTTCCTGGAACCCTCTTGAAGACTCTCGCACTTCAACCACCTGCACTTCAACTACCAAAGTACCTATACAGCGGACCCTGAAGGCCTTCGTATCCGACAAGGACCAAAAACGAAAATCGCCCACTTTCGTGAACTTCTCCAGGCCTCTTTCACCAAAATGCCAGCCGGCACTACGAAAGTGCTAGAGTTATCTCACCTCGATCAGCAGCCTCATATCCGCGTATACGGCCGCTACTATATCATCTTCCCGTTTCCGGACATACGTTGCGCGCACGCAGCCAAAGAGGCGCTACACACCGGCTTCAAGGAAGTCCTGCGACGATTTCCATATCTTGCTGGCACGGTAGACATTCCCGATCCCTCTACCGAACGTCTCCGAGTACGCTACCCCGACCCCATCGATCTCGAAGCGGAAGCCCGTCGCGTTTTTACGGTTAGCTACGACGACACACGACATGACTACGATTCGCTTGCGAAAGATGCGTTTGCACCCGGAGAACTGCCCGCTACTATATTTTGCCCAAATGAGTTAAAACACCACACTGGATTGGGCAATGATCCGTACGCTGAAAGGATGACTTCTTTACACAATGGTCCTATATCTGCTTTTGCTGCACAGGCTACATTCATTCCTGGAGGTTTGGTGCTGAGCGCCTGGTTCTATCATGCTGTTCTCGACGGGACGGGAAATGCAAGGATCCAAAAGATATGGTCTGATGCAGTACGAGCTCTCCGTCTTGAGAAGAGCAAAATATCGCCTAGGGCCGCTAAATTCTACCGAGCACCAAGCTACAGAGATCAGCTCCAACCACTCCAGGCGATTGTCAAACAATGGAACAACATTCCAGACCCTTCATCAGCACGAAGCGCGCTCGCAACGCTGGTCCAAGAAGCCAACGTCGTAGACAAGTCCGCAGATGGTTCAGCGAACTCACTTGCAAGGCGCCATGAACTGCGTATAGGACCGGACGAAGAACCAAACAAAGCAGTTACGGAGATGTTTCGCTTCTCATCGCCAGCTATCAACAAGCTTCGCAACGAGCTATCTACCAAAACCAAAAGACGAATATCTCTTTTCACCGCACTGTCGGCGATTATCTGGGGAAATGTTGTGTGTGCTCGCTCGACATCGCTCGCTGCTTCAGGCAACACGCAGTCAACACTCGCCGTCGTTGTAGATCTCCGAAAATACCTTCCGCCTCCTTTCCCATCACCTGATTACCTTGGTAACCTGGTACTGTCTGCAATGCCCACCCTAAGCCTTGAAAATGGTGTACCCGATCGCATAATGTCGCCGCGAGAACAATCACCTCCTCATGCTCCAGGTAGTTTTTTTCCGGCCATGACCGTGGATCAGCAGAGCTTCTGTCTTGAGGACCTCGCAATCAAGATTACAGATGCTGTGCATGCTATAAACGCGACCTGGGCAGTCACCCAAATCAACAACGTTCTTACTAATCCCACCGAAGCTCAGCAATCTCTTCTGAAATTCCCCAAAGGTCCAGATCTATACATTACTAGCTGGCAAAGGATGGGTGCCGACCGGGAGTGGTACATTCCTGGAACTAGCACCCCAAATGCCACTGCTATACGGCGAGCGGCCTGGGTCAGCGAGGGTGGTATCGTGGTTCTACCCAGGGAAGAAGACAAAGAAGGGCAAGAAGGAGAACCGTACGAGATTATGCTCAGTCTTACAAAAACCGACATGGAAAGGTTTGAGGACGGGTTGAAGAGTGGGGGATGGTTAGTAGATTTGCCTGCTGGGCTCGACACCATGGATAGCATTATCCTCCCTACAACTGAGGGAGATGAGGGAACGGATGCGAAGCTGCCTGTTGGGCAAGCGAGGGCGTCCTTGTAGCCTGCATCAGGACGTTAGACGACGGTAGTTCTATAATGGTTCATGTAACATTTCATCCCTTGTACATAACTTTCGCAAGGGACTTCCTTCGGTACACTAGCTACGGTACTCTAGTTGGAGAAGATGGTAATAATTCAGACTTGTGAACTCGCTACGCGTGTGCCAACCCTTTCATCGCCAGACTTGTCAACAATCAAGCCAATCAAGCTATAGGCTTCAGATTGGATTGAATTAATAGCTTTTTTTTTTATAAAGAGTAGATTGACTTGAAGAGCTTGAGCAAGGCCACCTTCTTATATAGGTAATAAGCTAGCCTAATAGAGTAAAGATCGTGAAAATGGAGTGAATTGGCTTGATTTGATTCAAGTTTTTGATAAAAAATTCCTGAGCTTGGCTTGATTAACGAGCGTGATCTGGCTTGATTGTTGACAACTCTGTTCATCGCTCGGACCTTGTACCTGCAGATTCATGACTAAAAGTGACGATCACCCGCGGCAACTACCCACTAGCGCCCATCAAATATCGTTCTGAGAAAAACAAGTACCTATATGGCGCGTCTTACACCCCAGCTTCCCCAACAAATTGGCATTGTTACTCACAGACCTCACAAAACTCCAGAGCTAAAACAATAAAAATGGCGGACGAGAGAGAGCCGTTGCTTTCTTACCATGAGGTGCAGCGTGAAAGAACGGAGCAGCTGCTCGCGCACGAGATCACAGCGAGTGCGCAGGCTAATGAAGACTACCCTATTGATCATGGGAAAGTGGCTTGGATGCAGGTGTTGGGTGGATTTATTTTGTTTGCGAATAGCTGGTGAGTTGTCCTCAAGCTCGGTCAAGGATTTAGAAAGACACTAACAGCTGTAGGGGTTTGTAGGTATTCCTGTATCAACTGCATGTGAGGCATACACTAATTCCGTACACGTACATTTAGACCAAATGCGTTCGGAGTTTTCCAGACGTACGTGAATGCTGGAATGAATTTGAGACATATACTGATTTCATACACCAACATTTAGTTACTACGTTGACAGCCTGATGCCAGAACAAGATGCAGCGCGTATCGCATGGATTGGCTCAATACAGTTATTCTTCACTACCATCGGTTGCTTACCTGGTGGTATGCTGCTTGATCGGGGATACCTCAAGTCTACGATTGCCGTGGGCACGGTCTTGGAACTACTTGGTTTGATCCTGACTTCTTTCTTCAAGAGCTATTGGCCCATCTTCTTCGCCCAGGGAGTGTGCATGGGTATCGGGAGCGGTCTGATGGCGATAGTGCCTGTTGCTGTACTAGCAATGTTTTTTGAAAAGAAGCGGATGCTGGCTACCGGTCTTGCGTCGACGGGCGCTAGTGTGGCTGGTATTGCGTATACGCTCTCGATGCGCTCGCTCTTCCTCAGCGTGGGTTTTGCATGGGCTGTCCGTATCTTCGCGCTCATCATACTGGTTACCAACGTCATCGCTTTTGCGGTGATGCGGTTGCAGCTTCAGTACGGATCCAAGGGCTCCAGCTTCGGCTTTCACCATTTCAAAGACTTGCCGTACACGGTATTTGTCATTGCGTTTACGCTGTTTGTCGCTTCATCCTTCGTACCCTTCTTCTTTATCCAAGAATATGCCATCAAACTGGGTGTGTCGAAAGACATGGCATTCAATCTACTATCCATCATGAATGCGGCAAACATATTCGGACGCTTTGTACCGAATTTCATTGCTGATCGGTACGTTCGCATCATGTCACCTTCATAGCGACTGGACACTTACAAGTTTAGATATGGCGGTGTGAATACCCTGCTTCCCCTTACAATCGCATGCATCATCACCCTCTGCATGCTTCCTCTCGCCCAAGAAATCAACGGTCTCATCGCCATTAGTATCGTATACGGTTTCCTCTCTGGTGGCGTGATCATCATCCCTGGCCCTACCATCACCGACCTCTCGCCCAGCAAGGCCGAGATTGGTGTTCGCCTAGGCCTTGCCTACCTCGTTGCTGCTTTCGGCGGACTGCTCGGCAATCCCGCTACAGGGGCTATCAAGGGGGAGGGCAATGGCGCTGTAGAGAACTTTCAGGGTGTATGGTTTTGCGCGGCAGCCGTTATGGGTGCAGGTGCCGTGGCGCTTGTTGCCACGAGGTGGCTGAAGTTTGGTAGCGCGTGGGCTGTAGGAAGAGTATGAGATTTGGCTGAAAGCATTGGTCTAGGCCTTGGTAAGACATGTCGCTTTCGACAAGGACTCACAACATTATCAGAGCTAGCGAGTTTTATCTACCACCAACTAGTAGTTCAAAAGAGGCTGGACTACAAGATGATTGAACGACAGCTGGTAGTGTGCGAATGCCAGCTTAATGTGGCTTATTTAATCACGACGAATCTTCCACTTCAGGCAGAACTTGCACAATGCAGCCAATGAGCTGTTTCCACCGATCAGATCTCCAATCGTGGTTGCGCATTAGGCTGTATGCTGGAGATCTGCATTAGTCGGTGGCTGCCGTGTAACGTAGCATACGGATCAGGAAATTTTCCCATTACGACTAAGAAGAACAACCACATATCATGAAAAATTGCCCTCAGCTTTCTCAACACCGTCTCCTTCCTTCAGCCAGGCATATATCTTTCGGCGGCAGCTACGATGATTCCATCTGTTGTACTCTCGCTCATCTCCATCCTTCCGCTCACGTATGCTGCTCTATACCACCCTACGCCAGCTCTCTCCTTCCTAGAACACATCCTCGTTGATAACTGGGGCGCATACGCGTCAAACTTCTCCTCCGCAATCACTCCTTGTACACGCTACGTCTCTCAAACCGGTACCATAGGATCGACAAGCGGCCGTACGACAGCGGCACAATGGATGCGCGTCATGTTCCACGACTTCGTCACTGCGAATGTGAGTGCAGGTACGGGAGGTATCGATGCTAGTATTGGTTTTGAGACGGCCAGGGAGGAGAACAATGGGAGTGCTTTCAATGATAGCTTTGCGTTTTGGAGACCGTTTGTTGGGGCGGGCGTAAGTAGTAAGTCCACTTTCGTTGTCGGTGGATGTGTGGTCATGGCAGGTGATACTAAAACGTTGATAGTGGCGGATCTCATTGCGCTGGGCACGGTTATGTCGAATAACTTGTGCGGAGGTTCGCAGATGTCTTATCGTGCTGGGCGCATGGATGCGACAGAGGCTGGAAGTACCTCTGGAGTGCCTGCTCCCGAGACTAATCTCGAAGAGACTTTGCGCTTCTTCGAGCGCGCGGGATTTGATAAGGTAGATGCCATTGGTCTTACAGCTTGTGGGCATACAATGGGATCTGTTCATCACGTACGTACAGAAAAGGCAATTCGGTTGGCTGTCCATTACTGAACCCTGTAGGGCGGTTTCCCTGAGGTTGTAGATGAGAGTTTCGTTACACCCGAGAACACGAATGGCGGTAGCAACTTCGACAGTACACGTGGCGTGTTTGACCCTAATGTCCTCGGAGAATACCTGAATGGAACAAGAAGTAGAGGAGGGCCGTTGGTAACGTCGTATAACGACACAATGAACTCTGACCTCCGGTTATATGAAAGCGACAAGAACGCGACTATGCGTGCCCTCTTCGCTCAAGGAGCAGGTTTTCTTGATACATGTGTCGAGCTTATGAGTCGGGCCATTGATACGGTGCCTGCTGGTGTCCAACTCAGCGAGCCAGTTACAGCAATGCCTGTCAAGCCCATCAATATAACCTACGACTTTGGTGAAGATGGGAGGTTGATGCTCTCCGGAAAGATCAGGATCCTCACACCAGCGAGTACTTCTCCGCCGCCATCTCTGAACCTTCGCATGAACCAATACGAGACGAAACTTGAGCCGGAGGTCGACACTGGAAGTTCAGTCTTTGGCCGCAGCAGCAGCGGATACGGAATTACGTCATACTATCCGCTTTCGTTATCTGGGCGTACCGTTCAATATGCAACGTCTTTCTTGGTGTACGGTCCGAGCATATCACAACAGGCTTTCTCGATCACTAGCCAAGTGTTTATCGTGCCTAGTATGACAGCATTGAGGGGTTCTTCGATCCGTGTCACGATCGCTATAGGTAACACGAAGTCGTGCGACGACCTAACGGTGCTAATTGCGGCACCTTTCGCACAGCATGGCACGTTAGCGCCGAAGATGAGTGAAACAAGCATGGTGATGAGCAAGGCGACAGCAGTGTTGGATGGGTACATACTTTGTCAGAGCCCTGCCGTTTTACAAGATATCCCCACTGGGCTGGTCAGAGTTCAGGCGCTGGTGGGAGAAAAGCCTGTTGACACGCTATTAATCAACGGAGGAACGGCCGGATGGTAAAGTGATTGATGGCATTAGATGCTCTACTTATAGATCAACGCGCGGATATATTCAGCTAGGATTTGTCTCATCATTGGCCTTATATTAGCAGGTCCGCCTCTTCTGCTTATGCTCCTCGTCCTCGGAATGTTCTTCATACTCCGACTGATCTTCGTACTCCGGGTCCGAAGACCTGTAGCCCATATCCCAAACGTCCGTATCTGAATCCACATCGGCACTGTTGTCAGTGACGGCCTTCACATCATCTTCTGATGAGTCCGAAACGTCCAGTACAAGGCTCTCATACTCGTATACATCCGTGGTCTCATCTTCACTAAGATCTCTCATAGGTAAATCGAGCACTTCGGGACCTGTAGGTGGGTTTCTGCAGTCAGCACTACCACAAAGACAATCACTATGTAGCCACTTTGGACCATAGTCTATCGTTAGCTCCTCGTTGATGGTAATGTCGCGTATTGCCACCACATAAATGACCCGGCGTTCCATGCCACATTGAAACTCATGCAATCGCGCATTCGGATTACAAGAGTGATTGATGAACCTTAATATCGACCCGGTATGAAGTGCGTCTAGCGTAGCCGTGGCCTGTGATTCTTGTTTTGTATTACACCCACCGATCGAGATCCTGGTACTATAAGCATCCTCTCCACTGGCTCCGTTGGTCTTGACAGGTATGATGCGGCCTGTATACTCCCCTACAACAGTTGAATCTTGAATCACTTTACGCGCGAAAACACCGTAACCGCAAGCACCGGCTCTTTGTAACAATAGATGGGTAGGCCAGTACTCAGGCCAGTAGTCCTTCCAGGAGCTGTATCCACACCTGCAGAAACCGTCTTCTACTTCGTTGCATACGTAACATTCTCTTACACAATCTTCCGTCTTATCGACATTACCAATAAGATCTTCAATTACTTTGGGCGGCCAGACCTTGCCTATGAAGCCTGGCGGCTTGAGTTGGTCTTGCCAGTCTTCCGCACTGAAGGCATTTTCTAGAGCGACGGAACAATAATGCTTTCCACTAACTATGTAGGTAGGTACTTTGGCGATTGGCAGACCGTTTTTGTCCTGATCGTAAAAGTATAAACGACCTCTCAAGCGTGGGTTGTATAAGTCTTTCAAATATTTAGTAATAACGGCTTGGGTCAAGACCGTGCCTTCCTCTTGCCTACGCTTCGCTTTATCCTGGATTGCGTGGAAGACTTCATGCTGTGTTGGTCGAGGCATTGCTGCTTGGTTCGGTAAAACGAGCGTGAGGAGGAGCTTCGTTGGATCATGGGTATGAGTTCCTTTTGAGTGAGGTAAACCTTTGAATATATATTCGAATCGAGGCGGTGCACCTGGGCACCGTAGGAGAGTAGTACATTATACAGCAATAACATCGTCTGCTCCATCGTGAGTCTTTATGGCTTCGAATGCTTTTACAGTGCTTCTGCACAATGACAACGCAACGTTGTGATGTTTGAAAGCGCGATAAATTGTGAACTCAATGTAGTCTTGATACCGTAGGAACAGTCGTTAGTACGTTTCTGGTATTTCTTTTCGCACGAACTAAACATACCGAGGCTACAGCCTGCAGCATGGGCGTTTCCGGATCTACGCTTGGTTCGGTATATGTCCAGGTGTTAGATTTGGGCGAGCGGGCGATTGGATCACACTAGCGGCGAATGGGTGCGGAGAAATACTGCAGGATAGATGCGGATTAATATATGCTCTGCTCCGTGTCGAAATGGGTATAGCCGGACGATCAATACGTCGAGTATGCTCGGATGTACGCCAAAGCGCGACATGCGACCCAGTCTACCCGGCGCGTTACCATCTGAAAACCGGGGTACAGAGTTGATCACCGTGCTAGGTGCTTCCGTGAAAGTCTGCTTTTGTAATGCTATAAGAAGCCGCATGGTACAGCAAAGTAAAGTCCAGGACGATCAGGTTCATCTCAGTCGATATGATGTTCGCCTCAATTTCTATCTTGCTCTGCGCAGCCGTCGCATCCGCGCAGCTCACCTCAAAACTCACTGAGATAACCGACTTTGGGCCTAACCCGCGTAACAGTAGGTTATAACTGTACGACATGTATGTGAGATACACACTGACTCGTATCCATCTCTGCAGTCTCGATGTTCATTTATGTACCTGCCAATCTTCCACCGAATCCACCGATTTTGGTGTCACCACATTGGTGTCACGGCACGGTTAGTAATATCCCTGCATGATTTGTATATGATACAAATACTAAGTTTGTGAATAGGCACAGCAGGTTTTCGATTATAGACCCTGGGCTTCGCTTGGCGACGAGTATGGCTTCATCTCGATCTACCCCAACACTTCAACATTGAACACGGATCAATGCTGGGATGTTAGTAGCCAGCAATCGCTCACTCACAACGGCGGAGGCGACGCGCTGGGCATTGTATCGATGGTGCGGTGGACTTTGGACAAATACCACGCAGACAAAGACCGCGTCTTCGTAACGGGTACTAGCTCGGGGGCTATGATGACCAATGTACTCATCGGGAGCTATCCAGATGTCTTTGCGGCAGGAAGCGCATGGGCTGGTGTGCCCTTCGGGTGCTTTGCCGGTGACGGCTTCGATGTCTGGAGCGACGCATGTGCCACCGGCCGGATCATCAAGACCGGCCCCCAATGGGCTGCTCTCGTGCGCAATGCATATCCTTCATATCGTGGCTTCCGTCCAAAGTTCCAGACTCTTCATGGCACAGCGGACACGACACTCTATCCACAAAATTTGCGCGAGCAAATCAAACAATGGACGAGTGTATTCGATGTGAGCCAGAAACCGACGGAGATTACAGAAGACATTCCTTTCAAAGGCTGGACGAGGTTTCGGTATGGCGACAAGTTCGAAGCGTATGAGGCGGGTAGTGTGACTCACGATATTCCGACTGATGCCGACACGGTAATGGACTTCTTCGACTTGAAGTGCAGTGGGCCGAGCTGCTTCTCGAGGCCTAGGTCGGGTAACAGTACGTGGTACCATGGATGAGGCGTTGGTCTGTATATACACAACTTTGTTAGCCGCCGGAGTAAAGCTCGCGACGTTCACGAAGAATAGCTCTTAGATATGTACTGGTGCGATGCCGCTTACAGGTCGCAGTGCAAACAAAACGCGAAACAAAGTCAAATAAAGTGAAGACATTACAAAGACATGCTCAGTGACACTGTCGAGACATCGTTGTCGAGAGAGGAATTAGCCATGAAAGAGCGCGTTTGAGTTTCGCGAGAGTCAGGCGCTAGTGTCGCATGACGTCATCATCCAATAACACTTTCCCACCACAAGTGCATTGACACAGCCCAGGAACTGTCACGGAGGAATGCTTGTCAGTTCAGTTTTAATAATGCGAACTCCTATCTAATACAGATGAAGCTCAGTCAAGATACCTGTAGCACGTGAGATTGCTCCGTAGCAAGCTATCGAGCGGATCGCGATGCGGGGAAGACACGCTAGATTCGCGGCCATTGCACGACCACAGGCTTGCAACCCTCATGCATGTTCGGTCCAAAATACCTTACAACTTAAAAACAAAAATATGTTCAGATGTGGCGTCTGCAATCTGCGCTCCCTACAGTACGTGTTGAACGCGGATGGCTTTCACCCGAGCTCGTAGCTTCGACCGACATGCTGGATTCCATTATGGGCTTAGCGACCCCAGATGATCACCTCAGTTTCCTTAGCACGCATTTCAAAGAGGAGCAGGTTGATCCGCCGCATAGCCAAGAGTTGGCGAAGGTCGTATAGCGAAGCTGGAAAACCGTATGCGGTTATAAGCTTTTCTCCACAGGGAGGGATTCCAGTCTGGGGTACTTCCCCGCGCAGTCTTCATTACACCGAAGACAACGTTATAAGCTTTGGATCAAACCCCTTGTAGCTAAGGTAGGTACCTACACCAAGTTTCTAGTCTTCAGCGATGCGGGCCCTCAATCTTTTCGTGGCCGTCTGTGGCTTTTCGAAGTACACAGTGCATGCGCTACTTGAGGAGAGCTTTGTAGGCTTCGAACCTGGAGATCAAACCTTGGACATCGCTGGCGCCACCGTCATAGCTGATGCGGATGATTTTGTGGGTATTCATATTGCGCTCAAAAGCTTAGTGGAAGACTTCGAACAGATCACTGGAACCCGACCCGCGTTCAACAATGTCACAGCCAACTCCACGATTTCAACTTCAGCAACCGGCATCATCGTCGGCTCTGTGGAATCGAGACTCATTCGTCAACTGTCCGCAGAGAAAGGTCTCAGCATCTCAGATGTTGAGGGAAGATGGGAAGTGTTTAAAACGGCTGTTATTGCCAACCCAATAGCTGGGGTAGAACGGGCGTTGGTTATTGTAGGCAGCGATAAACGCGGTACTATCTTTGGTGTACACACGCTCGCCGAACAAAGTGGGCAATCTCCGTAAGTTATCTTCATTGTATGCGTCTAGATATCGATTGATGGGCTGCAACAGATACCATTGGTGGGCGGATGTTCCCACGAAGAAGCACGCCGCTATCTTCGCATTGCCAAAAGCCACTGTTCACGGGCCACCATCAGTCAAATACAGAGGACTTTTCATTAATGATGAAGCGCCAGCGCTGGTCACTTGGTGGGCAGCACAACACAACTCCTCGTACTATCCTCTCGACACCGAATTTTACGCCCACGTATTCGATCTACTTCTTCGACTAAAAGCTAATTACTTGTGGCCTGCAATGTGGGGATCAACAACACCAGCTCCAGGCCACATCTTCTTTACCGATGACCCAGGGAATCAGCAGCTTGCAGATGACTATGGTATCGTAGTTTCTACTAGTCATCACGAGCCTATGCAAAGAGCCACCAATGAGTGGAACGCGACTGAAACTGGGCCCTGGGATTGGAGACTGAACAAAGACAATGTTACTCGCTTTATGCAAGAGGGTATCCGAAGAATGGGAAACAACGAAAGTTATGTGACGCTGGGCATGCGTGGCCCGAGCGATAGTGCGATCGTCGGCGACGACGCTTTGGAAATACTTCGAGAAGTATTTGAAGTAGAGCGTCAGATTTTTAAGGATGTCTTAGGTGACAAGAAAGTGAACCGTAAGTAAAACCACTTCAGATCCAGGTGTATAACATGCTGACAAAACGTAGAGGCGTGGACGATCTACAAGGAGGTCGCGACGTACTACGCGGCAGGTTTGAGCCCGCCAGACGATGTCACAATCATCATGCCTGATGACAATCATGGCCAGATTCTGCGGCTGCCCACTGGTAACGAGACTACTAGGGAAGGCGGCGCTGGTGTTTACTTTCATTTCGAGTACTTTGGTAGACCGCGATCGTACAAGTGGTCGAATACCAACAGCTTGGTCAGTATGCACAATTTGCAAACGAGATCTTTTCCTGACAAGTGTAGCCAAAAGTGTTGAAAGAGCTTTTGCAAGCTTACTGGCGCGATGCGAACCAAGTTTGGGTCATCAATGTCGGCGATATCAAGCCTTTGGAGCAACCCTTTGGATTCGCTATGGATTTAGCTTGGGATGTCTCGAAGTTTGACTTCGACATGATACCAGCATATCTGCGCCTCTACGCCGAGCGAGAGTTTGGTATAGAACATGCGGATGATGTCGCAGCTCTACTGATGGAGTTCAATTACCTCATTGGAATGCGCCGCTTTGAGATGGTCCAACCAGACACATACTCAGTATTGAACTATCATGAAGCAGAAAGGATACTAGCAAGGTGGAACACACTCGCTGATCAAACCAAAACATTATACGACCGGATACAGGAGGATTACAAAGCCGCATTCTACGAGCTAGTGTTTTATCCTTTAGTATCGGGCGCCACATACTACTCGGTAAATGTTGGAACTGGATTTAACTATCGATATGCCATGGAGCGGAGGAATTCGGCAAACGCACTCGCTCACCAGGTCTTAGCCGACTTCGAACACGACTACGATCTGGTTGAAGGCTTCGACACCCTTCTTGACGGAAAATGGCAACATATCATGTCTCAGGCTAAACTTGAAACGTTCGATATCGGAAAGCCAAAGAACTGGATGAATCCGTCTCGCGACATACTCTCAAACCTTTCTTTTGTTCAACTGCGTCAAAACATGCAGTTCTCCGTTGGCAATCTTGGCATCTATGCGGAGGGCTCCAACAGCCCGCTCGATCAGGGTAGATGGGCTGAGTCAATCGATCCATCAATGCCTTTCACCAAATCTCCACCCAAACTTCCGGAGATGAGTCCTTATGGACCATCTATGCGGACTATAGACCTCTTCATGCGGGGCGACTACCGTGTTCCGCTTGACTGGCAGCTCGGCGATATTCCAGTAAATTGGCTGTCAATTACACCAAGTTCAGGCCGACTCAACCAGACCGTCGACGAGCAACGTCTCAACATCACCATCGATTGGACACAGGTTCCGGAAGGATACAATGACACAGTAGAGGTTAGCGTGACATCAACACCATCATTCTATCCGTACTTCGATATCTTGCGTATTCCGGTACAAAACCGCAAGGTACCCACTGATTTCCAGGGCTTCCCGGAAACGGCTGGTTACATATCGATTGAGAGTCCACACTATCAGCGTTCGTCCCTAGGCAATAGTACTACAGACGACACAGTAGCATTCGCTCACGTTCCATATCTTGGCACGCGTACTGAATCTGGTTCTATCGCGATACGGCCTTTCCACGCTGCTCGGGCTTCTCTTGCCGACTCGACCGCGGCATTTGTTGAATACGACATCTATCTCTTCAATCATACCAGTTCCCTCAACGCCACGATCTACATCAACGCTGGTCTAGATACAGACCCCAATCTTCTCATGGAATTCTCTCTTTCTCTTGATAGCACCCCTCAGAACTTCACACGTGTATTGGGTGATCCAAAGGATGCAGGCGATGTGCCACCAGAGTGGACAAATAACGTAATGAACCAGGTGTGGACGAAGAAACTCAGTCTCGGTGAGGCACTGGAAGGAAAGCACACGCTTCGTTGGCAAGTCAATAGTCCTGAGGTCTACTTGGAGAAGCTTGTTTTGGATACTAGAGGTGGGGTCAAGGACAGCTATCTAGGACCGCCGGAGACGATGATGGTTGGGTCTGAATGAGAATGCTATAAGGATGCTCGCATCTGGATATAGAGCGCAGATCGAATACTAACAGACGTCCTCAGATATCTGTTGATGTATAGCTCACCTTAATAAACACTACTTCGAGGCTGCTTTCGAACCTTCGAACGCTCCATGCGCTCAGCACCTTTCGCACGAAGTTTGGCACCGTATATGTATAGCTATGGGATGGGGTCAATCAAGTTTCCTCTAACAGGGAAAAGTGTCTGCACGTACCAGTAGTATCAGTGGTAATCCCACGGCCAAGACTGAAAAGCCCAACAACCCTACACCCCAGTCCAGGCCAAGTTTGGCAAACAATTTCTCTCCAAATAACGGGAAGGCGCCGGCGAACATGCAACGAAGGAAGGATATGGCAGCGACGGCAGAAGCGGGAAACTTGAAGGCATCGATTGCGTATAGTTGCAGCGCGAGCTGGATGTTCATGCCTCCAGCCATCATAAGCATGATAGCTACGAGTGGCTGTCTGGACGTTAGCTCAAGCCTGACATTGGTGTCTGTAGTATACGTACGACGATGAAGTGAGTTCGAGTGGCGGTGAACCCATACATGAACAGCCCACCGACCAGCAATGTCCCACCAACAAGGCAGCTAATGAGTCTCGACTCAGGCTTGTATTTCGTTTGACCGGATGCGGTGTCTCGCTTAAAGATGGCTTCCATGGCACGAATAGTAGCGAATGTACCAACAAGCATACCAATACCAGCGGCACGAAAGTCGGTACCCACAATTCCGACGGAGTGCCCATAGCCGACGCCAAAAACATCGGCGTATGTCACAATTATGAGGTACACGACACCAAATACCACTGAATAGAATAGCGATGCTAACAGCAATGCTGGATCAAGCACAAGGTATGCTAAGGGTCTAATGAACGCGTTGATAAGCGCTGCGGGGCCAGTAGGACGATGCTGAAGATCCAGTACGGTATACAGTTCGGCGCTGAGATTTGTTTTCCGTTCTCTTTGCAGCTTTGTTTGCAGAACCCTTGGTGCGAAGGACTCCGGGAGGAAAAAAAGACCGGCAGTCGAAAGTAGGGCGCTGGCGATCGCGGGTATCCAAAGAGTCCAGCGCCACGAAACGCGCTCCGACATCCAGCCCCCACACACAGGGCCCAATACAGGGCCTAAAACACTGATTCTGGTAAGTAAGGACACTGTGTATGTACCAATACAAACCTACGGGCCAAGCATCACAAGCCCAGATGCCTTTGGACGGGCAGCGAGGTCCCAGACATCCGTAACGAACCCACCAAGAACCGCAATAGAAGCAGATCCACCGAACCCAGCAAACAAGCGGCACACTGAGAACTGGGCAGCAGTTTGCGAGAAGCCACCTCCAAGGGAAAATGCAACGAAGAAGAAGTTGCCAAAGTGTATAGTAGCTGCTCTGCCGTACTTCTCGCTAAGTGGGGCAATGAAGAGCGGGCCGAGAGCCAATGCGAAGAGAAAGATCGAGACTTGCAGAGCACCGACAGTACTGTCAGTGATAGCCAGATCTTTCATGACCAGGTGGATGGATGGTGCGAATATGGTGCTTGCGAATGGGGAGAGGAAACAACAACCTCCCACAATTGCGGTTGCGCGGACTTTCTTAGCGATCGGCCAGGACTGAAGCATGGTGTTAGCTCTCGAGTCGGCACGCGTGTAAGTAAGATTACACGGGGATGTTCTTGTGTATCTTCATCCAGCGCTACAAAGTTGGGATCGAGATGCTTGAGATCGTGGCTGCCGATGAAAATCTTGTCCGGCTGAGAGGCCTGATCTACGAGTAGCTCTTGGTAAACTTGGGCGACAGCCTGTCTTGAAGTTATCCCAGAAAATTCGATATCAGTGGAGTCGTTCGCTTTCGTGTCCCGTTCGGAGAGAGACATGTTGGCGAGAACGTAGTCGATGCTAATGAAGCGATGAAGGCGAAGATGGTAAATATTTGGAGAAAGGGATTTACAAGTAGTTCACAATCTTATATATCCATAACGTTGTGAGTTCCTCTGCGTCTTCTTTCATATAGCCGACAGTCGCCTATCGGCGTTACTCGGCCGCGTTCGCATGGTGTACAGATGGAAGGCAAGACAGTGGGAGGCTAGGTTGGCAAGAAAGAATGATCGAGTTAAGCCGGGGAAGTAATCTAGAATCTTAAACAAGGCCATCTTTCCAGATCGTCGAAGCTCTGCACGGGTTGTTAAGTTATATTCACGCCGGAGGACACGACGAGAACGATTGCTCAGTTAGGTGGAAGGTCTAGCTCGATTGTCTCCGCGGTACGTCTACTGTACATACGCGTCTCTGTCTCATCTTAGCAAACTGGAATGTATCCTTTCCATAGTAATAGATGAGCTCAGTTGCTTCTGTGTATTGCGGTGCAGTACACGTTTGTATCCGCGGGTGTAAGTCGTGTTGAGATCAGGAGGCTGAAGAAGGCTGACTCGCTGATCTTGGATAGCGTTAGCGTGCGGCCCACGCTCAAGTCAACACCGATTATCGCCGGTCGCCCGCATCCTCCTCCTCCACTTTCATGCGTCAACATTGGAGAACCATAAAGATGCTGCGGCCGCATCTACCTGCTTACGTCCGACAGCCTCTTCCGCGAACCTTGAGACCACCATGACGCATGCCCGGAATGTGCAGACATGCACCCGCTGCCATTCAGCCAAGCGCAAATGCGACAAACTCGGACCAGCGTGCTCGCGCTGCAACAAGGCGAAAGCCAGTTGCATCTACGAAGGATCGGCCTTAGAGTTGCCATCACTCGGATCTCCCAGTGGCTCAGAGGAAGCTCTCGATACCACATCTACAACTTCCTCATCTCATTCGTTTGTAAAAAGACGCGCTCGAGCCTGCTTTTCCTGTACAAGATGTCATCGGCTTAAGATCAAGTGCGACAGAAGATCTCCTTGTAGCAGATGCGCACGCTCTGGATTCGAAACAACATGCATCTATACGCATAGAGCTAAGAGGATTGAGAAGGTAGTTTTGCCGTCTTCTATCCTCACCATCGAGGATCCGGAGTTTGTTGTTGCTACCTGGTTTTTACGAAGACGAGGTTCAAGTCATTTTAAAACTCTTTTCGACCGGGTGCGTTTTCCCTACGTTGCTGGCCATAATGTTGCCGAGGCTCTCGGTGGCTCTGCTGTGATCTTCAAATCACGCCTAGATGCCTCCAGATAATGGCGCTGAGAGGAGCAAGCCAGAGTCAGGCTCATTATGTACATGCATGATGCTGTCCATCAACTTCACAAGTGCTGATGACCTTTAGTTAGAGACACTACCTGGCCTACGGGCACCCCCATTCACCATGGCTATGCGAGAGCACATTGCAGGAGACTGTTCAAGTGACTTTGCGTTAGCTGGCAACTTTCCGTTCGGAAGTCCTGAGTCTCGGCCGTACGCTTCGCGTGAGAGAGTGCAGAGCATCTTGCAAACCTCGACTCCAGATGCCGCCCTCTACGTTGAAGCATACTTCAGAGTGTACAATCCCTCTCTGCCAGTCCTGGATTTATCTGCATTCACGTTGAAGATGAAGAGTTTTTACGATTCACAAGATATAGCAGATCCTAGTTGGCTCGCGCAATATTTCGTAGTACTTGGTCTCGGAGCGTATGCCACAACTCGCAATGATGTGGCTGCTTCAGAATACTTCTATGCCAGCGAAGCTTGTTTGGCGAAGACATCATACATGTATCGACCACTCACCATCCATATCAATACACTTTGTTTGATGGTCATGGCGAAGTCAGTAGCATACGCAACTTGTTGGGCTCTGGATACCAGCTGGAATGTCATGGGTCTTGTTGTCCGCTTGTCCATGACGATGATGCTCCACAAGGACTGGATGCCGGGATTACAGGAGCCAGCGATTGCCTGTGAAAGACAAATTCGGCGGCTTTTGTGGGCAGCGGTGGTGTATTTGGACATACAAATGTCCCTGATCACTGGCCAGCAATCGCTACTCCCACAAGACGTCATCCCAATCGGTACGGAGCGACGCGTACCAGTCATACTCGAAGACTGCTTCGAATCCATTTTGCCTCAATCCTTCTCAGTCATATGCCACTTCCTAGTCCGGATCAATTCGCAACTCGACCAGATCACTTACGAGGAAGCGATGCAGTATGACCTTGAGTTGCGCCAGCTGATGCGCCAAACTTCAGGCCTGCCTGGCAACGAACACCTGCGTTCAACGCTCGATGTTTTCTTCCGCCGCGCACTGTCAGTTCTCCACGGACACTACGCGCTAGCTCGCGACGCTGCGCTCATACATCCTGTCTCGTATTGGTCATCTCTCGAATGCAACTTTGCAATGATGAGGCATCATCAAAACCTAGGATTGTCACCAGAGCAGGGCTCAGATCTAAGGTTGGTCGCACAACCATACATGTTGGACTTTTTGGCGGCCGCACTAACGGCCTGTGTACACCTGCTCTCTACGGCCCCACCAGCTAACTACCCGTTGCCAGATCGCCAAACTATATTGGGCACTCTGAAGGATTGTGTAGAGCTCATCGGAAAGGAAGAGAGCAAATCACTGTGCTTTCGCACAGGGTACCACCTGCTCAGTGCTGTGTTTGACCTGACGTGTAGATAGAGTTCAACTGGCTGATCTGCAATAATACATAAGATTTTACGATAGTACTGTGGCAGCAAAACAATACTCGAAGAAAGTCTGACCTAGACTCAACCTTCATGTTAATAGCTTCACTCATAGCAATGCGCCTCACGTTTGGAAATCATTGTAGTATTATCGGTAACTGTTTCATTCATAAAACTTTACTAAGTTTTAATTCTAGGATAGACCTCTACAACCGTCTTCGGTAGTGGCCAGTACTGTTTCCGCCGGAAACCTCAGTGTCCAATACCGCGACACTGAGTTCGGGCAGAGTGAAGTGAAACGCACCATCACTTCCGGCGGTGACCATCATGTTGGTGGTGTTGACGATGTTAACTCCAGTGAAGGGGTCATTGTACATGTATGGGTCGCCAACGGAGTTGGTAAGGTAAGTGAGGTTGGCCAAAGTACCCGGAGCAACACCCTGGAACTGAACGCTTACAGGCACGTCGGCATGGTTGGTGGTGTTGTATACTGCGCCCTTCCATACCATAGCACCGTCGCGCTTCTCATCGTAACCAGCACCCCAGTAGAGGGGACCGTAGGAAGAGTTGGAGTGCGTGGGGAGAGTGTGGGAGATCGGGTGGTGGGCAAAGAGACTCCAACAGTACCAGGTAACGGCTTTGGTGGTGCGCTTCGGGTCAGCATCGAATTGGATGAGTGTGATAGGCCACTGGAAGCGGTTGTTGTTCTTCAATACGGGTGCGTAGAAGGTACCAGGAATGCGGTCAGAGTTGCGCTCGTAACCGATCAGAGAAACGGCTTCACCGACGGCGCCTTGCCACCATGGGAAGGGGTACAAGTCGCCTTCCCAGCGGATACCGCCGTTAACGTGGGTAGCTGCAACCTCACCGACAATGTGGCCAGCGTCGTTGTCGAAGCGATTGAACTCGTAGACCAGCTCATCAGGCTCACGGTATGGGTGGTAGTCACCAATCGCATCAAGAGGCAAGACCTGTCCGTTCACGTTGTTAGGTCCGAAGATGGGCGCCTCACCAGCAGGGTCGCTAGAAGCCGCAGAAGAGATGACCTGAATGTTGGGGTAAGCCTTGCTGATGGCGTTGTAGAAGAGCGGGAAGCGGTATGTGCGGTAAGACTCCCAGCCACCGGGGTAACCAGCAAGCCAGTCCTCGTTACCAACCTCGACGTAGTTGAGCTCAAAAGGCTCAGGGTGCCCAAGTTCAGCGCGACGAGCACCCCAAGTGGAGTTAGCGGGACCGCACACGAACTCAATCTCGTTGAGAGCATCCTCAATGAAGGGTTGGAGGTCTTCTTGGGGTGTGACACCACCGTCAAGGTCGAGACCGGCCCAAACACCCAAGACAATCTCGAGACCCATGTCCTCAGCCCACTCAAGGTACTCCATGAGACCGAGGCCGTGGGTCTGTTGGTATCCCCATACACCCTGGAAACCAGGACGGTACCTCAGAGGGCCAAGAGAGTCCTTCCAGTCCCAGTAGGAGTCATTTCGGAGACCCTCAAGCATGTTACCACCGGGGAAGCGGAGGAAGGTAGGGTTCATGTCAGCAAGAGCCTCGGCAATGTCGACACGGAGACCATTCTTGCGGTTCTTGTAAGTGGGTGGGAAGAGGGAGATGAGGTTGAAGTCGAGTGCGCTGGCTGCGGCACCGTCAAACGTGATGGAGAAAGTGTTGTTGGAGTTGGGCGCATCCTTTTCGGGAACGAGCTCGAAGGTATGCTCGGTCCAGTCGTCTGCAACGGACTTGGAGGGCACTTCAACGGATCCGAAGACATCGCTTGTCAAGTTTGATTCGAGCGATGCGGTGAAGACGCCATCGTATGCGCCCTTGACCCAGAAAGATCCGGTATAGGTCTGCACGCGGACGTCCATACCCCAGTATCCTTCGTTTTTAAATCCGATCTTGCTGGTGTTGGAGGTGCCATTGCCAGCAGAAACACGCATGGATGCTGGCAGTTGCTTGGAAAGCGGCTCATCCAGCATCTGAATGCTGAGAGCAGCGCCATTGACAGAAAAGTAGTGGTCGGTTGAGACGCTATAGTTCTGGCTGTACTGGAAAGCACGGTTTTGAATCAACTCAGCGTAGATTCCACCATCACCAGAGTTGTTGATATCCTGAGAAACAGTCAGCACACGACATGTAGATACAGGTTTCGATCACTTACCTCATGAAGGAAACCGTAGCCGTAAGAGTGTCCAAACTTCCCAGTCAAGTTGCCGCCTGACGACTGGACGATAATATCAGCAGCAAGCGCAGAAGTAGCGCAGGCCGCAGCTACAATTCCCTTGAGAAACACCATCTTTGCGATCAAAAGACGATGGATTGCTGGTCATCTCAACAAATGTCCCATTTAGCCAACCTTATACTTTCAGCCATCTCCCGGTTCACTAACCGTTTCCCAGAATCACGGGTTTACCAGCCACGCAGGTCTTGGCGACAAGAAGAATCAATTGTAATCTCCACACCTGGTCCGGTACAATCGTCATGATATTTCCCGGTTGCATGGCGTGTAGGCGAGAGTGCTTGAGGTGCGCCACCCGTCATTGGAGGATTCCGGCGTCAATGAGCGGAAGAATTGGATGAAGTCGAGGATTAGTTCCTGACGATCCATGCACCCATGTCGGCGGATGCAGCGACCCCTCTCGAGTGACGTGATGCGATGTCCGACATCTTGGCTCGAGGAACACCGGGCGATGTGCAATACTTCCACCCACAATGCGCGGAAGCTGTTGCTAACGTCCAGTCGCTGTGCCCGAGATAGTACTGGTATCATCTTCGACTACCGTTCATCTTGTGGAGTTTGACTGGTGCCATAGGGCGTCTCCACTTGCCGAGGCTACGGAAAGAACCTGGGGGATGCTGGGGTCTCCGCTTCATCGCGGCTCGGTGCTTTCGCCGTCAAAGGTCGCATCGGCCTTATAGGCGGCTAAACTGCTACTCCGGTATTAGCACATGTTAGCCTCCGAGCGGTACGATACCTAGGTATGGCACGATTTGGCGCCCAGGAAATTCGTTCCTGTGTTCGCTCTCGAGAGATGCTCACGATAGCAACGCGTGGAGCCTGATGCTGATTTCCAAGGCAAGACGGTGAAATAATATGAAGTGGGGCAAGTCAGTGCTTGAACGGCTCGGGTGATCAATTTCCGCTGCGGAAAAGTCGCTTTGTGAGGAACTCTCCATCACTGCCAAACCAACAGTAACGGCTGACTCTTTGCCTGTCAGTCACGAGCAGGTCCCGCGAAAGAGCAAAAACTATGGCCAATGTACCTAGGCAGTGAAGAGTCTGAAGGCTTAGTTGATACCTGATCTCAAATACCGCGCTATCGAAGAAGATCAATGTTTTGATGCGGCAATCCAGTGCTGCATCGTTCCATTAATTACCTGTCTAAAAGTCCACTCTTCTAGCCTTACTGCACACTGAAGCCCTCCGCCTTCTATACATTGTCATCTAAACGGATCAGCCTCTTGCGCACTGTCTCTTTTGATTTGGTTCGCTTTCTCAACCCAAGCGGCCGTTCCGCTGACGCTTACCACGATGCATCCCAGTATTTCGCTTTCTCGTATATCCAACCCGACAATTGCATTTGCACCTTTGCTTATCGCCTCTTTCACGAGCCTATCAATTGCTTGGTCGCGCGCTTGATACACGATACTTGTTACGCTCCTTGCTTCTCCCCAATTGGTGTTGAAAGTGCTTGCGATGTTCTTGATGAAGGATTTTGTGTCTTTGCGTGTGGCGCTTGTGGTTCCGTGAACAGCACCGAGAACGCGTATGATGCGATGGCCGGGCAGGTCGGACGCCGTGGAGGTCAAAATGGCGGGTGTGCGGCTTTGGGGTGCTTCAGTATCGATTGCGAGAGGCGCAGATGAAGGCTGTTCGGGCATCGTGCCTTTCGAGTGGGGATGCCAGCTGGGCATGCGGTTGGGAGGGACCATCATGGTCGAGCGACGGTTTGTCAACATCTCTTCGGCTGGTTTGGCAATACGAACGTATTCGATATGCAATCTTTATTCAAATGCGATGAGCAGCGGAGGTATTGATTGATTGTCAATGTGGATATAGTGTGCGTAAGGTGTGAACTGATCTGCGAACGACAGGACGTGATAATCGATCAATATATCTGAACAAGACCCATGATGGCATCCATCGGATTTCGAAACACCTTAGGATCATGCCTCACGACGCGATGTTCCTCGGCTGCATTTCTTACAGGTCTAAGCCTCGATAAGAGCTGCTAAGACGGGCGGGAACGCCGTACAACAATGTGCCTGCGTGTGACGGAGACTAAACCGTCTTTTGCGACTAAATCATGACGGTAGAGACGCGGAGTGGCATTCCGCACTTGAGTTCGAGACGCTGTCTCGGTAGGTCGAGTCGAGGTGTTGAAACATGCGAAGTTGCGGGGCTGCACTTTGGGTTTCAGGCCTACAGCTGATACATGAATGGTACGTGACCACCACTATTGGCAATAGCAAGATGTTTTCGCACCACAGAGTGCAATGCAATTGCGTGCGCATTGATGTGATCGGGATCGTTGTAAGCGGCACATAGATGTCGCCCTTGTGTGGCCATTTTTGAAGCTTTTTCAGACATTCTCAGCCTGATGACATCGATTCTACGTGTGCGAAATATGACTTGGTTACCATGGTGTTAAAAAGCGGTTTGCATGGCGGGCGTCATGGATGGTTCCATATCTTCGTTTCTCAGATTCCTCAGTAACTCTTCTGCCCCAGCAATACCAACATCTAAGCATTGTACACCTGCTTCCCTTCGAACCACGTTTCTAACACCTTGGCTTTGAGTAAGTCTTCCCCTTTCCAGTCCATTTCCACCACACAAAAGTCCGCCATCTTTCCTACCTCCAAACTGCCTACACGACCTTCGGCGAAGGAAGAATACGCTGCCCCCTCTGTTACAGCAGCTACCGCTTGCGTCAGCTCAAGCCTGAAGTTCTCATTGACAGGCGCGTCGCCGGCGTGCGGTTGTCTCGCCGATCTACGGGTGGTTGCAACGTATAGATTTGGCAAAGGCGCGTATGGAGCTGTAGGTGTATCTGAACCGATAGCGAGCGGTGCGCCGTGGTCTGCGAAGTCAGAGTATGCGAATGCTCGCTTCACGCGTTCGGGGCCAAGAAGCTTCGGCCATGCACGGAGGATGGCTGGGTCGGAGTGAACCGGTTGTATGCTTGCTGTAATGCCGAGCTGACCAAGTCGCTTTGCATCTTCCGGCGCGGTGAGTTCAAGATGCTCAATGCGATGCCTTTGGCCTTGTTTCCCATACTTCTCAAGGACGTTGACAGCGTTGTGAACGGCTTGATCTCCAATTGCGTGCAATGCGCATTGCAACCCACCCTCAGTTGCTTTTTTGACGACTGGATCGAGCATTTCAGGTGTCCAGATAGGACCCTCGAAATGCCCGTTGGAGGTGTAAGGTTCTGCCAGCGCTGCAGTACACGCATCAATAACGCCATCACTGATGATCTTGATACCAACAATCCTCAAATCTGGGCTGGTCTCGTTGTTGAACTCTTGGCTCAGCTTGATAGCACGCTCAACTTGCCGCAAGCGATGCTCCTTTCCATTGCCTGGCATAATGCACCAGTGCGCAGCCACTCGTAGCGGTAGCCCTTCGGCAGATCGTAGAGCAAGGATAGCTTCCCAGGCATTTTCATCCATTGCCATGTCAATACATCCCGTACAGCCAACTGCATGATATGCTTTGATTGCAGTTCTCAAAGCCGCCATTTTCTCATCGAGCGGTGTGACCTTTGCCAGATATGGCCATACGATCAAAAGCACACAAGCTTCGCTCAAAAGACCCGATGCATTGCCATTCGCATCCCTTTCGATTGTCCCACCAGCTGGCGCCTCCATGTCCTGAACACCCATCTCTCTTAACGCTGCGCTGTTACACCAGCACGAATGAATGTCCTTGGAGTCTATGTAAATGGGTCTCTCGTCCAGATCGTCCAGCATACTCGCCTTGGCCTCGCCATTGGTCATTGAGTGCATCCAGCCTTTGCACAGTATGCGAGGTTTATCTGGGTTTGCCTTTGCATATCTTGAGATGCGCGATCGAATTTCATCCAAATCCTTCGCGTGATCCAAATCAACTTTATGCAGCGACTGGCCCAGCATCAAAAAGTGCCTAGGATTCGGTGTGCGAAGTCAGTATCTGTCTCAGATGCAGTGTGTAGGATGTTACTTGCATGTGTGCATCGATGAACCCGGGAAGAACATGCTTCCCGCCAAGATCGGTCACTTTCGCGCCAGCGTCGTGGTATGATTGAACAATTGGGTCGTCCGAGCTGCCGATAAAGCTGATCTTGCCATTCTGAGTGACCAACGTCGAGTGGAACCGTGCTTCCGATTGCGCTGCGCCGCTATTGAAGAAGCGACCGTTGGTGATAACCGTGGTGTTTGGAGTATCAAGCATGATTGGGGTTTGTGGGCGAGGAGTTTGGTGTTGTGGGCGAGGGGTATCTGATGGAGGTGCATGTGGAGTCTTAGATCCGGTCCATCGCCGATACCCCCACTTCAGTATACGTTTATCAGCCTGCGCCCTACGCCTTACAGAGACCCTACCCTCCGGTCTCGCTTCGAACTTGGAGAAGTAGGCAGGTCAGCCGAATCAGTCATGGCAGCGACTATGGAGCATGCCACGGGTGCACCAGATAAAACAACATACGATGAAGCCCGGAATGGCGCCGCCGCATATCTACAATCGAGACTTTCGGCAAAGGATCCTGTCGCTGATGAGAACTTTAAGATACCCATAATTGATCTGACACCCTCCTTCTCCGTGTCTCTTGAACACCGTAAAGCAGTTGCAGCCCAGATTCGTCAAGCATGTACAACCTCTGGGTTCGCCTACGTCACCAATCACCAAATACCCGAAGCAGCCTGTAACGGAATCTTGCGCCAGGCCGAACGCTTTGTGCATGAGCTTCCGCAGAACAAGAAAGGAAAGCTACATGTGAAGAATAACAGGTTCGGCCTGGGGTGGGAGCCAAGCGAATACACATCTATTGCTGGTGACAAAGAAGAGAAAGATGTGTTCAACTTCGCATACGAAGCAGCGCTTGATCCAACCGGTGGCGATGGAAAGTACAGGAACCTTGACGGGTCGGCAGGTAACGGCAATATGTGGCCAAACGAGCAAGATTTGCCAGGATTTTACGATAGCGTCAAAGATTACTATGGCGCTGTAAGTCACTTCCACCACCTAGGTACTTGGTTCATCAGCGTGACATGCGGGTATGCTAATTTTTGACGTACAGGTCCTCGGTCTCGCCCGTCATTTATTCCGGCTCTTCGCGCTCTCGCTCGATCTACCCGAGGACTACTTCGACTCCATGACCACGCACCCCGGTGGCATCGCACGACTCCTCTACTACCCACCTCCTAAAACCCCTCTTATTGATGATCTTACACCAAGTCAAGAAGACCAAATCGGCCTCGGCGCGCATTCAGATTATGAGTGCTTCACCTTGCTCCTCACATCCACTACGCCAGGTCTCGAGATCCTCAAACCTTCAGGTCAATGGCATATTGCTTCGCACATCCCTGGTGCCCTCATCGTCAACGTTGCTGATTTCTTGATGCGCTGGACGAATGGGTTGTATAAAAGCACGGTACACCGAGGTAAGTTGTGACTGTACGAAAGGCATGTGAGACATAGACTAACTTCGTATCTTCACCTCTGCAGTCGTGAACAGAAGCACGGACGCTAGATATAGTGTGCCATTCTTCTTTTCTGGGTAAAGTAGCCGCCACAAACACTGTATAAGACATTTAGCTAACTGGTTAATAGTAAGTCCGCAGTTAATTTAGCCTTAGCGTAGGCAGGGAGAATTAGTAACAGCGTCTAACATCTTCTTGCCTACGCAGCGAAGACAGCTCTAAGACAATGCGTTTTAGAACCTACCCTATGGTTTTATTTATGCTAACAGCTTGATAGTCAACTATGACACGATGATTGAGACATTACCGACGTGTCTGAAAGAGGGTGAAGAAAGTCGATGGAAGCCGATCCGGGCGGGAGAGTACATTCTTGAGAGGCTGAATGCTACGACGGAATATGGTGCAGGCTTTCAGCATCCCAGATCATTGTAAAAGGAATAGGCAAGCTGTATACCGGAGTTTTGCATAAGGTAATTATATTAAGAGATGTTGCTTGATGCCGTACATGGTTGGAGTAATAACAGAAGCTTGATTTGTAAAGAGAGAAAAGCGCGACGCGACTAGTGACATCATCGACGCGCCACGCTACTCGCGCGGCTTCCAAGCGTCCTTTCCGCATCTGAACAACGTAACCATCTTCGTTTCATCCGCCATGACGAAGCTGTCTGCTATCCATTATCCGGAACGACAAGACATATGAACCCGGAGCGCAGCTCGGTCTAGAAGACTCACCATGCTCGTGGTAGGCACATCCTGCCCTCTTTCGTTGTTCGAGTCGCAAACGCCATACGACGAAAGATATTTATAGATTTATGACTTGTAATGTCCACGACGTTTACGGTGTACTGCTTGATGAGGTACGTGGGAGAATTGCACTGAACTGCATACGCGGGATCTGATTCACAGGTTGGGCCAATCCTAACCTTCCCTATCGACACCGAGATGAACACGGCATACTACAACTAGGTTGGTAGTTACCATGTTGGTATCTTTCGCGTTGTCGACGAATGGCATGCGTTGCTTTGGTGCTGATGCGATCTAGCCATCGAGGTGCTCAATTGGTCGAGCGCACAACGGCAACATGACAGATACAAAAACCGTTCAAACAAATCCTAGGCAGGTTCCAAACGTTTGAACACCTTGCAACGACCATAACAACCCCCCTATGCCACCTGCAAAGCGTAGAAAGACCAACGGTGCGAAGATGAAGACGAGGAACAAGACCAGTGAGCGAAAGCCACTCCCAGTGACTATTCTGTCTGGATTCCTGGTACGTGACAGTGAGACCAATTGAGCCATGTACTGACAATAGTAGGGCAGTGGCAAGACGACGTTACTCAGGCACATCCTGCAGTCACCGGACCATCGATTGCGAATTGCTGTTATCGTTAACGATATGGCTTCTGTAAACGTCGACGCGAACCTCATCAGCCGTGGAAACAGCAAGGATACCAAAGGGGAGATCCGTGTCAAAGAGAAGATGATTCAGATGGAGAATGGTTGTAAGCAAACATCTCTGTACGAACTGCATGTGAGACATATACTGACTTGTACACGTAAACTAGGTATTTGCTGCACGCTTCGCAGCGACTTGCTGGTTGAACTTGCACGCCTCGCTTGGAATGAACAAGAATTTGACCATGTGGTTATAGAAAGCTCCGGTATCAGTGAGCCACAACAGGTTGCGGAGACCTTCACGACAGAGCTTACTGAGGCGATGATCGATGCCGAGGGAATGGAGCCTGACGAGAAAGAGGTATTCGCCAAAGTGTAAGTCACCAGCAGACGTCGCTTCAAGATCATAGCTAACTTGCATTGAAGCGCGAGGCTCGGCGGTTTGAAGACTATTGCCACCGTCGACACCATGGTAACCGTGGTAGATGCCTTCCGCTTCTTTTCTGAGTTCGATACGGCTGAGTTCCTACAGGACCGTTTCGGAAAAGAAGAAATACCAGACGAGGACCAGCGGACCATCTCCGATCTCTTTGCTGACCAGATCGAGTTTGCCAATGTCATTATTGTGAACAAGATTGACAGGGTAGATGCGTCAACCCTGGGCCGTGTCAAAGCCTACATCAAGTCGCTCAACCCAAAAGCCAAGGTCATCGAAGCCAGGTACTCCAAAGTAGATGTCTGCGAGATGCTGAATACGGGCATTTTCAACTTCGGTGAGGCCGTCGCAAGCGTTGGATGGTTGCAGAGTCTACACGAGATGACGGTAATGGATGTTTCTGGCAAGAAGCGTATCGCACCTAGGCCGGAAACATTGGAGTAGGTCACTTTCTACTTAACGTCGTGCTTTGGCTAATCTGTATCCAGGTACGGCATCGGATCTTTTGTGTATCGGGCCCGAAAGCCGTTTGATCCATTAAAGCTGTACCGGCTCATCGAGGGCAAATTCATCCTTTTGCAAGATGAGGCTGAAGACGTGGACGGCGGCGAGGATGAAGAAGATGATAAAGACGAGAATAAAGTTGACTGTTCATCTGAATCTGGCAAAGATAGCGTCTCGGGGGACGATTCCGATAGGATGAGTGATGACGATGCAGCCCCTCCAATGGATGACAAGCAGATCTTGGCCAACAAGAAGGCGTGCGCCTACTTTGGTGGTCTGCACCGGAGCAAAGGCATATTCTGGCTTGCAACGCGTCCCAACCAGATGGGTTCGTGGAGCACGGCAGGCGCAATGCTGACACTCGGATCTGAGATGCCGTGGTTCTGCTGCGTATCCGAGGAAGACTGGGGCGCTGATGAGGACACACTGAAGGCTATCAAGAACGACTTTGAGGGTGACTGGGGAGATCGCAGGCAAGAGATGGTGTTCATTGGGGAGAAGCTCGATGTTGATGGGTTGACGAAGAAGCTGGACGCCTGCCTTATTTCTTCATCTGAGATGAAGAAATGGGACAAGATAATGCACAACAACGAGTTGGACGATGATGAGAAGGAAGAGGCTCTGCAGGAGATGTGGGATGATAGCTATTGGGCAGAATGGCCACGGGCGCACGATGAAGAGGAACACGATCATGATCACTCACACGAACATGGCCATGATCATCACGGCCACAAGCACTGAGCGGCAGTGTGTGTGTGTGTGTGTGTGTGTGTTGGTGGTGCTAAGATGCAGAATGTAGGGGAGGAGGCAGACGCTAATCTTGATGTCATTCACGCTAGGGGAGCCTCAGCCGAAGATCCCGCCAGCCCAGTTGATCATCACCTGGGCACGCTTCTAGTTTCCCTCATACATCAATTTCTACATGAGTATTCCGAATGGGGTTATTCGATGCAGAGAATGGATTGAATGACTCTGTACAATTGCTTGTGAAGAGCAAATAGCGCGTTTATAGCTCCATTTGACAGACAGACTCGATTGCTTGAATTGCTCAGGCCTCGAATGCAATGCCCTTCAACAGCTGGCTGTTGAAGTTCGGTTAACGACTTCTCAAGATCTCGGAAAAACTATATTGGATTCTCCACTAGTCGTCGATCCTGCAATTATCACGCCGGTCACTACGGTGCTTGCCCAAAGCGGTTGCGGAGGCAAGTCCCGCTTCAAGAATGGTAATCCTTCCTCACAATCCTTCGAGTATGGTGCATGTTATATAGGCCGTTATACCAGCAACCTCATATTCAGAACAAACTGTCTTCTTATTACCACAGACATGGCGCTACACTCCATGTTCGTCGGGCTGGTACTGTTTGGCTCTAGTCATGGACTAGTGTCGAAAGACGGGACAGGCCGTCTACCCGCTATGGGTTGGAGTAGCTGGAACGAGTATGAATGCGCCATCAACGAAACCGTCTTCCTTGATACTGGTGAGCTCCTTATCTCTCTGGGATTGAAAGACCTTGGTTACAATTACGTAAACATCGACGATTGTTGGAGCGATAAAGCATACCAGCGCGATAATGTGACGGGGAAGATTCGTCCAGATTACATCAAGTTTCCAAACGGCATCAAACATACAGCAGACCAGATCCACAAGCTTGGACTGAAACTTGGAATCTATGGCGATGCGGGAGACAAAACATGTGGTGGATATGCTGGTTCTCTAGGACACGAACAAGTAGATGCAAAGACCTTTGCTGACTGGGGAATCGACTGTGAGCCACCTGTCTTCATCATTAGGTTTCATCCACTGATCCAATGCAGATCTCAAATATGACAATTGCGCCGTACCCGATGAATGGGACGATGAGTATCGATGGTGGCCAGAGAACTGGCTGGGAGGCCCCCCAGCTGAGGACCAAACCGCTGGCGGTGATGGAGAGGCGAGACCCGTTGCAGCGCCCGCGGGCTACGACTGGATGACATCCAAGAGCTTCGCGCGTTACAAGATCATGAGCGATGCTCTACTCGCCACGAACCGCACGATCGAATACTCACAGTGTGCCTGGGGCCATGCCCACATCGAGGAGTGGGGTAATAGTACCGGGCATAGTTGGAGAATGTGGGGTGACATCTACCCTGAGTGGTATGACAAACACCAAGTAAGTCTTTCGTGTATACAATGCAGGCAATACGCACGCTGACTTCGTACTCTTGCCTTTGTAGTACTCTTGGGGAATCAGCCCGATAATCAATCACGTACGTAACTTTCATGTACGAACTGCGCGTGAAGCATTTGCTAAATTCGTATAATGAACTTTAGGCATCCTTCTATAACAACGATACCAACTTCTGGGGACATGGCGACTGGGACATGCTCGAGGTGGGCAATGGAAACCTTACGATTCAAGAGAGCCGCTCCCATTTTGCTCTCTGGGCTGCTCTCAAGTCGCCTCTAATCATCGGTACCCCACTTCATGGCATTAAACCGGAGATCTTGGAGATTTTGAGTAACAAGGAGCTCATCGGTTTCAACCAAGATCCAGTCGTTGGTGCAGCAGCCAGGCCCTACAAATGGGGTGTCAACGCAGACTTCACTTGGAATCAGACCCATCCGGCTGAGTATTGGAGTGGATTATCTTCCAAAGGGGTACATGTCTTCGCGTTGAACACACTGAACACAACTCAAACTAAGGTTATCGATTTCGCGGAGGTACCAGAGTTGGAAGCTGACGGTGAATACACCATCTTTGACTCGTGGACTGGAGAAGAGCAGGGAAACTTCAAAGGGCAGTACGAGGCCGTTGTTGAACGACATGACACTATGGCCATCAGACTGGTTAGAACGGACGGGTCTAGTTTTGTCACGTCGCACCAGCAACTGTGAGGTGTAAGCGTAGAACAAAGGAAGGTGTCGTTGATGCCATGGAAGCACGGAGGTCTACGCACCGTGGACGTGACATGAACGCGTCGGAGTTAGCCATTGTTAATCCCGAGTAGATACGTGTTATTACCGGGCAGAACCTGCTTCGCACCTCGTTTCCCAACTACCTTTCTCTCTCGCATCCATCCGTGCACTGCCGTTGATGCGCATACTCCTTGTCGTGAGCATTAATACCTGTGACTGATCAATAGCGCGTCATGACATGCGCAATACGGCACACCAGTATCTGTTCATTGCCGCACTGGTGCTCCGCTTCAACGATGCTCTTCTGATCACCCGATGATTACTGGTCCAATGGTGCTCATGGAGGCCTATAAGTACCAGCCTTTAGCTCACGCCAGCGATATAAGGTTGCTCCGTCTGCATGCAGCTACACAATCGAGGGACCCGATACAAATCAGCATAGAACACCACGAGAGATTGCCAGCGGTTGCCAGGTCAAGGTTCGACCTTGACGCTGCTTATCGCGATGCTCGAACCGAATTTGAAAGAGTACGGAATGATCTGGAAGCCGACAAAACTCTTCAGCATTATGTAAAACGCGATCTCGTGCGATCGGATACCGATGCACATCATGCCGATTTGAGTGAGGCTCGGTCTCAAATGCAAATACGATATAAGGTCGCCAAGACAGAGTTTGAAGAACAATCTGCGAAATACTGGGCGCGGCGCCAGGAAGAAGCTTCAGCGCCTGATGCACCCCCACTCTGGTCTTTGAGCTACGAGGCCCTGTCGTATGCTTGGGGCACTGACCCAACGACTGACACAATCTCTGTCCTCGAGGCAGGAAGTGCTCGGTCGCTTGAAGCTCGTCGCAACGTGGCTGAGATGCTACGAAATTTGCGCAGACCGAGGAGTGATCGTCAACTTTGGATTGATTCCATTGCCATAAATCAAGCTGACTTACATGAGAAAGAGAGTCAAGTCAAACAAATGGGGGTCATATACGCGGACGCAAGCCGCGTCCTCATTTGGTTAGGACCAGAGTCAGATAGCGAGGAGTCGGTTCAGAACGAGAACGATGACAATATCATCCACTCTGCTCTTGAGCCTTCCATTGAGCTCATTAAGCGTTCTTGGTTTCATCGACGCTGGGTTATTCAGGAAGTTGGACTAGCATCAGAAGCTGTCATGGTGTGTGGTACAAAATCGGTCGAGTTTCAGGAATTTGTGTGTCGCATTGAACGCTTACAGCGACTATCTGAAACTTCTTCGATCGCCTTCATCCCCACGGACAAAACCGTCATCGAACGACTTCGGGCCATGGCGAACCTGCAACTCTCTTGTCGAGGGCAATTCCTTCCCAGGAGGTTACTAGATCTCTTGCTCAACTTTGCCGCCGCAAAGTGCTCCGATGATCGCGATATACTTTACGCTTTGAACAGTCTCAGCATGTCACCACTCTCTATCAGTTATCGAGTGCCTACTGAAGATCTCTACATGAGTTTTGCTTATTCGGAAGTAATGCAAACCCCTTCGATTCTGTTAAGTGTTGCTGGCGCACATCCTACGTCGTCGAAATCACTACCTTCATGGACACCAGACTGGCGTGTAACGCCTATCTACGAACCCTACGCCAATCGCAATTTCGATAGCGCCTATCGATCCAAGATTAAATGGAACCAGATCATAATGCTTGATCAAATGACCTTGACCGTTATGGGAAAGCAGATGGGCAAGGTCGCCTTGACAAGCACGTTCCATAATCTGGAGAACTGGGTCAAACTTTATGTTTCTCACAGTAGTGAACTTCCGCATAGTGAGAATTTATCTGCTCTTGACCTACTGAAGGTGCTCACACGTTCGCGCGGTGGTCTCCATAGGCTGTCGTCGGACCAGCATAGCATACTTCTTAGATTTCTGACTCGAGACCCAACCCTAAACGAGAGACCAGCGAAATTTGTGCAAAGATTCTTCGGCGAAATTGACGAAACTATGCGTGGAAGAACGTGCTTCGTCACTGACGGTGGTGCTATTGGCATGGGGCCAGCGAAAATACGAGTAGGTGATGTTCTCATTCAGATTTCTGATAGCCCAGGCGTCACTGCTCTACGTCCAGTGCGTGAAAGCGCGTCAATACCGAGCAAATACGCATCGGGGCCTGAACCAGGCTTGGGGAACGCGCTTGTCAACGTCCCGCGTCCCAGTGATGGGGGTTCAGCCTCTGCGAAATATATTGTGGTGGGTGATTGTCACGTCCCTCGGCTCGTTCGTGGTCACATTCAGCCTACACTCGCTCTAGAACACCTTAGTCCCTTCACCATTGTGTGAACTTCCACTCGGCAATAGGAATGAGAAGTAGACGGTTTTCTCGATGTGCGGGACCAAGATTCTTCATGAAAGGTGATAGAGTGACATTCAGTGATATTCTTTGTGGGTCTGAGACTAAGCGCCAGATCCCCACTGCGTCATTTACATCAGAACTGCGGTCATCAACAACCGAAACGTTTCCCGCCATGTGAGCGGGGTAATATGCATCTCGTGTTGTTACAACCTGCTTGTTGCAAGGACCTGCATCACGATGCAGATCACATTCTCCGAGGCTAAATACAACAGGGTATTCTCCGGATCTACTCCGGACTAAAATGCTGAAGAAAAGCTACCCGATATGCAAGACATCAAGCGATGGGCCCAGGATCTACATAGCGCAGGTCGAACATAGAATGTGGGGTGCGGCGCACTTCATCTTCATTAGGTGCAGGCACAATGTGATCCATCAATGAGAACCCGGATCGACGCAGGCTTGGAGCCATGGACTTTGGTACATAATCGTAAGACGTCTATAATACTATCAGTACTCGCATTCTGATTTCATCAACACTGCACATTCAGGAGGAAGTATCAACCCAAATGTTGATCGCATCCACCCTGATAGTTATTTCGGGGTTCGTTCCCTTGATAGCAGCGAACAACACACGGCTTTGGTACAAGGCCCCTGCCGATTCCGATGCCTGGACGGATGCTTTACCAATAGGAAACGGCCGTCTTGGTGGCATGGTGTTTGGGGTACCTGTACAGGAGCGTATACAGCTCAACGAAGAGACTATCTGGTCGGGTAGCCATCAGGACCGTCTGAACCAAAACAGCTCACAGACAGTCTCAGAGGTTCGGAACTTACTCGCACGAGGTCGGGCCGGGGATGCGGAGAAGCTGGCAAATCTAGGCATGATGGGCACACCCCAGAGTTGTAGAAACTATCAACCACTGGGAGATATGGACATCTTCTTTGACGGCACTAACGAGTACGACAACACGACTTACGAACGTTGGCTGGATCTTGAGACTGCTGTGGCTGGTGTGAAGTTCACTGTCAACGAAACACTCTACGAACGAGCAATATTTGTGTCAACACCAGACGACGTTCTCGTACACCATTTCCGAGTCACCGGATCTGAGAAACTGTCATTCCAGATCCGTGTACACCGACCAGAGGATGGAGGGAACGAGGCTTCCGACCAAGACTGGAACGCGAATAGTGTCACGTACATGACGGGAGCAACTGGTGGCGTTGATCCTATTGTGTTCACAACAGCTTTGGCCGTAAACACGGATGGTAATTTGAAGACGCTTGGCGAATTTATCGTTGTCGATAATGCCACGGAAGCGACAGCTTTCTTCGCGGCTTCTACCTCGTATCGACACAACGATACGCGTGCGGCTGTAGAGGACACTTTCCAGCGAGCTCGCCAGTACACGTACGATGAACTTCTCCGACGCCACATTGACGATTATGCACCACTCTACAACGCCAGTATCTTGGAATTTAGAGGGTCTGACGCGAAAGCTAGCAGTCTACCAACCGACGAGCGCATCAACGCGACACGCGAAGGGGCTATCGATCCTGATCTAACCGCTCTGTCGTATAACTACGGCCGCTACATGCTGATCGCATCATCGCGCATTGGAACACTACCAGCAAACCTCCAGGGTATTTGGAACAAAGAATTCGCGCCGCAATGGGGCTCGAAGTATACCGTCAACATCAATCTCCAAATGAACTATTGGCCTGCAGAGGTCACAAGCCTTTCAAGTCTCCACACACCTTTGTTTGACCTTCTGGAGCTTATGCGCAAGGATGGTGCGCATACTGCTAGTGGAATGTACAATACCTCCGGATGGATGAGCCATCATAACACTGATCTTTGGGGCGATACTGCACCTGTAGATCGTTGGCTTCCTGCTACATATTGGACCTTGTCTTCCGGATGGCTTGTCACTCATATACTGGAGCATTATTGGTACACAGGTGATAAAGACTTTCTAGCTTCGAAGTTGGAGACAGTATCCAAGGCCATTGAATTCTATCTCGACATACTGCAGCCATACAGTGTCAATGGGACGGAATATCTTGTTACCAATCCATCGGTATCTCCAGAGAACACTTACATTGGCGCGGACGGGAACTCCTACCATTTCGACATGGGGCCAACATGTGACATTGAGATCCTTAACGAACTTTTCACGAACTACCTCCGTGCAGTTGCTACTCTCACCAATGCCACCACCGATTCGTCTTTCCTAAGTCGCGTCCGAGAAACCCAAGCCCGGCTCCCCCCATATCGCTACTCAACGCGCTATCCTGGTACACTCCAAGAATGGATGCAAGACTATGAACAGGCAGAACCGGGCCACCGCCACGTCTCGCATCTATACGCTCTATACCCCGGTACCCAAATCCTTCCGCCTGGTGCCCCAGGCTACGATTCTAAGCTCTTCAACGCCGCAGCTGCTACTCTCGAAGACCGGCTTTTCCACAATGGCGCCGGAACGGGATGGTCGCGTGCATGGACGATCAACTGGTATGCGCGGTTACTAAATCGCACAGCGCTGGCCGAGAACACGTACCAGTTCTTCAACAGTAGTGTGTACAACAATTTGATGGATGTCAACGAAGGTGTTTTCCAGATCGATGGAAATCTAGGCTTCGTCAGCGGTGTTGCGGAAGCGTTGCTCCAGTCGCATATCATAGATGAGGAGGGCGTACGGGAGGTATGGCTTTTGCCTGTACTTCCTGAGCAATGGAGTACCGGGAGTGTGTCTGGGCTTGTAGCTAGGGGCGGGTTTGTATTCGATCTTGAGTGGGCAGGAGGCAGAATCAGCAAGATGAAGATGCTGAGTCGAGTTGGTGGGGCTTTAGTAGTCAAGTACGACGGAGGTTCTGGAAATGGTACAGTAGCCGATGAGACTGCTACGGCCAGACCTGGAACGATTCGAGCGGTATCTGGTGGAAAGATAAGATTGGACACAAGGGTACACCAGACGACGGAATTTGAATTCATCTGGTGAGCTTTGCCGTCGTGATCCTTTTACGAAGTACGTCCACCGTAGCAATATCCAATGCATTTTGATTTGCGCAACTCCTAAATATAGCATGGACTGGTTCACAGTATCAAGGAGCATTGTACGTGAAGCATATATACGAGTTCCCAAGCTGACAGCGCACCCCTCAGATGAGTTCAAAGACTAAGATTACACTGAGTACAAACAGCTCGCTCTTCCCCTCTTGCAATGCCTAGTCATGTCGAGCGAAAAATATAATGAAGTAAAAGTCGATTAATAACACAATCTAGTAGCGCACAACGCTGGTATCAGGCTAGAGGTCAACATCCGACAAGCTTTTAAATAGCACCATCATCCTCAGTCCATACCAACATATGCGTATTAACTCGCATCGTCTCGTTCAATCACCCAGGGATCTACACACCGTTACCCCACCTTGGCGCATTTAGGATGATACCCATCAAGCATCCGGAGATAATACCAGCACAAGGGAGAGTGATGATCCAGCCCATGTAGATCCAAGCAACCATGCGCCAGTTGATCGTCCTCCAAGTACTGCAAAGGTGAAGATGAAAAGTCAGTGTATGTCTCGTATGCATTTCGTACAGTCACAACTTACCCATTGCAGAGACCGACACCAACAGTAGCACCAGTAATACACTGCAGATAGGGAGGTACAAAGTCAGTTTATGTCCCACATGCATTTCGTACAGTCCCAACTTACCTGAGTAGTCGAAACAGGAAGCGAGAGCTTGGTAGCCAAGATCACAGTAATCGCTGCGCCTAACTCCATCGAAAATCCACGCGATGGTGAGTGCAGAGTGATCTTGTTACCCAGCGCGCGCATGATGTTGTAGCCGTAGGTCCATAGACCGACAACAATGCTGGCACCTCCGAAGGCGAGAATCCAGAGGGGAACTGGTACCTTGCTAGAAATCTTTCCCGTTGACCAGATGAAGTAAATGGCGGTGTATGGTCCGATAGCGTTGCTAACGTCGTTGGCACCATGAGCGAAAGAAGCGGTTGAGGCAGTCTGGAGGATATGAAGTAAGTACATGCGTTTTGTGGTATCCCCGCTTTTCACTTACCATGATTTGTAGGAAAGAGTAAGTGTATTCAGCCCTATTGTCGTAGTGTTCGCCAGTGGCATGGACCTTCTCGATGTCACCAGATAGGAAATCCTTGTGGCTTTGCTGAGAGACGACGTCTTGTTCGACACCGTGAAAGATAGCGTATTTGGCCCACCAGAAGGCGACGGCAGGTGTGTACCACGGACCAGGAGGAGGCTGCTTCTTAGGTGTCGAGAGTTGCCTCGCGGGAGTGGCAGTAACCGGGTGTGCAGATTCGATTGGGGTAATATCGGAGTCGGAGCTAGTCGCCTTTGCATTTACCGAGTGGATAGCACCCTTCTCGATGTCGTCGTGTATGGGTTGGCCTTCTCCAGTGCGCTTTGCTTCAAGTTCCTCCGCCGTAAGATGTCCGGCATAGAAGTCTGGGATGTTGCCAGCGGTCATACCCTCTGGGCGTGGGGTGGGCTCAGGGCGACGGAGAAGAAGAGGACCCTGGACTACCTGCCAGTTCCTGAGCTCCCAGTCACCCTTGATGATGCGACGATACAGGAAGGGGATGAAAACTCCAGATCGCGAGTCAGTAAGGTTACTAGTGCAGCGAGGATGTCATGAACTTACATGTTGCAACAACAAGAGCGACTACTACACCGACGACGATGGAAACCCATACAGCTTGGATATCGGTAAGATCGATCTTCGAAGACCCACCTTTCCAGCAGATGAGAAGGGATAGTAGGAACGAGGTGACGAAAAAATAGATCGGCACCATAATGAAGGCCTTGTATACCGGGTTGTTGCGACGCATGACACCGTATTTGGTGATCAAGAATACGATGGCACCAAAGCCACCTGCTATACCAGGAGCGATACCCCAGGCGGCGAAAACCTGAGAGACACCCTTGAACGACCAGTTAATGCCCTGCGGGCCAGAGGCAGCGATACCGACACCGATGACACCGCCCATGATCGAGTGGGTCTACATGTTGGTGAATGAAATCAGTGTGTGTTTCACATGAAACTTGTACATACAAATTACTTACTGTGGATACGGGCATTGTGAACCTGGTAGCAATTGTAAGGTAGGTGGCGGATCCGACAATAGCACACATCATGCCCAACATGAGCACCGATGGGTCCTAAATTACGGTGTGCGAGGTCAGCCGATGTTTCACATGCTGTGTTTCTTTTTTTAAAAAATACTACTTACATCTTCGAACAGTTTTGTGCTGATAACCTTGGTTCGGATGGTATCAGTGACGCGGGAACCGACTAGCATCGCTCCGGCGAACTCCATCACGGAGGCGATGCACATGGCTTGCTTAAGAGACAAAGAACGACTGGCCACGGATGTGGCGAAGGAGTTAGCTACATCATTGGCTAGAAGTTCCGGTCAGTGAAGTTCACTCATGTGCTTGACGTATTTGTATATACCTCCAATGTTCCACGCGTCCAGGAATGCGAAGATGGTGCCAATAGCAAAGATGTAATCAAACTGTGGAAGAGCCGGCATCTTGATATATAGTCCTGTACCGTTCTTGGTTTTAGTGGACTACTTGTGCTGAACGAGTACTGCTTGAGTATCACCTTGATGAGATGCGACCCAATCTATATACTTATCATGCCAACGCATGTGAATATCTCGCCATTCAGCCATGAAGAACCTTGTAACGCCATACTTTAGACGTCTGTCCAACCAGCGCTCGCAGTGGTCTCATGTGTGCCTCTAAACACTATCTTCGGAGAGGCACAGTCATCGCAAAAGCCTTGTTAGACATGACCAGTCTCTGGGCAGCTTGGAAGATACAGTTCTCACTGCGATCTAGAAAGTCGTTAGGGTCCAGACAACTAGTGTTGTCCCATTTGGCATCTCCACCGACTTGTAAGTGTGTAGGATGGGAGGGTTCGCTTGGCGCCAGGATTCCGCTCGAGATTATTGTCCGCTTTGGGTTAGCCGTAGTGGGCACTGAGAGCCAATCGCGACTACCACCTGCGGCACGCGTTGCTCATAATACTCGTGGATGGTGTGGAGTGGGAAAGTAATACCACAGCGGAGATTTTGTAGCCCAGAGCCTTTTGAAACTGAGGAGCCACTTAGGTGTCTTGTCCTTGCCGAACTTCCGTGTTTTCAATACTAGATTCAGGACAACGACGGCGAATACCAAGGGAAATCCATCAGATCAATGCATGGAAGATGTCTGGAACCGAATCGCATGATTTTTGCTCCACATAGGCCACCACGACGTTACCATACCACCGACGTGCTCGAAAGTTGGCCAAAGGATCACTCGAGCTGATCGGTGACTATTTCTACAACAGGAAGGCCGTATTTTCTGCTCGAGTATCAAAAAAAAACTTCAGTGTTCTCCCCCGCCAGCTTCGAAGAGCTGTAGAGCGGGTTCCTGATTGGAACGAGGCTGTGATTCGCGTATCAATCGCCTGGCTTGTCTTGAGTATGACCACGGGCGTCTTAAACCTAGAGACCGATTTAGTGTACGTCCGAAGCACGCGAGCTCTGAGAAATTCTGATAAAGATTTCAACAAGAGGCCAGGAGCAATCAGAGGCATGATAAAGTCCACGTGTATACGCCTGGCCACTCATACGGACACACAACAAGGAACAAAAGGTGCCAATGTGGCTGTCTCGTCGGCACAAGCGTGCTTGGTAGGAACGCCCCACTGGAAACGATACCTAGCCAAGACCTAGTATGTGCCCACTCAGTGGACCGGCGCTCCAGCGTCGGGAACCTGTGGGCCCTAAGGCGCATGACGGGCAAAGCGTATATGTCTTGGCATGTTCAATGGCTGCTGATACTCGGTTTGGTGAGGGCTTAGCCCTATGCGAAGGGAATAACGGTGGCTGAATGTGATGATATCGAGCCTTAGATGCGTATCGTGTCGAATGATCCTGCGTCTCCCTAGCTTCATTTACACCAACGCAGAGAATGTGAGGTATCTAGCATACAGCGGTTCAATCAGATGTATGTGCTCTTTAAGTACTGTACGTACACTTGTGTAGTCTGAATCCAGATATGAGGAGAGATGCACAGATTCATGGGGAATGCCGTCGTAACTAGACTTTTACCAGTCTTGATTGGCATCCTTCGATTTGTGAAGCGAGAAGATAGGATGCAAATACGGTGCTAACTAGCACAAAATGGCGTGTACAATCCGGCTGTTGAATACCTCGCGATGGCCATGCTTCTGTGGGAAGTGGAGACAAAGAAGCTCGCTTTTGGTTAGTTGTAACGAACGCCATAGGTAGATGTATACACTATTATCTGTCCTATCGGCCTATTAACCTGTAAATCAGACAATACCTTTAGGGTCGAGTTTTACTGGGTACAACTCAGAAGAAACGAGCATCGTTGGGCGGTGGAGCTTGAGAAGAGTTGCAGGCGGGGAGCGCTAGGCCCAAGACGGGTGCAAAATGGAAAGCGCGCGGCCTAGCGCGAAATCGCGAGGAAAGCGCGTCCTTGTCTCCCCTAGCGACGGCGTGCTTGCCCCTCAAGCAACAGTCACCCTTACGACTGACGACACACGACACATATAATGGCGGACAGACAAACACCTTTTTCGATCAGCCTCTTCGGTAGCCAAGCCGGCGATGGTCCGCAAGATGCAGCTGCGCCTTCGCGCGTGCAACAGGCGCTTGTCGACTTTATCATGGACTTTACCCTCGATAATATCTTTGTCTACAGGTAGAAAAGACCATCATATCCACCAAATGCGCTTCTCTAACCATTTGCAGAGACCAAATACGCGAGAACGTTCTCTTGAAGCAGTACTACTGCGATATTGATGTCGCCCATCTTATCAGCTATAGTCCAGAGCTTGCACACGATCTTAGACAGAACCCAGCAGAAATCATACCCCTTGTATGTCGCATAGCCTGGCATTGCATGCGCATACTGACAAAGTCTAGTTCGAGTCGGCATTGAAGTCGTGTACACAGCGCATCGTTTACCCCTCACAAAAGAACATTCAGCTCCCAGAACACCAGCTGCTCCTCCACTCAAACGCTTCCGAACTTTCAATTCGCGACCTGACCGCCACCAACGTTTCCCAACTCGTTCGTATACCGGGTATCATTATCGGTGCCTCGACGCTCTCGTCCAAATCCACCGCGTTGGCTATACGATGCAGGAATTGCCAGCATGAAGAAATTCTTCCCGTATCAGGTGGTTTCTCCGGCGTTTCTCTCCCGAGAACATGTGGCAGAAAGAAGGGAGAGGGCGAGAGCGGGGAACAATGTCCGCTGGACCCTTACTATGTCATGCACGAGCGCTGTCAGTTCATTGACCAGCAAGTGCTCAAGCTTCAGGAAGCGCCCGATCAGGTTCCAGTCGGCGAACTGCCGCGACACATAATGATTTCTGCAGATCGGTATCTGGCAAATCGCGTCGTTCCAGGTACACGGTGTTCGGTGATGGGTGTCTTTTCCATCTATCAGCAAAAGGGTTCTAGACGTGCTGGCAACGCGGCGGTAGCCATCCGCAACCCATACATACGAGCTGTCGGCATTCACGCAGAGGTTGACCACGGCAGCAAAGGCAACGCAGTCTTCACCGAGGAGGAGGAGCAAGAATTCCTGGAGATGAGCAGGAGGCCCGACATCTATGAAGTCTTCGCTCGTTGCATCGCACCCTCCATCTACGGAAACCAGGATATCAAGAAAGCTATCGCTTGTCTACTGATGGGTGGTGCGAAGAAAATCCTGCCGGACGGGATGAAGCTTCGTGGAGATATCAACGTACTCCTCCTTGGTGACCCAGGTACTGCCAAATCCCAACTCTTGAAGTTCGTGGAGAAGGTCTCACCAATCGCCATCTACACCTCCGGAAAGGGATCTTCAGCAGCCGGTTTGACCGCATCCGTTCAGCGCGACCACAACACGCGGGAGTTCTATCTCGAGGGCGGTGCTATGGTTCTAGCCGATGGCGGCGTAGTGTGCATTGACGAATTCGACAAGATGCGCGACGAAGACCGAGTAGCCATCCACGAAGCCATGGAACAACAAACCATTTCCATTGCCAAAGCAGGCATCACCACGATTCTCAACTCGCGAACCTCAGTACTAGCGGCCGCTAACCCTATCTTCGGTCGCTATGACGATATGAAGACACCCGGCGAGAACATTGACTTCCAGACCACCATCTTGTCGCGTTTCGACATGATCTTCATCGTGCGCGACGAACACGATCGCGGCCGTGACGAGCGGATAGCAAAGCACGTCATGGGTATTGCGATGGGCGGTCGGGGTGTCGAAGAGACCGTACAAGCCGAGATTCCGATTGAGAAGATGAAGCGCTACATCACATACTGTCGGCAAAAGTGCGCACCGCGTCTTTCGCCTGAGGCAGCAGAGAAGCTTTCCAGTCACTTCGTCAGCATCAGGCGGCAAGTGCACGCTTCGGAGATCAACGCGAACCAACGATCCAGTATCCCCATCACCGTTCGTCAATTAGAAGCCATCATCCGTATCACCGAGTCGCTGGCCAAGTTATCGCTGTCGCCCATTGCCGACGAGTCGCATGTCGACGAGGCAATTCGCCTCTTCCTTGCTTCTACCATGGACGCGGTGAACCAGGGCGAGGGTCAGAGCTCGAAGGAGCTCATGGACGAGGTCAACAAAGTCGAGGAGGAACTCAGACGACGTATGCCCATTGGCTGGCAAGTCAACTTATCAACGCTCAAGCGTGAGATGGTGGACGGAAAGGGGTACTCTGAGCAGGCACTTGCTCGCGCACTGCACGTTATGAACGCTCGTGAGACGATTAGATGGAGACATGGTGGTAGTGTAGTGTTCAGGGCGAGTGCATAGGCCAAGGGCTGGATTTGAATAGGTGAAATGGCGTCTAGCGTTTGTGGTGTTTGCATACGTGCTGTGGGTGCTTTGAGCAGAGGTTTTGGCAGGACGCACACTGGAAGTGCTTGGCAACGAGGTGCATCTGAACGTTGACGCCGCAGGCAGTATAACGACGTCTTTTGACGCAATGCACTTTTGGATAATCCTATGAGAGAATATCTTGTCCATATTATGTGTATGCTTGCTCAAGTTAGTGTCGGAACTGCACCGTGAACTCAGTGAGTAGCAGTCGCCCTCCAGCACAAGAGATACAGATACCACGGCAGCAGCCGACAGCATTCACGTCCAAAGTCCCCTCGTAGTAGTATCAGAAAGTATGTCAGTGATGCTGCCTATTCTCTTGCATCATTCACTGGCAAGATTTGCTCTTACCAGAGTTGCACTGATGGCTGTAGTACTCCGGCTGTGCAGCCCCACTCAAGATTGAGTCCAGACTCACAGAGCTCCGCACCAGCGAAAGGGAACCTGAATCGGGGAGAAGACACACCAACCGCTTTGGTTACTATTGAGTCGATGATGGAGGTGCATAGGGTATTGCAATGCCCCACCCAGAAACCAGGGTCCGGGCAACGATTCCAGGGCCCGCAGCGGGCGCTAGTGGGAACTAGCATCTCAGGTGAACACTAAACCTTTCCGGTTGTCACGCGACCATCATGAAACTTATCGTCGTTCTATTTCTAGAAATCGTATCCTCCTCATAAATGCTGCGCGTACTGCACAGCAAATGGAAGTATTACCGCGTGACTACATCTAAACCTACGATGCGGAAGCTGATCCAATAACGCGGAGTCGGGCCTGCACCTCGCCTATTGGATAGCTCGCCCATCCGATTGGGAGATCAAGTTCGTTGGTAGTGACCCCAAAGGGGATGTCATTTCTTGACGAGTTAAAAGTGTACTTTGGGTAGAAGCGGCTTCTCGGGTGTCGTTCCCGCAGTCGCCGAGGGATCAAAACGTGTTCCTTGGTGGCTGTGATGGCACAGATGATTGACTTTGAGGATCGCAGTAACGGACCTAGTGGAAATGTTCGTTATTATTTCGAATTTAGCGATTGGTTTCGCATGAAGTGCAGATCACCGCGGTCGAGAATATCCCACTTGAATTGGCAGCTGCAATTTGAGTCTGCGCTGGTGGCGACAGTTGACGGGAGTGCCACTACCTCTCCAAGTGTCTGCCCCCACAATCAAAGCTAAGTTGGTAATGCGGCGATCATCACTCTCAGTCGTCTGACAGGTTGGGCTGCTCAAGAAGCCTGGATAATGCTTGCAGTGAGTGTAATGGTGACCTCAAAACGTTCACAGAACTTCGAGTTTAGCTCAGCCAGGACGACAACGCGAACCTTCAAGAGCAGGAGTGCGGGCTGACTCTGTAGATAAAGCGTTTTCTAGGTATTTGAATAACTGTATAGAGCATACTAGTAAGGTGCGGGCTAAATGTGCGTCACTGATCATTGCGATGCACATGCGATGTCGAGCTCCGTCACGCAGTATGCGCAAACTCCGAGCCATGTTAGGCTCACGTTCTGAAAGATCTTGACATGTAACTTCAATGTAGGAACCTTGTCCCCGCGGATCCATGTGCAAGGGCGTTAGCATTCAGTGGGCCTCAAATTGGGTGGGGTTCGCCACGCCTTGTCCATGGGGCAGACATGGCGTAAGCATCATCCTCAGCCATCGGTATTGGAAGTGGGTATAAACTCAATCACCATGTCATTGCATAATTTGATTTAGTTCATCGATGATAGTGTCATCCCAGATCTAATACTTATTTGTATCCGACCTCTTATCCGCGTTGTAGTGAAAACAACAGTTTCGGTACTGTATTTGCGGAATTCATATTCTTGAGTCTCCCCCAAATCCTCAAGATCAACCGTTTTTGGGGTCACTGAGGCGGCCAGATCATCTCCGTCCAACGCTTGCTGCGGCATCCGATATTCGAGGCAAGTTCCTATTCGCTACCACTCCTACGTGGCCTAGCTCTGACTGTAGATGATCCAGAGGACGCATGCCTGCGATATAGCGCTACTGAATTGCACCGCCCATGGGGGGGTTTTTTTTGGTGGATGTAGCGAGGAGTGCCAGGCTATTCCAAGGGTTGTGGCCAGTAACTCGGGCGGCCACTGGCGTCTTCCTTGCCTCTGATGTGGCGCGGTGCGTCCCGACTCCAAAGTATTCTATATGAATTTTTTCCATTCGCATCCTGGGAGGGCATGTTTTAACCTTCTCGCTCTACCATGTTGATTCTTCGTCGTCCAACAAAGCGTCCGGTTCGCCTCTCGTATAACGTGGATTCGCGTATTGATACCACGGATGGATCCTGAGTGTGTGATTAGGCTTGGGATATCCCAAGACAATACATGACTGCTTATTGGAGGGTCCATCAATAGGCTCGCCAACATGAGTGAGCAAAGCTCAGTTTTTAGGAAGATTCTACTCAAAGATAAGACAAAATCGGATGTAAGACTTGAGTGGCGGAGGTGGGATATCAGTAATTTATATGACTCTGGGCTGACAACAGCAGAGGCTATACTGGCACATACCTGGAACTATTTGCATTTGATGTTTTGCGAATAAGACCAAGTGATGGGAGCGAGGCGGAAAGAGTTCTATCCGCGGGACCCACATGAGATTGTTTGGCTCTACCAGTAACGGCGCAGGAGTTCGAGACTGGAAACTCTTAAGAACCTGGGACATAGTAGAGGGTACGATGGTACCAGCTCGCTTTGTGGCATATGTAAAAGCGGGAGTAAGAGCAGCCAACACGCAAATTCAGAGATGCTATATAAGTCGAACCTGCTATTCTCTTGCATATAGTTACTCACCCTCTACATTCCTCATTCGCCTGCATTATTCGTCGTCGTACTAGTTGCCCAGTATGAATAACGGAAACGGTCCTTACAACCCATACGGGCAATACGCGCTCTACCGTCGTGGAAATGTAGACTACGAGGATGATGGTGTATACTACTGTTACAACCGGGACGCCATGCCCCCGCCCATGCCCTACCCTTCTTCCACCTCCCAAACCGCGGTGGGCTATGAGCCTGATGTCTTGGAGTCGCTGCCTGCCTCGAGAGGTATGAGTGGTTTTGGATTCGGTTCCGGTGAGTTGATCCGTTCCGCTCCGAGCTCGGCATCGCTCGGGGAAAGACGTCGGCTGATGGTTCGATCAGATAACCCAGGATCTTCATCTGATAACATACGACCACCCCATTCGTACCTCACGCTGCAGCACGTCAACATGTCCAACGACGCTGCTGCATACGACAACGCCGACACGCCCGTTGCAAATTACAGCGCTGTTTCATCGCCCGCCGAATCGCCAGGAAGCAGTGCATTCGGGGTTGCAGGCTCTGAAGACCGCCGCTCCTCTACCAGCCGACGTAAGTAACACTTTTGCTTTTCCCGCGTATGATGGACCAACGGTTCGCCGCGGCTGTCGGCTGCGAGACATGTCCCAATCGCGTGATTGACCCTCATCCACTTCAACAACTGACAGCCACCCAGACCTCATTCCAAAGGCCCCGCATCCCTCGTTGAACACCGCCACGTTGTCTGCCACCAGCAACACAAATGGCCCCTGCCAGTCGGGCGGGGGCCCTGCGAGCAAGCAGCACACCGTCCCACCCCGCCCGAAGCCTGGCCGCAAGCCTGCCACCGAAGAGCCTGAATCTCGACGTAAGGCTCAGAACCGTGCGTCGCAGCGCAATTTCCGCGAGCGAAAGCAGAAGAATGTCCAGAATCTGCTTGAAACCGTCGCCATGATGAAGCAAGAACAGAATGACAAAGATAGCGCGAATGCACGCACCCTACAAGCTATGGAAGAGCGTATGCATTATTTAGCAAGATCTTTGCATGAATCGCAGGAGGCCAACAGACTACTGGAGCAAAGACTGAAAATATATGAACAAGGCGGTATTCCAGATACTCAGGGTCTTTCCATGAGTGCTCAGAATGGGCCTCCTGAGCAAAACCACGACTTCGCCATGCTCCGAAATGCACGCCACGATCAACCGCTTCAGAACATGCAGTCAGGCTGCAACCGATGCACTCCTGAACATTGCGCATGTCTCGCCGATCTTACCCACGACTTGCAATTCTCGGGCGAGGCCATGGCCGGAGTTGTTCGCGACGGTCATGAGGACTTGGATGACGAGAAACACCCCCACGTAGAATACGAGGTGGACTTCACCGAGAAGTTTAAGACGAAACATCACCCTGTTGCATTCGCGCCTTCGATGGAGGAGTCCAAGATTACAGACTGTGGCTTTTGTGAGGGACAGAAGGAGATCTGTATATGCGATCCTCCCACTCGTGTAGACAGCGCCGACGAGTCAACCTCACTGACGCGCATGGCGAGTGGCTCCTCGAGTGAGGACGTCAAGCCCAAGATGGCCATGACTGGGCCAGGCTCTTGCGCTGATTGCCAGTCAAACCCCCAGCAGCGAGCATGGTGTCAGAGGGTCGCCCAGCTCCGGAGCGAGGGAACTCCTTCGAGCTCACGGCGCAATTCAAGCAAGAGCAGCTCTCTCGACATCATGGAACCCAAGGCTTCCACCAGCATCGACATGAACGCTGGCTTCTCGTCGCCCGTGGGCACTGGAAGAACTGTTGGTTGCAGCGAAGCCTTCAAGTTGCTCGACGGCCGGGTTTCAACGGACCCGAATGATATGGACTGGCGTCAACTGAAGCCCGTTCCACAGACATTTGCACGACAAGAGGCTCGCAGGGACACGTTCACCATGGAACCCGGCATGTACAGTGCGATGGAGCTGGACGCAAGCAGCATTCTCACTACTCTTCAACATGCCCAGCGCCCTCTGAGGCCACGACCGTCTGACGGCCCCCATGCGCCACTGATTGAGGAAGCTGAGGAAAGGCGCCGAGCGTCTTTCTCACCCATGACCAAGGTCGAGGACCATGCCATGCTAGATGCCGTTTCGCACTACAACATCGGCTGATAGTACCCTACTCGTACCAGTACTTGATCTGCCATACGTCCCTCCTACAGCACTTCCATCCACCATCTACGGTGTTGATATGCACTGGTGTTTGTATGCAGTCTTGCATGGTCTCTCATGTGTGTGGAGCCTTGAGCAAACCCCCGAGTCTTGACGCTCTTTACGAAGCAAGGACGGGGATTATACCCATTTTCTTTTAAAAACAACCTTTCTTACTATCTTTGTAGAATATTCAGATGGCTACCGCAGCCAATGATTAGATTAATGACGAACCAAGACATCAAGACCAATGCCACCGGCGTTGTTGACCACACTTTACCCTTCAGTTCATACGTGCACTTGCTTGTGACGATCGTTCTGTTTCGTCGCACCCTCGACTACTGGGGAGCATGTCCAACAGCTGCCTGTGTTCAGTTTCGCGGCTTGGCTAATCAGCCCACCACGGAACTTGCACTTCCACCTTCCGAGTTCAGACCATGTTTCTGACTCGAGAACAACCAGTCACAACAAGCATGTCTCCGCGTTATCTATCAAATTTGCACCACCAATATAGGCTGGAGATGGTTCGGGGCTGACATTGAGCTGTGAGTGGTGGCAGCTAGTCCGGTGTCGCATCTTATCTGATGATCTGATAAAACTCTGCTGCGCTAGTTCTTGAAGAAGCAAGGTGAGCTGCAAGTTGGGGAAAGCCTTCATCCGCGCCTTCGTCTTGAGAAATGTATCGAATTCCATGTAGCACTGGGTTGGTCATTAAGAATTAGGGAAATCAGTATTGCAACATGTGAGCGTCAGGAACGTGTTCTTGTAGTTCCTCAACTTCCCGATTCCCTTTCGTGCTACACACCGCCGCGCTGGGCGATCCTATTGCCTTGCTGATTCGAGTTTGGACCCTCCATACTCCTATGCACATGCCATGGTCTTGTCTCCCTTTCCTTTCTTCTCCCGCTTGACACCACCACTACTACTTCTTCGCCCCATTGATAACAACTTCGTTACCTTGTCCAACCCATTGACCATGCGGTCCGGCCCTCACAGCAACCTACGATATTATGTTATTACTCAAGTCGGTCACACTGATTATCAAATCAAGGGTATCACATACCTGTACATCAACGCCCCATCGGTGCGCATTCGCCAGGGCGACATTTGCAGCTTCTTGCTCGAGAGTCGTTGCGGCCTGGGCTAGCTTGCCGCCTGTTGCACATAGCTCTCTGCCTAGTTTGTTGAGGTCTGCGGCGAGCTTGAGGAGATTGTCGGGAGTGGTGTGTGACATGCTCGGAAACCCAAGTGAGTGGGTGCTGAGGTGGCGAATATAGCTACTGTTGAGTTCGGCTTCGAGAAGTCGTTGTACTGATCGAGGGATTTGATCGATACTGACGAAGTCAAAACCTATCAATAATCAATATGTAGAAGGTTCAGGAAAGATGCCTTTAACAATGTGGTTTGATGATATATGTACGAGCGGAAATATGGAATGCTGATTTTGTTTGCCCAGCTACGGTACACCAGTCAATGGCTGAGCATTCCATGGCGAAGCGAACACTGCTGACACAACCATGCTGAGCTTCAAGGACACTCAAACGTAGTGGTTCCGTATCTCAGCATGTCAATGAATGTGGTTCGTTCTTCAGTCTTGACATGTTGTGTATGTTTCGTTGTATGCGTGTTGGTATCAGCGCCAGCAGCAAGAGGACCATTATGGGTCTTTGACGTAGTTTAAAGCACCAGAAAAATATTTAATCACTTTTTGTACCTTATTCTTCAGCTTTTCGTATTGAGAGATACTTACGCACTCACAATGTCATCTTCCTCTAGACATCCGCTCGTATCAACCACAGCACAGCGCGACGCGAACTGGCGCTATAGCCAACAACTAACGAAGCTGCAAGACGAAATCATGGATCTCAACAAGGCTATCGAAGAGATGGCTGCAGAACACCGACGTCAGTTAACTCCGCCATGTCTGTTACTACTGCTGACGTATGCTAGGCGAAATCTCAATACGAGCTCGAGCGATGACATGTTTGGATATGAAGATGATGTGGATCACGTACAAACTTGATCCGATCATCAAGGTGGATCATATCACAGTGGAGAGGATGAGCAGGATGTTTCCAGAGATTGTTGAATTCTTTACTCTTGAATGAGGCGCAGAGGAGATATTAGAGAGCATCGGCAGGATAATGTAATTTGACATGTACGACAAAGACAAACTAGGAGTTGATCACATGGTGCTATGTCAATATATGATAATTCTCAGCCAAGCCTAGGATCGTTCTTAAGCAACGTAAGATGCGCAAGTCGTCTCCGCTCTGGTGCACTGACGGGAACGACTTTAGCCTCTTTTACTTCCTCTACTTGCTGTACCTTCTTCTCCATTGCTTCATTCGTGTTCCCATCTGCCCTCTGAAGTTTTGCTTCTATTCTTCTCTGCACCTCGCGCATGTACAATCCCTCGTTCATATCTTCCTCTTCATCTCCCATCGCCAAGTCGCGTACCTCTTTGTCCAGGCGCATCTTGTTTTCTCGAACTATCTCCGCTTTTCGTTCTTGAAGTACAGCTTCACGTCGTGCTAGCGCTTCGCGGGTCATTTCACAATTTGTAAGTTCGGCTTCGATAATCCGGAATTCAGCATCTGATGTAAGAGTTGCGGGGATAGACGTAGGTGCCACTTGAGGAGACCTGATAGGTTTACATAGTGTCGGAGATGGAAATCTGACATCGTGTGATGACTCTGGAGGTATAGGTGAGGTTGGAAGAGAGCCGTTGGGGTTTTCTTCTGGTCGAAGGACTGTGTTTCGGTCCTTCGGCAAAGGTTCCAAGACTCCGTTTTTTGCGTTTTGTTCGGGTTCGACTAAGGTGTGCGCCATGATCGGATGAACCAATTATTCCAGCGGGATAGTCATGAGTTCTGCTTCTTGTGGCTAGTAATAAGGGTTGGAGGGTTCGAACACATGTACAAACTGAGTTAGGTTTGTGTTTGTCGTGGCCGTTGGTCACTATGAACGTCCCAGTTTGCGAAGTGGACTTTGCGCTAACACAGTTTGTATATTACGGCATGTTTGCTTGGATCAGATTCGTGTATATTAGTTTATATCACATCATGAGGGCCATTGAGCATTCAGGTGAATCGCGAGACGTATTTCACGAACACGGTGGCTAGGCCATGGACTCTTTTCGCATTGTCCTTAGCGAATCCAAAACCGCCTGTCTTGTTTCATTCCTCTTGAGACTCTTGATCAACACATCTTGCTCGCTGTCGGGGGCCATGCCGGCAGTTTCAGGTACCCTTCTATCAAGGTTGGTCGGAAATGAATACCCTTCTGCTACGACACTGACAAGCGCTTTGAGTTCGTCGCTCAAGCCGTCCTTTCGGTACATCGTTGAAATTGCATCCCAGGTCCTTTCGATGAGTGCATGTGTGTCGATTGACTCCATCGGCTTCCCGAAGGCAGATGAAATCTGGAGCAAATTCGCGGAACGCAGAATATCAGCCGAGTCATTCTGTCCCGCAGCGTGAAATAAAGCTGGGTTGAAGAAGAGACCGTCCCCCATCTCCAGCGGCATGGAGACATAATTTTCCAGAAAGTAGTTTTGGAACTCAGGGATGCGGTAAGCCATATACCCTTCTTCGAACTTCTGACTGAACGGCAGCAACCGAGTCGGCCCGCTTGCTATCGGCATCTCTGAATGTGCGACTGCTCCTTGTAGGGTAAGGAATTGCGAGGCAACTTGCGTTGCCTTATTGAACTTTGCACAAGACTCGTTATCTTGGAATCCAATATGGTAGTCTCGGTGAGAAATCTGAGCCTTTGCGCCCGGCTTCACAATATTGACTTGCGCTGTCAGGCGATGGTGTGGGCCCAACCACGCTTCGGAAATGAGTGGCAACCACGGGTTTGCGTAGTACTCTGCGAAAGTTTTCGGGTCGGAGAGGCAGTGTTTCCCAAGGGAGTTCCAGATGCGATCGTTCGCTCCTAAAGATATCTTATCAGATTCATTTGCTCACCGCTGGCTCATCTTTTGGGTGCTTGTCTCACCAGCTCCGGCAAAATGGTCACCGCGTTTGCCAGCCACTTTCTTTTCTTCTGCGATGATGTTTGCGTAGACACCGTTTACTTTATCAAGTAGAGACGTGTCTCTGTAAAGGCCCTTCGTGACGAACACTCCTGGCCCAGAAAGGAGGATGTGGTACCACTATATATGGGTGTACGAAGTCAGGGTCTTGTTTACAGTTCGTGCTGAGTCACTTACCTCATCCTGAAGTGCAGAGCGCTCCTCTGAACTGAGTGAGCGATAGTCGGGAAGATTATAGATAGGAACGTTCGATTCAACGGCTTTTGCAAGTGGATAGTGAAGGGGCACAGACTCCGTTGTGAGCTTCTTGAAGTCGTCCAATGATGGTGGTTTTTGAACGGAAAACAGACGGGCTCCGATTGGCGGCTGATCGTAACCATTGATGTGCCCGTTGGACTGTCTGTTATTCGGGGACTGCATTGTAAGTATTATTTTGCATGAACGATATCGTGTCGAATCTCGTCCTCAAGCTGCGATACTGTGCATAGTAATAGGAATCGCTGACATCCCGAAATGGCAATTACGCCCGCGAGCGGGCGTTGTTGCTTCGTAGGAAAGCGGAGGCGGGTCGACCCCACTTGCGCTACCAGCCCCTTTCGCCGCCCTTCCATCGTGATTTCATAGCCTTCATCATTTCAGTTTGTCAACGCTGCTTACCAAGCAGAACCGGTATGGCCTCCTTTGATGCGGCATATAACCGAGAGCTTAACGGATCTCACGATGTGAGAGGCATCAATAGCGACTACTGATGGTTATTGAGTATTACTAGTGATCACATATGCAGTGCATGCCATGTCTCCTCACAGCACTAGGGTGCAACAGCTTGGGATGTGTTAGAATTATCACTCATGAGTTTTTGAATGTCTCGTTCTTCTTTTCTCAATACCAATGGTGTGCTGCTGAAAATACAGAACCAACGATCGTCGATGCTTTTACGTTGTCGGCTACTACGAACATCGCTGGTCTGGAAATCTCTCTACTTGTCATCACTCAAGTCCTCCACCTCCCAATCTCCATATACGACCCCCGGTCGTCCGTATCGCACACCAGCGCGCGGTGCTCTCGGCGAAGCTTCACTAGGGTCAGACTCGCTTGGCTCACTGTCTGGAGAACCGGTTGGCAGACGGGTTCGAGGATCAGTTGCTGGACCGCCCATCTGCCCTGGAAAGAAGAGCGGACCGCGTGGAAAATGAGGCATCGATCCTTCCGCACTATTTCCAGCCATACGTATATGCTCCGCCCTCATTTGTCCCTGCTGTGCTGCCATCATCATCATCATCATCATCATTGTCATGCGTTGTTGTTCTCTCATCCTGTGGCGTTGTTCCTCCATCATACCCTGCCATATTTGTGCCTCCAGTTGCATTCGTCTTTGCATTTCTAGCTGTGTCTGCTCCCGCATACGCGCCTGCATGATCATCATGGCTATCCTGGGGTTCATGACAAGGCTGGACTTTATGACTCTGCTCTGCTCGACCACGACCGTGGAACGTTCGTGGTGAGTGGACTTAGGAGTGTGGCACGATCAAAGCTTCTGGGCTAGTATGTTGAGGCTTTGGCTGTGTGGAACGTGGTGGATAAACATTTACGTAGGCAAGGCGAGAGGGTCTAGGTCGCTGGCTTTGGAATGCCCTTAGCCAGATTCAATTTCGAGGAGCAGTGGATGATCACAGCAGTGTCACACTCACGTCTTCCGAAGCACTCTTTGCTTTACGGAACGGTCAATAGTTTGAATGAGAGTGATTGCTTCTCGCTGCTAACATACTATGTCAGCTAGGCTGTCATGTTGCTTACACGTACCGACGCTCCTAACTCTATCTGAAGCAGTCTTCAGCTCTTCGAGTAGTTGACGGGAATGCTGGCATTTCGATGATAGATTTTCCAAGGTCATTTCTGTGTTTCAGACGTTGTGGACAAAGTCATAGATCTCCGTGCAGACAGCATCACAGGCGCTGAAGGTTCCATGCTGCTGAGGCTCACTTGGATGTAGTTCGTTGTAGTGCACCATCTTTCTAGCTGTGAAATTTGTTTAGATAGCTTGTAAGTGTTTGGTTGTGTAGCAAATGTTCCAAGTTAGGAAGTTTCTTTCAAGTGGAGTGTATGACCGAGAAAGAGAAAACTTTTAGAAGACTAGAGAGCACTGTGTGAGTAAATGTAAGGTCGCCCCTTGCTATGACTTCAAGCCATCACTGTACTGATATGGCAAGATAACCTCGAGAAGTGATGCAGAGACCATTATGTTTTATTCTTGATCACGAATGCATCTCCATTGTATAGTAATACCGCCCCCTCCATATTTTTGAGATACCTAGACTGGCCTCTGTCTCCATTGCCTGTTTCGCAATATGAACAGCCGCGCACAAGATACAGATACTGCATGCCTTCTGGAAGGGTACGTATGTGACATCCCACCGAAAATAGTCCCAGTATTCTATTTCGGTCGCCATCGTATATCGCAAATCCATAGAGACTCTTGCACTCGCGGGCTGATTCGTAGAGGATCTCCCGCACAGGTAGACAGGTCTGAAGACAACCGGGGTCTTTGGCTATACTTGGCAAGGCCATTGAGGCTAAATGCCCAGATGGAGCTCCACTGTCCTCGATTGCGAGCGGTTTATTTTCCCGGCAACCTTAGAAGGCTTCGTGCAAGCTGTGACATAGATTTACATTTGCCAACAGAAGTCTTGAGGGTAACGCCGCACCCGTATCATTGGACAATATGACCTACCTCACCAGGTCGATCGTACGCTGCGATACGTTGTTCATAGAAGATTTATTGAGGTCACATCCGTAGCTTCGCAAGATCGTAGTTACCCAAACCTCGTTCTTGACTCTGGGTGAGGAAGAAGACCTCGATACGTTTTCGCCCCAGCGCTGGATGCGATAAGACACTGTGAACTCCGTCACTGATGAGGTAGTGGATTGCCATAGGCCCTAAAGACAGCTGTGGTGAATCGGAGTGAGCCGCTTTCTCTAAAGTGACATGCTATTCCCAGCATGGCGAGCTGTCCGCAATCTTGAATCTATTCTTGGAGCAAAGAAGACAAGAAGAATGTGCCTACCTGTCTGAATTGCTGAACGTCATTTACTTCTCGAGCCTCTGCAGCCGATGATGCGAAAGTACATCATCTACGCACACAGGGATATGGAGCTTGACAGGCAGGTGGACGTCCTACTTCCAGTAGATCCACAAGTGCTTTGATGTTTCGTTAGGAAACATGCTAGAGAGAGACTGAGTCGTCGCCTCACGCAACTCTTCCCAATATTGTCGGGGGACCGATACGATGTTCCAAAAGCTCCGCTGACCAACATTTGCAAGCTCTAGCCCACCGCGATGCGAATCCGAACTGCGGGTAGTGGATACTAGCACTGCGGATAAGCCTCTACGCAGCGAATAGGAGAATTCCCACATCGGCACTTTGTTTTGCTGCATATTCGCCAAGGCGCAAGAGATTCAAAACGTGAAACACATGATATCCCCAGATCTTGGCGACGGCGGAATATGCATGGGTGGTGTTGGTGAGGCTTGGCTTGGCCACCGGTTATATGTGTTTCGACCTGTCCCAACGCTCCTGCTTTAATCAAAAGTGATACTAGAACAAATAAGACTTTCTATGCGACTAGGTACTAAGGGCTTATGATGACTTATGACGCCTTGGGGGTGGGGTGGTTTGGCAAGAAATAGATGAAGAGTCAGAATAGATGGGTTCGTGATGAAATTTAGGGACCAGAAAAATGGATATCCCTCCAATGAAGTGAACCATGCTCAGGATGTCGTCCAGTATAAGTATCTGACAGCTGCCATGTTGTAAGAATTATCGCAATCACTAGCATTCGATACTAACCAGTACATTCGCTTCTCCAACTTTTACATTCACTTCTTTTGAACATATTTCACCCTCTTCTCTACAACATGAAGGCTGTTGCTCTTTTCGCCCTGCTTGCGCCCCTGGGGGCAAATGCCCATTACATCTTCAACCGTCTCATTGTCAACGGTGCTTCTATCGGTGGCGAGTATGCTTACACCCGTAAGAACACGAACTCGTACATGCCAAGCTTCCCACAGGAGATGATGAACTCCCCGGACTTGAGGTGCAACAAGGGCGCCAAAGCCGGAGGAACTGCTGTAAGTGTCTCTGTAAGAATTGCGTATGAGACATATACTGACTTCGTTTTAGACCTACAACGTCAAGGCTGGTGACAAGCTCGGCTTCAAGCTCTTCAACAACGAGAAGATTGAGCATCCCGGTCCGGGCTTCGTCTACGTCTCCAAGGCTCCTGGCAAGGTCGCCGATTATGACGGCTCTGGTGACTGGATCAAGGTCATGGAGAGCGGCCTCAAGAACCCCAGCCAGCCCGGCGTGGACACTGCTTGGGACAGCTGGCAAAAGGACCGCCTTGAGGTAAGCTGTGGCTGCACGAAATGCACGCAAGACATACACTGACTTGGTTTCTTCAGTGGACCATCCAGCAGAATATCCCTGCTGGTGAGTACCTCGTCCGTGTCGAGCACATCGGCCTCCACGAGGGTCACGTCGGCAAGGCCCAGTTCTACATGGAGTGCTTCCAGCTCAACATTGCGTCTTCCGGCAAGGGCAACCTCTCTCCCAAGGTCAAGATCCCCGGTGTATACTCCGCCCAGGACCCGGGCATTGCATTCAACAAGTGGAACAACCCCAAGAGTTACACTATGCCCGGCCCCAAGGTTTGGAACGGACAATAAGCGATTCGTTCGCTCGCTGGTGTTCCATCAGGCAGTCAAGTTGAGGAGGAATCGACTTTTTTACATTGCACGCCCTAGTGGTGCTACTTTCTTGTTCCCGCGTTCAGCAGCTCTCGATCTCAATAGCTTTTGACAAATTACAATGCGTTTACCTCAATTTCCATATTCTCGGCGATGGTGATGGCGATGGTCGATGAGACTTGGCTCCCGATGCGAGAACCATAGCTACACAACGTCTAATGAATCGTGACCAGCTCGCCCTATACAGTATATTCGAGTGGCGCCCTGAGCTATGGCGAGGCGACAAGTCGTGCGCGACTACTGCTGTTAGGTCGGTTCTAGTAAGAAAGCTAGAGGTCGTCTGTTCATATTAGCGCACGTCAACAAGACGTAGTTATGAACATCTGTTTGGGTCTGCAGTAGTTCTATAGGTGTCGCAATGCATAAAAGGCAGACAACTACACGTGCCATGCATAATCGGGCGCCAAATGAGTACTTATTGTGCAAAGCGCATGCCCAAGATGCAGCAAACTTGGAAATGTCGCGGTGTAGAGCTGAAGATTGAGGTGACGTGGTGAGCAAAGTGGGACCGCACCCTGACCAGTGCGCGGCGGTTGCTGGGGGAGCGGTCGACTGAGTCGTGTTTACCCAACCCCGACAAGGACATCAGGCCGCGATAGGCCCTGCTTAGCTTTACACATACCACTCCCCCGCTATCAATCGGGGCGTGACTACAGAGAACTGCTCTCTGCTATTGCTACCATCGACTATTGTCTTTCGCTGGAGCTTTCCTGCGCGTCCCACACCTAACCGGCGCCATCTCTCACTCTAATCGACGCATGTCACCCACCCGCCGTGCATGTCCCGAACAAGTTGCAGGTCAACCATCAACTAATACTACAACTACATCTACCGAATAATACCGAACATGGCCGTTGGCCAGGCGCTGCCGGTGCGCTTTCCGTGCTGGTGCAAGGCTGTTTATTCATGGGGAGGAGAGGTAAGTTGGGACGGAAGCCAATTTGCTGCAGCACCTGACCTGACCACTGTTCTAGACAAAACGCGACCTCGGATTTATAGAAGGTGACCTGATCGAAGTCCTCAACGCCGGTGATGGAGCTTGGTGGATGGGCCGGTTGAAGCGCGACAGGCGTATGGTCGGACTGTTTCCATCCAACTTTGTCGAACTACTCAGTGATGACTATCAACCATGGGCACGCAACGGCAGCGGAGGAAGCATGTCGAGGCAAAACAGTGCCCAGGAGCAGCCGAAGCCGGTACCCCAGAAGCAGAAGAGCATGTTCAGGAAGCCCTTTACGGCCTATGCGGCTGCAGGCGCCCCGAATCCAGCTGCAGCAGCGCGAGAGAGGCTCAAGGCAGGCGGCATAAACTCACCAAATGACAGTGTCAAGACCAAGACTCCCTACTCGTCAATGAAGCGGTCGTCTACCGAGAGCCGTGAGACCCCATCGCCCGCGCCTTCAACAAAAAAGCAGTCAAACCTGCGCACAGTACCACCGCGACCTTCTTCCAAGAGAACACCCGTAACACGCGCTATCTCGCCAGCGCCACCGTCACGACATGGCTCCCATACACGCGCACCGTCATCTCCCGCACCGCCCGCCGACTATCGCTACCAGCCTCGCGCCGTATCACCAGCTCCTCCCATACGACGCGGCTCGTATATTCCACCACAATCTCATGCGCCTCCAGCTCAATACCAGTACCAGCCCCGTGGTGTGTCGCCTGCACCTCTCATACAGCACCGCAATTATGCTAGGGCAGCATCTCCAGCTCCTCCACAACAAGTACAAGATCTATACCGAGCAGCCTCGCCAGCTCCTCCAAGGCAAAGTCAAGATATGTACCGGGCAGCGTCTCCAGCTCCTCCACGACAAAGTCAGGACTATTACCGGACAGCCTCGCCAGCGCCTCCAGTCCACTACCAGCAGCATTCACGAGCTGTATCACCCGCACCATCCTTCCAGTACCGAGCATACGACCGTGGACCTTCGCCAGCACCATCATTTCAAGAGCGTTCGCGGGCAGCCTCGCCAGCACCCTCATTCCAGTACCGCGCATACGATCGAGGTCCATCACCGTCCCCGTACCAGATGCAATTGGACGATGATGACCACAGCCGTGGTCCATCGCCTGCGCCTTACAACGACGAGTTCGAAGAAGACCCTCTTGACTCGTCACCACCTCCACCTCCACCACCGCATCGCGTCGCTTACGATCCGAGCAGAGCTCCATCTCCCGCACCTCCTTCGCATAATGGCTTCATCACACCCGAACCGCCCTCGCCTGATCCAAGAGCACGTGGAGGCCACTTCACACCCTCTCCCCTTACCACAGCAATGAACGACGTCATGTCGTCTTTGCAGGATATGACAACGTCAAGAAGTAATGAATCGCCAGAAGAACCCCCGACTCCATCGAACCCATGGTCTCCGGAAGCATTCGATCAAGTGTACCAAGAGTCGGCTAAGAAGGTCAGGGCACAGTCCGCTATGAGCCGCGGTGACGAAGACGAAGAAGAAGGTCTGCCAGATGTCAACAATTACATGAAGCGCATGGAAAGTCGTCTAAGGCGGATGAAGCAACAAGAGCAAGCTAGGAACGGCGAGCTTTTCATGGGCGAAGACGAAGGACCAACCGTACCTTTGAAGAGCTCACACCAACGACCCGGATCCTCGATGGCAGATGTAGAGCCAGAGGTTCAACGGAAAGGCTCAAAGCTACTTAACCACCGCAAATCCGCCTATAACGTTGGACGTAATGCCCTTGGACGAACATTTACGAGCAAAACGAATTCTACGACTACGACACATACAAGCAACAGCACTGATCGCAGTTTGATGTCTGGACACTCTGCTACGAACATGAGTGCTACAAGCGCTGGAAGTTATTACCGCAAGAAATTTGGGAAAGACCGACCAAAGAGTGTTATAAACACCAAAGACACGACCGGGAAAGGGTACGGGTTCGACGATGGGCGACCAGAAACGCCTTTTACCGGTGTCACCTATCACTCGAGCCATGCTTCGCAGCCACAGGCCGGCTCCAGCGATAATCAACAAGCTGAGGCTAGCACTCCAGCAACGGACGACCCGGATCCCCTTGGTGGCTTGAGGCAGCCACTGAAGACGAAGCGCAGCGGCTTCTTCCGTAAGATGATAGATACTGCGAAAACTCAAGCAGCGAATGCACGCAGCACTATCGACACAATAAGTAGGCCAGGATCTCGAGCTGCCAGCCGAGCTGCGGGTCGTTCACAAAGTCGAGCCGCAAGCCGCATGGATAACTCCGAATCGACAGGCATAGAAGGGGGTAAAGCAACCCACTCGACGAAGGAATCTAGAGATACTGGTCTAGGGACGGTAGATTGGGTACAAGTTCGCCGGGATGTGAATCGATCCAACTCACTGAGTAAAAACGAGCGTGCGGAGCGAGCGGAAAGATGTCAGATGATGGATATTCCCGTTCTGAACCCCATCGAGATACTGTACGAGTCTGCTGAAGGGGACGAAGGTCTCGATGGTCTTCCCATCACTGAGCCTACCGACTTCGCAGCTTGCAGTCTTGCTCACGTGGACAAGAGCGCACGCTTTATCAACAGCATTCCTCTCGGAACAAACCCAGCGACTTTGGCTCAAGGTTACGTTTGCCGACCATACCGGAGCGACATTCAACGATTACGCGCTATCTTCACCTGGGTCAGCGAACGCATATCGTGGGAAGAAGACTTTGAGGGTGAGATGGACCCGAAGCATGTGCTTCAGAGCAAGCGCGGGTGCTCCGAAGAAATTGCCATGGTTGTGGCAGAGATGTGCGCTTCCGTCGGAATGCACGCTGAAGTTGTCCGTGGCTACCTGAAAACACCGGGCGAACCTCTGGATCTAGAGAGCGTCGCGCGGCCGAACCACTTCTGGAACGCTGTCATTGTGGAGGGTGAGTGGCGCATAATGGACTGCTCCCTTGCTGGACCAACAAATCCAAAGCGAGTTCACTACTCGACTGCGGGATCATCTGTGGCTGAGACATGGTACTTCCTCGCTCGCCCTATGGAGATTTGCTACTCTCATGTCCCACTCCTCCCTGAACAACAACACATTTGCCCTCCCCAGCCACACGAGGTGCTAATGGCACTCCCTTGTGCAACACCCGCTTACTTCCGACACGGTCTGAACGTGGTAAACTTTGATACTAGTCTCTTGAACTTGGACAACCTGGAGATGGCACACGTCTACGTTGACGTACCAGAAGATGTAGAGTGTGTTGCGGAGGTTGAGGCAAGAGCCTACGATCAAGACATGGACGGCGACCTTTTCGAGAACGGAGAGATTGTCAAAAAGCCGGCGTTGGCACAAGCCGAATGGTATGGCGGCCAGAAAAGATACACTGTCAAGGCCCTTCTACCGGGTGACGGCGGTCAGGGTGTCCTGAAAATCTATGCAGGACCCCGGGGACTCATGGTAAGCTTTCCCTCATAACGTCGCCAAGGCACTTATACTAATACCTCGCAGCACTCCAACAAGATGAATCCCCACAACCTGGCAATCGGCCTACCCATGACGCATACCGGCACTAACCCTCCGTACTCGTTTCTGACTCTTCATCCTACGCCCCACGCCCAACGACACGACTTATACGTCGCTCAACCGCAGTGTGCTAATCTAGCCCTAAACAACACTTTCGTCTTCTGCGTCCGCCAACATCCATCATCTCTCACCAAATCCCCAGAACCCAGCCCTGCGATGCACGGCCGAGCATCTCCAAACCCTTTCGCTCGTCCTGCTTCCGCTATGAGCATGCAGAGTATCTCAGCAACTGGATCCAACTATACAAACCCATCTCAGAGTTCTTCCGGATCAGCAGGCAGTAGCAGCAACAAGCCTGCCAAGCTAGCCGTACAGACACCTTCTGGCAAGATCATACGTCTGACCAGGAAGACGGAGCATATGAGCAGTACCAATGATGCTGACGGTACGGCTTGGGAGACGGTCATCAAGATTGGAGAGAAAGGCACATGGCGAGGCTTGGTGCTTGCTGATCGGAGCGCAAGGTGGTGCGTTTTTGCTCAATGGGAGTGTACTTGATCGCGTGACAAGCCTTTCTTCGGAGTATGTTTTATGACTTGTAATGATAGCGTTTAGTTACTCATATGACCGCTACGGCCGTGATAGCGCTTTTGCATTACCTGGCGTTTCTGTAGGATATAGGGTGTGGCAATACTACTATGGCGTATTTTGGTAACTGAACGATCCTTGAACTACCCAACTGTGATACGTGACGAACCTAATAGAGTAAAAAGAGCTGAGTCAGGTTAATGTCTTTGTCGGGATTGTCGTGGATTGAGAAGAGCCAGCCCTGCAGTGACTCGTACCTGCCAAGCTAGGCATTGCCCCGCATCATCAGTTCACCCCACTACAACTTTTTCCCATTACGAACGATCGCCTCCAACTCCAACGACTGGATATAATCCAGACTAAAGACAACCCCGTAAACGCAAAATAACTGCCGCCAGTATGGACGCGCAAATCGCCGAGTGGCAACAACGCTCCGAGGCGCTTAAGCCTCTCAATCTGAAGCAAATCGAACCTCACCTCCTCGAACTGGACGCACACCTCACTCTCCGCTCCCACATCGTCGGCTACACACTCTCCGATGCCGACACAATAGTATGGAAGACCATCCGCGAGAACCGTGTTGCGCATGCCTTCATCAAGCAGGACTTGATGAAGAACCTATGTCGCTGGTTTAGGTATATCGAGGAGGCATACCCGCAGAGTGTTGTTGTCGTTGGTGGGCAAGGAAAGAAGGAAGACGGAGGTAAGGGTAAGGGCAAGAAGGAGGGTGGCAAGAACGATGATGCCAACTACGATATTGGCCTGCAGGATGTGGGTGATGGCACCGGGATTGTTACTAGGTTTCCACCCGAGCCTTCGTAAGTTGTTTCCTTGTTTGGTCATGCGGACTTGTTCCAGCTAACTATGTCGCAGAGGTTACCTCCACATTGGTCACGCCAAAGCAGCACTGCTAAACGACTATTTCGCACACGAGAAGTACAAGGGCAAGCTCCTGCTACGATTCGACGACACCAACCCTACCAAGGAGAAGCAAGAGTTCCAGGACGCCATCGTCGAAGACTGCGCGCTTCTCGGCATCAAGCCAGACCAAGTCTCATACACCAGTGATTGGTTTGACCAGCTATATGAGAGCTGTGTACAGGCGATCAAGGATGGACTGGCATATGCAGACGACACAGTACAGGAGAAGATGCGTGATGAGCGTATGAACGGTGTTGCTAGCGCTCGCCGCGATTCCAGCGTTGAGGACAACCTCGCGCGCTTCGAGGAGATGAAGAAGGGCAATGAGGAGGGCTTGAGATGGTGCATTCGCGCGAAGATGTCTGTCGATGACCCCAACAAGGCCATGCGCGACCCCGTCATCTACCGCTGCAACCCACAGGCGCATCACCGCACTGGCGACAAGTGGAAGATCTACCCTACCTACGACTTCTGCTGCCCTATCGTCGACTCACTCGAGGGCGTTACCCATGCACTACGTACGACCGAGTACAACGACCGCGATGCACAGTACCAATGGTTCATCAAGAACCTCAAGCTCCGCAAGGTACACAACTGGGGTTTCGCGCGTCTGAACTTTGTCCGCACGGTGCTGTCCAAGCGCAAGCTCACTAAGATCGTTGATGCCGGTATCGTATCGGGCTGGGACGACCCGCGCATGCCTACGGTCCGCGGTGTCCGTCGCCATGGTGCCGTCATCCCCGCTCTCCGCGAGTTCATCCTCAAACAAGGTCCGTCCAAGAACATCGTCAACCAGGACTGGTTCGCCTTCTGGGCTACGAACAAGAAGCACATCGAGCCAACTGCGGCTCGCTACACCGCTATCGATGACTCTGGTCGCGTCCCTGTTACCATCATCGGCGCGCGTGAGGGCGTCATCTCCGAGGACAAGCCGAAACACGCCAAGTACGACCTCGGCAACAAGAAGATCGTCTTCAGCAAATCCGTCATCATGGAGCAAGCAGATGCACAGTCTTTCGCTCAAGACGAAGAGATCACCCTCATGAACTGGGGCAACGCCATTGTTCGCAAGATCAGCCACTCTATCAACCCCCTTGAGATGGCTAAGCACGGCCTCAAGACCGTCACCGGCCTCGAGCTCGAACTGCACCTCCAAGGAGATGTCAAGAAGACATCCAAGAAGGTTACTTGGTTGAGTAACGACCAGGAGCTCGTGCCTATTGAGCTTGTTGACTACGACTACCTCATCACAAAGGATAAGCTGGAGCCTGAGGACACGCTCGAGGACTTCCTTAACCCGCATACTGAGTCAAGGACTAAGGCTATGGCTGACTGCAATGTCGCAGACCTCAAGGTTGATGACATTGTTCAGTTTGACCGTAAGGGCTTCTTCCGTATTGACCGCGCTTTTGCGCACGGAGAGGCAGTTGTCGCGTTCCAGATTCCTACTGGTAAGAGCAAGTAAATGCTGCTCTTTGGGATATTGAGTTCGCACGAACGCGGTGATGGTATGTAGATCTGCCGTGACTGAACTTTTGTGCAACATAGTACTGGGTCCTGTATAGACAGTATGCTCCACTGGAGCCTGAATGAACCTATATCTCCGATTCGTCTCTTTGCACCGCATCTATTCTCGAGTGTCCTGCTTTGTTCTTCTCTACATGTCGTATCCTCCTGTTTGACCGTAAAACCTATGTGCGTAGTGCCTTTTCCACGCTCAATATCAATGAGCTCAAAGCGCAATAGTCGCTCCTTCCCCAACACAGCAACCATCCTCTTCATCTTCCTCAGCCACCGCAGCTAGTGTCGACCCGACATGGGACTCTTATGCTTACCCGCTTAGGCTTTCCTCTTTCCCTTGTTTACACCTCCATCCTCGCTACATTCGAGTTTTCGTCGTGTCTTCCGTCCAACGGCTATAATAGTCAGGCAAGAACATTGAAGAAGTACCCCTGAGGTTCTTCACTCTTGTTGCTATCACTGCAGTGTGTGGTATGCTCACTACTGCTGCACCAACCGCTGGTAATGAAAGCAGTCAGTACATATGTCCAACTAAAGGAGTGTTTTGCTCATTCTTGCAGTGAATGATGCCGGAATAGCACGTCGTGGTCACTATAACGATTGCCAGGCAGCGGGAGAGTACGTTTCCCAAATGCTTTTCAAGACAAGATACGTAGATGGAACACTACGCATCTATTTCATTGTGACTGTCTGTGCCCTACCACGTAAAAACATGTCGCCTAACACCCCCAGCAGCCAAGTCCGAGACTATCATCGTCGCCCGCGGCACCAACGGCGTCGACTTCGGCAGCAGCAAAAACTCTTTACCACAATGTCCAGGCCATGATTGAGTACCTCTGTCTACATAGCGCCGAAGGCTGCTTCAGCACCAAGGCTAAATTCAACATCTACGTCTCCTCTTGCGGCCTGACTCCATTCACCAGCAACCAAGTCTACGAAGCCATGCGCAATACTATCGCTGCCGTCTTTGAGCGAGGGATGTATGATCCTGGAAATTGCGCTGGCGTGACACTGTATGTTGGAGGGAAAAACCAGGTGTTTAGAGACTGTATGAGCATCGATTATGCAGAGGTTGTCCTGTCTAGTGGGTATGAGATGAAGGTTAGGTTCGGGAGGGCCAGGGAGTCAGTACGAAGACTTGAACTATGACTGCGAGAGGGTTTTCGATGATATGCTCGTCTTTGTAAGGGATGATGTGGCGTGGAAGCGCACGCCTTGAGTGTACTGTATTGGGGTAGAATTGTGGCCTCGTGGAATGGCTTGATGGAGCCCGAGTAGGATGGCTTGTAGTCAAACTGAAGAGATGGGAAGACAGAAGCGAGTTCACGTAATGTTTTGCAGATGATGATACTATCTAGAGCTGCCAGGGCTATGATACGATCGGAACGTCATACTTGAAAAGAGTTCATACCTGGTCCTACCTGTGCATTTCATGTAGCAAATGAGATTGGTAACACCCTTCTACCATTTGCATGACGAAGATATGATAATGAAAAGTGTAAAATTCGTGAAGCAGCTCGCCTGCAATTGAAATGTACCAAAGGTCATACGTGTACATATGATAGCAAGGATAAAACTCCATAGCGACAACAGAGATAGGTCTTGATGAGTATCCTTTGGTTCATATACCATATCTATGTCTTTTCTTAGGGCTAGTGACTCTTGTCACGGCCACCTCCCACCCACCCGACGATACCATATCATCATACATAATTCGTCATAAGCATACAACACGCCCAGCGACGAGTCCTTCCGACGTGATGATGCAAGGTAAACATGCTTCAACATGACTCTTCCATCTGCAGGTCAGACAACTGTCTAAGCAGTGTTGGAACCCTTTCCTTCCTTCCTGCCCTGATCCTGGGTACCCTCCTTAGTAACCTCATCCGGTTCACCCTCCTCCAACTTCTTGTTCCTCTCCTCCTCGCGCTTACGCTCATGCTCCCTAACCATATCTGGCGGGCTATCCTCAATAAGATCAGATTCGCCGCTCAGACCACTCCACTTGGGCAGACCATCGGGGATATCCATGACACGCTGGCCGTAGAACATGTGGCAGCGGGGCTTGAAGTATGCCTTGTCTTCATCCGTCTTCAGGTGCACGAGCGAGGGGAAGAGAAGAATCATGTTACGGCCCTCGTCCATGATGGGCGAGTGGCAGAAGGAACAGCGGACTTTGCAGGGGAGCTTGTGCTCGATGGACTTGTCGGTTGGGTCGTACCACTCTAGGTCGTGGTGGCCGTTGGTGAAGTTGATGTCTTCTTTGTGGAAGATGGCTGCCCATTGGAAGGGTGCAGCTGAGGGAAGTTAGTTCTACTCGAGAGGAAATTGGGCAATGAAACATACCATGCTGGGTCTGGCAGGTGGTACAATGGCACAGTTTGCTGTCTAGAGGCTCTCTCCGGCTGAGCTGGTACTGGACCTTTCCGCAATGACAGTTGGCTTCGTACTTGACGTCAAAGTCTTCGTTCTTCTCGTGGATGCGGTAAGGAGGACGCTGCTTCCACTCAGACTTGCCAGTCGTCTCGGTGCCGCGGCTCTGATCCTTCTTGACCTGTTCTTTATCCATTCTGAAAGAACTTGTGGAGAATGGGGGCTGCTGTCGTGTGAGGTGTGAAGCTACAAGTCGTGCACGGGGTAAAGCTCTTGAAGTCGTCAGTAGTGGTAAACGACGGATTGCAATTGAGGTTGCGGACATAAGTAAGGATTAAAGAAGAAGTGATGAGGGTATGTGAGTGGTTTTACTGTTTGCTTGCCGTCATCATCGATGCTTTATTTGGAGAGGCGCGTTGATCTGACGTCACCATGACCACAATTCTGCTACGCGACAACGCGTGCTCTAGATTCCTTATCCCCATTGCGGGCACCGATCGTCAAAATAAATGCGCCTTTCCGTCAGCGAAAACGCTCAGACATGGAACCCAGATTCGCCTGCCAATGCTATGCTTTTTCTACACAATCCCATTCGTCACTTCCTCTCTAGTGTCCCACCTTCCCGCACTCCATCTCGATCGATCCTGCGCCGCGGTCTGCTATGAGCCGTAGCCCATGACCCTGACATCGTCGGTAATGGTGCGTCTACTCGAACTATCGTGTTTCGCGATACATGATGTCTTCCGCATTCACATTCCCGAAAGCTGGTGAGGCTGAACTTTGCGCTAACGACGGGTTGGTTCCGCGTCTAGTGTCTCACAACAGTTTGGTTCAAGTGGCTCAAGCTCCTTTTAGTAACTTCTGAGCTTCTTTGTTGGATAGACCAAAGACATTGATCAGGTAGTCGAGTCTGCCAACATTGTCAGTAGAAGCCTTGTATCAGTTGGGAATCGCCACTCACTTGATGTCTCCAGCTATCCGCCGCCGCACTGCCTCAAATTCAACTTCGGCCTTGTCTCTTGTCGCATCCTGTCTCTTCGAATTGATCGTTTTGACACGAAGTTTGAACGTCCCACTGACAGGACGATGATCCGAGACCTTGATGCAATCGTGCCGCCGGTAATCCAACTGCTTGATCCTACCCAAGCCGCGGTATAGCAATCGATCGCACCACGCTGGTGAACGCTGTTTTTCAGAAGTATCGTAGTTGTCTGTTCCTACGTCATACTTGTAAGTCGGGGCAAAGTTGATGGGCGCCTCTGTGAAGGCACGCAGGCGGAAACCAGGATTGCGCTTGCGAGATAGAAGCAGTTGATCGCGCTCGAGAAGTTTCGCCAAGTTGCCTTGTTGCACAGCAGCGACAACAGTATTGCGAGGCATTGCGTCAATGCGATAGTTGAGATCTCCATTCAAGATACAAATTTCGTGGTCAAGAATCATGGACCCATCACCGCCCCCAACGAAGTAGTTTGCGCATGAAGTCGGGGAGCGGTTCTTCGGTAATGGCGCGTTCTCCATAATTGCGGCTGCGTCGTTGTTGCGATGTACGGTTTGTGTCTGACCGGCCGCAAGATGGCAATTGATAAAGCAGAGTGAGGAATCGTCAATAAAGAAGCGCACTACAAGCGCACCCTTGTTGCCGACTCGACCACTGAAGCCAAGCTTGATCTCAGCTGCGCACACATCGCGGATTTTGGTCCGTTCCGAAGCTTTTATGAATACACAGGTGAAGAGACCGACAAGGTTGGCGGTATGCAAGAGAACATAATTCTCGTTTGGACTATGCTCGTCCAAGACACGAACAAGATGGTCTCGCCATGCACGATATTGGTGAGACATGTGCTCATGCTCGGATGTCTCTTTATGCTTCTTTCTCTTGAAGATGCTCTTGGCGGTGATCTTCTTGTCTTCCAGGTCGACCAACTCCTGGAAACCAAAAACGAGAATGTCAGGAGAATTTCCAGGTTCGACTATTTCCCGGAAAAAGTTTCGATCTTGCTCCGTATTCCGTATATTTGCGGGTTTCGTCGCGCCCGCGTTCCACGTCATGACTCGCGCCGAGAGCTCCCTGAAGTCGCAGTACTCAGAATCGCGTTGTTGCATCAAGTTTTCTGTGAGACATTAGTATGATACTACAAGAATCACCCAACACCACTTACCAAGCCAATCCTCTTTCATCATCCCGTCCCAGACGCGCAGCATTGTGTCCGTGCCTAATGATGCAACCTGGAATCTATCGAGTTTCCAGATACTTGTACGATCGGCCAAGATGCCCGCAATTGGCTTCTCATGTGCCTTCCAATCCTTCAACACCTTCCAGGGTGTCGACTTGGTCTCGTACACGTATATCATTCCAGTACTGTAGCCAGCCCAGAGGAAATCACCAACACCAACCAGGGAGCTGATCTTGTATACACTGACGTTCACAATCCCAAGACATTCGAAGTTCTTCTTGGAGTATATTGTAACTTTTCCATCCGCATGTCCGAAGTACATTTTGTCGGGCTGACTGCTGATGATAGCACCGGAAGTGACGTCTCCGACATTGAGCTGAGATAATGGACCCTGTGTCAATTGCTGGAAGTAGTTGTTGTCGGATGTGCGAGCATATACCCGGATATCTTTTGTCGAAGCTACCCATAACTGCGATCCCGAAATGATGGAAAATGTGCTTCCGCGAGGTATACGGTACGTAAGCGGAGCCTGCTGCAGGGATGGGCATCCTGATTCGTCCGCTGGCCAAATGTGTAATACGCCGTCTTCGTCGAGAGACCACATTTCTGAGGCATAGCGGAAGATTTTGGTGACAACACTCCTCGCGTGCGCGTTACTCTTAGTGTACACTACGCTTTGTGTAGGTATGTCAATTTCATGCATTTCGCCAGTGTTAGTCCCTAACCATAACCGCTTGCCTTCGTCTTCGACATCCTTCGCTGGCCGGAATGCAATTGCTGTGGCTTTGACTGTCTCACCATGGGCTAGACTCATGAGCAATCTCCCATTCAGAACGTTCCACACGTTTGTCACGTATCCGGTCGTACATATGTAATCGCCGCAAATCGCAAACAACTTAGTCTCGTAGCCTGTCGGAATGCCAGCTACCCCATCCGGAAATACTGGAGGCCTTCTGTTCGCTTGCGATGAATCTGGGTAGTCGGTCAGGGCGGCCGTCGGTTGCTTGTCTCCACCTGTGTCCTCCTCATCAGAATCATAAGTATACGGCTGTGATAGCTGCGATGCTTGTACAGATGGTGTCTGGGAAGGCCTTCTCATTTCCCCAGAATTTCGTGGAGGCGGTGGTTTCGGAGGTTCTAACGCTTTTCCGGAACTAGCGGACATGGTCCCAGTTGTGTTGGTCCGCCGGGGAGGCGGCATGAATTTATTGTTCGTCTCTTGTACTAATTGACCAGGTCGAGTCTGATCGAAGGATCGTCGCACTGGCAAATCAGGGGGTGCTGCCCTCTGTAGTTGAACGCTCTTCCGCAGGTCGAAGTTGTCTTTCTCTCGTCGCATAGGTAGTGATGGGCGGTCTTCTGGCATGTCATTCGGTGATGGCGGTGGCATGGCCTTCTTGATGGGCTGCTTGCCTGTTGACCGAGAGTCTGTGGTAGGTAACTTCTCTGCAACCGCAGGATGTATCGGAGGTGCTGGGAAATATCCATTGTTACTTGTGATAAACTTGGGTTTCGAGAAGCCTGGAATGACTGGCGGAGAAGGCTCGCCCTTGACGCTATCTCCACTGCTGCTGGGTGGTGTACTGAATGGAGACACGTCTGCAGCATCCGATGTGGCTTCGGGTGCTAGGTTTCCGCGAGCTGAGGGGTCCACGGAAAGCGACTTTGGTGGGATCTTAGGCTTTCCCGCTCGGTTTACAGGCGGCGGTACAGGCGGGGCCGACGATACTGGTCGGTCGCCCTTTCGCGGGTCGTTGGAGGGGCCGTTGCCGGTATGGGTTGGAAATACAGGTTTCGCATCCACACCAGGAGTGCCATTGCGACTGGGCATTTTGAAGAATCTTTTCCCACCAGACGCTGACGAGGGCGAATCTAATGCAGCATGAGTGGTCGGTTTCGAAGGTTGCGGCGAGTGTATAGGAGATGCGGAAGACTTGGGCGGTGATCTGGGCGATTGGACAGTAACCTTTGGAGGTGATCTTGTAGGCGATCTAGGTGGGGAGAAGGCCATCATCGACGTCGGTCTCTGTTTTGGAGTGCCCCAGAGCGAGCGTCCGAGGGTGTTTGAGCGCGGTGTCACTGTCCCACTCCCACTGTAGTCGGCCACACTGGGCGAGGGTCTCTCTGTATAGTCCTTGTCCCTCGGCATGTCGAGGGATATGCGCCCGTCTGTTCTCCTGTTGTCCTCGGGCATCGGAAGGCGGTCGCTGGCGCCGGGGGAGCGCTGTCGCGGGGTGGCAGGCGCGGATGGCTTGTTGGTGCTGAGGAGGTTCTCGAACTGAGCGCGGAGGGAAGACACTGGCTTCTGTGCTGGAGGTCAGCAACTATTTATTTCCATGAACAAGGCCATACTCACAATAGAGGAGCCATCCTGGGTCTCCTCTTGCTGATTCTCCATGATGTGTGTTTTGTCGTCAGCCGGCACCGGAAGGTATCCTATAGCTGCGCATCGACCAGTAAGGCCTTCTTCCCATTTGGCGCTTCTTGTGATGGTGGAAGGAGAGGCTGTCGCTCGTGAGCGGTCATGCAGCCAACGCTACTAGGGACACGATCCAGAAATAGTGCGAGTGGTAGTGGATACCGTGGCGGTGCGATGTGGTAGAGGCCCGAGAGTGACTGTAGGGCTCCCTAGTGGAGACGCGTATACTGTCCTGCTAAGAATGTTGGGCGACAGGGAATACCGGCGACAGCGCGGGGGTGCAAGTGTTTCAGCAGCAGTCGGAACGCAACCACTATGGCGACGGGTGTGAAGTGCTTTCCGGCCCGCTCAGGTGACCTCTCCGGTTTGCGGGCGATGTTGGTTCTCGGTGTTGGGCGCGGGCGGCTTGAAGCGGTGTTGTCGTGTCTTGCTACTGTCATTCCCCACAGCTAAGCCAGCACTGAACCCTGCACACCACCGACGGCAAGGCGATCAGGCACCGGCGAATTATAGACGAGCTTCCAAAACGCCTAACTAGCACCTGGGCAGCCTGCAGCCGTCACTTTGTACATCCCATCTTAGTCGCATAGTCACACTCTGCTGTCACCAGCCATGTGGTAAGCACGCGTTCCTTGTTGCCTCCGAGACTCCCCGCCATCACCTCCGCGGCTGGCTGATGCCCATGCAGCAAACACGTTCTCAACGCCCAAGTCGCCATCCGCTCGCCGTGCTGTATGTCGCTCGTGACTGAGATATACCCAATGAATGCTGAAAAGTGCCAGGCAAGAAATGGTTCGACTGCGCGGAATGTCACCAGGAGCAGAGCGACCACCCGCTCATGCAGACGTTTGACATGGTCTTCATATGCAAGAAGTGCAAGAAGGCCTTCCGCAAAGATGCGCGCGAATTTGAGGACGCGTGAGTTGGAAACTTGTATTCAAGGCGGCATAGGCTGATGAGGGGTAGCGACGAGTACTGCCCGCACTGTGACAACCATTTCGTTCTAGAGGCAAAGACACCCAAGGCGTCGTTGCAAGTCGAAGGCGAGGATGCACGAATCGACTCCAGGTATGTTGCCGCCTCCGAGTTCAGTGGACGGATATATCTAATCACTTTCCAGAATGCTCAAGGACGACCGTGTACGAGGCGAAGAAATGCGCACCATATTCGATGTCAAGGAAGCGCCGAACAAGCTGGGTTGAGACAAGGCGGATGACAGGATACAAGATAATATGCGTAACACAAGCTCAAGTATGCCCAGGTGTAGGGTCGAGGTACCACACCAAAGAACATCACGCGAAGAGCGGGGGGTTGGACGTGCAAAGCTGCATCATGGTGTGCTAGAATGCCATTTGTGAGCACTAGCGGTCGTGTCTGCATCATACAGGTTCATAAAGTCTATCACCAGACGCCACTGCTGTTCATGCCTTTTCGCCGTCGCTCGTCAACCATGCCTCTACGCGCCGCCAGATCCTGAGCCCTCAGCTGGGGTCTGGCGGGTTAGGATAGCAGCCTGGCCTGTACCGGGCTGCCGTCCGGGCCTCCTGTTTGCCGCCTCTTCCTGCTTCTCTGTGTTGATGTTCTCCACGTACTTCTCAATGTCCTCGACTGGCAACATTTCGATGGGCTTTCCAGGTGCCATGATAGCAATCTCAATGTTCTTTGCGCCAGTCTGCACTACCTCTAATAGTGACTTGACCGTCAGTTTGATCGTCTCCTCCCGGTCCATGCCTTCTTTGTGGTTGCGCTCGAGGAACTCGCGGACTGTCTTGCTTGATCGACCGATCGCGTTTGCTTTCCTGCGATACAATTAGCACATGAAAGTATGTTTGTCTGTACGCAACCTACCATGCTGAGTAGATACCAGAGGGCTCGGTCTGGTACAGGCGCGGGGTCTTGTCGTTGGGGTCGAAGCCGACTATCAGCGTACTGATACCGAACGGTCGGACACCACCGCTCTGAGTGTACCTCTGCTGCACACCTGCAACATACTTCGTGATGTACTCTATCGATACCGGGTCTTCGACTGTCAAACGATGTGATTGTGCCTCGAGGCGGGCCTTGTCAACAAGGATACGGGCATCGGCGTTTAGTCCAGCGAAGGCGAGGGCAACGTGGGTATCGACGAGGCAGATCTTGGAGGGTGTAATACGGGTATCTTGCAGCTTCATTGCTGATCGCTTCTCGCAGCCGAGTACTACTATGTCCGAGCCCTTAACACCAACGGCGCATGTTCCTGAGGCAAATAAGCATCTGACGTTCGCCTTCTCTTTCACAGACTACGCACCTCGCTTGACTGCCTCGAGCGCATATTCAACCTGAAAGACGTGACCGTCAGGACTGAAGACTGGCACAATTAGCTAAGCCCGCATCCTCATGTATTGGTTGTTCGTACCTGAGAGAGCTCGATCGTAGCCGGATGCCATTGTGAGAGTTTTTGTGTAACGATTTATAGGTTCTCTATTGTTTCCCTGGTATAAAGCAACGAGATATAAGAGGAAGAGGCGGGGTTACGAAGCACGATAGTCGTCAAGCTGGTCTCGGAGCTCCAGAGCTGTCCGCGTCGCTGCTCCCGCCTAAACTACGCCAAGCCAATTGGCCCGTGCTTGCCCTGTCGACTTATGTCATCATGGTAGATATTCACGAAGGCGACTTGATTATTTCCGCCGCTGTCGTAATTCTTCCACAGTCAGTTGTAATGGCATCTTCAGCGCGCTTGGTCTCGTCCTTGCGACGAACTGCCCTTTCTTCTCGCGCTGCATCGCGCTACCAGTATTTGCGACCGACAAGTCAAGTCCGATGGACGGGTAGCACGTCAGCGAGTTCGGAGCCTCACCAGCCAGATGAGCATGGCGGAGTGAAAGGCCCAACCGCATCTTCGAAATCCATCAAATTCACTTCCGAGTCGTATGTGTTGAGGTTTGGCCGTTTTTCGCATTTTGCTGATGCCAAGCAGGTACCCGCATCTCCAAAGAGACTCCAAATTTACCAAGGTCAGCGAGGAGCATGTAAAATATTTCCAGGACCTCCTAGGTTCCGATTCAGCAGTCATAGATGGTGTGACAAAGGATGCATCGGAAGATATCGAAGCCTTCAACAGTGACTGGATGCGCAAATTCCGTGGTCACACCAAAGTAGTCTTGAAGCCCAGCTCCACGGAAGAAGTCAGCAAGATCCTCAAATACTGCAATGACAACATGCTCGCTGTAGTGCCCCAGGGTGGTAACACGGGACTCGTTGGTGGTTCTGTGCCCGTGTTCGACGAGATTGTGATCAACATGCAGAGGATGAACGAAATCAGGTCCTTCGATGAAGTGTCTGGTATCCTAGTCGCTGATGCTGGTGTCATCTTAGAGAATGCCGACAACTTCCTCGCTGAGAAGAACCACATCTTCCCATTAGATCTCGGTGCCAAGGGCTCTTGCTACATTGGTGGCAACGTTGCGACAAACGCTGGCGGTCTCCGTCTCCTACGATATGGTAGCTTCCACGGAAACGTTCTAGGAATCGAAGCAGTCCTTCCCGATGGTACCATTGTAGACGATCTCTCCACACTTCGGAAGAACAACACTGGCTACGACTTGAAGCAACTGTTCATTGGTGGAGAGGGCACTATTGGTATTATCACCAAGGTCTCAATCATCTGCCCGAGAAGATCGCCTGCCGTCAACGTCGCGTACTTTGGTCTAGAAAGTTACGAGCAGGTCCAGAAAGCCTACATCGAAGCCAAGGGACATTTGTCTGAGATCCTCTCGGCCTTCGAGCTGATGGACGGTCGTACGCAAAAGCTGGTCAACAGGGTGACCGGTAAGAAGATGCCGCTGGAAGGCGAGCACCCTTTCTACTGTCTGATCGAGACCAGTGGTTCTAACGCAGACCACGATAACGAGGTAAGTTAGCTATTGCTGTACATATAGACCGGCCACTAAGATGCGTAGAAACTGCAAGCCTTCCTTGAGCACGTTATGGAGACAGAGGTCGTATCTGATGGTGTTCTCGCCCAAGACCAAACTCAAATCCAAGAGCTCTGGTCATGGCGAGAAGGCATCACCGAGTGTCTCGGTCACGATGGAGGTGTTTACAAGTACGACTTGTCAATTCCCATCGCTGAGCTCTACGATCTAGTCAACGAAACACGCGATCGCTTGACAGAGGCTGGCCTGCTTGGCAGTGACCCCTCGCATCCTGTGGTTGATGTCGTTGGATACGGTCACATGGGTGATGCGAACCTGCACCTTAACATTCCAGTCAGGAAGTTCGACAAGTCCGTAGAGAAGAAGCTGGAGCCTTTTGTGTACGAGTGGGTACAAAAGCGAAACGGTAGCATTAGCGCCGAGCACGGCTTGGGAGTAACGAAGAAGCCCTACATTGGATACAGTAAGAGTGAAACCATGATCAAGTTGATGAAGCAGATCAAGGACCTTTATGATCCTGTAAGTGACTACCTCACCTCAAACCATCCCTGCCGTACGCTGACAAGGTTAGAACGGCATCATGAACCCTTACAAATACATATAGATAGACACTGCTACACGCTCAGCAGACCATTCATATCCACGTTGTTGCCCACCTTATCACATCTTGCTCCTCCGTTTGTCCAACAGCTCAACTGCATTACCTTGATAGATCGCTTCCCTCTCTTTCTCACCGAACAGATTTTCCAAACCGTCCTTCATCCTATCCGCAAATGCCTTCACAAACTGCGTCTGGGTAAAAGGAAAATCGCTTCCATACAACAACTTCTCATGCGATATCTCAAAGCCCTCGATAAACGCCTTCAGCTGCCCTCTTCCTCCACTCTCTCCATCGAATACAAACCCCGCGAGATCAAAATAGAATTGCTCGTCAAGCTGCCTCCGCACCGTCGAAGCATTCAACACTCGTCCTCCTGGCACCACGCTCGAGAACTGGATAAACCGTGTCATGAGCGGCGGCAACCCACCTCCGGAGTGCGGAACGATGAATTTGATATTTGGGCACCGGTCCACGGTCCCCGTACTGAAGAGATTGATGACCGCCCTTGCAGTGTCGAAGAAGAATTCGAAAATAGGAACAGGGTATTGGTCGCCGAATGGTAGTGCGTCTGTAGGTTGATCTGATGATGATGATGATGATGACGACGACGTATCGTTCGTACTAGTACCGCCGTGTTTCATGCAAGGTTTGGTAGGATGAATAAACACCGTCGCGCCAATGTCATTCAGCTTATCGAACACAATATCCAACGCCTCATCGCCGATATAGTACCCATGGTAATTCGTTAGCAATCCAAATCCCTCGACGCCTTCCTCAATACATTTGTCTATCTCAGCTAAACTCGCTTCGACATTCGGTAATGGAAGTGCAGCCCAGACACCGAATCTATCGGGATGTTCTTGCTTGAGAGACGAGGCATAGGCGTTGCATTGTCGTGTTAGGTCTATGCCTAGTGTGGGGTTGCTGGATTTGATGTGTGTTCCGGGGCTGGAGATGGACAAAATGGATTTCGAGACATTGGCGGCTTTCATCATCTCTAAGTGGCGGTCTGGAGACCATTCGGGAATTGCTGGCATGCCGTCGGGATGAGTGTGACCATTTGCTGCCAGAGCGGTCCGGTAGAAGGGTGGGAGAAAGTGAGAGTGAACGTCTATTCTTTCGGGTAGTGGATGTGTCATGTTGGTTGTGGTTTGTTGTGATGAGGCTGTGATTGTATATGCTAAGAGGAAGGTCAGGTTGAGGATAGAGATGACCATGGTGGTGCTACCTCTTTGAAACGTATGTAGAGGTTATATCGAGCACCATATGCGGTGAGTCGAATTGTATCCTATTGGATCCATAGCTTTTGTCAGAAGCAAAGAGTACGATTACCACTTATGCACTGCAATGCACTGCACCTGCATCATCAAGTGATACGTTGGCAGTCGGAACCCCGCCCCGATGGCTGCCCATACAGAGCTACAGCCGCATTGATCGTCATTCATCACATTTTCTTGTGACCTAAAAATCATGGTTAAACTTCTGTCATATATGACCATATCGTACGCGGAAGATGGTTCAACAATGGTAACACTGCGGGGTCGTAGGCAGCTAATCTTCTACTACACTATCCGTCCGAATAGATGAATAATGGATCCAACGGTGCAACAGCAGCTGTCATGAGTTCTTAACACAGTACAAACCAGCTTACTTCGTAGAGTGAAATGCTTATTGTATAGTCCCGCCGACAGTTTACCTAGATGCTGAATGTGGCACGCATGCGCCGATAAAGGATAACGATCCTGACCGTCGATCCGTGCCCCACCCGCGCCTTCCAGATGAGCTGCCCTCACATTTTTGTCTTTCATCACTTGCAGCCATGACACAACGTCTTCCGCCACGCCACATTTTCCTGAACTCTCAATCGCGAGTTCATGATGGAGAAGATTACGGATAAGATCAATGCGCTGCCTGATGGCGCCAACTACTTCTCGCTGGAGTTCTTCCCGCCGAAGACGGCAATGGTGAGTTGCCCCGCTTGCACGCGACGGATATGGAAGGGACGGAGCATGGATGGGACCAGGAAGCCACAAAAGTGATGGCAGTAACTAATCGTTGCATAGGGATTTGCGAACCTCCAAACCCGATTAGAGCGCATGTCACAAGCTCTTCGTCCGCTCTTCGTCACCGTCACCTGGGGTGCCGGCGGATCAACAGCCACCAAATCGCTCGAACTCGCGGAGATATGCCAGCGCCAATTAGGCCTCACGACATGTTTACATCTTACATGCACAAACATGAACCGTCAGCTCATCGACGACGCGCTTGAACAGGCCAAGGTGTTGGGCATACGGAATATCCTGGCGCTGAGGGGTGATGCGCCACGGAGCGATGAGTATAGAGATGAAGGGACACCACCGGAGCAAGACTCGAACAAGGACTTTACGTGGGCAATTGACTTGGTCAAATATATCCGGAAAGAGTATGGAGACTACTTTTGCATTGGCGTCGCTGCGTATCCGGAGGGTCATTCGGATCAGAGCCACCCACAACATCAAGATCCGCAGTTCGATCTGCCATCCCTGATCGAGAAGACTAAGGCTGGCGCAGACTTCATTATGACCCAGCTGTTCTACGATGTCGAAGCCTATGATAAATTCGAGAAGATGTTGAGGGAGCATGAGAGCGGAGTGTTCAAGACAATACCGATTATACCAGGGTTGATGCCGATCCAATCGTACAAGATCCTGCTTCGGACAACGAAGCTATCTCATGCGAAGCTACCGTCCGATATGTTGGCGCGACTGGATGCGGTGAAGAGCGACGACGAACTGGTGAAGCAAGTGGGTGTTAAGATCATGGACGAGATGCTGGAACATATCAAGTCGCGACCGGATACATGCAGGAGAGGGTTCCACTTCTACACGTTGAACTTGGAAAAGGCAGTATCGCATATTGTGGAAGACACGCACCTCATTCCATCAACTTTGAACGACGACGACGATGACGATGAAGTTATTGTAGAGACGACGCCCGCAATCAACCTTGAGCCACCACCCAACGGCTTTGTGCCTCAAAGACGGCGATCATCAGCTGTCAACTCTGGCCCGCGAAATAGGGTGATAGTATCACATTCTTCCGCTGCTAAGTCAAGCAATCATTCGTACGAAGCCACGGATGAAGAGGCTGGTGTACCACGAGGCCCAATCAACACCCGCGCGAATACACTGGCAATTTCCGAAGGCGAGGGCTCGTTGGGTCGTGAAGCAACCTGGGACGACTTTCCTAACGGTCGCTGGGGTGATGCGCGTTCGCCCGCGTTCGGTGAAATCGACGGTTACGGTCCAACTCTGCACGTCTCAACGCCGCAAGCCCTCAAGCTATGGGGTCACCCAGTTGAGAAGGATGACGTCTCCAAGCTTTTCCGCCGCCACATCGAAGGGGACCTTGAGGCCATACCCTGGAGTGAGCAAAGTCTCTCTCCCGAAACCCTGACTATCAGCAAGCAGCTGCTTGCCCTCAATGCAAAGGGTTGGTGGACAGTTGCCTCGCAACCCGCCGTTAATGGTGTGAAATCAACAGACCCCGTCTTCGGCTGGGGTCCCAAGAATGGCTATGTCTTCCAAAAGCCATTCGTCGAGTTCTTCATCCCTGCTTCCGAATTCGCCGCTCTCAAGCCCAAGCTCGATGCCCACGAACAGGTCACCTACTTCGCTGGTAACGCCGCCGGTGAATTTGAAGCCAGCCAAGAGGATGGTGTGAACCCTGTTACTTGGGGCACATTTGCAGGCAAGGAGATTGTTACGCCTACCATCATCGAAGCCGTCAGTTTCAGGAGTTGGCTTGACGAGGCATTTAGTATCTTCAGAGAGTGGCAGAGGATTTACCCACCGAGGAGCGCGAGTAGTACACTACTTGGAGCTTTGCGACAGGACTATTGGCTTGTCAACGTCATTTGGGGTGATTTCGTTAACGGCGAGGGGTTGTGGGAGTTTTTGGAACAGTAGGTTGTGGGCATAGGAAGGCGTATGTGCAAGAGGTTGTATATGTAGATACGAAAATATTGCAAAGCTCAAGTATCCTGGGTGCCGGTTGGGAAATTGTCATGTTGATCTCCAACGGCTGGTTCACCGGTCGCTCTTGCCACTTTCTTTCTATTGGACCCAGCCTGCATTTGGAAGGACATAAGCTCAACTCCGCCAGCCTTGATCACAATAGCCTGGCCTCACCATCATTCCGCCTTCCATCGTTCAGATCCTACTGAAACAATCCACGCGGGTTAACTGCCTAGAAATTATGACCACTGCATTGCCAATTCTCGTCTGAGGTCCTTCGTCATGGACCACACCGCAAAGCAATGCACTACTTCCCCAAATACCTCAATCTACTAAGAGAGGACCTAAAGCAGAAGTCGGCATGACTTCGAACCGAGATGGAGATCCTTCCCATGCATTGGATACGAACAACGAGCTGGCGATCGCCGCCTGGAATCGTAAATTTGGTGGCCCTTCCTGGGTTGAGTTAACATTCTCTGACGAGGAGCCATTTACCAGTGTCCGAAAACTTGGAGTAGGAGGCAACAGTACTGTTCACGAAACACACGTCGATGGGATTCCGCTGGCTCTCAAGAAGATCTACACCCGTAAAAAACCTACAAAACATATCCTCCGAGAGATCGAAATTCTTGGTCGTTTATCAAAGAAGCGACACCGTCATATCGTGAGCTTGATCGGTTCATATCAACACAAGCAAAGAGTTGGTTTTGATACGGTGCTCTTGATATGGCCCGTCGCCCGTACCGATTTGGCGAAAGTGCTTGGAAACCTCAAAAGTCTCACTACACTTCTGTACGTGCACACTAAGGCTGCCGATTGCGCAAGGGAAAATAAAGAGGACCCAGAAAAATGTACGACAGGGTACCAGTCAGCGATACAGGAAGCTATGGACCCACTATCGTTTCTGGCAACTGCTAGATCTAAGCCTCTTTCTACCATTGAGGAATCAGCGTGGGAGCTGACCAACGATTGCCGGAGACGCATTCGGTGCAGCGTGGGTTGCATAGCCGAGGCAATAGCAAATTTGCATCAAAACAATATCCGACACAAAGACCTAAAGCCTTCGCAGATACTTATTTCTTCAGATGGCCTATGGCTGACTGATTTTGGGTGGCCTGCGGACATGTCTGATGTCAACAGCAGTGTTACCAGCGGTGGTGATTTTATGACCCTCAAATATCATGCACCTGAACGAGCCAACAAACGACCGTGTGGACGAGCAGAAGATATATTTGGTCTTGGCTGCATCTATCTGGAGATGAGTTATGCCATGCTACAATCACCCAAAGTCCTGTTCCATCCTTGGTCGGTTCCAGGATTTTCATTCCAGGGCGATCTCGACCAAGTAGTATTCTGGTTACTGCCTCTGATTGAACATTACAAGGAAGTAAGTTTGAGATGGATTGTTCTCCTTAGGGACTTGTTAGCACACGAACAGAAAACACGGCCTGCAGCCAACACAATCCTTAACCGAATTCGCACCATCAACCAAAACTTTCCGGGTCTTGTCGATACATGCTGTCACCAACCCCTACCGGCGGAAACGAAAAGGCCTATTGGTAGCATACTCCAAACTCATGGCCCGGAAATTGCACGGCATATCGACCAGCAGGTCGAAGAATATGTAAGCATAGCGAAAGATTATGAGCTTTCAGAATTTCGATCTACGGATTTCATCGAAGCACAATTCTTGACCCTGATGCGCAATATATACGAGATTGTTTCGAACGCACAGCATGAGCTTTGATAGAAGCTGAGTTTGGGAATCTGTGTAACTCGCGGTTTAAGGATAACGAATTTGTGTCAGGATAGTTGTTGTCCAACTTTCGTATCTTCAGGTATCTTACTTTACACAACATTCATATACATTCTCGCCCGTACGCAGAGACATCCCTGTAGGCGCAACTCCATAACGCCAGCCATGCTCTATTTTTCTGGCTTATCAGCTCTTCTCAATGAGAAAGCCAGCGCCAAAGTTCAGAGTGGTAATAGAATCAAACGCAATAAATCGATGTAGTGGCACCGATGAACTCCAAGCAACGCTCTTTGACTTACTGGACTGGCTTCTGATTTTCTCCAACATCGCCGTCTAATGACATTATGTATTTGGAGGTGCCGATATCGATACGTTCAGTGAACGATGTACGAACTGGAAGCCGTTCCATAAATGAGGAAGGACAATCTAATAGCGATGTATGTGCCTAAGCAACGTGACGGCTCACAGCATGCCGGCGGCAGCCAGATCCCGGTAAACCTTCTCCGGCATGACGTTGCCTTCGTTGTCTTCCATCTCCACCACATTCTCAGCGAGCAACTTCTGTTTTTTTTGGTCCTTCTGAATCTTTCGCCACAGCTCCTCTGCCTCCTTGATGCTAGTGATCTCCCGGAAAAGCGAGGTGTTTGTGATTCCGAGACACTTGAGACCGTGAATATGGCGGGGCTCGTTGAAATGCTTATCGAATGCGCGTCTACCCATGTAAACGAAGTTTCCGCAGATCTCGCAGGGGAATTCGACGCCGAGTCCGTGGAGCTTGTACAGCCAGAAGGGAATGGGCTTACCATCCCAGGCGAGTGGCAACTTCAGGGGGTTGTAGATCTTGTCTTCGCTGTCAGACTCGTTGTCCTCCTCTTTTCCACCATTCTCAGGTCCCTCGGCGTACAGTTGCTCCAGCTCTTGTTGTCGCTCGCGCTCAGTCATACCCTGCTTCCGCTCAACGTTGACCTTGGTATCGCCACGCTCCGTCTGCATGGCTGCAGCGAGCTTTCGTATTCTGAATTCTCGTTCGGCGACTGCACGTTCCTTGAAGCGTTGCAGGTCTGTGGAGGCGCTATTTGCCTGCTTTTCACCGTCTTGCGCACCGTTCTGGCTCTCTTGAACTGCTTTCTTGTGCTTCTTGCCTGACAGATGTGCTTCGTAGACGGTCTCCTTCGAGAACCCCTTTTTGCAAGCTGAGCACCAGATACCCTCGCCCTGTGCTTCACCGTTGGCTGGTGCAGATGCCGATGTCTTCTTTTCCCAGCCCGGAACTTGATCCTTTTCCCACAACTCCTCGAACTCCTTATCAAAGTTAGCGAAGAGCTTGTCCAAGTTCTCCAGTGGCTTTGTCCGTCGCATGAAACTCTCGAGATAGTCTTGAAGGGCTTTCAAGTAATGAAAGTAAGCCTCCGACTTCTTCTGCTCGCGCCGAATGTTGCATTGCGGAGGGGTGAAGACATCGAACAGATCGAGGTACTGCAGATAGGTCAGGCGGCGCGCGTTTTGCTGAACGGGAAGGTTCAAGTACTGCTCGTGCAGCGTAGTCAGGTCGAAAAAGCGACCAAAGCCTTCCTCGCCAGTGAACATGGAATCGATGGCTGCAATTGATTGCATATGATCTTCGGGTGACCTTTTCTTGTAGGCCTTCTCTAGGTTCTCGACGGGCTCGTTCGGGTATCGGTTATGGAAGTCTTTGATTGATGCGATTTCCTTCATGAAGGACTCCATAGGGTCTCCAAGGGTGATGCCGCGCACCTCATCCTCCTTCTTGTTGTCCTCATCTTGGTAGATCTTCAGCAAGCGGCTCGACTGGCTTTCGATTTGCTCTAGGAATCGCGCAATGTCGTGATCACGTGCGAGGCGATCGCGGATCTGACGTGAGTTTAGCATGTAGTTGGCGACAGACGCAATAGATGTGCCTACGTGTGGAGGGTCTTCTAGAAGTCGCTCGGCAGCGGCGTCCTCGAGGCGCTCCAAGTCCTCGTGAAGTTGGCGCTGGTCTTCCAAAAGCATATTTGCAGTCGCCTGTAGTAACTATGAGTCTTTTGTATAGCAGCGGTTCGGTAGTGAATGTGCAGACCTTTGCGGCGGTGACGGTGTTGAGCTGCTGGTGGAGCCTGTCGCGGCGACATAAATCGCAAAACGCGCTAGTAAACGGAGCTAGCCCGCCGAGGCTCCGGCCCTCCGCAAAGCTCAGGCGCAACTACTCCCAAACTTTCTTGCACATCGCGAACTATTGTCCAAAACCAACATACACCCGATACAACCCCCGAAATCACAGACAACATGGCGGAAGGAATCGATCGAAATGCGGACGACAAGATGGAGTTCTCCACCTCCAAGGAGGTTACCGTCGCGCCCACCTTCGAGGCAATGCACCTGAAGGAGAACTTGCTACGCGGTATCTACGCCTACGGTTACGAATCGCCTTCAGCGGTGCAGTCGCGTGCTATTGTGCAAATCTGCAAAGGTCGCGACACTATTGCGCAGGCACAGTCCGGAACCGGAAAGACTGCGACTTTCTCTATCTCTATCCTCCAGGTCATCGACACAGCTGTACGCGAGACGCAGGGTACGTCAGCCACGGTTTGATAAGAAGAACTATACTAACGAGATGTAGCGCTCGTACTGTCGCCTACTCGCGAACTTGCGACTCAAATCCAGCAGGTTATCGTAGGTCTCGGTGACTACATGAACGTACAATGCCACCCTTGCGTTGGAGGCACAAACGTCGGCGAGGACATTCGCAAGCTTGACTATGGCCAGCACGTTGTCTCTGGGACCCCAGGACGCGTTGCTGACATGATTCGCCGCCGCAATCTCCGCACGCGTAACATCAAGATGCTCGTTCTTGATGAAGCCGACGAACTCCTCAACCGAGGTTTCCGCGAACAGATCTACGACGTCTACCGCTACCTACCACCCGCGACACAAGTCGTAGTCGTTTCAGCCACCCTCCCGTACGATGTGCTCGAGATGACAACCAAATTCATGACGGACCCCGTGCGCATTCTGGTTAAGCGTGACGAGTTGACACTAGAGGGCCTCAAACAGTACTTCATCGCTATTGAGAAGGAGGAGTGGAAGTTCGACACCCTATGCGACCTCTACGACACACTCACCATTACACAAGCTGTCATTTTCTGCAACACTCGCCGCAAGGTTGACTGGCTGACCGACAAGATGCGCGAGGCCAACTTCACCGTATCCTCCATGCATGGGGAAATGCCTCAGAAGGAGCGAGACAGCATTATGGCCGATTTCCGTCAGGCCAACTCTCGCGTGCTCATCTCAACCGATGTTTGGGCGCGTGGTATTGACGTGCAACAAGTGTCGCTAGTCATCAACTACGATCTTCCCTCGAACCGTGAGAACTACATCCACAGGATCGGTCGAAGCGGGCGATTCGGACGCAAGGGTGTGGCTATCAACTTCGTCACCCAGGATGACGTCCGTATCCTCCGTGACATTGAGTGTAAGTTTCACCCAATTCTTCCTCGAATTACTTGCTAACTATCACAGTGTACTACTCTACCCAGATCGACGAGATGCCCATGAATGTTGCAGACCTGCTCTCGTAAACTTTCGAGCGAAATAAAAACGAATTGCATAAAACAAACATGAAGCATATCGGACAACTACCTTCAAGGCGATGAGGTCGCGTAGACGCTCAACCAGGGAACACTACCCGCTCCGAGCAGCGGACTGGAAGTGGAGGAAGGGGCTCTCTAGCCGAGCAGTAAGCATACCTTCATGATGAGGCTTGTCTTTTCCTGGCTAACTTTGCAACTCTGGCCAGAATAAATTGTAGCAAATACCCATAACGTACTTACAATATACGAAGTCGATGGTTGTCGACGATTCTTAGCAGTGCCCCAACCCGATAACTAGCTCTAGTTTCGATTGTCACCATCATATTATAATGACTAGAATCTACGAAACATTCATGACAAGACAATCTTGATCTCAACCACGAATCTTTGAAGTCCGGAATCTGGTCTTACATCATGTTATGCGGCACCGCCAGTGTCAGAACAACGAGGCATGGCGAATATATCACGCTTCTTGCTTGTGAGATGATGATCACAACGCAATCTCTTGCGGTCACGCCTCAGTTCCGTCGCAAATCACTGTCGCAAACGTCCATTTGTACGCTTGCCCACCAAGCTTTCGTGCCTTCTCTGTGGTGGCAAATTTAGTTGCTTGGCCGAGTCGACAACGCGACCTCCTCAGATGGCAATGATGTTCCTACAGGGTGGTACTCTGTCTCTCAATACCATGGTCCTCTTATCGAGTGATGTTGTAATGTCTCCTGTCCCCATTCTTTCGAGCCGCAGCAGGGCATTGCTTCTGTACCATGCATCATCATGGGAGAGCAATGTTGGTACCGGTACCAGATGCTACAAATGTCTGCTTATGATGCAAGCGAGTGGCTGTACTGGTGAACGACATAGGAGAAGACATTCACGCTATGGATATATCTGGACCATATTCGTGAAGTGAGTGTAATATAGGGTTCGATGGTGCGAGAGAGTGTCTAAGGATACTTCGCGATCATATATACCTGCCATTTCTCTCATTCGAGGGAATCTCTTCGTTCGGGTCGCTGAGAATTGTGGAGGTCGTAAGTGGCTCAGCTACTCTGCATCATCGTAGTACCATGGGATGAGGTTACTTCACTGCAGACGTGTTCGGAAAACCACATCGTGAAGGGACCGGAGATTGAGAGTGGCCTGCAAACAATGAACGCGCTCTGGTTTCCTTTCATGTTCGGGCTCCCCTCAATCGCCTTGTAGCACCATGGAATCCAGCTGTAGGGCCTATCATGATGTATGGACCCTGCCTCAACATTTTCGTTCACCCTACCATGCAACCCTAGGCTCGTCGCCCTTCCAATACCGCATCTAAGCACTGTAATACCATGATCAGATACGTGTCCAACTGGATAACGGGAAAAGCAGACCGAGGGTATAAATAAGTTTCTATAGCCACTTTCAAAGTTCTCATCACCAAGCACTCCAGTTACAATATATCTACCAATCTCGAATTCAATCAGCCAAACTTCAAGTAAGCACTCCTTTCAAAATCATCTTGTTCATCACATCTCTATATCTCCAACCTTCTCCAGCATATCTACAAATTGTAGCTAACACTATCCCAGACTCCACCAGCAAACGTACCATCCCACATTCCAGTTAACCCTCATCTTAACTAACCCCGTCTCCAGCACCAGATCCGCAATCGAAATGCAGTTCAGCACCGTTATCACCTTTACTCTCGCCCTTTTCGCCGGCGCCGCCTTCGCTAATGAAGGGAAGAACTTTACCATCATCGGCCCGCCCGGCACCGTTCCCAACGCAATCTCCAAGACCACATCCAGGACCGTACCCGCCTCCACCGCAGGCTCTGACTCCGACTCCGACTAGGCATGTCATTCTGTGCCTACTCACCGCATTCAGGATGCTTTGAGACTATCTGGTGTACGATTTGGAAAGTAGCCTCCCCTACTATCGAGATGAATGGAAAAATGGCTAGTCAGATGCTTACTACGGGCTCGCTTGTTTCTAGATGTGTCTAGCTAGCTGGGTGGAAATGGATAGGGCTCCTCATGGAAACGGAAGATGATCCTATCCATGGGCCTCTTTGTAGAATCCATTGACATTATTCATCGTCGAACCTTTCTCGTTTGCTTGATTCATGATATATGATATTCGACATATTAATATGCTCTTTCGTCTTGCCCTCAGTAGTGTGTTACAGAATATGCGATGGGCATCAGAAGAGAAGACCCGCAAAGAAGCTTTTTCTCCAATGCTTGGCGTACGTGTGAGAAATAGTGCACCATCATTACGAATTCAAGTATAACTACTTCAGTTCCAAAAAAAACGCACCTAAGCCGCCGGTCCATCACCAAACGCGAGCTGCATCCTTCGTGCGTGCGCAGCTCGTCGCCTATCTTGTGCTGACACTGGCTTCTTCTCTCCGTCCCCATTCTGACTTGCATTGGACGGCACTGGAGAAGCTTCTACCTGCGTCGAAACAGAGGGAGTACTAGGCGCGACCTTCACCTGCAATTCTGGCCGAGAAATCGAACTCAACTGTTCCTGCGATATGGATGGTGAAAGTATTGGCTGTTCTGTATTGGCCGTTTGGTACGGCGCTTCAGCAGCTGAGGCTTGTCGCAACAAGTCTTCCGCCATCGTTTTGACGGGTTTGTGGCTTATCAATCTCTGCTGAAGGACGGAGAGCACAATATCGTCGTCATCTAGCTGTTCCGGTGTTTCGGTTGGATTGGCAAGTATAGGTTGAGAAGCCTCTTCGGTGATAATTCGAGGCGAGGGCAGAGGCTCAACAGTAGATGATAGAACATTTTGATGGTTCAATCCTTCCGATTTGGCAGATGTGGTCGAGGTTTTCGCAACGGTGGCAATGGTGGGCGATGGTGCTGCGTTGTATGATCTGTTACTTGATGTTTGCGACATCCTCTTTGACATGCGCTGCGACGGTCGCTGACTACTCGGTCGACGGATTGGCTCGTCGTCGGTAAATACTGTAACATTAACGAGAGAGCTGGGTGAATGCAGCGTGAGTATTGATGTTGCGTAATAAGACAAAGGTGACGTCGTACGCTCGGCAGAATCTGAGCTGGTTCCTCGCGAATTAGGAACGTCCATATACGCCGAAGGCGCGTTTATGTCTCTGTCATCATGCTGAGGAGGCCGTACAGGTCTTGCGTTGCTTGGAATCAGCTGCCCTAATAGGAGCTGAGCCCCAGCAACCTCGGTCGCTAGGGTTGCCAGACTGTTTGTTACTGCATCCGCTACCGGTGTCGTTTCGGGAACTATAGGTAATGCGTGACCGGTTGTCGGGCTTGAAGTCAATGAAATCGATGGCACCGACAGTGTAGGCGAAGTCGCCCATTCTCTACTCGGCAGTCTCTCGCTTGCTGCGCTGGGTAGCACATAACCCGCCAGATCATCAATGAGTGACGGTTGGCTCTTTAGATGCGGAAGCTCTGACGGCAAAGAGCTGTGCTTCTCGGTGTGTCTTTGGATATCGATCGATGTTGCTCGGTATCGCCTTGCTACCATGGGCACGCTAACCGTAGCTTGTGTAGATAGAGTAGAATCGTTGCGCTCAATTGTTGTATCCGCAACTTTCGCAGAAGTGGTAGCAACATCGACGGAGGTACGAGATCTTAACTCTCGAGGTGTAGACGGCCGGGAGTAATCTGTACGTGCTCGCGGCCGTCTGTGTAAAGCTGGGCTTTCGGCATGGAGCTCGCGGGATACTTGGGGACTTAGGAAGATCTGCGAGTTCTGACTCTCCACCAAGTCTAAGTCAGCCGGCATGCTACCCGCCAACTCCACTGGTACCGAGTTGACACTACTGGCTGTAGATAGTTAGTCGAGAGCTACTTTCATGTAACACGCTTGGTGCTTACTCTCAATGTCGTGTTTCTCAACTTCAGATGCTAGGTTGACGTTTGATGCAGACAGGTTCGTGTGACTCGTCCGGTACTTTTGCCTTGAATAGGGTCCACGTAGCGCATCTTTCTCGTCGTGAGGCACCCATGGTCGCACGGGAGCCTCGAAGATGGGTTCTTCCGCGATAGCTCCAGGTTTACCGCACAGCTCCGCCGTCTGCATAACATATATAGCGCCTGTCAACTGGGTATGACATTGATCTAGTTGTTGCTTCTTTTTCAGAAGCCTCTTCTGGTTCTTCAGACCCCACTCAAGCTTGCGCTTCGATGCAACTGTGCCGCCGTCTCCATCATGGCCCCATGCTGTATTCATGTCCATGCCGATATCATTGAGAGCACGCCGCACTTCGAGCAAAGAACCCTCGATCCATCTTCGTTTGCTCGGGTAGGCATCCAGGAAGTTTGAAACCGCAGATGAGAGATAAAGGCGCGTTGCCTCGTCGATGTCTTGCCGTACTTGTTGGATGATACTCACGAAGGCAACAGTGTCTGATGAAGCTTTCTCGGAAGAAAGAACATAGTCGGCGAAGTAGTAAGTAGTCGGGATTGCTGGAAAGTCGTTCGAAAGATCATCTGGCGTTTCTCTAGGAATGGCACTTGATGGTCGGCGCTCTTCAGAGCTACTGGGCTCTAGCTTCGGCCGCCCGATTTTGCGTTGGAAGTACTTCAGCCTTGTCCCCTCGGTTTCTGTAGGCGGTGGAGTGGGGAGATCAGCCCGGTGTAGTGTTTCCGGAAGGAACAAGCCGGCCGTAGGCAACATCGAAGTCTATGTTGGGATGAGTCTTATTCGTATCACTTTGAGCTGAGCGCACTATCGCTGTAAAAAATTTGAGAGTAGCTGGAAGCGCGCATAGTCTAAGCAATGGTAGTAGAGCCGTGCGCCAGGTACTGAAGCACGAACCCCGCAGACAGTGACGCAGTCGTTGGTGTTTCGGAGCTCGAAATAGGCACAATTGGTGCGTGCCAGGCACTGTTGGTCCAGCTTCGTGCGTCGGCCTGTCTGATGAAAGTACTTGCTCAAACATGGGATAACTATCAGTCGATCAAGGCTCGGACTTAGCGGTAAAGTGGTGGTTGGGGGCGGAGATCAACAACTCAGGCGCGAGTGTTGGTATCGCAGAGTCATGCAGTGTTGTTGTCTTACGCCGCACTGCATTATGCGTGGAGCGCGTCGCCGGAGTTGGTGTAAATTATTCCTAGGTTATTGATTTTCGGCCCAAACCTCGCTATTTGGCTGCGCTGCAAGGGTGTTTATTGCTTATTTCGAATGTCTGGACTACGCCTCAATGGGGGCCAAAACACAATGGAAAACGGCCCCCATGCGCAAAACGCGTGTTGAGACTTGAGAAGCGCAATTGCGGGAATAAATTATAAGGCAACCCACTCGATTGGCTATTGCGCAGAAGTCTTTGATCCTCGGCCATAGCGAACTAGACTTTAAAGCGCAGGCAAGAAGTCATGGTGCAGCGACTTTTATGGTCTGGCAAGCGAGGTGAAGATGTAAGTACAACCCATGAGCTTTGATTCACTAAACAAAGATGGCGGTCAATATCGTTGAGATTTCAACAGATCCCAAAGTGATGAGAAGATGGAACCTCGCATCGCTGGGAGGCTGGGATGGGTTCTACCTGTGGAACATATCGTCTATGAGGGGCTCCTTGCGTGAGCCGACGTTTCAGGCATCCAACCGTCTGACTACAGCCTCGCTGAACGGTCGCGGCGGACTGACTGGCTGGCCGGCCTCGTCTACCACTTGCACAAGAGCGGGAAAAATGCACAACTCCCCTGACGTGACACCGTGTTCCTCCTGCCACTCAAATTTCCATGCGCTGGGCTGAGAGAACAACGTGAAAGCAAACAGCGCCACCCGCTTCAGCAGTTCCTCAAGGTTTCGCTTGCGCTCTCCGTTGTTCATGCGAGTGTCTGCATACGGCTGTAGTACGTTGTCTAGTGTCGCAAGAGTTGCTTGTATACTTGCATGTCGACTGTCAGAAGGACTGAAAGGGTTGCGAACGTAGCTAGACTGCATCAACTCGGCAGTCATGACCCGCCAATGTGCCATCAATGAAGCTTGAGCTAAAAGACAGTTAGTGGCTGCAGGAGAAGGGGACTCTACCACATACCTTGATAGCCGCGGTCTCCGGTTGTAATTGCTTGGTAGCATTGTGCAACTTCAGACGGCAGAAGGCTCTTTGAGGGATCCTTGGAAGGTTGAATTTTCGAGACGACAACCCAAGCGATGATGAACCTCAGAGCAATCTCTCTAGTCGCAGCGTTTCCCATCAATGTAGTGAGCGTTCCGACCGATATTGGTAGACTTGATCCTAGTGCTTGAAGATCGTCGCAATCGATCAAGCCAGGGCTAACATGGCTGGTGTGATAATAACTTTGGACGTGATTCTTGATAGCGTTGCTTATTTTCGAGACATCGCCAGAGATGGCCTTATCTTCTAATGGCTGGGGAAGTCCACCTCCAGAGGTATACGCTGATGATGGTTCCCCGGTCAATGGTATGGCATTCGCAGAGAACCCTTTCTCATTCGAAGCCAACGCATATGTATTCGTGTCAGAGTACTGCGTTTTTGACCCTCTTCTACGCCAACAGAACCACAGAATGAGCCCAGCAAGCAAGGCCCCTGCAGCAAGGCATCCAATCGCAATACCGGCGGTCGCGCCTGTCGAGAGTCCCCCGTTGGTTGTCTTGGGTTGAGAACCCGACGTGACAGCTGAGGTCGATGCAGCTGTTTCTGATGTCGGAACAGAAGCGGATGGTTGTGAGGGAGTCGATGTAATCGATGCGCCGGGAGTAGCACTAGATGATGGCGCGATACCCGTAGATGGGGTAACCCCAGCTACAACAGACTGAAACAAGATCTGAAGGTTGGGTTCCTGAGCTACTGACAAGGCGACAGTACCCATCGTTGTTGCAGGGTCGCCAGGTTTGAGCGTTAAGTCTTTGCCATATTTGATGCCCAGTGTAAGAGGTACCAGCACATCAAAATTCGTTAAGGGTGTATCACTCCAAGAGAGTTGAGTTTGGAAACTTCCTGTAGTAGCTGTGTATACATAAGCTGGTGGTAAAGCAAGAGTGGCAGTCTCCCATAACATGGGGTCTACACTGGGCGTGTCTCGAATCTTCAGGTCTGGCTGGTTGGAACCTGCCATCGTTGGAAGAGGGGTTTTTTTTCGAGCGCTGCAAGTTGGTTCGTGGTCCCAAAAAGAAAGACAATAATACAACGCGCAATCATGAGCGAGAGATGCGCATAAGTGTAGCCAGAAGCCAGCCCGAGGCTCAGTCTGTAGACAGTTTTAGAATTTTGGCTACGCTCCCGGTAGAACACATAACCAGCACAATCTCACATTCTACTCGCGTCAATCCTAGTAGAACCCGTGCCCTCTGTCCGCTAGTCCCCACATATCAGAGGCTGTGAAAGACCGAGCACAGCGAACGGAGGTCTTAATCCCGGCCAGTCGTTCGTTAATACGGAATGTGCTTAGTTGCGGCCCCCAAGGCGCACTCATCATGCATAAAGCGCGTATTCCGAAGATAGAGGTACGTGGGGGCTAAAATGGCGCCCAGTTGTGATCGGTCAAAAGACGTTGTGCCGCAAGGCTGAGACAGGGGGTCACCCGGAGGCACCTGCATCGCTCCCGCATCTTATAGATACATGATCAGGCAGGGAGGCAACAACGGAGACAGTGTCACCGACAACAGGACAAGATGGAGCGAAATGAACGACCGCACATGATTGTGGGTATAGATTTGGGGATGACATGTAAGTTCTGGCGAGGCTGGGTTCAGCTGAAGCGAAGGGCGGATATGGGACCAAAGCTCGGTTCGGCTAAGCACATATTGATCGATCACGTGGCGCATCCTACACAGGTTGGAAGCTGACGCGAACATCTTTTCAGGTACCGGCGTGGCATATGTGAATCTTTCCATCGGCAGCGAGACTGTTCGTTGGGTGCAGAAGTGGCCTGGTCGATTCCAGGCAAATGAGAACAAAGTTCCGACAGTAGTGGTCTACCCAACTGGCTTCAAAGATCCTTCATCATGGGGCTTCCTTTCCGAGACCGCCGCGGAGACCGCTGCAGACGACAAGGAATACAAGGAGTGGTTCAAAACCTGCCTCGATCCGGAGAAGCTGCGACGCAAGCAATTGGAAGATCCAGAAGGCGCGCCTGAAAGCTTGCAGGAGGTCGAGAAATGGTACAGCGACTACTTGCGGAAGATGTACGAGTATCTGTCGTTCAAACTAGGTGGAGAGCTTTCTGGGATTGGCTGGGAAGAGGCCAGAATCGAGTTTATCTTCAGCGTGCCCACCACCTGGACTCCAGTGCCGACTGTCGAGAATTTCAAACGGCTTGTGAAAGAGGCGGGCTATGGTACACATCCAAACCATGAGATGACCATAGGCTTGACGGAAGCTGAGGCTGCCGCTGTACATGTTTCTACTGAAGCACCAGGCATCTTTCGCGAGAATGACGTCCTACTGGTTTGTGACGCTGGTGGTGGGACCACAGATCTCAGCGTACTGAAGGTCACTGGCACAGTCAACCAGACTATTGATCTCCAGCAGATGGACGTAGTCTTCGGAGAGACCATCGGCTCTGCTGCTATCGATTACGAGTTCGAGAGACTGGTGATGCATCGCTTGACACTCGCACACAGTACCAATCCTCTGCCTGTGGACCCTGCAGATGCTGGATGGGAGATGATGAAGAGTCGAGACTTCCAAGCCGTCAAGTGTGAGTACGGCGCGCCGGACGATACGCCACTGTTTAGCATAGGTATCCCGCGCGTCCCTCACACGTACAACAACTCTGATCCGGAAGTGCGTATCCGCAACGGTGAAATGACCTTCGAACGACGAGATCTCCAGCGATTGTTTGATAAGCAGATCGCGAAGTTGTTCAAGCTGATCGACACACAGCTACAATCGTTGTTTCAGAAGTTCCCAAGAGAGCATGTATCGCATCTTGTTCTCAGTGGTGGGCTGGGCAATAGTGCATATGTGCAGTCGCAGCTCCGAAAGTACTATGCGCGCACCTCTTTCCCGAACGCCGAATCAATTTCCGTAAGCATAGCACCCGATCCTCAACTTGCTGTGTGTAAAGGTCTCGTCAGCGATCGTGTGCGAAAGATCCTGACATCGCGATCGGTCCTGGGATGGCGTTGCTGTCGCGCATCGTACGGCACCGTATGCAAGATCGCGTACGACAAGAAGAATCCTGAGCATCAGGGAAAAGCACTCGTTCGGGATCCATTGAACAATAAGTTGTACATCACGCAGTCGATAGCGTGGTTCATCAAGAAAGGCGCGCCGGTAAGCGTGGACAAACCGATCGAACACAATTTCATCAAGAAAATCGACCCAGGCGACCCAAGAAGAGCGTTTCCAACAACTGTCATTGAGAGTGATCTGGAAGCGGCAATGTTACCAGATCAAATGAACCAATGTATGCATGCAGAGGCGTACCCACTCCTTTCGTTAAGGTTGCTAACAGCTCTTGTAGACACGCGCATTCTTTGTGAGATCAATTCAGACCTCTCTGCTGCAGACGAGAGGAAGTTTCAAGAAAGAAACAAGCACTTCTGGTCGTTACAGAAGCATTACTTGCGCATCGAGTATTCGGTGCGCGTCTTGATCGGACCCGCAGACATCCGTTTTGAGCTGTGGTTCGACGACCAGAAGCTTAGTCGCGATGAGTCGATCAGAGTGGAATGGATGCCTGCGCAAATTCCACAGACGCCTCAAATAGCCGAGATGTCCGGGGCAGAAAGAGAGGCTGTTGAAATGCCCATTCTGCCACCAACGCCAATAGGCGCTGCGCCCCCAAGTGGCACATTCATTACCGATCCGAACGCGAAGGTTATGAGGACAAGTAGTTTCGCAGTAGTAAACAAGAGGACTACTGTAGACATGGGCAGGAAGCCACGAGGGATGGGTGGGCTGTTCGGGAAGAGTTCTTTCTTTGGGCGCGCTGCGTAGAATGAGGTTCCGATCGCGATGACGCATCGGCTCGGAAAGCGGCTTCCGATCACTTCGTAGCTGAGACACTAATTGACAACTACAACCTGCGTCCCCAAGTCCACGATGCTAGAATCTTATCATTTGATTGGTACTTGTATCGCAAGTAGGCAGGCAACCGTTCAGCCCCAAGCCGGCCACCGCCCCTGATCACTTGCCTGTCTTGTGCTAACGTTGCACTGAACGGGCTTTCAGCGCGTCAGCCTCGTCAGCCTCGGTTGCAGGCAACGAGATGGCCCATCTACTTATAGGATTGAAGCGCAAAAGAACTGATCTTCTAAACAATCTCCGTCTCTCTATGTGTCTTCCCTCTTGAACAGACACCATGCGTCACCTTTCGAATGCCGGTAAGAGCGGCTTGCAGTTCCATTTTCGATCTTGACTAACATATTTAAAGTCACATTATGCGGTCTTATCGCATCCAGCACATCGTTCGATCTATCACCACAAGAAGTGCTCGATTCGAATACGCCTAATCTTTTGCCCGAAACAACCATAGATCCTTGCTCTTTAGTCGATTCGCCTTTGGCGAATGCAAGCGTTCAGCTCAGCAGTTGGTTAGAATGCGCTGTCAACGGTACATAAAAACAGTAACAGATCGTAGCTTCAACCATGCTGACTCAAATAACAGGTTTCTACCCATATCCTGCGAACACAGACTGGCCCAAAGGCCATGCAACATCGTTTTCGAAAGACATTATGTTCACCTTCAACGACACGCATTACGACTTCGATGGTTCCCTGCATCTCTACACGATCTTCAATGCGACCCTCGGCGTAGCTTTCGCACCATTCAAGCATGGTTTCATCAATACCCTTGGCATACCTAATATGAATGGCGACAAGGGTGGCTTTGTCTATATGATTGGGTGGGCTGGAGGTTTCCAGACTCGTGCCAAGCGCGATCTGTACTTCACCAATGCAGCATTCGCTGTAGTCAAGGAAGAGGATGGGGAGAGAAAGATTGTTGAATTCCGAGAGAGCGGCAACATTCCGAACACAGCGCATTTGCCAGAGCCTGTCGAGTGGGCTTGCTCTTTCGAGTAGCGTGTGCTACAACATGCGGTAGATTTTGACTGCAAAGACCTAAACCCAACTGAGATTGAACGTAGCATATGGAAGGGACAACACTTTTCCTTTCGGCGCATACAACAGCATAACTCGCGCTTCCTGCACTGTGCTCCCTAGCCAAGATAAACTCTCATCGCCTCCGCCATCTGTTTCTGCAACCCTTCCATCTTCTTCGTCAGTCTCATTATATCTCCTTGTCTTTTCGCTTTTTCCGTCTCATCAGTACCATTATCGATCCAGTCAGATAACCGGTCACCGTTGAGCAACTCGTTCTTCCGCCGTATGACTTCAAGGTTTGCCTCCATCTTCTCGGTATTGGCACGAATGAGATCGATATAATCTTGCTGCTCTAGACCTTTCTGGATTTCTGCAAACTCTTCGTCTAGCTGCCAGAGCAGGTACAGGCTGGTCAATATGCGGTCGGCGCGATCCTCAAGGTCCGTGAAGAGGGGGGTAAGATTCTTGTTTTGGTGATACTGATGGGTTTGAGTAGTGCTCATTATGCAAATTTATATATTTACAAAGGTAGAGCGCAGATCTGTTCTTGCCAGAATGCTTTCTATGTATCAAAACTTGAAGGGAGAGCATGCGCTCAATGTTTCTAGTAGATGATCACCTACGTGGCTGTACAATGTAAGATTGTCATAATAAGCCATGGCGATCAACGTGAGTCACAATGTTCATATTCATCGCCGAGTGGACAATCTAACTCACGTCACGTACTGTCGGCTTCACATTGCCTTGGAGAATTCGAGACTGCTGATACGAAGTTTAGCTTCCGAGATTATCTCAACCATACAAAAGCAACGTACAATTCGCTGGAAACGTCCTAGTTGGTGTATACATCAAGGCTGCTGCACCTCTTCGAACCCGTACCTTACGTCAGCCCTGATCTCCTTCACCTGCTCTTCGACCAAGTTCAAGCTTTCTGCCAAATCCTTCTTGTCCTTCCTTGCAATCTCTAAAGCGTGATGCGGCGACTTCCCGCCTACAATGTATACGCCTGCGATATCGGTTATATCGACCCCGTTCACCAGCTTTCGGTACCCCTCCACGTCTTGATCTAGCATCTCTAGCTCTGCTTTGATGGATGCCACGGCATTGGCGCGGTCGGTGGCTAGTATGTCGGACTTTGCTTCGTGATACAAATGTGCGATTCTGGACCAACGTGTTACCATCTGGTCGTAGTGTGAGGGAAGAATTTCCCAAAAGGTGGTTGAGAAGAGTGTTACTCGAGGGGCTCGATATGAAGTTGACATGACAGCAAAAATTACAGTGACTTCTTGCTTCGGGTAGGCGCACGCGTAGTAGCTTTGTATGGGGGTTGCATCGTTTTAGGAAGGTGTGGTTCGGTGGTAAAAGAAGAAACTTCACACCGCAACCGTGCTCGATAAGGGTTGAGAAGCTACTGCATCGGAGAAGAGGGGAAGCCTTTGCTCCTGTCATGTGCGCAGCATATTTACCAACATTGTCACGCGGTCTGACTCAAGGCCAGGCTTGTCGCTCCTGTAGGTCACAGCTCTTGTGAGACTGTTCGCGCCTTGGACAGCATGGCACAATCATATCCACTACGAGATTGAGGTGGCAAGCCTGTAACTACTTCACTGTCTACCGAATTCCTGCGTCCTTAAACGTTCCTTCATAACCAGGCTGTGCGCTTGATGTCCGCCAGCCTACTACATGAGAGCTCATGCGCATCAACAGCCACATGCAATCATGGAGCATAAGTATCAAACTTTTGAACCACACAGAGAGTCATCCTCGGAATTCGAAGGCCTTGTAAAAGCCATCAGCGAGCTAAAAAAAAAATAGGATTGTTAGCTACCTGGAGGAGCTCAACTCATTTTATGCTCGCTTCACCCAAACCAATCCGGGTACAACAGAAGAATGAGATACGGAAGCACAGATGTCGAAGATGGCTGCAGACATGGAAAAGCAGTATCAGCAGATTGACAGGCATTATGGTTGGGTGCTGGCAATAGACCATGCACTTGTCAACGAAGTGCTTCGCTCACGCTTCGAGAGGAAGTTCGATGGCGAGACATGGTTAAATATCACTATTGAGGAGCTTAAAGCCACACGTCGTCTAGTGGTAGAGAGCGCGCACCGAGCTTTCCAACAGAATACCAAGGTGCTTCTCAGTCATGTTTCGCGTAACTCCGAATGCTTCTAATGCGCGACTGAATATAACTCTCCGAAGTCCCATTCTACAAACCCCAAAGCGCAACTACACTCTGATATGTCGCAAGTGTGCAAGCAGACCCTGGAGATCCATTCTTTGCACATACCACACCGCCAATGATTGCCATCTACACAATACAAGCAAGTAAGCTTCCAAATGACCTCCAAGATAGATTCCTCAAACCGGTAGGCCGACGGTGGTGATGCGCGAACCCTGAATGTTGATGAAAGACCAGGCAGCCTTTAAGATGCAATGTGCGTAATAAGACAATCATGAGCTGGTCGAAGCAATGGCGTGTGGGTGTATAGCGCTGCAACGGTACTAGTCTTTTGCTCGAAAGCCATTCGCATATGTGCGCTGACACATTGGGGATGCTCAGTGACATACATCTGAGTCAATTCTCGAGGCAGAGGTACTGTAGCGATGAGCGAATAAGCTGCTCATCATGCTGCAACGATTCTGCCGCGATCACGATAGCCATTGTCTCATGTTCAGGTACGAATAGCAATGTTCGCAATACTTATTACAGGGAGAACTCAGTATTATAGCCAAACTTACGCTGATCTACGCACCAAACCTAGCCAAATCAGCAACCTAACATTGTTAGATGGGAATGACATGATTGCGCAATTCACAAACCTCCCCACGATACGTCTCTGGGTGAACGCAGCCAAACCATTAATGACCTCATTCCACTGATGACATAATGATATATTCGCGAAAGTGCTATTTCCGTGCATAACAGGGACAAAGTGAATATTCCTTTGTAGACTCATGTCCGAGGTAGCACAGGGAAGATAAAATTCTCAATCCTCTTGTTATCAGGTGGGAGGGTATCGATAGCAGCCAATCAAAATCGACGTGTCGTATTCGCACACCTGTGGGAAAGCTCGATGAGAAGTGGCCGAAGGTTATTCACAAGGCTGCTGGGTCAAGAAGCTGGGTTTGGAGAGATGAGATGAACTGCTCGTCACCGCGTCAAGATGGCGTACTACCATATGATGATGCGGATAACAGATACTAAGATTATCCGAAATGTTCCTTGGATAATTCCATTCCTCTCTCAGCCCACCAAGTGCATCCGAGTGTATGGTTGCAGCTTTAGTAGGGTCTTAGCAGACCCCAGCCATTCTCCTACCCCAGCTACTCACCCGTCCTGTTCGTTGAGAGCATTGATAACTTCTTCAGCCGCGCGCTGCCCCGAAGTTATAGCACCCTCAAGATATCCCTTCCACTCATACGCTAACTCAGTGCCAGCGAAATGCAAATTGCCAACCGGTTCCCTCATCGATTTGCCAAATTTTCGTAACATTCCTGGGCCTAACGTGGTTGTCGGCGCTCCGCGGATATAATCCTCCTTGGTCCACTCAACATAGTTGTACTCGAGAACATCGCGGGCCCTGTTCGCAAGTTCCGCACCGACAAGCTCAGCCAGATGCTCAATGATGGCGCTGCGTTGATTCTCTTCAGGAAGTGCCTCCCAGCATATCGCAGTATCACCAGACACAAATAGAGCCAAGCTATACTGAGAAAGTGCGGGGTTGGAGATCTCCCAGCTATACCTGATTGGGCCAATAAAGGACGTGAACTTGCCGACTAGACCAGCGTGCCGCCACCACGGTTCGGTGTAAGTAAGGATAACTTTAGCGTAGTTTCCAGGCCGGCTCCGAGCGACGACTAAGTTCTTTTCGCATGGTAGTGGCGGTGAGAACTCAATATCGGCATAGAGGTGCTGTGTGATGGCCAACACAACCCTCTTCGCTTTGAATGTGTGGTTTGTCGCTGTTGTTACGATAGAAATGCCATCCTGCTCCTCGATCTTGGTCACAGGAGTGTCTGTATAGACACTATTGGGTTCTAGGGCATTGGCGAGACTTGTGGCGATTGCGGTAGTGCCTGTTAAAAGTATTGTCAATCGATGGCCGATCTTCATGGCGTAGGCGGATACTAACCCTCTTCTATCAAAAGCGACTGAGCTCCTTCTCTGCCTTCAGTGAGAAGACTCACGAGGCCATTACCGGATTTGACGTAATCAAAGAAGTAATGTGTTCCGATCTCATCTGGCTCTCGACCAACGATAGTTGTCAAGGTGCTGGCAAGCCCTTGTATGTGCTTATCCTCCCAGAGGCCCAATTGAGCAATCCATTCGGCAAAAGATACATCCTTCTTCTCTGGAAATTTGTCGAAACTTCGAATGTCTGTTTCTTCTATGGTCTTGTTGAGAAGAGCTAGGAAGATTGTCTCGGCGATCGGTGTCGAATCGTCAACCTGCAGGAAATCTAAGCTGCTTATCTTTGTAGTAGTCAATCTACTCACATCAGTGTCTCCTTCTTGAGGTATTCTTTGCACACTGCCGTCGGCACCTTGTACGACCGAGTCTCCATCGGTGTATTGCTCGAGAGTAACCAGACCAAACTGTTGCGTGAGCTTGAAGACCTCAGGCTGGGTTTTGTTGTTGATCCAGGTTGCGCCCAGCTCAACGATGCCAGGTCCACTCTGAAGCTTGAATGATCTGGATTTGCCACCGATCTTGCTCTTCGCTTCCAACACTACTGTTTTCAAACCTGTCTGGTGAAGATCATAGGCGGACATCAAACCAGAATATCCCCCGCCAACAACAACTACGTCAACCTCAGTTGCTCCATCGCTACGGTCTCTCAATGCGGCTCCATCGATACACCGTAAACTGAAAGAAAGAAAGAGGACTCGTAACGGAAAGCCAAATGCAATTTTCATTGTCAAAGAGTGGGAAACAGAAAGTGTTTGATAGCAAGTCAAGATAGAGGTACGAAGTTAAAGATATTGGTATCGAGTTGATTGCCCACATTTCGCAGCTCCGTAGGTGTCTTTTATATAAAGACATGGTATTGTCTTGAGATACTTCAGGCCACCTCCCAAGGCATAGCTCAATGATGGCCAAGTCGTGGCAAGGCTCTCGCGGAACGCGTAAATGCAATCATAGAAGTCGTTGCTCGAAGTATCTGCTCAGGACCCAAAAGATTACATCATTCCAAGCCCATGATCGTTACACTGTTCGGACTCGTACGGATTCTTCTAGCCGCGGTTTGCATAAGCGTAGCCGCGTAGTGCAGCACTAGCGCAGGATTCTATAAGCCCAAATCCAGACTAGGTCCCTACACAACATCTGGGTAGTTCGAAACTTACAATGTCCACTTTCACTTGGCGATCTTGGTTCTGCAGTCAGCACCCTCTTACACTTAGCGCTCCCACAACGTCTCCAGAATAGATCTGCCACGTACAGACACCCCAAGGCTGACGCCAAGTTTTTCAATGAAAACTCTCTAGCCGCGCTCTTACCCGTGAACGTAACATCCCTTCACGCTCACCACTTTTAATGTTGCAAGAAGTTCCCTGGCATACGTTGTCATGCCAGACAAACCGCGCCACCGCCACAGTCGAACAAAGCTCGGTTGTTTCGCATGTCGTGCCCGAAAGAAGAAATGTGACGAAGTACAGCCACGTTGTGCAGGCTGTCGACGGAACATGTTAATTTGTGAGTGGCCTTCTGCAGCTCATGGCGGACGCGAATCAGGTCGCATCTCTGCGGAGCTAGTGTCTACTAGCATGGGCTTGTATGCAGAGAGGCAATCGTCGCTCATCAACCCCACTGCGTTACCTACTATCCAAGCCGGATCAGAGCGCGCATGCGCGTTGACCATACAGTCTGTCAATCTACTTCAACACTACCTTTCAGAAACTATCGCATTGTTTTCCATGTCACCACTGACAAGCAATCCTTTTGCTACGATACTATTACCGCTGGCTTATCTAGACGACTTGCTCATGCACGGTCTCCTAGCCTTTAGTGGAGCTCATCTATCGTTCAAAGAGCCGAATAACATCGAAATTGCTCGTGCTACAACTATGCATTATGGAAGGCTTCTCAAGGGTCTGCGTCTGGAGATTGCTGCCCTCGAAGAAGATGATCTTGCAAAGAAAGAGAGGATACTACGAATCCTGATGATAGCATGTCACTATGAGGTATGTGTGATGTTTCGAAGATAGTAAGTTGTTCGTTAAACACTGACTACTAGGCAGGTTTTGTCGGGCGATACACGAGGAGCTATGTTCCGCCACTTGCATGCTAGTCGATCTCTCATCGAACACCTTCTTGCCCCTGAAAGCAGGTATCAAAACGGAAGTCCTTGCATGAACGGAGCTCTTGGTTTTACCGTTGAGCTCTACACTTTCCTTTCGCTCACTAATAGTGTCACTCCTTATGGCGCTGTGAAAGATCGTAAACTACCAGGGGACGATCCCATCATCTCAGTAGCAGCTGCGGGACTGTTATCTACTTCTGGATCATTCCTAGCCGGCCGTGATGGGATATACAGTCTTGTTACCGAAGTAAGCCTACTCGCATCACGGCGGCTAGACGAACAGCTCTCTGGCATCGCATATCCATCTATCATGATCAAGAAGATACATGATGATTTACTCAATCGAATCACGGCTTGGAAAATGCCATCTTCTTACACTGAGTCGGACAAGGAGATGTTAGAGCACACCCATCTAGCTGGTGAGGCGTTCCGGGAAGGACTATACATCTACCTCGCGACTGCCGTAGCAGGTACAACAGTCGTGGAACCTGCTGTTATACTTGCGATACAGAACCACATCGACACGCTGTTTGGATATGGTCCTCAGCTACTGTGTTCACCATGCATCGCGGCTATTCTATGGCCCTTTATCATCGCTGGTACTTGTATAGTCAAGCAGGACCAGCAAGAAACGTTCATCGATGTCATTCGATCCAAAAGGTTCAGCATGAGGCATTTGTTTGTTCTTAGCGATATGATGCGACTACTCTGGGCTGATGCAGATCCGCGCATGTACGGGCCGTATGGACTACATCTAGTCATGGAAAAGCACAAGCTTAATCCAGGATTCGCTTGACAACACATAGACTATTCTAAGGTACTCTATTAGAATTGATTCGCTATAGTCGGACAGTCGCACCTAATTTTCAAGACGCCTCCGCAGGTCTCTGCATGCGTCGACTATAGCGGGGAACGAGACCACTCTAACACTCTATCGTCTTGGATATCTGTAAAGTCTTGTTTCTGCCTAAGTGTTTACAGACCGACAAAGAAAGCAGGAACTGCACTATATATCTCAGTAGTTATACTCTCGATCCGTACCTAAGGCTTGAGTTTCTTGTTACTATCTTTATACTTACACTACTCTATTTTGTTGACCGACAGGGCTTCTAGGATTCAGTCGATATCTCCGTAACCGTCACCCCAAGTGGCGCTACTGCAGTATTTCGGATACTCCTCAGTGTATGCTGTGTTTCTCTTATACAAGACAGCAGTTCCGCCGTCGGTGTTTATCGTACCAGAACTTGAGAAACCTTCGTCCTTGACACCTGCTCACCACATTAGTGAGACCCCATATATTTGGCGTTCAAAACGTACAGTTAGAGTCTAGAAATTGTGTGAGTGAGGTCTTGCAATCCAATGTGCAGTCAGGAAGTTGGCCCGGATATCTTCTCCATGTAAGAGAACCGACAAACACAGCTGTACTGGAGTAAAACCTTGGCGCTCACTATTCCTGTTCCTGGGTCCTTTACTTCATTCTGGTCCTGACAGTTGACTATTGTGCAGATGAGATCTTTGGCACATGCTAGATCTTCCTCTTTGAGGTCGTTGACAATACCATCTTTACTAACAATTTGTTCGGGTAAAGTCTGACGAGCAAACATAGCTACATGTGCAGCGATAGTAAGACCAAGTGCACTCTTAGTAAGAATGGACTGATCCCAATTTCAATCTGCCTGTGGGGCTGGTGCAGTAGCAGTAAACACTTGTCGATAGAGTTGAACGAAAAGACTTCCGTAAGTCTGGGCTGAGAGCTCTCGGGAACTCGAAGACGTGTTCCGCCGGATGCGGACTAGGTCGTTTTTGGCGCCATGTCGCGTCGCGTCGCGTCTTGGTGGTCCTCACACCCCCTCGGCTGACTTGGACACAACGTCATCATCTTCGTTACTTCCATGATATGCCATCGTCCTTGTGTCTGAATCATCGCCTCATCTGCTTTCTCAGCTTGATTTAGTCTAAAACTCAGGCTCTAAGTCGTTCAGATGTTCATACGCGACACATCCCGCGCCACAGCACGCGCCACTAGAGCTACCTTCCTAAGACGAGCACCATTTATCTCTAGACTATCGTCTTCGACCCTGTGTCCTATAGATGCTATGTAGGAGTGGAGCAAGTATAGGAAGAGCAACGGCTGGGTCACTCTGCGTAGTGATTTATGAGCAATAAGATTGGCATGTCTAGCACTCTCAGGGCTGTCATGATAGTCGTCTTACAACAGAGGGTATGGGTTGTCGGATCAGAGTTATTTGGCGAGACTATGTGAGCGCCTGAGATCTGGTGAAGTGAGGAGTGATAGACCCGTATTCCTGGACACCAAACACCCGCAATCGTGCTTCCCCACGACTGACTCAGAACGCATCCGTCACAACCGAGCTTGACTTACTTCCCGAGACCAAGAAGGGGCCTCCGACGCTTCTCGTTTAGAATAGAAGCGGAGAAATAGTTTCAGCTTGAAGCCAAGCGCGGAGCGGAAACGCCAAGCTGCCGCTCATCACAAGTATAATCCCGTACTCTAGCAGACAGAAGAGTGAACCCGTGACAAGCAGACATATTCGAGGCTACATATCGCTGCGCCACTGACTCGCCCGCATGCACGAGCTTCTGCTGCCTCAGCCCAGATATCGGGCCAGCATCCGCGCAGTTCCTTGGCTGACCGCCACATGTATCCCCAAGACATCAGTGATCGAGTTGCGAAACATGTGTTGAAGCGGAACGATAAGGTGGCTTCGGTTGCGCTTAAATATGAGATGGAAGTCGTGGAAAGTCTGGAATGGATCAGCGATCTTCGCAGTTCTACGCAATTAAAATATTTCGCGATTATGGTGGGCGACACTTCTCCTTCGACAACAGAAGGCTTTTTGCAGTATCATGAGCCAAACAGTGAGTTTCTCGGCTTCCAGGTGGTTTCACATATGCTGATTCATACTAGTCATCCAGATCCTCGTCCTCGTTTCGTTCTTCTTCTGGCTATCTTTTGGCGAATGGCTTTCCAACCGGGTATTCCGCGCCGGTCTCATAGGACAAATCATAGTCGGTCTAATCTACGGACTCCCTATAGGTGGCGACATCATACCCGTTGCGTGGCAGGAAGCCTTCATTGCTCTCGGATACATTGGCCTTGTTCTCATCATCTTCGAAGGCGCTCTGGCCGTCCGATTGGATCTATTGAAAGCGAACTTTGGCCTCTCTGCTATAGCTGCGACGATAGGCGTCCTCGCTCCAATTGGACTTACGTATCTGTTGCTATATGTTGGGTTTGGATATGGCGCAATCGAAACCTTCATCGTGGGTGCCGCGCTCTCGGTTACTTCTTTGGGGACGACGTTTGTGGTGCTGGGGAAGAGCTCAAAGGAGATCAGCTTCGCGGATACCCGAGTGGGTACTGTTCTGGTTAGTGCAGCTGTATTCGACGATGTCTCTGGATTGGTCATGGCCAGGTAAGATACACAATACTCGACAATGGTACTAGGCCGCTAACAACTACAAGCGTGATCGGTCAACTGGGAGCCCTTGAAGGAGAAAATTCTCCCAATTTAGGCTGGCTCATCGGACGCCCCACATTGGTATCCGGACTCCTGGCAATCCTTACTCCGGTCTTGAACAAATGGATCATCGCTCCTCTATATCGAAACCTTGTCGAGCCACGTCTCCCCAAGACACGCAAGCGGCATGTAGTAAATGTCGTTGTTATGATTTTCGTACTATGTGCTTTCCTCAGCATCACAGGCTTCGGTGGGACCTCAGTCCTCTACGGATCCTTCATGGCTGGCGCGTTCCTTACTTACCTCCCATCTAAGCACCCAACCGGCCCTTTTCACCCTCCATCCCGCGAAGACGCAGAAGACGCAGAAGCGCGCTCTATTGCCGAAGCCACCAAATATGACGATGCAGGCGAACCCGCCATATGTCCTACGTTCATGCACACATTCGAAAAGTACTTCCTCGACGCCGTGAAGTACCTATTGCAGCCACTCTTCTTCGCCTCCATTGGTTTCGCCATCCCTATCGTCGATCTCTGGACCGCCGAGGCCTTCTGGAAAGGCTTTGTCTACACACTGCTTATGTTAATTTCGAAGGTCGTTGTTGGTCTCGTCATACCGTTTGCTACCATTCTGTGCAGGCCACCTGGCATGTCGATCCGCGAATGTTTCACAACCACTTTCTGGCCAGCCATGCTCCTTGGATCTGCCATGGTAGCGCGTGGCGAGATCGGTCTACTCGTCGTACAGATCGGCTTTAATAACACGCCCTATCTATCCAAGGAAGCTTTCATCACCGCTGTTTGGGCTATCGTTCTTAACACGATTTTCGGGCCTGTGACCGTGGGCCTGATAATCAAGTACAAGGCTAGGGCAATCGCAGATGGTATGTGGGGTCTAGAGAAAACGAAGCAGAGTGGAGATGGATGGGATGATGGAGTTTCCAGGGCGAATACGATCATTCCAGACACGATGAGCGTTAAGGAAAGGACTAAGAGTGTCGCGGTGTCGCAGCATAGTAGGATGGTTTCTGATCCGGTGACCATAGCTATCTCGCCTTGATGGCGGCGACAGTACTTTCTTAAGTCTTAATAACGACTTTTATGATGTTCTATCTGTGCAGATGTGCTTCTAGCTGTTGGCGATGGCATGAGATGATAAATAACGAAATCTAAAGCTGTGACCTCGGGTGTCGCATTGATGTACGTAAAACGAACGATATAATGATGTTTTTTCAAAGTGAATCATGTGTACATTGCTCCTTATGATCGAGATGAGGCGATTGTATTTGATTGAGAGGGGTATGCGCAGGTATATATCCAAAAATTCCAAACACCGAAAGATAGCACTAAGAACCGACAGCAAGAACGAGCGAAACTGTAGAAACAACACACTCAAGCCCGACCAACCGTGTCGTCATGTTACAACGACTAGATCCTCAGTCCAGATAAAAAAAGAACTTTAGTCAAACGTGCGAAAGCTAGCTGGACCAGAACCAACCACTTCTCTTCTTCGCTTCCTTGCTTTCCGTTTCGCTTGATGTTGGTTGCGGATTGTGAGATGCCCTCCAAGGATCACGCCGCTGTGCATCGGTTTCTTGGCCGCGCTGGGTATGCACAGTCTCTGAGCTTTCTTCCCGCCCATCAGCGAAGCGCTTCTTCAGTACCACCTTGGTCGTTATCGAGCCATCAGATGCGACGGTACGTTCAGTTGTCGTAAGCGTAGAGAGGATCGAAGGCTTCGCCTCTTTCGTCCGCTCAGCGACCGCAGACGATACCGAAGTAGGTCTGGGTGCTGAGGGCGAGCCTCGCGATACAGCGTCCATATGTTCGTACGCATCCATCTCAGTTTCCGATTCCTCATCCCTCTCATGTGCTGCGTCTAAAATAGTATTATATGCGTTACGTCTAACAGTGTCGGCATAAGGGAACCGGTCTTGCGTCGGCGTGGGTGGATCGTCGTGCTGGTCTTCGTGATCATGACTGTACTCGTAGCTCGGCTCGTCGAACGTCGCAAGACGAGGGCAGTTTGGCTCCTCATCGCGATCCATAGTCTCTTCCAACTGGCGTTGCGTGATCGGGATCTTGCCATGGATCCAGTAGTCATCGCACGTATCAGAGTCCATGCCGCTAGGACAACTGGGCTCTGGTTTCTCCTGAATGGTCTCTTCGAGCTGTTGTTGCGTGATTGGTATCTTTCTCCTTCCCCAAGCCCTTCGCTCGTCACCCCTCATGCATTGTGGGGTTTCGGCCTGTTCGGCTCGTAGGAGATCTTCGTATGCCGCTTGCCAAGGCACACCGGCCTTGTTCATCTCCCGGTTCTGCTCGAGTGCGCGCGGAGAGTAGGCAGCGTCATGGATCTGCGATGCGTCTGCTGGCAGCGGCCACTGCCAAGATTTGGACCAAGTCCATACGCGAGGCTTGCTGTCATCTGTATGAGACTCCTTATAGTTGTTGAACTTCGCAACGTCCACCACAGGGTCGTCCCAGGCCTTGTCATCGAACTCCTCGGCCAGTCTTCTGGCCTCTGACTGCATCCGTAGCAATGTTTCCAACTGCATCCAGTCCCTCGCCCTTTCTTCCTCGGAGTCTGCCAGTGATTCCTTGCTATTGTGGTCAAAAGGTCGGGGAAATCCCCAATCCCACGACCATCCCCACTCCTGACCCTTCTCGTTGGCCACCCTTTCAACCAGGCCAGCATCGGTACGTCGCGTGATCTGCTGCTCGTCACTCTTTGCTGCATCGCCAAGTATCTCTCTTCTTGTGTCATCAGCTCTGCGATCAAGCTTCATTAGCGCTTCGCTATTGCGCAACACAGCCTGGACGTCGCCAACTCTGAACAACTCTCGACCTTCATTTCGCAGCTCGGCAATGTCAGCTTCAATATCGCGAAGCTTGGCACATTGCCGTTCGTCGGCTTTGCCAAAGAGACATTGCTCACGTGCGTAATGCGCGTTGTTATAGTTCGCGATGGTGGCGGGAAGCGTAAAGACGGTGTTGAGAAGCGATGAGACTTGGGAATCGGCGAAGCGGCGGAATGCGATGAACGGATTGTCTTCGGGTCGGTTGTGGTCGCGTCGGTTATTGTCGTTGTTATTCGTCATATTTGTGGAATGGACTTGTAGATGTTTGTGATGGTAGTTGCCTGATGGTGGGGAAGATGGGGTCCAGAGCGATGATGCCTGGAGATAGCTGGCTCGGAGATAAGGAACGCGCTACCCGACGCGTAAAGCACATGCATTACCGCTAATAGCCAGCCATCTCTCCATCACGTTACGACCTCGAAACCAAACATCGTGAGGATACACTCACCGCCCTCTAGTAAGTGCTTCCATTCTCCATGATCTAGTCGGCCTCTCTGCACCCATTCTTTCTCTCCCCAAGCTTGCACTGCCATCTACCCCACTTATGCTGAGCCGGCGATGACGCTGCTCCAAGATCTGCCAGGCTTCTCAGCATGTAGATTCGCATGTACATTTTATATACTCAGACGAGTTTCATCTATTTATCATCTCTCAATATGCACCTACATATCTCCACCTACGTATTACTAGAATATGTGAGTGTTGCATCGCAATTAAGGCATAATCTTGGCTTCCTTGGGATCTGCGCGACGTCGGAATCGTCTGGGCAATCTCTACAGAAGTCTCGCCTCAACACCATCAACAGTATCATCAACAATACCATCACCTTCACTAAAAGCATTGCCATTCTTTAGATGGGACAAACGCGTAAGGCATTACGAACAATACCGGAGCGGGTATATTCATAGCCAGATTACTCAAGCACTGCCTACGATCTGCACGCTATCAGCTTACCGCCCGCTGGCAGCCAAGAAGCCAAGGTCGTGGCACGCAAAGACAATTGACTTCAAGGCCTTAGATCGTCCCAGATTAGAGCCGCACTGTCAAAATTGTAGGGCTGCCCTGTCGGAGCAGCCAAACAAAACGCCTGTTTCCAACATCCCATGATAGGACTCCACGCTCTAGCGACACGATGTGCGTCATCCCAAGCAGATTCGAGAAGGGCAATCCCCGGCTATAACTCCTTTCATTCTTAGGTCATCCTTACTGCGGCCTTATCGACCAGCGATCGAATACCCACAATTCCTGTTTCTGGTCTTGTGAATATGTTTTGAATGCCGTCTCAAAAGGCTATATACGTCACACGAGATCTGACATGAGTGTTTAAGAAGCGAGAGCAGACACCCCGTCCCGAACCCAGCTTATATCACATCAAAATCTCATTTCACAACCTTAACTGCACCTCATATCGATCGCCTTTTGATCATCTATTCTTGGGCAGCATACGACACCTGCGCGATTATTGTACTACGGACACCGAGTTTTCCAGATTCCGCCGCCCCCTCTCCTATAAAGTCCGTCAACATCACGACGACTGCGACGACATCACAACTACTCCATCAACCAAGTTACTCCACAATCTCACATCGCCAAAATGCGCTTCTCTATCATCATGACCACCTTCCTTGCTAGCGTTGCTATGGCTATGCCCGATCCCCTCCCCCAAGGCTACTCCGGGCCCTGCGCAAAAGACAACTGCGGTGTTAGCGGCCAAGTCTGCTCAGGAGGTGCCATTTGTGTGGGGTGGCCAAGCGTGGATCCCGCCAAGAGGAAGGGATGCACCTGCAGTCGTGGTTAAGCGTTTGACGTTGGATCTTGTGCGATGGACAAATATGTGTACGTGAAATCGTGGCAATATGGGAACAGGGGTTATGTTCTGCAGATATACTGATAATGCGGGCGGCTGGAGAGATGTATCATAAATGAATAACGAAAACTAAATCTTGCAAAATCATTTACTTGCTGCCATCTGGCACGACCAGCGGGTGAAGAAGAATTATGGCAACCGTGCACAGATTAATGGCCTCTATCTTTCACTGAATATGAAGTATTGCATTAGGCTTAGCTCTTTGCGCCGCTATGACAGCGTCGTTACTCCTCAATTGTACTTGTACTCAGGCTACTGCGCTTGAGATATTGATAACAGACCACTTCTCAATACCCACGCCCTCTTAACGGACTTTGTACCTGCAACCAATACAAATCTCCCAACATCCAACGTCGACGACCAAAATATTCCATCGACGATGTCCAGCACGAAACAGCCGCCCTGCACTCCGAAACCGTTCTTCGACCTACCCTACGATATCCAAACACAAATTCAAGGGTACATCGACACTGATGCGCTTCCACCGCTCTCGAAAGGCGCCGCGTATGCTGGCTTTGTGCTCTCTTGCAAGCTCGCTGCGGAAGAACTCTCATATGTAGCAACCAAACACTACCGCAACTACCTCGGGGAGTTCAAGCGGTGTTCGAAACAGCGGGTGGGCCACGTGATTAATATTCTTGAATCAGAACAAACACCAGCTAGTCAGAGTAACCCCTTCACTCACCTGCGCCGAGTCGAGGTCGAAGTATATCTAGGCGACCATGGCCTGAGCAACCACTTCCGCTTTCAGGACTCGAAATCATGGTGTGATATATTTCGCCCTCTCTCCGGACTCATTCTAGACGACGTGCACATTCATTTCAAGGCGCCCATCGATTACTAGATGGGATCAGAAGACCTCGAACTACTCAACATCTACTCAATGGTGTTGCGTCCATTCGATCACATCGAGAACCCGGGTCCACCGAAAACAGACATGATCCCAACAAGGCTTCCACCGCCTCAGCATACAGTCAATTTCACCCAATTTCTCCAAGAAGTTGAGTCACAGGTCAATGGCTTCACACGAGCGAAGGGTGTGGGTGCGAAGAGCGTCATTCTATCGTGGGATTGTCAATAAAAAGCCCAATTCGGATCTCCCATCGCTATGATGGGTCCACTCTGGCGGTATACATCGCCTACCCATGATTCTGTGGGAACAAATGAGCAAACACGCCACCGTGTTCGTAACGTAGGTGGCTCAGCAGGCAAAGTCCGACACGCACGTTCTGCACGCCGGGCCCCCACAAATTCTAGTCTTTAAGAAAGATTGTACTACGGAACAGACAGGGTTGTTGCCCTGAGAGTGATGAATCTGGGCTTTAGGGAAGCAGTGATGGTTGTGGGTAAGGCGGCAAAGGAACAAGGAGAATTGGCATAGAATGACATGGATACATCTGGACGCATTCGTTGTTTTCTAATCGGCTAATGTATATCTTCCTCAAAGTTGGGTCTCAAAGAGACTCTTTTCATCTAAGCCATCGACCTTGATGTAGTGTAAGATGGAGAACTCTTTCTTCTCAGAATGACCGCGACTCGTCGCACATTTATGGATAAATATCTTGTCATCTGCAACGAAAAGCAAACTACACGTCCTAAAAATTACATACACATGGCCGACACAGGCTGCTCGTCAGGATCGGTAGCAACGTGATTGCGTGTGATGAGCAACGACGACCATACCAGGTCAGCGCAACACGAAGCCCTTGAGAGCCTTGCTTCCCCGGATAGAAAGCACACGACAATCTACTACTACCCCGGAATCCTTCCCCATATCCTACTCCACAACGGCTGAAATGCCCCTAACGACGCGTGGCCGCTTCCCGCCCCACGCCCGTCAATCTGTATTCTCCACGAATAGACACATGTACATCCTCAGGAACACCTTTTGGCACCGGCAATACACCTCAATCCCATATCCAACCTCAAAAGATTAACGAGTCACGTTCCCATGACGGCGGTCTAGTACCTACCTAGGTAGTGTACCCAGGTGTGCGCAGGGATCGGCTGTTGTTGCACATTGTATTTAACCGCGATTAGAGTTGCCAAGCTGGCTGTACAGAACATTAGAACGGTGCTAAGAAGGACAAGAACCGGCGCCGGAAGCTTCATTTAGATTAATGTGAAACCGTGTTGTTTCGTCGTTTATACTGCATTAGGGAAGCAAAGGGTGCGCTTCGGGTACAGGTGGATCGACGACGTGCATGCACCGTGGCGCATTAGATGAATCTTCCGCAGCTCGCTACGCGTGGGTAATTGTCCTGGAGCTAATGCGTCTTCCCCATACTGGTGGCGTTGGGTGCGCAGGAGGAACCGATGTGGGTATGGTATATGGATATTGTTCGTAATGAGAGGGAGGGTGGGGAGATCGCTAATCGTGTCTGTAATATCTGGATAGGGCCGCGGGAAATGTGGATTTGGTATAAGTAGGCCGAGACTCGAACAACGACTAAGGTATCTGGTCATCAACGTTCGCTACAGTCCTCAAGCCAAGTAACAATCTCGATATACCGAATTCACCATGAAGCTTTCTCTCATCACCATCTTGTCCGCCACGGCGCTGGTTTCGGCCGCGCCTTTCGCTGAGCCCGAAGCTCTTCTCGATGAGCGCCAGGCTGCTCAGAGCATCGATGCTGCGATGAAGGCAAAGGGCAAGAAGTACTTCGGTACCTGCTCTGACCCCGGTCGCTTCAACAGTGGACAGAACGGTGCCATCATCAAGGCGAACTTTGGTCAAATCACACCCGAGAACTCGTGAGTCTCATCACACTTGCAGACACCATGTTTGTGCGAAGCTCACTCTTGGATAGCATGAAGTGGGATGCTACTGAGTCTCAGCGTGGTTCCTTCAACTTCGGCACTTCTGACCAGACTGCCAAGTTCGCAAAGGACAACGGCAAGCTCCTCCGTGGTCACACCACCGTATGGCACTCGCAGTTGCCCGGCTGGGTCTCGTCGATCAGGGACAAGGCCACCTTGACCACCGTAATGCAGAACCACATCAGCACCTTGATGGGCCGTTACAAGGGTCAGGTCTACGCCTGGGATGTCATCAACGAGATGGTATGTACATCTCCACGGTATCGATGTATCAGAGACATGTACTGATCTTTATAGTTCGAGGAGAACGGTAACTTCCGTGCCAGTGTCTTCTACAACGTCCTCGGTGAGGACTTTGTCCGTATCGCTTTCGAAGCGGCCAAGGCAGCGGACCCGGCTGCGAAGCGTTACATCAACGACTACAAGTAAGCACAATCTCTCTACTGAATATAATCATACTAACAACCCCCAGCCTTGATCAAGCTTCCTACGCGAAGACCCAAGCCATGGTCCGCAACGTCAAGAAGTGGATCGCCGCCGGCATCCCCATTGACGGTATCGGTTCGCAGGGCCACTTGACATCCGGCCAGGGTGCCAATGCCCCAGCTGCCATGGCCGCGCTTTGCGGTGCTGCTCCCGAGTGTGCGCTCACCGAGGTCGACATCCAGAACGCACAGCAATCCGACTGGACCAACGTTGTCAAGGCTTGCTTGAACCAGAGCAACTGCGTCGGTATCACCGTGTGGGGTGTCCGTGACTCCGACTCTTGGAGGCCCCAGGGTAACCCGCTCCTGTTCGACTCTAACTACCAGGCCAAGACTGCTTACAACACTGTTCTCGCTGCTCTGCAGTAAGTTCGTCGCATACCGTTACGGGAACGCAGTTCTGTATATACCTTTCTGGTTGGTGATTAAGAAGTTTGTATATACAACAGAAAGAAAATGAAGAATTCTTTTGCCCATATATTCTCATTCCGCACTTCAGTCAATCTTGTTTTCTCGGCCAGTGAGGACACTCTCCTTCTGCGCGCTCTTTAACGCCTTGATGATACTGACACCAGCATCCGCACTTGCGCCCATATCGGCTTGTTTGGTCCAGAAGATATCAGCCGCGTTAATTCGAACACTCTTTCGTCTCTCTCGCTCCGTCACATCGAGATGCGACTTCTTCTCTGCAGATGCCTCAAGCTCGTCCAGATGCTTCTTTCTCTTCGCGTATCGCTCAGCCCTTTCTTTCCGAGTTTGCTCCGAACCTATCCTTGATAGCGCGAACCGTACAGCCGCCCTGAAGCCCATGAAGATGTGCTCCGAAATGAGTATGGTGACTGGCAAACTGGCCCATGTGCTCAAACCCAGATACTCGCCAAGAAAGCGCTGGGTGCCGAACATGTGTACGATGGCGGCACTGCTGACACTACCCAGCCATGTCAACGACTCTAGGCTAGCCACCCATGGCCCGATACCGTCGCTACGTGTTGGATGAGGACGCTGATGTTCGACACATATCTTGAGAAAATCGGATCGTAGCTCGATCCAATTGTTGATGAAGAAGCCGATTGGTACCAGAGGCCATACGGGACTAAACAGCGCGAGGTAGCCAAATTGAATGACCATCTCCGCAATATCGTCTTGAACATTGTATGATGGCCTCAATGCCTGCCTCCTTGTGCGGCGTAGGAAGCGAGATTCCGCAGGGTCCTCTTCAGTTGGTCTCTCGTATGAGTCGCTGCTGCGGTTTTGTGTCCGGGTGGCTTGTCGGTCACGCCACCATTGCTTCAGTTGCGTCTTCAGCCAGGGTAGCGCGAGCTCCTCTACTGCGCCCGAGACCTGGCCAGTTACGGTGAGCGCTATGACTTCATTGCGCAGCCGGTCAGGATCGGCCCTGAACACCATCTTGGATCTACTTTGCGCGCCTAGTACCGCATCGATAACATGTTGCAATAATGGTACGACTTTTCCACCAAAAGGTACGTATACGAAAGCCGTAAGGAGGATCGGCAGATAGTTGGTGATCGAGTTGAGCACGAAGATCTTCTGCGTCAATGACATTTCGTAATGGTCAGCTGTTCGATGATTTTCGTATTCTGTTAGAGCAGTAGCAATGTCTTCCAGAAAGCTGGTGGCATATGGCAAGAAGACAGCGAGAAGAACGGTAGGGAGGTATTCCTAGATCACGATTAGTATCGTTTCATAGTAACAATTTGTAAGATACTTACCAGATAGAACTTGTAGGGTCCTTCGTACGCTTCTCCAATGAAGGTTTCAATAGTGAAGACGAAAGCAATGAGGATGCCGAGCAGCAGAGTACTGATGAGCACAAATGGTATGACGACTAACTGTCGCGCAATCCTCTTCCATCTCGGGAAGACATGTCGAACCCTCCCAGCTGAGTCGATGATCTCTTGCTCGTAGCGGAACTGCGGGCGATTAACCTTCAGGTCGCCTACTCCTCGCACGTTCCAACGGATTGCAAGATCAGTCTGCTTGATCTTCCAGTACTCCAAGAACACTGTGCACCAGACACCAATGAGCATTGCGAAGAGGAGAGAGTATTTCGGCAAGAACGCCCAGGCAAATATCCCCGCAGCACATGGGAATACTAGAGAACGAAAGTATGTTTGAATGAAAGCGAAGTAGAAGGCAACTTTGGCGCCCCATAGATCACGGATGCGGTCCAAGTCGGCAGGTTCCAAGAACACACGCGTGCTGAGATGCGCTAGTAATGCGCGGTTCGCACCTTGGTTGTGTAATGGGAAGATGGACGTCACATTCTCCCAAGGAGGGAATCCGGGTGTGATACCTGCGCCTCCTAGCTCCTTGCGCCAGTTGACGAGATGGTACATAGACAGTAGGTCTTCGGCTTCGAAAGCTGCGGTAACGACAGTCTTTGCGGTGCCTCCTGGATGATTTTTCGTGATGCCATACAGCCAATCTTTGACTCTACGAAAGAGCTTAGTATGTTTCATCCTGAGATGGGAACTCCATAGGAGAGCTTAACCTACCGTGACTTGTAGACGGTGTTACCAAGTAGATCTCTAGGCGCTTGCACAAATACTAGCAGTGTCTGATCATATCCAGGGCGTACTTCGGTGTGAAGGCCTGCACCCTCTAAATCATGCAATAGCGTCTTGCATTCTGCAATGGCGACATCATCATCTGATCGTTATCAGCTAGCCGCTTCATAAGATCAATCGCGTAACATACCAACGTTGCAAAAGTCGTATACGACAACATACTTGTCGTTGTATGTGATGTTCGTAAGCTCAGTATCGTCGCTGAGTGTCGTATCCGATCTCTTCAAGGGTCTAATTTGCATGACCAGAATGGCTTAGAACGACCCAAAAACAAGGATAGATATTGGGGTTGTGAAGAGTAAGGGTCCATAAGTGTGGCTGGGGATTTTATAGGTGAGCCACTGAGGCGTCGTCATCATGCCGGTCGTGGCTGTTGTGGAGTCGGGTAAGCCTCAGCTGTGTCGCGGATTGGTGATCGCTGGTGGGACCAACGCTCCTGAGTGCCAAACTTAGCACTTTGGGTGCCGATGGATCCGGAACCGCGGGGGAGGACGACCATTATCTCCAGCCATGTATTGACGCGCTGGAAGTACTGCAGAGAGATGTGTCGACGCGGCAGGAATGAGACGATGAAAGGCACGAAGTACAGGGTTGCGAAATGTAGTTCGGCGCATGGATGAAGACGTTGTCACATGCGCTCGCTTGTTCGAGCCTAGCGCAAAATGGCGTCAATGACGTAAGCATGCTGTTTATTCACGTGTCGACGCGTCTTGACGCGTTCTCTCATAACATCAAAGCTTTATGGCCCCTTTGTTTGCATTCATTTTGCGTGGGCGTGCGAAGTGATACGAACAGGACAATGGCGTCGTTGCGCATTGTATGACACTCGCTCGCCCAAATGGACGCAAACCATGCACCTTTGATCTCCACACTAGAACAACCACGACTTCAGCCACAGCCATGCGTCAAGAGATTGAGGTCACACCGAAAACACCAATGCCAAAGGCGTACGGATTCCTTCCGAAAGGCGACCGGTACAAGACACTCCACTGCCGCAAACTCACTCATGAAGAAGGTCGCTCGTTATATATCGTTGTCGACAAGAAACAAACTACGGGTATACGTGTGCCCTTGAATATCTTGCACAAAGTCCATACTCAGGCGAAACGAACGCTCCCTACGCGTCGCGCTGCAACCGCACAGCGCGATGCCACTGATATTGCTAGAGCAGCAGCCGAAATAGACTCCCAGTTTTCGAAGATGCCGGCGGCAGAAAAGGAAACAATACTTAAGCATGGCTTCAGGAAACATTCCGGTAGAGTCGGTCGAACAAGCTCGATGTCATTACCACGGAAAGTTTTACTAGCTGTAATTGCGCATGTGCGTCACAGACACACCGAGTATGATACCTTGTTGAAGGGCGGAAAGAGTAGGGAGGCTGCAAGGAAAACTACGAGAAAGAAGATTGAAACGGTTATGCACAGATGGGGATATACCAAAAGTGCGGAACAGACAGCGCTGCCTTCACGTATGCTAGTCGACTGACTAGCTCGATTAGATCTATCTTGGTATTTCTGTACAGAAAGGAGATCGCCCTCTGAAGGTTTAGACTGATACACTTTCGTTGTCGATCAACCCTGTGAGTCAATGCCTTCATGCTGCAGACGAGTACTGACTGATTGTGATGAGGTAAAATGATGCATCCGCTTCATGAATTATACAATGGAAATGAGAAGACAAAGTGTACTTAGAGAAGGAAAGAACGCCTGTGATATGGTATCTGTCATGCAAAAAATACGTTGGCACAACCCGCTCACTCCACGCTATGCCATAATCCAAAGCCCGTTTGACGCCTAACTATGCTACTAGGATCGCATAGTACCTTTATCGCAGGTGAAGGATATCCAAACCCACGGTTGTTGGTTGCATACCAAGATCTAGCTCGCAAACATTAGCCCTCATCCGAGTCGACCACCATGCTTTCCCCGAATGCACTGAGATCCTCATCTGCTACCCCTTGCGCATGTCGTCTCCTGCGACCTCGCCTACCTGCAGCCCGATTCTGTTCAATTTCACGTAGCTTGCCATTCATTCTTCGTTCTAGCTCTTCAATCTCTTCGTTTTCATCCGCGTCTTCTGCCATTTCTGACCCTGCCGCTTGTCCATTTTCGAGAAGCCCACTTTCCGACTCGTTGATTTCCAGCGCGCGATTGAGGAGATCAGTGGCCATGGGGTCTTGAGGAGAGACGGCGAGGGCTTCGTGCAGAGTGACGATGGCATCCCAATTCCGGTGGAGATTTAGAAGGACTAGTGCTTTTGCGGTGAAGACACTAGGATCCTTCATGCCATGGCGGAGTACCTCGTCGAACGTCGCAAGTGCTTCGTTGAACTGGTCACACTTCCGAAGTGCGTGGGCAAGGTTTATTCGTGTGGGTATCCATGCATCTGGATCTGCTTCGTTTTGTTCTGAGAAGGCTAGTGCGCGACGAAAGAATTGTATAGCGTCTAGTAGCTGTCCTTCGTGGAAGTAGACAACGCCCATCTCGTTAAGAAGGCAAGGATCGTTCTCGCACAGATCATATGACGTCTTCAAGTATTCTCTTGACAGGCTGAGGTTGTTCAACTGGAGGTTTTGCATACCGAGGAAGAGCTGTGGGAGATGCGAGCCCTGGAAGAGGCGTGCGGCCGTGGAGTAAGCGGAGATAGCTTGGTCATGTTCTCCTTCTGCAGCAAAGGTATGCGCGAAACCTATCCAGGCAGGGCCGAAGTGCGGATCCATCATCGAAGACTTGGAAAAGTAGCGGCGTGCTTCGGCTATGCGACCGATGGCGAGATAGTAGGTACCGACAGCGAACCATGCGCATGGTTCTGAGGGATTCGTGTCGGCAAGTTCGTGCGCAAGCAAGAACAGAGTGTTCTTTTCGCCGAGCTCATGCAAGGACGCTATGTGTATAGGCATGATGTTGAAGTTGTACTTATCGTTGGCGAGGACAGCCGATGTGAGTGCAAGGGTATCGCGGAAGCGACAGAGGGTGAACATAAGGTCGGCTTTAGAGAGAACGATATCAGGATTCTCGCCAAGATTGTAGTGAGTCGTGAGCGTCTCGGTCGCGTTCGCAAACTCCTCTGGTCTGGTGTACTTGGATAACCGTGTGGTGTAGAGCGTCTTGGTGAAGGACGCCGCCTCCTGCGACAGCGAAGGGTTATTGGCGACGTTGATGGTGTCAAAGTTGAGCGATTCTAGGAACTTCCACTCCTCCTCAGGTGCCATGAGTGAGTTCGACATCAGAGCATCGAATGCTTCGAAGCATTGCACATCAATCTGCACCGCCGTCTTGTAGCATTCCTTGGCCCGATCGAAGGAATTTTGCTTTGCATAGCATACGCCTCTTAAGTAGCACATGCCTGCTTCCGACTTGATGTTGTTGACATCTTCTCGATCACGCTCCTCGCTCGTAGGTAAACGCTCGTTGCGCGAGCCATTCTTGTTCTGTCTTGCGCCTGCCCTTGTGTTGACGTCGACATGCCGCAATTTGGTACGCGTATTGCCTGGTGCTGAGATCAGATGAGTCGGGTTTTTGTCGCCCAGTATGTTCAGTGCATCTTCCAATTTCCCTAGCTTGAGGGAGCAATGCGCGGCGAGGTATCGACATTGGGGAGTACGCTCGACGAGGTTTCCGCGTGCCAGGAGTGATTGTGTCCTGTTGTAGTTGCCGGTGGTGAAGTGTACCTGAGCTAGCCAGAATGCATCTTGATCATCGTCTATGATACCCTGTTAGCATGCGCTGGTCCATGTGTGCGGCAGAGCATACCTGTCAGGGCCAGCAGTTTGTCTGCGACAAAGATGGCTGTGTCGTATTGGCAGCGATTGAGGGCTTCTTGGCGCCACTCACGAAGATATTTCTCCATAACGTTGCTATCGCATCGAATAGAGTTTATCTAGCCAGATCAGTATGTTTCTTCAAAACCGTGTCTCCAGTCGAGGTTGCAGTTGGCGGCTGCGCGGTGTTGGTGCCAGGGTCGCGCCTGCTTGACGCGAGAGCACATGTTTGCGGGGTTCCTGCAGCAGCGGGCCGCCTTAGTCAGCCAGAAGTTCCACTCTTAGGTTGCCTTCACCCAGACGTGATCTCCGACACTCAACACCCATTACGACATCTCGACCATATCACGCGACACCCTCATTCACCCAACGCAAAGCGCTGTCTGTATTCTAAGCCTGCTGTCCCAAACACTCCACCAACGCCGACTGCGCATAATCCGCCGCCATGTCTGAACGAAAAGTGCTCACCAAGTACTACCCGCCAGACTTCGACCCTTCGAAGATCACGCGTCAACGCGGTCCCAAGAATGCCGGTCCTAAGCTGATGACGGTTCGCCTTATGGCCCCTTTCTCCATGAAGTGTACCCACTGCGGCGAGTTCATCTACAAAGGGCGCAAGTTCAACGCGCGCAAAGAGACGACGGATGAAAAGTACTACAACATTGCTATATTCCGCTTCTACATTCGATGCACGCGATGCTCCGGCGAGATCACCTTCAAGACCGACCCCAAGAACATGGACTACGAATGCGAGCGTGGCGCAAAGAGGAACTTTGAGCCATGGAGGGAGGCTAAGCTCAACGAGGAGACCGAAGAAGAGCGTTTGGACCGCATAGAAAGAGAGGAGGCAGAGCGCGATGCGATGAAGGAACTCGAAACAAAGGTCATCGATGCGAAGACGGAGATGGCCATTGCAGATGCACTAGACGAAATCCGGTCGAGAAATGCAAGACTGGAGAAGGCAGACCGCGAAGGCACAAGAACCGACGTCCAGCCCGATGCTGCCGACGAACGACGGAAGAAGCAAGAGGAAGAAGACGCAGAGGCTGCACGACAAGCTTTCGCAAATCGGAGCATGCCTGATATCGGGGAGGAAACGATCGATGAAGACATGTTCGACGCGCCAGCCGAGGCACCTGTGGTCACAACTTTTACCAAGAAGCCGAAGGAAAAGAAGGACTTCAGCGCTGCACTGGGCATCAAGAAGAAGACGCCTGCACCGGCACCTGCGCCTCAGGTCAAAGCTGCTGCGCCACCTTCAAAACTATCGACCATGCTTGTAGCTGGTTACGACAGCGATGATGACTGAGATACGCCGGGAAAGACAATCCCAAGCATTTTGATGATAGCAAGCGAGGCACTCAAGCCATAACACCGTGCTGGACTGTATCCCATGCTTCCAAAGTCAGGCTCCGTCCTTGCAATATAGGTCCATCATCTGGAAAGCCGCTAGGACCTCCTGTACCCCAGAACATGGTTAGTCGCGTCGGTAACCAACCACAAAAGTTTCAGGAGCTTATTATTGTAGTTGATCGAGCACTATTGGTATGGCATTGCATTTGGCCGAACTACCGAGGCTGCTCATGTAGCGCCTTGGAAATCGGTAGCGCCGGAGAAATATCACATCCTTCGTATACAACGTTAATCTAACCCCACATCCGCCTACCAAACCGGGATTCATTGAAGTAGTGACGAATTTTCCCCGCACGTGTCTTCACCTTCCTGGCTTGATGCTCCTAAAATCCACCGAGGCCTGGGTACCTTGCCTTTCCGGGAGGAACAGCCGTTGCGGAATGCTCGTGACATCGTACTTTACACAGAATGCGTGGCAACGCTAAATGGACACATGTCATACAAATTCCCATAAATTATCGTTACATTCGCTCACCTGTCCGTTACCTTCAGACTCACTGAGCTCCTCTCACGATGCGTCTCCTGACACTATGTACTCTGCTTCCTAGCATCCTTGCTCTTCCATCTCAAACCCTCGACTTTTCAAGATACGACCTTGCGCCACGTGCCGATTCGTCCCTCACAAACTACCTTGGCGTATTTTTCCTCGGCGACAAACCCTCCGTCTACTTCTACCTTTCTAATGGCAACAACGCCAACTCCATGACCGCCTTGAACAAGGGTCAAGCTGTCATAAACCCCACCAAGGGTACCCTGGGCGTCCGTGGTAAGTGTCCTTGTACGAACTGCATGTGAGACATGTACTGACTGCGTACACCTACGTTCAGACCCGGCTATCATATCCGGTGGAGCAGCTGAAGCTGGCAAGAAGTGGTACATCATTGGCACAGATCTGAACATCGGCAAGACAACATGGGATGCATCTCAACGTACCGGCTCTCGCGGAATCTTCGTCTGGGAGTCTACCGACCTTGTAACATGGACCAACGAACGTCTCGTCACTGTCGAAGACTCCACAGCTGGTATGGTATGGGCACCTAGTGCTATCTGGGACCAAGCCAAAGGCCAATACTTCGTTCACTGGGCTAGCAAATTTTATCCCACTTCCGACCCGCAACATACAGGTGCGCCTTCATCGATTCGAATTCGCTACGCATACACCAAAGACTTCAAGACCTTTAGTGCGCCCCAGGACTACATCAACCGATCACCTACCAATATCATTGACCAGGAGTTTCTCGCCCTAGGAAACAACGCATACGCGCGCTTTTTGAAAGATGAAAGTGCAAAGACCGTTTTCACTGAGATCTCCACCAATGGACTGTTTGGTACTTGGTCTAGGCCTGCAGGTGCCAACGCTATCATCGCGTCGGGTGTAGAGGGTCCAGCGCCTTACTGGGATAATCAAGTTGCTGGCAAGGCACACCTGTTGCTCGACTTCTACGGAGCAGATGGATATAGACCTTACGAGAGTACTGACGTAAGGGGTGGGAAATGGACGGCGAGTGACCGAAGTGCCTGGCCTCAGAACCTAAGGCACGGGAGTGTGCTGGGCGTGAACGCGACGCAGGTTCAGGCATTGCAGAAGAAGTGGGGTGCCTAATGGTATAGGTCTCGTGCGGGGTTAATTGCCCACATTGGCTTTCACCCTCACTTGTTTGCGGATTCAACCATTCTGTTCGTCGTGTTGCGTCAAGGCATTTTGGTTCGGTCTCAGCCGTGGGGGCCTGCAGTTTATTTTAATCTGGCGTACTGACCTAACTCTAACACAGCTTTTTCATCTATACCCGATATCATTACTCGTACTTCCCATTCATTATGCAGTTGTTACTCGTGTGTTGTCTTATCAATCTCCTTGCTTCAGTTACGGGCAGAATCGCGCCTGGACCAGAGCCACGTCAAGATCTCACGTTCGTCAATTCAAGCGCAAAACTCTTGATTGACGCCGCTGATCCGACACTTGACGTTGGCGGAAACCCATCTTCTCCAGATCCATCTACTCCAGATCCTGACGCGGTATGGCACAAAGCGTATTGTCGTGGCGCAGCGCTTCTCAGAGCCACTTCCCTACGAGAAGAAGACTCAACGGTGATGTTGGAATGGCCCTATACGGAGAGCCCATGGGACGGCGATTTAGAGCCTGAGCTGAGGAAATGGGGGTATCTCGACGACGACGATCGTCACGCAGAGGTTGACGAATCATGCGACTTCGCTGGACCAGAATACGAAATGAAAAGGGCTTTTAATGCTCTCGGTGTCAACCCGCGTTCGGCGAGTATGGGCGGGCCGAACCATTGTTTCTATTTAAAGCATGGCTTTGGACCGACGGTCATCCTGGACAAGAATGGGAAGATGCCCCCGCTGTCGGAGCAGCGTTATGAGGCGGATGGGAAAATTTACAGGGTTAGACACATATAGCTCTATCGACTTGATGTCTAACAGGCCAATTCTGATAACACGACAGGTCACCGGCGCCTACAGTAAGATTGGCATTAATCGCAACGACGGAATCGTTTACTTCCTGAACCGCCAATCACCTGAGAAAGCGGCCGAGAAGCTATGGGGTATCAAGCAAGACCAGATCGACAAAGCCGAATTGCCCAAACTTCGCGCTAGTTCTGACTTAGCTTGGGGGTTGTGGAACAGGTTCGAAGGCGATCCGAGGATCAAGATGATCATGTCTCTTGAAATCATCAACGATGATACCAGGGGTGTCATTATACCAAAAGCCCTGCGAGCTATGGGGGAATTTGAAGTACGGAAGTGGCCTGGGACGGATTTTACTGTAGGGTCAAGTGACGAGGCCCAAGCTGAAGCTGCTCTCGCACTTATTGGTATGTTCCTTTCCTCCATTTCACCTTTTCGAGCTCCAATTCTATTCTCCTAAATCAGAATGAAACTCACTCTGGCGTCTTCCAGGTTCGCCAAACGGCTTGGGCGCTGGTTACTTTCTTCTCCAGCATAAGAGACAACTTGGCGGCCCCAATTTTATTTCGAAGATCAAGGTATTCCAAGATGGCGAGAACTTTTATGGCGAGGCTTCCATAATCTTTTATGTTGACAAGCACACTCCACCGATGCCGAACCCGGATGACACTCCTGATTCTCTGATGGAAGAGAGTAAGGTAGTAGGAAAGAGTATGAAAGAGAAAGATTTGGTTAGGATACATAAGATCCGGGTAAAGTTTTGATGCGAAGGCGTTTGTAAGATGGCTGGATAACGTCGATCGATGCCTGTTTGGCGCCTCGTTGCTCCAGCGCGCCTACCTTAACACCTTTACGCTTCTTTTACACTCACTCTCACTTCGAACACACACGTGCACACACACCTAAATCTGCAGTTAACAGCTTCGCGCTCAGCCCGAATCATCATACTCACTTTGAATTCTCACTTCTGCCTGAAACAACTAGCGCCATTTGCTTGTCCAGTGAAGGCTATAACTGCCACCACCTCCGTGCCTTCTTCTTCTTGCCTGCCCTAACTCACAGACTAATCTACAGTACTTGGAGTGATATCATGAAGCTCTTCCGTACCATCTTCTTCGCGAGTCTTATCGCGCTCGGCGCGACTAAGACTCTGCGAAATCTTGTCAACGTCAAGGCAGTTACCACTATCAAGGACAAGATCTTCGAGAACCAAAACCTTACCGTGAGAGGCGATACAGACTCTGACTATGACGACTCTGACGATGACGACGACGACGGATACACAAACCCTGCTAATGATCAGCTCTGGTTTGATTCACAATGTCGAGGAGCAAAACTAATGTTTGCGTCTACCCAAAACCCGCCGGAAGCCATTCGGTTCGTGAATCCCTTGACATCTCAATGGGATGGCGATATGAAGCACGAACTCGCGGCATGGGGTTACAAAGAAGATACTAGCAATCCCGATACCGAGTGTGAAATCGGCGCAATTCAGCCAATGCTCGATGCGCTAGGAATCTCCAAAATAAATTCTCTTCACGGCGGGCCAAACCATTGTTTCTCCGTTGAACACGGCGATAGCGATATCGTGGAAAAGGATCCAAATGGAAGACTACCACCCCGCGAAGATCAGTATTATACTACAAATGGCCGGAGATACAGGGTAAGATAATGCATCTAGTCCTGCTGCAGTTTCCGCACCCTGTGCTGACACCTTCCTGCATCTAGGTAACAGAGGCTTATGCCACCATCATCATCAACCCGCAAGCTGGTCTGATCTTCTTCCTTCGCCGCGGTTCTGCCGGAATGGAAGCCCGCTCACTATGGGGCATACGTGATGGAGATCCAGTTCCTTCAGATGAGTTGCCAGCTTTGCGTGCGAGTTCAGACTTAGCATGGGGATTCTGGAATCGAGTAAGCGGTGACAAGCTGGCGGATATCCATGGCTTTGTATCTATGTTGGTTACCAACGACGATACGCGAAGAATCATCGATAGGGTGCTAAGGGAACAAGAGCTAGATGCAGTGCCAGTTTGGCCGGGAATTGACGTCGAGATAAACTCCCCACAGTATATGGCACTTCTGGGTACGTTCTCACTGTGCACTTACCTGCAAGATTGACTTAAGGTCTCTTTTGCTTGGAATTTGGGACAAGACTAACAATTCATTCTGGTTTAGGATCCCCAAATGGTAGAGCAGTAGGGTATTTTCTTGCTCAACACAAAGCACAGATTGGCGGCAATCGCTGCGTCAAGACAATTCGCATGTTTCGTGGGAATCCGCTCTCGCAGGTACCCAACCTGCTCTTCACTGTTGACTGGGCGCCTTCTCCACCGGCAGATGCACCGACGGATCCCGTGGAGGTTTGGTTACCGCATCCGGATTCTGGTATGGGAGACCTCACAGATATACACGAAGGTAAATTGGTCAAGAGAAGCGGCGATGGAAAGAACATTGTGAGGAGTCACAAATTATGGATGAATCTTTGATCGCGCGGTTGCTACACAATTCTTCGAAGACTATATATCCAGGAATGTCTTCGATCCCAGCATGTAGATAGGTCGTGACGGATCAGCTTATACAAAATGATACCTCGTCATAGTGGGAGGTCGAGCGTTTCTCGCGGTGTTCTGAGTCTGTGCACGCTCGCTTTATTTGCTACACTAAAGGTTCTAGTTCGGCCGCTCGCCTTCACTTTGATCGCAAACGGCGAACTATTGGAGCTTTTCTCGCTTGACAATCAGCCGAGTGAACAAATCTAGCACGTTCTCTCCGTAGACTGCCTATTTCCTTTCCTGTGCAATTTCTCGCCGCAACTTCCATCAGCAGACCCTGCTCTGCAACATGCGAGCCTTCCTACTTGCATATCTCGCCGTACTCGGCCTAGTTGTGTGCGAGGTCCCTCTGCATTCCTCAAGCGAATTTCTACTCAATACTTCCAGTCTCGCCGTTGAAGATAGCGGTGGCATCGTCAAAAGAGCACCTGTTGCGCCAGCTGACGACTTTCTATGGCAGACTTGCGGTTGTCGCGGCCAGAAGCTCCAACTAATGGATACGCTCGATCCAGTAAACGCCGCTAGGTTTGGTACTCCATTGAACAGTCCTTGGGTTGGCACACTCGAAAACGAACTTACGACCTGGGGTTACAAAGACAACAGCGCAAACGATGACATCCAGGACTTGTGCGACTTCACAATGAAGCCTATGTTTGAGGCAGTCCTTCGCACCCTGGGAATCGGCGCAGGAAGCGCCCAGTATGGCGGGCCGAACAAGTGTTTCTCTTATGTCCACAGAGAGGGACCCGCCGTCCAACTGCAGCCGAACGGCCAGATGCCACCTAGAAACCAACAACGCTACACCGTTGATGGAGTAAGCTACAGGGTAACAAACGCTTATTACACCATTGGCATAAATGCTCAAGCTGGTGTCATCCATTTGCTCAACCGAAAGTCACCGGAATCTGCGGCTAAAACTTTGTGGGGAGTTGAAAGTGCTCCAAGAAACGAGCTACCGGCGTTGAAGTCGAGTTCAGATATCGCCTGGGGCATGTGGGAGAGGATGAGTCCTGGCAACCTGGGTAACATCAACTACATCTTCTCCCACAGTATTGTCAACAAGGAAACTCAAGCAATCATTCTGAGGGCTCTGGATGGCCAACCACTTGCGCCTTGGCCAGGGACTGAGTTCGTAGCTGGAGAAGCCTCTGAGTACTGGGCTTTACTGGGTATGTTACACTCTCTTTATGTTTCTGCAAGATATCGTACAGCACTAAAAGGTTCATTCTAGGGTCACCGAATGGTGTAGCAGTGGGCTACATTCTTGGGCAGCACAAACCTCAGTTCGGTCACAACAGATATGTCTCTAGTATACATATCTTCCAGGGTTCACCGGCGAATCCAGTTTGGCTGATTGGCATTTTGCCGTGGTTGTGTTTCGTCGTTAAACCAGCGCCATATCCGGCACCGCAACCGCCGGATGAGGTTATGGGCGAGACAAATGCTTTTGTGCCTGGTAAAAGTGATCTGGTAGATGAAGACCGAGTGGTAGACCGATCGGAGGATGGGAAGAACATTGTGAGGAGTCATAAGATCTGGGCAAAGATGTGATTAGGCAGAAAAGCAAGAGTTAGAATAGACACGAGGGTTGATCGGGTTAGAAGCGTGTTCGTAAGCTTATCATCTTGCATCTGAGGGTAGCAGGGTTCCAAGAATCAGTCAGCTAGGTATTCAGGTTACATAATGCTTCATGCATTGCAATGCATTTCGAAGGTCAAACAAGAATTCTTGGACACAATCAACTTAATGTCATCCTAGGTTTGTAGCCTTTCTTCGCCTGTTAAAAGACACCGGTAATCTAGACGGTGCAAAACACACATATACCACCACCCAAACGGCTTCGTTTGCACAGATTCGTACATGCCAAGAGCAATGGTAACAAAACCAGCTCATCTCCCGCCATCCAGCACCCTCCATCACTATTTCACCCAAACCAAATGTTGTCTCGTAAGACTCCTTCCATGATCCCTCCTCCTAATAACTTTCGGCTCTACCCGTCCAACTCCTGTATCCATCTTCTCATCGTCAGGCTCCGATGTCTCCGGCGGCGGCGAAGGGACATCATCGATCCAAAAGAGAATGGTCGCATGCGATTGGTCTCCCCTGTCACTTTCGAAGACAGTCATCTTGGAGATGTATTTTTTTCCGCCCAACTGACGCTTATGCTGAGCAAGTAAGTAGCCCCCTGCCCGTCCATTTGCGGAGCCTGTCAACAAAGTCCCGTTAATATGACCGATACAGTGCGCCCTAAGGGTAAGAACTTACCAAGAATGGCCAACCCCGCCTCTGATTTTGCGTCAAAATCCGTCCCAGGCCACTTCTTCACCTCACCAATATTCTTCGTACCAAGCGCTCTTTCCAGAATAGCATAAGTCTCTACATTAGTAATGTACAGACTGAAAATCTTGCGGATACCGTCAAGGTTGTCAGGCCCGCATAGTTTGTTCCATATACCCCATGCTAGATCGGAGCTCGCACGGAGATCGGGAAGTTCGGAGATTTGCGGCGTATATTTCCACAACTTCTTTGCGGCTTCTAGGGGCCCTGTACGTGAGACGAAGTATAGGACACCGTCGTGAATATTGATGCCAAAGGTGTATTGGGCACCTGTGCACTAGAAGCCACGTCAGTTGATGGGCTCCTTGGATGACCATGATGTGTGGTTTAGTGTAATGATCAGCCAGGCACGATGACTCGACTTACCCTCTTTTTATGCCCGTTCGGATCCATATAATACTGATCATCCCGGGCCAGCATCTCATCGTCACTATCATCGATGTAATCAGGGCCATACGGATCGAAAAGCACACCCGGACCATCGTTATGGAACGCGGACCAACATGTGTTCTCGCCTCCTTTCTGGACAGATGTGTCATTGATACCCAGGCCTTTTAATGCCGGCGTGAGTCCCTCTCCATCGAAGTCACACCAGCCGTCTTCTTTGAGCCAATTGTCCCAGCCCCAGCTCACCATCTTCTCTTCAAGATCGCCGTCCCAGGGTGTAGTCAGGGGATCAATATAGCGTGTGCCTTGGTCGCTGTCTCGGGTCATTGCGAGGAAGAGTTTGCGGCCTCGGCATACGGACTTTTGCCAGTCGGCATCGCTCGTTGCCGAGGTGTGGACGAGTTGATCGGGTTCGGCACCGCTGGTGATCGTGATATTGGCTGGATAGATGTTTTTGTTGGCGGTATTGAGTGATGAGATGTTCACGGGAGGAGTCTTGGGAGAAGGCACAGAACGCTCACTTGTAACAAGTGCGACCAGCGCGGCCACGGAAAAGTGTTTGTACGCCTTCATGTTGGCGGTAAGCGAATATAGCGATAGTATACGAGGGGCAGAGGGAGAACAACGGGAACGAAAGCTTTATGGTACAAGAATAAGTGGTCTACAGCGGCCAAAATAGCGTGTGAAAGGCTTGCAGTCTGGCTTCGATCGCTGCGCGAGCAATCAGGGAAACGATTGTCGTGTTCGAGTTTGCCTAGCTACATTAGGCAGAGAAGGGTCTGAATAGTGCGAAATGCTCTGATTGTTCTAGGTTTCACTAGCCATTACTCGAGTATATAGTCACCGAGGGAGAAGTCATCCACTCAGACACTGACATCGGTCTTCGCACTCACCACCTTGGCAATCTTGAAGCCCACAACGAATGTACCCTCGTCTTCTCCAGCACGTACACTAGTGCTGCCCACGAAGACTGCATTCTGTAAATCCCAGTACTTCTTACTCGCTGTCTCGAAAGTCCAAGAAGACGTTGCCTATCCGTGCCTGAGCGACTTGGTTTGAGATAATGACTACAAGTCAAGACAACATACCTGAAAGTCGCCAAACTTGACGGGTGGGACATTGCGGTCACCGCCTACGATAGCAGCGACTTCTGGCGTTGCAAGTTCTGCTCCCGTACATCGCATCCGGATATACTCATCTTCTTCCACATCCCCATCAACTTTGACGAGCACATCGACACCTAGTCTCAGCACTGTAGCATTCGAGTTTGGAGTTGGTGGGTCTGTAGAAATCCAATCACCTCCACGGACCGCTGTGGCTGTGACTGATGGCTCGAACTTCCTTATGCATCAGACTCGTGGCTCTATTGGCAGAGGAATGGTAATACTAACACCAGGTTCGGAGTTTAAAGTGCCGGTAATGACATCAACGTACATCTGCGTTGAGCCAGTCGCCGTAAGACCGAGAACGATCTATATAGTATTAACGTGATGGCCGAGCCTCTTCCGAGTGACGTGGATGTACTGGTAATTTTACGGTCGCCTGAGTAATGATAGTTTAGTAAGTTTTAGAGCATGGCTTTGATACTGTGCAAATACATACCGTGAAGGACAACGCCGGAATGAGTGTATTGAACAGCATTCTACTGTTTTGGATGTACGAGGAATCTGCCCGTGATTTCGTCCAACAGATCAAACATACACGATGATAATCTCTTGTCTTTATACACCATTCCGCATCTCCTCTTGAGCACCTACATCCATTCATACTATTCGTCAAGGAACTTGCCGATACGGATTAGTTTTCACATACAGCACTTTGGTACGATCGCGTGTTGGGCACGCGATGGAGGCTGCATGTAAGCATTACCTACATGTGCTGATTCATCGCGGACCGCTCACGTAGACAGTTCATAGGCAGGCCGAGGTCAATTGCTGAGGTGAGGTAGCAGTACCACCCAATCGGCTGATCGGCTGATCAATTTAGAATTGACAACAATGGAAGATTGCCAGATATGTGGCGCCGTTCCGTCTTCGCGTTCATTGATGACGCTCTGCATGTGTCAAAGCCTGTCACACTGACACTTGACGATGTAGCTGATAACTTCAGATCGTGTCAAGAAGAACCTAGAGAGTAGTATGGAATGCGCCGCAAATTGTTAATGCTTGTATTGGCGCGTGTTTAATGCAGCGGGATAGGTCAGACGCGTCGCGGGGTTCGGCATCAAGCGGAGTGGTCGATTAGTCAGCAAGCAATATCCTTATGAGACAGGTAAGCCGAGCTGCAGGCGCGACCTCGCGCGTCAACTCCAACGACACTCTTCGAATGACATATCTTTTGGTGAAACCGCATTTCAGCCTGGGACGATACTCGTACCACACTTTGAAGCTGATATCATGTACCGCTTTGCATATGAGAACACACGTAGATAAGACCAAAACACCATCGTCCTGGATGCCCCCTAGTTGATCCTTCTCCTTTCTTCCTCTCCTCTAGTCGCACTTGTATTAATCCAACTTTCTGCTCCATCATTACTGAAGATTACAGCTCGACGCGAACAACATGCTTCCGAAGCACATTCTTACTATCCGCGCTCCTTCTTAGCACTTTCGGCTCCTCCATTCCCTCGACAGTATCGATCCCAACCACGTTCGAGACGTTCGCCGTCTGTGCACCATCAACATCCCCATAAATACTGCGTGCGTCCTGCACCCAAAAGATTATAGTTGGGAAGTCGCCATTCGTGACGGGCTGAAGGGCTTTGAAGACTGTGATCTTGGAGATCATCTTGTTGCTTCCCAACTGTCGTTTATGCTGAGCGAGGAAGAAGCCAGCTGCTATACCGTTTGGAGAACCTGCAGTATAATTTGTCAGCTTTATACACATGTAGAGCAGCTCTGTTAAAGCTTCCCGAAAGCATGAATGTTCGCCGCCATCATGGATGGATTGCACTCGCCTAAAATAGCGAGTGCTTCGATCGAAGTTATTTCAAAGTCGGTTCCAGGCCAGTCTTGGATGCTGTTCACTTTTTGTTGCCCCGGTGGCGGCTTATAAGTCCTGAAGGCGAGGTTCAGGATGTTCAATGTCTGCCGATTGCTAACACTTATACTCCAAAACGCTGTTATTGGGGTGAAGTGCGGCATTCGATTCCAAAAGGCCCATGCAAAGTCGGAATTACTCCGCAGTCCTGGAAGTTCGTTCCATGATGGTGGGTCTTGTCGCCATAAGATCCTGGCTGATTCGATCGCACTCCTCCTGCTCATGAAAAATACCACACCCGTGTCAGGGTTTACACCGATGTCGGAGAAGGCGCCAGTGACCTACACGGAGATGTTAGTAACGTGAAGACAACGGGAAGACAGATGAGCTTACTCTGTTCGACCTTCCATTTGGAGAGATGTAGGTTTGCTCCGAGAGTGGCCACGAACGACCGTCTGGTCGCTTCCTCGTTGGATCTCCGTGACTGATACGAAAGCACCGGTTAGGTCCGTGATTGAAGTTCGACCGTGGATCGATACCAAGGCTTCCAAATGCTCTACCAAGACCCCAGAAAGTGCCAAAATCGCATAGTTGAGACCTTTCCGATTCCATATAGCCCCATTGCGCGAACTCTTGGTGCATAACACCGTCCCATGGACTGTCGATGGGGTCCAAGTAGTCGGTCGCGTATGGTGGAGACCATACCATGGCTTGGCTAAGCCGCGAGCCACGACAGACCGAGTACCACCACGCATCGCGCGTGGGTAATTGTTGAGCCACCGCACATGTCTGGAGACAGAAGAATCTCAGAACGAGGGCAAGGATAAGCTTCATTCTGGGGAAAGTTGCTCGTAAATCTCGTAGCGTTCAGTCGGTAGCTCGAGAAGATCCGAGTGTGAACCGGCGTTAGGGTTTACCGAATTCGTGTAGTTTGCAGGCAAGGAACAACAAAGCTGCCCCAGCCACAAATGATTTTAAGAGGGAGCGATGGCATCTAGCGCTGCTACAGTACATCGTTGCGAATAGTAAAGTCATGCTATAGCGGTCTAGGAAAGACGCGATATCGGTAATAACGAGCATCAACCCAGCAATCGACTATACTGCGCACTGTTTGTGGTGACTAAGAATAAATCCTTTTCAGAGAGGAGCGAGCACTTGTGGCGAGGAGACGGTGAGTTGGGGACCCAATGGGCAACGGGTTGATATCATGCTGTGGGTACCCCATATCAACGTGCTCGAGTATCATTCATGGGTGTCTCTCGACAGTAGCATGAGCGATAAGTCTAGACCTAGGTACCCAGCGGACTTGCGCCCCGTCTTAACATTGCTCATAGGTTCTGCGGTGCGATTGGGAGGTACTACAACCTTTCTGCCTAGTGCTTGAGTGTTCTACTTGCTGTTTGTTTGAAGAGAAAGGCACCATTGCGGCAGCAAACAGGGCATTTCAGCTAATGTAAACGTGTCGTATTAAAGTCAATCGCTCCATACCCGGGCAAGCATGGGAGGTACCTACGCTGCCTTTTCCCGAAAGGGTAGTCCGGTTGCTGCAGCCAACAAGGAAGGTGTGCCGAACCCCGCATCCCCATACACACGCGTCTAAGCCAACGCTCGTGTCGAGACAATTGTAAAACCGATTCAAACTGTTTATAAGTACTAGTAGCCCATGATGTTCTCTCAAGTAACTGAACGGATCAACTTTCATACCCACTTTCATCATGAACGGCCATGCAGCACCAAGGAAACATCAACGCCATGATGTGCCCGTGAAGATGAAAGCGCTACAGTGAGGAATAATCGACGTGAAACATGGCTAGAATTTTGCTAAGTCAAATCAGATACTCAGGACCTGAAAAGTTTGCAGTTGAAACTATCGATGTTCCTACCTTTGGTGACGATGATGTCCTTGTGCGAAACGCCTACTATTACCTCAAGTTTAGTGAGCTAACACACGAAAGGTCAAGATCTCAGCCTGCGGTGTATGCGGAACGGTAAGTGGAAATAGAGAGAGAGAGAGATAGGCAATACTACAAGAAGACCACCTCACTGACAAATTTGCAGGATTTGCACTACCAGTAAGATCCAGATCTGCTGCGCATGCGACGCATGCACTGACGTTTTATCTCTACTTCTGCAGCAAGGGCGAGTTTCTGGCCAAGGTAAAATTTTCTGTACAAGCATATGCCAGACTATGCTGACGTTCCTGGAGTGGCCTTTGATACCGGGTGCGACGGATAATCTTTCCCTTCTCAATTTCAATGCTTATCATCACAGGCCATGAAGCAGCAGGCACTGTCGTCGCTATCGGCAAAAACGTCAAGAACGTTGCCATTGGTGATCGCGTCGCAGCTGATGCTTTGCAGCCGTGTCTGAACTGCTTTTATTGTACCCGCAGGAAGACCCAACTTTGCGAGAATATCATAGGATATGGTGGTAATGTGCCCGGTGGGATGGCCGAGTACTGTAGGTACCCAGCTCGAATGGTATTCCCCATTGGCGGCCTTCCAGATCTGGAAGCAGTCTTGATCGAGCCAGCGGCATGTGCAGCGCATGGCATCGAGAGGATGCAGATGGAGGTTGGCAGCAGAGTGTTGCTGTTCGGATGCGGGCCAACTGGAATACTGTTAGCCCAGTTGATCAAGATCAACGGCGCTGCTCACGTATGCAAAGCCTTCCGAAAATCGCATACTAACGCTGACATGCTCAGTTGACTATCGCCTCTAAACCTGGACCGAAGCTCGAACTTGCTCGCGAACTTGGCATCGCGGATTCCTATGTCACTATATCCGATGACAACCCCGGCGCTGATATGACCACCCTTGAAACCAACAACCCCTACGGTTTCGACATCGTCGTAGAAGCCACTGGCGCACCGATTGTTCTGGAAAAGGCCATAGAGTACGTACGTAAGGGTGGCAAGCTAGTCGTATATGGCGTTTACGATGAGAGTGTAAAAATTGCTTGGTCTCCTTTCCGCATCTGGGAGAATGAGATCACGATCTTGGCTAGCTTTTGCAGCATGAGTCATATACCACACGTGCTGGAGTATGTCAACGCTGGGAGATTAAAGCTTGGAGGAATCGCGAACAAGACATATAGACTCGAGCAATGGGAGGAGTGTTTAGACGCGGTGAGGAAGCAAGAGGTTGTCAAGGCTGCTATTGTGTTCGACTGATGTAACGATTTTGTATTGCAGAGCGAATCAAACACGCGGGAACATGCATGTGACGTAGCTGCATGCGAGAAGGAACAGACTGTCTACGAGTACATCTTCTTGTGATAATCGGTATACGCCAGGTCTACCGCCCGCTTCGTAGCTTCGTCCAAGTCCTCCTTCGGAAGACCCAGCTCGTCGTTGTTCAACCCGTGGTTCTTCTCATATAGACCCGCCTCATCAATGAAGTACCGCGTATGCAGAGCCGTTGCAAAAGACCAGCCATCTCCCATCATCATTCTCTGCCTGGCAGTGGCTAAGCGCTGTTTTGCTGGCTCAGATGTGATCTTCCAATCTTTCTCCGTGGTGCTCGTCGCTTTCTGTACGGCCTCGAACATCTCGCGCTGATTAAGGGCGAAAGAAGAGACGAAGAGCATGCGATTGCGGTATTGCTCCAGTGTCGGCCCGTTGCCATCAGATCCAGATAGAGGCAGAGATAGTAAGTTCGCCACAGCAAGTCCAGTCTGGGGCCATGTGGCAGTGTTCAGCCGCTGCGTACCGTCGTCGATGTAAGTGACCTCTTTCTTCCGTATGTTGATGCCGTAGTAGCCGCCGCTGAGGGAGTACTCGTACCAGAAACCTGAAGTGAGCCCAATCCAGGAGGAAACACCGAGTGACTCGATGAGTTTGCGAGCGATGGTCTTGCCCAGTCCGATAGTTTCGTTCTGGATCTCCTCTGTGTTGTACATGCCGAACTCGTTTGGTAGAACCCAAGGCACGCCAGCTTGAGCTGCCCCACGAATGAGCTGCTCCTGCGCGCCACCAGCAAACACGCTCATTGTGATAACGAGCGCATCTTGTCCGGTCAGAGCTTTGACTATGGTATTTGGGTCATTATAGTCAATCCTTGAGACTCCAACGCCGGGTGGGAAGGTGGCTTTCGATTCGGTACGTGTAATGGCGGTGATATTGAAGTGGTTTTTGGCGAGAAGAGCGGATGTGATGTGGGTGCCAACATTGCCGCTTGCACCGACTATAGCAATGTTTTTGAGGGTAGAAAGCAGCGCCATATTGTTAACTATAAACGTCAAGTAAAGCTTTTTCGTAATAGCGTCTGAACTGAGGCAAACACAGAAGTGTATATGGCGATGTCTATTAAGACTTTAGAACCTTGGTAGTGTAACTCTTGTATATAACCCTCAGGTGAAGGATCAATGTTGAGAGGCATACGGCCGGTCTTCGGTCGTAAGCCTCTAAGTCCGGTACTGCATACTCACAATGGCGCTCGTACTTCTCGGGTCACCGCACCTACGCTAAAACTGGTGTAGCTTGGTGGTGGACCGAGGAATACGACGTGGGTTTGCGGCAATGGCAAAGCCGTGTGCAGGCCACCAGATCTCCGTTGAATTAAGTCGGGTGCGCAACCAAAGCCCGATCGCCGACATGGAGGTCGGATTTGGCGATACGACGTGAATGCGCGAGGCTGGAAGTCATTGATGTCATCTGTCTCTACGGCTAGTCCCCGCGGTTAGCGCCCGTCTGTCTCCACATGTACGACCGACGATCTTTGCGCCGTCATCCGACCAGAGAAGGGGAAGAGAACACATTTCCATGCTTTCTCATCATACGCTCTTCTCCTTGATCCTGTCGAATCCTAGCTGCTCGTTCATCTCTTATGTGTACAGGCACGGTGGCGAGCCTTGCTTCCTTGCAGGGCGCAGGTCAGCTGCAGCCTTTAGCCAATCATGTGTGTACTGCACAGCCATCCAGCCAGAAGACGAAACCCCCAGCTCAGCCTGATTCTTTGCCATGACCGCAATACCATCGTCCCCGCAACTACAGAAGATACGGAAGAATGGGGAATACCCCAAAATATCAGTATCGACCACTTGCAAACGACAATAATCTACGTTTCATACAGCTATGGCCCGCGGCGCAATTTGATGATCCGATACGAGTCACGATCATTGAAGGCGTGTACGATCTTTCCGACTCAAGTTTCGGTATCAATTACGAAGCCGTATCATATGCCTGGGGCTCGAATACGGATTTCAAGTGTAGTCTAGACGAAACAAATACCGACTTACAGGTCTGCCAAAACGTTGTTGAGATGCTGAGGTACCTCAGATTGGACAACAATCATCGAACTTTGTGGATCGACGCTATTTGTATCAATCAAGCAGATAAGAATGAGAAGGGCAAGCAGGTCGCCATGATGGGGGAAATATACGCACTCGCCAACCGTGTGCTGATTTGGAGTGGAACCACTGAGGATCGCTACGTACAGCTACTGAAAGATACGAGAAGTGGAGAAATTGTTCATCTCAACCACCTCGAAGAGTTCCTTCAGAGCAGATGGTTCTCGAGGCGTTGGGTTGTACAGGAAGTCATGCATGCCCGCCATGCTTTCATCATCTGCGGTAAATTCACCGTGGACTTTCGGCAATTTGCTCGTCGCGTGAGGGGAGGGATGCAAAAGTGGATTGCCAAAGAAGACATTTCACCACCATTCACTAAAACTCTGGAGAATTTGTATCACCTTGGAAGGCTACCAGGCTTTGAGGAAGTCAGGCCCAACCTGTACTCCTTTTCTATTACACAGGGACGCGGGGGGTTTTCTAAGAGCGGGAGCATGATAGATCTTCTGATTCGATATTCTGCTACAGAATGTGGAAATGATAAAGACAGGATTTACGCGCTACGAAGCCTCAGTCGCACCCCCATTCCGGTTGACTACCACATCTTGGTCGAAGCTTTGTATCGTCGTCTTAGTCAGATCGAGGTGGGTATCTCTCCGATGGCCTTGCTGAGTTGCGCTGGTGCTTTCGGTGGATGTGCGGCTTCTTGGATCCCAGACTGGAGATGTCCTGCACGATACTGGCCTTTACAAGCATCACTCGCGCACCAAGATACAGCCTTACAACTACATAGTCCAGTCCAAATCATGGGCGATTTGCTTACACTGCAGGCGAAACTCATCGGCGTGGTCGGCGCCGTGGACCCAAATGGGCTCAAAACCATGAACTGTAGCGAAACTCTGCATAGCTGCGGCCAGTTCTTCGCCAACCGCTTTGGGGTAGGCACCACAGATATGTCGCCAGCTCGATTCCAAGATCTTGTGCAAACTCTGTGTGCGGGCTATTCCATTCCTGATACCCCTATTCTGCACCGTCTCCCTTATACTTGGCTTTTTGCTCGGAAAATCATGAAAGGTGGGCGTGGAACAGACGACGTTCTCGGCGAATTCGAGGCACACGCTAAGACGCGACCGTATCGGTACATCAAGAATTGGGCACCTGAAACTCGGCGGTTCTATGACGAGACTACCCCAACACGACTTATCGAAGCCGGGCTTTTATTGCTCAGACCGAGATTGAATCGCGTAATGAGAGGTCGTTCGTGTTTCTTCACCGAGGAGGGACAGTTTAGCTTAGGGCCAGATTCTATTCAGACTGGCGATCTTCTTGTTCGCTTACCAGGCTGTGAAACCGTGATGGCACTACGGCCAAGCAACACAGGCCATAATGCTGAGTCGACGCCTGATACCGCTGGGCTCTTTGGTCACCAGACTATGACGATTGTCGGTGACTGTTACATACATGGACTTGTCGAGCCTGGCTTGCAAGCTATTGGAGGAGATCTTAGTACATTCCACATTGTTTAAGGCGCAAAAGCTTAACATTACTCGTAGGTGGATCTATTCGTCAACATCTTATCCAAGGCTAACATTACAAGTGCTTCATCCTTGCAATAAGCAAACCTTTTAGTCAAGATTCTCTTTCACCTATAGTACATGAGATCTTACAGGAGCTTTCGCAATTAGTGCAGGACAACGAGACCACATCAGTGACCCTCTTGCTCATTGACATCGGCGTCGTCGTCCTCTTCTACTACATACTCGTCATCCTTCGTATCCTCGGCATCTTCAACAATGGCTTCTGCATTTCCTGCATTCCTCTCCGCCCTTACCCGTCGCGGTCTTCTAACATACCTTAAACCTCTTTGCGGCGTATGTGGAACACTTGGTGCCCGGGTAACATTCGGCGTACGATGTGGTCCATATTTTACTGGTGCCTGCCATATAGGCCTTTCACGTGGCTCGCACCCCTGTCGGTTTATATGACTGCTCCACATGCTTCCATCGCGCCCTGGCATCCTCAGAGGAGGAGGGCTAGTTCCACCAGGAAATGGTCCAAACTCTGCAAGTCCGACATCACGGTTACTCTGCCCTATCTCATAGGAATGATGTTTCTGTTTCTTGTTGCGTCGCGATGGTTGAGCTTGTGGGGACGGTGGAAATATCGGGGAGTTACTGGGGTAGGTGGTAGCAGATGGAGAAGCGAATGGATAGAGCGGCATTGGACGAGCATATGGGTGCCTCTCAGATCGAACGACTGGAGCTCCTAGCGCAGCTGGTGCCGTGATCGGAGTACCAAGTCCTGCCATCTTCCTCGCCCAGGAGTACAAGGCTTCTAGATCATGGAGAAAATCATGAAGCTCAGTCTGCTCGATGAGAACGTATTTTGACGGCATATTGGATGATTTTTCCCGAAGAATCGCAGATTAGTACAAGGCAAAGGGCGGGACGGTATCTTGTTGCGTCCTAACGGAAGGAATCTTTATAGATCTCATTGGCGTTTGATGCACTTAGGCAGAAGGTAGCGATTGCAAAACACGTCACTTAAAAGCGTTGCCACCAAATTGACAGCAAATCCATTGTGCAATGTCCTGCTAACGAACTCAAAACCTACAACACCATGGATTAGAGCATTTCGTTTGCATTATACATGCACTTTCGGCATTGACCCGTCTTTATCCTTAGCCACAGTGCATGTACTCACATTCATCACTGAATCAACCATGAGGGTTGCAAGTATCGTCAATAGAATAAGGTAAGCGAGGTAATGCAGTAAATGATGTAGAAGAGAAGGGCGATCGCGATGGATGTTTGGACGAACGATAGAACAATCACAATGGGGAGCAGGTAGGGGTATGCTTGATACAGCGAAGGTGGCGGTTTGTTGTGTAGTTGGATGAAAAACTTGGGTGGCATCAGGTAGTGTGAGTGATGGAGTAGTATTGTCAGTAGTCAAGAGGAAGATTGTGGAGATGTTTTGATACTGTGTGTTTTGGTCTATGTGGAATATTCGTTTGGCTGTTGGTAATAAGCCCCTTACGCATGTCCAGTCGTAAACGGTGGTGATGATGCAAAATGGTTCCCTCATGTGAACACAGACGCTGATGTCCATGAAGAACCTCGGATGATACTAGTTAGGATTGTATCCCGTCAAACGTGAAAGCAAACATCCGTTACCTTCCCTAGAAACATCCGCTCCGTGTAGTAAAAGCAGTTGTTCATACGCTAAGCGCAAACCAAGAAGGTATCCAGACACCCATCGACATTTCCCTAACCAAGCGTCGATAACGTCAAGGTATCCAAGCAACGTCGAAACTAAGCTAATGCCTCGAAGCCATTCGGTCATGTGACTCTAATACCAAGTGCTCTTGCCGTTCATGTCCGCACCCCAATCGTCATCGCTTTCGTGATTCTTCGCCTGCTGCAGCATCCCCCATTGTAGCAGTGCAGACTCTTCAGTCACCTTGGTTTCGTCGGTTTGATCGTCCATATGAATCTGTGCGAACAGTTTTGTCTTCGGACCATTTCTGTGCAATCCCCAATGGGGCTGCGCACTTGGATCGGGCATCCCAAAACCTTTGAAGGGGGTCGCAAGTATCTCAGCATCTGCATTGCTAAGCTCCCTGGCTGGAAGCGGTTCTCCGGAAAAGTCACCATTGTCATTGCTAGAGTATACGGCATATCCGTCGTAGTTGGGGTCTCTGACCTTGTTCAGGACAGGTAGCATATCAAAGCCGGTAGGAAGGCCGAGGGAAATGGCGTGCTCAGTGCTCATGGTGTTATCCGTGGAGTAAGGAGCGGACGGCGTGCTCGCGACACGGCTGACAGTAGTACGGCGACGTGAGTCAAGCTCAGAGAGGTAGTTTATCATATTATCACGGATGCTAGAACCGAATTCAAGGTCTGCCATGGAGACACCGTTACGGTGGCAAGAGTGTAGCCAGGGTTGGTGTACTGTAGGTTGCCCAATATCCAGTCCATTTGGAAGCTTGATGGCCTCAGCATTTCTGAGATGTGGCACGTTTGAGACCAGCCGTGTCTTGTCTGGCTGTGTGCGATCGATAATCTCAGATGCGTGGACCCTCGAATGGGCTGGAGCTGGGGCCGGTACAGCTGGCGCGTCTATAGTGAGGACTTGTTTGACATGGGTGCCGTTCGTATTGGAACCCTTCGGAGGACGTCCTCGAGGTCTTTTTTGGGGTGTGGCATCCTGGCTCTTGGGCTGCTTCTTTGCAACGATCTTTCGCAGGCCCGTCGCAGCCCCACCAGCACGGCTGCTTTGTGAGTTGGAATCTTTCGAAGTCATAACCGCCTTGGGACCGCGACCATCTTTGTAAGCGCTGTCGCCATCAGAAAGAGACCGCTTTGTTCCTGCGCCATGACCGGAAAGCTCATTCATGTGAGCAATTGACACAGGTCCAGGTTGTACGCCACCGGTTAGAGACGCCTTCGGGGTACCTCCACTAGACTCTGGTGATGGGACCTGCATCTGAATTGAATGTGCTACCGTCGCTGCAGTAATTTGCCTCTCTTTACGTTTTCTCTCTTCAGATTTGATCATCGCGTGCACTTCTTCTTTCTTGTAACCACTGCCATTGTTCCTGACGAAAGCCTCATCAATAAGATTCGGTCCACGCATGTTTGGTGTATCAAAATTCGAGGTAGGAATTGTAGGTGAGGCGTAAGGCTGCTGATACTGAGGCGCTGGTTGTTGTCGAGGCGTTGGCTGTTGCCGAGGTACTAGTTGTGGGGGTTGTGCATGCTGCTGCTGCTGCTGTTGCTGCTGTGATGCTGGTAGTTGCGGCTTCTGTTGCAGTAGTTGCTCTTTCAGCGAACCTTGTCGCACAAACTCAGAGTATACCTCATGATATCTCTGTTGTGACTGCAAATGTTGGAACCTCTGCTTATGTTCTGGACTCAGTGCCGCGAAGTATACGCGCCCAAACTCTTGAATCTTATCTCGATTGAACTTTGCGACCTTCCCAGGAGTACGGTGGCGACCTTCCTTGCCGACTGTGAAGGGCTTCGCCTGAGTCGCTAGTTGAGGTGGTTGTGACGGCGGCTGCGAGGTCTGCTGTGGCAGGAATTGCCTATACTGTTGTCCGCGCTCAGAGTTCATGCTGAATGACTGTGCGTTCATCTGTTGTTGTTGTTGTTGTTGTTGTTGTTGTTGTTGCTGTAGACGCATGATCTCCTTGAACTGGAACTCAGTGTATTGTCGGCCGAGCTTGTCGACGAAGAAGGGCTGTGGTCCTTTCGCCTGCTGGTCGTGCGGATAAGCGTTTATTAAGCATTCGTCAACAGAAGCTGTAGCTTGCGGCATGTTGGTCGTCAGCGAAGTGCCTGTCATGGGCGACATATGGTGCGGCACGGATGTACGAAGGCGGCCAGTTGTGCCCTGTACGCTGCTGAGAGCGCCGACAAACTGTGTGTTCATCTGCTGCTGATTTGGTAGGCGGATGGCATCGGTACTCTGGATTTGTGTGCAACTGCGAAGAGGTGTGCCCTGTAAGCTGCTCGCGCTGCCGACCGACTGCGCATTCATCTGCGGATTTGGCATAGGGGAAGGGCCGCTGAACTGCATGTGTGCATAATAGCGACTGGGTGCGCCGTGCGCGCTCCTGGCAGGGCTGGTGTAACTGTTCATTGAATCGCGTCTGTGGTTGACTTTCGACGTGGTGAATGATGGAGAGTCCATTGCGGCTGGAAACAATATTTGTGATGGGACATATGCAAACCGATCGAGCGCGGAGGAAATAAGGTGGGAGGGCTCAAGCAAGACAGATGGTAAGAGGGTTCAAGTAAAAGTGAGGAAATAAAAGGGTCCAAGGCGAGGCGAGGTGTAAAAGCTCAGGGCGAAGTGAGGTAGACCGGTAGACCCATACTACCTCCATGTGCTGTGGGAAACATCAAGATAGGCGAGCGGAGCGATAGATAACGCGTGAGCGATTGGGCTGAGCCTCTGGTACCGTCGCCGACCGAAATTCGACAAGATGAGTGAGGTTGAAGGCAAAGAGCAATGCCTTCGTTGCTATTCGCTGTGCAATGCTTGTCTACCACATGAAAAGAAGAGCTGTAGGCCGGACTGTAACATCTCCTGAGGCAGATATTTCGCTGTTTCTAAACACAAGACTAACAGTGGTATGACGACCCCAAACAGATGTTCCCGCAAGGATTTGAGGTTTCTTAGTGACGCTGCTACTGAAGCAGTACTGTTGGGGGAGTGAGTGTGAAAGCACACGCCTCAAAGCGACCAGAGCAATGTGCGCGAGTTTGCTTCAGGGATAGCTAATCATCGTAGGCACGTTTGTTAGCGTAATTTGTAGTCAACTGAAGGGTCTCGACAGGTGGATGGCTCTTGCACTTCGTCCTCGAATTCTTGTAATGTTGCTACTGCGCCCGAAAACCTTGAAGATCATATGGTGATGGTACACACGCCCGCTGTCCCAATAGCGCCCGAATCAGATAATCAAGAACAATGAATGCTCGTCCCGTCTCGTGCGCTAGTATTCGAAACAACCTGCCAGGTCTCTAGATTGGATGATGATCCAACCCCGGTTTTGAAAAGTGAACCAGCGCTTATACATAGCCTGCCAACACATGTCAGCCCGCAGTACTCCCAAACTCTTTTCGCTAATTGCGGTCTCATATAATACCTTTCCTGGCGCCCTGGAAAAAGAAGCGAACAATGAAGACCTGCAGGCCCGCCATAGTCATAATCAAGCCCGACTCCATCAAACTGAAGTTAAATATCCTCTTCTCGGTACTCTTGACGGTGCTGAAGTTGCGGTTCTCGCGCGTGCGGAAGTACTTCTGGTTACGGGAGATAGTGGAGAGTTGTGCGGAAAGCTTGAGAATGGATTCTTCGAGAACCGAGGTTTGTTCGGGGGAGGAGCCCTGCTTGGAGGGAATCTTGGCACGGGCGGCTTCGTTCTCAACCTGTAGGAGCGCAGTATCAGTATCATGGTTTCAAACAGGTCTATGAATGCAGTGCGAGGCTGTACGTACGGCGATTTCGAAATCGACCATCTTCTCTGCGAAAGTGCTCATCTCGTTGTTGAAGCAGAAACGGTATTCTCCCACATCATTGGCCGTGAATACGAAATCGCCCTGTCGCTCCTTGGTTCCGTCGAGGATGACCTTGTCTGTGGGACCGACAACCGAATAGTCGACATCGAATGAGCCTCCGGATTGAACCTGTCCACAACTTGTCAGCCACCCTATCGTAGGCTTCCCCGTGCTGCCGCACAGCGGACCGAAGTAAGACAGGGAATCCAGCGATGGTCCCAAGGCGATTGGAGATCCAAGGTCTGGGCAAAGAACATACTGCGAAATAGAAAGCCAACTTGGTCCCCTTGTTCTCAACATGCGCGAAGAAGCATGCTTTCTCGTGGGCCTCTAATCTATAGGTGAGAGCAGTAGCGTACACAACAGTGGCGTATGCCAACAATGCGCTGAAAAGGGTGAAGAGTGTCCGCATCGTGTACGTTGGCGTGGACGACCGCGTTTGTTGATGCGTGTTCTCGTGTGCTGGAAGTTACAGCTGTCGACAACGTCGGCGGTAGGTTTTGCCGACGCAGGGATGCAGGGAGGGAAGGCGCGGGGAACTAGCAACTAGCCAATGGGAGTGAAAGCAGCCGCGGACAAGCTCAGCGAAACGTAGATCCTCGACGATATTTGTAACGTTGGATGAACGTCAGCGCGACATTCCTACAACCTAGAAACAGGCAAGTATGATGTTACGTGATCTGCACTCATGGTTGAGCTGCTCTCGCTACCACTGAACACTCCAACACTGAACGTACTCGAGTCATCTTATAAGACACCTAGTAAATCTTCGACATGTAGTGCATCATAGGAATAACATGAGAGCAAGTTGATGATATCCCTGATATACTAATCTACACTGCTTGCACACTGATCTTGATCCAAAATTGGACGCTATAAACATCTAACAAACACCAGCGCCAACCTCCCTACGCACGCGACTCCGCTTATGCAATACTTCCAAGCTCCATTGCGCCATGTATGTTGGGATATGCGCAACACACGCTGTCTTGTTCTGCTAAGTAATGCTGACAAAAGTTCGCTAGCAATGTCATGTTATGAATGTTGTGACTGTACTCAGCAATGTAAACTGCCATCTTTTTTTCGTTTTATCCTACACGACCGTCCCGCTGCTTCAACGAATGAAGATTGAGTCGGTCTTTCCCCAGAGCGTCTTCGTCTTGGCTGGGTGTTCGAGACCAAGTGATACATCGTCCCGCGTGCCTACCGAATCCCATAGGACTTCATCTGTAGTGCTGTTAGTGCTGCAGACTTGTCACCGCTGAGTGTAGCTTACCATCATCGATTGGTTCGGGCTTGGAATATTGAGCCTTGCCGACAAGAGCAAACCTGATCTTGTCTAGCTGTTTGCCCTTGATCTTGGTGAAATCTGAGAGTCGCTGTTTCGTTTCGCTAAAGGGCTCGCCCTGAGAGATGTCAGTAAGAGAATCGAAGGAATACCGTTGGCTACACATACCTCCTTCAATGCAAACTGGAACGGTACGCCGTGTGTTTTCGACGGTTCCTTGTCGAAGTGGAATACTGAGATCTTCTTCGATGACTCGTCCTCGGGGAAAGGCGCAACAAAGATTGGCGTGTAATCGTAGAGGCTCATAACCGAGTGATCTGGTGGGAGAATCTTGTGGAACTTGTTGACATGTACCTCATAAGCACGAACCTTCGACATAACTTCGTCGCTGATGCTTGCTTTCTTTTGTAACGCTTCTAGAAGATCAGCAACTTGGGCATTCTTAGGGACCATCAAAGTGTGCTCCTCCTACGTTGTATTAGTATTGATCAAACCATCAACAGAGATCATAACTCACCTCCTTGCTGAGACCCTCAGGGAGCCAAGTCACCTTGACAGGCTTCCTTTGCTCTAGCTCCTTCAGACTCATATCCAAAACCTCGTAATACATGGCGTCATTTCGCTGGTTTGCGCTTGCAGAATAGTTGTAGGGCCCAGGGAAGAGTATGTTGTTCAGCGTCGAATTGGCGTTGTATTTGATAGCCAGTTTGGGCTTGCCAGCGGTGCTGACGGTAGTGAAACGCAGATAGCTAGGGTCGGTTTTGAGAAACTCTGCTACCTTGCTGGAAAATTGGTCGTATGCCATCTTTTTGCTGAGAGTCAAGGTGAATGTGGGTAAATCCGTATCCGGCACCCTGGGCACGAACTCGATGTTGATCTTATTCAGCAGGTAGTCGTAGAATTCCTTCGCCTCGGTATAGCCTCCTGCAGCTGTTATTTGGGCAGTCTCCTTTTCATTTAGTACGCGTTGGACTGTGATGATGTCGCCATCTTGTATTTCCGAGGCTGCCAGCGTAATCTTTGGCTTCATCGCTTCGATCATGTTTTGTTTAATCTCCTCAGAGAGCTTAATCTGCGTACCGGCTGGCCATCCTAACATCTTTGTGATCGCCGGGGTCAGATCAGAAACCTTGTCTTGGAATGCCGCATAGAAAGTGCCCACACCGAATAGACTCTGCTCATTGGCGTCGAAATGCTTCAGGAAGATCATCAATGAGCGGTTGTTAGTCTGACCCTTGAGGTCTACTAGCTTCTCGCCAAACACTGGCGCGCCGCTATCATCGCGTTCTTGAGCTTTCTCGATCCACATTCTGAACTGTGACTGCTTCGTGCCGTGCTTACTCGCGGCCTCTTCGACTGTCATTTCGGGAAATTCGAGGGCAGTATCAGGGCGGACGGTGCCGTTCTGCCTATTGACCATCGACCACGGCCGCAACATGTCCGCTTCAGTTCCTAGATCTTGAGCAACAGTGGTTGCAAAGTCAGCCATCGTGGTGGCTCGGAGCACACGGTAAATCCTTGGGCTAGCAGGCGTCTCTGCTTCGCTCTTCCAGGGCACGATGTCGAATCCTTGGTGAGCTCTGAATTGTTCATCTGACGCGACCGCCACGTCCATGTAGAGATGGGCTTCTTCGCGTTCCTTCTTCCTGCGCTCCATCAATGCTCGTTCTTCAGCAAGTCGTTCTGCCAAATGTTTCGGTGGCTCTACAGCCTTGCTGTCTATGAGGACCTGGTCGAGTCTGGTTTCTCTTATGTATACCAACATGTAGGCGCTCATTGAGCGCTTGGCAGACCAGGCCCTGGTGTAGGGGTTACGCTGGCCAGTGTTTCCGTTGGCCTGGGCGTAGTCACCACCAAAGTTCTCTTCCAACGCCTCACGTAGTGTCGCGCGAGTCACACGGTCGTCATCGAATTTGTAGTAGTGTCCATCTTTGGTAGGCTTGAGGAAAGCGTAATAATGGCCCGCGTTGAGATCACCGCTATGCACCAAAACGCCATGAAGGTGGTATATCCAGGATTCGGATCGATCGGCTCCGTCGGAAAGATATGGCGCAGCGTCCCAGACTTCTGGAAATTCGTAGCGGTCGTTAACCTTCATCATGGCGTCGCGTGTAAAGTCGTACTCGAAGCGCTTGAGCTGGAGATGTAGCACGGGTGGGAAACTCTCAAATATGACACCCTTTTTGGCGTCTTGCAATCCAAAGCCCTCTGCGAAATACTTGTTTTCACCGTCCATGGTCTCCACTTGCACGTAGTCTTTGAAGCTGTCGTCCAGGTTCTTGTTCCCGCTCACGTTCAATTGTATGTCCCAGAAGTCCTCAACCCGGGATGATTCGTAGTCGACGTTGATACATGATATGTAAGTCTTCATCTTGCCAACGAACATCCTTGTCAAGGCACCCTCGGCTTCAGTACCCTTCATCCTCTCATCAAGCTTGTCCATGAGCACGCGGGACAGCTCCTGCACGTCCTGCTGTTCAAAGATCTGTTTCGAGTCCCAACCGAAAGAATGTGTGAGCTCCGTTGTGCCTACGGCGTTGTTGGATGTTTGGAGAAGGTAGAAAAGCCGTTGTAGAGCGTACGCGCTGTTGGAGCGATCGGCTTCTTCGGCGGTCGGAATCTGGTAAACGGCCTGAGGACGTCAGTATCAGTCTTATATTCTCAAAACTTACTGCATACCTGGCGGAAAGCATTAGTGAAAAATAGCGACTGCAGGAGCGAGTTAAGGTAGCACGTTGCGCCCTGGTTCTTCAGTCCGACCATACCGGTCTCTTTCTTTGAGTCGTAGCTGGAGGGGTCAGAAAATCAATAACAACTATAAACCTGGGGTCTGGAGCTCACTTGATGAAGTTGTGCCATAACACTCCAGTAGGGTCCTTGAGCACTCTTATGTATGCAGTTACGTTGGCTGCATTGTCTTCTACCATTGGCCGTCCTCGGTCTTCCCATGAATTGCTAAAAAGTTTTCTTAGCTCTGCAAAGCGTGTGAAGCCCCAATCGCCTTCTTCAGCAGTGAAGCGATGATGTGCGGTGTGTGTGGTGTATATGGTCGGATCCTTGGGGTTCCAGAGTACGAGCATGAATTCGACACATGCATACCAGTCCTCTGGCATTTGCTTCTCCTCGTAGGCTTGCTCTAGGTAGAAGGAAGCAAAGTCGACATTGTTACCGTACGGGAAGAATAGTATCCGCCAGGGATGCCCGCCGCACTCGAAGATGGGGCCATGTTCACGTCGTGTGAGTTGGCGCCAGTCTTTGATCTCCCATGTGTTGTATACTTCGGCCTCGGTCTCGTATTCCAAGTTTTTAGGCATGTGCCTCTTCATAAAGGCATCGTATTCGTCGGCGCGGGGCTCGGGGTCGGCGTCGACCTCGTCCATTTGGTCGTCTGTGTCTGGCGTTATGATAGCGACGTCGGCCTTCTCGTCGTACTCGTTGTCGACGAGCATGTCACTTTCGATCTGTTTGGGTCGTCGAGTCAGCATGGTTGCGTGTGAAGTGACCGAGGCGAAGGCGCAAGCTTACCTGATCCATGGCGACTTGGTCTTCCCGGCAGGTGCGGGCGGAAGCGGAGACAAGTTGCGAGGAAAGAGCTACAGAGAAGGAGTCGCAAGGGCAGGCACGACTGTGTGCGCTCGACGTTGGAGGGTGAAAAAGGAAGCTGCGCGCCTGTCGCCTAGAGAAAGGAAGGAACGGGTGGACAGCACTTGCGCGGGAGGGATGCCGGTAAGGATGAGGTCCTCGCTAAAAGGTGGCGGCAGTGGAGATGTGACGATCGGATTCTTGTCGTCGTAAAAACTCCAACAGCGAGAATGTGCAAGGGGGGAGGTGGACAGTTAGAGCGCACAAAGACGGGAAGCTGGCAGCAGCTCTCGAGGCTCAGAACAGCAACTCTCTTCGACGGTTGCAGCCTTGGCGCTCGATAGAGTGGAGTGCATCGAACCAAAGCCGCGGCCTACGACGTCATTCGTCCAACACCACTTACTGGTGGATAGCAGGCCACGCAAATATCTCCATTCACAAACGATCGCGCAGTGTGTCTGTCGTGATGATTGATGTGACTCGTGCCTTTACGATTGCACGCTCTGTACTGGGCCACCAACCAGATAATTAATTATAGGTTGTGAGTGATGTCTCCAAACGTTGGGCCGGTTAGCGGAGCATGTCATCACATGCCCCGTATTTTGCTACAGCTCCATCAACGGGCTCCTGCACTTGTTTGCACTCGCACCAACAACTATGAGTATAGGAAGACGTGGTCTCGCATTATGCGCGCGACATTCTAGTAGTCTACGTAGGGTGTCTACAACATCTTCCATCTCCAAGCTACAAGTTCGATATTCCCATGCTGCAGCCGTTGCGCCAACATGGAGACCGTCATCGGCCCTTGACGAGTGAGCCCCTAACCAACAAACAGTGACGAGGAAGATTAACGCTGACATGCGATTAGATGGGTGCAGCGTGAAGCCAGGCCCATAAGCTTGCGACAATTGACCTTCTTTGGTAGGACCCTGACTGAGTCTCGTCTCATCGACTCGGCCAACTATTGTCGTCTAGAGCTCCCCACAAGGTATGGCTTTGTTCTCCGGAAGCGTACAACGATTACTAAATACGTCTAGGCTTGCGCATCGCTTGCGTGATATTCAGACCCTACCATATGTCGTTGTTGCGAACCCTCATCTCGCCCATGTCTATGAGTCGTACCTGCGAGCCTTCGAACGCTTCCGCCGCATACCCGAGATAAAGTCGCTAGAAGATAACGAGAAATACTGCAAGGTGCTGCAAGAGACGTTGACCGAGCATGCGTCCGTCATACCCCGTCTCGCTATTGGCGTACTCGAGGTTCGAGGCCTGATGAAGGCTGAAGAGACGGACAAGTTCATGACCACTATGTTACGATCTGTATGCTCCCAGTCTGTACTCTGTACAAACCTGTGAACAATGCTAATCAATGTAGCGTATCTCGCGACGCGTCATTGCAGAGCAACATCTAGCGCTTACCGAGACTTTCGATTCGCCATGGCATTTCCCTCAGGCTCAAAGTCACCCTCATGACCAAGAGGCAGTCGGAGAGATATTTCTGCGTTGCAACGCGAAGGAGATAGTCGAAGATTGCGGCAAGACCATGCAGGAGCTGATCAAGCGCACCTATGGCTCGCATGTCGATATTCCGGAGATCAAAGTTTACGGCCACGTCGACGCGACATTTTCATACATCTTGAGCCATCTCGAATACATCATTGGCGAGCTTTTACGAAATTCCATACAAGCTGTCATCGAGCAGCGCAAGTCCAAAGATGCCAAGCTGCCACCTATTGAGGTGCTAATATGCGAAACCTCGCAGCACGTCATTATCCGGATATCTGATCAAGGTGGTGGTATCCCAAACGAAGTCTTGCCGTACTTGTGGAGCTTCAGCAAGGGGCCTCGGCGTGAGAAAAGGCTGGAAAATCTGGCGAGAGTACCAAAACTACTGGGGACGTTGCAGGAGCTGCAGGTACCTGGTGGTGAATCTGCCGCACAGGTGCAACAACGCTTAGATAGCAGATCGAAGTACGGCGATTCGGGTCTACATCACGGCTCACTGTCCTCGTTGACTAGCCGTGCACCAGACCTGCGATTAGGCATCGGACTTCCCATGTCGCGCCTATATGCTGGTAAGTGGTCTATCGTAGGCGGAGTTATGCGACTAACGTTTTTCTAGAGTACTGGGCTGGCAGTCTCGAGATACATAGCTTGGAAGGCTATGGAGTTGATGCCTTCCTCCAGATATCGAAGCTCGGCAACAAGAATGAACGACTCACTACGCGGGCCTCCATGGACGCCATATAGATGGTGCGCCGAAGGAAAGCGTTGTGTGTGTGCCAGCGTCGTTGTGAGGCAAGTGTGTCTTGCGCGCAGCTCACTTTCAGTCCAGGAACCTACAGCCGCCAAACAGCGCTTTCCTTACCTGTCACCGCCTGCGAAGTCGTCAGCGTGAACCACACAATCTCCTGTCTGACCACTACACAACCATCACATTCAGGGACCGCACCACTCATCGAGACAACGTATTGTTCGCAGGCATCTATTACTACAACATGTCCGCAGAACGTCTCGTGAGTATGTAGAGCCCTTCATGTGGACTATGCTGACGCCGCTAGCCGTCGCTACACACTGGCGTTGGCACTGCCGGCCATGCTCACCCATCGCATGTGGCCAGTTCCGTATCATCAGACGATGCGGTCCATGAACATCTCGAAAGCCTCCTGGCCAACGTCGCGTTCAATGTTGAGTTGTGCGGCCTTGCTCTTCACTCTAATGCACCACCTCATGAGATGCACTATCCGCGTTTGAGAAGATCAGAGTCCAAGCAGCAAACGATCGATCATCTCGACATGATCTCGTGCTGGAAAGGCATTTCCAATGCCCAGGCTCTGGAGCTCACGCTATGGGAGCGTTTGTTCCAACGATGTCTGGCCTCTCAAGTCGAGGATGACTTGCGATGCCGCACTATTGTCCAACTAAGCAAAGTTCGAGATGGTGTTAAAGACGACGAACTCTTGCCTTTCTTGTTACGATCTCTTCCCAGCGAGCAGAGCCGTCTCATTGAAGTCAACCTGCCGAATCTCATTCACGACATCATCGATGCTTTCTACGGCGATCACCCCAGCCAAACTGCTGCGAGAAACTTCCGATGGTCGCTCGGGTCCGGCGATCTTCCCGGCTTTGTTTACAACTACATTGTGACCCAGGATTGCTTCCTGCGCAGTTCAGAGGGTATGTATCTGTCAGCCGAGGTTACACTCGACTGTTATACCATATCCGTGGTCAGCATCGTCGCCAGACTACGTTGGCAACCACCCGATATCAAGTTTAGGCCCAGTCCTTCGCAACTTGGGCCGAGAGACCAGTATATCATCGCTCCTTACCGTGTGCCGGACTCTTCGAGTTACAATCGCTTTTCAGAGAACGTCGATTATACAGTGACGCGATCCACGTCGATGGTACAATGGGATAGTCTTCGCGAGGTATTTCGTGTACAAGCACCAGACACCATGACAACATCCGAGACGCTCGTTCAAGCCAGTATGGTTACACAATTCCCAAAAAACGTGCGTTTCGAACGTACATCGCGGTACATTGTCAAGGTTGAAGTTGCAGACAGACTTCAAGTCGATGCGATGCCAGACAAATACAAACAACAGGCCGCAGATGTATCGATACTCCCCATGCCGCCATATACTAACAGGCTCTATTCCAAGACACGCTCTTCACTCAGCATGCGGCAGCATCGTGATCTCAAACCCGGTTTTCTTGAAGCATTGAGAAAGCGTCATTCCGATTCACCCAAGAAACGAAAGGCTTCTTTGCACTCCGCAAGCAACCACGCAACGTCACCGGTGGAACTTATGCACGGCGAACCTGACACTTGTATCAAGCGTCAGAAGCTGGGGCTGCCCAGTGGGATCGATATGCATGTTGGGCTCGCTGATTTGCTGAATCACCGGACTGCAGCGGAAGACTGTAGAGCTATGCTCGAAGCGCTCGAATCTTTTCGCCAATCCATGGAAAGCCGAACTTCTTCTGATAGGCAGAGACCCAGTGGACTAGCCCTTCGATTACATGAAGCAGTCGCTCCAGCACTTGAAGTAGCCCACGCAACAATCATTAAAGACCTGTCGAGCCTAGTGAACCTGAAGGACCTGAAGGATGATTGCAGTACGCCTTTCAAGGAAAAGAACTTCCCACTCACTTGTGAGATCTCAGTCAGTCGACTGCCTACGCCGCCACACCCCGCTACAGAAACTGATTCCAGCTACGCCAGCGCTTCCGAGTCGACCAGCAATGCTAGTGATCTCGATATCACGAGGACAATTGTAGGAACCAGCAGTGCCCGCTCGCTGCACTCGGCTGAGCTTTCTCAAGACGAGATTCAAAAGAACTATCGCGAATTTGAAGAGGTCGCTAAACGCAGGAAGACCAACCTCGCTACTGTGTTGAGCTGCGACGTGGGGGATATGGATTTTGAGCGCATTTTTTTTGGAGGATAGCGAGTTAGAAGGAGTGAGTGGGTTGAGTGATGACATGGATGGGTTGCTGATGGAGGACGATTAGATCGATTGACCATCGCGTTGAGTTGACGATTGTATTACTGCGTCCGTAGAGCTAGTATACTACGAACCGGATCGTATTGCTGTAGTTTTATCTACATCCTTGAGTGCCTGACAAAATATGCCCTGAAGACGTTCGCTGCGTAATGAACTGTTACCTAAAGCAGTAATATACTGCAGACACCTCCAGAGTACGTTTTACAGCTAGGGTAAACCGCAAACGGTACGGGATTGTGAGTGCGATAAACGACCAAACGCATTCCGTTCGTACTCGCACCAATGACAGAAGGCAGAAAGTAATGTACCAGGGGAAGTATTGTTCAAGTACAGCAAACATCGAACGCGTACGTTCTCCGTTATATATTGATACACCACGACCATCTCCAGCTCCCAATTCCAACGAATGCTCCTGCTTCATTCTTGCGACCATGTCATTCAGATACCTCGATGACCAATCCTGGCTCGATCTGTTCATGCTGACTCTTCCCGTCATCATTCCGCTCACCATCTCGTTATATTTCATCGCAATCGAAGACCCGCGTGCCGGAGCATATGCTGGAGCAACTCAAGCCCATGGCGACACAACGGGATCACAGACACACGGAAACAGGTTCAGATGAAGCTCAGGAAGCCCACACTGACTCTGACGACAACCTTCTCTCCCGTGCTAGAAAATGTCCATGGTAATGTTGAAAGAGTTCTGTCGCAGGTTGTTATTATGTCTTTAGTTAAGCTCCGGGAACCATATCAAGAAGCAAGGGAGATGACGACTGCAAGGCAAAGATTCCAGGAAGAAGGAGGCAGAGTGGTCCTATCAGCAAACACTTGGGCCTGTTTCCCAGAACTTCGTTTTCTTTTGAAAAAAGTGACCATCACAGCTTCATTAGGGAAGATTGTAGGCAGGTAACAAGGTGTCTGGAAAGAGGTGCTTCTTCGCTTTCAGAAAATCATGACACAGGTGTGCCTTATCATAAGGATATGTACGAGGATCCTTGGTATCCGGATGGGTCTGGACTCCCTGAAGCGGAAGATGAAAGAGAGCCGGCTGGGGTCATACAGCAAGATTCACAACCACCGGAGCCACACTTGTAGAGAGAAAGAATCGCATTCTTTTAACGGGTCTGACAAAACCCTTTCAAGAAGCGTTGCAGTTAACACGGGCATTAGCTATCCGAAATCTTTGAGTAAGAAGGCTACCTGATCAGTTCTGCGCAGAAGCTTACTAACTTCCTACATCGAAATTGCAGACTGACTCTCTTTGTATAGTGCAAATAATCATGACGACTGGGCACAAGAAGCATCCCAGATGGCAACAGTGTACCACAATGCATTTATCGTCATCTCAGCAACAGCATCGAAGTCTGGTGACGAGGGTCTGTTTTGGAAATGCCCTGAGTCTGAAGTCCGGGATGGTTCGGAAGATGGAAAAGGCCCTATGTTCATCATCCACGAGCAACGTATGCATCTGGATGGAGTGTCGCCTCGGAGTTTACGAGAAACGTTTCCACTCAACGAGCGTGCCTGGGATTTGCAAGAACGATTACTTTCGCCCCCTGTCCTAGATTTCACACAGTCCGAAATGGGTTTCGAATTTCTTGCAGAGCATCTATGCGAGTGTAGCGGTGTCCGAGACGTCAGTTGGACCCCCTAGAATAAGGCGCTAAAAACCTACTTGCGCACGGGATTATCACACGTGGACAGCGTAATAATCGGGAAAAACATGGTGTTGCAATACAGTCATCGCAGACTGACATACGCAAAGGATAAGCTAGTGGCGATATTAGGATTAGCAAAAAGGTTCGCAAAGCCTGGTGATCGATATCTGTCCGGACTCTGGGACAGCGCACTCATTGATCAACTCGAATGGACCGTAACTGCAAAAGGCCGCCTCTAAGAAGACCAGAGCCACTTTGGAGAGCTCCCTCATGGTCCTGGGCCGCTGTGAACGATCCACTCTGCTACCACGGCATATCTGACGACCTCAGATCATTGTCCTTCCGGATCATCATGCCGCATTTGCTACGATACTACATTGCAAAGTTGTCCCAAAGACTACAGACGAATATGGCGAGCTTGTTTTAGGCAGACTCCAACTGCTGGGACAATATACTTCCAGTACATGGACGGTACAGCCTGAATATCGCGCTTCGTACAATTATGTTCTGCTTCTTTGCGGATACGAGCATTTCTTCTAGCTGGATGCTTCGATTATAGCCGCTCCACTGCCTGGTACTACAGCTGAAAACTGCGGCATAGTGTATGTCTTACTTCGAGCGATGTCATCGTTGCGTACTTCACTTGTTCTTCGGCGTTTGCAGTCGGACAAAGACGTTTTTGGGTGTCTAGGTATGATACGAGAGAGAACTTACGAAACCGACGATTTATTGGATCCTGATACTAGAGACCTGTATCCAGACAAGAAGAGCGTGTTGGAGATAGTGTAGCGACTTCAAGATTCATCTGACGGACGCTCAGCTGCCTGTCGAGATCTGCGTCCCTACAACATGCCAGTTTTTGTTACGATGTCGTAGGTGAAGATTGTGTTGACATCGACTGAGTTCTCATCAATGGTTCCCGATTGGAGATGACAGCACTCATCGAACGATCGAGTCCAAAGTCATCGAAGCAGAAATGTCGTAATACATCGATTAACAAACGTCATGACGCATGGAAAATAGCGTGCTCGTACAATCCACTTTCATTGCTTCAGTTGTCCTTCTCTTGAAGATGGAGAACAAAGAGCCGCAACTACCCGGCGTCCACCTTCGCACCTGCCCAATCCACATACCACGTGTGGCTCAGCAAACAGCCTCGTCGCTGCTACCTCGCTCTTACCCCGCCCCCGCTTTTGTCGCTTATACCCTGTGTCCCCCGCCACTTTCCCTTCGTTTAGCCTTTCCATCACTCAATCACGCCATCTACGCTAACTACCTTCGACCACTATGGTTCAAGTACGCCCCCAGATTTTTTGAAAAGGTTTCCTAATGCGGTAGACTATGTCTACGTGGCGACCGGTTTTGGTATGGCAGGGCTAACGATGTGGTCGTAGCTCGATTACTCGGTCGAAAAACCGCTTAACCGCGAGCCGGAGCTTGAGAAGTTGGTTCAAAGGTATGTATATAGTGTCTTGGTATGAGAGGATGAAGCATATTGGGTAGAGACGCAGCGTTGGAAAGTATTTGTCGAGCGCGAGTCATTCCACGCACGGCGTCCACTTGTGTTGGAATGGAGCTCAGTTGCCCTTCTCTCAGACCCAGTATTCCCCAGAGTACTTTTCATGGTAACTAATCAATTAGAATGCTAATGCCGGGTACAGTTTCATCACCAAAGACGGCTACGACCGCAATCACGGCCCCATTCCTCACATCGATGCCAGCACACACAAAGTCACCATTACTGGCCTCGTCGATAAAGAACTCTCGCTTTCCATCCCAGACCTCCAAGCACTTCCACAACATACCGTAATATGCGCCCTGCAATGTGCAGGCAATCGTCGTCATACCATGCGCACAAAGCTGAAGGAGGTATCTGGCATTGATTGGTTCGATGGCGCTGTCATGAACTGCAAGTGGACTGGACCTCTGCTTAAGGATGTTCTGGAGAAAGCTGGCGTCAAAGTCGAGGATGATAAGCTGAAGGAGGCGCATGTGGCGTTCTCGTGCTACCAGACTACCCAAGAAGATGACTTCTACGGTGCCAGCATCCCACTGTCACGAGCCATGGATCGTGAGAGCTCGATCTTGCTTGCATTGAAGATGAACGACAAGCCTCTCCCACCAAATCATGGAGCCCCAGTCCGCGTTGTCACACCCGGAATCGCTGGCGCGAGAAGTGTAAAGTGGCTTGATTCCATCTCAGTCCAGCTAAGCGAGAGCCAGAGCCACTACCAGCAACATGATTACAAGATCCTACCCCCGGAAGCTGATTGCAAAGAGAAGGCGGAGGAGTATTGGGACAAAGTTGGCGCGCTACAGGATATGCCTGTCAACAGCGTTATTGGAGTCCCAAAGTCAGGTACTACTATACATCGAGATGCAGATGGGACGATTGAAGTCAAGGGCTACGCATTGCCTAGTGGTGCAGATGGGCCCATAGTCAAAGTTGAAGTCAGCGTGGACGGAGGGAAATCATGGACAGAGGCGGAATTGATCAAGAACTATGAGGGTGAGGACGCCAAGGACGTTGAACTCAAGTGGGCGTGGGCGCTGTGGAAGTCGAAGGTCAAGGTCGAGAAGGGCAAGGATGTCGCGATCTACAGTCGGGCAACGGACAGGAGTGGCAATATGCAAGAGAAATGTCCGAAGTGGAACTTCCGGGGCGTGGCCTACAATGGGTATGGGGAAGCCTCTGGGCTAGAAATTGTCTGAAGATGTTGATTACTTGTCTCAACAGCGGATGTGACAGATTGGACTAGATGCGTGCTTTCAGCCAACCGGTTAATAGGATAACATGGCCTTACTTCTCTCGTAGTTGAACAAGTTCAACCTTGTTGAAACAAACAAATATAATCACTGGTAGGGTTAATACAATTCAAAAGAGCCATGTAGCATGCATCCATATATTGAGACGCTTTATACCAAGCACTAATAACTCCCGTTACGCTATGCATTCGTGATTCATGACCTCTTCGATCTCCGCAACCTTCCTTATTGCATGCCTCATCTCAGGTTTATCAGAGCCCCAGACTCTTCCTAACATTCGTCCGCACAATCTTCTCATACTCCTCCCTCTTCTCCCTCCACATGCGCGCCGCATCCACGTTCGCTGGACTCTCATCATTCGGCTCCGCCAACATGCTCATGACGCTGATCAAGATCTTCTCAACGCTTTGTATAGGCGACCATCGTTCCGAGGCTTGTTCGTAATGCATGGGGTCTTCGCCGGGTGCGTGGAGGATGGATATACAGACTTCGCCGTTGGGGTATACTGCGAGTATTGTCAGCTCAAGTCTTCGCCATTCTCATGCTTCTCGCGCCTCCACAAGAGGCAGGTAACGGGGATCATGGAAGCGTGTCCCGGGTAATCGAACATACCGTTTGGATGCCACATCTCCGTGATGAACTTCATCTTTGGTGGAGCGAGTGGGTAGTCTTTTGGGAATCGTAGCTCTGCAGGGAAGACGCCGCCTTCAAAGGGTGTGCCTTCCGGGCCTTGGATAAGTGCCTCCCAGATAAACATGTCGTCCTCGCTGACCGGGCCAGCGGTTATGCCTTCGGGTGGGTCGTTGGAGAGCATGCGGTATTCCTTGAAGAGGCGCTTCGAAGCTGATGACGCCATGTTGTATATTGGAACCGGGCGTGGGCGGATGAAGGTGATAGGAGTGCTCTGGGCGCGGGGGCGGGGCTTTTGGTGTGTTGGGGTTGGGTTGTGAAGCCTAGTGGTTTACGTCGTGAAGCGAGGAGCCTTACTTTAAAGACTGAACAATGTAATGCCCCGTGGCTGGAACACTGGAATCAAAAGAGATAGGGTTGTTGGTGGTTGAGTGAAAGCGTTCCGGCCGGCCAATGGCGATTCCGACACGTCGGCTTTAGTGACGCGGGTTTAGCGCCAAGGCACGTGCTCCACTTCTGCCACAAAGTACTGACAATGAATCCAACTTGACAAAGCCCCTTGCGAGCCTCAATAAAAAAAATAACGCAGCACGAGCAAAATATGACCGGCAAGCTAGATCGTTTGAATCGAGAATTGAAAAATTTATTACAACCAAGCTAGGTATCATCTGCCGCTAACCAAAAACCTCAATCATAAACCGGTACTCAAGCTTCCTATCTTCGTTCCGTGCCCTTGCAGTCAACACACTACATTGGTCGGCAATCTGTTGACCGATGACAGGTGGCCCGCAGAAGAAAACACCGATCTTAATCTCATCGTCTTTGTTGCCATCTTTCTCATTCAATCGATCCGCCAGAACTTTGCTCATATCGTCATAGTGAGCCTCCATGATTCCCCGAATGTCCGGGCGTCCGAAATGTGTTGGGTTGACGAGACCAGTGATGGGCGACTGCGGATGGTCATCCGTTCGGTGCTTCTCGAGCAACCAACGGAATACGTGTTGGGATATTTGCTTGCGTTTCTGAGTCACGTAGGTGTTAATACGGATGTCGAGGTCTTGGCCATCCGATCTTTGACGAAAGACCTCATTTAGAAGATCAGAGAACCACAGGAGGTTATTCTTGTCGCGCACCATCCAATGTAGGTCGACTCGGCGATGGTTTGTATACGGTGAATGCTCTCGGGGGGTTTCGTCGGACGATTCTGGTGATTGCCTAGATTTGACACGCTCGAGCTCATGGTATTGGAGATCTGTAAGCACACCAGAGAAAGGCGTTATGCCAATACCGGCACTGCGATGTGTTAGAATGGTTTCCACAGACTGAGGGGTCTAACATACCCAAAGACCATACTGTATTCGAAGTCGTAGAACCGCTGAGCGGGTGCGCCAAACGGTCCGTCAAGACCGATCTTGATCGTCGTTCGTCCTCCTTCCTTAGCCAAATCACGAAGCGAATTTGTCCAGTCGCCATCAGCCTTGATATGGACCTGCATGGTGTTGTTGATGCAAGTTGAGACAGTAAATGGGTGCCACTGAAATCTGGACAGCTGCGGGACCTGTACGAAGACGTACTGGCCAGCTTTGTAGTCCCAGGGACGAGTCTTAGGTACCTGCGCAGTGATTGCGACAGTCTCATCATCTAATAATTCTAGATCTGCAAGAATAGGACGAAAGCTTAAGATCAAGCGCCAAACACGTTCAAATAGAACCATGAGTGTAGGGAAAGCGAGCCAGTAGCCGAACATGGGCCACTGCAGCAGATGCGCGGTACCGTGCGCCATCATGAAGCCAATGATAGGGAACATGAGCAGATGAGCCAGTTGGAAAACCTCGTAGCTCCATTTTCGTATCTGAGGCATGCTCATCAATGCGAGGAGATAGAACAAGCCGAGGGATGTGAGTCCGGTCCATCCTGGCAATGATCGAAGGTAGTCAGTATACGAGCGGGGCACTGCGTCCTGTCCAATGACATTGGCAACTGCGCCCTGCCGACTAGCCATACTTCCAAAAACGAAAGAGCCGCTGAGATGACCGATAGCGTGTAGTGTTGCAAACACTAATGCGACGATGGACATCTTGATGTGGAAACTCTGCGACAGATCCCAGTTGATGAACCTAGAGATGAAGTAGAAGCGCCGAAGGAATGTCGAGAGCCATCTTGACATGGACAAAATGAGGAAGAAGAAGGTTGGGTACAGCACGCCAGCACATGTCTTGGATAAGACAGCTCCCCATCCGAACGCAGGCGTATACTGATCAAAGGTAAGGTATTTGACAAACTGCCAAACGCCAAAACCGATCATCAAGAGGAGGACCAGAGCGAGAAACATGATTTCAGGCCCTTTCACGGCCCAGTACGCACGCGCACGTCGGTACATGGACACTTGCTTTAGGTAGTCGTCCTCGTCCTTTGCTTCCTTTCGATCTTGCTCCAATGATGGTATCTCCCAAGTCTTCACAGTCCTTGCGAAGGTGTCCCGGTTGATGTGGTCTTCTCGCGTTCCAATGACATGTCTGAGAAATGCATGTCGAGCTTCATCGCCCCGAGATCCATGGTGTAGGTTGTGCGGTTGCGCTTTGGGTGCTATCTCCTTGTGTACTTGATCCAACTTGCGTTCCAATTCCCAATAGTCGACATTGCCATCCTTGTCGTGATCGAGGTCGTCAATAAATTTCTTGATTTCTTCGTCGGTAAGGAACTGTTGTGAAGCCATCAACGTGCCGGTAATTCCAGAGAGGGATGTGATCGACTTGAGGGAGTAGGCGGTGGATCAGCTGCCATTTGTGGCTCAACGGCAACGGCCATCTTTAAGGTTTTCCTTAATCAGTTCCCTGATCGACTCATTTGTTTGTTGGTGGTCAATTCACGTAGGCCAAGGCGTTACGATGAAGTGTCACCAATGACAAGGGCTCAACAGTATGATGCTAAGACGACAAGAGCCCCCAAGACGGAGTCGGCGCCGGCGGACACGACTTGTAACACCTAGCGGAGCGGAATTTGCTTCTAGGCACAATTTCCGCCTACTGCACAGCCACTCAGCGGTTCGTCCAAGACCTCCGCCCAGGTGTTTGTTATGCATGCATGCACGGCGAACAAGGATGCTGGATGTCAGGAGGTGGCATCCAGCCACAAGATGTATTGGGTCAGCGCCACATATCAGGCGAAAACAAGGTCCAGAATGAAGCGTTTCCTGCCATTGCTGTGTAGACGGGATTCACAGCACCTACAATGTGGTCCCTTGTCTCCATAGCTATCCATTCACTCACTCATTCTAGTCACGAACTGGTGGCAATGTATATAAGTAAGATGGACGAAAATGGCCAGAACACGGGTAGGACATTAGAAGGTTTGGTGGTGCTGTCGCCCAAGACACCTAGGCTTGGCATGGAAGTAACGGCACATCCCATGTAGGCTACGTCATCCCAACTGCTTTTTGCAAGCCGACTTTCGACCCGCGACGCGTACCGCATCTCTTGTGCGATGCCCAAGACCGTCAAATAATCACCTCTAGATCGACCCACTCCCGGAAGCGTTCATATCTTTCCGCTTTTATTCAGGGTCTCCTATATGAGGCCTAGGCACTGCGCCACGACGTCATGGATCCCGTCTTTTAGTAGACAATGAGTCGCCCAGCGCGCGTGGGTGTGCTTGAGGCCCCATAATCGACGATGCGTACTTCTCTTGCTTTGCGCCCCAAGATGCATCCATACAAGCGCCTTTTTTCCCTTGCATTCGGCATTCCTCTGTTCTTCCCTGCAACGGAGCTTCCTCGGCCTCTGCGTCTACTACAACAATTTTCGATATCAACAACATGACCGACGACAAAATTGCCAGCACATCCGCCAAGACCGGCTCCTCGATCCAGCTGGCACACCGCAATGATCGTACCTTCCTCATGTCCGTGGTCCAGGCGCTGGTACGACTAATGCGAGCGCGCATCAGCAATCGTCAAGCGAACCATGAGGACGGCTCCATCAAACTAAAACCGAACAAATCGAACCTTTCCCAATGTACTCTCCGCGAACGAACCGTAGGCGATATTCACATATACGACGTTATACCACCGAACCAAGCAGAGAAAAGGTCAAAGAAACGGATATACTATTTCGCTGGCGGTAGTTGGCAAGAACCACCCTCGCCTCAACACTACAAGATATGCGCGAAGCTAGCCAAAGACATGTCCAACACTTCCATATCGATCGTATCTTCGCCGCTAGCCCCGAACGACCCCGCGCCAAAATCCTTTCCTGTATGCCAAAACACATATCGCGCTTTAATGGCTGAGGCAGAAGAAGCTGGGGAAAAGGTTATATTGGCAGGTGACTCGTCGGGTGCCAACATTGCGTTGTGTCTGGTACTGGAGGCTCTTCGGGAAGATAGTGAGCAAGAGGGCGTAGAGATTAAGCAAAAACCACATCCCGTTGCCATCATGAACGTATGCCCGTCGACTGACCTTACGCGCACCAATCCCGATATCGACAAGGTCGCACCTCGAGACCCTCTGCTCACACCCAAGATAATCAGGTTGACAGCGAAAGCATGGCAAGGTGACTGGGACCCTGCCGACCGCCGTATCTCCCCGATCAACGCCGATGTCTCACTACTTGCGAAGAAGGGCATCAAGGTGCATGGTATAACTGCTGGGTGCGATGTACTGAGCCCCGACGGTGTCATCTTCCGCAACAAGTGTGCCGAAGCAGGCGTTGCTGGCGAGTGGGTTCATTGGGAAAATCAAATGCATTGCTTCGTCCTCACCATGCCGTATGGGCTTGTCGAAGCAAAAGACGCCATCCAGTGGATCATTGATGTACTGAAGAAGGAATGAGAGGTGAGCCGTTGTCTTGTGTTTGAGTAAGAGATACCCTTGCATTTCATAAGTATGCGACTACTTAGGTTTAATATCACAGTTTATGAGTGCCTTCAAGGCCCAAACGCCCGCAAATTTCGCGTGTTTCCATGACCCTCACTTTCCGATACAGTACGATCATCGACCGTCATCGCGTATTCGTCTTTTCTTTTCCGCGATCTCTGCGCACTTCCGAATGTCTCAACATCACCACCAATATCTGGCTTCGACAGCTTCCGCCCCATCTCCACAAACTCATCGTTATTCGCATCAAGGAAGCCCAGCTCCACAAGCCGGTTTCGCACCTGCGTTTCGGTCTTCTCATCGTAGAAGAAACGACCAATACTCATGAAACTCTTCTGCACGAAGCTCTTGAGCGTCGGGACAGTAGCAGCGATCAGCGCAAGTTCGAGTTCCAGCATCGACCACAGAGTGGGCATAACCGTTATTCGGAAAATGTCGCGAGATGTGTATATCATGTTCGCACCAGCGACACGTAAAACAGCGAACGATGAAGCGAACAGTCCAAGACCCATTAGTACGCCTAGGAAGATCTTCTCGCCGCGCGGTCGATGTAGTTTTCGAATGAAGGTTATCGGTATAAAGGAAAAGATGAGGTCTGTAGAAACGTGCACAGCACTCGCAGCGACGATATTCCCTGTTCTAAGCTCCTGGGGTACACATTCCACACCGCCTTTCAGGAAGACGCTGGGATCCCAGTATATACTGAAAGGCCGGCATTGCAGAAACTGGAACAACGTTGATGTCATGGCTGTGAGAATGAGTAGTACGATTGTACCGTAGAGGAAGATGCGCCATGTGCGTGTTTGCTTGATGCGTAACAAGAGAAGGGCGACCGAGATCTTGACCAGGCAAATTGAAAAAATCCAAAGAGATTGACAGACGAAGATGAGTCGCATGGCGACGAGACGTGAGGCTGCGGAAACATATTTCGTTCGTTGACCGAACCCGTGGGCGCAGGCGAGACAGACGATGATGTATTTTGCTATCGCAAGAATCTGCAAACATTCGAGGTCAGATCTACGCTGGTAAAGGATAGAGCCTGACTCACCGTTGCTGCGACGGCTGTCCAATCGTCCAGATGCAGATTCCAAAACGGTCGCACTCTCGACCAGAGCCTTGCGGAAAGTAGCAGGACAGCAAAGAGTGTCAGGCTACCGCATACACCGAGGAGAAGTGGCGCCTGAGTGTCGTTGCGTTCGGGACCGGGCATTAGCTGTCTTACTATGAGGTTCATATCATCGTTCGCTGAATGCATATGGAGTGCCGATTCCATGCTAAGGTCGGGGCAAAAAGTAACGGGAAAGGAGGAAATGATTCAAACTACCATAAGGCACGACGATGAAGACTCTCGGGTCTATACATTTCGTACCTAGCCGCCATCCTCAGTCCTACACCATATCGCATAACAACCCTTCTCCCCAAGAAAACGACCCTGATTACTCAGGCTTCCAAGCCACACGACATTCGTTCGAGAGCGTCTCTCCTATTGGTCCACGTTTGGCGGTTCGCAAATACTACCCTGTAGCCATCGCGTCGTAGCGTGTCAGAAGTGTTTCGCGTAGTCGCAAAGTCGCGATTATCCATGTACCCCGCAAATCTGCGTTCCCGGATGATGTTCCGAGCTCTTGAGTTTATGCGGGTGTTGGTTCTTGTTTGAAATGGTAGGACAGGGCATGATGGATGCGCGATGGTGAGGATCAGGGAAGATAAAAGGAGTGGGTCCACAAGAGCGCAGGCTCAGTTGTAACGAAGAATTATCGTTTCTTAGATGCTGGAGAGCTGTGATGGCTTAGAGCAACGAACACACTGCTTGAGGAAGTGTGGGGGTGCTGATCCCGGATCGACATGGGCTCTTGATGCGTTCATATTGGGATATATTTTGAAAAAAAGTTCTTTTTTTACACATACGACTACAGGACACTAAAAATTAGTTCTCCCTCGCGATCCGTTAGAACTCGCAGTTCTATGTTAAGGTTAATTAACTAGTGCCCGCCTGTAACACGAGATAGCAAAGGCTAGATGAGGAGGACGATTAGTCCTAACATGCTTGCTTCTCTCGCTTACGCCTTGGCCTTAGAACCTACTTATAACCTACGTTCTACGCGTTAGGAGATAGTCAAGAATTATTCTTACAACCTCCCTATCTAGTGTAGTAATATAGAGCTTTCCCCTAATATTCTCTTATAGTGTAACGAAAATACTATTACCTATAACTACCCCTTACAAAGAACTAACTCTAGATTATCTTTAGACGATCTTTATAGTTACTAAACGTAAGGCAGAGAAAGCGCTAAGGGCAAGCTCGCGACTATTAGAAAGCTATCTAAAGCTGTCTACAGGCAAGCGTAAAGCGTTATAAAAAGCAGCACGATGGAAGAAGCAGAAACGTAGTGCTAGAGATAATATAGGTAGTGCCTCGCGTCCGCAAAATCCTTCGGCCAAGAAGATATTAGCGAGAAAGCTTGACGCATAGGTCTATAGAGTAGTCTGCTAAGTTTCCTTGTAATAAGTGCTTGTGTGTGGCTCTACAGCCTCAATCTTGTGTAGCCCGTTTTGGTGATGCGCGTGCATTGACTGACGGCGTGCATGGTGTGCACGTATACGGTAACCGTGCGACAGCTTACGCTGTCTACACTAAACGTATTTAGGTAACTACATTATAAAGCAGGAAGGACGGATAGGAGCTCTTCCGTGTCACTCTAGGTATAGTTAAGACTCCCGGTTATCTAAGTAGAGTACGCCCTGCAGATAGGCGCATGAATCCCGACGGAGACGGGATGTGCTGGTTTGATGAATCCGACATTTGCATCATAGCTGTGAACCGTAAGATTTGTCATGGGCACAAGAAATTTGGAGAGAAAGAAAGCAGCGTTGCATGGTACGAGCCGTAGCATCAGCGACGGCTCGCTATCACCGGCGTGGACAACCCGAGAATCCTGCTGATAAGCGACGCTCAGGAAGCCATGGGACCATGGAACGGCTCGAAAGTTACATGAGTGTTTGCTAGTCCAAGTCAGGAAATGCTTCCAAGATTAGATAAAACCCGATTGTTTGGGTCTTTTCCTATCAGTATCAGTACTTGTTCAAAATCCAAGCATGCACCTACGCCTTGCAAAGCCCTCAGATGAACCGGTCATCGTCGACATCTGCGCTCGTGCGTTCCTGGAAGAAGACCTCTTTGGCCGAGTAATTCACCCCTACCGAGCACAGTATCCTAACGACGTACAAATCTTTTGGCACGATTGGGTGCGCAATGATTGGGCCAATCCACGAAACAAGATCATCGTTGCCGTCATGACCGCCGAAGGTGGTGAGCATGAGAGGATTATCGGCGCAGCAATCTGGCAACGCCAGGGCGACGACCCAGGCGCGCAAAAGATTATCACAGAATGGACTGATCCCGGTACATTTCCCGCCTTGCTTTCAACCCACAACCGCGCACTAAACCCCTCGAAGAAGACGATCCTAGTCGATTCCGCGCCTTACACTAAACACTACTGGGCCGGTTCGTGCGCAACCAATTGGTACCTTTCGCTGTGCTGTGTGGATCCAGGTTTCAAGGGTCGTGGGGCCGGACGGCTGCTAGTGCGGTGGGGCTTAGATCATGCCGAGGAAGAGTGTGTTAGGGCGAGTGTAATGGCGAGTGAGGGCTCGGATGAGTTTTATTTAAAGTGTGGGTTTGATGAGGTGGTGGGGAATGCAAACGAAGGGGAAGGGAATCCATTACAGAAGGAGGATGTGAAGGGCGGGAACATCTTGTTTGCGTGGGTCAGGGATAGTAAGGCACTCGAAGAGAGAGCTCTGTAGTCGTCGTGGTCATTGTACAAAAACGCAGGCACTATCACTTCTGGCTACGTCGCTCGATCTTCGGGTGATTGTATGCGTCTTTCACGGTGTTCGCATAATCGACGGCCCTGCCGTATGACTCGACACAGCTACTTAGGCAGGCGAAGTAGCCCTGGCCGATGTGTATCAATTCCCTTCTTTACAGGTTCACGCTTGACTTCAAACTGCACGTCCTTCCGAATAAAAAGCTCTTGAGTGCTGTGCTGACTCTTCCGGTCGGATTCTTGCGTACTCCTACGCTCCAGCTCCCCGATCCCATCATCTGTGCCAAAACTGCGTTCCGCAATGGATGGCTTCCTATTGACCCTGACTGCGCCTTCGCTGGCGCCTGCTCGCAGTCGTGATGTACCGTTTTGACCACGATCAAGCCGGGACATCGGGTAGCTTTCGCCGTGATCGGACTGCGCAGTACTATGATGCACACTCGACATGTGCCCATAAGCGCCAGGATCGGAAGAGTATCCAAAGCCTGCTTTCTGACCGCTGCCGGTATCAAAGCTCTGGATGAACGACTTCAGACACGGTATCGTCGCGGCTATCAGCGAGAAGCAGAGCTGCGATTGCTGACAAATCAACGCTGTTGTGCGCTCGACACCGGGGTTTTCGACATGTAACGAGCTTTTCCAAGTTTTGTAGAATAACCCAGCAAGCATAACAAGGGGCAGCCGTAGCGCAAAAACTCCCAGTACCTGCAGCTTGAACACAATGTTCATTTGAAGACGGCGACACAGGTATGTGGGTATGAAGGCCAGCATTAAGTCGGTTATTCCGTCAGTGATTACGACGACCAAATAGCGAATTTCGATGCCATGGCAGATATCAGAGGGTTTCCTTGGCGATAAGCTCTCACTTGCGCAGCTAGCTGAGACTAGCACTGCAGATACAAGTGTCCACGTTACGATGACCACGGTGGCCACATTACACACTGCCCAAGCGTGCTTCATGTCACGTATGAAGAGGCGTCTTACCAGCAATATCAAGGCAGTCTTTGAGAAGCCGAGAGATATGTAGATAAAGACTTGACCGCGGGAATAGGTCTGTCCATGTGTTAGAAAAGTTTGCCGCGCTGGTTGGGGTTGTATTACAGAGACCATCCATGAGTATTGTTCGTCGGTAAGGGACTCAAATGATCGTGCCAGCCCAGCTGACAGAGAAGCAAGAAGTAGCGAGAACTGAATAACGTTGGTGATCTGTTGTTGTTAACACATCGATACGAGCAGTTTCGTGCTGGTGGCAACCATACCTGCGCAATCAGCATCGCTGCGTCGTCCAGTCCCAGCATGCGCCATCTGATGAATATCCGCGTGAAAAATGTAAGGCTGGTATAAGTGAAGGCGAGGAATGTGACAATATATAGGATCCCACTGTGGTCATCAGGCGTAACACGCGCCCAGCGATAGCCGTCTTGCACTGTTGCGGACATGTTGGAGTTGTTGGGAGATATGTGTGACAGTAGGCTTTGTCTGATAGACCATAGCTTCGACCTTGGAATTGAGAGCGTTTGCTACAACCCTTGGGCTGTCATCTCGCTGGAATCGCGTCTGTGCTCCCTTGTGCTGAACATTGCCCGTCTCTCATCTGGCGAGCTGCATGGGCCAGTGTCGGACAATGTGATGCAGCCGATGCGCGTTCCGCAAGCGAGCCGTATTGACAAGGCATCCAGTATCGGTGGCGCGTCGCAGAGGATGCGAAGGGTCCAAGTTGCATCGGCTCGAATGCCGCTTACCCTGCCGGGCGGCGTGCTAGCCTCCCCCGGGGCTTTGGCCGGCCCGTCCCCTGTACCACCAGCCTGTATCCACCCATCACGTCCTCTGAGTGGTTTCGTCTTGCAGCTGGCTTCTCAAATCTTTCCCGTGCTATTGAGCCAGGTGCATTTGCGCCATCTTTCCCATCCTTCTTAGTGTCATGGAAGCAATTTCCGGTCTTCTCGGTTGTCGTGTCGCTTGGTCGATGCTTCAACATTCGCACTCATTCCTTTCAACTCTCACACTCATTCCTGTCAACTTACACTCTTCATATTCGTTTTTCTATTATGTCAGACCTAAAGAATGAGGCTGCTGCCGTAGCCCAGCCTCTCGACAGCGAGTTACAACAGGATGGCATAGTTTCAGAAAAGAAAGGGACCGCTGGCGACCAAAAGGACATGTATCGTATGGGAAAGCAGCAGGAGCTGCGACGAAACTTCCGTTTTGTGTCGATCTTTGGATACAGCATGGTTTTGATGGCGACGTGGGAAACCATACTGACGTGAGTACGCATGAGCATTTGATCTGCGCTGTCTGACGTCCAGCAGAACTCTGATCATCCCATTAACGAATGGTGGCACCGGTGGCGCTATCGTCATGTTCCTCGTCACAGCGGTGGGCATGGGCTTTGTCATCGTCTCGATGGCTGAGATGGCTTCAATGTGCGTGGCGGCCCGTTGTTGGGGTTCCTTCGAGACGAGACAATTGCTAACTAGAACGAAGGGCTCCTACTTCCGGAGGACAGTATCACTGGGTGTCTGAGTTTGCGCCGAAGAAACACCAGAAGTTCTTAAGTTATCTTGTGTTCGTTGCCCGGAGCACCTTCATGAGCCTTATTACTGATCACATAGTAGTGGCTGGCTGTGTGTGCTAGGTTGGCAGACCGGAATTGCATCTATCGCCTTCCTTGCTGGCGGTCAGGTCCAAGGACTTGTCATCCTCAACAACCCAAACTACGTCCCCGAACGATGGCACGGTACCCTCCTGGTTATTGCCGTAGCATCGTTCTCGATCCTGTTCAACACACTGTTAGCTCGTAAGCTACCACTAGTCGAAGGCATTGTCTTAGTCCTGCACATCTTTGGATTTTTTGCCATATTCATCACAATGTGGGTCCTGGGGCCGCGTAGTCCATCCAAAGAGGTTTTCGGTGGATTTCAAGATAACGCGGGATGGGGCAGCATAGGTCTGTCTGTGCTGGTGGGACAGCTCTCGCCTATCTTCTCTCTCTTAGGTGCGGATGCTGCGACCCATATGTCTGAAGAACTAAAGGACGCCTCACACACACTTCCCCGCGCCATGATCTGGACGGCGGTAGTCAACAGCAGCTTGGGTTTCCTCATGCTGGTAACCTTCTGTTTCTGCCTCGGCGACGTGGAAAGCGCCATCTTATCGCCGACAGGGCAACCCCACATTCAGATCATGTACAACGCTACGCAGTCCATCCCAGGGGCTACAGCTCTAGCATCGATTACGACTATCATGGCAGTGTTTGGATGTGTCAACAATGTGGCAACATGCTCGCGCCAGCTCTTCGCCTTTGCTCGCGACCACGGCGTCCCTTTCAGTGCCTTTCTGTCCCGAGTTCGACCAGGCTGGGACATCCCTCTAAACAGCGTTCTTGTGTCTTTTAGTATCGCCGTTGGACTCTCCCTCATCAACATCGGCAGCACCGTAGCGTTCAACTCCGTTGCGTCACTAGGCACATGTGCTCTCCTCTCGTCCTACATCGTCAGCATCTCATGCATGTTCATCAAGAGGTGGAACAAAGAAGTTCTCCTTCCATGCAAGTTCTCGCTCGGTCGCGCTGGTATCTGGGTCAATGGTGTGTCCGTCATATACTTATGTGTAGCGTTGGTGTTTGCCTTCTTCCCCACATTTCCGCACCCAACACCTGACCTGATGAACTGGAATATTCTGATCTACGGCGTTGTTGTGGTATTTTCGCTGGTCTACTTCTTTCTCAAAGGGCGCAAGGTGTATGTTGGGCCTGTAGAGTATCTTAACAAAGATCTTTGAGCGGGGAGTTGAGATTACAGGACTAAATGGCAACAACAGAGCTTAACAGAAATGTACAAGTATTGTTTTAGGTAACATTTCTTCTATGTGCGGCGTACCTATCAAGTCGCGATTGATGTCTCAATACTCTCTAGTCGACTGACCAAAACTGTGGTAGTTAAAAACCAGGTAACAGATATTCCGCTCTTGCACAATATCACCTCAGTAACGATGCAAGGGGTCTGCATGATTATGATTTGCCTAATCCCTCCCAAAAATTCAACAATCCTTCGCGCGTATCACGTTGGTTCTTTGTGATCAGTAACGTCCCCTGCCCGCAAGCGAGAAATGCCCTATAAGCAAGGTAATAACTTTATCCATAGCCTCTACTACTACATAAATGTTAGAGAATATAAAGACGTATTCCTTATAAGATAAGTAGTTACTAGTATAGTAGAAGGTAGAGAAGTTAGTAAGATGTATAATCTTGTTTAGGTCTATAGGTATAGGTAATAAGTGTTAAACTTAAAATAAATATACAGTAGTACATGTTAAAAAGTAAGGGAGTAAGGGGTAGGTTCCTAAGTAGGTCGTTAATGCTTCCCGTGTTGAAGAGAAGCTCTCCCTTCTTATGGTCTAGATAGTTGAACATTAGATAGATTCGCACTAGGGAACCCTGTGCAACGGCACACTATATATGTGTATAATGAGAGAGTAGAGATAATACTGATAGTATTAGCATATGGATGGCGGCGAATCTGCGCAAGAAGGTGAAACTAGCACCATGTAGTGGCCTACTATCTATAGCTTTGATTTTACATGCATTTGTCACCTTTCTTCAGCCTCGTAACAGTGCTCTGAAATCCAAACGCTGCATGTCGTAAACCATGCATACCGTCTTCTCTTCTGTGATTGTCAACCACCAACAACCCATACTGTAGCTTCTGCTTTGCAATGTGCTTATCGACGGGATCGGATCCTAGGCAATGGCCTCGGGCCCAGTCATCGAGATCTTTGTTGCGTGTTGTTCGAATGAGGCCAGAGAATGTGTTTGTGTGGCCGACACCGTTAGACCAAAGAGCATGAAGTCCTGCAAACATAATGATGATTGTTACAAGAGCGGCTGCTGCGTAAGAGAGGAGCAGTGAGCGTGAATTGTATGAATAGACTAGTTTCGTTGCTGAGACTATTAGATCGGCAGGCGTCGTGGTGAAATTGTCGGCTCTATGGCCAGGGAAGTTCCTGATCATTATAAGCAATGGCCAAAATCAACAATGTTAGATTCACTCACAATAGGGGTCCTGCGCTGAAAAAGCTAAGCGTAGCATTCTCGCTAAGCGCCTCAATGGCACTTTCCAAGGATGCCGCCGGACATGTCGCTTCGAGACCCCACGCCATAGCCGCTGCTGAGCTCATTTCAGGGCATCCTATCAAATCGGTTTGCAGAATCTTAGTTGTCCATGAGGTGTCTCCCGTGGCACCACTCGTCTTCACTACGCCAGTGAGTATCGATGCAACTGCCGTGTGCCATCCCTGGTACGCACACCAGTCATATTTACAGTAGTTCCAATCCGTGCCATATCCCAGAACGAAGCGGTTATCGTAACGAATATCAGTGACAGCGACACTTTGCTCGCCATTAACAAAAGAGAAGTCTACAGTGTATGTGACATTCCATGTCTCGCAGGTGAAGTTGCGCATCGGCGTGGCAAACCATATGTCGAACGCGTACTCTGCAGGCAGAGCTGCATAATCGAATGAGTGGATCGGAACTGTAGCGTTATAAGTCGTCGTGACGGAGTTTGTATTCGTAGTGTTCACTTGCGCCAGATCGAACGCAGTGTGGTTCTTCACATCGCCGCAGCGGAGCTTCGGTCCCTGAAAGGTAAGTGTATATGTGTAATTCTGATGTATAGGGAGCATTGGAAGAATGCTACCAGTATACGCTGAGCTGGTAACTATGCGATACTGAATTGGGCCGGCGTCGGTGAACGTCATCTCAGCGGCAGCGTGGTACTTAAAAGCCATATTCCGCCAATCGATAATAGGCACAGGCGAGTTGATTTGTTGCTGAGATACTGAGAGCGCAGCTGTCAAAGTTGCTGGCGGTATTATAGCGGAAAGCGGCAAACACCTGAATTGGTCAGCTAGTTTAACATGAACGGGCTTATTCTCAAAGCGTACCATATCGCCAACGCAATAACAGCTGATGTCCAGGCTTTCATCAGGACTTCCAGATTCAAGAAGCAAGCAGGGTTTGCAAGAAGTCCCATAATGTCATCGATACCTTTGATAGAGATGGGACGACTACGCAATACTTTCCAATAGTGCTGCTGATACGATATGGCTGCACTTGCTATGAGGCACGCCTTCGCGAGGAACGCTAGACCTGTTCCTATCCGAACAGCCCATTCCTGCTCGGTTTCCGCGACTGGCTCACCATCCAAAGAGTTGTAATAGAAGTGATGCGCCATCGCAAACGCGACGCCAAGAAGCATGAAAAGGATCATACCAAGTGGAACTCGACGTGAAATATGCCAGCGGTCAGCCTTCGTCGTGACATTGGTATCAAAAGGGTTGAAAGGAGCATGCTCGGCAGGGTGAGCCTTTGGCGTCTTTGTGGTATCCATAAGGAAAGGGTCATCCAGCTAGTCTTTTGGTGAGTGAGGTTCAATGCAGATGCTGTAAGGAGCGGACATGGCCGAGGTCTACAGCTTTATATAGAGGTCACGGGCTGTGTATGTGTGCAAGCGATCACGCGAAACGTCGGAGACCTTGTGGTGCGCTGCATATGCACAATTCCCTCGAAATTACAGCAAATGCTTGGCAGCCCGATGAACGAAAGTGGTTTCTCTGCGAAGGAAGCTGCGTTTATAAGGTTTATTTCCCTCTCCAAGGGGATTTCATTGGATCCAAGAGAATCCATGCTGGTGAGCGACTTGAGACCCGAAGACCGTGTGCTCTTGAAGGTTTCATACTTGTGTTAGTTGCAGACAGATTCAAGGCTAGAAGGTAAAGTTAGGCGCTACCGTGCCGGACGGTGAAACGCCTTGGACGGCCTAACGCCCGATCCGCCCCACGAACCACCGCCACCACCACCACCTTTATTACGCCGCGACCACCCCAAATGGAATCTAACGATGCTGTAGAGGCTTTGGTACCTGAAGAAAAACTTGTATACACGCAAATTGCTAGAAAGTATGGTGTTGAGCCTACAACGCTCAGGCGGCACTAATGTCTATCTACCTATTACGATTGCTGCCGAAGAACAGCGTACGACAGGGCGACAAGTGAAGCGGGGCAGCACTCGCTTGCACCACCAGTCACGTGGCCTACCATCCAGTCTTGGGAGAACCATCCATGGATGGCAACACCAGCCACGCGAAGAGAGGGATGGCAGAGACAGAAATTCACGGTACTCTTGTATGTAGACCTTACGATGCACTCTCATAGCTCATCGTGTTCAACTTTGCAAACATCCTTGTGTAACGTAGTTTACAAGCGAGTGACGCACCCAAGCGAGTGACGCACCCAAGCGAGTGACGCACTTTTGCCAAGACCTCACCAAAACCACGACTACACACGACTGTACAGCACCGTTAACAATAGTAATTAGAAATCGTAATACACTATTCTACTTAGAATCTACTTCTGCATCCTACTTACATGTGCGCGAGTTGTGTCCTACCTCGCCGCAGCGTCTACAGCGTCTTTAAGACGATTCGCCTACTTTAACGCGCGCCTTCTTCTTTGCCTTCTTCTTATCGCTGCGCGCGCTAAACTCCTTTAGAGTTGTTAGTTAAAGACCTTCCTCTACTATAAGGGTCCCCTCCTTCTGTACTCGCTTTCTTTTATACAATTTACGTCGCGTAGCAGCCTCGTTAGCTGCTTTAAGCTTAGCGATACGCTTTTACTGTCAAGCAATAGAGTCTTTATAGATACGAGATGCACCGCGATAGTGGAAGTAGAGGTATATTGCCTTGTAAGACTAGAGACGAACCGCTGTCGAGCCACAACAGCGGTAAGGTAGGCTAATATACTGCGATTGCTTGGCATACCGGCCCGAACGGGCCCGGAGTAACTTGGTGCCTGACATTTACGATAATACTAAAGTATACGCTATTATCTCTGCGCCTTTAGAGAGGCTTTTTACTACCTTAACTATTAAAGTAGGCGAGCTATCTATATGCCTCTAAAACCTCTTAAGATGTCACGATGTTCCATCACCACAGGATTCCAGCCACAGACTGGTGAGCCACCGGGAACCCTTCGGGGCACCGTCGGCTCACACCAGCCACAATCACGTGACGTAGGTATATATCATCCCTCTGAGAGGCTTGATAACTCCTCAAGGATTCGTCTCAATACAAGCCTATACCGATATCTCAGTGCCTGCCCAACTACTCCTCACATAAGAACTAGCTTTGTTTAAGACCCTAGTTCTACGGTATTTGTGAGGAGTAGTTGGGTAGGCACTGAGATATCGGTATAGGCTTGTATTGAGACGAATCCTTGAGGAGCTATCAAGCCTCTCAGAGGGATGATATATACCTACGTCACGTGATTGTGGCTGGTGTGAGCCGACGGTGCCCCGAAGGGTTCCCGGTGGCTCACCAGTCTGTGGCTGGAATCCTGTGGTGATAGAGCATCGTGACACCTTCGTAGTGTTGCTTCAGAGACGCTATAGATAGCTCTAGCGCGTCGCGTCGTTAGTGTCGCGTCTCTTTAGATAGCCTGTATCGCAAGCTGTATATCTGCTTCGTTTGAGATTACTTTCACGCTGTTGCGTTGAGGCATTACGACTTAATTGAAGTTTGGTGAGGTCTTGGCAAAAGTGCGTCACTCGCTTGGGTGCGTCACTCGCTTGTAAACCACGTTAGCAATCTAAGGATTACTACTTGTTTCTCAACCACCGTGTTGTTACATCGATCTACCATCGTGCTAACACACCAACCAACCCGTTCGCTCGAACTCACTCATACCCTGAGAACCAACCTAGACCATCTAAGGACAATTTTCACATCTCGTTGCTATGTCTGCTGCTATTACTGCTATCCTATCTATCCTAGATGTTGGGGATGTTTGTGATGGTTTGCTATCCCTTCATGCACAACTACCCTGGACAGCTAGCCTTAGCGGGGTATTAATCACGTGATTGGAGCACACTGTGCTGATCATTATCCTTTGCTTCGTGCGACGGTTGGCCTTCAACCTCGCACCCTTTGCGGAAGGGATTCATCCTGTGTGTGTTCGTAACAGAGTGATACACATTGTATTAGGTTGATGTATGTCACCTCTCCTATCTCCCCGCCTTCTTAATGCGTCCTTTCTCTCGCAGATTGTAGTTGCAGGGGCTGGGTCTTGTTCAAGAGCGTCTGTAGCGCTTACGCGCCAGTGTATGGCACCTGGGCGGAGTAAGCCACCAACACCAGATTGTGTGCTAATAGCCTGTATGCAGAAAAGAGGGTTACTCCATAGAGGAAAAGTAAGGGACTTTGTGACAGTCGCATGAGTGAAAGCTAGGCTTCCCGTCCGCTCAGCCATATACAAGCAGTGTACCGGCGGATTAGTAGTTCGGTGGGTAGCCACTAGCGAATCCCCGCTGTTGTATGTTTTTGGTTTTTGCTCACAATTGTCAATCGACACACACATCATTTTTGCCTACCGTGCAAACAACAGGGACTGATCTGTGCGAAAAGGATGAAATATCTGTGGGGTGTAGCTCCTAGAACAAACTAAGTTTGTAAGCCAACAGCTGCGCATGTCGATCACCGACGATTTTTAGCTGAACACCATATCTTCTCAAACACTTATGATCATGACCCGTCAGATATCATATATTGTTCAGTCTTAGGTGTGCACTGCTGACTGCATGATGCTCACCGATGGCGTTGTTGGGCCTTCCGTATGCTATGACACAGGCTAGAACGCCCCGCTGTCAGCACCTCCATAAATGGGTACCTAGGTATCAGCGCAGGGTCCTCGAAGATCCTACATAGGTAGAGCCTGCCAGGTCTGAAGTGCGCTCAGAATGGAATACAGTGTAGTGAAGCCATCGGTCGTACAGCTCCTGCTCGCCTCGTTGATTGCTATATGTGTTGATCAAAGAAGAAAAAACATTTCACTTACGATTTGCGCAGTATTTGTTCTATAGTATCTTTCAGGCGATCTACAACATAACCTTGCATCCGCTCTCCAAGTATCCCGGACCGAAGTTGCGTGGCGCTTTCTACATATCCAACTCTATCGATGTCCTTACTGGAGATGTGCCACAGCAATGCCTGAAGCTTCATGGGCAGTATGGAGATGTTGTGCGCATCAACCCGAACACAGTCTCCTTCGTCAAACCAGAGGCATGGCGAGGTAATTATTTCAACTTTAGCTCGATCGAATGCTACATTCGTGCGACTAACCTTGGCTAGATGTCTATGGTCATGGCACCACTATGCCACTCCTAAAAGATCCTGAATTCTACTATCGTCCCCCCACAGACATGATTTGTATGTTTAAGTTTTAGCCATCACAATATCTTTCCTGATATCGCATAGCTGCTAACAACTCGGACCATGCTCGAATTCGTCGGCCACTCAACCACGCCTTCTCCGAGCAAGCCCTCCGAAGTCAGGAGAGTATCATCACCTCGTACATTGAACTGTTGATCGAGAAGTTGTACAAACGGGCCGACACTCAATCCTCTGTCGACATCATGCGCTGGCTGAACTTTACAACATTTGACATAACTGGCGACCTGACATTTGACGAACCATTTGGCGCACTCGACAGAGAAGTGTATAACTCTTGGATAGACAATCTTTTTAATAGTTTAAGGTTCGCTGGGATTATTCTAATCATCAAGCGCTATCCTATCGTTGGGGTTCCGGCTACGCGCTTGTTGAAGTGGATGCCTGCATTGGCGAAAGCAGAGTTCGAGCACAACAACTTCACCGAGGAGAAGACTGCGAGGAGGTTGGCATCCAGAACTGAGCGTAAGGATATTCTCAGGTAAGTGGCTGCACGGCTTTATTCAGCAAACGACTTGCTGACTGGAGTTGAAGCTATGCTATCAAGAACAATAAGGGGGAAGTGACGGACCTGGAGCTCAAGCATTCGTGTGGTACCATCATCCTCGGAGGGAGCGAGACTTCTGCCACGCTTCTGAGTGGTGCAATCTATTACCTTCTTAAAAACCCGGCTTGGATGGAGAAACTACGCCAAGAACTTGCAACTACTTTCAAGACCGACAGTGAGATCTCTTTCGCCTCATTAAGTCAGCTCAAGATCCTCAACGCCGTCATCCAAGAAACCTTCCGCATCTACCCACCAGTACCAACAGCCCTTCCTCGCATAGTTCCAATCACTGGCGCAACAGTATGCGGCGATACCCTACCGCCTGGCACGCAAGTCGGTATCTCGCAATATGCCATGTATCATAGCTCGTCTCACTTCACCAACCCTAGCGTGTACGCACCAGAACGTTTCCTTGGCGTTGAGCAATATGCAGGGGATAAGCGTCATATTATCCAGCCTTTCAGCGTAGGGCCACGGAACTGCATCGGCCAGAGTCTCGCGTGGGCTGAGATAAGGAGCATTCTAGCGAGGCTAGTGTGGCATTTCGAATTTGAGTTGCTCGATCCGAAACAGAGATGGGACGATCAAAAGGTTTTTGTGCTGTGGCAGAAACCGAGCTTGATGGTGATGTTGAGAGCGAGAGATTCCGGATTGTGAGCCATTTCTTCAGCCAGATGCGAGCGTTAAGGCCTTAGAACTTGGCAAGTATCAGACGATCTAGGTGTTTGCCGAACGGACCAATGCTCCTATAACTAGATGTTTTGGCATATAGTCTCTTTACTGCTACGATTGAGTTTTATGGTTGACGATGCTGAGTCGGCAGTGATGGAGCGATTTGCGTGATGAAGCATATACTTTGAGGCAGCTTAAGATGGTGCTCACTCTAGGCCCGTAATGACGTACATATTTTCCACGCGGGAAGCGGAAAGAGGTTTAGCGGTGCTCGGTCTAATTATCCTATTTCCCCGATTCGGGTGGGAAAGTGCAACACCATGACGGCTGTCACAACGGCCTGTGAGCCTTCAAATCATTCCCTTGGGCAAGACACACTTCAATGTTACATTAGAGGTGGGCTTTGTGGTATGACGAGGTCTGATAGCGCATGATCTTCTCCAGTCCTCATCATCCACCACGCGCTCCAATATGCCGAGATTACCTGCAGGGCTAATCATTGTCCCACTCTGAGACCCGGCTCACAACTTCGCTCGACAACATCCCGTAAGCTACCTGCAATACCAACCGGAGGTTACGGCTCATCAATAGCACGACATGGATCCACCATCGATGTTACCCCGCAGCCATCCGTACTCGGCTGTAATGCTGCATATCGCCGGACCACCAGTGCTTTAAAGCCAGACTATCGCTCTGCTGGGAGATGATAGACAGTACAAGATGACTTAAGAAAAGCTACCCGAATTGCTTATGCGGCAGGTAGCATAGTCGCGGACCATCGCGTCGCTGCCAAGTGTCATGGAAGGAATAAATAGTCTGCGCGGGGAAGCGCAATGAGGAATGCTGCGTAGTTGCCTCTTCCGCTGAGTTGGTTGTTCTCACTGAAAGTGTTTTTGCTCAACTTAAATCATGGGCATTCTTTCCGTGAAACATGCCTCGGCGTCCCTGCTGTGTGTATTAATAACAATTACCAACGCGCAGTATAACTCCTCACAACCACGATCCGGGTTTGAATATGTCGATCCTCTCATTGGAACAATCAACGGAGGTAGGGCCGCGAAGTTCTTGGGAGAAGCGAGGAACGACTGATCATCCATAGGACATGTATTTCCTGGCGCAACATTACCATTTGGTGGGTGGCCATCTTTGGCATATAGACCAGAATGTACTAACAAGTTCCAGGTATGGCGAAGGCGGGGCCCGACGTAATAGGCGAAAACCAAGGAGGTTTTTCTTCTAACGACTCAGAACCTATATATGGTAAGAGATGTTCCTATACAAATCTACATGTGAGACATACACTAACTTCTTATATCAACACTCAGGATATTCTCATATGCACGACTCGGGTACGGGTGGCTCACCCTCACTTGGTAACTTTCCAATCTTTGCGCAATCCGGATGTGCAAACGATGATATCAACGGGTGCCAATACACAAAGTCTCAGAGAGCTGTCGAGCGTATACCTGGAAGGGTGCACGCGAAACCTGGCTATTTCGATATCACACTAGCCAACAACATCAGGACCGAATCAACAGTTACAAATCGTACGGCTTTGTATCGCATCACATTTCCGAAGACACCGACGACACCGAATACCACGCTGAGCCCACATATCTTAGTTGACCTAACAGATCTGCCGAACACGAGAAGCGAAGCAAACATCACTGTGGATGCCGGAACTGGACGCATAACAGGTGGTGGAGTGTTCTCGCCATCATTTGGAATCGGTACATATAATGTAAGTTGTGACTGTACTAAATGCATGTGAGACACACACTAACTTTGTGTCTTCACTTCTGCAGTCATACTTTTGCCTCGACTTCGATGGTGCGAAGGTCAAAGATGCCGGCGTATGGTCCAACACGCGCGCGACAAACAGAGCGACAAGCCTACGGATTGTTCCAGGCGACGTACGACAAACACCCAGTAACACACCGGCGGGCGGATGGGTACAGTTCGAGAAGCCCTTTCAAGATAACCAGATTCATGCGCGAGTCGGAATGAGCTTCATTAGCGAAAAGCAGGCTTGCGCCAACGCGGAACGCGAGATACCCTCATGGGGATTTGACGACATTGTTGCGGCCGCTGAGACTGCATGGCGTTTGAAACTTGACGTCATCACGATCGAAGACGGCGGTGTTGATGAAGTCTTCCTCAAGGCTTTCTGGTCCGGTGTCTACCGCTCAATGATAAGCCCTCAAGACTATACTGGCGAAAATTTACTTTGGGTGTCTGATGAACCATACTACGACTCCTACTACTGCATCTGGGATAGCTTTAGGTCGATTCATCCTCTGATAACACTGCTTGACCCGCACAGTCAAACGCTCATGATAAGGAGTTTACTTGATATTTATCGTCATGAGGGATGGCTGCCGGATTGCCGCATGAGCCACTGCAAAGGTTTTACGCAAGGAGGCTCGAATGCAGACATCGTTATCACAGACGCATACTTGAAGAACATTACTGCTGGTATCGACTGGGCACTAGCATACGAGGCTGTCGTCAAGGATGCGGAAGTTGAGCCACCGAACTGGGATGTCGAAGGTAAGATCACAATTTCTGAGTAGATAAAACCTCTATACTGACTACTCAGGTCGCGGTGGTCTCGTATCCTGGAAAGAGCTGGGGTACATCCCTACCGAGAATCTTGACGTCGAAGGCATGGGTACGGAGACCCGCTCTATCTCCCGAACTGTTGAATATGCCTACAACGACTTTGTCATCGCTCTTCTTGCCCGCGAACTCGGCAACACAGCCGACTACCAGAAGTACCTCGATCGCTCCGGCAACTGGCAGAACATGTTCAAAGCCGATCAACGTAGCATTATTAATGGTACTGATACCGGGTTTGAAGGCTTCCTACAACCCCGATACCTGAACGGCACATGGGGTTCTCAAGATCCAATCTTCTGCTCGCCACTACTCAATTTCACTGGCTGCTACCTCAACCCTAGCGGACGCGAGACCTACGAAGGCCCGGTGTGGCTGTACACTTTTTTCGCTCCTGGAGATATGGTCACTCTCATCCAGACCCTTGGAGGCCGCGAGCGCTTCGTCGAGCGTATGAACTGGCTGCACGAGTCCGGTGTACTTTATCTCGGCGATGAGCAAGCTTTCCTCAATGTATTCCTATACCACTACGCCGGCCGTCCTGCTCTCTCTGCTGAACGCGCCCATCAATACATACCTTCTCTGTTCAACGATACCGTCGTCGGCATACCTGGTAATGACGACAGTGGCGCCATGGGATCTTTTGAGGCTTTCGTCATGATGGGATTCTTCCCCAATGCCGGACAAGATGTTTACTTTATCATACCGCCTTTCTTCGAATCTATCTCTATCAAGAACGGTCAGACGGGCAACACAGCAACGATTCGAAACATTAACTTTGATGCGGGTTACAAGAATATCTACATCCAATGTGCTACCCTCAACGGTGTATCCTATGCGCAGAACTGGATCCAGCACAATTTCTTTTTAGAGGGGGGTGTCCTGGAGTTAACACTAGGTCCCCAAGAAAGTGGTTGGGGAAGGGAACCGGAAGATGTGCCTCCTAGTCTGGGGCCGTTCACGAACAATACTGTGCCGAGTAATGGATCGGTCGCTGTTGATCGAAAGTGGGCGATACCAAGAATGGAGTTTGGCTTCGCTGGTAGTCAATGAGAAACAGAGAGCTAAACCCTAGATACTGAAGCTAAAACAGCAATAGACCTCGCAAAGCGCTACTGCGACTTAGCACCGGTTATGAAAGTGCCTTGTATGTTGCTTTCCATCATGACTGTGCCTACCTTGAGTCAACTTCAAAAGCCTCAAGCAAAAGGCTTTGCTAAGGACAAAAGATTACAGCACGCCCTCTCTTGTACACAAGTGAGCGTAACTAGCTGTCAATAACCCATCACATATTACTTCTTTTTCCAATTGCACAACTTAGAAAACATGGCATTCCCCCAATCATAAATAGCACTATCTTTCCAGTCGCTATTCAACATGCCGACGCCCAGCCCCAAAAGCGATCGTAAACACGGTTTAGATATGGAACAGGAGAGGAACCAATAAGAAGCGCAACAAAGCGATGAAGTAGACGGCGCAAAGTGTTGTATCGCGAGTATTTGGTGGAGCCATAGGCACGCGTCAACAATGAATGACCTTCAGCATCCTTACCGTAGGCGAAGCACTGGCAACTAACCCCATCAGATTCGGAATGACGAAATCTTGAGACAACGCTTGGGCAACCAATACTATCGTGCAGCGCTGAGGTCTTCTCAAGTTTCATGAATCCTTCAAAAGTTGTGGCGATCGAAGAACGACTAAGTTTGTATTCATCGTAAAGCTATTATAACGAGTGTGTGTTTTCATGATCGAAAGTCATGAGTAAAGAGAGACCATGGGTCAATCCAAGGAGACAGGAGACCAACTACTCCACCTCCATCTTCATTCTAAATGTGACAATTTGTTCCATCCACCACCAATCTGATTCGACCTAGTTTTACTTTTCTCTAACAGCAACAGCACCGTTCAGTCCAGCACGGGCCTCGGCATCCTCGCGACTAATCACGCGGTGAGCGCCGGACCAGATACCAAAACTACGCTTGATAGCTTTCCAGCTCTCGATTGCGCTGATGTAGATGACGACGCAACCGAATGCGACACCCCACTCCCAGGTAATAGCACCATGCTTGAATACCTTCTCATTAATGATAGGGATGTAGACAATGGGGAACACAACGACCAGTCCTGCCATGACAGCGAAGAAGAGGAAGCGGTTGCGCCAGATAGTAGTGAAGACAGATAGACCAGCAGGAGCCGACGAGGGAGAGTTGGGATACATGTTGAAGAGGGAGCGAGCGAAATGCTTGACTTCCCACGCCGTGACGAGGAGAAGAAGGGTAATGGTAGCGTACGTTGTGGCGCGGGCGCGGAACACCACCTCGCATGTATCGTTGTACCCCTCGTTACATCCAGAGCCGAGATTGCCTCCACCAGGGCCGACGTATGCGACGATAGCGAAGGAGAAGAGACACAGCGCTCCCATGAAGAAGCCGTAGATGAACTTGTCTGTGATCAACTCGGCTGTGAAGACACCCTTCTTGTTGTCGTGTGGTGGTCGATACATGCTGTCTTCCTGTGATTCTTCGAGACCAAGACCGATGGCGAGGAAGGAAGAAGTAATGAGGTTGACCCAAAGGATCTCAATGGGGGACAGCGGGAAGACAGAGTGGTTGTCTTGATCCTTGAAGGCGAGACCGATGAGAAGGAGGATGACTTGAGCGATGTTCGAAATAAGAAGATGCATAAGGAACTGCAGCATCGAACGTTAGTGGATGAACTTGGTATGTAGAGGAAGAGGACTCGGCATACCTTCTGAATGTTATCGAACAGACGTCGACCTTCTTCGACGGCCTTTACAATAGACGCGAAGTTGTCGTCAGTTAGAACCATCTCAGCGGCGTCTTTAGCGACGTCGCTACCAGTACCCATAGCCATACCGACGTTCGCCTGTTTGAGCGCCGGTGAGTCATTGACACCATCTCCGGTCATGACACAGAAGCGACCCCTACGATGGAGAGCTTGTACCATCTTGACCTTGGTAGTCGGACTACACCTAGCAATGACAAGTGGCAGCGTCTCCATAGCGTCGACCTCATCTTCAGTCATCCTGTCGAAGTCTTTGGCGACCATGACAGCTGAAGCAGGGGTGCGATCGTCGATGATGTCCACATCCTTAGCAATGGCTTTCGCCGTACCTGGAATTTTGTCAGTACATGTCTCACTCACAGGTCGTAGAGAGATAGTGCATACCAGGATGGTCACCAGTGAGCATGTGGACCGTGATGCCAGCAATCTTACACTCGCGGACAGCACCCTTGGTCTCCAAGCGAGGTGGATCATAGATGGCAACAAGACCGAGATAGTTGAGGTTGGCTTCCACGACGTCACGTTCCGAGATGTCAGTGCCGGCTTGTAGTGTCTTGTGAGCGATACACAGGACGCGGAGACCTTGGTTAGCCATGCTCTCCGCAGCTTCCAGGATCTCAGTCCGTTCCTGGTCCGAGACGTTGAGCGCAGGCATCATGAATTCGGTTGCTCCCTTGGTGTAGACGTCCATGAAACCTTGGTGGTTGTCCTTGTATACAACAGTCATCTTCTTGACCTTGGAGTCAAAAGAGAACTCAGTGGCGAGATGGATGTTAAGATTGGCAAGTAGCCTCTCCTTACCCATGTTGAAACGGGAAGCGAGGACGTGCAACGCGACTTCGGTTGGCTCACCGTGCGCTATCCAGGGTCCGTTCGACACGTCTTGCATGATGGCAGTAGGCGGTCGTGAGATGGTGTCGATAGTGGAAGCATCAGTGTCGCGGTCATCACCACTGATGGACTGATCCATGGCAGCAGCCTTCTTCTCACTTGGAGAGTCAACATGAATATCAGATGGCGGTATGACCTTGGAGTTGTTGCAAAGAGCGATAGTACGCAGGAAGCGCGTGACAACAGGGTTTGGTCTATAATCATCCAGGTTGAGGAGTTGGTCATCTAGAGCAACATTGCCGCTACTAGGGTTGTGAGGGTCTGTAATGGCATCGATGGTGAATGTGCCGGCGCCATGCATTAGGGCCGTCTTTGCGACCATGCGACCTTGGGTAAGGGTACCAGTCTTGTCAGAACAGATGTTTGTGACACCACCCACAGCCTCAATAGCCGACTGGACCCTGGTAATGACGTTTGCTTTGGCCATCGCTTTGCCACCAACAGCGATTGTAATCGTGAGGACTGCGATGAGCGATTCGGGGATGACAGCTACAGCAACACAGATACCATAGATGAGAACCTCTCCGCCGACCTGCCATTTGCTTGCAGAGAAGACGATGATAGCGAGGATGATGGCAAGACCAAAGAGTAGGAGAGCAAACTTGCTCAACGTGATCTGGAGTGGTGTCCCGACAAGGCCTAGAATAGTCTTACCGCCATTCGTGAAACGCTTGAGGATTCGGACAAATATATTGGTAGATTGTGGACCGACGTCTTTCTTCTGGCGGAGCATAGTAGCGATCTTTCCGACTTCAGTGTCCATACCAGTAGCGACTACGATACCATGGCAACGCCCAGATGTTACCTCACTACCGGAGAAGGCAAGGTTGGTCTGGTCACCAGTGGCAAGGTCTAGCTCGTCAAAGGTCTTCCATGGTGTCTTCTCCACAGGAGCGGACTCTCCTGTGAGGAACGCTTCGTTGGTGTAAGCGTTAACACCATCGATGAGGCGGATGTCGGCGGGTACGATACTACCAACGGACAATTGTACAACGTCGCCAGGGACTAGATCCACTGCCTTGACTTTGATGTCCATTGTGCCATCGCGAGTAACGGTGGCCTCGGGTGCGGTAAGTTTTTTGAGAGATTCGATAGTCTTCTCGGCTCGGTAGTCCTGCCAGAAACCGACGACGATGTTCAGGAGGATAACTGCGGTAATAACGCCGCCTTCGATGTAGTCATCTATGCCAAAGCTTATGGCCATGACAATGATAAGGACGAAGGTAAGACTGTTAGAGATCTGCCTTAACAGAATTTTCCACATGGAAAGCCCTTCAGCTCCCTTAACCTTGTTAGGGCCATAGAGCTGGAGGCGAGATTGCGCTTCAGCATGAGAGAGTCCATGGCTGCGATAGTCAGCAGGAGCACAAGAGATGTAAGCATGGACAGTGAGCCTCACTGAATGTCCACTCGTAGTTTCTGTGCAACTTCCTCGGAGGTGAGGGTATGCGGAGCGTGGAGTGTGGGCGAAGTGTCGCCATCGATAGGGTTCGGCTGGAGTTGCCTTTGGTTTGGTGCAGTATGCGGATCCTTACTACCACATATAGGGGGTTCATCGACGTTAGGAGAAGTCTCCTCGACGGCAAGTAGTACAGTTTCACCCATTCAAGTATATGTGATAACACTGGTAGTGTCGGTGGTGAAGAGAAAGGATACGCCTTTGCGGGGGAGTCCTTATAGGCAGTTTGTCCTACCAGGTTCAGGCGGGGTTAGCACGCTAGACGAGCTACGTGGGTCCCCCCAAGCGTGGAGAGGCTTGGAACTCCTTGTCCACCACGCCTCATTAACGGTTACAAACGTCTACACTGCAGCGCATGTTGCATTGGCATGTACAATCATAATGATCAACTGATTCCGTTGAACAAACAAGTACCCACAGCTTTGATGGCAAGACCAGTAATCTACGAACGCTGTGAGGCCGGGCTTACTGGACTGCTCATTGACAGAACGATAAGAAGCTTGGCTGACGGATCCAAGAAGTCCGGTCGCCGCTTCCCGGTTCTAAGTGTCGACTGTGTGGCTTTGAGCCACTGTGCCGCGATGCCGAGATGTCTCGGCTGTTGGCGTTGAGTACAATCGGAGTACTCGTCGGTATGGTGCATATTGTTTTCTCGCAGTTTCCCCGTGGAGGGATCGAACGACTCCGCGTTTTGCGCGCTCTATGTGGAGCCATGTTATGCTTTTGGACAGTAGCAGGACTATCCAGGATATGTGTTTCCGGGGTAGAGATACGATAGTAAGCATCGCTGTCGCATATGACAGGTTGATGTTTGCCACGTATGCCACTTAAGGCTTGTGCGGTTACAGGTGTGGCGGCACCGCCAATGATACGTCTCGCAAACCAATACACCTTTATGGGAACGCGTAGGTATACTGCACTAGACCTGCAGTGCATCGAAGAGTCGTTGCGAGGCCCAGTGAGCATTGTCGTGGAGGATTGGCCCGAGGAATGTGGGGAGCGTCGCTTCGCCTGCCTACACAGTGTGCGAGTGGTCGGTTTCGGAAGAGAACATGGAGTGTCAAGGTCCTTTTCAATGTAGAAGACATTGCAAGACATGAAATGTCGTTGAAATTGAGCCTCTCTATCGATAGACAAGCTCTGCACGTGGATACCTGGCCCAGGCGTAGCGGGCGGAATGGTGGGGGTGGCAGTTGCGGATTCTGCTCCCACAAATATCAGCATCCGACAGTTCCGACCGAGTTCGTGGGGTAGACACGAACCTTACGAAGTCAGGTAATCGCATGCGCTTACGACCAACTGCACAATTGTGCTCGACTGGAGTTTTTAGTTATTGAAACAAGAAAGAGTTTCCCAATACGAGAATGGATAGTGTTGGTAGAACTGACGACGCTTTTTGATTGTGCGCTACAAAGTATATCTACGCCGAAGAACCCCATCCCAATGCCTATTATTACCCATATCCATGCATGTTCATAAAGTCATCAAACACCTTTTGTAAATCCCAGCAACCTCACTCAGCCTCAAATCGCGCGTAACGACTCAGCTTCCGACATACTCGAACTCGACGAACGGCGCGGCGCAAGCTGGCTATCCGCCTCGGCGAGCGCGGCCTGCATCGAGAAGCCAAAGGTCGCTGCGAGGTACTGCGCATAACGAATGCGATACGCCTGCGCAGGATCTTCCTTTGGCTTAAGGAGCTCTTTCTTTTGTGATGAAACACCTGCTGGAGAGATTAGATGGGAGGCTTTAGTATGGTTGATCAAATATACCCGATGCGGGATGGAGAACTATTGAAGGCGTCATGGTAGGCGACAAAGTGGGTGAAGATGAAGGTGATGACGAAGCGGACGAATTGAATGGAAGAGCAGGCATGATGTCTGAATTCTGATAGATGATAGATGATAGATGATAGGTTTGTGGTGGGTCGTGCTGTAGGCGGCGCTGATTGGTCGCGGTAGAGGTAGTTCGAGGTTTGTATGAAGGTAGTTCTCTGGCGTCGATCCCGTCTTGCAAGAGTTTAGATTAGAACTCAAGATTGGTTGTAGGAGTTGCTGTGGATGCTTTGCTGCTTCGAGAGAAAGATGGGCAGCCGATGATCCCTTTATACGTAGCTGAGGGCTGGGATCGAGGGACCATTTAATCACGATCGTGAGCCTGACGGAAGCTTCACCGCACAATCAGAAACAGAACGAATCGCGCCGTCACGATAAGTTCCACACAAGAGACACCGATGCATGCATCTCGATCAACCCGAACCAATGTAACGTAATTGGGGGCAGATTGTTTCCTAGTGGAGAAAAGTGATACAAGCCGGTTAGCCATCCATGAATGCGCCATTTCTTTTCTTGTTACCCCTGGACCACCGCGCTCCCGTAGCGCTTCCCCAGGTTTTTCATTCGTGCTTGCCTGTTTGAGCGGTGTAGTAGAGGTTGCGCGCCAACCTGCTTTGAGCCCTATGCATGCGGTTCCTTGTTATAGAAGATATCGCAATGCTCACAGTATTCTCCAAATGCGCTGTTAATGTTCAACGGCACACACGATAAGTGTTGCGTGACGCAAAACGTTCGACACAACGACATCCATGTGGTACCACCACCTGACTAAGTTAGCTAACATCGCTGCATAAACCCAGCTGCGGAGCAAGTCGCCACGTCCCGTGAAGACCCAGTAACATTGCCGTTTAAAACGAGCAAATGACACAAGCCAATATTCGCTATTCGCACTGAAGATGACGACGGCGCAATTAACCCTTGTTTATAGTGGAACGACCGTGCGCCGTGTTAGATATCAGTAGCTACGCCACGACTGAGCCCTTTCCGGTCACACCTGGACTATCTCCTTCATCGTGAAGGGCCTAGCCAGCTCACTTTGCACCTGCATGTTGTTGGTGAGGTGTCAACCCTTTCCAAAGCACCACGTTGTTGGTGCAAGTCGTCTCGGACGTCTGGGTACTCTTTCAGGACTCCTGCAAAGTCTTTTGGTGCCATGCAAAGAAACGGGGAGACCTATTTCTAGACTACCAGGATCTGCAACTAAACGTCCGCTTCTGAGGGCTGAACCGCAAGAAGCCGCAGCCAAGAATCTCCACCGTGGAAGCAGAAATACTTTCGAATTCTCTGCCATGCATTTTGATGCAGTTTCTGACCCACGTCACACCGGACCCACAACATTCATCAACATTCGATATTCAAGCGACTTTTGCGATTCTCCCCTAACATTTACGATACTCCAAGCACGTCCAACATTGTGTATGATGCCATACTACCATACCAAGGTGGTCCAGAAGCCCCACTTTACGTACAAGAAACCGGTGTGGCCCGCCCTAACGTCACGATATCAAAAACACCGCATTGTTCCAAACGTGTTCTATGCAGACGCCGCATCATGAGGCCTTGACGATCGATGAGGGGCAGCGCCATAAGCGGGACCAGTGCGGGGCCGATGCCTGTGAAATCGGATGGCTCGGCTGAAAGCCGTCGTCTGTCTTGAGCCAGGCACACCCAGCTGCGGACACTGTGACCGCGGCAACATCACCTTCCTGTTTATTTTGAACCAAGACTTGGCAGCCCGTCCTTCAATTGTTAGGTATCGCAGGCCTCCCTGCAAAGTGTCAGCACACGGAAAGCACTTTCCGAGCTTGCAATGCCCTTTACCCTCGTCCTCGGGGGCGGGTGTGCAAGAGCCTGCACTTCGTTATCAAAGCACACAGCCACTCTCGATATGCACGATATTGCCTCAACCCAACGCTAGGCTCATACTGTCACCACGTGCATTTGACAATGTCGATGTCAATGTAGCCTCGTGCCAGTGCGGCATTTCCTCAAACAACACCAACCCATTATTCCCGTTGTGGAGTCTGTCGATCCGGTCCAGTCAACTCTAAAGCAACGACAATCACCGGCAGAGCACAGCATCATCACGAAATGCGGCACACGAAGAACGTCAGGTACAGCGGCATTTACTACTCACCGCTATAATGTAAGTTTATCTCACGGTCGATCAATATGGCTTGCCTTGCATACTGCATGAGGCCAATGTCAGGGTCTGATGCAAATGTACCTGATTACACCCAACCAACAAAACGGATATGGAATCATGTCTAGTCTGGTTTCACATGTTGGATGTACCGAATTGCGATAAGACCGATCAAATCAAAACTCGGGGTCGGGTGCGCGAATATTGCGACAACCACCGCTTGGGAAAGGTTTTGAAGCTTATTTCGACAGCCCTACGCATCGCTTTAAGTGATAAATGCGGCTGACGTGCATATCCCAACATGAACGAACCAATGTTTGCAGGAAAGCTGTGGATTTGGATGTGGCTTATCCACTGTAGTTCTGGGCCTTTTCACCGGATACTATAACTCTCGCAGTCGGGGCTACATCCATACGATATCAGCTGAGGTATCTTGAGCCTATTTTGAGTAATCAAGCATTACCAAGTGCTCGCTTTGCGCGGACAGGAAAACAAAGCAAAGAAAAACAACGCAAGACATTCAACGGTAGGCATGACGCCTCTGGCTATCAGCGTACCGATTTACCGACGTTGGTCTGGGTTCATGTAACCAATCCGTTCGCCGCGGCCGTTGAAGTTGCTTTGTGGCGGCGGAGGCCCCCTGTCGTCCATCATTGGAGGACCACCGCCTTACTCGTCGTTGTCCCTCCTCATGCCCACATCGTCCATGCCATGAATTCTGGCTCCACCGCGCATAGCGTTGCGAAAACCTGGAGGAGCGGCATGTGGAGTAGTAAGAGGAGCAGCACGGGGAGATCCTCCGTAGCTTGAAGAGCCTGCCAGAGAGCCACCTCCATAGCTGGGAGGCATCTGGGGAGGACCGCCATAGCCCGGAGGCGGACCGGCGGGAGGGCCACGAGGAGGTCTAGCAGGAGCTCCGCTGCCGTACCCAGGGTGAGGGCCTTGATTCGGCGCGCGACCTCCAGCATTGTGGCCATTTCCAAGCTGTTGAAACTCCTCTGAGTCTTCCCATATGCCATCTTCGCCCAGAAACTCCGCCCTACAAATCGGACACCGCTTCTGATCATCTGGCCGATTCAACAACATCTCCTTCAAACAGTTCCTCCCAAGAAGATGGTTACACCCCTCAATACCCTTGATTTGCACACAAAGATGCGACGCACTAGGTGGCTCCAGACAAATTGGACACTCGGCATTTGGAGGCGCAATCCCACCATCACCGACAGGCTGCGTACGTTCTTGCATGAACCACGCCATGTCGTCCGCGCTCTCTTGCGTGAGACCGCCATCTTGTCGCATAGGCGCGGGTTCCATTTCGAATCTAAAAGCGCTGTCTGGACGAGAGTCTTGTCCACCACCTGCCCGACCGTTGACGCCGTTAACACGGAATGGGTTGCCACCTGTCCAGAAAACGGACTGGAAGGCCCCTGGGCGACCTGTCGAGCGGCCGCCTAGAAGACTGCCGGGCGGCGGTCGTCCTTGGGGTAACATACCTACGCCCATACCCATACCCATACCTCCATTAGGTACCTGACCCCCACGCATGGAGTTACGGTACGGGCCGTTGGGTCCATAGCCCTCTTCGTGTATATTGCCATCAGAGTCTTGGTAAGAAGAGTAAGAGCGAGAGTTCCCGCCCATCATAGGACCGCCCGTGGCTTGATGTATCATGGGACCAGGGCCATGCATGCCACTCATCATCAGGTATGGTGAATCGCAGTCGTCATATGGGTCTTGGTCTATGTAGCCACCGCGTTGGGATTGGGTTTGTCGATATCCTCCGCCGCCACCACCACCACCACCGCGGCGGCCGCCGAAGGGATTAGAGTCCCAGATTCCGCCTCGAAAGGGTCCCATGTTTTGTGATTCCGTCGACAGAATTGGTGTTTTGGAGTTGTGGTTGAAGATAAATCGCACGTACTGGGTAAGGGTTTATTGGAGATGAGCAGGCGAGCTTATGTAGTCGGATGAGCTTCTCGATCGGCGTTGGAAGTGAAAAGTACGATACGTGTTGTGACAGTACTATCGCCAGAAGACGAGGTGGTGAAAGTAGTCCAGCTGTAAGTGCTGTCAAAGGGTCGCTGACTAGGGTATTCCGCGTTGTGCGACCGCATGAGTATGGGTAAGTATCAAGAGTACTGGACCGTTCTATACTGAGAGGCTCTACAAGACGGCCAGCCATCACGAGACGCTCAAGGGGGCAGTATTTGATGCGCATGACATCGATTTCTCGTGGGTCCGGTGACTGTATCGTGGTGAAGATGGCGTTGAACATCTACATTGTCGACGACGCCTTTCACTAGCCGAATATTGTCATAATAAGGCGAAGGCATATGAGCTGAAGGGCATGCGCGGAGTACTGGAGCAGGGGCTAGTGTGCAATGTGGTTACATTCATCGTAATGCGTGTCTCGCAAGAGAGTACATTATCCTGGTAAACTGGGCCATCCAACGCCATCATCATGATGCTTTGGATATTTGGGTCGCCCACATCGCCGCCACCAAACTGCTCATACCCATAATATCGAATGCAAACAAAAGCAGAACCTCACAACCCAGATCTTACCTATTTCAACGATTCCCCTAGCTATTCCTCAGGTTCGACACCCTGCCACCCATGAAAGTGGGACTAGCAGCTCTACTTCTGGTCTTGGGTTGAGGTGTTGCACTCGTGCCCCTAGTGCCGACGCCCGGTCTGCCCACACTCTTCAGACGAAGGATTTCCTCTTCTTTGCTCTGCAACGTACGCTTGAAAATACCCAGCTGAGCCTCTAGTTTCGCGATTTGCTTCGCCTGTCGATCATAGTTTTGATTAAGATGCATGCCCTTTCGCTTCGTTGCTTCGCCTGAAGCTGCTGATGAAAGTTTTTTCACTTCTTCTTCAAGGTCCTTGACACGGGCAACACTAGTAGAAGCAGCGTTTTGCGCGTCTTGGTAGGATCCCCTTATATATTCGAGCGTCTCTTCTGCCGTCGAAGCTTTCTTCATTGCTTTGTCTTTCTCCTCGCGTGCTTCAGCAAGCTCTTTGCGAAGCTTAGTAATCTCAGCGATTTGTGCATCAGGTGTGAGGAGATGTGTGGCTCGCTGTTCATGTAGCTGCTTATCTAGCTCGCGCATTTCTGTGGTACGTGTTGTGAGACGTTCGGTGAGTGTAGCGATATTCCTGGTCAATGTCTCTACTTTAGTCTCTGCAGTCTGCAGTTTTCCCTTTTGAACACGGTAATCACGGGCAAGATCTTCGTGCTTCCCTTGTTGTTTGTCCCACATTACCTCGCTTTCACGAAAGTGTCTCTGTTCTGCCCTATGGGCTTCTCGCACCTCTCGAAACGTTTCGTCCACGGGTGCTAGCAGTCTTTGCGCATCAGGCTCAGGAGCTGCAGTTCCAGGCATGGAGTCGCTAATATGCGTGACTTCATGCCCTTTTTCTACAACAGTAGCAGATGTTGTTTGTGGTTGAGGGGTGAAGCGCATACGCTTCGCGGGGTCAAGCTCCTCATCATCCAGAGGACGTTTGGTACGCTCAGGTACGGGAGTATCTGTCGATGGTTGCGACAACTGCGTCTGATACTCGATAACGTCCTTGACGCTACCGATAGATGGTAATGGCCAATCAGCACCTTCCATTATGTTTTCGATCCAGTTCGCGACTGCCGAAGCGCATTCAACGTCTCGCGGCGTTCGATCGTCGATAGCTTTTCCAATGTCTGGGCGAACATGCGCCAGACTTGCCAGGATAGTATGCATGCGCTCTATTGGATCTAGGCTTGATGCTACATATCGCTCAAGGTGGCCGACGGTCCTTGGAATGACTAAATGGATCACTGGCACCACATCTCGGTCGGGAGAATTTGCCCAGTTCTTCTTCCGAATTTGTGTCGCGTCTTGCACGCCATCGAGGCAGACAATAAGATCTGGAGCTTGTATGACGGGCGATGCATCACTCGATATGACGGTGACCAGTAAGCTACCCTGGGCCTCTTTGCAGTCTACTTTTCGATCTTTACCAGGCATGGCGTAGTTGATAAAGTTTGCCTTGCAGAACGTCTCAATGATCCGGAAGAGTGTCTCATTATCCCGCTCCATTGCTAAAACAACGTGTTTCCGCGGCTCGGAGTTCCGCAATTCCTGGAAGAGCCTGGCCAGGAATCTGAACTTGGTAGAGTTTTCCATGCCAAACCGAGCGGCGTGTTCAGCTTGCGTCAATGAAGCCTCATCATTTAAGTCTTCCGTCTCTGCTTCAGCGAAGACTAAGTCTATGTGTGTTTCAATAGCCCGGAGTTGGGATAAGATATTCTTCACCTCATCGATCGGGCTCACACTGCGGGGATCTTTGAGAAAGCGCTCCAATAAGTCCTTCCTAGACGAGATGTATTGGGCGTATGTGTCGCTTTGTCGGCCCTGTATAAACAACGGCACAATAAACTCTTGATCGGCTAACTGTAAGTCGTCGTTGAATAGACTGTCGCTATCTTCGTCGTCTGCATCACTGACATCCATTTCGTCGGAAGCTGGGGACGTTGGTACTGGTGCGATCGGTTCAGACAGCATTGATACTTCAGCGATAGAACGTCCGGGGCGAGCTTCTGGCGGTGAAGGCATGACCTTGTCCAACGGCGACGATTCTAAGGGTGCATTCATGGGTGCATATGCAATGTTTCTTAGTGACGTTGGTGTTTGCGCAATAGGCGAGCGATCGGGTATGGCAGAAGGTGATCGAGTGCCTTCTGGCGGCTCGTTTGTCCGTAGTCTGCTCAACGGTGTAGGAGTAGCTGCCGTCCCATCGCCTGCTACCGAAGGTGTGTTCGACGACCTGTTAAGATGTCTTCTATTCGGTGGATTCTCTGCCAGGCGCTTAGCTAGCGCCTCTGCCATTTGTCGCCTGACGATGTCTCCCGTGTTTTCACCCGCCATGATGGATACTGATGATGTCGGCACAGGCGTGCAAGGCCGTGATGGAAATCTGGATTCTTGCGCTTTCAGGGAACAGCTGGGTGGGTAAGGGACTGGCGAGGTCTCGTGATCCAGCGAGCTTGAAGACGGTTCTGGCGTCTCCTGTGATGAGTCGTGACGGGACTCAGAGCTAGCCCGATGCGCCGACTCTTTCTCGACAGTAGGCCGTATACTCTCAACTGTGTCGTCTTGGGTGCTTAAATATGCCTCGAGAGGTAGCACTTGCGCGTTCTGCTCGCGTTCTGGGCTAGCGGAAGTGTGGAGCAACTGAGCATAAATAGTCAGGGCTGTTTGGAGTTGGTGTGATGGCAGGGAATCTTGGTTGCAAGCGGATTCAGGTCCCAGAGATTCCACTAACGCGTCGTCGTGAACTTGGTGATGGAGCTGTGATGACGCTTGTATTGATTGGTGAGATGGCGCCGGCAACGGCACTGGAAAGGTCAAGCTTGGCGCACTAACCCCAGCGAGCACTTGTTCTGGATGACCCACTAGTGTCGCGCAAGTAGGTTCAAGCTGCTCCTGAATAGCAATGCGAGGTTCTGCTTCTGAAGGCTGGGATCGTGGAAACGGATGCTGGGACTGGAAGGGGAACTGATCGTTGTCTTCCAATAGCGAGTGTTCAGTCAGACTTGGCTGACTGTCGTGAACGCCGATTTGCTGAGATGTCTGATGTTGCGGCGCCTCGTCAACGCTGCCGATTGCGACTTGTGTATCGTTAGTTACGTCGCCTCTTTCGGGATGGTTAGGTTGGCTGTTGTCAACTAGTGTGATCGATTTATTCAGTGAGAGTGGGATTTCCGCGGTGTCTACAAAATCCGTCGAAGCGTTTCCTGCAACGTCCGCAGACACTGGGTTCAGAGGAGAATGCTCGCTCTGTGTGCTATCTTCCTGGTTTGAGGTGGTCTCGCGCGCGGCTTGTGTTGGGCGAGTCTCCGAGACAAGGTAATCTGACTGTCGTGCCTCAAGCTCGTTGGCGTCTTCCCTTCGATGTTCGACTTGTACAAGACCGCGAGCGTCCTTGCTGTGTTGGATATGCACGTTATCATCAAACTCTTGACTCGCCAACTGGTCCACCTGTGACGGGGTATACACAAATCTAAGTGTCTCCGGAGCACCTCGTGACTCTGCCTCAAGCCTCTGCCGCTGGCTCTGCGAATCTGCTGCAGTGGTATCGGGGATGGTCTCAGGAATCGATCGTGTAGGTGACACGGCGTGTTGTGCGGCTTCTTCGATCAGTTCAAGTAGGCCCTGCAAGTACTAGTTGGTGGACAGGCCAATTTCTAGGCGTATAGAGGGCAAACTTACGGAGTCTTCAACAATTTCTTTCTCAACATGCGACTCGTTTGTATCTGTGCTTTGCTGACTGGTGTCTTCGGTATGCTGAGTGATGGGTATGAAGCTCCCTTCACCGATGGAACTTTGCGAATCTGGGACTATGCCTGAGGAATGGGGTCGTGGACGTGCAGCGAACAGCTGTGAGTTATCAAGATCGGTGTCCTCAATATGTGATTGAGTCGAACCAGGCCCAGGCGATGCTATCTGGGAGAAGGGTTTGTATTCGTCCCTCTCGAGACTGCTACCACGTCGGGCAATCTGAATGCGAGGTGAGGGGCGGGCTGCCGACGCTGTGGCGCTGGGTAAGCTTTCCGAGCCGACTCGATTGTTGAGGGGTATCGAAGGCGTAGAGGAACGGGTTGTGGGCTCTGGGCTACTGTCAACGACGCGGGAATTGCGAATGCGCCTCGATTCTTGATCGTCTTGCCGTTGCGTAGACTGTCCTCTGTTGCTTCCTCGTGGTATTTGGCGTACTTGTTCCAAGTCTCGCGCTTTCTCTTGCTCCCAATGAGCGACGAGCAAGTCGTTCGCGTTCTCTTCTGGCTCCCAGGTTGGTTCCCACGCCTTCCCAGTGTCTGGATCAATGCCTTTCCATTGAATGTAGTACTTTCGTACGCCACGGATGACGAGCTCGTCGAGGATGCACTCTGCCGCCCACAGGGTATCGCTCTCGTTGCTGGGTTCGCCTGCGCTCGAGTCGGTGTATCGTGATCGTTTGTTCGGGTTGGTTCTTGTGGAATTGCGCTTCCTCTTGGAATGCACCATTACGCGCAACGTCCAATCGAGATTGTGTCCAAGTAGGCTGACTCCATTGTGGGAAAGAGAACGTGGGGATACTAACACGCCTGGACGGTTGGCAGGTGAGCGTGGGTGATGATGGGTGCGGGACTATCCGCGAACCGAATGACGACCCCGGCCAGCAGTGAACGCGTCGCGACGCGTCCCAAACTTTCACATTCAGGAAAACTGATAATTGGGTGTGCAGCCCTGCAGCAATCCCGAGAATAGATTGTAGTACAAATTCGGAGCTCGAGGATTCAAGGCATGCTGTATTATCGGTTGATACCAAGATGTGAAATAGCCTCCGGATTCTCTTTGTCCTCAAAGTACCAGGCCCAGTGCATGTAGATGCGCAAGTTGTCGGTGTCACGACACATGGAGACCAAGAGGTAGGACAGAGTACACAAAGATCATATTGGGCAAGCTACGAACAAGCCGTCGATAGACCGAGTTTCAAGTCCTTTGTGGGACTTTACATGCTTTCGCAAAAGATCTGCCAGCAGATGTCAAGTATCCTACAGCCTTCCGCACAGCAACATGCGCCCAACCACATGTATGCATGCACGCAATGTTTACAGGCCTCTCCACCTGATCTCAGTATCGCCCTCCCCGTCCGTTTCCCCTCCAACCGCCTCTGTTGCCGCCATTGTACCCACCACGCTGTCCACCTCCATAACCACGTCCACCTTGGAATCCGCCTCGGTTCTGACCATAGGTACCGGAACCGAAGTTATTGCCTCCTTGGTTGCCGTACTGGTTACCACCTTGATTGCCGTACTGGTTGCCATGCTGGTTGCCTTGCTGCGGACCGTTTGGCGGCATGCTCATATGCGGAGGAAGAGGAGGCGGCCATACACCGTTGTAGTTGGGCGGCGGGGGAGGAGGGGCCCACACACCGTTGAAATTGGAGGGTGGAGGAGGAGGAACGAAGCTACCTTCGAGTCCCTGGAACTGCGGTGGGGGAGGCGGTGGAACTCCGAATGGCGGCATTGGCTTCGGGGACTGGCCTTGAAATTGACCTGGCATATGCTGCGGTGCAAACGGTGGTGCGTTGAAAGGTGGTTGCGGCGACTGAGAGAACGACTGACCATAGTTCTGTGGCGGCATGGGCGGCGCATGATGTTCATGGTTACCTGGACTGCCCTGGCTATTCCTGTTCGGACCATTCCACTGCGATGCAGGTTGAGACCCATCTCTGCCGTATGCCCTTAGTTGTCGTCCAGGCTCAACGAGTCCTCTGTCCTCGAGTTCTCGACGCGTGTTCTTAGATGGTGGCGAGGGTGAGATCCTGCGGCGACCTTGAGTTCCATCGCGGAACCTTCGACGTGGAGGCGAATGACCATTGTCATACGACCCGGAGCTATGACGAGAGTAACTGCGACTTCGACTGCGGTTGTATCCCTTGCGCTCCCGCCTGTACTCCGAGTCTGACGAAGAAGTAGTAGGTCTGCTGTGTCGGTCATCGCGACGCGTCACGGATAAGACTGGTGGGTCCTCCATGTCCTCCATACGCTCAGCGTCTTCTCGCGCAATCTTGATGTTTTCTGGAACGCCAAACTTCTGCATGTCTTGACAAAACTTCGGGGACCAGCCGTAACCATTTGCCACTGTTGCTATCTCACCAGTCTCCTTATTCTGCTTGACCAACTGCCCCATAGGGTCTAATGACAGCCTGTACTTGCTTGTCTCGCCCGTCGGATTATCGCCCGTTGGCTGGTATTTCAGGTCGATCTTTTCGAAGAAGTTGTCGAGCAGGTTGCGAACGTGAGGGCTGACGGCCTTCTTGTCGAACTTTTGGATCTGGATCTTGGAGGGGTTGATCGGCCGTCTCGGGTGCTTGATCATCTGCTCGAGCATGTATGATGCGGGAAGATCGTGCCATGGGGCAGTTCGGTCGCCGTGAAACTCTGGTAGAAGGTAGTTGCGCTTGCGAACAGGCATGCCACCCTGGGCAATGAGCAGGGCTTCATCTGCCTTGTCTCGACAGGCCTTCAGACTCTCTGCACTGAGGAGCCTATTAATGGTCCAGTAGTTGATAATGGCTCTCAGCTTCAGCTCTAGTTGCGATCCTTTCTCAGTGATACATGCGCCTGCTTGATCGACCAAGTCAACAACAAAGCCTCCACACTCGTCGCCGAAAATAATCTGCTTCATCGTGTTGCGACGATGGAACTTGTCAGTATGCAGGACATCGTTGATAATCAACAAAAGATCCATCCGGTTGCGTGGTGCTTTCTGTGCTAGTCCTGGACTACTCTGGTCTACAACAATGGACTTGGAGACAGCGATGAGATAGTCGCCGAGGATGACGATCCGAGCCTTGGAGGGAGCTACGTGCTTCACGATCCACTCTGTGCATTTCTACGAACGGCGAATTAGTCTGCTCCCGGGGACATGCGATCAATGGCTTTATAGTTAGATACCTGGATGTTCACACGCGTGTTCTGCTTAAGAACAGCATCTATGTTGCTGAAGAGCTGCGAGCTAACTTCGACTGAAATGGGAGGTAGACGATCTTCGGTATCTGTCCTCTTCGTTGCCTGCTTGAACTTGATTTGTGCAATCGTTAGCACAGACGTCGCGCGTTTGACATCATCATTTGTCGCCATGTTTCGCGACGTGAGGTTGCGACAAAGAGGTTTGTTGCGGGGAAGAGGTCAACGAGAGTGTCGCGAGGTGTTGATGTTTTCGAGTGCCAATGACGCTAAGCTAGCGCGCCTTCCGCTTAGTTCCCCCCGCCATTCGGCCAAGGAAAGAACAACCATGTCCACAAACGATGCAATTCAAGACGAAGTCACCTCACTTAACGCCATCTTTGACGAGGGAACCTTGTCAGCCCTAGATGAAGACGCAAGGTTATACAGTTTGCGACTACCGTCGCTCCCATCGATAACTCTCCGTATAAAGTTTCCTGCAGACTATCCGGATGCGCCACCGTCGGTGCTAGGCACCCAGAGCGTGGGACAGGATGTTCCCAAGGGTATGGGTAGCCGGGCTGTCGACGTAGTGAGAGACGTTCTGGCAAAGGTTTATCAACCGGGCGAGGCGTGCATCTACGATTTGCTTGAAGAAGCAAGAGAAGCTCTGGAGCAAGCGGAAGAGCAGGGAGATATCCAATTACACGACCAACATGATGACCAGCACGTGGAGGATGAGGATGTTTCTCGTATGCCACATGACCCGGCCATCGATCTTGGACCGGAACCACCGTGGATCGTAGCACCAGCCCTTACCGAGAAGAAATCAGTCTTTTTGGCTCGCGTAGCACCAGTATCATCGCCTGCCCAAGCCAGACAGTATGTTGAGCATCTCCTAGCGACAGACAAGAAGGCTGCTCGTGCAACTCACAACATGACCGCCTGGCGGATCAAAGGCCCGAACGACACGAGTTATCAAGACTGCGACGATGATGGCGAGACTGCCGCTGGATCTCGCATGTTGCATTTGATGCAGTTGATGGATGTTTGGAACGTCATGGTCGTCGTCACAAGATGGTATGGCGGTATACACTTGGGTCCTGACCGCTTTCGCATCATCAACACTACAGCAAGAGAGGCATTAGTACTGGGTGGCTTTACAAAGGAGGGGAAAGAGGGCGACACGAAGAAGAAAGGCAAGAAGTAGAAGAAACACAATGCATACTCGCTGTGAGACTGCTACATCACCTCTGTAACCCTGGATGCCATTCACATTCACGTTCCCGGTCCAATGACATGCCGAACCTATAGCAGATGGTCCTCGATAGCATTCACTTGGCCGTCAAGAACACACAGCCCATTAGGTTATTCACAGTGACTATGACAGAGCCATCACGATTGACCTTTCATCCTACTTTACATCAATATCGGTTTCCAGTCACCATTACACGCAAGCTCCCATGCCTCTATAAATTGCACCACTTTCGTATTTCTTACTCACCCAACGACTAGAACACAGCCTCAAATACAGCTCACGGAACAATCAACAACCCAACTCTGCAAAATTCTTCTGACCACAGAAGACTTCCAAATGTCCAATCATCTATACGACGGCATGGACTCTCGTAGTCACGCTTCTCCTGGATTCCGTGGACCGGGCCACCGTCTTTTTGGTGGCTACTACAGCCATCGAGCCTCTCAAAGTAGCAGCCGGGAATCTAGATGCCCCCATCAGAATCGCGGTCACTCCGCAGTGCATGCTACTCATGCCCCCCCACCAGCAAACTCATATTGGTATCTTCGATGACCATAGCGAGTACAACGGTTTCCAAGGCTACGGCAATCACACGCAGAACAACCCCATGCATGCACTTGCGGAAGCCATGGCGAATCTTGATCGTACGCTCGGCGGAGGACGACAGGGTCACGGAAACGGCATGTGCATCTCTCGTGGTCCAGGTTTTCCCTTTGGCCAGTGTGGGCACAACCATGTTCCTGACATCAGCGGACTTCACATCAGTGGATTCGAGGAAGCCTTCAGCCACCCCATCTTTGCTGGACATCGTGTCGCTACTCAGCCTAGCTACACTCTTTCCAACTCCGTCCCAGTTTCGCGTCCTTCTCATGGCCGTCTCCCCCTTCAACACCCTATCGGTCACACATCCCACCAAGGCTTTGGACCAGGCGACTACCTCCCTTTGGACGTCCATCCAAACCAGCCACCGGAAGATATATACGGCCTGGGATCCATACCATACGGCTACTTCCCCATCGAATTCGACCCCGTGCCACTAGAAGAAGACATGGGGCCCACTGAGAGCAGCGAACAACGGGTAAACCGCTTCATCGCACACCATACTGAGCCTCTTAGTTCCACCAATACTACAAGCACGACAAACACAGATTGCCCCATCTGTATGGAGAATGCGGATGCTCATCCCTGCGTGAAGATCAAAGGTATCGCAGGCTGTGAACACATGATCGGTCGAGATTGTCTCAAGGAACTACTTAGTCGACAGGCAGATGACGAGAAGACATGTCCTCTTTGCCGAGCGACGTGGCTAGGCGAAAACGGTTTGTGGCAGGACTCGGAGCAGTGGCGTAGGCGAACTGGTCGTAGGGGCCAAGGTGTTTCTTCTAGTCGTCGTGATCGTATGGTTGGTGGCACGGAGCGGTTAGCAGGATTGTTGCGTAGCGCAGAGGGTCAAAGGCGTAGGCGTTATGACTGAGGCGTCTTGAGTTTAAGCGTGGGCTATGGGAAGAGAGGAGCGAGCTGATAGCTTTGGCGGAGTAGCTGGTGAACAACGTGTAGTCGTTAGCAGAGCGTTACTACACTATACCTTTCTTTTTGGTTTCGAGACAGAAGGCGTAGGCTCAGCATATAGTCAGTATATAGCTTTTTTTTTCTTTTCGATTATAGAGGACAGTGATACCACGTGTTTTGCAAAACAATGCCCGTAATTTTTGAGCTTTATTGAGGTACCATGAAACTTGCAGGCGAGATGAGGAAGAAATACAGTGAATGCATACCAACTATTTCAGGGAAAGAGGAGAGAGATGCCAGACCATAAGAAATCATACACGTTTTGCCCAAACACTCGTCAGAAGTCTATTGTACGTGTCCAGACTCAAATCGATGCTTCGAAGCATGCCGACCGTTATTCGTAACTCGGAACATAGGAAGCCCGAGAATATGCACTACACTAAGAGCGTAGCATAGTAGGGTGAGGAGAAGGCGAGCGCCCTCTGAGCATCGGCGTACTAGGCTTGAGCATGGGGCTCGCCGTAGCGCTCAAAGCATCCAAACTCAGCTTGCTAATGGCGTCGAGGTTGCCCTGGACATCGTCCTCTGTGAGATCGAGCATCAGGCGAAGTTCGTTCGCCTTCAACGGCTCTCCCAGTCCCACCATCAACTGTTCCCCGTCCTGAGAGCCCGGTACGTCATAGTAGTACCACCTGTACCCGATGTCTTCCAGCTTGTGTGGCTCCACAGGCGTTGTGATCCTCGCCGCAACGCGCCGTACATCCATTCCAAACACGCCTGATATAGATGGCTCGGTGCCGATATCACCCAAGCTACCTTCGGATCTACCACGTAAAGACCCAGGGACTTTGGCGCCCTTTTCGATGGGCGTTTCGTTGATGCGGTTGGATGCGCCTGCGTCGCGCAATTTGGCGCGCTTGAAGGTTGCGTTCTTGAGCTCGGTAAGGCCAAGGACGATGTAGAGTGGCTTGCCCGCCTTGATCTGTTCGGCCATCCAGACCCGTGCTTCGGGGTCGTTGCACACAGCCTGGAATGCCAGTGATGACGACTGCGTGGTTCGTTGTATCATTTGCTCTGCCTTGACAGTGAGCAGATTAGGCTGTCTGTATATCCTTCCCAACTCGAATCTCGCGCCATAGTTTGTCGTGAATCGGCCTTCGGCATCGACGGAGTAGAGGTCTTTGTAACGAAGCTGGATATGGAAGTCATTCAGATCGTCAACCTCTGCATGTGCTTTATCGGGGTAGAAGGATTCGCGTTCTGGGTGTAGCGGCTCTGTGACCAGCTGGCCGACGACCAGGGAGTCTGCGGGGAGAGGCTTCGGAAGGAGCGCGTTCTGCACCATTGTTGCGAACCTATGGGTTCCTAATGGTTATGTGGTGAGCGATGTTTGGAGTGATCCGGAGTAAGGTTACGTGTTAGCTATCGATCCTCAGGGGCAAGGTGAAGCCTGAGCAAAAGTATGGTGAGAGCCCCATGGCTGCGAATCAGAGGGCTGCGTCAGACCCTGTGGCAGGTGCTTGGCTAATCTGGCTAGTAGGTACTACATGACTTCACGTTCGCAGCTGCGACATTGATATTGGATCGAATATTGTGTGCCCAGCCAGATACAACACTGTAGGTTTCTATTGAGATGGAATGTGAGGTTTGGCCGATGGTGAGTATCACGTGCCAACGCGGTATCGGAGAAATGAAATCCCATTGCCCATGTCCGGGACCGATGGGAGAAATGACAAACCAGATCAGCTTGCGGCGGATACCGGCAACGTCATGTTCATTGTCACTAAAGCCCCAATGTATCTGCGCGACAGATCATCGATGGCTGGTAGGCAGCTTCTACCCGCGTGGAGTTTTCATGGATGCGCGGTTCTCCTTCGGCCGTACAACATCACTCACGCTCTAGGCTGGCATTTCCAAGGTTTCTACTACAGATCGGATCCGCTTGATGCGTTTCAATATGCGCAGAGATTCTCGGAGCTGCTACCATGTTCGCCTGCAGCTACATGCAGGGTTCATCAGAGACTTCAATCATGATCGAACAGACGGCTGGTCTATTAAGTCTGATCAGGCTTGGACGCAAAGGCAGAAAGAGCTGAGTAACGATTACTGTGTCTTCAGCCTAGCAGGCACAACGACTTGACTAGTCAAGATCGGTTTGGTTGTACGTGCATCAGCTCTCGACGTAGCACAAGGGGCGGGGCTAGCACCGTGGCAGCTTCAGACTGCACCAACAGCCTAGATACGAGGGTTGTCACGGCCAAATGTCTTTGTCAAAACTGTAATCGCTGACAGCGCATGTCGTGTATCAATCGTGGGGTTCCACTTTGGGAACATGCGACAGCTCGAGAAGACTCAGCCAGACCCCGCGGAGACTGTATGTAAAGCGATTAGGTTGTACGATTGAAAAGACATCCACGAAATCGACGGAAATGATAATAACGCGTGGGAAGAAAAAGCAAAGAGATGCGATGCGATGCGTTCACGCGCCGGAGCATTCGAAGACAAGGCCCAAGCTCCCATAAGGCAAGCTAAAAGAGGGGCAGGAACGTCACAGCAACCCACCACACCCCCGTCGGTCGCTAGGATCTCAGCGGAATGGTGAAGCCAGACTGTCCACATTTCGATCCAATTGACGAATCAAACTCAGAGACATGACGTCCGACGGCTCCTAGAACGAGCCACACGTCACTGTCGACCCAGCGCCCCTCACTAACCACTAATGCGTGAAGCTGTCCATCAAGTCTTTTCAGCTGGTGAAGAGTACTTGAACCCCTCCGTGCCCCTCCAGATCAGCCTTCATCTTCATATCCCATCACACTCAAACTCAATTCTCAATTCATATAACCCAAACCTCTTTACCCTCTTCATAACCCCGCCTAATCGCCACAATGCCCATCAGCGTTCCCCAAGCTACCGAGCTCAAGGACCTCTTCAGCCTTAAGGGCAAGGTCGTCATTGTCACTGGTGCCTCCGGCCCTACTGGTATTGGCACAGAGGCCGCCCGAGGATGCGCTGAATACGGTGCCGACCTTGCCATCACCTACAACTCTCGCGCCGAGGGCGCCGAGAAGAACGCAAAGGAGATGAGCGAGAAGTACGGCGTCAAGGTCAAGGCCTACAAGTGCCAGGTCAACGAGTACGCTCAGTGCGAGAAGCTCGTCCAGGACGTCATCAAGGACTTTGGCAAGGTCGATGTCTTCATCGCCAACGCCGGAAAGACTGCCGACAACGGTATCCTCGACGCTACTGTCGAGCAGTGGAACGAGGTCATCACCACCGACTTGACCGGTACCTTCAACTGCGCCCGTGCTGTCGGTCTCCACTTCCGTGAGCGCAAGACTGGCTCTCTCGTCATCACCTCCTCCATGTCCGGCCACATTGCCAACTTCCCCCAGGAGCAGGCCTCCTACAACGTTGCCAAGGCTGGTTGCATTCACCTCGCCAAGTCGCTCGCCAACGAGTGGAGGGACTTTGCCCGTGTCAACTCCATCTCCCCTGGATACATTGACACTGGTCTTTCCGACTTCGTTCCCCAGGACATCCAGAAGCTGTGGCACTCCATGATCCCCATGGGCCGTGATGCCAAGGCTACTGAGCTCAAGGGTGCCTACGTCTACTTTGCATCAGACGCCTCATCCTACTGCACTGTAAGTTCATCTACTTGTATCCTACTATTCTCAAATACTAACGATTTCAGGGTTCCGATCTCCTCATCGACGGTGGTTACTGCGTCAGGTAAACGTATCGTTCCGGAAGGAAGACACGAGCGGGGAAATATAATAATGAATAACATAATGCCGGAAGTCTTGTGTCCGTGTAAATAGCATCGAGACATCAATAAAGCTTCGCAGGTTCTACATCACAATCGATTCATCATACGCTGTCGTGACGTTATCTTGTCTCTCGTTGCTTACAGCTCACAGCCCCTCAAGTGCACAAAGCGCAAACTTTTGTACAGTTGCACGGTATGTTCTGTTCACCAAACACTGATAAGGCTAAAGCCCCAGGGACGTGCGAATCGGCTGCGCACCCCCGCAGTTTCGCGTGCGAGTCAGCATCATCATCGCTCAGCCGCGGCATCTCAACTCCTCCACCATACGGTCCGACACATTTGTTACATATACTCCTCATTCCTTCCAACATGCCTCGCAACACCAACAAGCGAACACGATGGCGAACCCCAAGCCCCAGACCACGTCACCTCTTCCTTCCGTAATGGAGCCTCAAAAGAAGGACACCTTCGGCAACCTTGCTCCTTGGAGTGAACCGTCGTGGTACTCCTCTCTCGCATCTCCCTACTACAACGAATCACACAAGAAACTACGCAATGTGGTTCGCACATACATCGATACAAACATAAAGCCATACATGCTAGAATGGGAGGAGGCCGGCGAGGCTCCCGTGCAAGAACGACGCAAATGGGCACAGACTGGCTTTGCATTCGCGGATGTGCCGGAACCGTATCGCCCGCGTAATGTACCAGGGCCAGCGGGTATACCAGTTGCCGACTTGGACTTGTTCCACTTGTTGATCATGACGGACGAGAATAGTAGGATAGAGGGAGGTGTGGGCATCGCGTTGGGCGGTGGAAGTGTGATTGGTGTTCCGCCAATCGTACATCATGGGACTGAAGAGCAGAAGAAGAAGTGGTTACCAGGTCTATTTACCTGGGAAACAAGTTTCTGTCTGGGCATTACTGAACCAGGTGGTGGGGTACGTATGCGTCTTCTTCCCTGGTGGGGAGGATGAGAGAAGAATGCTAACTTGATTGTGCAGTCTGACGTCGCAAACCTGCAAACCACCGCAAGGAAGACTGAAGACGGACAATTCTACATCGTTAACGGCTACAAAAAGTGGATTACTGGCATGCCATGGGCCACCCACATGACTACCGCCGTTCGCACTGGCGGGCCCGGAGCCAGTGGTATCTCCGTCCTCGTCATTCCCACCGACTCACCCGGACTCACACACCGTCGCATACCCAACTCCGGCCAGAAAGGCGGAGGCGCAAGTTTCGTCGAAATGGACAACGTCCGCGTCCCTATCTCAAACCTCATCGGTAGAGAAAACGAAGGCTTCCGCATGGTAATGACAAACTTCAACAAGGAACGCTACATCATGAGCATAGGCTGCAACAGAAAAGCGCGCACCTGTCTGAGCGAATCCTTCCAGTACGCACACAAGCGGCACACCTTCGGCAAGCCCCTCATCTCCAACCAGATCATCGCACATAAACTCGCTACAATCGGTCGGTATGTAGAGAGCCACTGGGCATGGCTAGAGCAACTCGCATACCACATCCAACAATCCCCTCTCGGTTGGCAGGACCCTGAGATCGCGGGCCAGATCGCCTTGTCCAAGGTTCACGGTGGTCGTATACTTGAGATGGCGAATCGAGAGGCGCAGCAGATATTCGGTGGTGCGGGGTATCAGAAGGGTGGACCTGGTGCCATTGTCGAGCAGATTAGTCGCGATTTGAGGATGATGGTTGTTGGTGGTGGAAGTGAGGAGATTATTGCGGATCTGGCTCTCAGGCAAGAGACGGCACTTGCAAAGAAACGGGGATGGAAATTGTGATTGGACATGCACAGTGTATGAGTGTGCTATATATTTTATTGGAAATATGGAATATCGTAACCTCAAATCTGGTCCATGGCCTTCCTACAAGCACAGCGCAAGATCCTTACGCCGCATCATACATATCGCCCTAGTGGCCCCTCGGGCCATTGGGGGTGCAGGCGGGTCGTGCTACTGTAACAAAGGCTGGCAAAAACGCCACGCAGCCATGATGCAAGCCTCATTTCCCTCAGCACGCCACCTGATAAGACCTCGCAGGAATGCATCCCGAAAAGAACACACCTCCCTGAATAGACGCTGCCCAGGTCCGTGGAGATAGCAGCCACATATATAGAGCCAATAGCACGCTCCGTTATTGGTAGGTCTACAGAACTTGGAAGGCTGATGCGTGGGTGATACATCTTCAGCCTGGTTGAACTTGATATCTACGGATGTACAAAAGGATTGCTTACCCAGCTTTATGATAAGTTTTACGTGCTGTTACTACCTATAATCTTTGTATCGTCCACGAGGACCTGCACTTGATCGAAATGTGGTGCCAAAATTGTGGCAAAGAGCGCTCACACTACCACACAATGGGCTCTTCCAAAGCCAAATGTTGCCAAAAACGTCGAAGGCGCAACACAACAACAGCAACGTACTGCACATTCTGCGGTGTTAACAGACTCCAGGAGTCTGGTGTCTGCGATGTCCATTATGGCAACACACTTAGCACTCCAGGCATGAATCCACTGTTTGCTAGTCAGACATAGCACACGACTAACATGTTTTCTCACAGCTAGCCCTACTTACAGCGACGATTCATCGTCGTCTAGCCTTGCAAGCGAAGAGGGTGGTTATGCCACAGATCTCAGCAGCCCCAGCCCGAGTCCGAGTCCTTCTCCTACCTCCAGCCCATCATTATCGCCGAGCCCTACGCATAGTACATACGATCGGAAGCAATGTACATACTGTAAATTGTGGTTCGAAGGTGATTCGGAGTATAATGAACATCAGCGAGAAAATGAGTCGGGTTGCATGACGCACAAGGTGTGCTTCCCATCTAGTGACAATTATGAGCACGCAAAGACGAAGTATCATGACAGATGCTTTGTTCCGGGATGCGAGGATGAAGACGAAATGAGTGATGAGGATGTAGTTGAACACGTCTGGGAGGAACACACTACTAAGGGATAGTGGATGCAGGAGAGGTACGAGGCACAAGTCTAAGACCTCGCCTCTAACCAATACACTTTTCACAACAGGATGTTTATCGCAAGAACCGGAGAAATTGTTGTGGATAGAAAACTGTTTTGCCTAAGCCTTGTGTTTTCTTCCGTTGGAGATAACTAGGGGCATCAACAGTACACTCGTAGATAGGAAACGCTACGGATGGCGGGTCACACGCAATGTGTTGTTACGCGAAGCGCTAGTAGGGTTCTGCGTTGCCTTCCTACCTTTGTGCAATCCAGAACCTCATCTTATACACCACATCTTTCATGTGCCCGTTGGCGACGTATACCCAGTTAGATATTTTCACATCTCATATACAGTATCTGCTCACTACAGGCGGCCTTGTTAGCCACGTGTGCTGATTATACTCGCTCCCATCCGCAACATCTAAATACCCGCAGAACAAAATCACCTAATCACCACAATCACTTTGGAAGGCGCATTTGGATCCTTTATTTCTGAGCTTCCTTGTACGTTCACGCACCTCGTCTCCAGAGTGCAGATTCCAAAAAGCGCTACAGAATAGTCAGCATGTACGGTTCGCTTGTCACAATACCTAAATTTGAACATGTCACTCACAGTCCCTTCTAAGCTTTCAACGAGAGAGGCTCTAGTCCGGATCGTAGTGACGGAAGGAAACTGGAAAGAGAAGGGCACTAGTCAAACGCAACAGAAGCAGACTTACTTCATAACCCTCAAAGACAACGCACTCTCCGGTAAGGTTCTGTAGAGGCTTCTGCGGCATCGAAAATGAGCTCTACAGCCATGTCTTTCGAATCCAAAATCGCTCTGGCGTTGGGAGGATCCAACTGGCAGCAGTTACAGGGCGAAAGTACTGCGGAACCCACTCTTGAAGCCGAGGAATCCGAGGAATCCGATTCGGATGATGAAGAGGCCGGTATCAATATTACAGAAGAAGTCGTGATCGACCCCGTCAGAGCCAAGAAACAGCAGAAGAAAAAGGAGCGCTTCGATCAAAGCATTGCAAAAGATGCGGGAGAGATCTTGGAGACAATCGACAAGGACGCGCTCATACCAGTAGCGGAAAAGGTAGTCTGGGACCAGGATCCAGAATTGTTGTGTTGCTACAACTGGCAAGCTTCTGACGATGGAACGAATACGATCTTTGGTAAGTAGACTTCGACCTGCCGCCAGACACTTGGCAGGCAAGATGCCTTGTTCCTCTAAACTTACATACGTATAGTTCCGGGGGAGCCAGCAAAATGGCAACAACCACCCCTACCACACACATTGAACCCAGACAGTGGCTTCACATATAGTGACTACAACTACGCTCGCCAGCCGAGAAACCCCTACTTGCCAATGTTTCATGCGCTAAGCCTCATGGCACCAAACACCAATTTCCACGACGTCGATGTCCTCGCAGATCGAAACAACCTCCGTATCTTATTGGAATTCGCCCAAGGCAAGTCCAACGGGCCGTTCCGGCTCAATATCTACCTAGTCTTCAACACACTCGTGATAGTGCGGCGAGAATCACGATGGTGGAAACACTCCGACGGCAAGAGCTATGGCGTCAATTTCGAGAAGGACTTCACCCGGACAACAGAAGGTATGGAAGATGCAACGAGCCACTACCGCGCAATACGCTATTCCATGGGCCCCCTCAACGTCGTCTGTCGCTTCGAAGCAGACGCCTACGACGACGGCATCGTCCCCGACGACCTCACTCAAAGCGAAGCCGAAGCCGTAAGCGGAGCAAGCGGAGGCGGCCTCACCTCCAGACCACAATTCAAATACAACGCGCCCATCCGCGTCTTGCAAAAAGGCCACATCGTCCCCACTGCCCAGATGCTAGAGCTCAAAACACAAGCTTACCACCCAGAAGGAACGGGTCTCGTCCAATGCCAAGATCAACTCTGGTTCGGTCGAACTAGTTTACTCTTCACGGGGCCTTACGATAAAGGGACTGGGACTGTGAATCGTGTCAAGAGGGAAGATGCAACAGAGAGGGTGAAGAAGTGGGAGATGAATCAACAAGAATCATTGAGGAAACTCGTGGCGCTATTGGTTCACTTGAGGGACGTGCTAAAAAGGGAGCGTAGACACAATCGCGCGCTGGTTCTTGTGAGGGAAGGCAAAAGTGGGCCGATTGTACTGAGGACGATGGAGGAGAGGAGTACGGGTGTGGATAGAGAGATGCGGGAGAAGTTTTGGCCGCTGCCTACGCATGGGTATCGTGGAAGAGGTGGTGGGGGTAGGGCCGCTTTCAATGGCGGTGGTCCTCGTGGTCGTGGTGGGCAGTTTGTACCTCCTCCTGCTCAGGGCCGAGGTGACTTTGCTCCTTTGCGCGGTCGTGGAGGATCTATACCTGCTCAAGGTCGAGGAGGTTTTATACCTTCTCAGGGCAGAGGTGACTTTGCGCCTTCGCGTGGTCGCGGGTACTTCGCTCCCCCTCCTCAAGTTCGGGACCAGATTAGGTCCCAATCAGGTCGCGGTCGTGGTCAGTACGATACGAGTGCTTTGAATGTAGCACGTGGCCGAGGTGGTCGTGGGGGTAGAGGAACTCCAGATCGCGGCCGTGGCGGACCTAGCAGTTGAACGTATGATAAGATATGACCATTGTTTCAAAAAAAAATTGTTCGCAGACTGCGATGCCGACACCTTTTACTTGCAGCGAAGGACCGTGCCGTAGATTCGTACTCCCAAAGGTGACAACCGGGTTAATCTACAAGCGACATCACAACGTACCACAAAGTCGATGCTGAGACCAAATGAGGACTGTCACTAGAACCATCACATCCATTAAACACAGCATTTCACAGCAGAAAGACATTTGTTGAAAATATACTCTTGTATTATTCAAGCACAACAGGTGAGCAGCTAAGTGCTTGCGTGAAAGGTATCATAAGATAAGAAGAACCCATAACGCCCCATTCCATCGTATACACGTAACCAAGCGTGGACATCATCGTGACAGGCTAGCAGCAACGCCTTGAAGTAATGCAAACGCTAATTGGGTAGTCCAAGAATATGTGACGAAGAAACAGAAGAAGAAGTAGAAGAAGGCAGCAGCAGCAGTAAGCATCACTTATGATGCTGCAACAGGTACCTCACATAACTGTGACGTAGTCTCGACCGCAGGTACATCGATTGCAGCAGGTGCAGCGATAACCTCGGCTACTTCTGCTGTTGCTGTCTCTCCCTCAACTGTAGCAGGCACCTCCTCAACCTCAACATGGTTCTTCTTCTTCTTCTCCGGCGTCACACAACTAGCATCAAACTCCTTTGACAGACCGGATGGCTTCTCAATCCCAGCATCAACAGTAACATAAGTCGTTGAATCACAGCCCTCTGCATAAAACTCACTCGGCGCAAGATCGCCTAGCGGCTTCCTATCCTCATCCATAGCATCCTGGACAACCTTGCGCATGCGACGAGGTTGTTTGGCAGGCACATCGACTAGGATGTCAGTTTCGTAGCCATCGTCGAAGTAAGAAGCGTGGTTGCGCTTGCGTGTGTTTGCAGCAGCGAGGAAGTCTGGGGGCGGGACGTTTTCCTTGCCGCGGTCCTCGTTGCGGAATTTAGTCGCAGCGTCGTCGTCGGATGATATGTCTAGGACGGATGCGGAGTGTTCCATGAGGTTTGCGGCTTCTTGCTCGGGCGTGTCTTCGTGGATCTCGAAGAACCAGCTCTTGGGCATGCTGTCATCGAGGACGGGAGGTTGCTGGGCGGATGGTGTTGAGATGGGGGTGGCGGCTACAGTGGGGGCCTTGGGTGTGTAGGTCGATATTGAGCCGCTAAGGGCTGCGTCGATGGAGAAGGGCAGGCTGGGGCTGCTTTGGGTGAAGGATGGTGGGTCGACGCGTCGGAAGGGCGAGCTGGATGCGCGACGCTTAGAAATAGCATGGAGACGCTTGTTCTTTGGTGAGCCGCGGCTGTTGGAGATGGGCGTTGACTTGGCGGTGTTGGGTGATGAGAGTGCTTTGCGCACAGACGGGACGGAAGGCGTGGCATTGAGGCTGACACTGCTGGGCTTGACTGGCGAAGTGAAGATGGAGAAATTGGCCGGCTTGATGTATCCTGCGTCGCTGTGGTTGGCCGTCTTGGACTTCTTGGTTGGGCTGTTGAAGACGGAAGGGTCCATGTTCTCGGCATCGGCATCTTCGTAGATCTCGGGTGCGCGTTGGCGCTTACCCGTCGATGGCGTGGGAACTGACTTCAGACCCTGCGGCGACGTGAAGTTTGGCGAGACAGCTGTCACATACGCGTTTAGTGAATGTCATGGCACGTGGATTGAAGCTATTTACCATTTTGCCTGTTTTTCGCGCTCTGGAGTACTTGGAGGCGTGACGAGCCAATCTCGCCGAAGGGCTGGCGCGTAGAGGTGGCCATGGTAAAGACTGTCGAGAGTGTCGCGATAGCGATTGATATGATGTAGAAGTAGATATATCGGCCCGAAAAAGCGATTGATGCGATTGAGGTATCGGGGTTGTGGTGTTAAAGGTGATTGTCGTTGGGACGGAAGGTGCGAAAGGTGGGGTGGTGGTTATCGTATCTCGTTTGAGCCGGAGCGCGCGACTAGGTCCAAGGCAGCCAGACCAAAACAACAAGAACAACAACAACTGTCTCTTCGTCTCTTACAATGGTTAGAGAAAGTGAGAGTCAACGACAGAGAGCCTGAACACACTGAGTCAAGCCTGGAGAGAAAGAGTATGGGAAGAAGGATGTGCAGCTGGGTCACGAAGCTATTAGACCAGCACTTCAACGCGTCCCCAGTCTCCCTCGTACTTAGCGTGTCCATCACGCACTTAGGGGCCGCCTCCCACAATCGCGTCCGTCTTCTCCACTCAGACTAGGATCATGTGCCGAAACTATGACGGAAAACTGGTTTTAACCCTCGAAGCGACTTCATGCAATACAGGCTATTGGCTAGGAAGCTCCGGGTCCACCTGCAGTGTCACTTGCGCCACCAAAACGCGACTCTGCGCGCTCGCGATATAGACGTGAAGGACGTGAACTCTAGTTCGTTTTTTGCGCGCGTTGATCCTAGGCTATGCAGCGTGACTGAGGCAGCAGTACGTGCAGTAGAGACGCCTGTTTGAGGCATTCCGTATGTTGGTCTGCGGCTGCCAATTGTCACAGATATGTCATAGGTGGTTGGCGGCGGAGCTGAGGTTTGGACCATCTGCTGGTCCTTCGAGTATCGCGCGGCTTGCCGTTGGTGTTTCGACGCGCATATATATTCACGCGGGCTGCCTCTACAGAACGCGATGAGGCGGGATGCACGCGAATTTGCTACATCATGCAGGTAAGGCTGGGGTTTGTTGGCTCGACATGCTGACTGCCGACGTGCATGTTAATTGCTATGCAGCCCTTTTGTTGTAACAGATATTATGACCTCATGTCGAATGCTTTGCACGCTCACCATTAATGGCTTGGAGTAATTTTACGCGTTCTAGAAACTTATCCAGCATATCAGTTCATATTGCCGTGACTCCACTTGCTTTTTGTCCTTCGCGTTTGTACCGTCGCGCCATCCCTACTCCCAGCCCGCCGCCGCCGCCGCCGCCGCCGCCGCCTCAGCACTACTCAGCCTCGAGCTCTTGCTCCCCGCACGACTTCCCACTCTCACCGGAATATCACCCCAATCATCATTCAAATATGTCGCGTTATCCTCGTCGAATCCATTCGCATATTTTCCCTTGTCTTCATCTCCACCACCCCAGTCGTCACCATTGCCGTCATCAACACGAGCCTTCTCATTACTCCAGCTCTGTTCGCTGATGACACGACTACCAGGCCAACCCGCTGTAGCATCGGATCGATACGAGTCTCGAATTTTGTGGCTGGATTGATTACCACCCGCCCAACCTGTTTGACTATCTTCCCAGCCTGTAGTTTGTGCGTGTCTGCTGCTCCTGTGGCTCCCACGTGTACCCTGGCTATGGTGACTTCGATGGGAAGACTGTCGACTTGACAATCGGCTGTGGTGACCTAGAGATCCCCGCTCACTCCTTATGTCTACGACACTAACCTCACTAATTGATTTCCTTTTCTCGAAGCCATCCCACGTAGCATCGCTCGAGGGCCGTGTAGGACTACCAGAATGTACAGACGTAGGATTGCTGGCGTGTTGCTGAAACGTAGAGTGTTCAACATCTGTCCAGTTATGGTTATCGGCAGCTTTGAGTCTCTTGCTCCAGCTTTGTTCGCTAGGGGACTTGCTGCTTGCCCAGGTATGTGGGTGAGGTGTGCTGAAGCTCTTCTCGCTGTTCTTTTTGTTCCGCCCCCAGTCTTGAGTGCTGCTGCTCTTCACACTGCCTCCCCATCCAGTCACAACATACTCCTCTTTCTCTTCCGCGGAGATGTTGGCTGCATCTTCAACGGTAGGAGCTTTGTAGGTCGTATAACTCTTCACTGAAGCATTGTCCGAATCTTTCTTCGAATTTCGTGATTTGCCGCTCCTGCTAGTACCGTGCGACTTGTCGGTCTTATGTGATTGACTTGGGCTACTGGCTTTCCATGCACTTTCAAACTGTCCTCCATCCCAGAATTTCTCCGATACTGCCTTACTCGTCTCCTTAGCCGATGACAGCTCAGGGGACGGCCATCCTCCAGGCGGCGAGCGCACATTCGACGTTTTCTTCTCCTTGGTCCAAGAGTTCAACTCCGGAACGACGTCCTTGTGTCCACTTGAGCGCGGAGAGACATGCCTGAATCCCTCACTAATGGCCTTGATTGGGGCTTTCGGGACAATGTATTCGTATCCATCGCTCACTGATATAACCGGAGAAGTCACAGAAGTAGCTCTGCTAGAGGGCCAACCGCTCGCACCACCCGTCATCATGAAGCCCGTCGGCGACCCAATGTCTTCGCCGCCGGAAGGTAGGTAGCGATCTTCATACTCAGATTCTGGAATGGGTGTGAGTATTATGGGCGGTGAATGCTGTGATTGACGAGACTTCTTGTGTTTGTCCTCCTTTTGTCTTTCAGTCTTCTCTTTTCGGCTCTCCTTCGAGCGTTCATGCGACATACGGCAAGTGCGATGCTTCGGCAGAGACGGTGGAATCGAGCCTCGAACTGGGGAGCTTGGTTCGATAGTAGATGCTGCTTTGACCCAATGTTTTGGTTGCTCACTGCCAGTTTTTCGTGGACCAGAATCGAACTCGCCATCCTTATCCACGACAATGACGCGACCATTATCTGCTTTGATGACGAAAGTTCCCCATTGAGGTGGCATAGGAATTGTCACCGTGTCCTTCTTCGCCTGCTTTTGCTCTCCGACTATTCCATCCTGACGGCTATCGCGATTCGTTCTCTTGACCTCCAGTCTGCCCAGGCCTCGTATCTTCTCTAGATTCCGCTGTATGTCTCCACTGATTGCCTTTTGCACGTCGCCGTTCCACAATGTCTCCGCACCATGTTTGGGCCCCTTCAGCTTTCTCTGCTTGTAAAAACGTGTGTCGATTGGTCCAAAACCTGGGGCTGCTCCGAGTGGAAGGTGCATGTCTGCTCCGTCATCAACAAAACTGCCCGTATAGGCTGAGGTATCTGAGCCATTGCTGGCAATCCACTTGGCGATGTGACGCTGATCAAGGCCGCGAGGTATGCGCTTGGTGAAAGACCCGCCGTCATCGACAAAGGACTGGGGCGTTATGGAACTCATGTTCGCACTGTAGTCGCGTGATTGGAGTCCGCCAGAATCACATTTGGGAGGCTCGTAGAGATATGGACCACAGACCGAATGGCGATTCCGCCTCGCTGGTTTGCGAACTGCGGGGCGAATGAAGAAATGTCGGAGGGTCGCGGTAGACTTTGACGGCATTTTCACAATTGTGAAGCAGAGGTGAAGGTGAACAACTCTTTGGCCGATACACAAAATGACAACTAAACAACAACATGCACACCGCAGAGACATGATGGAAAGATATGATATACACACACATTGAAAGACTTGAAAACATCTACAGTGACACAGCACCCGTGCTGTCGATTGCTAAGATATCAGTGCGCACATCCAACAAACACCAACACGCGCCAGCACCGACTCTCCCGCTACCCTCGGAGCAAAGACAACTGAGTCAGATCATCAAATCACCTCCTACAGCTTCGCCTTCTCCCGCTTCTTTTCTTGTTCCCACTGTAACTGCACGTTCCGCATCTTGTACCAACTCCACGTACCAGCCATGAGCCCAAACGGTGGGAAGACCCAAAGCAGAAAACTCCACCATCGCGGGCTATTACTTCTAATGTCCTGCATGACTCTCTGTATCTCCTTCTCTAGATAGCTCCTGTCGTGATCATTCCAGACCACGACGCCATTCCCTGGACCTCTCCGCAGACATCGCTCAGCTTTCTCGCGCACGTCGCCTTGGCTCATAACGCGATTGCGCGCATCTTCTTCGGTAAGATGAGAGTCGCGATCTCGTAGGCGCTTTATTTGTATCGCGGGATCCGACACGCCAACGACGAGGATAGTACCACAGTAGCGTTCCCAGCCGCTTTCAAAGAGGAGAGGCACGTCTAGCACGACTGCCCAGTTGCCGCGTAGGTATGCCCATACCATCTGTCTGTACATCTCCTTCCGTACTGCAGGATGGACAATGCTGTTTAGTTTCTTTCTGTCGCGCTCCTTCTCTTCTCCGCCGCCAAAGACTCTCCGTCCAAGTGCTGGTCGGTTCAGCGGACGTCCTTTGGGCGTCGCATCGGGAAGGAGCAGGTCGGGTGTAGTAGGCAGGAAGTGCTCGACGATAGCATTGTAGCCTGGGGTGCCGGGCTCGACGACCTGCCGCGCGATGAGGTCGGCGTCTACGATGGGGAGAGAGTAGGGCGGCTTGGAGAGGATGGACGAGACGGTCGATTTGCCCGTCGCGATAGAGCCTGTGAGGCCGAGAAGGAGCATGGCGGATTGCTTCGATTGAAGTTTGCGTACCAGTAGAAAATGTTAGATGTTTAGTGATGCAAGCCCAGATTCTGGCTCTGAGCTGGTGTTGTTTGCTTCACATGGCGAGTGCATGAGAGATGGGATGACGATTGCGGGGAGCTGGGAGCTCGTACCTCGGAGGTGAGCATGGACCCCCCAACAGCACTACGAAGTCTTCAAGTTCACTCATACGAACGATAGTGGAATGCCATGGCCACGGTTTGATTCATGTGTCTACGGGGCCAGAATCGCAAGAAATTGACAAAGGATATCACTAAGCTGTTGCGCCCAACACCGTTCCTGGCCTCTTCCTCACTGTGATCCACCATTAGTCCGTTGCGGTGGAGGGTCAGGACGGACAAGATAGCATCCATAGAGCCCCGTCATCAGAACTAATAAAGCCTTCCTTCTCTGGCTCTACTCCCTCCTCTTCAGTTACATAACTCAAAGGCGAAGAAGATGGCTCGAACGCTTCGAAGACCGGTACGAAAACCGGTACCCTACCCTATAAATGCCCTTCTGTTAGCCACCTCAAAAGGAAAACATGTAGAGGGAGGAGCTCAGTCTGAGACATCTCCATGGTTCACAGTCTTCTTCAGTGGCTCAACAAGTTTGCGCGCGGGACGGAAAATTTGCAGCTGGTTGTCCTCAGCAGCGCCCATCATAAGCCAAGGGTCGTTCTTGTTCCAGTCAAAGTCGCAAATTCGGTTGGTGAAGCCACCGTGCATGAACAAGCTATTACATGTCAGTACGTGAACTAATGTCATGTTCGTGGTGACTTACAGCTCAGGGGGGCCATCTTCTGCCTCCTCAGCCGTCTGTTCAGAACCGATCTTGCTGAGATCCCACAGGCAGATGCGGCGATCGTAGCTGGAACTGGCAAGGATGGCAGCATCTTGCGGGTGCCACTGCAGACCGATGACATCTGAGGAGTGATTCTGCAGACTGTGTAGCTTCTTGTCGAAATTCCTCATATCCCAAATACCGACTGATTTGTCGGCAGAACCTGTCGCGAAAGTCCCTTCGAACTCGGGATGGAACGAGATGCAGTTGACTGCATCGTCGTGGGCCTCCTTCCTGTACAGTGCTTTTTTGTGTGTCTCCATACGAGTATCGATGACTTGCCAGGTAAGATCGTCGGATGCGGTACCAATAAGGAAGTTGTGAATCGGGTGGTATTGGACATCGTTGACGGTTGCGCTGTGAACATTGTATGTTGCGGTCGGGCTGATGGTCTTGTTGCTCTTGGAGAAGCCACTCTTGATATCCCATGTCTTAACTGTGGTATCTTCGTTACCCGTCACCAAGTGTCCCTCCTTCAGGGGACTCCAGCTTAACCCGAATCCCTCTTTGCTATGGCCTACAAGCTCTGCCTCGAACTTGATCGAATCGTCCTTTGGTTGCAGTGGGTGCTTGGTCCGGTCAAAGATAAGCACTTTGCCATCTACACACAACGACGCTATGATGTCGGGATTCTGAGGCTGGTAACGCGCCTTGTTGACCTCGCCGGGGTGGTTGATCTTCTGCACAATCTTGAAGTCAAAGGGTCGCTTCGCATTGCCGTGACCACCAATCTCTCCCCGCTCTTCGTTGAGCTCTGACAAGTCTGGGACGCGAAAGTCGGGTATCTCGCAATGCGCAATTTGGAGGTAGTTTTGCGCTTGATTCGAAGTGTGGGTTCCAAGAATGACGCGGTGCTGGCTCATGTTGGTGCCCTCTACAGGCTTCTTGTCGGGCAGCCATTGTGTAGTGAGCGTGGGCCACTCGAGTGCGCGACCGTATAGCATGTCATAGAGGAAGACGCTATTCTTCTTCCATATCTTGTACTCTTCATTGATGAGCTTTTGCTCCGTCTGCTCTTGGTCGTCCATCTCGCGGGAATCAAGAGCATCTGTCATGATTTGTTAGTGTCGGTTACCAGAAGAGGTCGAGGGTTTTGTGGTAAGAGTGCTTGTGGATATTCGGTAGCGAGCTGGTATGCTATGCGCCAACTGTGTCGGTGTGGTATGCAAAGCGAAGCTTGCTGCTGTTCTGTGTAACAATGTTGCGAACCATATTCGCAACAAGTAAACAAACTTACCGCTCATAGTCTCGTCCATGGTGAAGGTGGAGTTGTGCTAAAAGCTAGAGGCGAAGTGGGATATATGGGATCTCGAAGTGTGATGCGTAGAAGCTACGGCGCACGACGCGCTCCCAAAGTTCGCGTTTGGACCAACCCCGATGTCGATCCATTAGCGCCCCACTTGCTTGGCAGTCGCCGCCAGCATATCTATTGCGTCTATGACCAAGACTCCGATTCTTTGAAGACCCCAGCGTCGAGAACCAACACCCTATACTCTCTCTCGCCCTCTCGCCTACAGCGCCTTTGCGCGCTTCTCTCTATTTCCGTATTCCTCCCTGTCGCCCACTTTGTGACTCTCAGCCTCGCCACTTGTACCTACAAGTCGCAAATCACAACCTATTCTCAGCTATTCCTAGATAGTAGCAGCAGTCATGGGTGTCCCCAAGTTCTTTCGATGGATGTCCGAAAGGTATCCAGGTATTTCGCAACTCATTGCAGAAAACCGCATTCCCGAATTCGACTGTCTCTACGTAAGTACTCTACTGTCGCATTAGATGCGCACAGCTGACAGCTATAGCTTGATATGAACGGTATTATCCACAACTGCACCCATAACGATTCCGACAGCGTCACTGCGCGCAAGTCCGAAGATCAGATGTTCATCTCCATCTTCAACTATATCGAGCATTTGTTTGGCAAGATTAAGCCCAAGCAGCTCTTCTTCATGGCCATCGATGGTGTCGCCCCGCGCGCCAAGATGAACCAGCAGCGTGCACGACGTTTCCGAACCGCTCTCGATACTGAAAAAGCTCGGGAGAAGGCTATCCGCGAAGGCGTAGAAATGCCGACGGAGGAAGCGTTCGACAGCAACTGCATTACGCCAGGTACTGCCTTTATGGCGAAGCTCACGCAGCAGCTCAAGTACTTCATCAACAAGAAGGTCTCAGAGGACATAGACTGGCAGGGCGTGGAAGTCGTGCTGTCTGGTCACGAAGTCCCTGGAGAGGGAGAGCACAAGGTCATGGAGTACATCCGTCAGGCCAAGGCACAGCCAGGATACGACCCGAACCGTCGCCACTGCCTGTACGGTCTAGATGCCGACCTGATCATGTTGGGTCTGCTCAGCCACGACCCCCACTTCAGCTTGCTGCGTGAGGAGGTGACGTTTGGTCGCCAAAGCCAAACCAAGTCAAAGGAGCTGGAGCATCAGAACTTTTACCTCATGCATCTCAGCATTGTTCGAGAATACCTGGAGCTCGAATTCCAGGAATTAGAAGAGCCTGGAGCTCTCAGCTTCCCATTCGACATGGAGCGTGTTATTGACGATTTCATTCTTATGGCTTTCTTTGTTGGTAACGATTTCCTTCCCAATCTTCCACATTTGCATATCAATGAGGGCGCCTTGGCCCTCATGTTCAACGTCTACAAGACTGTCCTACCCAAGGGTAAAGGATACATCAACGAGGAGGGTGTCATCAACATGGAGCGCTTGGCTATCTTGTTGGATGAACTCTCAAACATCGAATACCGTCATTTCGAATCCGAGAATGCCGACGCTGCTTGGTTCAAGGGCAAGAAGCTTGGAAAGGAGGATGTAATGGCGAAAACGGCGAAACGAGGCACAGTTGTCATGACTACGCAGCAGCAAGAACTGTTTTCCAAGGTGAAGAGCTGGCTAGGTAATTACTTGGAAAAGAAAGATCAAGCTCCGCTGGATCTTCCGGTATCTCTTGGAGCAGAGGATCGAAAGTTCGTTCAGGAACTTGCCGACAAGTTGCATCTCCCCTGGAAGAGCGTCCAAAATGATGATGGCGACCGTCACATCCAGATTACAGCTCCACCCAAGCTGGTTGAAGGCGATTCGGACGACGAGGATGAGATGGATGACGAATCCACGAAAGCGATCGTACGCGTCGTACAAAAGTACGAACAAGCCAAGATTGTTGACATCTCGCCTGAAGACGCTCAATCGGAGATGCAGAAGAAATACGACGAGAAGTTCGACGCATGGAAGAATGACTACTACAAGAGCAAGTTCGATTGGGATCGCAGCAATGAGGAGGAGCTTCGCAAACTGACGGAAAACTACGTCCAGGGATTGCAATGGGTTCTCTTCTACTACTACCGTGGAGTAGCGTCATGGCCATGGTACTATGGCTACCATTACTCGCCTATGATTTCCGACGTCAAGCGAGGTCTGAAGGCGGACATCAATTTCAAACTCGGACAGCCGTTCAAGCCGTTCCAGCAGCTGATGGGTGTCTTGCCTGACCGTAGTAAGAGTATCGTACCGAAAGCCTACCACCCTCTCATGACAAACGAGGACTCTCCGATCATTGACTTCTATCCCCGAGACTTCACTCTGGACATGAACGGAAAGAAGCAGGACTGGGAGGCTGTCGTGAAGATTCCGTTCATCGAGGAGGACCGTCTGCTTAAGGCTATGGCAACCAAGGAGAAGGATCTAACGCCGGATGAGAAGCAGCGTAATTCATTTGGTGTTTCGTTGAAGTTCACTTACGCTAAGGATCTGGATTTCATCTACCAGTCATCTCTGCCAGGCGTATTCCCGGACCTTCCCCACTGCAAGTGTATCGAGAACATTTTCGAATTGCCCACCATGGAAGGACTGGAATACTACATCGGTCTCGTAGACGGCGTCAAGCTAGGAGCTGAGGCACTGGCCGGCTTTCCCAGCTTGAAGACGTTGCCGTTCCACGGCAAGCTTGAGTTTGCAGGCGTCAATGTTTTCCAACAGGACAGTCGAAACGAGAGCATGGTTATCACACTACTGGATACAGAACCACGACAGTCCGTCTCGCATGCACAGGCAAAGCTCGGCAAGGCGGTTCATGTTGGCTACCCATTCCTACATGAAGCAAAGGTGGTGAAGGTATCGGATGAGTTGTTCGACTACGTTCTGCCTGAGAGCGGTGATTCTCCTGCACCTGTTGCTATTCCCCATGGACCGCAAGAGATCTCCAATTGGAAGAAGACGGCGAACCGTATCGAAAATCAGTACAGCAAGCGCCTTGGTATCAACATTGGAGAGATTGAGTCAATCGTGCACGTAGAAATGCTCAAGGGACTTAGGAAGACCGACGAAGGAGCCACCATCAAGGAGTACGGAGAGGTCGCTGGGCTACAAGTAGAGTATGCGACCCAAACAGTTGTAGACGATGTTTTCAGCCCAGATGCTCGCTTTTTGGAGAAAGAGGCTTTGCCCATCGAGGAAGAATTTCCCGAAGGAGCCCGTGCATTCTATCTAGGAGACTACGCCTACGGTCGCCCCTTGCAAGTCGTCAGCCATGCCGACAACAAGGCCACGATCATGGTCGCCAAGCTAAAGAAGCAAGAGCCACACTTCGGACGTGAAGTTGTCAGCATGGCTGAAAGGTCCACACCGTATGTTCCATCCTACGTTGTGGCAAGACAACTGAATATGCCGCCGCTCGCACTATCAAAGCTCACGTCCTCTTTCAATGTCAACTCAAGTGGTCTCAAGCTCAACCTGGGCTTGAACCTCAAGTTCGAGGCGAAGAAGTTGAAGGTTTTGGGCTACTCTCGCAAGTCGCCCAATGGGTGGGAGTATAGCCAGAAGGCCATGGAACTCTTGGCTCAGTATATGATCAAGTTCCCAGAGTTCGTTGCTGCCATTATCAACAATCCAACGGGCGATGGATGGGAGGACACGGACTTTTATCCTCCCGAGGTTGCGAAGCAGAAGGTCAAGGAGATTGGAGCCTGGCTGAAGAGTGTCCAGACCAAGAACTTCGAAAAAGTACCCCTGGACGCAGAGCAGCTCGACTCCGACACAGTCAAGCTTATTGAGCAAGCCGCCGATGCCAACTTCCCTCTCACCCAAGACGTGGAGCCCAAGACAGTTACAAAGGTGCCACGTGTCGCCCTGCTGAAGCCGTCTGACGCGGAGCAGCGCCTGGGACACCAGAACTTCAGCATTGGCGATCGAATCGTCTATGTTCAAGACTCTGGCAGAGTACCAATCGGATCGTCAGGTACTGTGGTTGGCAAGACCCGTACCGCACGTGTTTTGTTACTGGACGTTGTCTTCGATGCGACTTTCATGAGTGGTACCTCTCTCGGAGACCGTTGCTCTCCGTTCAGGGGGTCAACTGTCCCTGCCACTGCGGTCGTCAACATGACAGATCAGCAGGTTGTCCATTACTCTAGTGCCGCAGCCGCCAGGCGTCCACAACAAGCGCCTACGTCATACAATATGCCCCGCTACGGTGCTCCTGGAGGTCCCGGGCTAGTTCCCGCGGGCACGCCACCACCTCTTCGTGGCTCATACCGAGGAGCTTTCGGAGGCGCCAACGGACGTGGCGGAGGCATGGCACCACGTCAAAGCCCTGGACCACAGCAACCTCAAGGACAGCAACAGACACTACCAATCCACGGCGGACCTCCTCGTGGTGGTCGCGGGGGCCGGGGCGGATTCGCTCCCCGTGGTGGACAAGCAAACGGCCAACCCTCTCAAGACCAGAACCAGGTTCCCAATGGTGGCAACACTCGTGGTAACCTACGAGGTGGCTCTACTGACTTCGTTCCCCGTGGGCGAGGAGGAGGCTTCAAGGGTCGCGGCGGTTTCACTGTTATCGACAACACTGACCCCGCTGAAGGAGTTGTGCCCAACAACCCGAACTTCCAGCCGCGAAACTACTCGAACGTACCGCCACCGGCCAATCTAGACGGTGGACGAGGTAGAGGACGAGGTCGTGGTCGTGGCGGTTTCCGTGGACGCGGAGGGCCAAGGGGCGGCGCGCCACCTGCTGCCTAGTAGACTCTTCCTCACAGTACATTTCAACATCTATTTGGTATTGATTGAGCGTTTCACAAAGCATGTTAGCGTGGCGTTACGGCGTACAGCTCGACAATAAGTTGGGAAATGCATAGATGATACCCATAGATGACACAGATGGATAGAGTTCAAGGCGATGTGGAGAAAGATGGTGTAAGATGGGTAGTGCGCAGGTTGGTACGCATATCAACTCGTCTGTAGCAATCTCAATAGACATATTCGTATCCAGCATGTGAGGGTTTGATTCTCTGCAATCGTCTGACATCAAATACTAAGTGTGAAGATGATGCACTAGCGTGGAATAGGGTGAACCCTGGTTTCGTAGGGCTGAGCTCCGACCTCCGCGCGACAGTCCAGATACGTGTTAGGACCACGGAAAGCTACGTCTCCATGCCCACTTTCAACAAGCTTCTCGTCCTCTCATAGCCGGCAAACGTTCACAGATAGGGCTCCGCGCTCTTCCTACATATCTACGATGCACTCGACGCTTGTGCGTCTCCAGAATGTCTTCGGCTTCTTCACCACAGTTGCTTTCACAGTCGCAAGTGTCATTGCGCTGAGTAGCTTCATCTCCCCACAGAACCCAACAGCCAGTATATCGCTGCAGAATGTACAACTAGTAATGGGACGACCGCACTACTACTCGCCTAAGAGGGAGGAGTATGCGCATATCAAGTTCGACCTTGACGCTGGTATGTCCTACATGAATCGCAGTTATGCTACGACTGTACATTGCAAAAGCAGAACTAACGCTTCCACCCACAGACCTCAGCTCGCTCTTCAACTGGAACACAAAGCAAGTCTTTGTCTACCTCAAAGCCGTCTACCCCTCCACGCGCGCCTCTGAACCCCCCTCGGAAGCCATAATCTGGGACGCCATCGTCGCGTCGAAATCCGCGCCCTGGAACCAAAACCACTTTATTCACCCCGACCCCAAGTCCAAGCTGCCCAAGCAATCCGCCAAGAAACGCGCTGCCTCCAAGTCAAAGGCCGCCTCGCCTTACCCTGTCGGCGAACTTCACCTCCAGAATCAGAAGCCCAAGTACAAAATCACCGATATAACCGGCAAGTTGGGCAACAGGACAGATGTCATGTTGGAGTTGGGGTGGAATGTGCAGCCATGGGTTGGCGCGTTGACATGGACAAACTGGAACACGGTCGGTGTGTGGAAGGGTCTCGAGGGAGGCAGGAGCAAGGCGTTTAGCTTCCCCGAGGTGGGTGCCAAGGCAGCGAAGCCCAAGGATTTGGAGACTGAGAAGGGCGCGGAGGGTTACAGATTGGTGGTTGGTGAGGAGGTGCCGCTAAGGAAGGCTGCCACTTAAAAAAAAAAGCGATTGAGAGTATGTATAACGAGGGGCAGAGGATCATTGGGGCGATCACATGTGATACCAAATAGGCATATATTTTCATGGGCTTGATCATCATGGATAGATGCTCAAGGAACTTCTACTGATACTCTACACTGTACTCTCGCATGTGTATGCGTCTTTTGCGTTGGTTCCAATTGGTTGATTTGACTCATTCCGATTATGCGAGAACATGTTAACGCATGGACTAGTAGAAGTACAGTGAGATGTTGTAACAGTAAACATGTGTTGATAGTAGAAGCACATGCTCGGGTCAAGGTCGGACCTCCGATCTCGCCGCAAACCGCCACTTTCTGGTCGTCGGATTTCAAAGCGCGCTCCACAACCCTCAATCACCTCACATCATGCCCCATTCGCGACACTACCTACACCACCCTTCTTCTCGCCCATCTGAATACGCTCCAGATTAATACGAAAACCCTCAGAATACGGGTTTCTATACATCCATCAAACAAAGTGCCTTCCGTCGACCTCCATTGACGTAACCCCCACCAATTCCCCCGCCGCTCGCGCCAACCCAGGTCAGCCAGTCCTTCGTATTCGCGATGCCTCTCGACAACATCCGAAACATCCTCCTTGTGCTTTCCGGCAAAGGTGGAGTCGGCAAATCGAGCGTAACTACGCAACTCGCTCTCACACTATCGCTACAAGGGCATACAGTTGGTGTCTTGGATATAGACTTGACGGGCCCGAGTATACCGCGCTTTTTTGGCATTGAAGATGCGAAAGTAAAGCAGGCGCCTGGTGGTTGGATACCGGTCGATGTACACGGTGCGCAGACATTGGCTGCGCATAAGAGAGTAGGTGGAGAGGATGGAAGCACAACAGAGCAGAAAGAGGGAGGAGAGACGGCTGCGGATGGTCAAAAGATTGGGTCATTATCCTGCATGTCTCTAGGCTTCATCTTGGCTTCGCGCTCCGACGCTGTAATCTGGCGCGGTCCGAAGAAGACCGCCATGGTCCGCCAGTTCTTGACCGACGTCCTCTGGCCACCGCTCGATTACCTACTCATCGACACGCCGCCTGGTACCTCAGATGAACACATTTCTCTCCTCGAAACCCTCTTGAAGAACACGACACCATCTCCTGCTCTGAATCCGCATGTCCCGTTTCTCGCTGGCGCCGTCGTAGTCACAACCCCCCAAGCTATCAGCGTTAGCGACGTGAAGAAGGAACTAAACTTCTGCAAGAAAACCGGCATTAGGGTCCTAGGCGTAGTGGAGAATATGGCCGGATTCGTCTGTCCAAATTGTTCGGAATGCACAAACGTCTTCAGTAAAGGCGGCGGTACGGTCATGGCAACGGAATTCGAAGTCCCATTCTTGGGATCAGTACCCATTGATCCAGCATTTGTGGAGTTGGTCGAGAGCGGGACAAGGCCTGTGTATCCCAAGGGTACGATTATGCAGGGGAAGGTGATGGATACCGAAGAGGTTGCGGCGCTGAAGAGCAAGGATGGACTTTTTGTGGAGAAGTATCGGGATTGCTCGTTGGCGCCACTTTTCGATGAATTTGTGAGCAGGTTGAAGGTAGATATTGGGAAGATTCAATGAGTTTATGAAGTAGCGAGAAGAGTCGATGTGGAACGAGCGAGATGTTGAAGAGACGGAGAAACGGTATGAAACAGATACCGCTGAAGATGTAGAGAAGAATAGATACCCGTTCACATCTCTTTGGAACCGCATTGTCGGTGAGTGTTCACTCCCACTAGAGATTTCAAGGGATGCTGACCTTCTTATAGTTCTCCACCCCCACTCTTCGTGCATTGCTTGCTACTATCATCGCCGTGTCGTTGTTTACTTCACTACTCTTCGTTGTCATGACGGTGTGCTGGGATGTCGTCATGCCATCTCGTGTGACTCTGGTATTGCAGGTTAAATACCTGCGAGATCGCTCTGCTATAGCGAATCAGCAGGTCAGTATCTTGCACACACGTGAGTATTGCTCACCGACATCGACGATATATCCTCATGGCAGGTCAGGCTCCAGTCCCAGTCGCCGTTACCGGTCTCCTACTCAAGATTCCCTCTCGTATTGGTACTTTTGGCTTGTTGCCTACAGAATAAACACACAGATACCAGCTTAGAGGTGAGAGAGCGCTTGTTTACGTCGTAAGGTAAAGTTGAGCTCAAGTAAGTAGCGATATCCGCTTTGGGCTGTCGCCTTAAAAAGCCATTACTACTTCTCAGGGAAAGACTTCTACTACTCTTCGACCTACCTACTATACCTGCCAACCTTGAAAAACCTGCAAACTAATAAAGGCTTTATATACGAGATATTACTGCAACGTTGATATTGTTGTGCCGTTAAGGTTTGGAGCGCACGAAGACAACTGCACCTCCGCGACACTGCGCCAGACCACCACACCATGAACACTGCGAGCGACCATAGCCTACTAGAATACCGAATTAGCCCCGGAGGCCTTTGTCGGGCGCTCACGACTCCCATCGAAACACGCGGTGAGATGAGAGAGTTTTTGACCGAAGAAGCACAACAGAAAGCTTCGCCCAGTCAAAACCCCAAGAACAACACAGATCAGAAACCTGATGCAGACGAGAATGAGATTCAAAAAGGCAGGAAAGCTGACGTCGCCGCCAACGACGATGAAAATCGAAGTTCTGAAGAAGAGTCTAGCACGGGCGAAAAAGAGCAACTCATGATCAAACTGAAGTACAAGAGCAAAACCATTACAGCCTCCCCGCCAGATCACCCAACTCTCGCCGATACCCTTCCCAGTGGTCCGAACTTGGGTGCGACATTGGGAGAAACCTCCAATCCTTCCAATGAAAGTACCGTCGTCAAGCAAAAGCCTGAAGACTATGGACATGTTTCATTCTCAGATTCGAACGCGATCGACCCGCAGATCAAGATCGAGAAGAACAGCAACGATCAAGCTTTGGCCATGAAGCCCCTGGATGAACTTGAAGAAGAGACGTGTCAAGTCAAAACCATTGAGGGTGTCCCTGAGCATGACGCGCATCAACAGATTGATCGTCTCAGGCAAGGTCTGGTTGGAGATGATATGAATGTTGACATTCAGCGTGATGGCGATGCGATGTATGTTCTAGTCAACGACGACGTCTTCAACGAACCCTCGAATACCGCTGACGCCCAGGCTGCTGCACCTGAAACTGAGAAGATGCAAAAACCTGGGCTCGTTGAAAAGCGTCGTGTCAATGACATCGACGTTGACTATCAGCGAAGTAAAAGTGCCTTGCCGGAGACTGCTCGTAGCGCGAACGCAGCATTTGCTGACGGAGACTGTATATCAGATAAGGTCGTGTCAGATGAGATGTATTTGGATGAGTGGCTCCCCAACGCTATGAACCAATCTGATGACATTTGTGAAGCTGGCGGATCCCAGCAAGGTCAAGACCATCGAGAGATCGATCATCAAATCGGATCACCAGGTCTCTCAGGTAATGAGATGAACCTACAGCAACAAGGCCAAGACGAACAACTCCCTCAGACCTCCAATACTGGGCTACCAGACGTCGACGTCCAACATATATGGAGTCAGCCTCACCCAGACTTTTTGGATCCAGTTCATTTTACCAACAAGTCCGCTTCACCTCATTACCGGAACGCACCTGTCTCGACTCCCACAGTTACCTTGAAAGACTTTACGCAGTACCAGACACCGCCACCTCGACATTTGTCACAGCAGCCTTTCGGTCAATACAACCAACCCAACTTCGATCCTGGCTTTGGTCGCCAACAGCAGCTTCAAGCATTGGCCGAGGAGAAGAAGAGACAGCTAGAGAAACTTGGAAGACTGGATGACGAGCGGCCGCAACAATTCCAACAGTCACCTTTTGAGTTTGGCTTTCCTCGGAGCCAATTGAACACACCTCCGCCGTATGTTATGGGACCTCTAACTTACCAACGCGCACCCCAAACCGGCAACCAGCAGTTTTCTCGTGGAAAGGATAGCCTAAGCTTTCAACAACCGGACCTGCCCGCTATGTCTTACAGTCGGATGCCACAGGACATGTCGTACGGCTTCAATCAGGCATCATTACACGAGAGAACGGGAAGTGCTCCAGTGCCTCCCAGCTCGAACAACTGGAAGCCAGGACTGTATGTCTCTCAAGGTTTTGAAGAGGCGCGAAAGCGCGTCTCTGAGGAACGTGATTGTGGCAACGAAGGTGACGCATCTGATGACGATGAGCCTCTTCGGACCCGGGTGAAACGTCACCCATCGGTTACGAGCAGTCGGAACTCTGTCATCGGCATGTCACCTCCGTCTACAAATGCCAATCGCTTTTCTCGGCACCCGCAACCTGACGATGACTCTGATATTGAGTTCGTCGCAAGCAAGGCCAAGCCAAATCATACAACACCCAAAGTTGAACAGAAACAAGTAAACAAACATCTCCCTCAGCCCAGTTCATGCTCTTCCACATCCGCTAATAACGCCTCACCGTCTCCCGCCAACAGCGAAGCTATCGACTGGACCCTTCCCCAATACGAAATCCAACGCCAACCCCTCCTCAAAGGCGAAGAAATCCCCAGCGCAAAAGTCTCCCTGCCCGGCCTAGTCCGCGAAGAGCTCCTCCTCTCCCCAGACCACGCCGACGAAGAAGTCCACTTGCTGATGAACATCTTCATCCCGAACCAACGCGCCCTTTCGAACCCCGACCCCGAACCCGCCATCGCCGTCCTAAACTTCCACACCATTGCCGTCATGGTCATAGAAGCATACGTGCAATACGAAATCGGCGATGAATTCGGCACTGGACGTGGTCACTTCCACACTGAGCACGAACGCGGCGAGGCAGAATACGAACGTGTGCGCCAAGCTGTTGATGCGGATACCAACGAGATTTTCTTTGCAGTGGTGGATCGGTATAGGGCGGGCTTGGAGAGCAAGAAGAAGTCGTTGCAGCTTATTAGGGGCACACAGGAGTTTTGTGATGTCGCGCTTGATGTGATCTATCATATCAAGGAACATGGATTACTCAGGCCGGAGCCGAAAGTGAGAGCTGTGAGGGCGGATAAGGGGGTCAAGAGGGGACCCAGGGGTGGCATGGTAGCTGAGGGAAAGGGAGCAGGTAAGGGGACTAAGAGGGGTACGACGGCGAAGCCAAATGAGGTGCAGCCGAGGAAGAAGGCAAAGAATGCTGCGGCGGCGGTGGAGGTTAAGAAGAAGAGGGCTAAGCCCAAGACGCTAGGAGTTACGGTTGTGAAGAGGTGAGTGGGTGGATCGAGAGAGTGGCGAGCGATGAGTTGTGCCTTTATTGCTTGATATAGGAAAAAGGTGGAGGATATGGGATTTTCGAGCAGCTCCATTGGCACCAGCGATGTGTAAGATAAACGGCCCTGAGCCGAGTTTTGCTTTCCTAACATTGGCGTTGGATAGTACTATATTCTTTGTTCACCTCTTATTTCGAGTTCTAAGGAATATAATTCTCACACTGCAAAAGTGTTTGGCGTTTGAAATCCCAATGTGCCTGAAAATGAAAATGTACTGTATTTGTATTCCGTTGTCCCATTATGCTAAAGTAAAGTCTGGTCTAATCACCATCTAATTCTTCAGAAGTCCACTGTGGTAGTTGTCGATGGGAGCAACCTCCTTGACGCTTTCCCAAATCTGCTCAATGCCCTTGACCGCCTCATCGCTAAGCTTGCCCTTCTTCAAGCTCTTCGCAGTCTGCTCAGCTTGGCTAATCTTGCTAGCACCGAAGATGACACCATCCTCATCTCCCTGGAGCGCACTGTGGTAGGCCATCCAACGGTAGGCCAGCTCCGCCTTGGTAACACCCTCCTTCTCCGCAATCTCATTCCACTTAACGAGCGCATTGCGCATCGTCTGGTTGTCGTACAGCTTTCCGTACATGTTACCCAGGGTTTGCTCGTTGAAGCGTCCAGCGCCCGCATCGAGGTCCTCGGCAGTCTTTACGAGGAAACCACCAGCGAGGGGTGAGTATGCGTAGAAGTGGATGCCGAGCTTGCGGAGGGTGGGGAAGAGTTGAGTCTCCAAGTGGCGGGCAACGGGGTTGTAGTTACCCTGGTATACTTGGGGAAGAGGGTAGCCCTTGGCCTTGGCGATGTCGTAGACTTGCTGGACTTGTTCAGCAGAGAAGTTGCTAAGACCAAAACGGCGGAAGATGCCCTTCTTGTACGCCTCGTTCACACCCTCCAGGGTGTCCTCGAAGGGGACGGTTGGGTCTGGTGCGTGGATGTAGAAGATGTCGAATTGATCGATTTTGGCCTTCTCAAGGGAGTCCTGCATGTCCTGGACCACACCTTCCTTTGTGCATGCGCCAGGCTGGCCGAAGCCTCCAGCGATCTTACTGTCGATGATGAACTCTTTGCGCTTCTCTAGCTGGCCGATGGCGACCTCGGACCCAGCGTAGACACGAGCAGAGTCAATGTTCTTAACGTCGTGGGCGATCAAGACATCGATGAGTTTTGCGCGTTCTTCTTGTGTGTTAAAGTGCGAAGTGTCTGAGAGCGCAGCTCCTCCGAAAAGTGACTTGACCATGGTGAAGGCTGCTGGTTTTCGCGTGTACTTTGCGAGGGTGGTGTGAAGAGTGTGGAGGTGTCGTGAGATTTGACTCTGTTATGGCTCTAATGCGGGGAAGGCACAAGTATTGATGTTGTAGATGCTGATCGATGATGCTTTCCCAACGCCCCCCTTTCTTTTACTTATATACATACTGGGACAAGCATCTCCTTAGCCAACATCTTCCATGCACCTTTCCGAGCGGACCAAAGTTCTCATTACAAATGCTTTTCCAACGTCAACCGTCTGGTGACGCCAACAACACAACGCGCAGCCCCGACAAGGCTAGTCTGACTTATTTCCGCGTAACCCCACCTTGGCAGATTGCACAATCGCTGGTGTATGCACGGCGACACCACTAATCCCGATCACGTGCTATTCATGCACTTCTCATTCATCATGGACGAACAAAAAGCATGTTCATACTCGTGAATGGAGCACATGCGACGAAACGAGTCTCATGGATACTCAGCAGTAATCTTACATGCATATCGAACTAAGCTCATGATTGATTAGCCGTGTTCCTGCAACAGTCCGTAACGGCGGACGAATGGTGAACATTACGACAGGCTAACCCGAACTGACATTCAAAGCAAGAAAACATTACAGAACCATCTAGAAAGTGTGGTTGCCTAATTCTGCTCTCTCTGCACACTGTCTCAGTATCACTGAAAGTGCAAGAACTAAAATGCATATTCCCAAAGCCACATGCTTACCTATGCCTGCACCCTGACTACCGTTCGGGTCGGGGTATCGATGCCCCGGTTGCTTTGAACGAATGAATGACGAGTGGTTCAACGGCCCGCAATAGCGTAGATTAGGATCCCTACTAAAATCTGACATAGCCTTCTTGTCATTACCAGAGCGTGGACTATCCATGCTATGCGATGCGATGTGATGCGATGCAATGCCGACTCAGATTCATAGTCTCTGCAGGCATCATGATGGTCCAGAAGCCATCTCCGTCCAACCACCGTCCGCTCTCCAAACTCCAGCTTTTGTGTAATCACCCCTTCCACCGCCTTTTAAGTATCCAAAACGGAAGTACTCGTTGACACCTTCCATATGCCTAGTCCAAGTCCAGCTTTCCTCCATACGGTCAGCGTATTCATGGTACCTTTCCACATCGTTGACCAAGATGCTCATTCCATCATAAGGCTCAGGGAAAGGAAAGTGCCAATCGAAGGTAATGTTCGGTTTCAGATGATGAATGTTCAGGTTGTTGTGGATGATCGGTGCAGTGATGATAGGAAGTAAAGTGCCCATAGGTGCGTCGCCACGGAGTGCACTAGGCGTCTCGAGGATGCTGGCGAAGCCCCAGCGTGCAGTGCCGTTAATAAAGAGACCAATTAGGATGCCTTGGAACAGGAGGGAAGGACGTGTTTGCATAGATGTACCAGCAACAAGGAGCAATCCGAGAATGTAATGGTGGATGCGAACGTTCATCTTCGGTATGGCAACGAGTGCGAGAATGCCAGCCACCAGGGCGCCATAGATGGCAAGGTAGCGCGGCAAGCGACCTTCAACACGGAACGACCACGCTTGTCCTAGAGCGATGGTGAATAAGATAAGAACGATGATGATAAGGGCGGGAATGGCGCCTGGTTGGTTCTGGATATCGTGCGGTGTGAGGCGCTCGATAGGAATATTGTCGAATGTGTAGTTATTCAAAGCACCGATCCAACATCCTCCAAGCCAAAGGATAGTTTTCTCGACCTGTGCGTAAAGGCCTTGCAGTTGGCGACGCACCGCAAATCGGTAGACAGCATACATGCAAAATGATGCCGGAAGAAAGCGTCCCAAGGCAATACTCACGATGGAGTAGTAGTCGGTAAGGCTTGGTGGGTCTGATACAAGCGCAACGTGGAAGAAGACACCGATGAATATGGAAGAGAAAAAAACGGAGGGCGACGTCGTAAACAGGGACAAGACGATGGTGAAGGTCAGCGACACGCCTAGCAATGGCCAACGTAGGTCGCGACATTTGGCTTGAGTGCCAGATAGAAAGGAGAAGGACCTTGGGAAGTACGAGTCGAAGCCAATACTCTTGATATGCCTCCTGTTCACACTAGGGTAGTTGGTCTTCTCGCCAATCTGCGCAACAACTCCGCACCCGCCGGACGCGTCATTTATAAAGCCAGCGTGAATAGCTGCTCCGCAAATGAAAGAATCTGCGCGATAGTATGTGTTCTCCAACGTCTCTTCCTCGTCGGTCGGTCCGCCAATGACGAGTTGGCGGTAGTTCACGTTCTTGTCACCAACAGCATGTGGATTCAGCAATTGCTCGCGTCTACAGTTTGCCGGGCAGCGGAAAGGCATAGTGCTGTTGGCAAAGGGCCGGCAGAGATCTCCATTAAGCCCACAGCCATTGCCATCGCTCCAAAAGCGATCCGTACACCGTATTCGCACTGGGCTTCCATATCCCGGTATATCTGCTGCAAATGCGCTACGATGCAGTACCAATCCAAAGGTAAGGAGCCAGCAGAAGTAGAAAAAGACCAACAAGGTAATCTTTTGTCGTCGTTCTGGAAAGTAGTTGTTCAACAACTGAATCGGCGCAGTCTGTACCTTGGGGAAGAAAGGATGTATCTTCCAAGGTCGTGGTGGTTGGGGACCCTTAACCCATACCACAACATTGTTCCATACACGTTGTAACCGCGGCGGGATGTATTTAGTCGCGTAATAGGGTTCTTGCGGGCTATAATACTCCTCGCCGGATGTCTCGGAGTTCGCGGCTACGTCGGCTGGCTCAGCAGAAACTGTGTTCGCGTTCGCGTTCTCGTCGTCGCGGTAGGCTTGGGGAGGCGCGCCCTCATCGTCAAGGCTTTCCCGCGGTTCCATATCGTAGAGGGACGCCAGCTCGTGGCGGGATCTCGTTGGGGACGACACTATGGTAGCGGATAGGATGACGATGCGCCGAGGCTTAACGGGTGCTTATCGATAGGAATGCGCGTAAAGATGGAAGATGATGAATGACAGCTTGACCAGAGAGAGTCAAGATGGTCTCGTATAAGGGCGGAGGGAAGGAAGTATATAAGACTGGAGGCGAAAGTATAGCAGCAAGGAAAGAGCTCTGGGGAGCTTCGGGACCTGCATGATGCGGGCCTGTGGAGTTCCCACGTTCCGGCTGCACGGCGCTAACACGCTAGTCGGCCCTCAAGTACGAGGCATTGAGTGTCCGCGGCGGAGGCAGAGTATCGAGTTCTGCATTTCTACAGAGCTGGGAATATGGCGATTGGTACCGTCTCAAGTAGCTCCAGATAGCTTCCTCAGGTGCTCCCACGTGTGGCTCAACACGTGGCTGGCTCAACGTGGCTCAACGTGGTCTAGGCGTCCTATGCGGCTTCCCGTTCGGTGATGAGGTCACTGTTAAGCTGGCATTTCTAATCAGTGCCTTATCGGGGGCCTCGGACCATTTCCTTCGGGAGGCCGAGCGACTCCATCTTTGTCCATTGCCTTTTACTTCTTTGGACTTGTTTATTTTTCGACGATTCTGTGGGAGTTGTTGCATTTGACGCGTCTAGACAAACGTTCCGACAAATAGGATTTCAGCAGCAATCCCACGATGGCGCCGTACAGCTCTGATCCTGGCTCTTTCCCTGAGCCAGTGGATCTCACCCACTTCTTGTCAAGAAGCACGAAAGCGCGCGAAGCATCCTCAATCAAGCAATTTTACAAGTACTTCCAGATTCCCGGAATTGCTCAATTAGCCGGAGGTATGCGCGTGGGTGCACTACTATCTCGCCACCAATTACTTACCCATCGCAGGTTTACCGAACGACCACTACTTCCCATATGACACGCTCGAAGCCAAGGTTGCGCACCCGAACCGATGGCAACCAACGCCAAACAAGCCCGTCGATCCGCCTGCCGAGGACCCTCCCACCGCCCAGCTGAAGAAGAGGTCCATCTCAGAGCGTAAAGAGAAGGAGCCACCAGCGTCGCGGCTTGTTGTACCTAAATACTCCAACGTGCAGGACCCCCTTCGCATGATCGACCTCAAGTCAGCACTACAATATGGCCAGGCTATGGGATACCCTGCCTTATATCAGTTCATTCGGCAGTTTACGAGGGAGAACCTACATCCATTCGTGCCCTACAAGAACGGGCCTGAGGTCATCTTGACCTGTGGCTCTACTGATGGCTTTTCCAAGACATTGACTGCCCTCAGCAATGAGTGGTCAGCTGATCATGACCCTGTTGACGAGAGGCCGGGTCTGTTGTGCGAGACATACTGTTACATGAACGCCATCCAGACTGCCAAGCCACGAGGTTTCAACATTGCTCCAGTAGCCATTGACGACGAGGGAATGATGGCGCATGGAAAGGGAGGTCTTCAGGACGTTCTAGAGAACTGGGACTTCTCAAAGGGCCGCCGACCACATATCATGTACACCGTCACCATCGGCCAGAACCCTACGTCGGGCACTTTGTCGGTACAACGAAGAACCGAGATCTATGCTCTCTGCGTCAAATACGACGTTATCATCGTCGAGGATGACCCATACTGGTACCTACAGTACCCATCATCATCGCCCAGCAGCGCTCCTCCCAAGCCCACCAAATCTTCTGGGTTCGAATTCCTGGACAGTTTGATTCCTTCATACCTCAGTGTAGACTACCAAGGCCGTGTCGTACGTCTCGACACTTTCTCCAAGACTGTAGCACCAGGGTGCCGTCTTGGTTGGATCACCGCGCAACCCGCACTCGTAGAACGTCTCCTTCGCATTACCGAGACTTCAACTCAGCAGCCCTCCGGTTTCGTGCAGTCTATGATTGCAGAATTGCTCATGGGCCCTCAGTCATCCAACGATCCTGGAAGAGGAGGCGCGGCTGACGGCAGTGGTTGGAAAGTTGATGGCTGGGTGCGCTGGTTGGAGGGTCTTAGGGGCAACTATGAGCGTCGAATGTCGAAGATGTGCGATGCACTCAACGCTGGAAAGGAAGTCGTCAAGGCTGGGCGTCGAAGAAGTCTCATCGATGTCGTAGATGAGGAAGAGGATTGGGCTGTGGTCGAAAAGACAAACATGTACTCGTTTGTTCGTCCTCTTGGCGGCATGTTTGTTTGGGTGCGCTTTGACTTTTCATCCCACCCACTCGCCAAGCAAGTACCCGCTGGCCGTCTTTCCAAGGCTCTCTGGGTGTTCTGGACATCGAAGCCATACCTGTGCCTCGTAGCACCAGGTACCATGTTCGCGGCCAACGATGAGATCAGGGCCAACGATAGTTTCAACTGCTTCAGGTTGTGCTTCGCTGCTTGCCCTGCGGAAGATGTCGATGATATCAGCCAGAGATTTGTAGATGGTGCGCAAGCATTCTGGAGGATCAAGAGTAAGAGCAAGATTGACAAACTATTGGAGGATGAAGAAACCTCGATTGCGGGTGTTGATCACGTCGCTGGTATGGCAGTGTTGACGGGTATGTGCTGATGGAAATATGAGTCATCTTGGTCATATATAGTTTACGGACACGATTAGGCGTTTCAAATACCTCGCGTGTTACGCGCTACTTCAGCGGCTGATAAGAGAATGGATTATCGTGGTTACAAGGAAAGTTGACACTAGCCCAGGCAGACCCAAACAATGACAGACCAGAGTCAATATTGATTAACTATTATGTACACCAAAATCGCCGGAGGATGCGCGCTATACTCTCCTACTACTCGCTATTTATTTGGCCTTGGCATCCGCAAGGATAACGTCCGACGCCTTCTCTGCAATCATATAGAGAGGAAGGGCAAGGTAAGTACCAGGGATCTTAGGGAAGGCGGAAGCATCAACAACACGAAGACCATCGACACCGCGGACCTTGAAGTTGGTGTCGAGAACAGCATTCGGGTCGTCGTCAGAGCCAATGGGGCAGGTGCACGAAGCATGGTGGCCCCAAGCCTCGTACTTGGCGAACTCCTTCCACTGTTCGTCGGTCTGAACCTGCTTTCCAGGCCAAACCTCGGTGAATTTGCCGTCAAGAGGAATGAGGTCGTTGAAGACCTCGCGACCGTACTTCATTCCCTCTACAAGAGCGTCGAGATCCTCATCGCCGCCAACATCGAAGTTGCGCTTGCGAATCTCGGGTACATCCTGAGGATCAGCGCTGCGAAGAGTGACAGTACCGGCGTTGTTACGCGATTCAGCCTTGAGAGTAAGCCAAGTCCAGGCGTCACGGCCAGCAGTAGCGTTAGCGAAGAATTCGGGGTAGTAACCGTTGAAGTACGCGGGCCAACCAGCGATGAGAAGATCAGCGTTGCCGTTGATGGAGTTGCTAGCCTTCTTGGTAATGGCCAGAGCGATACCGTTGGTAGCGTATACACCCTTTCCGATTCCGAGCTTACCAGTCTCCCACTTCTCGAGACAGGGGTCGTGGTCGCCTTCAAGGAAGGTGCAACCGTTCAGGAGAGAGATCTTGCTGGGTGCCTGACCGATGACGGGAATTTCGTAGCGGTCCTGGAGGTTCGTGCCGACACCAGGGAGGTCCTTAACAACCTTGATGTCGAATTGGTCAAGTTCGGCCTTGGGACCAACACCGGAGAGCTTGAGGATCTGTGGTGTGTTGAAGGTACCGGCGGAGAGGATAACCTCGCGGGTAGCCTTGACGGATCCCTTTGTTCCCTTGCCAGAAGCAGAGCCGGATTGACGCCTTGGGTCAGCGCCGTAGAGAGATCTACCGGTCAAGAAGCTGACGCCGGTAGCCTTGGGCTTGGCACCAGTCTGGTCGAAGTCAACGTTGGTGACGAGGGTGTTAAGCTGAATGTCGAGATGGTACTTTCGGCTTCCATCACTGTTCTTCGCATCGATAACTTGGTGAAGGAAGTCGACGGGACCAGCCCGCTTGTACTCCGGAATCTTCATGGCGAGAGGGACCTGCCATAATCCCTCGGCAGAATCGCGGTTAGCGCCGGGGTTGTTGATGTCGCGGAGCAGAACCTGACCAAGACCAGTCACGGTAGTCAGAAGCGACGAGAGGAGGCTCTTTCCCATACCCGTGGCGGCAGCCAGGACGAGGGAAATGACCTTGAGGTCTTGGACAATCAAGGTCAGGTCAGTCAGAGAGGTCTCGAGCCAACCTGAGAATCCGTGTCCAACAACGCTGTTGGGCAGGTAGCGCGACCTCTCCAGACGGGTGAAGTACTTGCGCATGTTCTTCGGCGCCCAAGAAGCGTCGCCGGTGATAGCCTGGATGCCACTCCAGTCACTGTCATATGGGTATACAGTGATGAGGGCGTTGTGAACAGTGCAACCTCCGAGGGAGCCAACACGGGGGTAGAGAATACCGAGAGGTTTGGCGCCGGAAGGTGGGTTGGGGCCGGTGTAGCGGGTGCCATCAGCAAGTTCATATGTGAGCTTAGTGTCCTTCCTCATCTCAGCTTCGTCGTCGAAGTGCTTCACAAAGTAATCCCATCTCATCGGCTCGTATTCGGCGGCAACAGAGTGCAAGACGGGTACGTTGTATTGGGTGGTATTGGTTTGGTCGTCACCAGCTTCAAGGAGGAGGACCTTGTGGCCATTGAGAGCCAGTCTGGCTGCGAGGGGCGCACCGCCAGCACCGGAGCCAACGATGACATATTCGTAGTCTTCAAGAGTAGTGGTGTTGGTAGCGCTCACCGCACGCTTTACGTTCGCACCACGGTAAGGAGTGTGTTCCGCACCATCGATGATGTTTGCGGCAGTGAAGTTGCTAAGTAAAGAGAGGACAGCAAGAGCCTTCAAGACAATCATGATGACGGTATTAGAGGTGGCAATATGACCCTGGAAGAATAATACACAAAAGCGAGAGACAGAACGCCTGGGCGCGAACGAGTGTGGAGTGTGAAGAACGAGGGGCCTCCCTGTGAGGCCTTATACTCCCATGTGCATATGTCAGCCTCGAGCGACCATCACGAAGCGCCACCGGTGGTCGCTGTACACGTGGTACTGATTAGGATCATCGACCATCTACCCCTTTGGTCCTTTACATTTTACGAATGCGACTTACGGCTAATCGTACCCCAACAACTCTGCACGTTCTTACCAGATCCAGATGGTAGTACGCACCGTGCGTTAGTGGATCCCGAGAGCACGGTAAAAATGCTCTCCACGTCGGGCCGCATCCATGTCCGCCTTGACGAATGCTAGGCGGTCGAGTCAGAAAAGTACAAAAATTCTCCTAGCTGCAGTCGAGAGAGATGAAGCGGGGAGATTGAGCGTCGTTTGAAGCTAGACCGTACCTCCAGCCTTGCACGCGCTGTGAGTCGGCCCGACGGCAGTTGGCGCAAACTCAACACTGGTTGTAGGAAACTTCCGCGAGATGAATCAACTTTGAGAGCAAGCACTCGAAGTTGAAACATAATTGACCTCTAGCTTACATTCATTCTCTGAATGCGCCAAGCCAAGGGGAATACTTATTGACAGTTGCGACTGTTACATTCCCATGTTCAAGTTTCCGTCCAAGTTCGGGCTGGGCGTGCGCTCACCACCAAAAATGGAGAACTCCAACGACGATCGCCATAGACCGGTTAAAGCGCTGTGATTATTCTTCCCCCTTCTCCAAACGTCCTTTTCCAGTCTCGTCCCAAGCTACAGCTGCCCAATGTACGAAGCAACGTCATCAAAAACCTCCGATGCAGATGCGAACCTTGGAAAGTACCCACCCAAAATTTCAGCAACTAAGTCGATCGAGGGCTATAGCACGACCAGCAGGAGACGTTTACTACGTGTAGAACGGTACGTATCTCTCGATCGTGACCCTTGCATGTCTCCACTATGCACGTGCAACATCAACTTGGCAAACCAGGTGGATCCCCAAAGGGTCTTAGAGTCTCTATCACCAACGTCCTCCAGGGTCTCGGGGTTCCGGTGTACCGGAAGCACCAGTAGCTGTACAAGCATGGCCTGATTTTTCAAGACATTGTAGAGGATCTCCAGGGGGGTTTCAACAACATTACAGGTGCCGAGAAACATCTCCTCAGTAAGGGCTGTCGAATGCAGGAAGGCGCGATATGTACAGACCCTAGCTCCATGAACAGGGCGCAAAGCCGATTCCTCCCCGACTCGATACGACTCTCGAGCGACCCTTGCACTCCACCACTCGGTGACTTTCGTAACCTGGCTTACCAACTTCTCTCCCACGGATCCATATTTCGGTATGACTGCCCCTTGGCCCGGGTGAAGCTCGCTCATGTGGGCACATTTTGTGTTATCGCAACTCCGCCAGAGTGCTATGCAACTCGGATGCTGAGGACGTACATAACCTACTACTTCCATGACTTTACAACCTAGCGCAGGCTGAAACATTATACGCTCTCTTTTTGCTCGATTTCTCATCATTGACATATTCGTTTGCGAAACCTGCACATGACATTTCCCAATGCGGTTAAACATTCTGTTAGCATTTCTTGCGGCCTTTGTGGCTGCCGTTCAAGCTCAGAATGCGCTTGAGGCTTTGGCAGAGCGTATGCCCAGGTGCGCTGTATGTTGTCCTTTCGAAATGCCAGAGATGAACCCTATATCTGATATTTTTGTATAGCTAGCATGTTTTATGCAAGAGCTTCCCCAGTCTACTTGCGGGAGGAACCTTACTTCAGAGTGCTTGTGTAGCAACGATGCGCTTAATCTTGCGGTAGCTGCCTGCTCGCGAGAGACGTGTACTATATACGAGCTCATGCGTAAGTAAACCCTGTACCATACGATCCGTGTAGTAAGAGACTGACATCTATAACAGAGACCAAGAATGTTAGCAACCAGGGCTGCGGAGTGCCTGTTCGTTACAAAGGCGACACTTTCGTGCCTGTTGGTATTGTTGGATGTGCCTTGGCTATAGTGGCGTTCGTCCTAAGGATGGCTGCCAGTATAGGCAAGAACGGCCGCCAGGTGTCATGGGACGATCTCACAATGGGAATCGTGGTCTTGCTTGCTATACCTCCTGCTGTATTCGGCCACTTCTGTAAGACCACCGATGATGTTTCATCATAAATTAGGCAAATTTACTAACAACACCATAGTGGTGGAAAACGGTCTTGGACGAGACATATGGACGCTGAAGGCGAATCAAATCACCAACGTCCTATTCTACTACTACCTGGGAGAGATCTTCTACGTGACCGGCCTAGGTATCTCCAAGATCTCCATCCTCTTCTTCTACCTTCGCGTCTTTCCGGCAAAAAGCTTTCGAATTCTCACATACAGTGTGATGGGTTTATGCGGGCTTTACACCATTGCTTTCTTCATCGTAACTGTCATCCAATGTCGGCCCATCAGCATGGCCTGGAATCAGTGGGACGGACTCCACAAGGGCACATGCAATGACATCCATCTTCAAGGTTGGATCGCCGCTGCTATAAATATCTTCTTAGATGCTGTAGTAATGGGGCTCCCGATGAAACATTTGGCAGGGCTGAACATGAGCTTGAAGAAGAAGCTCATGGTCATGTCTATGTTTGGCGTTGGAATTTTCGTCATTGTCATCTCGATCATCCGCCTGGAAACACTCATCCATTTCTCGAACACGCAAAACATTACTTGGGACTACGTCGATGCCGGTCTATGGAGTCTTATCGAGATCGACGTCTCGATCGTTTGCGGATGCATGCCTGCACATCGGATGTTGATTGCCAAGTTCTGGCCGAAGGTAGCATCGACATTCGCGTCAAGTAGGAACACTTCGAGCAAAGGAACTTCCAACAGCAAAAGATCAAAGTTCAGCACCAACAATAGCTCCACAGCCGGCGGTCCAGAGAAGTCAGTACGTCTCTCCATCAAACCCAAAGCAAGAGACGAAGACCAATTCATCCCGTTAGACGACATGGACAGTAACAGTGACCGGGCGAGGTTAACAAGGACGGAAGAGGACCCGGAAAGAGACTCTGGAGGATGGATCATACAGACTCATGAAGTGGAAGTAAGTTGCAGGAATGCTTCGGTGGTGACTCAGAACGCCACTGATGGACGACCACAGGACTGGGGCAAGCCTGCCACGATGGGAAAGGAACATGTCTGAGATCTTGCTATTTGCTCGATTCTGGTATAGACGGAGTACAGGCGTTTGATCAAGCAAGGGCTATGAGCGGTGGTTATCTTCGATTGTAAATAGTATACCCAATTCCTACATTATTACAGCTGCAACGTTGCTCCCATACTTCTTCCTACATTCACGGGCTCCTATACCGTTTGACAAACCACATGTACGTGGAACATGATACCCTCCTCTCACGTACAACAATTCGAGTCAGTATGGCATAAGCGTGGCTCCGCCTCCCAATCAGACGCCGAAGTCGGTCGGAGCCATATCTGCGTGCGTACGCAATGACTGAGCACGGGCACCTGCTGTCGTAGCCGGGCTCCTGTCAAGCAGTGAGAAGCTTATACGTGGGGAAAGGATTGAAGACCCGGCAAGAGGCCCCACACTGTAACCATAGCCAGGATTACCCTTACTAACGGGACACTTGACCCTGGGAACGACATTCAGAATTTTCGCCACTTGTCTTTCTCGATCTGGTTACTTCGGTGCTTCTCGAAGACGTTGCGTGGGTCTATAACGTTTCGTAGTTAAACAATTACCCGCGATCTATGCGAAAGGGCCTGGGGTCTACATGTGGTATCTAATTTCCTGTCAAAGCCCAAAGAGAAAAGGAGTGGTTTGAGAGCTCAGGCAAAAGTGTGGTACGCGTTGGCATCAACCTTGAATTGAAAGCGTTGAGTGAACCGGATCGGACCGTGGGAGGAGAATGTCAGCTTCGGCTTTCTGTATCCGGACACGGGTGGTCCTAGCTGAACGGACCGTTTAGTCGGGCCTATGCAGTATGACCCCACCACTGTCGATCTGCCTTATTCCTTCCTTGCTGCGAACCCTGTCTCCAGTGAACTTGTTTCAGATCACGTATCTGGAATCGTCAGCCCTGCTCCTTTTCAACATCCTGAATCATCCGCCTTGGATCTGCCTGTCTAGCCCCCTTTGTGAGTCTTGTTCCTGCATGAGCACGGCCGGAGTCAAAGGCATTTTCCGTACCGCGACTGCTGAATGGTCTCCCCCACGTTCTTTCAAGGTTGTTAAATGAAGATAGACGTTGCTTCACTGCTTGAGCAGAGAAAGAGGTTAGTTTGTCACCTTGTCAGAAATTCCCCGTACCAATCGGGGACCTGCCTATGCTCGGTGTAGTTCGTCCGCTTTCAGCAGTTCGTCCGCGTCTCACCGCTCGAGCACACATCCATGCAGTTCGCATGTTGCTCGTAGAGTCCAACATGTAATTGTCATTTTCTCATCTCTCTTTGGCCACTTGTTGTTTGCCTCACAGTCGCTCTTTTCGCACCATTCCACTCACTATGAAGTTGTCGTTTTCTCTTCTTACCCTCTTTTCAGGTAACATCCTTGTCAATGCCTTTCCTGCTCTTAACCCAAGTCATCTTGAAGGCCTTACGCCAGAAAAGCTAGATGCAGCTATTCGTTCGGTCAACGAGTTGAAACAATCCAAGAGATTTCTTGTAGATGTCAACAAACCAATTGACATCACTGGCAAACACGCTTTCCGGGCTCCCAAAGGTAAAGACCAGCGTGGACCTTGTCCTGGACTCAATGCTCTGGCCAACCATGGATACATTTCTCGCGATGGTGTTACCAGCTTCGTGGAGGTTGTTGCCGCTATCAACCAAGGTTTGTCTACCATCTCTTGTAGTAGTGACCAGCCGGTTCTGACATGCGTAAACTCAAGTGATGGGCATGGGTACAGAGCTCGCTCTCGTACTGGGTGTAATGGGTACAGTCTGGACAGGAAACCCATTGTCATTAGATCCTGGTTTCTCTATCGGAGGTCCAGCTATTGGCTCGGACAACATCCTGGGAAATCTTCTTGGTCTCCTTGGTAAGTGAATAATACTGTTTTGCACCACTTCAGGCAGCAGCACGCTCACATATTTGCAGGTGATCCACGAGGTCTTCAAGGTTCGCACAATTGGATCGAGTCCGACTCATCTCTCACGCGCGATGACCTTTACGTCACCGGCGATGCTTGGACGATGAACATGACGCTATTCCGGGATATTCACGACCGCGCCAACGAGAATGGTGTGATCTCTATGGACCTACTGGCGGACCAGGCCGCCCGTCGCTGGGAGTACAGTGTGTCTCACAACCCAATGTTCTACTATGGACCTATTACCGGCATGGTTAGCCGCAACGCCGGTTATTTCTTCTTGGGTCGCCTGCTATCCAATCATACCGCCGAGCACCCTGACGGTATCCTCACACAAGAGGTCTTCCGTAAATTCTTTGCTGTCTATGAGGGTAAGAATGGAACACTCGAGTATCGTAAGGGTCATGAGACCATCCCTGAGAACTGGTACCGCAAGCCGATAGAGTACGGCCTAGTTCCACTCAACCTTGACATTGTTAGCTGGGTCATGAAGCATCCAGTCCTCGGCAGGTACGTAGTATCTTACATTCGTTTCCCTTCTCAATGTTTGGCTTTGCCAGCTGACATCTCTTTGAAGCATTGGCGGCAATACTGGCACCGTGAACTCCTTCACCGGTGTCGACCTCTCCAACATCACTGGTGGTGTGCTCAACATAACCTCCCTGCTCGAAAACAACAACCTCCTGTGCTTCGTGTTTCAGGTGCTCAAGACATTCCTGCCTAACTCACTCTCTGGGCTACTGGCCACCCTTGAAGTCCCGATCAGATTGGTAACCGATACTCTCGCCGCGCCGCTTCTGGATCTCGCGTGTCCTGCATGGAAGGATTTGACGGAAGGTGGTGAGCCGCTATGGGATGCTCTCCAGGAGAACTTCCCTGGAGCACTTAAGGCTGGATCGAGCCTTTGAGAATAAGCGGGGAATGGACAGTCGAGCGCTATTTACTGTAGTAATCAATAATCTTCATCACACCACATGAATTCCTGGCGCCTTGAGTCCATTCTGATGTCGCATCGTACTTGGGACTGGCATGTGCGTCGTGCTGAGGCATTGCACTTTGGGAGATGCGCTGAATGACCATGCTTCGCCGGCCCATGATGGTCTCTTACCAAGCTCTTCATCGATGACGAAGGCCTCGCTAGTATTAGTTTTTGTTCGCCAGGTATCACGCCGGGTGACTGACCTAGGGGAGAGGCTTTGCTGTTGCTTACGACCAGCAGGGTTAGAGTTTCCGTGGTGCTTAGTGTCGCGCAGGAGGATTGTAGGATGAGAGGTGAGTAGAACGAATACGTCAGTGGCGCTACGCGTTCGCGTCGCGTCGGCGGAGGCCTTACTAAATATAGGCTAGCTCGTGTGTCGCATACTACGAAAGTACAGTTTTGGTTCATACCACAAGACAGCCGCTTTGTTTTATGTATGTTTCATAGACTTCAGAGCCGAGTTCCACCGTGACCTATCGTTCAAGAGTTCTATACATAAAAATTTATAGTGCGCCAACCGGGGCTGATGTTATGCAAAAAAATGATATTGACCTTAATTATATCTCGGAAGCATTTCGAATCAAATTGGGAATGATTTCGTACCAAGAAAAGTTATTCACTCATGGTTGATATCATGTATCATCCATGACATAAGCTATAGAAAGCGCGGTATGGATAGATATTCTCAATCGATGAACAACACGAGTACAAGGAAATTCTCAAAGACGAATGGCGTCGAAAACAGAAACATCAATTAATCGTCCGTATTTCTGGCAACAAATAAGGAGTTGTAGTATCAACAGTGCTTTATGGCAGAGAGTTGAGGTTTTGACGTTGGGGAAATGTCCACAATGACTTTGTGTACCTAGGTACATAAGAACGACGATATGCGTAACTGAGGCCGTACATTTGCGCAATTCCTATACTATTACACCAATCCATATAATAGCAACCAGTCTCCATTTTTTAGAGGGCATGTAGTGCCGTGAAACAATCATTTCCAAACTTGCGCGGACTTCCTTCTTGTACAAGTAATTCTTTACTCATCGGCACAACTAAAACCGCTGACTAGTATTACACTGTTTCAAAAGCTGAAGTATGAGTACTAAACCTCATATACGCAAGGTCAAGCCGACTTTAACATACCACGATTCCATTGCAAAAGGGCAACATCTACTCGCTCTTGCAGTCACAGATATTAGCAGCGGCCCGCCTCAAAGTCAATTCCAGGACCACGAAGACCTGGAGAAATGGGGCTGGTGTACTTTCACTCTTGCTACCACCGAACCCAGTCCTGCTGCAGACCTAATCAGAGCCTTCAGCCCTAATCTCAGGTCCTTTCCTCCCAATGTCCTTACAGCGGGTAAGCTTACTTTGCATGAAGAGACGGTCACGGTAGATGGCAAGACTTATCCAGCTACGATGGGGCAAATTCAGAGCGTGTTCGACTCAAAGGCTGGCATTTTACTAGCAGAATGCAACACGACGCCGGTAGCGATGATAAACCCGTGCCGAAATCTAGATCCAGCGACCCTAATAGCCGATCTACCGAAGCTGCGATATTGGTCCGATATCGCGTTTTTGCAATGGAAGTCATTGGCTCCTCCGGCTGAGCACGCGTTGTTACCGGAGCTAAAGATTGTAATAAGGTATGAGATTCTCAACGCCGATACTCGAGCGATCTGCAGCACTATCCTTGCTTCTCTCCGCAAACAGCAACAGGAGAAAGCGAAGGCAGGGATTTCGCACGATGACTGGTTCCCAAGATGGCCGGGCGTAACCTTTCCGATAGAGTCTGAAGAGGCTATAGCTTTATGTGGGACACCAAATGGAAGTGGTATACTGTGGCTGCTTGCTCAACACAAGGCTGGATTGGGTCACAAGACTGTAGACAAGGTGACGCTCTTGTATCGGGAAGGAAATGGAATGGGGTTGAGTGAAGTACCGACTTTAGTCTTCTATATCAAAGATGTTGCAGTAAGTGCTGACATGGAAAGGATAAAGAAAGTGATCGAAAGTGGCAGTTTGAGAATGTAGAGAATCGTAGTATCAGTTCCGACGTCGCGTCGTTAACTTGAAGCGTGGGATTTGTTTGGTTCGCCGAGCTTCTGGCGGTAAGTAGCGGGTAGCGTTTCAAGAGACCTTCCGGGCTACATCAACACCTTTGTAAAGGCATCACCCAGGCCTCTCTCCACAAGCCACTCTTCTATCGCCTTCATATCCCCTCTATTTGCTCTTTGCCCGCGTCTCTCACCGACCGTATCCGTAATCTCAGTCATGTCTGGAAAGACCCTCTTCTCGCATGTCTCTCGGTGTCGCTCACTAACTTTCTTATGATGCGCAGGAATATCACCCCAGCTTTCCGTTTTGATGAACTTCATGTAGTCATCGATGTTTTGCGAGCCACCTTCGACACAGAGTAAACCGGGTTTGCCAGCAAAGAGGAAGCCGGTCAGCTGGTAGGACGGCGCGTACTTGATGAAGTCGTCGCGCTTGGAACGTGTGCTAATCGAGGGGAAATAGAACCAAACTCTTACCAGCGGTCCGGCGTATATGGTTGCGGTGTCTAGAGCCATCTCCTTCTTCTCAATGTCCGCGAGGTATTCGGATGCAGCTTCTCGAATGAACTCGATGGTACCCAATAAGTCTTCTTCTTCCGGAATATCCGCTGTCAACTGTGACGTCGCGGCTTTACTCATCCAGTTGGGTTGCTGTACTCGTACTTTAACCACTGGTGGTTCAGAAGGCGGCAGGCTCCCGTTGTACGCGAACGGTATTCCGATGTCTAGGCGCAATGTCCTCGAATTTGACGCCTCTTCTTCGGCCATTGATATCGGTAGATCAAGGATGACCGAGATACTTGGCGTCAGTTTGACAGCGACTTTAGACCTGGCATCATCGGTGTCGCGCAAGATATCTAATATCCCCCGAGAATTCTCATCGAAGATAATCTCTTCAGGGTACATAGCCAACAGAAGGTCAACCTGGCCAATTTGGAGCTCTACCAGATCGGGCGGCAGGATTTGCCATTGTTGCATGTCCATAATCCTGATGTAATGTATCCAAACAGGGATGTGACGTGTCGACAGAGGGCGGGATGAGAGTCGCGAGAGAAGAAGAGGTTTGGCGGTAGAGCGAGGTCGGCGTCAATTTTCGGCTCCCAGCCACACGTCAAGCCACAAGCGCCGCCCCCGCAAGGAGAAGTACAGAACATAATCATCAAGCACAAGTACACTACACAATTTGAGCTCAATAACAATCTCATCATTTCTAGTTTATCAATCACTCTACTAAGTTTTTACACCGGAGGCCTGGTCACTCTGAAGGCGGGGATGCCTGCATTTTTGTTAGCCTCACTCCAGCCTCACAACCCGCTTTTGGTTCACCTACCTGCCACATATCGATCAAAACACTTGACGTGCCATTTCTTCTAATGACGCCCACAGCGGCCACATCGTTCAACCACGCAGCCGTTCCGTTCGTGCTTGTCTCAAATCTCCCTCGCAACATCGATGGTGCACCATCTACAGCAGGAGGAAGACCCTCTGTCTGGACGTAAATGTAGGTTCCGTCATCAGTCTGGATATTGTAACGAGCATCTGGCCGAAACTTTCCTTGCGCGTCCGTCAGGCGCCAGTCGGCGCCGAGGTTTAGAACTTTACCTACGAAATGTGAGTATTACACGATAGTTGTGACGTCATAGGATACGAGGAAAACGAGTTGGAACAAAGAAAGTGATCCCACAGCTTCAGTTGTATTCTGCTTCATCCAAGACCACCTCATTTACTTCAACCGAACTACTCACCAGAAATTCTGGGTCCTTTGAATGTCCCTCCGACAATAGGGATGACGATGCGTTCTTGACCCGTTGGAATAGAACCTAGCGAGAATCGTTCTCCCAGATCTGCTTCCATGTGATAGATCAAAGTCATTTGAGGCGGTGCTGGTGTATCTTGCGCCATTGTGAAGGTAATAACAGCAGCGAGTGCAGCAAGAGGATTGAATAGACGCATCTTGAAGAGAGCTGGATATGTCACTAGAGACTAGCGGAAGACTGTAGACGCCAAAGACATCATAGCTGCATCGCTAACTTATATAATTGTACTACATTACGCACAGTACCGAGAGTTCCTGCCGTTATTAGGTACCGAAGACCGAAGACCGATGCTGAAGCTGAAGCTTTAGAGTTCGCGTTCCTGCAGGCTGCAGTAACCCCGCAATCGGCAGTTCCCAAGTACCCCAATGTGCGAACGAGATGCCGCTTGCCGGCCCATATTGCATGGGGAAATTCGGTCCTTTGTCATGTCATCACCGTATGCTCTGAAGCATTATTGTTGAAATGGAGAGTATCGCTATGTCAGAACATGTAATGATCGAAAAATGGCTTGTTGTTTTTCCTCATACGAATAGCCATCATACACTTGTGCATCCATGTCTAATACTGATAGGTTCTACAGCACGCTTGCTTGAATTCTCTCCGCTGATGTTGAGTGAATCAAGAAAGCAACAGTCCGTAATATGGTCAACCCAAACCGACTTGCTTACCATTCACTTACAGCATAGTCGTCCCGATCGCACCAGGATTGGGGTCCACAAGATGATTGCGCAAACACCTCGTCTCGACATGAGAGTCAGGGTTGTAGTTCATGAGCGATTACGTGTTCAAACAGCTCATATACGCTCTCATTCTTGCGTATCTATGGATAGGCCTGAACGCTAGTCTACTTGTCCGATCCCTTCCAAGGCGTCTTGAGAATGCTGTCATCTTGACCAGCCTCTCCAGCTTCCTTGATAAGCAGGCGCGCAGGTGTTCGCTTTCAGAAACGCTAACCTTGGCATTGCTAGAGCTCGTCCAGGCTGAAGAGCGCCAGAGTGAACGTACAAAGCTTAGCCTCGATCTCTTTGAGGTCTGTTGTCCCTTTGTAGGCAGTCGTGTTGGCCCCGGAATTGAAGCTTCAACCACCAGCTACAGTTCGAAGATGATTTCTCGGTGGCGAGCCGAAGTATCCCGTGACACTTGGATCGCCTACATCAACCATCATTGAGCTTGTGGCTTGCTGTCTGGATCAATCGAGAAAGGAGACCAAAAGATCAGGAATGCTCGTGCTTGCTTTTGGAAGAGCCACATAAGCTGCGATAAGTATGGCAACGTCAATCTTGGTACGACCCTTGATCTTCTTTTGAGTGGACTTGAGCAAAGCACCCTCGATATACACTAAAAGCCAAGCGTCATCGCCTCAATTCAGCATACCAATCGCTAAGGCAGAGAAGGATGTAAGGGTAGTAAAGCTTGGTATTCCGGCCAAGAGATGGCCGTCCTCTTTGTTGATGCATGTTGGGATCGACAATCGACCGCTTACGACCATGCTGAGATTACTACGTCACCATACGTCCCGGTGCCGTTACATCCAGACCTATCTCAGGAGATACTCTGTCTTGTAAGGCCTGATACAAGCGCTGCTCTACAGCAGGGCTACCGAAGAAAGCTGCCGCGTCCTTGTGAGACCATGATACACTCACCGACGCCGGAATTTGCTTGATGAGGCTTTTGCCAAACCGCTCCATATTTGTATCTTCCGTGCGCCCTCTAAAGGTATCGGACAACTCGAACGTTATGTGTACACGCTCAAGTTTAAGTATATCAAATATGTTGCTGATGGGGCTTGGGGGTGGGGCTGTTATAACAGCATAACGCAGATGTTCATAGATGCGGATTTCAAGCTCTTTTAGGAGCTCACGGGTGGCCGAGTTGATGGTGGGTATCGCCTCTTGAAGATTGACCGCGACGTAGTCCCGACGTGAGTGGCCCAGGAGTGCAGGTCCTACTCGCGCGCACAGTCTCCAATTCTTGTAGAAGTACTTACTGACTTCATCGTGTAACTGCCTGTTGGCGCGCATGATATTTAGACGTGGGCGCATGAACACCTGGCGTTGAGGTCTGAGGATAATGCGACGATCTGGGTGAAGAAGGAACGAGTATACATGGAGGCGGAGCTCGGCAGGGAGTCGGAGGAACGGAAACGGCTGAACTATTTAGTATTAGCAAGATAGCAGTATGTACAGTGATATGTGACCTGCCTCGTTCCTCGAGTTTGGCGAATGCGCCTTCGAGGTTGGTCTCACACACGCGATCAATGTCTCCCAGCACAGTTCTCACCTCGGAGAAAATGCAGCATATTCCCCTAGATCCGGTCAAGTTGTAGTTGTTCACGTAGGGCTTGCCCTGTAGCACATTCTTGTATGCTTCAGCATAAACATCAGCAATGATATGTGGTCGCGGGAGACCTTTTACTACGAGGTAGAACTCCTCTGAGCCAGCAACGTATACAGTTTCCTCAAAAGGCCGCTCTTGACACGCATTGGTGATGCTCGCAATATCAGCTTCGTCATGCTTTTCTGGATGTATGCTTGACACGGCGTTGTCGAGGGCTTGTAGCTTCAGCTTCAGATGCACGGCATCAGTGACGGAGAAGCGCAGAAGTCGTCGGTCTGCGTCGGCGATACGTTGCGGCTGGTACGTATCAGATGGTGGCGTCGGATTGCGCGCGTTCAGATCATGTATGGTGTGGATATTCATGGTGTTGAGGTTTGGCGGTGTGGTTGGTAGTGTCGGCAGCTCGGAGATGATGGATACGCAATACGAGTGGAAGAGCTGTCGGCTGCCCCGCGCGCCTGTGAGGTGATGTAACTAGCCGCTACGGCGATGCTGCGGCTGCAGCCCCAGAAGCACATGCAAGACACGACACGAGCACATGCAATCAAATGTTTCTGACCCCTGCCACCGCCTAATGACTGTATAACATGTATCTGGCTGCCCTATCTCTTTGAGCCCCCCACCAACGCCAAGACGTTTCCTCGACGCGTCCATCTTCGCGTGCTTGCCCGATCGCCCCGCTTGAGGCCGCAGTCTTCACCATCCAAAGCTTCACGATATCGCGCCAACTCCTGGTTGAGCAAGCTTCGTGTTGGCGGCGACGCCCCTCCCGTCGACAGGATGACTGCACCGGACAACAAGCAGGGTTTCCTCTCCAACCTGTCCCCATGGCCTTCACGGGCAAGCACACCCAAGCCCCCGGCAGCGTCCAAGAGCGAGGGAAGTGCGGACAAGGCAAAGAAGATGGAGCAGGAGAAGGAGAAGGAGAAGGATAGAGCTGCGGCAGTACTGGCTCCCCAGCAAGGAGGAGACCATGTGATTGATCGGAGGTATAGGCTGAGTCTCAAGCGGTACCCTCCGGACTGCCCTCCGCTGGCTGTGAGGTGGTTTCATGCTATAGATGTAAGTAGCCAATATATATCCTGCTCACGCCGATTGTCCTCATTCTTGCAATATGAGAGCTGCCTTTTGGTTGCAACACTGACCTTGGCAGACACCCAAGCGCAAACCGCTTTCGAAACATGCCATGGCCCCCGATACCGCCCTGCCCAAACCCAAGAAGTGGATACCTTTCAGTACCGGCGACTCTCGCGCCATTGAGGCTGCCTTCCAGAAGACGGCAGACGAAGCCGATGCCGACGAACTGAGAAAGGGCATCGCTAGTCCTACCACGCCTACCCAATCGAACTCCACTCCTCCTAAAACCACAAAGGTCCCCGTCAACGAAGACTACCTGTTCGATGTCGAGATCGAGACACGCGAGCTGGCACCATCATATTGGCTCGGTCCCGTATACGATGTGAAGCGCGGAACATGGTTCACACCAGATGGGGAGGCTGTCGACGAAGGTCTAGCCATGCAATTAGAGGAAGGCTATCTTAAGGTGAAGCCGTGGAAGTTTGGAAAGTCAGATGAGAAGCGAGCAGTCTCGCAGCCTCGTGCTCGGCCACTTTCCATGGGACCGAGTGCTGGCGACGACCACCGCAAGGAGCTGGCTAAGCTGAGTCGTGATTCAACATCAAATCCAGTCACGCCCAAGTCATCGTATGATAGTTTGCGAAAAGAAGCTTCCAAGCAAGCAAACGACTCGAAACTGGGCGATGCATCTGCATCTTCCAATGCTCCCGCCGATTTGCCACGGACACATCGACTCTTCGGTGCACACCTAAACTCCACCGTTACCTACCAAGACGAGACAACAGCTTGGATGTTGACCGATGATATGTGGTCTCGCATGGGCAGTACGCTGTATCAGCGCTTCGCTGGAGGAGCGCATTATGCTGGATACAAGTACATCCGTGGATACACCGATCCCAAGGAGAAGAAGAAGCAGCCAACCCCTGCCAAGGGTCCTCAAGGCGCAAAGCAGACGGACCGACCTTCAACGCCTGCGCTGGCGTACGGTTCGGATCATGGCAAGCAATCAGACTCCGACGCTAACACCGATGGGGAGACTTCAGAGAACGAGCGAAGCATGTCGCCCTCCCAAACACGCAGGCGCAACCTTGAAAGGCAGGTATCATCACTCATGACTTCTTCGAAGCCAGAGTACGAGCAACAACAGGAAGAGGAGATGCGAAAGCGTGAGGAGGAAGAGATGCGCGAAGACTACAAAACCCAGCATGGCAGTGATCAAGATCGTGAGATCGAGCATCTGCTCCTAGTGACACATGGTATCGGACAGCGGCTTGGGATGCGAATGGAGTCGATCAACTTCATCCATGACGTGAACACTATGCGCAAGTCTCTCAAATCCGTATACGCAGCTTCGCCCGATCTGCAGGCCTTGAACGCGGAGACCGAGTCGGAGACCAAGAATAATCGCATACAAGTCATTCCCATTATTTGGCGGCACTTGCTGGACTTCCCTAAACAGAGCTTGAAGCATAATCGCAAAGAACACGACCTGGGCGACCTCGACCACGAAGATGAGGAATACCCTAACCTCGAGGATATAACCGTTGAAGGTGTGTTGCACTATTCAAATTTACATTGTGAACCATACTGACCATTGTATTGTAGGCGTCCCTGCTGTTCGTAACTTCCTCACTGATCTCGCTCTTGACATTCTGCTATATCAAAGTCCTGCATACAAAGGTCATATCTCTCGAATCGTCGTGAATGAACTAAATCGCACATATCGCCTATTCAAGGAGCGAAACCCCTCCTTCAAGGGAAAAGTCAGCTTAGTCGGGCATTCGCTCGGATCTGCTATCATGTTCGATATTCTATGCATCCAGAAAGACCCCAAAGCAAAGCCAAGCTCACAATCGATCAAACAGCGAAGATCTACTGAAGAAGGCTTGAAGCTAGACTTTGAAGTAGAGGATTTCTATGCTCTCGGATCACCTATTGGACTTTTCCAGATGTTGAAGGGACGTACGATTGTTGCGAGACCACAGACCTCTGCCAGCGCGTTCGTTCCGCCAAAGACACCGGCGACATCTATCGATGACCCATTTTCGCAAGGTGGAGATGAGCATGCGTTCGACATTACGACATCCTCACCTCTTTGCAAGCAAGTCTTCAATATCTTCCACCCGACTGATCCGATAAGTTATCGCATTGAGCCTCTGATATCACCAGCCATGTCAGCGCTCAAGGCTCAACCTCTACCATATACCAAAAAGGGCATCTTCGGTGCACCCGCGTCCCAAGGCTTCACCGGCATTGGCCAACGAGTCGGCCAGGGCGTGACGGACTTTTGGACCTCTCTTGGCTCAGGTAAGTCAACATCACGTCTGGGCGCCTGGTTTGTTGCTCATTGGAAACTGTACACTGACATCATTGTGCTCCAGGCATCGCGAGTGGACTTCTTAACCGCAGTCTCGGCATATCAGGGACAGAAATGACAGGCGCAGGCAACAGTGCTCAAGGACAGCGCACCTCTCGCCCACTTACCGCCGCCGCACCTACATCGAACAACGACACGAGCCTCGTACCAGGTCTCAATGAACCCACGAGCGCCTTTATCAGCGAAGAACGCCGTCGCCGCCTTGGACAGGAAACCATTGCCGAAGGAGAAGACGGTGAGCACCCTCCTACACTCATCGAAGGCGACATCGAGACCCTCTTTGCTGGCTTCTCCAAGCGAAGAAAGAGTCAGCAGAGCGAAGATGGTGAGCGAGACATCGAGAAAGATCTAGAGTGGCAAGAGCTAGAAGAACGAAGTCGGAAGCTGAAGAAGGAGGAACAGAAGGTTCGGGCACTGAATAGTAATGGTCGCGTGGACTATAGTATCCAAGAAGGCGTAAGTAGCAAGACTTCCATCTTCTCCCCCATGAGTCTGCCTTGGAACTCACTCTAATGTTTCTTTAGGCTTTTGATATCTCGCTGTTGGCTAGTATAGCGAGTCACATGACGTACTGGGCTGATGAGGATGTTTCGCACTTTATGATCTCGCAGCTCTTGGCGAGGCATCGTGTTTTCAAACCAAAGGAGTGATTGTTGCTTGAAGGTAGGCGGTAGATTGGCGATATACCCTGAATAAATCCGAGACATGTTTCAATGGTGATTGAAGATATTGGATGTGAGTTTGAGCTAATGCACCTTCCCGTCGTAGGTCAGTCGGAAGTCGACAAGCCATTTCTTTGTGTTTGCTTGATCTAGGGTGTCGCGCGTTTGCCGTATATGCCATCTCAATAGCTGTCGTTTGCTTTCTTTCACCCATTTAGGTAGGGTAACGCGCACCTCCCTCACTCTCGCGGCTGGAATCTTGTACAGAAAGGCGTGACCGATACATGTCATCACTCACGCGCGACGCACGGCCTCCCACTCAAGTATGATTCCGCTCATCGCGAAGAGGGCAGTGGCGACATTAAACCGCACAGCCGCCTCTACAACTGCATCATCAACTATGGCGGCCCCCAATCCCACCCCAACTGACGCACCTACTGTCGCCACTACACCGAGTTTTCTGTGTCGCGCCAAAACACGAGTTATGGATTTCTTCCTCCCCGACTTTCTCCGCCGAGAATATCGTAACCTCATCGCGTATTTGTCCAAGCATAGATATGCGCGCATTGCACTTGCCGCCACAATTCTATTTGCAGCCGCAGAGTATGAGCAACCTGGGTACTTTCCGAGACCTCAGGAACTGACTGCCGGTCTGGTGTGTAACCCACAAGTTGGATACCTTATGATTCATGACTGATGATTGGTAGATTGGTTTCCTCGGTGCATTTGCACTCATCTTCCCCACCTACGCTCTGATGGAGTATATTGAAAACCATACCTGGCCATGGGACGACGAGGGCTTCGTGTGGCCGTGGGAGGCGATGCTTTGGAGCGGTACAGTATATAGCGATGAGACACTGGGTGAAAGCGTGGCTGTACACACCGATACGAGCATCAGGGCTTCTCCCATAGTCAGTTCGACTACTCCAGCTAACTCGCCATCTCGGCCTGATATCATAATCCCGCCTACGCCCTTGCTCCCTCGTGGCCTTCGACCTTTCCACCTTCCGCCACCGCCGACGCATCGCTCTGGGATCTTGGGCGAGTCGCCGATGCCGATCAAGTTCAAGCATTTCAGCGGTCATTCGGATCTGGAGAGTGTAGATGAGGAATAGGATAGAGCAGTCTGGAGGTATTTGAGGATATCTGCAGCGATGTCGGATCAGACGTTGGGGGTGCAAAGATACTTCAACGGTGTGGAGGCTTGATGATATCAAAATCTCAAGGGGTTGAGAATAGCCAGGGTAGGCTGTAATGAATCACTTCAAAAAGGGCATGTATGGTTGAGAGAAAACATGAGAAGCCAGAAAAAGGTGCCGTTCCCAGCTATCTACTAATCGTGAAGTGCAGCACTCATCGCGGACCAGCCGACAACAAGCATACAAAGAAAAGGAGCAAACGAGAAAAACTGCACAACACCTCACCAATCGCGACCCGGGCCCTCACGGAGAAATCTCACCCAATGGGCTTGATGCCGCTTCACCAACTCCGCCAACTGTCCAAACACAGTGGGATTCAGTTCTTGCTGCAGCTTCACCTTGTAAGCCTGCCAGCCATATTTCTCGAAGTAGCGCCACGCTCGCACCCACTTGAAGAAGTCGCCCCAACGAACTGCTGCTGCTGGCCTCCATTGTCAGCTACAAAATCCACTACCAACCCATCGACACGTGCCAGCACGGTGATGAGTTGGCCAAGGACCGGAGTCCCACCAGGGGGCTGCGGTCGAGGGGATCCGCATTGCCAACGCAGGAGGTTAGCGAAGCAGCGAAGTCCGTTCTCCTTCTGACGAAGATTCGTCTCGAAGGAGGAGAGGGTGGAGCCGGAGATGCACCCAATGATCTTCTCGAGCCCACACGTGCTCACGGTTGAGAGATCGACTCCCATGACGAGGTCATAGGTGACCAGCCCAGCGTCGTAATATTTCTCGTCGAGAGAATCGTCGTCTTCTCTGTCGTCCTCGATGCGAAGGTCATCGACTTTTTTGTAGATGATGTTTCCTCGTCGATCACCGCGACGACGAGGGGCAGAAGAGGAGGGTGCCGCAAAGTTGAACTTGGCATCAAAGGCACCAACGAACGAAGGAACGGGGGCAACGAAAACACCGCCGAGACCACCGAAGGCGAAAGAAGAGGAGGAAGAAGTAGGAAGCGGGGTGACGAATCCAGAATGTTCATTAGCCTGGGGCTGAACATAAGCCCCAACTGGAAAGGAGGTTGAAGGGGGAGGAGCCAGGGGCGTCGAAAGCGAAGGTGTGAAGTCGGGCAGCACCATAGCCAGTGAGCCCGAAGCATAGTTAGCAGGAGTCGCCGGTAGCATTCCACTAAAAAGAGGCCGTAGCTGTGACAGTGGTGCTGCAATCGGAAGTGGAAAGACGTGTGTAAGCCCCTGGGGCAGAGAAGGGATGCTAGCCAGGATGGAGATGACCGAGCGAGGTGCCGGAGAGACGATGACGGGTGCTGGCGCAGGTGCTGGCAGAGCCGAAATGACCACAGATGCGGAAGCGGCAACAAGCGCAGGAAGAACCACGATTGGAGGCGAAGGTGACGTGACCACAGGGGAAGGAGGAGGAGAATTCAGAGGAGAAATCCTCCTTGCGGCGAATCTTTCACCACGGACCGCAGCCCACTTCCAACCCGACACCGGATCCCAAACTCTTTCCATTTGGCCAAAGGCCTCAGTGGACCTGACGTCCAGGAAGGTATCGTACTTGCCCTCGGCAGGGCGGTGCCGAGAAGGAGAAAGAAGGGAGTCAGGGTGCGCCCATGCAGGAATTGCATGCGGAGACCGGGACCGTGACCGAGCGAGAGTCCGGCGCTCTCGACGCGGCAGGGATGGCGATGGCGATACGACCGGACCAGCTGGGGCAGAGGCGGAGAGTGAAGAGGAAGGCGAAGTTGGGGCGGTATGCAGACCAGCTGCAGGGACCAAAGCGGGCGAGAAGAGGTCATGCTCGCAAGCGAGCCATTCCAGAAGAATGAAGATAGCGGCCAAGAAGAGAAATGCCATTGTGGCGTGATTTGGTGATGGTTTTTATGTAAGTGTAGGAGATGTGTGAGAGCTGAAGCAAGAGGGAGGGGACGGGGCGAATCGAGCTTTACATACTTCCTGCTTAGGCGCTGTGAGCAGCAGCGAGATGAGACAGTAGTTAGATAGCTATTGTGAGGTGGGGCAGCAAGAAATGTTGAATACTAAAGATGATAATAGGAAAAAAGGTGGGGAAGTGAAGGTGGCAAGTCTACCTATTGTGTTCTCTTTCACCTCTAAAGATACTTTCGAGCATACGTCGCGTGATATATCCAGGAGATATACAGTCTCTTCAAACGTCCCGAACATCTTGTAGAGATGGTGTGAGTTTCTCCGTTCCCGATCATATCGCCTCTGCTCACCCTCCAAGAATGGCTCAAGAGCATCCAAACCCTACCACTCCCTAACCTCCCCTCCCGGCCCAATGAATCCTGGGCTAATCCAAGCCTTCGCATCCCTACTCTCCCGTCTGACCATCTCCTCGTCAACTTCAATTCCTAACCCCGGCCCTTTCATCAACTCAATGTACCCATCCTTCACATCCCACACCTCAGGATTCTTGGTATAAGACGTGAGATCCTGACTCCCAGCATTATAGTGAATTCCCAAACTCATCTCTTGAATGACGAAATTAGGTAGTGTGCAGTCTACCTGAACACATGCAGCGAGGGCGATAGGACCTAATGGGCAATGTGGTGCTATGGCTACGTCGTGGGTTTCGGCTGCGGAGGCTATACGTCGCATTTCCGAGATGCCGCCGATGTGCGAGATGTCCGGTTGCAGGATATCAACGCAGCTGGCTTCGAGAAAAGGGCGTACGTCCCAGCGTGAGTGAAGACGTTCTCCGAGTGCAATAGGAATGGAGGTTTGCTCGTGCAAAGACTTGATGCCGCCAATGTGTTCGGAGAGAAGGGGCTCTTCGATGAATAGTGGATGGTGAGGTTCCAAGGCACGGGCAAGTTGCTTGGCCATAGGTTTGTGGATGCGACCGTGGAAGTCCATGCCGGCATCCATTCCTAGATCTTTGACGGTTTTGAGACGGTCGACGGCGGACTGGAGAGTTGAGGGCGAGTCGAGCCAGCCGATATCTTCTGTCGCGTTCATTTTGACGGCATGGAATCCTTGCGCTTTGCGGGCTAAGCTATGTCATCGTGTCAGTAAGTTTCTCTTGGACTTTGGTAACAGATGAATCGCCGCTTGGTTTACTCACGCTTGCTCTTTCACATCGTTTGGTCTATCTCCACCAATCCAAGCATAAACCTTTAGTCTGTCCCGCACTTTTCCGCCCAATAGTTGGTAGATTGGCACGTTAAGTTTTCGGGCCTTAAGATCCCAAAGTGCTATGTCGATGCCAGCCAGAGCGCTCATGAAGACTGGTCCGCCACGGTAGAAGCTGGTGCGCCAGCACATTTGCCATATGTGTTCAATTTCACTTTGGAGTCATTAGCCATTGCTGTTTTGAATGAGACTACACGGGGAAGAGAGCGCCTTACTCTGCTTCAAAGCCAACGTATCGCTCAGCCCAAGCGTCCAAGCAGCCTTCGACTGCTTGTGTGTGGCCTTCTAGCGATGCTTCCCCCCAACCATAGTTTCCATCGGCATCCGTGATCTTGACGAACAGCCACCGGGGTGGGACACGAAAGTATTCAATCTTTGCTATCTTTCCCATGGTACACGTTTTCGTCTGCTTTCATCCACTAGCTCTTTTGATGTTTGGGATGATTGGTGTGATGATACTATCAAGAACTTTGAAAGAAATTCTACATGTTAAAAATGACATAGCCATGTCAGTCCATTTGAGTCCCACCTCGACCAATCACGGTATTGCCGCCGCCATGTCCCTCTCGCGGTAAGCCGAACGGCAGCGCGGGGTTAAAAGGATCAGAGGAGCTCCACCGCGGGGCACATAGCTTCGGCAGCTGGAGTAAAGTGACCCGAGGAACGGATGACCAAGACATGCAATAAAACTCACGGTTCGCAGCGCATAACATTCCGTAGTTTGACTTTTAATCCCCGATCAGCAAAGAAACTCATCACCAAGCGACCGCAAAGCGATTCTACGCACAAACCACCAAGATGACATCATCACCACCCACCGGCGTCTTCGTCCCTGTCCCAACCTTCTTCAAACCCCAATCCGAATCCAAATCGCTGCAACCCGCTGTTGACGTGCAAACACAAGTTGAGCACTCTGTCTTCCTTGCCAAAAATGGTGTGCGAGGCCTTGTCCTGCTCGGCTCGACGGGTGAAGCCATTCACATGTCACGACAAGAGCGCATTGACCTTGTTTCTGGTGTGCGCAAAGGGCTAGATGAGGCGGGCTTCAAGGACTACCCAATCATGGCTGGTACACTAATTAACAGTGTGGATGAGACACTGGAGTGGCTAGAGGACTTCAAGAAGGCGGGTGCGCAATGGGGACTTGTACTTGCGCCAGGGTACTTTGGTGCGGCGGCGAGCCAGGAAGGCATTAGGGAGTGGTATACGGTTGTTGCGGACAAGAGCCCCCTACCAGTACTAATGTATGTGTTCATGTGTGAAAATTCATCAGCATTTTACTGACGAAAAAATAGATACAACTACCCCGGCGTAACCAACGGCGTAATGGTCACCCCCGAGACCTACCGCATCCTCGCCCAACACCCCAACATCGTCGGTTGCAAGATGTCACACGCAGTCGTCTCGTGGCACAACCAAGTCTCCCTTGACCCCAAGATCGACCATAACAAATTCCGTGTCTACTCTGGTCTCGGCCAACAACTCGGTCCCATCGTCATTTTCGATGCGGCAGGTGTCATCGATGGCCTAGCAGCCATATACCCCAAGACTGTATGCTCCTTAATGAAGCTGGCAGAGACGAGACCCATAAGTGATGAGAATCTCAAAAAGATGAAGGAACTGCAATACACGGTCAGCACTGCCGAGGAATTCATTGGCAAGTACGGCATTGTAGGCATCAAGGAGGCTGTAAAGAGGGTTACCGGTTTTGGAACAATGGAAGGTGGCCGACTGCCCATCAAGGGTAAGCTTCCTGAGGGTGAGTGGGAGAAGTGGAGCGAAACCTGGGAAAGGATACAGAAGACGGAAGATTCGTTGAGCGAGAAGGACTTTAAGTAGAGTAAGTTTCGTGAATACAAGCAACTGCTTTGACTGAGATCCAGGCATTTTCTCATCTTTTCTACCATTATTGTGAACGTCATGCAAGCGCTGAACCACGCTCAACGTCATATCCAGCATAATGCCTTACCTTCACCAAAGGTACTAGAAAAGCAGATGTTCACAATGTATGTAGAACACAGCATAAGCTCACGATGTGTGGAGATACCGCAGGGGCTTGCTATGTGTACGGATGAAGTAGAATTACTATGTATACTGTCGTAGCAGAATCGCGGCGCGTACAAGTCTGGCCTACCTCCACTCCTCCGTCAAACCTCCTGCGACTCTCCTTACATCTCGGCCCACGACTCGACATCATGACTCGACCACTACACCACTATGGCTAAACTAAATGATTCCCCCACGGAGCTCATTCTCAACATTGCCAACAGGCTCACCTCTAAACAAGCCAACCAAAGCTCACTGGCAGCTCTCGCAAGCGTTGCACGAGATATCAACCCATCGCCAAAGAAGTTCTGTACCACTCATCTATCACTCCTAATGCCTCAGGTCATTCCAGCGCTGCCATGTAATTTCTGCGAACACTCATGAAGAATCAAAAGCTTTGGGACTCTGTGTATAATCTCGTCCTTCCAGCTACGAAACGCCACAGCATCCATTCGTCAACATGTAAAGAACCCCGTTGCTTTTGCGGTCTAGAGGAACTAAAGGATGCTATATTGCAGCGATTGAGTGACAATGATGGAATCTATCATGGGAACATTGGTATCCTTTCATGTTATACTGACTAACGATATATGGGCGCAACTTACCACGAGCCTACACTCGGCGGTCTTATTCTCAGCATGCTGTCCAACTGGGAGACGCTAAACATACGAACTCTCGAACACGCCCCAGGCACTTAAGGTCAGCTTAATGTACGATTACCGCACTATAGCTTGGATGCAGGCTCTAATAGATCGCATGCGTGAGGGCTGATTTGAGGCACTACCACAACCTCGCTAAAGCAGAAGCATCACTACAAGGATGAAAAGGTTTGGTCAGATGCGAAAGTGGAGGGAGTTACAGTATTGTGGCCATAGTTGTAATGCCATGTTGACGGATATTAGTTGCCGAACTAGCGCATATGATGAGACCCGACATATGCCTTCAGATAGATTTGGACTCATGTAAACGGCATGATATTGAAACTGATGAGCAAAGATGAAGTGCAATGGTAAGTGCATGTCGCGTAACAAATGGCCGCGCTGGCGCCGGAAACACGGCGTGCCACGTTCGTGTCTAGCAGCTGATCTAGATCAAGATAAGATAAGATCAAGCAAAACCATCTGATACATGCTCCACCTACGATCGAACCATGCGCAAATTTTTGCAAGCCACAACACCATTTTCCTCGCGCCTCTTTATCTCAAAATTGCCAATCAAGAATGCATTACGGATGTAAAGTTCGTAGTACCGGAAAGGTGCCGAATATGGCGTTCAGTCCGTCTCTAGACCTGGCTTAGGGATCCATCTGATAAGATTGCTCCATCAGCACCATGCTACGCGAGGCTAGATCATCGCTCATTCGTGCCCATCACGGTTAGGGCCTTACCCAACATCTCGTGTCTGCCGTTTGGCTTTGTGGTCGCGACGTCGTATTCAAGCTCCGAGACAAGCTCTAGTTCCAAGGCGTCCAGCGCAGAAGCTTTGGCTTGGGTATGTTGGCCCACACAAACATCACGCTTAGCTTGTGCTGCCGTGCGGGACTCGGAGCTGCGGGAATGTATTTGAGCTCAGTGGCCCTGTGCAGTGGAAGGTTTGCGGTGCATTCGTTTAGTTCAGTCAGATCATCAGATCGTTGAGAGACTTTCAACGATTATGGACTCTATCGCTACCGTCCAGCCTGGCACCGAGGCTACTAGAGAGAAGAGCATTGGCAATATGTCTATTGATGAGGAGGACGCAATTCGCAAGGTTGAAGAAGCCAACATGCCCTCCGCATCTGCGCAAGAGGGTGTTCGAGAAGTAGAAGCTGTTACTCTGGCGTGGACAAAAACATCCCTGGCATGTGCATTCTTGTGGTACGTTTATCAACCATCTCAGCTATAAATCGATCATGGAATTGACACAGCTCACAGTATGTGGTTCTTGTACCTTACAAATGCCTTCCAATCATCCATTACCGCCAATCTCACGCCTTATGTGACCTCCGGATTCGAAGAACATTCCCTCCTCACCGTCATCTCCATCGTCTCCAACTCTATGGCTGCAGCTGTTTACATCCCGACTGCAAAATTGCTCGATCTCTGGGGCCGTGCTGAAGGGTTCGCTACCATGGTATGTTTTGCTACCCTTGGTTTGATCATCATGGCTGCATCCACAAACCTGGCTACGTACTGCGCAGCGCAAGTCTTCTATACGATCGGATTTGGCGGTATGATCTACTGTGTGGACGTTATCACAGCAGATTCGAGTAGTCTGAAGCACCGAGGACTGGCTTTCGCTTTCACATCTTCGCCATACATTATCACAGCATTCTCGGGACCGAAGGCGGCTGAGGGGTTCTACAACAATATCAACTGGCGCTGGGGTTTCGGCACTTTCGCTATCATCCTGCCTTTCGTGGCCGCCCCGCTGTTTGTTGTGCTGAAGCTCAACCTGCGGAAGGCGAAGAAGACAGGTGTGCTGGAGCGTGAGGCGAGCGGGAGAAATCTCATGCAGAGCGTCATCTTTCATATTCGAGAATTCGATGGTAATTATCTTGCACTGCCGCGAGTGCGCAGTATAGCATGCTAACAACTATACAGTTCCTGGTGCCTTCCTACTTGCCGCCGGTCTCGTCATCTTCCTCCTACCTTTCACTCTCGCAGATTCTGCACCTAACGGGTGGTCTACCGGGTACATCATCGCTATGTTGGTCGTTGGTTTTGTCCTCCTCGTCCTATTCGGTTTCCATGAGCGCTTCACAGCCGGAAAGCCTTTCCTGCCCTTCGATCTCTTGACCAGCCGCTCAGTCCTCGGCGCATGTCTCCTCTCCTTCACATACCAGATATCATACTACGCCTGGAACTCCTACTTCACCTCCTTCCTGCAAGTAGTCACCAATCTCACTATCGCAGAATCAGGCTATGTCGCCTCGACTTTCGACGTACTTTCTGGTGTTTTGCTTCTGTCTGTCGGACTCATCATCAGCAAGACTGGTTACTTCCGTTGGCTCCTCTTCATTGCGGTACCAATCTACATCCTTGGTCAAGGTCTCATGATCTACTTCCGCCACCCAAACACCAGCGTGGGATATCTGGTTATGTGCCAAGTCTTCATCGCGATTGGCGGCTCCATCATCATTCTCTGCGAGCAAATTGCCGTCATGGCCGCCGCAGATCACCAACATATCGCATCAGTGCTCGCACTTCTCAATATCTTCGGGTGGCTAGGTGGCGCAGTTGGATCCACCATCTCCGGCGCTATCTGGACAAACTCTTTCCCACAAGCACTCATGGATCTGCTACCGGCTGAGGCCATGGAGAACTTCGACCTCATCTACGGGAGCTTGGATGAACAGTTGAGTTATGAGCGAGGAAGCGAGACGAGATTGGCGATCGAGGAGGCTTACGGAATCGCGCAGAAGAGGATGCTGATCGCGGGTACAGCGATTATGGGACTATGCCTCGTTTGGGTTTTCATGATCAAGAACTTCAACGTTGCAAAGATGCAACAGACTAAGGGAAGAGTATTCTAGGCAACATGACGGAGAGGTGGAGGATATATGAAGGTGAGAGCGAGAGCTTTGCGGTGAAGCTGAGGGCCCTAAGTAAAAGAGCTCCTCCCATCTACAGATAGATTCTTCTCCCACGCTAGCTTGTCTTTGTTTACAACAATCGAAGTGACGATACACATCTCTCCATGATTGATACAATCATACCACTGCTACTGGCAAAATTCATGCCAGGCCTACTCCAACTCATCCAGTGAACCTTCCATTGTCCCGATGGCTCCACCTTACCATAGTGCAATAAGGTCCGCTCCTCGAATTTCGTTAGCATTTATCCCAACGCTGTCCGGCGACCAGAAACTCGCTCGTGAGATACAAGACAGAAACAGAGCAACTTGGCTCTTGTTCCTGGAAGTACGAAGAACGCGCCTCCAAGCCTTGCAAGATGGCTCATCAAAGGAAATGCTATAACCGGTACTCGGCTGGGTACGCATACTCATGGTAAGTGGGCCGATAGTGGGCGACTTGTAGTGCACGATACTAATCTAATTTCAGGAACGGGATGTCTTTGGCCAACAGCTGCTACGTCAGATTGACTTGATTGATGATAAAATCGAGACAATTGTGGACAAATACAAGATGGAGGATGCGGCGAGGGCGCTTGTGCAGATGTCAAGGACGAGGACGTGTTGCGCTTGTGGGCAGAATATCAAAGGTTCGGGGAATATATATAACGAACGATGAGCATAACATCAAAGCGAGCGGGGCAGGCTGTGGGTTAGTCACAAACCTGGTCCAAAAGTTGGCATGTGTTAGGGTAGTTTAAAGCTACTGAACTCATCCACTGTCACACGTCGTGGCGTGGGTTCAAATGCAAGGCTCATGAGTTATGATTCATAGTAATGCAGCCAGTATAGGTTATTCTATGCATGTATGAGCCAGCAGTAAATACAAATGGATACTAAAACTTTATACAGCCGCAAGTAAAACACCGAAAAAGTTGGTCGTAAGGCACTCTTTATAGCTGTAGTCTCGACCCAGTCTTCTCAGATGAATGATGTGTATTTGAAAACTCATCCCAAAGTTTCTCAAGCTCCGTGCCACTTGTGATGTCCATGCCACCAAGGTCTCACATGGCTCACCAGTACGCATATGAAGAAGATGATACAGATGGTCGGCAGCATCCAGCTACTTTCCATGTAGTGCTTCTGGCTCGGCTTATTCGTATTGACGAGACAGATGAGACAGATCGCAAAGCCGAGTATGATACTAAATAAGAGACGCAAGTATTGACGAAGATGGCGCTTCTTGTCCGGCAACGAGATGAAGGCAATGATGGCCATGAACGTGATGGCTAGGCCGGCCTGGAGTGTATGTTAGTAAAATAGAAGAGCCGAGAGAAGCGATTAGGGTAGCTTACCGAGAGGAAGACGTAGTCGAAGACGAGCTCGAAGCGTGTCTCATACTTTTTAAGAAGAGCGGTTTTGTCGAAGACCTTTTTCTCAACTTTCTCGGTCGTATTTTTCCCTGTCTTGGGAACCGAAATGGACAGGCTGTCAAACATGGTCTGAATCGCCATGCTCTCCGCATTGTTCAAGCTGGTGGTGATCATGTCCACAGCCGTCAGGTTCGCCTTGTCTTTCTGCAGATTATCGAAACTCTGCGCCAGCACGATCAGACTGCTGTTCCAGGTCTCCAACGCTTTGCTTGCATCGACGCCTTTGGGAATTGTGTTCCATAGGTACGTGTCAATCTTTTGACGGAGAGCGTTCGCGAAGATGGTACCGTTCGCGTAAGCACCGGTCACGCTGAGCGCTTCGACCTCGCGGAACTTTCCATCAACACGGTCCATCCGAATCAAGGCGACGACCCACATGACAAGGTATGAGACACCTTGTAGGACCAAGACGAGCATGATATGTAGGAAGAAGTGGAGCGAGGCCCAGACTTGCTGCTTGATGGTGCCGAAGTGCTCTTCATGCATTCGGTCGAAGTAGAGCATGTACAGCAGGTCTGATGAGCGTTAGTAACCGGTTGCTTGAACTGATCAGAAAGTTGAGTACTCACAAATGATCAATACCGATGCGACAATCTGGCCAGTGAGCGAGCTGTCAAACTGCGAGCCGTTCTTCACGATCTTGGAAATAGCCTTGCAGATAACAATGATGCCTTCTCCAAGAATTATCAGAGTGAACAGTGACATGCGCTGCACAATGTGTGTACCCTTGAAGGAGATGATACGCCAGTAGCAGGATATCGCAACTGTGATGATGATCTCGGCGCTACTGATGATGTACCAGGCAACATGTACCCGCGTAGTGAACTGCTTACAGACGCCCAACTCCAGGTTGCACGTCTCCTTCGGCAGCGCAGCAGTAATACTTCCGTATATGACCGCGGCAACGAGCGTTGAGCCGATAACGAGGGATAGCGGAATGATCGTTCTTCTATGCTTGCGCACGAAGTACAATGTGACAGCATATTGTGCTGCAAGCACCAAACGAGAGACCATGAGGATGAAGGAAAGCACTTGATACTTCTGCAATGAGCTGGTGGCTTTGCCGGGCTCCTAAGCAGGACCGACAACAGCGAAACCAACCATGACACCGAAGTGCAGGGCTTTTGCGCAGCGCTCAAAAATGCAGTCCGCCGTGAAGCGCACATCGTACAATGAGTTCGAGTACCATGTAAGCCACAGAAGTGCAAAGAAGCCGATGTACGCTCGCAGAGAGGCGCTGTCGTTGATCTCCTGGAGCGAAGTGAACGTAGTAAGGTTGGCGACGAAGACTGCGAGAAAGTGTTGTTAGCGATACGATTTGTGATGAGAAAGGGTGCAGTAATACCTACAAAGATCGAAGAAGAGTTCTTGGGTCGTCGCTTCAGCATGACGCTGGAAAGCTGGCATGTCGCGCAACTCTTGCGTGCATGCCTCGACCTCGAGGTTGAGACCAGCTTCGGCATTGACACCTTGAGCGTCGTTCTCGAATATTGACTGAGTGTTCTCACGGGTTATGGGAGGGCTTTGGTGCTCCTTCTCATCGTGATCTTCGACCAGTGGCGACGCGAACCATCGCAAGGGCTTCTTCTCGTTATTGTGATGGTGGTAATTGTGCCCCATCTTGACCTGGAAATTCTAAGATGTAGTGCAAAGTTGATGGCGTTCCTATAAGACGCTGGTATTGGCTATGAATAGCGACCCTGTCAACTAAAACTGACCGAGGAAAGACCTTATATAGACGCAAGCTAAATAGTTTCCGATTGTGTGATTGCATGTTCTTGTGATTGTGCGGGGTCACGAATAACATAGAAGTAATTGTGGAGATAAATGACTGTATCAGCATCAATGTATCAGGGTCTATATGAATCATCGACGCTCTTTGGCTGTAGATGTACAAACGAAGCTCGCGCGTGACATCAACTGTGGAGATAGAGAAGTGAATATCGTTACCCGCAGCATGCGCAGCTACCACGGCTGTGTCCTATCTCCGGCGCGAGTCTTCACCGTATCATTCGTATCTTGAAGCTCAGAAGATGATGTGCCAGTTCCTGCGTTTGCGGATTTGTTGAGATAAGCCGACTGAATAATGAATAATACTACGTCGCGGAAGTAATACACGTTGCGTCTATACCAGTTTCAGCTCGAAGCTCTTGACGGTAACCTCGCCACCCAACTTTGTTGTCGCGAAGTTGAACACACCGAATCTGTATCCAGTAAAGAACTGCCAGGTGTTTGCCATGCCGTATGCTGGACCAAGTTGCAAGAATTTTTTACCATCAGTGCTATACCAGAAGGTAGTTTGTCGCATTGTATTGGTGCCAAAAGCCGGCGTAATGTCCGACTCAACGCGGAGCCATAACTGTGTTGTTTTGGATGGGATTACGGGCCCTGTGGCAGCAATAGTACCGGTAGAGTTTGTAGTCCAGTCCGCGTTCATTTTCAAGCCGTTAACCATGACAAGCATAGTCGTGGAGCCATCTTTGTGAATACCGATGTACGCTCCAGTATCACGGAAAAGTACAGCACCAGCACGATCGCCGGTAGCCATCTTGCTGATGTCAATTTTGAAGGTTCCTGATGATTTCGGGCCCAAGATGCGGTGAGTCAACGTGTTGCGAGCCGAGTAGAGATCCTTCGTGACAGTAGCGGTTTGGAGCTTGAGACCTCCAGCACCGCCTGCTAGGCTCCACTTGCTGTTATTGGGGTTGTGGTTCCACTCCCACTCGTTGCTCAATGTTGTTCCGGTAAAACCATCCAAGCCTGTAGGGGGAGGAACAGTCTTATCCGTTGTGACTGGTATAGGATAGGTCTTCCCCCATTCGCCATTCACTCTTACAACCTCCGGCCATCCGTCTTCCGTCCAAGTCAAGGGTGCAACGACAGGTATACGTCCTCCAGGGTAGGAGTCCATGAACGCGACGTAATACCAATTTCCATCTTTGTCATCAACTACTCCACCTTGGTGGCTGTTGCCTGCGTTGGTCAAAGGCCCCTTAATGCTGTCAACCAGGATCCGCGCCTCGTATGGGCCCCATGGATTGTCCGATTTCAAGACCCACTCGTCATCAGCCGGCTTGGTAGCGAAAATATAGTATGTCCCGTTGATCTTATACATCCGCGAACCCTCAAGATAAAGACCATTTGGATCTTCATAGACCTGCTGACTTCTGACTTCGGCGGTGCCATCCGCGTTCAACTGGGCAACCTTGATCTGATATTTGTCGTACACTATGTACATAGTGTCGTCATCATCAATGAAAAGCCCATTGTCATAGTAGCACTTCGGGAATGTGCCTGCAGCGGTCCAGTTCCAGTTCGACACCTCGCCATTGTTGGCGGCGGCATGGGTTCCGTCCGCTGTCCAAATGTACGACTTGCCAGTGGATTGGATGCAGCCAATCCAGATGAACTTGTCAGTCGATTGCCGGTATCTGAGAGTGCTGGCCCAGATACCCTTAACGTAAGCGCGGTCCGATGGGTTATCGAGGTCGTACTGCGAGCCGAAGTTCAGTCTTGGTACGCTGTGAGTTACTGGTGTCCAATTGACGAGGTCGTAGGACTTTAGCACCGGCGCGCCTGGAGAAAAGGCGAAAGTCGACGAGGAATAATAAAACACATCGCCAACCCGGAAGACATCGAGATCGGGATAGTCTTGCCACAAGACTGGATTGTTAAACGTCTCAGCCCGGCTTGTAAGTCCATGATTACTGCTGAGCGGACTCCCCATGGACAGGCGAGTCGATAAACCAACGAGTGCAATAGCTGTAGGGATGCGCATAGTGAACTGTGTTGTTGGTGAGAATGTTCATTGATTGTCAGATGGTAATCCGAAGTATATATACCAGCGATGCTATACTGCGCGGTGGCTAGTAGTCCATGTCATTTCTGCAGAACCTTGTCTACCGTAATATGCTCATCGATTACCCCACATAGAGCTCTTGATGAATGCGCTACCGCTCAAAAAGCCGTATTTACATTGAAAACCCGGGGTATTCGCCGCTCCAGGTTTGGAGTCGTCGGACCGGCTCTACAACAGCACTTCCTCATTGGTGCAGTTTGGCCCAAGTTTTTCCGGCCGGGTAGCACCTGGGAGATCGACGTCATCATTGCCGGTGGCTATCCTCAAACCTGTGACTTTTCCCGAGCTCGAAGATTTGCGATCATGTCGTGTAAGATGAGGTGAAGACGGAATGAATATTGAGAGAAGGCAGGAGATGCGTCGCGCGTACGGGGGTAACAAGGCAGGATCCGAGCGCCAACCGCGTTTCGTCCAACCTCCTCAATCCCTCTGATCCTACACTGGTCTCCCTATGACGGTGGGCGCGATGCAATCTTCGGCTGATATCGAAAACGTTTGGCAATTTGCTGCAACCTATCAACAATCAATCTAGCTGCGAAAAGGTACAATCTTCGCTTGAATATACACATGCATCATGTCGCAGTCGGGAAAGGATAACTGTGAGGAAATTACGCGATGATAGCGCAACTGAGGTAGGCAACGGCCAATAGCCAACAGCACTCGTCGCGTGACCAGGCTAAAAAAGATCCGTAGAAACGTCGAGAAGACGTACGAGAGGCTCAGTACACATACCTGGTGCGTATCAACGATATCAAGGCAACGGATGAGATGGACGGTTGAGTTTCTCTAAGCTCTTGCCGTCTAACGGTCACCCTAAGCTCTCTCCTCGGCGATTGGACATAAGCTCTCGCTCCTCATTTCCACCTACGATACGTGAACAACCTCATCCTTCAACGATGCACTAGCAAGATTCATTACAAATCATAACAGTTCTGTCTCACGACCTGGCGAATAGTATGTTGCCATTACTAAGGATGTATGCTTTATATAGGCTATATGAAACAACACGATCACATCCGGAAGTTGGGGCCAAAAGCATGGCTGCTAATTGGATTGGCGTGTGAGTGTTGAGTTCTGATAGCTCTATGCTAGTCATTCAAGGGTCCATGCGTGAGCTGGGGAACTCTCGCTGCTTCTCTCATGGTCAAACCAGGTCAGGGATAGTCGGTGCCTGAGATGACAAACACATGATTCACACTGATAGTTGACGTGAAATACACAGCTGTGAGTTATCGATTGAAAGGAGGCTACTGTATAAATAGTTGGCACAATAACCTCATTGTTGAGTGCACACAGGACGGCATCAAGGCACTTCCTGGTGCACTACAGCAACGACAACCTTAACAAGCCTGCCTAGTTTACATCCATTCCAATGGACGCGTTTGAGAAGTATCTCGAGAAGGCAACTGCCAAAGGCGCCAACATCGTGCCTGGCGCGGTAATGGCTGTCGTCGACAGAGATGGTACCCTACCCTTGCTTTCACGAGAGGATTCCATCTCACACGCATTATAGGAAAATTCGTCTACAAGAAAGCTGCAGGCTATAATGGCGTCACAGAGAATGCGGAGCCCATGGAATTCGACCGGACCTTTTTCGTCGCATCCTGCACGAAGCTCATCACCGCAATCGCTGCCCTACAAATTGTTGAACGTGGTCTTGTCACGTTAGATGAATCCATCGACCAATACCTGCCCGAACTGGCTTCGCAGCCCGTCGTCGAAATAAATGGATCCGAGATCAAATTACGTCCTGCTACTAAATCCATTACCCTACGCCAGCTTATCACGCATTCCAGTGGCGCGACTTATGATTGGATCTCTCCGAAGCTTCATGCATGGCGAGCCTCACGCGGTGAGGCGCCTGTTCTCGTAAGCGACGGCAATGTCGCTAAAGGTTATGCTTATCCGCGAACATTTGAGGCAGGTGAAGGTTGGGAATACAGCGGCGGATTTGACTGGGCTAGTCTTCTAGTCGCCCGCTTGACCAACATGAGCTTCGAAGACTACGTGGAGACCAAGATCGCAAAACCCTTGAACGTCATGTCATTTACATGGCATCTGAACCGCAAGCCCGATGTAAAAGAGAAGCTCATGCGCATGAGTACGCGACAAAATGATGGTGCCCTCGAAGATGGTCCAACACCCTTTTGGCCCGACGACCCTATCGCAGAAGGCGGTGGCGCAGGCATGTACGCCAACGTGCACGACTATACACGCGTACTCTCTGATCTTCTCAAACCCTTACCCACACTCCTGTCGAAGTCCATGGTCGACGCAATGTTCAGCCCACAGTTCTCTGAAGGCAGTCTCGCAGCAAAGGGCCTCGTGGACAACGCTGAAATCGCGTACACTTGCACCTTAGACGCAAGTATGGAAGGCGTGAAGCCGAACATGGGGCTTGGTAGTTTGTTGCTGATGGAGGATGTGGATCGGGAGAATTACTTTAAGCCCAAGGGTACGTTGTGTTGGTCCGGACTTCCGAATCTGCAGTGGAGTGTGAATCGTGAGAGAGGGCTGGCACTTTTCTTTGCTACACAAGTCTTACCCTGGGCAGACCGGAAGACGTTCGACCTTGTCGCAAGATTTGAGACTGCTGTTTGGCGGAACTTGAAGGCGTAGAATAGGCGGTACAGTAAGTTTTGTGTTTGTAATACAGAGCCTCTTTTGGTTACACATCTCACTAGTTGTATAGCTCTACTCTGACGTCCAGAGCGCCAAGATCTCGCTTTCTGCCCTATCGCAAATCTGGAGGTGGAGGTGTGAATGACTAAGTTTTCAGCATCGGTATCTTTTGAAGGATCTTGCACCCTCATTATCCCAACTCATCGACAGTACTTCACAACAGAAGGCGCCGCGATAGAAACCAACGCTGCAGATATGCCGCCGGCCGAGTTTGATCACACAGACAAGCTCTCGGTTGTCGACACTGCCTCTATCACCTTCTCGTTCATGCGCTTGCCTTTCGATATACGTCTCTGCATTCACGATCAGCTGGCGACCATGCCCGTTTTTGACCGCTTCTAGGAACCCAACTGAACATACACTATAGTGCGCCTTCTGTGGGTATACTGAAAGTCAGTCGGTTTGTCCGCGAGGAAGCCTACTCTATCATGGAACTTGGCCTCTCGCAGATATGCCCATAGATCACGATCAAGTCCCCCAAGGGCATTAGCAAGAATTTAGTGCATAATTATCTGAATCTGACTATGTGGGTAATGAGGATACTTACAGTCTGCATAGATTCTGTCAGGGAGCAAGACAAGACGCACCACGACCTTTCTAGCGAGATCGATTCATCAGCACTTATCAACATCCCCGGGTGGGTCAATTCGGCCCTCTTTACCGGCCAGCACAAAGCTGGTAACATATCGAGTGACGGGAAATCTGTTTCACTCAAATTCCTCGAACGCACCAGCTTGGCATCGATTCAAGGCAGCACGTTGGTCAGCTACATGCTTATGAACAATAGCTGCTTCGACACGCATCCCGACAACTGGGACTGGCCCTTCCTCATCCATGCCTTCATCTACCTTGAAGCGGCATGTTGTCGCTCTGGTAACATCATGCTTCACTTTTCAGTGCCGCAGGATTGTATCATATACACCCAAGATCTGCTCGGTAGGTCGAAACCTCTGGGCAGGCATCTCCTTCCTACCTCGTGGACAGTCGACGTGCTCGAAGAGGATGTTTGTATATTGGGGAAAGCGTGTGTGATATATGAGTCTCCATCGTTCGGTTTCGATACTTAGGTATCCGCATACTCTAGCCGTCCTCATCGTTAAGTCTCATAGTAAGACGAGTGGACGTTGTGACCCAGGCGAACAACACCATCTGCATAGACCCACACACTAGGATATGAGTCCTGGTTCACTCTAGTCATGTTTTCCTATAGCTAACATATCTTCACCTTTCGAACGAGCGTCTTAGGTCGAGTCAAGAAACTTTAGTGCTCTAGGGTGAGTTGTGACAACTGCAAGGAGTAACCGAGAAGGACCGTTATTGGGGCTGACTAGTTTCTGGATTGCTGCAGTTAATCACGGCACTCCATAGTAGCTACGAGGTAGTTGCACATCACAACACTCAGCTAAGTCTAATTCTTGGTTTTTGAGATTTGCAGCGATGCACACCCGTTCAATGCAGAGTTTGACATTACTTTCGTACGTTGTCTTAAACCTGCGGAAGAATCTTCTTCAAGACCTCGACCAATCCCTTGATCTCCTCCTCAGTATTGTAATGTACCATGCTGACTCTTGTCACGCCCTCCGGCTCCAGCTTCAATAGCTCATCACAAAGTCTCTTTGAGTAGAAATGGCCCCACCTGAAACCGTAATTGCTGATCCTCTCCGCCTCAGCTACGATCGCCTTACTGCTCATGCCTTTAACAGTGAACGAGATAGTAGGCACCCTTTCCTTGCTATCACTCGAAGTGGATCCCAGGATCGTGACATCGGGGCGTGAGTTCAGGTATTCAAGCAAAATGGCTTGCAACTTTCCCTCGTGCTCGGTAATGGCGGGGAAAGCGTCGGTTAGGTAGGCGGTGATAGTGGGAATTGACTGCACGCACTCATAGTTTGAGCCCGCGAAACCGATCTTATCCTCCAGGGTTTTTGTGGGGTTGAAGTAGTGGCTCATAGACTTCATGTGTTGTTGGGCTGAGTTACTGGCATAGAGCGCGGCGCTACAGAGGTGAAGATACGAAGTCAGTGTATGTCTCACATGCATTTCGTACAGCCTGAACTTACATGTGAGGGCCATAGACCTATCGCATCTTGTCAATACATTCTAAAAGGGAGTAAGGCACTTTCATGACGTACCTTGTACCAACTGAAAGAGTAAAAGTCAACTCCGAAACCCTTCACGTCGATGGCACGGTGCGGTGCGTAACTTACGCCATCAACGCAAAGCAGTGCGCCGACTTCATGCACTGCCTTCGCAATGGACTGCACATCATGGATCGTTCCCAGAATATTGCTTACATGCGTGCATGCTACGAACTTCACTTTATCGCTCAACAACGGCTTGAGGTTCTCGGCTGTGAGTTTTAGTCCATCTTCTTTGGAAGACTCCCACCACTTCACAGTCAAACCGAGGCGCTCAGCCATGAAGAGCCAGGGCTTGACGTTAGTCTCGTGCTCCATCTTCGTCAGAATAATCTCAGAGCCGGAAGGAAATTGCAGCGAGGAGCCAAGGTTCATGAACAGTTGGGTTGTTGAAGCACCGAGAACTAGTCATCATCAGCAAAAGAAGCTGGATGATGGTATCTGTTTTGTTACCAATCTCATCGCGACCGGCATTCATGTACTTTGCCGCTGCTTGATAGCCTTGCTCGTATTTCGTGTTCGACTGAGAGCCAGTGTGGTATGAAGCACCAAGCTGAACATTGGTTTTGGAAAGGTATTGCGTGATGCTACACGTACATCAGTTCTGATCTGCTCTCAATGCCTATCTTTACTAACGAGTCGATCACATCACCCAATGCTTGACTGCCGCCCGCATTATCAAGGAAGACCTGGTCTTGCCGTAGCGCGGGGAAGTGCTCCCGAGATTTTGAGATATCGAAAGTCATGGTGCAAATTTCAAATAGTTTTGCGCAAGTAAGAGGAGTTACGATGCAGTTCTGGAGTTTGTTGAGTCTTTACTGTGTTATCATGTACCTACGGTAGCCGCCCGTACGCCCTACGCAGATAGTGCGGGGCTGTGCTTAAAGCAGCAGGTGCTAACATCCAGCCGTGACGGCATTGCCCCACGTAACTTTTCCTTCCACGAAGCGCATCTTCATGCTCGGAAATCATGCTGTATAATATTGAAAGTGCAATGAGAAAGAACACAGCCATGTTGTGTCCGTCTGCTTCATTTCGTCGTGGGAAGACATGTACTGCAGCAGTTTGGGCAGCACCATCAAAACGACCATTTTTCGTGGCGGCCATTACCTCTTCAATCAACTTCTGTTGGATAAGGTACCTGACACAGCAACCCGCTACTTGAGCACTTTAAAGTCCTTGTAGATCTTGTGATGCCACTCGCCCTGTACCTGGAGATACCTTTGAAGATAGCACAAGTCGGCTGTGTCTAGATGGCAAGGTCTTCCAAATCCCAATACGTCTTCCCTTTCCACTTCCTCAGGCTTCCAGCCATGGGCGAGAAATGTTCCACAAAAGTAGCGACCTGCCTCTCGGCCAAACCACTTCGTAATAGACGGGGCGATGAGCGAGTCATCAATCAAGTAGGCATCTTGGTAGTAGATACCCAGTCTGTGATTGTCCGGCTGTTTGAGTGGCCAGTCTTTTGCGTTACATCCAGGCACAGCTTCCTTGCTGTTTATTGGGCTGAGAAAGTGTTTACTGGTGAAGGTCTGCCATTCATCGTGGTGCAATCAGTCGCACTGCTGTACTCAGCCCAAACAAAGCGGGGTAGAGGCTCGTTTGGGGCGGAAAGGATACCGCGGAAGAAAGCTGGACCAGGTCGTGGCACGAGAGTTGCGAAGGGATTGCATACCATCTTGTGCATCTTCCAGTTTTTCTTCTGACACTTAGTGGAGCAGTAGCGGGCGTTTCCGGAGGTAGAACAGCGTCGTTCAGCAGGCTGATTGCAGACGAGGCATATATGAGCCTTAGTAGTCGAGGCTGGCGTCATATTTCCTGATTTGTAGATGGGAGTGGAGAAAAAGGTGTCAGAGAGAGCTGTTGGAAATGTAATCGAGACAGAAGAAAGGGATGGTCGAGAACAAAGCGAAGATGGACCGGTAGAAGAGTTCATATGCGTTGCTAGTGAGAGGCTCGGTCAGGTGAGGAACAGTCTCACCATGAGCGTTTTGCAACCTATGACCTCTCACTCAGCCGATCACGCTCCCTAGTCTTAGAGGTCTTGATACCTGGTGGGTTGTTCCAGGAGTTCTAGTGTGATGACAACATCCAGATGCTCAATATGTGATCGCGCAGCAGATCTGGAATTCTCGCTCTCCCTCTGTGATTACGAGGCATTTCCCTTTCTCCAGGGACCTCTGAGTCAAATCTATAACGGCACTCAGCAGTTCCTCTGACGGCACGCCCTTCGTCTCGATATCGCTTATGTTCGCAGCCGTGGAAAAGATGAAGTCAGCAATGAAGGTGGTTACTTGTTCGTGTCCGCCATTGCGTAGGATTTCGGAGCGTCAGCAAAACTGTGGATGAGTTGAACCTCAACAACTCCCGGGCGATTGGAGAGCAAGGAGGGGTCCTGGAACAAGTCTTCCAACATCGGCTCGTCGCGGGCATATTTGTCTTTATTCCTTCTAGTTCGTTGGCACACGTTCTCGTCGAGTCGACTCCACTTGCTGTTGTAGTTGCTATCTCCCCAGCACGGCTGTTGGCGAGGAAGACCATCATGGCTTTGTGGGTGCTGATAAATAACGCATCTGCGGTATCGTAGACTTTGGAGTTATTTGCTTTCCATAAGCTTTTAAGTGCAATCGGCTGGTATGATGGTCGACTGATATATCCTCGGTGGCTAATCCGCAATGGTGAGCCTCCATTACAGTAGTCAGGTCAATGCAGGTGGCTGGAGCTGTAGGACGCGTTTCTGAACTCGGATTAGCTTCCACATCATTTGAACCCTGGAGGGCGTTGCGGCACGGCAAGCATCACGGAGCGCAACCCAACTATCACAAATACCGCGTCAGATCGACATACTAGGACAGTGACGTCTAATAATGGAACGGCAATCACCGCTGCACGCGTCCAGAGGTGAGTTTTGCGAAGCATTCGCGTCGCATACGTCATCGTCTAACATGCCAAGGCGACAACATCAGCTCGCTGTCTACCCTACCAAACGAGATCCTACTTCAAGTCTTCTCCTACGTCGACCTGCATCGTTCTGCACGTGTCTTAGGTTACATTCCAGATGACCCTCCTCCATGCCCCCCGGATGAGTACCTCATCTCCGATTTTCGCGCTGGCTGTCGCTCGCTGCTTAGCATCGCGTTAACGTGCAAGAGATTCGCGATTCTGGTTCGAGAAGTATTGTTTTCTATGCTTGTGCTTGAGGTCAGCTTTCCAGAAACGTTGGATGAACTATCAAGATCAGATATATTCGGCTTGATCTGGAGATTCCAAGCACGACCTGAATGGAAACAACATGTGAAGCAGCTGCGAATATGCATGCCGCGAGGCGAGCGCGGTGTGCTGAAGTTGCATGGTCCTGGGTCAGTAGAGCCTCACATTGACTATCGGATCTATGAGAAGGCGTGCGAGATTGTCAACACGCTCGACCTTCCTGCTGAGTGGAAAACAGGGTGGTCTGCAGGATTGGGGGTTTATTTTGGATACACCTCTGCCTCGGTGGTTTTAGCCCTACTACCAAATGTTACAACGCTATGCATATCGGACCCAAATTCAAGTTTGACAGTCGGCGAAGCGAACGCCGACCAAGTTCCACAATCTGGGAGCCTATCAATCGACAGACTGCCTTTAAGACTACCGGCAGCACCTGTGCTATCCTACATCAAATTCGAAAGCCCCTTACCACCGAGTTTGAGTGGTTTGGACAAACTTGCCAACCTGCATACTCTTGACTTGAGCATCAAGCTTCAAGGAAGTATACATTCTAGAGTTCGCCAAGATTCCGAGCGCTTTAACGAAAGGCGATATAAACAACCGTGGATTCAACGCCTGCGTCTAGATTTCGAAGTCAAGTCCGTCGGCGTATGGAACACAACCTCCTGCAGGTGCATGACCAACATCCTCCGCGGCTTCCCCAATCTGCGAACGCTAGAATACTATGCGGAGCCATCAGATTGCAAGAATCCGTACAGAAGCGTCCGTGCTTTCCCCGCCTACCAGGCAAATATCCAATACTACCCAGACGCATACTCTGCTTTGGCGGATGATGTTTACGTGGACGAACAACACTGGGATCGAGCGATATATGATGCGCGGACCGAAGTCACCGACTACCAGAACCTAGTAGACGGCATGGTACACTTGCGTCCAACCCTCGAAACCTTGCAGTTACCAGGCGGATTCTGGACGTTGCCAGGCGCGGTGCGCAAACCTCTGCCTCGATTCGACCAGTTCTTGAAACTGAAGAAACTGATTGTTCCACAAGCAGCGATTATATCGATCAAGCTCGACAACATGCGTTTTGACGCCGTCTTCGAAGGTGACTTCGAACTTTCACCAATGCAAGCTCTACCTACGTGTTTACAGCATCTCAAAATTTTCGATGTTGACTTGGCGTTCTTGCAAAGCAAGTGGCTCCAAGACCTCTTTCGCGAGCAAGAAACAAACAATCAATGGCCAGTTTTACGGTGTGTAGAGGTCTTGATGGGTCCTACGGTTACAAGGAGCAGATTGGAGGATCTGCAGGCTAGACGAAGCGGTGTCGACTTTTGGAAGTTGGCAGATGAAGCGAACCTCGAGGTGATCGTGGGGCGGGATGAGGAGAGCCCTGACGTATAAGTTAGCTTACGAACTTAATGTCGGTAAGGTCCGAGGATGCGTTTCCGGTATTCCTTGACTAGGACACTAAGACCATGTATACGCCTCAGCTATGCCAGTGCTTCCGCTATCGAAGTTTAGACTTTTACTGTGATTAGCTGAATGAGTATCGCTGATGGACGAACTATGTAGATGTCAATGAGAGAGGAAGTGGAAGATGCGGTTATAAACTTGTAGAGTTGTAAAGTAAAGTGCTTTGTATATACATATGTACAAATCTATTTGCGCTCAAAGGTCGTGGTATATACAAAACTCCGCCCGACCAAGCAGAGTTCTACCATCTCATCATAAACGCCACGCTATCATCATTCAATCCTCATAGGTATCATCTAATCCAAAGTAATCCCACCGAACATCCAATAGTATCATTGCTTGCACGCTTAGACCTTGGTCTCAAACATGCGTGCCTCGACGTCCTTGTCAGCAAGCACAGAGTCGTTGTCAATAGCACCCTCGGTGGTACCGACATGGCTTTCGCTGTAAGCATCGAGCTCACTACCCTTGGCGAAGTTAAGGTAGATGGGGTAAGACCAGGCAATCGCGAAGAAGATGAGCGGGATGCACATAGCCTTCCGGGTACCGATGTGGTCAGCAACGTTGCCGAGAATGACGGGACCGACGGCACCACCGCAAACGGAGGAGACGAGGAAAGAAGCACCACGCTTGGTGTGGCGACCGAGACCACGGAGAGTAAGGGCGAAGATGATGGGGAAGATGCAAGACTCGAAGAAGAGCACAATCATCAACATGCTGAGACCTCCCCAGTTGGGACGAGTGGCGCTTCCAGTGTTGGTACCGATGGCAGCGGAGATGAAGATCATGATCAAGGTCTGGAAAGCGAGGAGGACGTAACGGGGCTTACCACCGTAGTACATAAGGCCAGCTGCGGCGAAACGTCCGACGGCGAAGAGAGCTTGGGCAATGGCGTAGAAGTTGGCTCCCTCGTGGTGACCCTCAGTGACCGAAAGATCAGGGCGCGCCTCAGCAAAGTAGTTGATGAAGTAAGCGGCGACACCAACCTGACCAGCGACGTAGGAGAACTGAGCAGCGGTACCCCAGAATAGAGTGTATTGCTTGCGGAGGGGCTTGTCGACGTAGCCGGTAGCAGCAGTGGTCATCTCAGCTTGGTCGGCCATGTCGGAGTCGGTAATCTCGGGAATCGGAGCAAAGTAGAAGACAACTGCCAAGATACCGACGAAGCCAGCAATACCAAGGTAGACCCATTGAACAGCCTCGAGAGACTTTCCATCAGTACCGACGTTCTTGAAGATGACCTGAGCGGCGAGGACAGGAGCAACGACGGAGCCGACAGCCTGAACGGACTGAGAAAGCTCGAGACGGAACTCGGAGTACTTGGGGGGACCGCAGACAGCAATGTATGGGTTGGCAGATGTCTCGAGAGTAGACAGACCAGAACCAGCAAGGAACATGGCACCGCAGAAGCCACCGAAGCTTCGCTTGACAGCCGCAGGCCAGAACATAAGAGCACCGACGCAGTAGATGGAGAGACCGAGAATGAAGGTGTATCGGTAACCGAAGCGGCGGAGGAACCATCCAGAGTAAGTCAGAGGACCGATGAAGTAAGCACCGAAGTAAGCAGCCTGGAGACCAGACGACTCTCCACGAGTGATGTCAAGAGCGACTTGGAAGCGAGAGTTGAGGACATCTAGAAGACCGTAGGCGAATCCCCACATGAAGAAGAGGATGGTGACCAAGGTGACGGGAACAATGGATTGGCGGACAGTAAGAGCTGAGGCTCCGGTCACGACGCGGTTGTCGACAGACTTGCGGCGAACCTGCTCATCGACGACTTCAGCTACTGAAGGACGACGAGCCTGCTGCTCATGGACTTGGTCCAGGGTTGGCTCTTGCGAGCCGTTGTTTCCAAAGAAACCCATGATGTTGTGGAGTAGGTAAAGATTGGAAGGAAGTAGATAGCCCAAGGATCAACAGATGATATGTCTGTGGAGGCAAATCCCAGTGAGTGATGGAGGCGAAGAGCGAAAGGCTGATGCTGTTTCACTGAAGGGATACAGGGCACAATATATATCGCTCTCCATGTCTCCCAGATACCATTCTCATGGTAAAGGTCGCGACATGGGCTGGTGCCATCCAGACTCGATAGTAGTCGGTAGCCCATCGGTAGTCCCATGCTGGCGTTGGTTGAGCGGCGCATAAGCCGGGGTGTTGGAGTAGAATGGCCTGCTAACGCATCGCCCCGTACGCTACACCCCAGTATCCGCAAATTTTCATCGGAGGTGAGACCTGGTAGGTTGGCTCTTCTTCGGCGCTGCAGCTGCCTGCACTATCTCGCCGAAAGTGCTGCCGGTAAACATCGGATGGTGCATGTCTTCGACCAATGATAATCCACAGACCTAAGACTTATGCAACGCATGGACCTTCGCCTCCGAGCGGTTCCACTTATTTGTTGAGCCTCATGAGACAAATCCCTCGCAGATGGGGCTTAACAGCACCTCCGCGTTGCCAACCCCATGGAGAGACGTAGCGCTGAACAAAACTGGAATGCGCTTTGTGGAGTACAACCCGCAATGGAAATTAGCGAGCTGTTGGAACGCTCCTAGAGGGTGCATCATCTGCACCCCGCTGTTGATCTCAGCGATCTGCCTTGTGCGATGGCGTCAGGGTCCTACGAGCAGAACCTCTAGAAGGCGTTTACAAGCAATGGCAAGCGAGGCTTGTAGGGCCAACGAGTAAACGACAAGCGATCCAGGAAGGGCTCTGGGCCGCCACCAAGCCTCCTTTGGGAAATCAACGATCTTGTCTAGCGTTGGTGCGCATCACCTCTTGGTCTTGCAGCCAGTAGCCTCTGGGCCTACTTGGCGCGGTTAGGCACAATGACATGAGGCTTTGTTGAGGCTCCTACCCGCAGGTCAGGGTGGTCTCGCATGGCCTGAAGCTTGAGGTCTGTGAGCTGTTCGGCGTGAAGCTCCATGCTGTGCAACCTATGACTGCCCTGCGATATCGCGATATTTGACTGATGCACTTTGAGAAGCGCTCAACATGTGTGATTATGGATTAGACCGACCGAACTATGCCAAATCCCTTGGCGCCTTTCCAGCTGGCAAGATCTTCATCGATCTAATAGCATCGACAGCGGCTTGCAAAATGCACAATCAGTGGTGAGAGAGGTGTCCATCATCTCATCGTCAGAAGACGTAGATCTTGCACTTGCAATTCGGATCCGCTACACGCGACAGCCATGACCTGCGTCATACCTGCTCATGCTGACTTCTGTGATTGAGAGACTACGATCATCTTGTGCACAGTCATCAGCCTCCATATCTCCATCTTTGGCTAGCAAGTCTGTCGCAACACGAACCAGGTTCACTATCTTCCCCTACGCGGACTTCGTAAGCTACCAGGGTGCCTGCATCACACTGGGGTTGAAGCTGGGGTCAGTATCCCAACAGAGAGCTTCTAGCGCTCTTCTAGCGTGCTTCTCCGCATACTCTTCAGTAGCACGCGATGCCGTGGTCCAAACATGACGTGTCGTATACCGGCGCCACTCCGCATGTGTGCTGTAATTGGTCATGGGAGTGCTGGCGGGAGGTTTGTCGGAGGGAGTCGAGGCTAGGCGTCGGAGGCTTCTCACGTGAACAGGTCTGGGCACCAAGCCTGGATCGTAAAGGATGTCGGTTTTAGCCGTTGTGCTAACTACGAAAGGTCATAGCGACGGGAGCTATTCACTTCGGAGCGCTGCTCGAGGTATATGTCGCCGCGCGTAGCCGACTAGTAGGTGCCGCCTATTGCTCGTCTGGCAAAAACCATGATACCGTCAATGCGTCTGGGGTGTTGATGCAGCATGGTTGGGGCACAGTCGCTGCCGAAACCATCGAGTCGTGCGTCCAAAGTGCCGGGCTGCCGCTTGTTGAAAGCGAGAGCCAAGTTGGAAACAAGCCACTGTCTGTGTTCTACCCCTCTCAGGACTAGTTGTGCGCGCAGATGATTCCCTTCACGCAATCTTATGCATTGTGGGGTTGTGAATGGCCACGGAGGTGGGGTGTTTGGGGTATAGTCAGCAAAGGCGCCAATTGTCCTTGGATGCCCATTTCAATAAGTATTGACTCAACATGTTTGAAGCTTGAAAAATGCCGCAATCTACAAACGCCTATCTGACCCCAACTAAATTGATAGGACGGCTGCGTGAGATGAGATGAAAAGAGAATGGTGAGCATCAGGAATCCTAGTGATTTCACCATGTCCAGGTGTGGTACTACAATGACCCCTAGATGGCGAGCTACTTACCACTACCGCAACACCAATCATGAAATGATACTATCATCCCCATACCGACGAGTAGGATTAAGAAATCAAGGTGAAGTTGATCCTGGTGTGGGTAAACAAAACAAATGGCAAGTAAACCATAAAGACAAGACCGACAAGTTCGCATACATCTCTCAGGTAGAAAGTTTAAAGGAGAAGTGAAAAAAGAGAAAGGAGTGCATCAGTATGGGTCAATAACCATGATGCCTACTTACTCAGAAGATTACCCGCCCCTAACAACATACTCCTCCCCCAACGTAAACCCGCCGAGTACATCCTTCAGTCCCTCGTCATAATCCGGCTGCACATCCCTGCCCTCTTCATTCAAACTCCCCAGATAATCGGTAATATCCCTGCCATCAAACTCCCTCACCTCGAACCCATTCCCCATAAACGCCCACATATTCCCGTTCCAATACTCAATCTCAAAATCTTCATACCGTGGCGCCTCCATCATTTTCAAAAAGTGAAGACGCGAACCGGGCCAAATCGCTGCTTGCCCATCCGTCTTCCCTTGCTTGAACCACGAGCGGCAAGGTGATGTCCAAGCTGTGCGTTGTAGGAAGAGATCGGCGTGTTGGCGGAACTGGAGTGAAGGATGAAGTTTAGGGGTAAGAGATTTGATGTTCTCGACCTGGCATTTTGTGATGGCGGAGAAGATGTAGCGGGTCCATTGTTCGATCAAAGGCATGAAGGAACCGTGTCCCAGGGGACCGTATGGACCACAGAAGGAAAATGTATTGGGGAACGTGGGTATGCCGACGCTGAGGTAAGATGTTACGCCTTTCTCGGGGCTCCAGAGGTCGCGTAGATCGCGGCTGTGGGCTATGAAGGGGAAGCGTGGGAGCCAAGAGGTGTCGAAGCCGGTTGCGCAGATTATTACATCGACGGGGTGGTGATTACCTTCGTGGTCCGTGAAACCATCCGCTGTTATAGAGCCGATGGGATCGGTGAAGATAGTTGTGTTGGGTGCAACGAGCGCTTCGAGATAGCCTGGTGCTGGTGTTGGACGGCGGCATCCCGGATTGAAGTTCTTTGGTATCATTTTCTCGACAAGACGGGGGTCGTCGTTGAGTTTGTTACGCATTTCGGTGTCGGCGTATTCGCGTGCTTGACGGGCTTCTTCACTGCCTTTGATGATGAATTTGAAGCGTTGGTTCAGTTCATTCTCAATTTGTTTCCGGTACTCGAGGTATTTCTTGGGGTTTTCCTCGAGGTATTTGAGCTGCTCCTCGCTGTCTAGGAGACGTCAGTAGTCTTCGATCACTGTTTCAAGGGAAGAACGCACATCGGAAGTTTGCTCCGTTCTTTCCAGCCCAGGTTTGCGCAAAGCCTGCTGTGATCCATATCGGAGATCGTACCCAGTGGTATAGATGCTGAACTTTCTGCTGTATAGCCGCCACAATTTGCACGCCTGAGCTCCCAGCTCCGATGACAGCTACACGTTTATTCGAAAGATCGTAACCTTCTTCGTAGTTTGCGGAGTGCATGAGCTTGCCCTTGAAATCCTTCAAGCCTGGAATGTCCGGCCACTTCCAGTTGTTCAAGACGCCTCCAGCGTTGACGAAGAACTCGGCACTATCTTCAAACACGACGTCCTTGTCCAGATCACGAACCCGACACCACCACAGACCAGCTGCATCATCCCACTCGACATGCTCTAAGCGGTGTCGTAACTTGATGTATTTTGCGATGAAGTCGTTCTCGCGCTCTATTGACTTCAAGTAGTCCCAGATCTCAGGAGAATACGAGTAGTAGTGGGACCAGAGTTTGATCTTCCACGAGAATTGATAGTTGACAGACGGAATATCACAAGCACATCCGGGATACCGGTTCTCTAGCCAGGTACCACCAACGTCGCGGTTCTTCTCATAGCACACCATTTCCAGGTCCTCCATCTCTTCCTCGGCTTTCTTGAAGAAGTTCAGGGATGATGCACCTGCGCCCATGAGAATGACTTTGACTTTTCTTTTCGTGCCCATAGGTTGCTCGTTGATTCGGTAGCCATGTTGGTCCGTCTCTGGTGGGAGTTGGTCGCGAACTTTTACATTGTTATCAGCTGCATTGCCAGGCGCTGCGTACAGTGATTTTGGTGGATCTGACTGGATGCCCATATTGAGATGTTGATGACTTGACGATTTGAAGGGAATAGGCCTGTTTGTGACACAATCAAGGATATTTCGGTCCAACCAGCAAAACTGCTCTGTCATATAGGGTCGTCATTGTCAGACCTCGGAAATAGCAGCGTGAAGGCGGAGATGGTGACAGCATTGCCAGCAGCACTGCGGGGTAAGGTTGAGTGCGAAGTACCTGACACGAGCTTCCGCACCGCACTCGATGCTCATGAACACGTTCTTGAGTTTACAGACAAATTTGTTGGTTCGTGACTCTTCATGGTGAGGCGCACTCTTGTGACCAGCCCATGGGATTCATGGCAGACGGTGCATCAGCACCCTCAAGGAGAAACAGTGGCACCGCGTGCGCATATCGCAATGTCATTAGTTGCGTGCGTTGAACAATGTTTAGTGGACGAGGTTTGCTGGACGCGACAAAAATAAAAATATGGGGGCCATTACGGCTGCAATGATGCGAGATGATGATACGAGGTCAGGCACAATTCCGCTCGGTAGCTCTTGGCTCCGTTAATACTTGGACTGTTGGTGACAACGCCGCCGCAAACAAGCCATAGCCGTCCTCGCACCACGTCTAATCTCTGCATCGCCATTGCGGAAGACTGTTTCTACCCTCTGATATTACGGACCCATAGCAGCGTCACTCTGCGGCCCGCCCACGACGCTACAGCCACGCAAAACACGCTTGACGATTCGCTCGACAGCTGCCACCTACGCACAGGCAAGGGCTACCCGTCGCTCACTCCCAGACATCGGCATAGACATTGTCGGCCAGCGCATGCGAGCGCACGCGATAGCACGAGTTGCAGAGCCGTCTCCTGTCTCCTGTCTCCTGTCTCCTGTCTCCTTGACCCTTGTCGCGCTGGCTAGGTTGCTGGACTCCTAAGCTCAGCCCAGCGGCCCCGGTCATGGTGCCCGCGCAACTCGGTCAGATAGCCTCGTGAATGACGCCTCCTACCGCACCGACACCCATCGCGCCTTCCTAGGCATCTTCGCGCCTTCCCGCCGTCATGTCGTACTACGGAAACGGCCAGAACTACTACAACCCCAACATCCCTCACTCCAATGTGGGCGCGCCGGGCCAATATCAGGATCCCTACAACCGCCGCACGCCAAGCCAAGACAATGGCGATGCCGCGAATGGAGCGCCCGCTGGCTACGGGCACCTCCAGCAGCTCGACAGGCGCAACAGCATAGCCGCCCGCCAGAACGACGAGCTATTCATCGGCGCAAACAGCTCCCCGCAGCTATCTCAGGGTCCAATGTCGCCTACCGCGGGCGGATATGGTGGTAGTTATGGCTACCAGCGGTCGTCACAGCAGGCATACAATCCCCAGAACTACAACACGCAGCCCCTAGCTCTGCCCAACCCTCAGCATTACGGCGGTGTCAGCAACAGGACATTCGCGCCCCCCGTTTCCGTGTCGGCTTCCCACCAGCCATACAACCCAGCTGCCTACGCCGATAGCAGCATTGCGACTACCAACTCCGCACCTTATGGTGGCTTCTCGCCCACTTCTCCGACCGCCTCATACCATTCTCCTTCAATATACCAGAACTCTCAATTTGGGAGAGCACCCTCTGTTCAGAGTCGCGCGTCAGCTTACACGGCACAAGCGCCACCACTACTGCCAGCCCCTCCAGCGAGCGCGCAATCTGCTGGTGACGACTGGGGCACTTACCCGAATCGACGGCCCTCGAACGCATCCTCTGGGTATTATTCATCCAACGCCTCGCATGCCCCACTCCCCTCTCCACCGGGTTACGATACCGGCTATGGCTCACAGCGTGGTGATAGATATACCTCCATGTCCGGCGCTGCCCTCCCATCTACGCCCGAGGTCCCTCTACATGGCTCACCCCAGAGAACAAACACAGTATCCTCGCGACCGCTACCCCCGCCGCCCCACGAGTCCGATAGTGACGAATACTTCTCACCGCAGAACGGAGGCTATCAAGATGAATTGTTCAACGACGTTATGAATATGACCGGTGCCCAGGTTCAACAACCAAATGGCCAGTACTACAGCGAGTCCTCAGGCAGGAACGGTACAAACGGCGTGCAACCTGGACGCGAAACCTACGCCAGTGATGAGAGCGATGTGGAAGCAGCTGCTGGTCTGGCTGCACTTCAGATGGCCGAGGAACAAGACAGAGCAGATGAAGCTCGTAGGGCTAGTGGCGGCACCGGGCTCTTCAGCAACTACACATCCTTGCATTCTCCTCAGATGCCCACCGAACCGATGCGACAGGAGAGCGCGAGCGATAGCGACTATGTGGGTATGGACGTGGGTACATACGGCGGCGGATTCACGCCATCTTTCAACTATGGCGGAGATCCAAGCCAGCTGGCAGCGGGAGGAAGTCATACAGCATCAACCTCAGGTTCGCAACGACGGTCCGACCCTCCCAACGACGACTACGACCCGATCCACCCCTTCCCATCCTTCTCGAGCAACGCGCGCGTTGACACATTCGGTACCGGTGGTCTGGAAGAGCCCAGCGCACGACGGCGGAGCTACGATGAGGGCGATGAGGTCACACTCATGGATAGCGCATCTGCCATGTCTGGCTCTACTCTCATGGGTCCCTCAGCGGTGATGCCGGGTGAGCCACCGGATATGTTCTATCACCCGGGCATTTCGAACCGACCTCTGCCACCACCTCCAGTGAACACCGGCAGAGGCAGCAGACTGAACCACCAAAGCAATAGCTCAACTGGCTCCGGGTCCTACGAGTACTGGCGTAACGCTCCGACTACGCAGCGTTCTTACCCGGTGGACGCAAACGCCATGCACATGATATCTCCTACCGGAGCTCCTGTTCCCCGCTCAACTTCTCTTCTACAGCACAGCAACGCTCGGGATGCCATCCCCTTGCCGCGATCAAAGACAGACGCCGAACAGGGAAACAGACCTCGAGCTGCTGGCAACCGGAATACCTTCTATGGCGGTGCCATGGACAGTGACGGCAATACCCTTACCCCTGGCAGCGCTGAAGCCGTGGCCATCGACCTACCCACCATCCCAGCTGGCAAGCGCTTCAACCCCGCTAAGCTTTCTACCATTGACTTCAAGAAATGTACTGAGCCTTGGGCACTTAGCTCGATCATTTCATGGCTTAAGAGCATGACCGAAGGCGAGAACGATCTCAAAGAAGGCCCAATACAAGAAGGTCTCATCGCGCTCTTCACTCACAAGGTCCCCACCATGAACATTGCGGATGCCGAGACACTAAGTAGTCGGGTGGTAGCTGAGATGTACAAAGCAGGCACACTGGTGCATGAGGAAGAGTGGCTAAGATTCTCAACCGCAAGTATGACTGGTGTGATATTCCAGCTTACCGGGGCGGGATGTTATGCGCCCATGTTGCACACACATGCAAGCTCAGGTCGATGCTATTCGCACCATTGCCAACGGACACTCAAGAAGATTGACCTACACGCCCCATCCGCCGCACCTCGATCAGAAGATTGGGCTACGTTCTACAAGCTGAAGAAGGAAGACATTGAAGGGGCAAACAAGAGAGAGATCGAGCGTCAAAACATTCTGCATGAGATTGTCCAGGGTGAGGATAAATACATGAATCGACTAGATGTGTTACGGCATCTGTACCGCGACCGACTGCAATCAGCTCAGCCTCCAGTTATTTCTCCCAAGAAGCTTGACAGATTCATTCGCGACGTGTTCAGCAAAGTAGATGCAGTACGAAAAGCGAACGAAGACCATCTCCTTCCACAGATAAAGTACCGACAACAAGAGCAAGGACCATGGATTGTAGGTTTCAGCGACATTTTCCGAGAGTGGATCCGAAAAGCAAAGCAGGCATACATCGAATACGCGGCAGCTTTCCCATACGCATCTTTCCTTGTCCGACAGGAAGCTGACCGAAACATACTGTTCCGCACCTTCTTGGATGACGCCCAAAAGCACAAGCTATCGGAGAAACTTGGATGGGATACTTATCTCAAGGGCCCTATCGACAGATTGCAGCGTTATGGTCTTCTCATAGACACTGTGATTAAGTACTCGACCGTGGATAATGAGGAGAAACGGAACCTTCAGGTCGCCAAGGAAGAGATCAAAGCTGTTACCTTGGAGTGTGACAGTCGTGTAGCGGAGATGAGCCGGAAAGTTAGTCTTACCGACCTGCAGGCTAAGCTTATATTGCGCCCTGGTATGCAACGAGTGGAGCTCAATCTCGATCACCTGGGACGAGAACTCATCTTCCGAGGCGATCTGCAAAGAATGGGAGGCAGCCGTTTCAACTGGCTCGAAACTCACGCATTGCTCTTTGATCACTACCTCGTACTTGCCAAGACAGTCTCCTTCCGAGAAGCGGACGGCGTCACCAAGTCCGAGAAGTACGATGTGTCAAGATTGCCGATTCCCATGGACCTACTGGTGCTCGAGAGCGAAGACGATGACCCCGTTGTGCGCTCTACTATGAAGGGTATCTCTACGGTTACTACTGTCTCTGGCCGAGTTGGTTCTGGGGTTGCGACACGTATCAACAACACCCCCGTACCTGGCGGCCTACAACACACAACCACTTCCAACTCACTTGGATCGACCAACACTAGCGGTTCCGGCAAAACCATGGTCAACACCACGTCAAACGATTCCGCAAAAGATGAGAAGATCTTGTATCCTTTCCGGGTAAAGCACTTGGGCAAGGAGACTTACACGCTGTATGCGCCATCAGCGTCTAATCGTGCAGAGTGGTGCGACAAGCTCATCATTGCGAAGACGCGGCATGCAGCTGCACTCTTCGCCCAAAATGCCGAACCTTTCAAGTTACGGGTCATGGCTGACGCAGCCTTCGCATACGACAGCGCTATGCCATCTCAACGAGCTATTACTATCAAGGGGACGCCACTGGATCGTGCAGTCGACGAGGTGGAGAAGCTTTTTGTCAACGTCGGGCGGCCTGTTCCCATTTGCCGCGCACGAGTGAACTGTGCGACAGCCTTCAGCCAGCCCTATGGCAAGCACATGGTAGCCGTCGGTACAGACATTGGGGTTTACGTGTCGGAGTTTGATAATCCTAGAGGATGGTCAAAGGTTGGTGGTGCCTTCATAGTTGCGTAATACGATGCTGACAGTCACAGGCAATTCAAGTACCACGTGTAACACAGATTGCTGTCCTCGAACAGTTCAGCTTGATGCTGCTCATCTCCGATAAAGCACTCATTGCGTACCATCTCGATGCCGTATGTCCAGTCAGTGGTGTGGCTCCCTCAAACGATTCTACACGACGAGCACCTCAGAAATTATCAGGCGCACGCGATATCGGCTTCTTTGCTACCGGCGTCATGAAAGACAGAACCCTGGTATTCTATAAGAAGCGCGACGGTATTTCATCCACCTTCAAGGTTCTCGAACCTGTCTACCAAAAGTCAACCGAGAAGAAGTCCAGGATATGGAAGTCGGGGCGCACTGAATTCTTCCGCGAATACGACGAGTTCTACATCCCGGCCGAGTGCTATACGATCAATCTCTTCCACTCATCGCTCGCAATCTCCACAGCCAAGGGCTTTGAGGTACTCACTCTCGACAAAAAGCAACCATGGTCCGTTCCGGATCTGAAGCAATCGCACGTTGCCACCATCGCGTCGCGTCTACAGAACCAAGACCCATTGGGTATGTTCCGTCTCTCCGATCAGGAATTCCTTCTCTGCTACGAAGAGTGCGCCGTGTACATCAACAAGAACGGTGATATTTCGCGATCTGTCATCATGGAGTTTGTCGGAAAAGCCAAGTCTGCCGCCATGTACGGCCCATACGTGCTCCTATTTGACCCAGACTTTGTCGAGATTCGTAATGCGCAGAACGGTCGTCTACGACAAGTCATTGCTGGACGCGACGTCAAGTGTCTAGACGACGGGCTCAGCGGAGGCTCAAGCCACAACAGGACAGTCAAACTGAGTTTACAGCATCCGCAACATGAGAGGAGTCAGGTTGTTGTCGAGCTTGTGCTCAATGAGGGACAGAAGGAGTAAGGAAACGATTACACACGGATGCTTGCATGATTTGCTGTGCAACACTTTTATCTTTACGGCGAGAAATCACGCCACATGTACAGTGATGCAGGCGGAGTTATGGAGTCAGAACCCTGGGGGCTGGCAATAGCGCTACGCGCTGCCATGAGCTTTGAGGCGACCGGCGCTGCTCTATTGCATATCCTTAGGCTATTGTTCTTGTTTTCGCGAAAGGATACCTAGTTTGCTTTCTTGCTGGTGTTATGATTTTGCGGGTGGATAGTCGTGCATGTGTTGCAAGGCGTCTACGCCCTAAGACTTACGGTCGAAATTATGTAGTCGGAGGTGGTAATTACTATACCATAGCGTAGGTTATATCTTACCATACGTGGTTGTGGTTTCTAATTGCTCGTTCGATGCCCATATGAAGCTACTAGATATGTCTCTCTTCTTGCTCAACAGTAGCCATCATTGTTGATGTGAAGACCCTCAAAATCACAGAACATGACGTGCCATCGATACCGCTTACACAAGTTTCCAACTTGCCCACTTGTTGCTAACATAAGCTTATATCCGTCAAGCTATCCGCGGGGTTTCGCTTAAACAAGCAGAAGTAAAAGCCTGTATGTGTGGTCCTACAAGATATGAGCAAACATATCACGGCGCAACCCCTCCTCGCCTGACCTTCCTCTACATCTTTCGATAACTAGGATACATGTTGTGGCACAGCACGCCAGTCTTTCTTTTTCTTCCAGAAGACACACATCGATACCTAGTTTGGCTTACTTTTCTGCAGGCTGGAAAAGAGGTCGCAGATTTGAATAAATCGCTTGGCTGTTTACAGGATTGACAATGCGGTCTGCGCCGTGATACAACAGCAAGTCGCTGCGCCGCGTTACATGTCGTGTCCACTCATCATTCAGCTGCAAAGCTAGAAGGATTCTATACTAGGTAAAGTGCTCTATGTCCATCTCTATGAGGTCACTTCAAAGTACCCGGCTGCTGGATTGGGTACCATGCAAGATGGAAAGATCGCAGTTTAGTCGAACAATAAATATAACTCTATCATGTCAGGAACTTGGTATTGGGATCGTTGCACAGTATGCGGTGGACTCTTGAAACTTTTGATCCCGGCTGACCGGTACTCTGAGCTAATGTCTCTCATACACGGTCGCGTACCCAAGTTGCTACGAAGAACTCCACTGCGTTGCCAGTGGCTTCTACTACATGTGCAGAGGAGCGCCGTGGGTTCAAGAATTGGTCAGAAATACTGTTGCACCACTGTCGTGCATCTCAGAAAATTGTGCAGAGCCTGCAAAGAGAGATATTACCGCGAACTCTCAGTAATGCATCTCGGTTTTGACTGACTTTGCACAACCTTCGTTACCTCCGTCTTGTTTGGGTGCAATAATCATGGTCTCAGTATCGATACTATGATCAACATGGGGAACATCACGCTAAGTTATTTCGACGCGTGGCCAGCGTCCACATCCATGTATCTGATATCTACGACTCCGACGATGTTGTCTACGTCCGCTTTTGTACCCACGACTTCCTCGATGCTTACAACAACGCGACCTTCGACTGGACAGCCAGCTCCCTCGCAAGCTGCTGCTGAAGGTTTGAATACAAAAAGCGGAGGGGTCGGTGCGGCAGCGACGGGTGGACTCGCCGCAGGAATTACGGTTGCTGGTATCGCAATCATCGCACTAATAGTATGGTTCGTCATCCGCAGGAGGCAGAAAGCAGCTCAGACTAGAGAAGCACCTATGGTAATGTCAACGCAGCGGGATGATTCCGATGAAAAGACGGACTCCTATCCTCACCACAACCATGAACCTACTTATGAGCTACAGGGGGATGATCCGCCCACCATGAACAGTCGCACAAGCCACCATATGTCCGAACTTGATCCAATACGTCCGCCGTCAGAGCTTGAATTGATCCGTCCCATGTCTAAGCTCAGTTCGAAGCAAACGGATCACGATCGCTGGTCGGCCAACAACAGTATGCCAGTGAGTCCGTCGAGCCTGCCGGATGTGCAAGAGAATGAAGAAACAATTTCGACTTCGCAACCAGGCAGGTTCAGCCATATTCGTACTGCGAGGGCTTCGAAGATCCATCGACGGTTCAGCTCTGTCTAGCAGCGTGTTCAATGTTTCTGGGGAGACTGTTTTTTGGGGGATGATGAGCTTGTAGCTTTCATTTGACAGCATCACGTCGTAAGCGCACAAACGGCGTTCTTAGAGAAGCCTTTAGGAAACAGTCCTTGTTGTTCCAGCCACTTCGTTCTTGTACCCATTCTCATATCTCTTTCTCTTCTCTTGTTTGTTGAAAGATGGCCGAGATGGTCAGTTCTCGGACACTTCGTCGCATCATTACCGTGGCGGCGCCGATGCCACCACTTCCGACTCCTCTCATTGCAGAGCAGCGCACATTCATGATGAAGTCCAGTACTTTTCATTCGAGCGCTCCAGAGACACCGCCATGTCTGACACCTTCCTCTAATCGGGCTTTGGAAACATAAATCGTGACGGTCGTAATTAGTGTCTTTGCTGTGGCGATGCTCGCGGCGTCTATGGCGTATCTCAGAAGGCGACCGAAGATGAATAGGAGCAGGCTTGGGTACGAGGATTGAGTTCTGGGCGTTGAAACACAAAAGGGAAACTTGCTTGGTTATCGATGATAATCCACCAAAGAAGATCCGGCAATGTGCCTGCACTCAGACGTTGCAATCTTGCGCCAGGTGACTAGGATTACAGGGCTGAAATCTGTACTGCCCGGTTGAAGTGGTACCTCTCCCCATTTGCTCTTTCAAGTTGGGATCGATTGGCGGATGCGAGGCGTTTCCCGTATTGTACAAGGTCACATGTCGGCTTGTACAAGGTACCCCGGCATCTTTCCATCTGCTTCGCGCACTTCACCACTAACTCGATGTTGGTAACAATACCAAGTGCTTGGGTACGGCCTAACGTCACGATCAAACTTGGAGGGCGGCGCAATTGTCGGCCAGAGCGGTCCAGTGAATCCTCCGGATGTTGGCCAAGTAGATAACGAGCATCGAGTGACCTTCGAGATCGCCAATGCAGGTAGAAGTCGTGGTCTTCGGGTCTTCCAGAAACATAGTGTTTAGCGCCAACGTTTCCAGACATGACCATGACTGCATTCACTAACTGAAAATCCTACTGGGAAATCACTAGGGTGCCATTTCCTTAGTGATTCCATCTCACAATGAAAGAGATGAAGGGTCCGGTTTTGATAGTGGTTATCTCTAGCGGATGTGGATCGGTCCGAGCAGTGTCAGATGCGGACGAGTTTTCCAGCATTTTCTTCTTGGTGTGGAGCAGCCGAGTACGCGATATGTAATCGGAATTAAACCATGCTGTCGTGGGAGCGGCAATCACCACTGGGTCTTTGTGCGGCGATGCGTGGAGTCTAGCTGTGTCAGGCCAAGGACATGGCCGTCAAGCGCGTCAACTGCCACCCCAGTGTGTTGCCGGCCCGTGCACGAGCTGCCTGACGTGCGGGGGCAAAACCGCCGCGGCTGACCTGACCATCCCACAACGATCAACTCAGCTCCGCCCTGGCATTACATGCACGACACCGCCTGATACAATGTCATCCTTTATCAAGGCCAGAACTTGCGCCTCAATAAAAGGGCAAGATATCACATCCGAGGCTACTTGCAGGCCGTTGATAATGATGGCTCGCTTTTTGTCGGTTCCCACAAACGTCAAATACGTCCTTATCAGACTACCAGCGAATTAAGGATAGGCAAGAAACTTGGCTTGCCGTGCCATGGCCACCGCCAAGACATGCAGGACAGGGTCAGTCCCACCAGTCCAACTGCATCAAGAAGGAGACATACGCGGAGTAGACAGACGCACCATCATGGCTCGCTGGACCGGGCGATTGGCGCTGCGGTCAAGAAGCTCTAGAATGAACCATTCCCCAATATTGGTCGAATCTGGTTTTACTCGTTCCACACCATCCTTTCACTGCAAACCTCTTTGCTTGGCCGTCTTGGGTTACTTCGCCCGTCGCGACAAGCCTCCCGGGTAGCTCGTTATCAGCACCGTTCTAAGGGACCAATATCTCGCCCTCCCCGCAGCCTCGGTCGTATAACAACCGGTCAGCCCTGCTTGCTTTGGCTGCGCCCAAGGCTTTTTCGCTGCCTCACCCGCCTGTATTTGAAGAGACTTGTTGTCGATATAGTTTCTTTTTCCCCGGTCCCTCCAGGATCTGAGTTGCTTCACCTTCTTGGGTTTGCGCCCTCGCTATCACCGCCTACACTCGCCCGTTTGCGGCTATTACTACAACGCGCTATAAAAGAGATAGTCAACAAGACTGTGTTAGCACAACGTCTCACCCAAAATGGCTATCTGGAACCGCAAGTCGAGTTCCTCAGACGGCGCGAGCCCTCACGCTTCCTCCGACCCTGAGTATGGTGTCAAGTCCGAGTACCAGCATGCAACCGGAGAGGTTCCCACCGTCGACGCTAACGGCGTTGTCGTCCACGCCGACCATACGCATTTGCATCGTGGTCTGAAGTCGCGTCATATTACTATGATTGCCATCGGAGGAGCCATTGGTACTGGTCTTATCATCGGTACTGGCAAGGCTTTGGCACAATCTGGGTAAGTTGCGCGAATCTGGCACATGTTGATCTAAACTGATGATGATAGTCCTGGTTCAATTCTCATCGCTTACACTTCGGTCGGTCTTATCGTCTACGTCGTCATGACTGCTCTGGGCGAAATGGCTGCCTGGATTCCTCACGCTTCTGGTTTCGCTGGCTATGCTACCCGTTTCTGCGACCCTGCTCTTGGTTTTGCTCTTGGTTGGACTTATTGGTGCAAGTACATCATTACAACACCGAATCAGCTTACTGCTACCGCTCTGATTCTCCAGGAATGGAAGTCGAGAGATGAAGTTAATCCGGGTGTCTGGATCGCAATCTTCTTAGCCGCCATCATCGCCATCAATTACTTCGGTATCAAGTTCTTTGGTGAACTCGAATTCTGGCTTAGTTCGATCAAGGTCGTTACGATTGTGAGTAGTGCTTGCTTTTGACATGAAAGATGCGAACTAACCACCAAAAAGGTCGGTGTTATCATCCTCTCGTTCCTCCTCGCGGTTGGTGTTGGGCCTGGCGGTGCAACTGGCTTCAAGTACTACGATGATCCCGGTGCTTTCAAGCCGTATATCACCACCGGCTCTGCTGGTAAATTTTACGGTTTCTGGAGCTCCTTGGTCAATGCCGTCTTTGCCTACCTTGGTACCGAACTTATCGGTGTTACCGTTGGTGAAGCCCAGAACCCACGCAAGACCATCCCTCGCGCCATCAAGCTTACCTTTTACCGAATCTTGTTCTTCTACTGCTTGTCTGTATTCTTCCTCGGAATGATCGTTCCTTACGACTCTTCGGAGCTAGCATTCGCAAACAAGGCCACCACTGGTGCCTCTGCTTCGCCCTTTGTGGTCGCCATCAAGATCGCAAAGATCCCGGCTCTTCCCACCATCGTCAATGCTTGCATTCTACTCTTTACCTTCAGCGCCTCGAACTCGGATCTATACATCGCCTCCCGTACAATCTACGGTCTTGCCGTCGAAGGCCATGCTCCCAAGATCTTCCTCTGGACCGACAAGCGCGGTGTGCCGGTACCTGCTTTGCTCGTCTCTGCACTATTCTGTTGCACTGCCTTCATGAATGCAGCAGATGATGCCAAGGTCGTCTTCGGCTACTTCGTCAACCTCACGACCATTTTTGGGCTTCTATCCTGGATTTCGCTTCTGGTGTCGCACATCTGGTTCGTTCGTGCGCGCCGCGCTCAAGGCATCACCAATGACCAGATGGCCTACCATGCTCCATTCGGTTTGACCGGCTCCTATATTGCGCTGTTCTTCTGCATTCTCATCGCTCTAACGAAGAATTTCAACGTCTTCACCAAGAGCCCCAAGACCTACGGCGATTTCGATTACAAGAACTTCGTCACTGGATACCTTGTAAGTTCCAGCAGCCTTTGCCATAAAGATCCGATGCTAATCTACTACTTCAGGGCATTCCGATTTACTTGATTTGCATCTTTGGTTACAAGTACACCATGAAGTCCAAGATGGTCAAGCCTCACGAAGCCGACTTCTACACTGGTAAAGGCGAGATTGACCGCGAGGAGGAGGCTTTCCTCGCTCATGCTGCAGAGAAGCGGGCTACCGAGGGTAAGGGTGGCAGTTGGTTCTACCGAACCTTCATCGCATGGTTGATTTAGATGCGTTACCAGCGACTCCATTCGTTTATCTATTGGATACCATCGCTATGCATAGGTTACCGAAAGGTACTGGCTGTGCCCTCACCAGGTGTCACAAAAGAATATGATCTCCCCGAAATGTCCAAATATTGGTTTTTCCAACATCGTTGCCACTCCGTTGGTCTTCTGTCCTCTTGTCGTGTAATATGTGTAATGCTGCTTTCGTTCGTGACTTACATGCTATTATGCTTTTACAGGTAACTGCGTGCTCGTATACTCTAATCATCCGAACAACATACGTGCAGTTATGTCTTTACTCATAACTTGTGCATAACGCATACCAGAACGTCTTAACGTACTCGCCAAGCCAAGTCACGTTACCCGCTTCGCAACCCTGCCACCCTATACGAACGCAACTTTGCGACTCACCAACACAACGTCGCATTAGACTCACAATTAAGCTCCCGCGCCAGCGCAGACGAGAGATCCTTATCAAAGAGCCAAATCGACAAGCAAACCACAGAGTCTTGGGTTGTTGCCGTCCTTGCCGTCTGGGAGATTCCCCAATGGGCTGGTCGATCGGATACACGGCAACCACAAGCTTGGGTGCTGGAGACCCTCTTTGCGGTGCGTGTAATTCAACACCATGCCCTCCCATCGCAATTTCGTCAGTCATTATCACCACGTCACGTCCTGACGCGCTAAATTGCCTTTGACTCGTCGCAGTACTATCACATCAACGTACATACCGCTCGGAGTTACCGTCAGCGTCAGTGAGGTCCTTCCGGGTCACCTGCGCATCGTTGTGACATGCACGACACAACTCCCTTCGCTTTCGTTATCCTAAAGCGATAGTATACGACAAGGCAAACGGTGCGCCGACCGCCTACTTATAGGCCCTTTCGAGCCCTTTCTGAGGCCAACATCGCCTGCTGCACTGCAAATCCAGCCTGCCATCGGAGCCGACCGAGCAGCCTTGCTGTGCACTGGAAATCCGCAATGACAGATTATCGCCCTTCACGCGCGCTTCATGACATCCTATGAAGGGACGGTGGCTATGCTGTTACTATGGCGTCATGGCTTTTGAATGACTGGTCGGAAATGATGCCGAGTCAGTCGGTGAGAAGATGGGCTGCAATGCTATTGACATGAGTAGCGTCGCAGAGGACACACTTTCCACGCGCCCATCGCAGATTTTGACTACAGACTTGGGTCTGGCCCATGAAGAGGCAATCCTTCTACGATTCCCTTGCATTTAGTGCTCGCTTATCGCCAATGGCACAATGACACAATGCTTCTATAGGTCTTCTATGGCGAGGACGCCCAACATACCTTGTTTGCATGGTAGCCACGGGAAGGATTCAACGTACCAAGGGGGCCAGGGAGCAGTAATATGCATTGCCGTGCTGTGCTATTCGTCTGTAGGGCTTGCCGTTCTTCCATACCCTACCTTTCACCTAATAGAGAAGCGTCACCTGAACTTCACGATGCTCGTTGGAGTACCCCAAGGACTCAACAAGTGTCAATGTCCTCTTGTGGGCTTAGATGCCAGCACTACGACGTACACAGTGAAGCGCTCTTCCTCACGATGTAGGTATTGGATACTCATCCCCGCTATGTCGTGGAGTGAGCGGAGGGACTGGGTGAAAGCTGAAGGGCACCTCTGATCTAGTGCGCGCCCCTTCAGACAGTGGATCAAGAGTAGTATCACAGGTAATGTACAAGGCAAATGGTTCTCATCAAGTCATTTGAAGCTTCACATTCTCCTGAGATGCATATATACCACTTACCGTGACATAGTTCGTAGTCATTACGCAGTCACCACAAGCACACTCAGTCTCAAGCTTCATTACAATCCAGAGTTACCGCAACAGTCGAAAACGCTCCTCAGTGCTACCACTCATCAGAAACTGTCACAATCATCATTCATACACGACATATAACCGCTTCTTCACGCACCAATCTTCGGGATCAAAGCCATTGTCCCAGACTATCGTAACAAACTCGACCAACACTAAACGACCAACTTGAAGCAACTATGACACAATCAAACTCCCCCGTTACTTCAGAAAACATGTGGATAAACCACGAAGAATCCTTCGAGTCGCCATGTGTTCTAATCTCTATGCATCAGCATAAGAGTGAAGGGCGCCGACATGGCTCAATCTTGGCAATGAAAGAAACGGTTTCTAGAGCCTCGGACTATCAATCTCCAAGGGAACATGCGACACCTCCGCACTATCGTGCTTTGTCCGGCCGTCTACATAGCGATGTCCTCCCGATGAGCACTTTCTCAGGCACGTCAGCAGATATGTGGTATTGTGCGACCTGCGAAGATTGGAACAACAACTGGCTTGACTTCTGCCCAACATGTGGTGGGAGAAAGTAGGGGTTCCCACGACCTGTCGACGTCCTCAATGGTTTAGTATTGGATTCGCCTCATCTCTTCTTGTCGCGCGGATAATTCATTTTGTTGAGTTAAACGATCTGGGCGGAAGGATGCATTCGCGGAGTTCAGGTGTCTTTTTGTTCACACTGTCGTTTCTGCATCTCATTGACATGGTGTTTCCATACTTGTTTCCTCTATGTTCTGCTTTCAGTTTTTGTTTTTCTATTAGAAGTATTCCCTTTCTCACAGTCGCTACCAAGTCCTTCTACGTTGTTCCTTAGGGTTAGCTCTTAGATATACACTTACTTTTGTTCTGGAATTGGGCGTTGATGGCAGTCAATAGTAGAACATATATCATATGAAATCGTTCGTAAATCTTGCTAAAAGGTATACTAATACAACGTAGCATGTTATGTGCAAGTACTCACTTGAGCTATGATTGAATACCCTGGATTACCATTGTTTGGACGCGGAACATGTTCCGCCTCGCCGCGGCTTCTTACCCAAACCAGTAACCCGCCACCTGCATCACCCACTACGCAAACCCCAACAAGCAAAAACTACCGTTCATCATCTCCGCTCCTACCCCAGCTTTCCCCCAGATCCACATACCTCCACAACCAATCTTATCCTCGCTTAAGACTGGACGGAAAAAGTCTTGATGCACGTCGAAGGCGTCAGTCACGAACTTTGAGTGGCCGGACGGCAGGTAAGAGAAGTTAAGAGGGTGGGGAGGGGCTGGGCGTGCGTCAATGGCGGAATTTATTCTATGACCGAACCAGAGCTTGTAAAGGTCGGGATATGTACCCGCGGAGCAAAGTTGATGCTTGTTGGATATTCACGGCAGACGGTAGTGGTGCGCCCAATGGGGGTGGAGACGATGGATAACCAAACATGCAGTATTCGCGCTCGCACGACAGCGTTGATCCGCGGCTTGTGGCTTTTATGCCGTAGTTTGGGACGATCCCCAGACTTTTGTGTCTAGACCTAGAGGTCCCCTACCTGTCTCATATCTTCATCGTTGCGCGGTGTTGCTTGCACTTCTTTTTTTGTCCATAATTGATTCATCCCTCAAACACTGGTGTCTGTACCTCTACTACCATGGACGAGAAGCCTACCATACACCGGCTTTTTCACGCAACTGATTCCCCAGATAGCACATCTATCCACGCCGAACGAAAAGCCTCCATCACATCTTTTGGCCATCATGGGAAATCAAAAGCCGAGGAGAAGGAGCGTATCGATGCGCTGGCCACTAGTCCGGGTGTAACAATGGCATCTTTTGCTCACCTTGACGAGAAGAAGATACTGCGAAAGATGGACTTGCGCCTTATACCCATGTTGGCATTGTTGTATTTGTTGAGTTTCCTTGACCGAGGAAATATCGGTAATGCGAAGATTGAAGGTCTGACGGAAGATCTGAACATGTCGGGCGCGCAATACAACTGGTACGCTCTTCGTGATTCTATTGCTTCATCGATTATTATCATAGTCTAACATGAAGAACAGGTGTTTAACAGTGTTCTTCTTCACCTACGCCTTCTTTGAAGTACCCTCGAACCTGTTGCTCAAGAAGCTCCGGCCGTCGATCTGGCTACCAACCATCATGGTAGCTTGGGGTATCGTCATGACACTGATGGGTATAGTGCAGAGTTACGAGGGTCTCCTAATAGCCAGGATCTTCTTGGGGGTAACAGAAGCTGGGTATGTCCTTTCTCAACATCGCCTATCCACGTCCCCACCATCCCAGCATACCAAACAACCACACTCAACTAGACCCTTCAGCTAACTGAGCATGCAAACAGACTATTCCCAGGAGTAGCATACTACATCACTATGTGGTACGCCCGACACGAAGCGCAATTCCGCCAAGCCCTCTTCTTCTCCGCTGCCTCGGTCGCAGGCGCCTTCTCGGGCCTCCTTGCCTTTGGCATCGCACACATGGACGGCGTAGGAAATCTTGCGGGATGGCGCTGGATCTTCATCTTGGAGGGCATACTGACTGTCATCGTGGCAATCATTGCATACTTCACTCTCTTCGACTTTCCCGAGACTGCCTCTTTCCTGACAGAAGAAGAACGTGCTTTTGTTGTTTACCGCCTGAAGTACCAGAACTACAAGGAAGAGGCAGACGGTGGTGTGAGGGTCGCGCAGGACGACACTTTCCAATGGAAGTTTGTCAAAGCCGCTTTCCTGGACTGGCAAATCTGGACGAACATTTTGGTTTATTGGGGTGTGTCTCATTTCCCATCTCCTCTCCTGACGCGTTGAGCTAACAGAGCTAGGTATCGTATGCCCGCTGTATGGCATATCCCTCTTCCTTCCCTCAATCATTCGCGCGCTTGGGTATAGCTCTTCGACGGCTCAACTCCTCACTGTACCCATCTACATCACGGCATCCGTCCTAGCTGTCATCGTCGCATACTTCAGCGATAAAGTTGGAAAGCGGTATCCGTTTATTTTGGTGTGCCTATGCATCATGGCTGTCGGCTTTATCATGTGCATCGCAGGTGGCAGCGTGCCAGGGCTCGTATACGCGGGTGTCTTCATTGCGGCATGTGCTCTCTACCCAGCCTTCCCAGGCAACATCACCTGGCTCAGTAACAACCTCGCTGGAAGCACGAAGAGAGCTACTGGACAAGCTATCCAGATCGCTGTGGGTAATTTGGCAGGCGGTAAGATAACTCTCCATCTTGTGTTTGTTGAGGTTACTGACTTTCCCTAGCCATGGCTTCCAACTTCTATCGCGCAGAAGATGCGCCCAGATATCTTCTTGGCCATGCTCTCGAACTCGGGTTCATCGTGGCGGGTATCCTAGCATTGCTAGTACTGGTGTTCAACTACAAGCGCATCAACGCGAAGAGGGAACGACAGGTAGCCGAGGGTGCGCATAATGGGTATACTCCCGAAGAGCTGGGCGCGCTTGGAGATCGGGCGATTACGTTCAAGTATTTCCTGTAGTCTGGGTGCCGTTAGTCTCGTACTCCAGACGAATAGAATGTGTTACGGCGTACCAGTTTGCTTGTGATCGCATATGTCCAGGACGCTTAAGATGACGTTTACCAGTCGAAACCCGTTTGTGTACAGTGAAACATCCTTCGTGCTCAGTAGTCTTGTATGCCCGTTTCACCCGTCAATACCTTCTCCTTCCCCTCTCCATCCGAGTCAAAGTCACTCTCCATACTTTCAAAATAGGCATCCTCCAGATCTCTCTCCTGCTCAGGATCGTCGTACTTGGGATTCTTGTCCACCAACTTATCGTACTCAAAGTCTTCGTCTCCGCCTCTTAGAAAGCGTTGTGTCATCTCGTCTACCCACCACGCTCTCCCTTCCTCTTTCGTCATAGGTACATCATCCTTGTCCTCCTCCATTATCTGCCCCTGAGGTCCACGGTTGTATGTGAAGAGTGAATTTGGGTCTGGCTGTGAAAGTGCGTCTTTCTTTGCTTCGGCGCGCCACAGATCGGTGGCCATCTGGCCAGAGAAGCCCTTCTTGCGCCCTTCGGCTTCGCGCTCGGATGCGGTTTGGAAGCGACGTATGAGGCGGTCATAAAGCAGCGGATCGGCGAGTTCGAGTGACGAGTCGGAAAAGTATTCGGGATGTACTTCGAGGTAGCGCTTGCGCCTGTTCTTTGCCTGGAGTCGTTGTGCACGTTCATCTTGTTGCTGGCGTAATTGATCGCGGAGTAGTGATTCGTCTATGTCGTCTTCCATGGCTACATCTCCATCTATAGGTGCTGATGCATCGCCGTTGGTATTGTCATTGACGTTCGCGGGGTTCTTGGCTTCGTCCGACACGTTCGCTGGTCGTAGGGCGAGAGACGCCATCGTGGGTGATCCGGTCATGTATGGCATGCTAAGAGGATTGACGCTTCAGGAACCCCTCCCACTGCAGTTGAGGTGTGAGGAGTGATTGTTCACGACGCGCATCGTCCATCTTCCAATGCTTGGTAATGACGCCACATGCCATGCTAGGCGCCACACTCTAGTGCGAAACGCGCCCAGTCGAAACGAACTCCACCGCAATGATCGCCCGTTTCACCCGTGCATCAAACAATTCAGCCAGGAACAGCTGGCCTTCTGGGTTTTTAATTTCAACGTTCCTTCTCTTCCTTTTCCTGCCTTGTACCCTTCTTTTGCAGTTGTCGCGTTGATTCGTCTTGTTGTTCGCAGGCCGAATACATCTTCTGCGGATATACGGTCCGTGTATAGTAGTCAAAGAGCTTGGGATCGCTTGGAGCATTTACGCGATATCTGGTCTTTTCGACGTTGGACATATCTCGCCATCTTTTTATCGCGGAGGTTACCACGGCAGCTTGTTCAAGAGCATTTACGCTGGAGTGCTGGAAAGAGATAGACCAGAGATTCTACAAAATGTCGCCCAGAAAGACGCAGAAGAAGCCAAAGGCAGCGAAAGAGGCGGAATCCCAGGCACAAAATGCAACAGCGTCAACTATCCTCCTGAATGTCGGTAGAGCAGCAGCACTCTTGCTTGTCGCAGGTTTCGCGTCGCCGGTATCACAACTGAACCTGTCGCCTGTCTATGGGTCCATTCCAGCATCGCTACACCATCAGCGGACAATGACTATCACTGCTGTTGCAGCCCTTTTAACGAGACGGGCTCTGAAAAGCTACGTATCTGCCAATGTCGCACAGTACATCGCTGTGGTCGCATACTGGACACCCGTCATTCAATTTCTTCTATTCCCATACAGCGGAAAGATCGGGGTTGAGTATGGACCGCTACTCATCGAATCTCTTACGTACTTCCCCCTGCTATTCCTCTCGATATTCGCTGCGGCCGACCTTTTGGAATGCATCGACATCACCGGAATCAATCCTTCGCCGTTGAAGGAGATCATTATTCCCACCGCATCTTATTTCACTGTGTCGACCGTCGCCAAGATCAGCAGCGCTCTTATCCCAGGCTTTATCGGAACATCCGTCTACTTTACACGTGTGGGTATGCAGATGCTTCTTGCATCGGCATCTGCATTCTTTAGCCCATCGCGCATCATCCTCCTCGCCTTTCCAGCAATCCTACACACGCTTTGGACGAACCCGCATCATCCTTCGGCTCATGGTTTACAACTAGCAAACTCCACGTTGCAAGCTACACAGAATTACACACTTCTCGCCCGTCAGGAGTCTGTCACTGGATACGTATCCGTTCTCGAGAACCATGCCGACAATGCTTTCCGTCTCCTCCGATGTGACCACTCCCTCCTCGGCGGCGAATGGCAGGTAACACCACAGGCCTATGCCAAGGGCCAACGGCAGCGCGAGTCCATATTCGCGGTCTTCGTTCTTCTCGAGGCCGTTCGTCTCATTGAGCCACCAGTCGATACTCTACCCACCATAGACGATAGCAAGAAATCCGCCTTGGTAATCGGTCTCGGCATTGGTACGGCACCCAACGCCATGATAAAACACGGCATAAACACTACCATCGTCGAACTCGACCCCGTAGTCCATCACTACGCAACAAAATACTTCGACTTAAACCCCGATCACACCGCCGTCATCGACGACGCGACAGCCTACGTAGCGCAGAAATCCGTGTCAGCACCAGGCAGCTTCGACTACATCATCCACGACGTGTTCACCGGCGGCGCGGAACCCGTATACCTTTTCACCACAGAGTTCATGCAGGGTCTCTACGACTTGCTGGCACCAGAGGGTGTTGTAGCAATCAACTACGCTGGCGATCTTACACTAGGCTCAACAAGACTGGTGTTGAACACCATCCACGCCATTTTCCCTGCCTGTCGCCTCTTCCGGGATTCCCCCGCGCCAGAAGAGCACAAGGAAGGCGAAGCCGATTTCATCAACATGGTCATCTTCTGCGTCAAGAACGATCATGGGTTAGGTAAAGCAGCTGTTAACTTCCGCGATGCGGTTCAAAAGGATTTCCTGAGCAGTATTGCGCGGAGGAACTTCTTGCAGCCGCAGAAGCAGTTGGAGGTAAAATACGACTTTGTGAGCAAGGAGAACGGAGGTAAGGTTATGGGGAATGCGGATGTGGGTGAGTTGGAGAAGTTCCATGAGGATGGCGCGGTTAGTCATTGGAGGATTATGAGGACGGTGCTGCCGGAGGGGGTGTGGGAGATGTGGTGAGTGAGAAGTGTGTAGCTGTGGCTGTAGTGGTTGGACTTGCGTGATGGCGGTGTGTAGGAAGCGAGAGTGTGATATACAGTGTGGGATAGACGATGGCGATGATAACTGGTATATAATCGTCGATAATCTAGAGCAACGTTCAAGAAAACAGGGCTGATTCCATGGCTCACATTTTCTTACGAGTTTCCTTTGCTAAATGTAGTGAGGGTGTATCTACGATATACATAATAGACCCCCTCTTTCGACAATCCAAAAAAGAAACGGCGTTCTATTCCCACTCCAATCAAGCACCGCACATTACGCATCTGCCAGACCTCCCTCGGGCAGCCATCTACAATACCTCTTTAGGCACCAACCCCACACATTCCATGTATCACGCGTTTCACCCCGACCTATCACTCTTAGGCTAAGCATTCGCCTTGAGGCACCTTATGTGACATAAGGCGCACTGGGCGTGAACCTTAATGCCATGATGGGTGCATAGAACTGGGTGATGAGATGGACACGTGCGGAGTGAGAAAGGTTGTCACACCGCACTCTGCAAGGTGATGGGGCAGGGATGCATTGTGCATTGCATGGATTTGGGCAGATCTGCATCGGTGAACGAGAAAGCTGTTCGGGATCGGAGTTATCGACATGGAATTGTGGATAAGCATGTAAGTGTGGATGGGGGTGTTGGGTAGGAAGGCATCAGTGGATCATGTGTTGGCTGCTCGCCGAAGTTGACTTATCTGAATTCTGGTGTATGGCTCGGTGACCAAGTGATATTCCCCGAAGTTCAGGTACGTTCCACCGTCCACGCACTTTAGCTTGGGGGATATATCCAAAACGCATCTCGCGTGCTAAAAGGTCTTCGAAGTCTACTGGGAAACTCTCCTCGTGGGGGGGTTTGGAAAGCTAATATACACATAGCAAGTCACCCCCCTTACCAACTCCCATCCCCACTTCTTTTCCTGCTTCAGCCTCAAAATGCACGGCACGAACAACTCAGTCGCTCCGCTTCCCGCTCGCTCGCTGCGCAGTTGATAGCCGCGTGATACATTTTCTCTCAAGCTGAGCTACACGGAGACGACATATCTGCAACGAGGCGTTACCCCGCTATTCGCGCACAGTGTTGGAAAGCCGAATAATTGAGATGTAGTCAGCTTCGGACATCTGCCAAGTACTATCGCCGGTTTTCGGCTCCGACCAGCATGCTAACGGTGACATAACACATCCTCTGTGTTAACTCGGTTCAAAAGCCTAGAATGAAGCTCGGCGGAAGTTTGACATAGTGTGGGCGATGATGTGAGCGACGACCTTGACATGTGCCCCGCACTCGAGAGAAGCAGGTGTAGAAATCGCCCTGCGCCGCCTGCTAGTGTGCTGCGCCAATGCTTCGTTTCATTGAAGCTCGATCGCGCGCGCTGTGAGCGTATTATCCTCCCCACGTGTTTTCGTCCCGATAGACGTTTCGCTTTATGTCGGATCTGTGTCGTGTCGATTTACTCCATGCTCCGATCCTGCTCCACGTTCTGATGACATGCAGAATCCGCACCCGTAGGTTTATGCGTATGCGCAACACAGCGGGCGATGTACCCGCCCTCCAGTTCGAGATTGCAACATCATCCCGTTTCGCGCGCAACTCACTTTCCTCATTCGCCAAGCCCATCGACCATCGTTCCAGAGAACCAAGTATCTCGGCGCCACGTCGGACAGACGGGCCATTACCAACCAGCTGTCCTGGTCCCATCGCAGCGATGCAAGATCGGGATCCAATGCCCCATAACAGCGAAGCTTGAACAGGGCCGGTGCGGCCGTTATGACGAAAGCTACAGATGTGTCAGAAGATAGACTTTAGCGTTAAAGGCGGAAGATCAGCACAAGCTATCATTAGCTGCAAGTTGCGCAATCATAATTCTCCCGAGACGCAGTGGAGGCAGTGGAGCGTTGGTGGGTGATCTTCGGATGCTAAGGGCAAATGCCGTTTTGCACTTTCTGCAGGGCTGCCAATGGCGTCGGTCGTGCGCGCAACGTGTGTTTGATAGGGAAAGATGTTCGGAAGAAACGGGAACGGAAGGTTGGACGAGAACATGGAGATGATATGATATGTCGATCATTTGATATGAGCATTCGCTGAATGCTGGAAATACTGACATGCTAGTGAGACAAAAATACAATGCAGCTCCGAGACTGTGAACGGGACAAAGAACCGCCCTTTGACCCGCTATGCTCAATATCCAAGCGCCGTAATGCAGTGATCGTGAAACAGTAGTCATCAAGAATGCAGTCGTGATTATCGTTCGCCCATGTCGAACCGATGCGTGAACGCCTTTCCAACCTTGTTCTCCGGCTTGGGTGGTATGTGGTGGTGTAGGTATTTTTTCGGGGCGGCGGTCCTGGCACTCGATGCCTTGGAAGCGTCGAACATGATCTTGGGGTCGTCGTATGTTTCTGGACAACAACAGCCAATGTTCTTGATGCAGGTCGTTTTTAGTACCTCCTTGATTGTAATGCGTTTAGAGGGATTTGGGTGCAGCATCTTCAACATGAGGCGTTTGATAGATGGAGGCTCAATGAGGCTGAACAACTTGCCACACTTTGGGTGGCCGTCGGGACCATCGAAGATATCACCGTCTGGATGGCGCTCTAGCCATGAATCCCAGCCCTTCTTGAACCTTGCATAGTATTCAAACTCTGTCTTCGCAGCCTGCCATGGGCAACCACCAAAAGTCATGGTTAGGTAGACGATAGCTGTTGACCAGATGTCCAGTGGCCGTGGGTCGTAGCTGTGGTCCTTCTCAAGCACTTCCGGAGCGATGTAGGGAAGACTGCCACAGATACCGGGCGCGGATAATCGGATTTCGCCCATGTTTTTCCCACATTCACCGCCAGAGGCGCGAAGCCCAGGGTGCTCTCCACTAAAAACTTCCGCCACGCCAAAATCCGAGATCTTAAGATGGCCTTCCTTGCTGAGAAGCAAGTTTTCCAGCTTGATGTCTCGATGCGCTATGCCATGGCTGTGTAGGTAGTCGACGCCGCGTAATAATTGCTTGAAGAAACACAACCGATCGTCTCGACTATAAAACCCTTCCGCGCCGCCAGCAAACAGCTTACGTTCTACTAGTGAGTAGATTTCTCCATATGTACAAAACTCCATTACGTGATTCCAGCGGTCGCGATTCGTACATAATCGTACCGTTTCGACAATATTCGGATGGTGCAGACTCTTCGCAATGCTGTATTCGGATTTGATCTTCAATACGTAGTCTTCCTCGGTCTCGTCCTTGTCGCGTTCTCTGAACTCCTTCACGGCTACCAAGTCCTCTTCCCTGGTAATGCCTCCTCTTCTCGCCATGATTCGAACTTCGGACGTTGCGCCTTTACCTAGAATCCTCCCCCTCTTACCAGGCATCAGACTCGAACTCTTGAACTCTTTGTCTAGCTCGCACCAGTCTATGATGAAGTCGTCCGGCAGGTTCACGCTAAGCCGCCGTGCCTTCATACCTACACCTTGGAGAGCTGGCTTGGAAAAGGTAGTTAACATGCCGGCGGTAGGCTTCTCCGCATTTTCGTCGATACGTGGGACCTGCTCCGTGCTTGCTGACCGTCGCCGTGAGAAACCTGACTTCTTGGTAGTCGAATTGGCATTTCCGCTGCCGGCCCAAGTGACACCAGGTCGGGGCCTGGTCATGCTCGCTAGACCGGTGGAAGAGGCAGGTTTGTTGCCAAGTCTTGGTCGTTTGTCCGTCGATGCTTTGCTCATAGGCGAGCCAGATAAGGGTGGAGAGTTTGCACGGGAAGATTTATCGGAGCGTCGCGTAAGGGAGAAGGAACTCAATCTTCTACTTTGCTTAGGAATATCAACAGCTGGAGTTGCTACCTCAGCTGGTCCGTCGACACCAGTCTTGACAATATACGTGTTGGTTTCGGGTTTCGCTTTGGGAGATCTGTTCGGTGTTGAGATATTCGAAGTGTCAGACTGATTGGCTCCATCTTTGCTCGAATGACCTCTATGCAGCTTGCCGCGGATCAGCGAGCCCACGCGCTTTCCCAAGCCACGTTTCTCTGGTGGTGACTGCCGCTCAACCTGTTGAGGCGCCTGCACGTTCGGTTTACGTTGAGTGTTTTGTGGCGCTTCTTGCGATGGTGATTTATTCTCCATGTCGCTCATGGCAGGGCGTGGGGTCGCAAATACGTCGTCTACAGACTCATCGTCACGGAAGGGATGTGAGAAAGGTGTACCCTCGCTGCTATGGCTAGTGGGTGTGAGAGGCTCGGCCGGTTCGCTTGCAGTACCAGTACTCTCATCCTCCTCTTCAATAGCAAAGCGGTGATCGAGCGGACGTGAATCGCGGTACCGAAGTCGGTCGGAAAGGGTTCGCTCATCGAAGGAAATTGACAGTTGCCGTGGTTGTTCAGTGACCATTGGCATGGTGACGGGTGACTGCTGTGCTCCGATTGGTCGGCAGAGGACCGAGCGTTATTGAGGGTGAATGTTGCAAATACGGGGATACGACGGGGTGCTGGGGTTTGTCGCTACGCACGCTGCAGAGGACTCGGACGGTTGTACGAGCCTTCGAGCGTACTGCACGAATGCAGGTGTAGTGTGGGCAGCAAGAGCGGGGTGTGGTAGAAGTGTTGCAATTGTGACAGAGCCATATACACAAAGCGTTATGGGGGACTGAGGGAGAAGAATTACGTTGCGTCGGAATGTGGTACCGACGACACGCGATTGAGGTTTGCAGCGGCCGAGGGGTGCAGGAAGAGGGTCCAGATGCAGGCGAGCAAGCGACAGGGAAGATGACGTCCCTATCCGCCTTGCTCACTTAACCTTTTGAATAGCGATCAGTCCAAACAAGGACGGCAATCGTCCCAGAAAGTATGAGAAGATGGCGTCCGGGGCCTCGCGCGATGATATGTGGGCTCGAGGAGTCGCAGAGAGGGACTAAACTCTCTTTAATTCACGCCAAAACACCCCGGCCCAAGTCCCCTGCGCAACCCCCACAGCGCCAGAGGCCACCTGCAGGCCGGATGCACGTCTTGCGAAGGCCGCCCAGTAATTCTCTTACACCGTGCGCTCTGCCCCAGGACCCGGACCTTGCGACCACACAGCAGCGCTATGTGATGGATGATGTGCGTTGATGATCGCACTCTGCAAAGCTTGACCGCCCGGCTTGTCCCTATACGGCCTTCCCTCTCATCTCCACCAAAGCCAAACGAGGCTCACCTCTAGCATGAACCCGCGCTTCCGACTCGATGCAACTACGTTTTGCAACCAACCACCAGGCGTTTACTAACTGAGCCGTTCCGATACGCCATCGCGTGACGGCGGCCGCCCTTGATTCAGCAGCGCTTCCTCTCGCCCTTCCGCCTGGCAGATATGTGTGTGAGAGAGAGAGAGAGCGAGAGAGGGAAATGGGCGTCATGCTGGTCTTGCCTGGAGAGAGAGAAAATGCCGCACCTGCCTTTGGATGTGGTCTGAGCTGCTGCAGTCATCATCGATGTGCTTCAAAGACAGCATGCCGTCCTCTGTACACCGTATGGCCGTGAACGCTCCTCCGTCCGCCGAGCCGATATTCGCTCTCCTTGCAGATGTGCTACTTTTGCAGTTCTAGACGTCAACTGACGACAGTTCGGCGTGATGCCCTCTCATCCCAGCTCAGGGCACTGTCAATCCAAAGCTTAGGCGGCCCTTTGCCGCTGAACGCGACAGGCGAGCATCGTGGGGGTCACCAGCCGTTGCGACGACGCCATTTCCCCGCCATCGTTATTGCATGTTGGAATGAGCAGGTGGACCAGTTCCTCGCTCACCGGCACACGCTCTATAGTACGATACCGAGGTTTCGAGGCTTATTGATTGCTTGCAGGCGCTGTGCCGTGGTCGCTGAGCCCATGCAACCCCAATGCTCTCAAATCGAATTGCGGGGTTCGTATCACCCTATGCAACTTGCCAGCATCTGCAGTGCTCTTGACAGGGACTCTTGCTGGGATGGCTTCCGATCGCGACCATGTGCACCCTGATCGCGTTGCACAAATAGGTCTTAGACAGCTCAAACGTCCGGCGAGCCAACTTGGTTTTGCTTTGCAAAAGATTCGCGTCAACGACGGCCATTGGAGAAATTAGCCTGCTCCTCCCACGCAGCAAGCATCCTCCGCCTCACTCCCTCGCATTGTTGACAGACGCAGCCTGGCCACTACACAGATACTCTGACGTCGTCGCGCAACTATGGCGGTGAGTCCTGCTGAGACTTGTAGTCAAGCGACTGGTTTCCTATCCCGTTATTTCCCCACTGTCACCCACATTGCACCTGCAGTAGTCGTTGTTTCTTCTTCCACCCGCAGAACGTTCAACACGTTTTCCAGCGGAGATTGCGCTATTTCTCCATCCGCGTGCGGCTCGTGCTTTTTGTGGGGTAGGCGCTTTTGGAAGGAAGTCACGACGCCGCACTCAACATTAACACCGACGTGGCTACTACATGAAACAGGATTTAACACGTTGCCAATCTCCTTTCGGCCATACTCCATCCAACGAACCACAGGGACGACTATATCAAATATAATTTTACGAGGATACCGTCAGGTTGCGTTCCACTACCTCCACGCCGTGGATCACCGGTCTTGGCAATACTCTTGACGACTTGCTTTTATTGTACACTTCTTGGCACCGTGGAGGAACTGCGTTCCGCGCTTGGCACTTGTCCATCTGCCGCTCAACAGTCCGATCAGCCAATCTATACGAGATTGACGATATGTGCATCAGGATCAGTTTCCTTCCTGTCGCTGTTACCAACGCAGCGTGAACGGCAACGGACAAAACATCCGTCCCTTGGCAGGCAGAACAGCACAACCACGGGTACGAGACTAATGAAACCAGCGGTGGGCATTCTGGACACCGCTTCACATATACTACACATGGCGTATACATAGTGACGTTGCCATATGCAAGAGTCTCGCTGTTCTTACGGAGCAGGCATACGATCCCGACCAGGGCTGGATCCAGGAACACGTTTCAGACCGTCTCTCAGGCACCAAATCTGTTGACACCGCGCTAAGATGCAGAGAAGCTTCCGCTAACAAGACTATGTGCTTGTCATGATCAAGGTTTCGTCACGACTGGATAAGCTCCCATACAGCAACACCCTGGATGTCTCCTGACCTCCTATTGTAGTTGCCTCCTGTTCCACAACAGTGCGGAAATGGCGCGCCAAGGTGGGTGATCATCTTGGCGGAGCAACGTGTGCTACAGCCGGACTACTTTCGTACATGATCTGCCCTCTCCGCCGGAAGTCAGAGTTACAGTAACGCCTTGGCTTCATCTCGACGGTAACATCCGTAGACGAATCAGTTGGGAAAAAGAAGCGATCATTTCCGGGACCGGTGAAGTCAGGAGATTGTTCGATAGTCCATGTACTATGTTTATATAATCCTGCGTTGAACATGATGTGTTGTTGCTCGACCTCATCGGGTATAGGATGTAGTTCACTCTACAAGTGACCTCTTCTTAGGCATACATTAGCTCAAACTTTATTACAAAATCAATGTAAAACGTACCGAATACCTTTGGGACATAGTGCGTCCAGTACAACGAAAAGGGCAAAAGACTTTGTAGTCAGCAATGGTCACGAGAGCTTTATCCTCAACAACGAGCAAAGATGCCAAGGCGGTTCCAAATCTAGTGCTCACGCTTAGATACTCCTGATTGAAGTGCATGTGGGAATTGTATCTACCTCAGCTCTACAGGCGGCTGCTACGTTCTAGATTAGTGTTATGTGTTCTTCAACACACGTCAAGCTCACGCGCACGTCTAGTGGTTCTGTAATCATCTCAGCCATCACACAATAATAGTATAGTAGAAAGTCTCCATTTACTTCTATCTTTCAGTCATCTCATCTCTCTCTACAGATCAACCAGTCCATCGGCCTAGCCATGTAGTCCTCCAAGCATCCCATAACTTCCCAGAATCGTAAGTTTTTGAAGTCGAGGAGACTACCAGCTATTTATCAGTCACGACGAATCAAACGATACACACTCCCCGGAGACGACCTGCTCTTCTGGTACTATCTCACGTGTAACTGAAATGGCTAACCAGCAACTCCACAGTATCCTTCGTACTGATCAGCCAGTCCAGCACCTTCTCAGACAATCCGAACTCGAGTCCGTGATCTCGCAGCTCGTCGCCGTGGCACAGGACGTGGTACAGCAATGGCCCCGAGTCCTCGAAGCGGTCCTTGCCGATGATGCTAACAGCCCATCTCTTGGTCAGCGTAACCGTCTGGCCATCGTCGCTGTACATATCACGAGGAGGAGCCATGATGCGGGCTACTAGCTCGTCGATGGACTGCTCGGCAGGTGGCTCGTGGGTTAGCAAGCCTCCGTAGAGACCTGGGTTTGGGAAGGGTTGGCTTTGAGGAAACTAAACGGAATTAATACTGGGGAAAGGAGGGTTGAGGATGACTTACGTTTGCCGGTCCACTGTTAGTAGATGCCAATGAAGAAGAAGCAGTGTGGTCAGTGCGTTGATCATTGGACATGTTGGTTGTTTGTCAAGTGTAGATTTAAACGGATATGAAGAGGTACTGACGGAAAGTAATACACTCGGATTCTGGAGAAGATCGTTGGAGAGAAGATCGTTAGGTAATAAAAAGAACAAGTAACGAAGTAGGAAGCAAGAGATATATAGTAAGAAGGGTATTCTGCGATCAAGGTGAGCAACAGAAATAAACACGGATTCTATGGAGTAAAGTCAAGTCTCCTCCGAATCCGAGGTCACTATTTCTCCCTCACTATCAGGCAGAAGGTGAAGGGGAGATCGCCGCGTCATAAGACCCCTGATTGCTCTGGATAGCATATACTCCTGGGAACAGAAAGACTTTATAAGTAAACATTCGTTTGCTAACTGTCAGTCACAGTGGTTTGGTGCCTGATCACGATGACATTACTCGACGTCGCACAGGATTGCTATGAGTCAATTCTTGTTGCCTCGGTAATTAATCTCACTCTGCTACGTATTGATGGTGATCCTCGTTACAAACGGTACTTAAATACTTTGACCGCTGCTCCAGAGCACTGACCCGAACAGTAAGCAGAATATCAAGTTACTCGCGCGATTACCCTCTGACAGCACCGTCTACCTCATCCCGGTATACGGACCGCCTCATTGTTTCGTGCCCGTTACGCGAAACTACTTCGATGTCAAGACAAAATGTGAACATAGTCGGTAGAGAGACCGTGAGAATTTGAGCAAGAAGTTTTACTCTTCCTTCTTTGAGGTTGCCATATGGGTTGTTGAACTGCGCAGGTACCGAATATACACCCAAAAGGACAGATACCGGTGGCAAGGGTCCGTAACCATCGTAGAAGTATGGGTAAGATATCTCTCTATTCAAAGACGCCCAACTCCAGGTAGGAGCTATGTCTAGCCGCTGGCCAGATTTTAACCTCGGTGGGAACTTCCTAAACCACAGTAAACCTTCTATCAGTTGATACCCCCAGATGCCTGCGTAGTAGATGTTGTTGTAGCCAAAGTGGGGATGAACAGCTCTTGCTAGCGACGACAATGCGACCAGGCGATCTTTCATATCGGTAAATTTTGTCTGAGAGTACCAAATGACGAATAGCATCCAGTCATGCTTGTGCCCGGCCTTGCCACATATCAGGCTACGGATATTCGTGAGGTACGTTTCATAACTCTGCATGCAGAAAACATTGCTGTTACCATGCTCCATGTTCTTGAGACATTCCCAAATAACGCCTTGCAGTGTGAAGCGAAGTACACGTCGCGAAAGAAGACGCTCCTAGGTGACCCAACCGCGCTCGTTGAGGGTTGAAGAGTCGACCACGCTGGAGAGGTCAATGTCACGTGGTTTTAGTGAACGACGAAGTGCTCCTCCGTTCCTCACACGGTGAATGACTTCGCACGGAACCGCGGATATCCTTTCACTATCCACCTTCGAAAGAAAGCCGTCCGCAACGCTGTCAGCACAAGTAGCAGCGATAGTACATACAGCGTTATGGTATATGGAGCCCATGCGAGGGCCCTCTACGTTCCAGTCCGTGTAATCGCCGTAGATACCGGGCTGAACGATACATAGGGCGTCTATCCACAGAAAGCGGATATTGAGTCGCCGCGTTATTTCTATGGCATCTTTAAATGTTTGAGGCATGTCATCAATATTAACACTGATGTGGCTTGCGAAGGGCGCTTCCAGCATGCAACTTTGAGCTGTGACTCCCCAACGATAACTCAAAGCGCAATACTGTGAGAACTCCCCTACTGATGAGTTACCGGCAGCAATCCACGCCTCTACGTCGACTACAAGAATACCAGAGTCTCAAGATAGATCCAACAGCCGGCGTGGCAAGGGATGTTGAAGTTTAGAATGGTCGACAGCATGTTCGCCGTCCGCCCCACTCCTGTTAGGGCCAGGAATGGTCGATCTGCTACATTCGCCATGAGAAGATAGGCACTTTTCGAGAAGCTGTTGAGCTTATGCTATCGTATCACTATCTGCCACCAACGGGTACGGGCGAACTCCATCGTCGTGGAAGTCTATCGTTGTCCAATTTTTGCCCCAGCTGAGCTTGAAGCCCTCTAATATAGCATCGTCATAAGAACAGTCATCCCGATAGAGCCGGACCAGCTCGTCGTCTTCCTAAATCGCCCTGTGGTCGATGCACTGCCAACAAAGCATACAAAGATCGCAGCCAGACCGAGCTGAAGCAAGCAAATCTGCTCTTGACAACCATTTCCGATCAGGTTGAGGCGCTGGCGGTAGCTCCGCGAACTCGGCGAACATGGTACAAGGAGCGCAACGAGACATGGCACCTGTGAAGCCAGAGTCGGCAATGCAATGTGCTGGAAATCTGATGTCGGGCGTACCAAAATAAGTCGAGCTAGCAGTGCCGTAGTCTTGTGCATGAAGATCAAACTCAGAAAGGAGGCGTTAGGTGAAGATAAGCAGGTTGGAGTTTGTCGAATGAAGCCTCCCCCACAGCCTTTGAGAAGCGGGGCATTAGACAGCTGAGTGCGGCACGGCCTTCACGCGAGAGGTTCACCGGTCCGGCTAAGATGTCAATGTTATACATTTCTATACTTTTGCCCTTTCGCTGTAGTATCCAGCCACCCTATATACACTCCATCACTCTTTCGCAGGATCTTATACACCACCATCACCCCTGCGATCCATCCCCGCACTTCCAGCATGCACAACTTCCTTCTTGACATATGCCATCTCACTAGCAGGCACAACCATCCACTCCCTCTCGTCCATAACCCTATCCAATCCACAACTCCTTCCCTTCCAGCCCTCTCCCCTCAAACCCCTTGACACTTGCCACGCCGCAGTAATAATGTCGTTCACGCCAACACCATTGAACTGGGCGCCTACAACACGTAACCGGCCTTTGAACTCGCTGGACATGCCTTTAGCGAACTCTTTGATACGGTCAGCATATCCGAGTGTATATTGAGGAATGCAGTCGCGGGAGAGGTTCGCAATGTGTGCTGTTGGTTCCTCAGTAATGCCAATGTGCCTCTTGAGGACGCTCTTCGCCATCTCCAGACCCTCTTCTTCGCTGGGGAATTCTGTCCAGCCGTCCCACCAGTGGCCGCCCATCATGACTGTGAGTTTTGTACCGCTGGCTGTGTCCTGGCCCTTGACGGCAGAGGAGTCGAAGATGACACCGAGAGCGCGCTCGGGGTTTTGCTCGAATGGAATGGATTGCGGGATGAGGTAGCCGAAACCTTCGACAGGGAGGAGGTTGGGGTTGGGGTAGTAGAGGTTTACCGTCATGACTGTGACGTAGGGGGTTATCTCGTCATTCTTAAGGGTGGAGATGGCGAGATCGAACGGTTCTGTTGACGTCGAGCCTTCATTCTGTACGCTGTCAGTATTTGCGCAACTTTTACTCCAGTCGATGAACATACTCCAGACACAATCTCGACGCCCAGCTTCCCATTCTCGTTGAGAGGCTTGAAACTTTGGATGGGTGCCTCTGTCCGAATCTCAACATTGCCTTTGTTCTCGACAGTATCCAGCAATGCCTTGACCATCTGCTGCAATCCGTTCCTGAATGAAAACATGGCCGAGTCTTTTAGGTTCTTTGCAAAGCCCAGTTCGATGTCAATCTCCTCATTCATAGCCTTCGCTATTTCCCGGTCGTATGGGTGGACTAGGGTGACCTGCTCCGGTCGTGGGTCTTCATTTTGCATGCGGAAGAAGCCTCCAAGAGCATTGCCGTATCTTCCCTCTAGTTGCCATGGCATACTCAACAGCGTCTTAGCACTCAACTGGTTAATGTCGCCTGCGTAGATGCCGTGGAACACCGCCGAGACGATGTTGTCTGCTATCCTCTTGTCCACTCTTCGTGCGAGAAACGAACCAACTGTCTCGTCGGACATTGAGTCTGGCCGCTTTGGCTTCATAGGTTCTGTGATCATGCCAAATGCGCCACCTAGTATGCCAGTCCGCCATAGCGAGAAGAAGTCTGCGAGGGAGGGACGTTCAGAGGGAAGGCGATTGAGTTGGTCGGGATAGTAGATGAAGCGGTTCTTTGCGCCAGGTTCAGTGCGTTTCGTGAAGGTGATATCGTCAACGAGACCGAGGTCTTGTATCTATACACACTATATTAGCAATGCCACCGCTGTAGACATGCCCAAACATACCAACCCCGCAGTGACAGTAGCATTTCGCAATGTCCTCGGACCCAACTCAAACAATACATTCCCCTTCTTCCCCTCTGAATCCACAACCTCGACTCTGCGACTCTTGATCCATCCACCCTTGTCTTTCCCCGCCTCAAACACGATCACTTTACTGTTCGGAAACTCCCTTGCAACAAAGTACGCGCTTGACAAGCCCGCTATACCCCCACCCAGGATAGCTATGCGCTCAGGGTACGAGGACTGATAGCGAACGGCATACTGTGCTGTGGAGCGGAGAAGTAGGCCTTGCGATGATGCGAGTTGTGGCCGATACGGATGCAATGGGGACAGCGCGTGGGATGCAAGCGCGGGGCGCGCGGCAACGGTCTTCAACGTCTTCTGCGAGACATTTTGGAGCCGCATTGCCGGTTCAATTGGTCACAAGATCTATTGGGAGAGCGTTGCGACGACGACCAAGAAGTTACATTGGGAGGTTCAATTGATGTTCTGGCGGGAAAATGTCCGAGCTTGGACCGCTTGCTCCTCCGCAATAGATGGCTACTGCCGTCATTGATTCAGCCCTATGCACATGCGATGTCATACATGGAGCGTTGATTGCGAGTAGCGCTGTGGGCTGGCACAACATCTGCGACAAACACGGATCGAAATGTGAGGTGCGTAATGCATAATAGAAAGCAATTGAGGTATCACACATATGATTCAAAGAGCCGCAAAATTGGATAATGCAGTATTCAAAGGATGTATTTCACAAGCTACTGTATACATATAAGGTCACGGTCACAATGGAACAAGTCTATCTACTTGGCGCACAGTATACAAACCTTGAATATCGAATATTTCGCATCGGGGTGGGGGCGTCGGGGGAGTAGCGTGGACGTGACATCGGAACGGGGATCGAAGGGGGAAAGTGAGGTTGAAAGAGTTCGAGGTGCTACGGACCAACCGAATAGTGTACAGGAGGCAAGGAACTCGAACCGCATCGATATCGACCGATCGACCGAAACAAGGCGAGAAGTCCGAATCGAATGGTATATCGCCGTAACCGTTCGCCAAAGAAGATCCGAATCGAGCTTTTCGACTGCTGAATGCATTAATGTCGTGGCAGGACATAGAAGTAAATCTAGCCTCCACTTGTGAAAGTAACAAATCCCAAAAACCATTTTCCCATCAACAAAACACCGTGCTTGAACCAATTTGAGCACTCGTGTCAATACTAGCCTTGTGCAGACTGTGACAGTAGTCCAGATGCTGCCTGCTAAACGCAACGCAACTCAATTCTACTCAGCCACGTCCAGGTCTTCGTGAGCAGGAGGGGGCGGAGAGTCGACTATATGGATGGTCAGAGTGATGCGTCATGGAAAAGGTCGGTTGCCTTACCCTTGCGGACCTCGGCGGCGGGTTCGGCCTCGCGGTCACGCTCACGCCTGTCATCGCGATCGACACGGTCACGGTCGCCACGGTCATCCTCACGATCGCGAACATCCTTCATCTCTCGGTCGCCGTCAACAGGGCTCCTTGACCTGTCGCGGTCACGGCGGTCGTAATCGCGCTCGCGACGGTCATCCTTACGAGGAGAAGCTCCGCGCTCGCGACGAGGAGAGGTGCTGCGACGGCGAGGAGAGCGAACGCCTCGGTCGGCACGATCACCACGGTCGGAGCGGTCGCCACGGTCGCCACGGTCGCCGCCACGCTCAGAGCGCTCACCACGGGGACGGTCACGACCAGAGTCGAATCGCCATGATGCCGAAGGAGGCGTGCGGGCCCACTATAGCTTGTTAGACGGACCAACGTCATTATTACTGTTCTGACATACCTCGATCTTCAACAAGTCGTCACGGCCGATGCGCTTGTTGTGCATCTCGTGGTACGCGTCATCGGCGTCACGGCGAGACTCGTATTCGACGAAGGCGAAGCTGCTGGCCTGTTAGAGCCTGGGTCGTTTGCTACCGGGGAGGGCCAACTCACAGTCTAGAAGAAGCCGAACGGGGGGCTGGGATGTCGCAACGGACAAGGCGGCCATAGCTTGAGAATTGTCAGATGGTTGTTTCGAAGCAGCGTGTGTGAAAATGAAGGAAGGTGCAGATCGCATCGGCGCGCACGGGTATTGCCGCAGAGGAAGCAGCGTCGCGCGACATCGGTTACAACGGCCGTGGGGCGGAAGAGTACAGAGTGTGCGGGATCGAGGGGCTAGGATGTAGGACGACGATGCGCGTACGATCGGGCTGGGGCGAGGCGTTGGAAGACATACCGTTCGAACTCGTAGGCAAGGTCGCGAGCGCGTGTGCCATGGCCGAAGCCGGTGACGTAGAGCGTGGTGCCGCCGCCGCGAGACATGTTTGTCTTCTAGTTACGTGTGGTGGGTATATAAAAGTGATACGAAACTTGCAGTTGAGACAAGTTGGGGTGACGGTGACGGTGTGGTTGATGGTAGAAGGTCGCAAACGGACAAGAAAGTACTGGAGGCAGCTCAGCAAACGCTTGGACTAGCGCCTTGGCACCCTCACTCGGACGTCAACGTTCACCGACACCTAGGAGATCCTTGCATTTAGTGCTAGATGGAGAAACACTGACCTTCATGGTGCGCCTGTTGTTGCATTGGTTTGTTTGAACATCTCTCTTCGGGTTCTATGGTAAGGGCACCTTGGTCTGACCGATTGGGAAGAGCTCACGAGAGAGGCACGTGAAAGGGTAACTAGTCGTCGGCCATGATCAATTATATACTTCTCGTATCATGTTACTATATAGCTTACGCCGGGAACGCTCCATACGGTGCTCCCTCGAGCTTGAAATATCCAGGCTGAAGTCTTTGGAAGACACCAGTAGGGTCGTACTCGCCAGAGATGCTCTTCAACTTCTGCTTGTTGGCAGCCCCATAGCTAGCGATTACATCTTGATACGGCGACGCGTAGTTCATGTAGATGTAGTCATAGTTCAGATCCTTCTTTGCCGCTTCCTCAACAAGGCGCTCGTACAAGCTGTTGCTGAAAGACATGATACGGGGATTGTCCGCGACATCCGTCCAGAGGATAGCCAGGTTACAGATGAAGATTGGACCGTCATTGGGATCAAGTCCGAGCGCATTACCGCCATTCTGTTGCATCTTTTGCATGGCCGGCACCGTGATTGCTTGGAAAGACAGAACAGGCAGGATTCCAGCAGCGTCTTGGATTGCAGGTAGCATATCGAAGAAGATGTCGATAAAGGCCTTGAAGATATCTTTGTCTACCTTGAAAGTGCGGTCCCAATATGTCTCTTGTACGCCATCCGGAGCTCCCGCACCAAGTTGGTTGGCCAAAGTCGACATGTTTGCAACAGCAGTTTGGTCAATGATCGCTGGGATGGCTTTCCACTCGTCAAAAACAGGAGGCCATGGCGTAGGGTCGGAATACTCAAGATCCTCAGCTGCGATCTTCATGCCAGCCTGAAGTGCGAAAGAAACAATCTGAGCTTGCTTCGTATCCTTGTCTGCGTTGACGGCATAGTTGTAGTAGGCTTCGTACACTTTGTCCCACTGATCCTCGGTATGAGCGCGTTGTCCGCCCCACATTTCACCCTGTACAAAAGTTCTCATGTTGAACTTGGTGACGATACCAAAGTTGTTACCACCTCCGCGAAGGGCCCAATAGAGGTCGGAGTATTTGGTGGCACTCGCGTTCACGATGATACCTGAGGCTGTCACAACCTCAAATGAGTCGATGTTATCGCAAGCCCATCCATAAGCATTTGCGTAGTGGGAGATGCCTCCTCCAAGAGTTAATCCAGAGACACCAACTGAAGAGATCTGCACGGGGTTAGAAGAGCCGCTATGACGTGGGATAGGGAGAAGAGGAGCAGGTGGGGAAAGCAACATACTCGACCACCGATGACTTCAAGTCCATACTGCTCAATCCACGGATACACGTCGCCCCAGCGATTACCCGGACCGACAGAAGCAATCTTCTTATCTGACGATAGGCTCTTTTCGTTGAGTTTCTCCAGGGCAATAGTAATGCCTCCCTCAATGCTAGATCCTCCGGCAAATGCAGCGTGCCCACCTCCTTTCACAGCAAATGGGCATTGCGTAAGTCGGGACAAGAGCACAGCAGTTGAGACTTGTAGTGCATTACTAGGCTTGAACACGCAAAAGGGGTCTACAGCAGCTTGCTGGGCCGCCCAATAGTCGCTGGTGAAGTTGTCGTACGCTACACTTCCTTCCGACAACACAGTCCCGTTACCAAAGGTAAACCTCAGAGCTGCGCACTAGATACAGAGTTAGTAATGGCTCCAAGTGGATCGCGATGATCGTGTAGACTGACAGCTATTGAGCAGGCCCCAGACGAAGATCGTTCCGCCAGACCTGCCAGGCCAGGGATAGCAGTTACATCGACACCATCGTTGAGTAGCGCCTCGGTTACGTTGAAGTCGGCAGGCTCGAAGGTGCTTCCAAGCACACCAGTTGCGAAGGCGCTTATCGAAGCAGCAACCGTAAGCTTCATGATGCCCATTTGCGCGTTTGCGGAAGATGCCGAATGAGGGCAGAGAGCTGGTACCGAGAGTGTGGGCCAGCGACTGAGGTGCAGGGAGCCACTGCAATTAATGTAGGTTGTGCCATGATCACTTCAAAGCGGCAAATGTCACTATTACGGGCGTGTTGTCCATACTCGTCCGACGGGACCCATAGGTGTAGACCTTAGCGAGCGGAAAGGACAGCTCGGTTGCTTTCTTAGTGGATAACAAGGTCTAAAGTTTGTGGAGCTTAGGCTGGTCGCCTGCCGCGAACGAACCGTGGCAAAAGTATAGCATGGCATTAGCACCCAGGACCTGGTGTGGCTGCATGTCAATTTCGATATGGCGCAACATCGGTAGGAGCTCAAAGGACGTCTTGGTCGTTTCCCCAGGGACCTTCAGGGCTGCGGGTAGCCGCGTCGCTTCCAACGGCTTGGATTGCTGTGCCTCAATCATGCAGCTGTTCGCGACTCCACTCCTAAGCGCCTACTGTGAGACAGAGGAAACTCCATGCCAAGTGAGGATTCGAGGGTGGTGTTTAAAGTGGATAGGGAGGAGCCAGCCGTGCCGCTCCTGCATCTTTGCCAGCATCAGGCCTAATATCGCATGGACGCCACCACGCCAGCTGCACACTACCATCCACCTCTTTTGCGCCCGCATTCCTCTCTATACGAGCAATGGCTGAACACTTTTATCCGAATGCCACTGGGCACATTTCCCGACAGCCTGCCTATTGCGCTGAGTGCTGATATATAGCCTTCTTTGAGCTTATCAAGGTCCTCACCGTTTAGGTTTGCAATGCAATAAAGTCCGTTAGGCGTGCTTATGAGCGATATGCTAGTCTCACTGTGGCCAGCCTCGCCGAAGCCCAAATGAACTTTGCTCCGCACCCATGCTGCGCACCCATGCTGCGAGGCGATAGCCTAGAGGCATTACATTCATCTAATGTCTTGGAAAGAGCACGACGGCAGAAAAAGCATATCAGCCGCTACTTTCATCCCAGCTGCGAAGTTAGGCGCTGTACAGCTTCCGACGCTGTAGCGCGACTACGCACATCACCATCTCGAATAGTGCGAGCGGAGAAGTGTGGCCCCAAGCTAAGGCTTATTTAGTCAGGAGGCGTTCTCGGGGGCTTGCTGGTCTTTGTCCGCTACAAGATACCCATCAACACTTCGATAAGGCCATCACAGCTACTTGCGAGGTTCTCGACGAGAGTGTATAGCGGCACGTAAAAGCAGATGATCGGGATACCAAATTCCAGGATCCAGGAACCGTAACCTGGGGCGATCGAGGTCGCTATCTGTCTATCACCCTTGCGGACACGCGATGGTCCCCATGTAATTCAATTTACATATAAGTCTTACAGGCTTCTGCAACCCCGACGCGCAGCTTACCCCGAGCGATCCCTGGCGAGTGTCAGTCGCAAAGCCTTTAACCCAGACCGTCGGGCTTCGAAGACCAAGATATTCAGGCTCTTACTATCTTGATAGCTACGGCACGGTCCTGCAGCGACACAACATCAGGCCCGAAAAAACATGCTCTGCTGGGTTTTGTCGTCATCTACTCAATTACAACAAATTTGTTGAAAATCTACGGTGTTTGTTCGTAATGTCGACGGGCGCCGACTGGATCTCGCAGCATGATCTGCTCCGGATAGACTACGCTATGCTGACGATGACATCGATAGTCTTTCTTGCACGGATTGGTGTCCAGGCGTGGCGGCGCAAACCCATTGAAGCGCAGGACATTTTGCTTTACATTGCATTTGCGGCCTATCTGGCTTTCACCATCCTCTACATCGTCATCACACCCATCTTCTTCAAAATCCAGGCACTCCAAGACGATCGCATGGCGCCATGGCCTACCATGATGGCAGATATCATCCTCGCGTCCAGGGTTATGTGGCAAAGCGGAATTGAGTATTGGACATGTCTTTGGTTCGTCAAGTTCTCACTGTTAGCACTGTACAAGAAGCTGCTCTCTGGGATGCCCAAGAAGTATCTGTACATCTGGTGGGGTACACTAGTCTTCTGCATCATGGTATGTAAGGGTTCACTACGTCTGGTCTTAACGCGCATACCCCTCACAAATCTTGACTGACCTGATATAGACATGGTCTACCTGTATCATCACAGGTCCTGGGCTAGCATGCGATAATACTAAGGCGTTCTTCGACGAAGGCCTTCCGTGCTTGTCACCTGGGGAAACACGCCGACAAACAGCAAATCTCTACTACGCGTATGCAGTGGACACTATGACGAACATGATGGGTATGTACTACTCACACTCACCCAATAGCTCTTTGCAATAATAACAATTGACAGTCATGTTTCTCCCAATCAGGCTTATTTGGAATCTGCAAATGGAGAAACCCAAGAAGATTGGCTGCGGTCTACTGTTCGCTTCTGGTCTTGTTTGCATATTGTTCTCGACTATACGCATTGTGCAGGTTGGTCAAGATGGAAAACCTCGATCGCCCGATCCGAAATGGTTAACCATGTGGACGATCATCGAATGTTCAACAGGTAAACGCAGCAAACCAACCCTTTCTCACCAAGCTGACGTCTTACTAGCTGTTATCATCGGCTGTTGTCCAATGCTTGCATCTATTGTACCAAAGCGTCGTACACTGCCTTCAAGCACAGTCTCATTCGACACGCAGGGGTACGTTCGACAATCACCTAACCGGTCTGGTGAAGGCGCGCCGAGGAGTCATGGCTTGAGGAATATGCTCGGCTCCAAGAGTCGTGAGAAGAGTAGCGAGAAGAACTCGGGAAACATCAGTATGTCGAGGACTGGCCACGAGAGTGAGGAAGAGCTCCCACCACGTCGCACAGACGGTGCCGGCATTCGTATTACAGATGAGATACGCGAGCAGTATAGGCTGCGTATGGAAGAAGACCAACGCATGGAAGAGGCACGCCTTAAGCTTGAGCAGTCACAGGTGTGATTTTGTTCGGCTGAATGTATGAAATTCATTTCAATCATTGTATATTGTTTCACGATCTCATTGAAGTGACTTGATGGGATGACAGCAAGACTGCATGCTGTGTTTGACTAATGATGAGACATTGAATAGTAGGAGACGGCCGTTGTTGACCTAAGATAGCACGTAATGGGAACTCGTTGCAATTGTTAAGCAGCCGGAATTCCTACTATTCAAGCTTGCAGCATCTTCTAGACCAGCATGCTAAAACGATCATGTAGAGCTTGTTGTGTGATGTATAATCCGGGTGGCGAAGAAAGCGTGCGATGAGACAGGCGCTAGTCGGTGCGGCAAGTGCCGAGCTTGATTGCGCAGAACTTGAGCAGGCGCTCCCAGACAATTACTTCCTTCTCCACACACCCACGCCCCAACCCACTGCATCCAACGCGCAACCTCTCTTACGACTGACGAAACACCCGTTACGACCGTCTGAACACGCACTCGCGATAGCATTACGTCATACGTTAGGGAAGTCGCGTTCCTCGTCGCTCCCTTTGTTTCCCACCCACCGCTCAACCTCGACTTCACGCGACAACTCTTCTAGCAACGTCAACCTTCACTATGGCTGTCGACTTTTCGAGCGAGTCGCCTCTGGCGATGCAGCTGCAGCAAGTAGTTCAGCCCAAGCTCGCTGAGTTTGGATGGACAACTGGCGGCGAAGACACGACGCTGTTCGAGTACATTCTTCTTATGCTAGCCAACGACAAGAACGAAGCGCAGGTCGCATCAGAACTCTCAAATGACTTGCTCGACCTGGGCCCGGAGAACACAGAGACACAGCAGTTTGCGCAATGGCTATTCGAGCAGATCGAGCACCTGAAGCAGTCGAGCGGCGGCAATGGACAGGTCACGCAGTCAATCGAGAATCAGATGGATAGCGCATCAAACGACAACTCGGCAGGAGCGCAAGATACAGACATGGAAGGCGCGTCAGAAGGACAAGGCAATATGTATGTCAACACCCTACTTTTCCGCCCCTTTAGGGCAGCCCCTCGTGCGATGAACCACCGCAGGGAGACTGCGCAAGCTCGCAAATCCCGAGTCATGGCGACGTCGAGGCATCCGGTGACTCCTTTGCGCTCACGGCCTTTTTTACACTGTAATGAACAAAGTCTAACAGGGAACAGTCCTACAGGCCCCAAGGCTATGCGCAACGGCAGCGGCGCCCAAGCAGCACGTCCAGCGCGTGGCGGTCGGATGCTCAACCAACTCAATAAGAACATGGACCGCAACAGCGACTCAGTATTACATCGTGTACGTGGCGCCGGCGGTGGAGTTGGTCGGGTCAACGCGCACGCCCGTGATCCGCCAAAAGGCCCACGAGGTCAGAACATTGGTCGCGGAATCGAAGCGATGGCGAACGGTCGTGGTATGGGCAACACCAACATGAACATGGGGCAGAATAACATGGGCATGAATGGTATGGGAATGGGCGGTATGCCAGGAATGCCCATGCCGGGAATGGGTGGTCAGAATAACATGCCTGGCATCGGCCTGAATCCGCAACAGCAAATGGCGCTCATGCAGATGTACGAGCAACAGGCACAGATGATGCAGCAGATCTTCTCTGGTGGCCAGCCAGCCGGCTTCGTTAACCCCAACTTCAACAACAACCGCAATGGAGCTAAGAAGCCATTACATCAGCGCATAGACCGGTCACACCAGGGCGGCAGAGGCATGAACCCGAACGCTAAGCCTTTCCAGAAGAAGGAGGGCGATGACGAGACAATGGCTGACAGCGCAGCTGGAGAGAACGGCAACGGCATGGACGTCGAAGTACCTTCTGGGCGCCCAGATCCCTCATCCACCATGTGCAAATTCAACCTGCGATGCAGCAACCCCGACTGCCACTTTGTCCACCAGTCGCCCGCTGCGATACCCGGTACTCCTGTCGATATGAACGATACTTGCGACTTTGGTGCGGCGTGTAAGAACAAGAAGTGTGTCGGCAAGCATCCGTCGCCCGCACAGCGACAGAAGTTCCAGTCAGAGCAGGAGTGTGCATTCTGGCCTAACTGCCGCGATCCCTCATCCTGTCCTTACAAGCATCCTACCGCCAAGCCATGCCATAACGGGGCCGATTGCACTGTTGAGGGTTGCAAATTTGGCCACAGTGCCATCATGTGCAAATTCAACCCGTGTCTTAACCCCCGCTGCTTGTACAAGCACGAGCCTGGTCAAAAGAAGAACACAACTAATGTTTGGGTTGCTCCTAAAGAGGGTGAACACGTTAGCGAGAGGAAATTTGTTGATGACGAGCAAAAGGAGGAGCTTATCATTCCCGGCAAGGACCAGGAGATGCAACAGGCCCCCGCGAACGAGAGTTTGGATGTGCAGTCATAGAAGGACTTTGAACTGTTGAAATGGGATAAGGGCGGTGGATATGATACCATTGAGAGGCGGATGGAGGGGGATGTTGGGTGGGAACGTAGAGCATTGTACATTTAAGTCTGAAACTGACTGGATGAGGCGTTAATGGTTGGTGGCATTGCCCTGACTTGGAGGAGAGAATTACTGGTTTCTGGCGGCCCTTAGCGGCTGCACTCTTCTTCTCACAAAATGGCGTCCTCTCATGTATGACATTTGTGACTTTCTGACATACCTGCTGTTTACATTGATGTGCGCATGGACAAAGGATTAGGAATACCCTCCATAACAAATACGGTATACGTCGAAGTCGACACTACAGACAATTCCAGCCACAATGGAGAGTATATGCATGGCCACGGATAACACGGTAGGACAAGCCTTGGGAGTACAGCGATTTGCGCTCACGGGTGACTGCGGAGAAACACTACGACGAATGGGGCTTAGCTGGTCCGCCACGCCTGCTCAGCCACCCTCTTTCGTACGCCGCGACATCTGGTGTGTGATCAACTCCGCATTCTACCTATACTCTGAACATTCGTCGCTCCTTCCTTCCACTTCTTCATTCTCTGCTCTCTTTACACACCGTTCGCTCTTTCCTTCTTCGCATTCCTTCTTAGAGGATCGCCATCCACTCCCGGAAGCAAACGCCCAACAAAGTTCGATCGACAGCTGAGGAGAGATTGCCCAGCTTCGCCGCCCAGCAATACGACGTAACAGTCTTTTTGTCCTTCGAGGAGCTACACTCTTACACCACACTCTCTGTGACCTACACAAACTACCAACATGTCCAAACCATATGTACGTCCCCTTCATGGCTGTTAGCACCTCATGTCGCAATGCGCGCCATGATCCCATCTCCTATCCATGTGTTCCCACAACCTACTAACAATCCCTCAGGACCAAGGCGCACCGCCCGCCTACCCACCACCAGCCCACCAAGATGCCGGTCCAGCTGCTGGCGGCATGCAACCCTCATATTACAACCAGGGCGGCGCCGCACCAGACTACTACGGCGGCAGCCCGAACCCCTACCAACAAGGCCAGCCAGGCCCCTACGGACCGCCACAGGGCCAGTACGGACCCCCTCAAGGACAATACGGGTACGGAGGCCAGCAGATGCAGTATCAGCAGGGACCGCCACCTCCAGGTGGCTACTACCAGGACGACAGGAGGGCTGATGGTGGCGGTGGCGGAGGCCTGTTCGCTGGGTTGTGCGCTGGTTTGGCGTGCTGTTGTTGCTTGGACTGCTTGTTCTAGAAATGTTGTTGTGGACAAGCTGAGTTGGATAGATTGACGGAGCTGAAACGCGCAAGAGATGGTGTATCACATGGATCAATTTGGCTTATTGACCGCGGTGGATTATACCATGCGGAGTCGAATTAAGAAGAGAAGGGTTCTGCGTACAGACTATAGACCGATGGGTTTCTTTTGTTCTATTTGGGGTCTCTTTGGATATGACTGATTATCGATTCGGAGGCATATCAGGGAGTACATCCTGCTACCAACTTACCTAATTCGATGATTTCTTTCTCGCAATCTCGTTCCCACCTTTCCATGTCGAAACGTTTCTATTCTTCTTACTGGCTGATTATGCAGGCCTCTTCGTTCGAAGGTCGTTTGTCAGGACGCCGAGTGCGGCCGCTCGAAGCCTGTTGGTGACCCAATCCCATCACGATTCGAGGCTGCATCATTCACATGTAATGCGCAATCGGACATCAACCGAGATACATTTGCTTGTGCTCATGCAAGCAGTAATTTGCACGTACCTCCAGCTTCACCTAGTGGACTATAATCCTCTGGTTTCTGATCTCTTTCGTGGATTCCGCTCAACATCACAGATACGGGTATATAAAAGAACTTCTGTAGAGTGTTTGCCAGCACCAACGTCGGACCGCTTGACTGATACTCTTTTACCTTGACATAGCGGCTTTCAAACAAGGACGACGTTTACTGTGAAGCAACCAGCATCTCTCGTCGCATCTCAAAAGCTTCACTGCTGCTGAAACCAGACATGGCGAGTAACAACAACCCACCTGGGTATACCCCTCCTGCCATTTCCGATATCTCTACTATGAGTGTTTCAACTTCGGCTCAATTGAGCCTTGTGCCTCAGCCGATAGCGACGGCGCGTCTAGGCTTCTGTGAAGTAGGTCGTTTACGAGATTCAGCACATTTGTAAAATAGCTGATGAAATCAGTTATCTTCCAAGTGCCAGGGGGCAACAACGCTGAGTGCTCCCAAATGGCTTTACTGCAAGCAATACAACTACGACGCCGGTGCATACTTTGCTTGCGCCTGCAAAAGAACAAACTCCCTATCCCGCAACGAGTACTTCTCCGCTTCTTGTGTACTGCAAGAATGCAATGGCGATGATGCGAGGAGACGTAAGTACCGTGCTCCGCCTCCAGATGAGAGACATCGGGAGTGAGTGAGAGAGCTAACCCGTATTTCCCTAGTATTTCTCAGCAAGTACCAGTTTGCCTATTACCAGCGTGGTCTGGCACTAGTCGACATTCCCGATGAATGGGCTCAATATAATCAATACCCTCGATACTCACTTTCAGAACAAATTTCATCACCCGCACAATCTACCAGTGAGACAAGCCCTCAACCGAGTACATTGACTCAGGCCATAAGCACAGTCAGCTCTTCGCTTTCATCAGACGTATCAACAACGCAGTCCACAACGACAACCACCAACAAAGCTTCCTCCAACATGCCAAATCCGACGGGCCCAGCTGATGGACAGCTACCTATCTGCGGGGTATACCTTTTCGAAATCTCACTCGTATACATTCGCTGATGTTACCCAGATCTCGCAGAAGTGCATGACTAAGAAGCCACAGGGTGAGGCGTCCTGTAGTACCGGCGATCTCGACTGCATCTGCAAAGCCAGCAGCTCGCTCGAAAACAATACCGAGTTCGACCAGCAATGCGTGCTTGATGCCTGTTATGGAGACATCGGAAGGGAAGGTATATTGCATTGTCCGGGCGCAAATCCATAGTGCTCAATATTAACTCCATTCTAGAATTCCTCGACAGCCTCTTCTATCACTGCAAGAAGGTTAACAAGGAACTTGTGGATATTCCCAAACGCTGGGAACCGTACCTCCCAGTTACCTTCCCTTCTGCAACGCCTGCCGCAGCCCCACCTGTCGACCCCAAAGAACCTGCCTCTGCCTCCCGCAAGCTGAGCGGTGGAGCCATCGGAGGTATCGTCGCCGCAGCCGCTCTCATCCTTCTCATCGTCCTCGGTCTAGTAAAACTTTGGTGGGACACCAAGAAGAAGGCCAACACGCTCCGTAAGGACAACGCCAAGTTGCAAGACGCCACAAATCCAGAAGGCATGTCGATGAGGATCAATACCTTGATCAGCGACTCATCGGTACCTGAGTTTGCATCTCGTCGGGACATTATCAGTGCAAATCGTGGCCCAGAAGTTTCAATGTGCGACGCGTCGACTTATAACGACGCTACACTTATCGGTTCCCCACGAAGCACGGCTGTACACCCCGTTCTCGGCAACAGCGTCGCAAACCGCGAGTATAAAGAGTACGGGGCAAACACCGAGGACTACGCCATGTCGGAGTACGACGACAAGTACACTGGACACGGACGGCAGTATAGCAGGCAGTATAGCAGCTATGAACTTGCCAACAACGAGCTTCGGGATAGACAACCTGGACAGGACTCGCGCAATTCTGACGACGACTCAATGAGCCGCTACAGTGGTCGAGCACATAGCTACGGCGATGATACGGTGGACTTGCAACAGCGGCGAGAGCAAGAGGCAAGGAGCGAATGGGGTATGGCGCAGCAGCGTGAGTGGAGAGAAGAGCGGGAGCAAGATCAGATTCGGAGGAGTGTACGCTGAGGTCCCGTATTTTCTTTTTTTCATTATTGATACTCTCGCCATATCTACCGGCCTGTCGTACACACGAAGCAGTTCGGCGACTTGTGGAATTAGTCCCGCGGTACGCCGTAGGGGGATAGGATACATTTGGAATTCCATCCGTAAGCTAAAGTCGTACATTGGAGGCGGTGCATGCGAACTGGTAGTACGAAAAGAACCTTACCTACCCGTTTATGTGGTTAGCCGTTTGCCAAGTGTTGTTGAGATTATCCTGCCGGTGTTTGTGTGAGGTGAAGAAGGGGATGAACGTTTATTGGATTGGGGCGGTCTGTGGTCGGTGAGGGGAGCAAACATGGAGTAGTTGCACTTAAGAACGCGTAAGTCCAAATACATTGCGGTTTTGATGGGCTTCTTCTCTCCGATCCTTGGCAACCGACATCGATGTGCAATATGTCACTGTACGTTCTACTATTGCTATTCAGCATCGTTGCTGCCCAAGAGCGGGACAAGTTCTGTATCCCTCCGAAGACGCCGTTACCACTTCCTGCTTGCACTGTAGGTAGCTATCCCTAGCCATACAATCGACCTGGTGGAATCTATTGCTAACACTGACACCAGAGGCAATGTCTCATCGGAGCAGGCAAGGTTCTCGATGGCACCTGCGCCGACAACCTCAGTGGCTTTTGTCAACTTTCCGACGTTGTTTCCACACACTTCAGGATGTATGGGCCATGTCTTCTCGAGGCATGTCCAAGTGTGACAGACCGACAAGGTAAGTGTTCGTCCTACGCAAAACAAGGATCTTACGATTTACTAACATTCGGCTTTAGACTATGTAAATATGTTCAAGGCGGTGTGTAAGGGCACGGATGAGTTTAGAACTTCCACGTTTGGGGATGACTTCAACTATAAAGACTTGCTCACGGGGACACCATCGGGTAGTGTTGCGACAAGTACTGAGGATTCGACGAGTAGCAGCGTGGCGACGTTAGCGGATATACCGACCACCATTAAGGTAATCACGGCAGCTACTTCAACATTGTCAACTAGCCCCTCGACATCGAGTTCTTCGTCAAGTTCGGAGACGGAAAAGTCAGCAGACGCACCATCGTCGCCACCAGCCGCTTCAACGCCAGCTGCAGCACCCAGCTCTACAGATATGGGGAACCCCACGTCTGCCATAGTAGCGCCACCTCCAAACGATTCCGGCCATGCTCTACCTACATCACAAGGGCAGAACGGCGTCAATATTAATACCCACGTCATTGTCGCTACGACCTCCCAAGTCGTAACTCATTCCGCCACTGCTGCTGGTGCTGGTGCTTCTCCCACCGTGCCTACTCTCAGCACCACCACTATCGTTGGTATAGCAGTAGGTGGTACCGTAGGCATCGCTCTGATCATTGGACTCATATTCCTCTTCCTGCGCCGTCGCAAACGTCGAGCCTCTCTTGCCTCCTCCGCAGACATTTGGGAGCCCTCACGCAAGACCAGTCCAAAACCCAAACTTCCGACGATTGACGACGACTCGCGCTTCGAGCGATACTCAGAAGTTGGAGCTGGTAAACCAATGCGTCAACGCTCGAAGGCTGAACTACACAGCGAGAGCGCACCACCACCACCACCTCGTCTCCAGACTGCACATAATGGCTATCCTAACCCGCCAGAAATGCATGGTGGAAGTGATAGTAAGAGCACGCAATACTACCACCATGTTCAACGACCAGAAACGCATCGTCATAGTAGCAACATGGACTCTCGGTATCCTCAGATGGGCTCCCACGCCGTTACAAATATGCCGTCACCAGCGTCACCCGTCTCTACTTCTTCAACAATGCAAAACTGGCATGCCAACTCGCCATCTGGAGTACCTAAAGTCAGACTGAGTAGTGCTGATCTCCCCAGCGAAGGAATGAGGAGTCCGGTGAGCGAACTTGGCACTAACGCACCTCTCCGCTCGACACGCTCGGCGGAACTTCATGGGACGCATATAATCAGTCCGATCAGTGAGCTTGGAACGGGTTCTTTCCTTAGTGGCGAGAACCAGGCGGCTGAACTGCACACTGAGCCTGTACTGTCGCCGAAGCTTGGACCGAGGGGTGGAGGAGATATGACGACTGTTATTGCGGAGATAGAGGGGTCGAGTATGCTGAAAGGGCATCGATCTGGAGTTTCAACAAACTTCTAGTTCTTCCAGAAGATATTTGGGAATTGTCGGGACGGCTCTGTAAGATTAGATGTAGTAATACTAAAGCGCGGAACAATGCTATGAGCCTTCCGTCCCTGATTCACAATTTCATCATGGCTTCTGCTCTTGTCACATCCCTTTTGAAAGTGTTTCAACTACAACTTCCTCGTCTCGGCATCTCTTCATGAGCATTTGAAAGATGAGTTGCACAGGAGCGGTGCACAAACGTGTATCATCACCGATGCGTCACGCTTGTATGACGATGTGCGAAGTAACAGCCGCTCCATCGGAACGTGAAACACGGCTACTACAAGGTAGTGCTGGGTGAACTGGAAAGAAAAGGAAGATAAGGAGGAGGAAAAACAATGCCAGTAAGACCATCGGATGATGACCTTGCGTCAACGAATGTCCAGGTATTCAATCTTTTCATTGTCTTTTACTGGGCTCACACACCTCTGAGTAGAGCTCAGTCATACAAACGGCTTTGCAAACCATGCAGGATATCTTCCATCCTTCCATGCAGGTTCCCGCTGGTGTAAGTATTGGCAGGTCGGCTATCAAGCTCTTCTTGGCTAGTCTTCGTGGTGTTATGAAGGCGAAGGGTGTTAAGAGAGGCCTCCTCCTCGTTATAGACAGGCCTCCATGTGAGAAGCAGCTATCTTGAGCGTATTAGATCACGCTGCTCCAACAAAACATTATTTGTGGTGTGGCAGTGTGCACTCAGCGAGCTTGGATCGGCAAGCTCAGCAGATTTTGTACGTCCAGATGGAGTATTGACTAGACATTCGATCACGTAGACCGGAGGTAGTGAATACCTGCAGTGCGCAGAATTGTTTGGCTTTGCTATTAAAAGCATGCGATAGCTCCACGTCTACTGGAGGGCTGAGTTAGCATACATAGATTCTCCACTAGTATCACGAAAGGCTACAGCTGAGACCAGTGTCATATTGAACTCAACATACGTACGTAAATTCACGTTCAGTGACCTTGACCAATAACTCACATTATCCCAGCAAGCTTTTCTCACCCTAAAGCCACCATGGCAACTACCACGCTTACAACATCCCTCATCACAACCTCCACGTTGGGGGTTGAGAGCGACTACGGCGCTGACCACAACGACTTTATTTACTTTGGTGGCCACGGCAAAGCCATCATGATCGGACTCGCAGCCACTGTTGCGATTCTCTTCTTCGTCCTTGTATGCATGGCGTGCTGCTGGCCGAAAGAGAAGAAGAAGAATGACCGAGGGAGATACGTGACAACGACCTACTGGAATGGGGCTGGGAACAAGGAAAGATGCTGTTGAGTGGTGTGAGAACACAGGTGTGTTAGGGATATGGCAAGGTTGACACGAGAGTTGTGACGGGGATGAATAGTTAGGCCCTAGATCTTCTATAATACGGACGTCTGAATGCGCTTGGACTTAAAATTTTGCTACGATCAAATACTGTTGTGAATAAAAAAAGATCTTGTAGCAGAGCGTGTCGAGCCGCAATGGTTCTTCTTAGGAATTATTGGGCAAAGTGTATGGTTGATGTAGTGGACGTGCCCGCGAAACCGGAAGTGGATCATGGGGCCGTTGGCGGCGTTGGGGACGTCCGCCTCGGTACGCGGCAACCTGCGGGTACCGTGTTTGACGGCCGTCACGCACGGATCGGAGTTACCGGCTGCCCTTCTCCTTCTTATATCAAAGATTGTAGATGCTAGCACCGCATCGCTTCTGCCTCATCTGCCAATCATAACCTCTATGCGCGTCAAGTCACACGTAACTCATGTCTTACAATTCACACTCTACCGGCAGCTTTAGGGCTGGTAGTAGACGCCAACAGCGAGTGGGAGAGAAAGAACCCATCAAACGCCAAAGACTAACTTTGGTTTGCGATCACTGCAAGGCCTCCAAACTTCGATGCGACAAGGGCCGGCCCTGTGCTAGCTGCGTCAGGCGAGATGGCGGTACATCCTGCTCTTACAGTGGATTGTCACGTGGGAGCGGCCGGCCCGCCATTGAGGAAAGGCTACATCGTCTTGAAGCTAATGTTATTCAATTGCTGGACGCAGCAGATGCTCCAGAGTCAGGACACAGCTCGAAACTGCCTTCAAACTCCACTAGTAACCATGTGAATCTATCCGGTGGTCGTGGGCCGGGTTTACTGGAGGACCGTTTCCCTACTGTCGTGGAGGACATCATGGACAGCATTCACCAGCTGCGCTTGGAGCTACCCAACACGATCGATGAGCCTGATGTTGAAGAGCCGATCAACGGTAGGGAAGACATGGTCGATCACTTTATTCTCGGCTTACCAGTCCCACTCTCAAAAGATACCATTTTGTCACGGTATATGCCATCACAGAAGGAAGCCGAGCAACTTCTTGGAACTTACTTCGGAGGTGGCACCTTTATCCAGCCATTTATTCATGCACAACAGTTTCAACGAGAATACCACACTTTCCAACACGGCCAGTTCCATACAGCCTCTGGGTTCTGGCTTAGTATCCTATTCTCTATCTTCTCAATCGCTGCCTTTGTTCGTGAAGGAACAGGACCAGAGGAAACAGCGCACAAATCAAGCCATAAATTCCATACTGCAGCAGGACAATGTTTGGTGCTTGGTAGGTATTATGATACTCGGCAAAACGCCCCGGAAGCATTACTCTTGTACGCCCACTGCAAAGGCCTTAGGAGTCTTGATCCTAGCCGCGAGTGTGGTGCCATCGTTTGCATGGCCGTACGACACGCATACGAATTAGGATACCATCGTGATCCCGACAATTTCGGCAGGTTCACGGTGTTCGAGGGTGAGATGAGGAGACGCTTCTGGGCTTGCTGCAAGCAGGTGGACACCATGGTCTCTTTTCAACTCGGGCTTCCAAATAACATTATTCTCGATAATTGCGATACCAAGTCTCCTCTAAACTTACTGGACTCTGATTTCAACTCCGACGTTCAAATTCTTCCCCAACCCCGACCAGAAAGCGAGCCGACCCCGATTTTGTGGTTCATTGTTAAAGACAGGTTAATGCCGGTATTTGCCAGAATATGTCAAGCCGTGCTGTCTTTGCGTCTCAAGAGCGAGATACAAGTCATGGAGTTGGATGCGGAGGCGAGAAAGGCATATGCGACAATCCCGGACATCCTGCGATGGCGCCCTGTGTCCGAATCCATTACGGATCCATCCTTCTTGATCATGTCTCGACTTTTCCTTGAGCTGCTGTACCTCAAAGGCTTATGCATCCTGCACCTGAGATACATGGTACGTGGTAGCGCCAATTGCATTCTTCAATGTATTCAGGCCGCTTGTAGCATCGTACGAAGTATCGCCGATATTCACTACGCATTTCGACCTGATGGCCATCTCCAAGCGGTGAGCTGGATGTTTAACAACTACGTTATGACCGATTTCTTACTAGGTGCGAGCACCCTTTGCCTTCACGTCAACTTGGACCATCGAAGAAGAGCCTACCGGAATCCGATGATGCCCACGTTGGAAGAAATCTCCTTGCTTCTCAAAAGAGCTCACTCTATCTGCGTTGACAAATCCTTGTCTAGCACCAACGCGAAGAAGGTGGGACAGGCCATAGAGCGTACATTAGAATCAGCACAGAGCAACCTATCTGTTTCGCTACAGCCAACAGCAGCATCAGTAACAGAATCCCAGCAGCAACCAACAATAGGCATCCCAGTACCAGGACTCACGGACTGGCCTATTGACTATACTGATCGGGATTCATCCTCAGAGTATCAGTTCACCTTTAGTGATCTCGATCCTTTCAATTTCATAAGCAACGGGTTTATAGATATCGAGCAATTCTATAATACGGACACATTCGCTGAGGACTTCAACGTTGCAAGATAAAACAGGGCGCAAAATTGTGGTTCATCTCAATTTCAATCCAAGGCCAAAAGTTCTGATTCTCAGGAGCTACCATGGCTGAACATTATTCTTGCGCACCACCTTTCCAACATCTGCATCCCGACGACCTTCAATGACATCGCGAACAAGTTCCGCTCCAATGTTCGGATCGATTGCCCCCATCTTCTTCATAGCCTCAGGATCACCACCCAAACCTGTGGCTAGCATGCCGGGGCTGATTGCGAACACCTTCACGCCATCCTCCTTAAGGATCCGGGCCCATTCCAGCATCATCATGTTCATGCCAGTTTTGGCCGCTCGATACGCCGTGACTGCAAACGCTTTCTTGAGCCAGCCTTTGGGAGGGGAACGGTTTATACCCATCGCTAGATTGTCGTGTTCTGTGAGGGTGCTTGTGCCGCTGGTGATGAAGATCAGTCGTGGCTGAGACGACTCGAGAAGCAGTGGAGCGAAGGTATCGGTCACTATATATGTGCCAGTCACGTTGACGTCCCAAGACTTGTTCCACATGTCTCTGGTGGTCATGTTACCCTTAGGTACCTGCTGGTCGAATTGCGCCCCTGTGCTTAGTTAGTTTATGTACAAACTTGTCAGAGTTGTCTCATATATATACCTGCATTATTAAGAAGAACATCTATCTTGTCATGTTTCTTAGAGACCGCGTCGAACGCTTGAGCGATCGAAGCGTCATCCTCAAGGTCGATTTGGATTGGCTCGATGCTGCTTGTGGAGTTGGGATATTCTCGCTTGACTTCTTCGATAGCAGCTGTAGCTTTGATCAAGTCTCGAGCACCAAGCAGGATGGTGTATACATTGGTTGATCTGTATAGGGCCTTTACTGTGTACAGACCGAGGCCAGTGTTGGCTCCAGTGACAAAGATAGTGATCCGGGAGGTCATGCTTTCGAAATGGTTACTCTGGGGAAGTGTTGATCTGGCTGTGTATCTACTCAAATATGATTCTTTGCCATTTATATACCTATGCAGGCCTTCGACATTGCTTACTGGCAAGCTCCTGCAAATGTGTTCAAAGAAGTGACGCTAGCCGGAAAAGGAAATATTTATCGGCCGAGAGATTCTATTGCCGGCACAATGAGTCCTAACGCCGCTGCCAGCGTTTCGATAGCCTTATACATTTCTAGTGTTGCACCTCATAGTAAAACAGTATTTGGTAACGCGAAGACGGGTAAGCAGGATATTGAAAGAGGAATAAGAAAAGATCAGTACCCAGTCGCTGGGCCTCGAACAACGTCCATATCATCTCTTCCACCATAATTGTAACCCGTCAGGAAAACACCTTCCAGTGAGACCGGATTCTCGTTCCAGAATCTCTGAACCGTTTTCGCAGCTTTGAGAAACCGTTCTTCAATATTGGTTGCATTGGTGCTCAGACACCCTTGATGCACAATTCGGCCATCTCTTTTCCACACCTTTCCGTTGACAAGGACGTGTTTAATATGTCCCACATGGGAGTGCAAGAGAACAGCAGTGACAGGATCACTCCAACCCAGCATTCCTGGCGCCTTTCCGTCGTATACTACAATGTCCGCCTTCGCCCCAACACGCAAGACACCAAGATCATTGCGCCTTATAGCTTGAGCCCCAGACCGTGTCGCCAGCAAAAAGCCTTGGTTGGTCGACATCGGATTCCGATTCACTACGATCCTCTCCTCGGTGGTAAGGTGTGTCATCAAACGTTCGCGAACATTCTGGAGCCAGATCCTTGCTTGAGTGATCATATCGCCGCTGTTTGTATAATGTGTGCCTACGCTGAGAGATGCTTGATCTAGGCCGAGATGTTGTTGACTTACCTCCCGAGCGTGTGACATTTCGAATTCCGGGGCATATGCCATGTAGTGATTGTAGGTGCGCAGTAGTGTCAGATCCGTGGCCGTGAGAGATGTGCCGTGTACAAACACGACTGGTATCGTAGTATTTAAGAGGTGAGTTCCGTTGGCCAGTTGTATCTGTGCAAGTACAGACGGGTTGTTTTCTGATGCGTACACGCCGCCAACCGCATGCGTCTCGAGCACAGCAATGTCAAATTCACTGTGGAAGATCAGAGATATTCAATACCCAAATTGTGATTAACGGAGTTCTTACCTCATCAACGCAGAGATGGCTTGTATCTCTGGTTCTACACCAAAAGTCCATCTTTCATACGCAATACCAAGGCTGACAGTACTTTCAGCCAAAGTCCCGTCAGTCATCAGTGTTCTAAAATGCTCAACTTGTTCGTCGAATGGAAATGTCTCGTAGCCCCCCAGGTTGTATGCGAAGATGCTCCTAATACCACTGTCCTTGGTTGCCTGGATATATGCATCGACAATGTCGCTCGTGAAAGATCCGGATGCGTGATCCACGATTGTCGTAACGCCTGCATTAACAGCTTCGCATAGTCCGACCAATTCTGAGTGATAAGATATTTCTGGATCGTAGATTCTTGCGGCAATTGTTGTGTTGGCCCATCTTGTGAGGTATTCTGCTAGTGTACCAGTGCCGCCTATAGAGCGATGAACGGTTTGCCAAACGTGGCGATGAGTGTCGATATGACCAGGTGACAGTATATCTCCTTCAACCGAAATACGGACAGTGCCCGCTGGGATTGAGATTGTCGAGTTCGTGGGGAAGATTGCGCTAATGGTATCGTTGACAACTAGGAGGGAATGGTCACGCAGTGCTTCTAGTGAACCACTCGTTTCATTGAAGGATATTATGGTACCGCTTTCGAAAAGGACCGGTTCGCTGTGAGAAAGCGAAAACACAGCGAATAAATAGAGGAGTCGAAGTACTTGCTGCTTCATGGTGTCAATTGTTGGACAACGGATATTACGCAAACTGTGATGAGGCTACTTACCACACTTGTACTTGAATACAAAGGTCGGACTGCTGAAGGTGTTGGTCGTTCATTGGCCCATAACCTACTTATCGGACCTTGTTCGCGTTGCACTGAACAGGTATGGACGGACTAGTGACCAACTCTCGGGTTATGGCTGATAGTTTCGCCGGATCGCAGCTCGGTCTCCGCCAAGCCCGACCCGGACATAAGACATTAACAAAATGCGAAGCAGTTTCTGGAGTGTCCAGCAACGAAAACGCTCGGATTACTCTTAGTGCCGGAGTTAAGCCATGATATCTGCTTTAATGTCTTCGATGTCCGGCAGCTAAGAACAAAACCAATTAGTTCTCAAGGATACCTGATCGTTTCGTGTTTCATGATATGTGCATAGTAACAGAATATCACCAGGCAAACAATAATCACAAAAGTCTTTAAATGTTTGGCTGGAGAGCGGCTGCTTGCGATTGCTTGGCCACAAGTTCAGTGGCTCGCATGTACCTTGCAACGTCAGGCTATTATCATGTATCGACAAGGACGGAATGTTACACAAAGGATGCTAACAGTAAGGGTGGTATTAGTGTTCTATCCAGGGCGATAATCGACGGGTACGCATCTCTATGCACTACAGAATTAGTAGGCAGAACCCTGTGACATGCGACACAGCCACCTTCCTTTCCAAGTTGAGATATACCAAGCCTACTAGAAGCAGAGAAATGAAAAAGATATGAAGTTTGTGTTTTCGCGCTTCGGCCTTTCGCTGACTTTCAACGCCGTTGGAATCTTGGTAGTGAACGCGTCAAGGCACATTGCCACCGATGAACTGAGTTATATAGAACGATCATACACCCAAATTTAGACCAATATCTGCCTATTTTGTTTCGTGGCACAGCTGGAAGACCATCGTCTTGGAAAGTCTGCATATAATGAATAGATCAGAATCATGCGACATCATCTTCTCCTACCCCTTTTCGGAGTCTTGACAAAAGCCGCAGAATCCAAGCTAAATAACACCTATGAGTACATAATCGTTGGATCTGGTCCAGGCGGAGGACCTCTTGCAGCAAATCTCGCCAAGGCCGGCCATTCGGTTCTTCTCATCGAAGCTGGAGACGACCAATGGAACAACTCCAATTCGGCAACAGTTTGGAACAACCCAGTCGCTATAAACGATCCCCTAACCCGTTGGGATTTTTTCGTCAGCCGCGACGAGCCCCAATTCGATGAAGGGTTTGAGTTTACCACCTGGAGGCAGGCGAACGGAGACTATTATGTTGGATTGGATCCACCAGCCGGTGCCGAACGCCTTGGAGTCTATTATCCACGAGCAGGAACTCTAGGAGATTGCACAATGCACAACGTTGCGTCAATCTCCCTTCCAGCTGACGTCGACTGGCAAGACATTGTGGATACCACTGGGGACGACTCGTGGACTACAGCGAACATGCGCCAATATCTTGTGAGGCTAGAAAGATGCCACTATCTTGCCAATGGAAGCACTCCCACTCATGGATTTACTGGCTACATCGATACCTCGCTGGGGGATATATCGTGGGCCTACAATACCACGCCTGTAGCAGAACTGGCGCTTAGACACCAGAACGCAGCCGCGGGCGAAGGTGTCTGGAACTTGACTCACCTTGTTACCAGAGACATCAACGAGGATTCCCCAAATAGAGACGATACTGTTGGAGTTTTTGGGCCATTTACTCATTCGGATCATGGAGTTCGGTCAAGCCCTAACAACTACATCCGCGAGACACTGGCCGATGCAAGGCATTTCCCACTGTTTATCCAGCTAAACACTTTGGCAACTAGGATATTGTTTTCCAAAGCTGAAGGGAAGGGAACAAATAAGTCGAGGCCCAAGGCCATCGGAGTCGAGTTTCTCAAAGGCAAAAGCATGTATTCTGCCGATCCAAGGTATGATCCTGAGGTACAGGGCGTTTCCGGCAAAGCTTTTGCCTCCAGGGAAGTGATCGTTTCTGGTGGCGTATACAACACTCCGCAGCTTCTCAAGTTGAGTGGAGTTGGGCCCAAAGAAGAACTTAACAAGTTCAACATCCCTGTCGTTAAAGATCTCCCTGGCGTTGGAATAAACATGCACGACAACTACGAGACAACCATCTATGGGACGTTCGCAAACACATTGTACGGCTTCTACGATATCTTTGCGAAGACCTCGAAAGCCCTAAGGACCAGAGACATACACTTCTACCGCGGCGCTATGCAATTTATTGGATTCTGGCCTAGTATGCTTGGCTGGAACCCTAACGAGTTCACATGTGGTTTCATGCAACTTCACTCAAGGAACATCAATGGCTCGGTAACTCTGAAGTCTGGCAACCCTCGGGATATGCCCAATATCCACCTTGGTTTCTTTTCGCAAGGAGACGATGATGACCTCGCATCGATGGTAGAAGCCATCAACATGGTTCGCCCTGCGTTACAAGAACTTTCCAACAACACTTTCACGGAGTTGCGCCCATGCGCCGCTGGCACACTCTGCTCCAACGACGCTCAGGCTAGACTCCACCGCACCAACGTCTACTCACACCACGTTACTGGCAGCTAGGCTGGCAAATGGGTCTCCTCATCGGGAACTCAAATCCGCGATATCTCTATAGGTTCAAACCACATTTGGACGATGAATAACTTATTATATAGCTTCAATCTAGACCTATATCTTATGTATAGAAAGTCTTTCTCTAAGTCTTATAAATAAAAAGTTATTAGCTAACCCACGTTGCTAAGAGTTGGGTCTCCACATTTAGCTCCGATCTAAGATTTCTAGCTAGCTACTTTAGCTAGCTAGATACTTTCTATATACAAAATATAGATCTAGATTTAGGCTATACAATAAAGCATTGATTGTCTACATCAGATTAGAGTTCATAGAAATATTGCAGATTCTAAGATCCCGATGTGGAGACCCATTTACCAGCCTACTGGCAGCTGTGCAATTGGCTCGGATGATGACCCGCTAGCAGTTTTAGACTCCAAGTTTCGTGTTCGTGGGGTTGATAATCCCCGTGTTGTTGATGGTTCTGTTTTTCCAGTACAGCCAGGAGAGTTACCTAGTCTGCCGACATTCATGATCAGCGAGAAAGCTTTAGATGATATCTTAGTTGACATATAAATATGTTTTGTGTATCTTCTAGTACACATCGATATCGAGGCACGACCAATCAGCTGTAGTTTAGGACTCACAGAAGCTGAATTATGTACATGACTAGCTTATTCCATTGTCCACTCTAAACACACATGCATTACAAGACGGCGACACCACACTATCGAAAATAGACTAGAAGAAATATGTGCAGATCTGTAAAGGTGCGTTGTAGTCTTTGTAGACGAGGCTGTTGTAAGATCTGTGCAAATGTAGCAACACCAAAAATAGGTCTACAAATCAGATACTTGTGCAAATTATACTGACTTCCAAAGTCGCAAGAATGTCTAGATTACGAGGTACTACAGCTAACTACAAGAGCAAGATAAGTGCATGTCGCACGGTTAGGTGCGAGTATGTTGCATGCAAAAGATCTAGAAGAAAGCACATACTGTGTTGTTTGAAGTAGTCCAGCTTAGAATATATGAAAGTTACACAAAATACTAATGTGGGTTTTTAGCGAGTAACGTACACAAGTTAATAATGCGATTTCACTAAGACTAGCTAGACTTTGATTCCTCGAACTATAGAGCTGGTTCAGTGTTTAGATTAGGTGTTGAGTTGTCCCGGATAATAAGCCGTCAAGCTAGGTGCAAGTGTTACGAACCGTTGTCTACCTTATTCGCTTCTCTTCTCTACCTCTAAAAGCTGCATGAACGTGTCTACAATCGTCTGCTTTAGCGGAAGGTAACCAATACCAGTCACCTCCACAACTTGGCCTCCATCGACGTTGTATATGCTCGGTCGAGCTTTCTCTCTGCCTGTACCAGGCTCGCCCACCGGCACCCTGTCCCTAAGGCTTTGAATCCCCTCCCTTGCCGCGTCTGCTGCACTCTGCCAGTCAAAATGTTCCGCGACCAGAAATCTCTTTCCTGCAACATTCGGCGCATCGAGTGCTGCAACCATCATAGCGGCAAGGCTGCGCACATCCACGAAACCACCATATTCGAGGGGTGGGAGCTCAGGAATGTCAATTAACAGGCTCCATAGCAATCTGACTGTAGATCGGACTTCAGATAATTTATCCAGCCTTTCAACGTGTGGACCAAGAACGAAAGAGGGGCAGAGACAGGTCAATTCGAAAGACGGTCGATGGTCTTGCATCCACTCCCATACGGCCCGCTCGGACAAGGCTTTTGATGCCTCGTACGCGTCAACATGGTTCGTCAATGCCTCCACGTCATTCCGCGTAATCGGATTCCAATCCTCCCCGGTATACACGTAGCCAGGTCGCTTGCCCTTGGAGTAGTCCAGGATAGCCGCGAGAGAGCTTAGATGAATGACCCTCCGAAATGATTTCTTATCCGCAAATCTTTCCACTGCGCTTAGAACGCCTATTGCACTTTTGACCGCCGGATCCAAAATCTCTTTCACGATATCGTCCGCAGGGTAGCACGCGGGGCTTGCTGTATGAATCACGCCAGTGATGCTGCTATCAAAGACGTCGCGGAAAGAATCTGTATCTGCAAGGTCCGTGACGAGAGCGATACGAAGTTGTTTGTCGATGTAGTCAGGAAACGTATCCCGCAATTGCGAGGCGGCTTTCTGAGATCGTACGGTGCCTCGAACTTTGAAGCCTTTTTCAAGTAGCTGTAGCACCACGTGACCAGCTATGTAGCCGTTCGCACCAGTAACTAGTATCGTCTGGTTGGATGAGGTCATGATATGTCGAACAAGTATCGAGAAAGAAATGACAAGGTCGTTCAATAAGCTTTTATTTCATTTTGAACTTGGGATTGGCGAACCCTGTATGCCATACGGACCAAATACGCACATTGAACAAGAAGATCACGCGGTGACTGAACGTCCTCCACGTGGTACATTCTACTCTTAATGCGGAGCAATTTCGTCCCGTTTGGCGTCGCAAGGCGGCCTTTACGGAATTAAGGCTGTGACCGTGCCGTGTCCGTGCACTTGAGGCCCGAATCTAGTTAACAGTTAGCGTACATGTATTGAGAAGAAGACGGTATACGGAGAGAAATACTTTGTGAAAGGAGAGGCCTTCCGGGCATCAACCCAGAGTTCGGTGGATTTGCAGTCGCATGCCTTTGACAAAGAGGTTAGCGTACTGCAGAAAGGAGCTGGGCACATCATGCTGGAGGATCTATCGTTCAGCATACGCAATGGAACCTTACTTCGCATATACGAGCACCCAAGCTCTGCCCTGGTCCTTTATGGGATGTAGAGATTGTACAACGTTTCTGTTTCCAAACCGCTTTGATGATTATATACTTGTTTGTTGTAAAAGCTCCATCCAATAATGCCATAGCCTTCTGGATACTACCTCAACGATGCAGCTTCAGGGTAAGTTCATTACGCCATGTATTTGTATGGGTTTCCATAGTTGGCCGTCTTTTCAAGCCGTAGCACCGCGTTGTGTCTCATGAGAGCGTCCGGAAATGCACTTCGTAAATTGTGGATTTCCGACCTGGAAGAAGTATTATACGCTCCGTCGCAACATCTAGCATGGAGCGGACGTTCTGGTGCCCTTTGGCCTTCAGACAACAAGATGTGGCTGACTTAGGAGCGCATACGTATGACGCATTGCTGGACATGTCGCTGACACCTTCCAGTCCGAGTCGATCCAGCGTGACGCGTGCAAGCTGAGCCATGTCTTTCATGGCCGCAATTATGTCCCTCCAGGGCATTACACTCATACCAGTAGTTACGACATTTGAGAAGCTCACATCCTCCACAGTTGAACGGTGACGGAGAAACAGTCCGAGCAGATCACGACCATGGATCCTACACTGGAAGAGATGCAGCGTTCGAAGGCTCATCCAGGAAGACTGCGCAAGAATTCTTCGTAATATAAAATACCCAAAGGGCAAATTGTGGCCATAGAAGTGTTCAACTCCATTAGTGTAGTACACCAACTCCGCTATCCAAATCAACAGCGGAAGAAACTGGTAGAGATCGATGCCACTCATTGCGAAGTCGAGCGTGAGACTTCGTACCTGAGGAGCCATTGCTATCCAAGCGCGATGATTGGTGTCGAAGATTTTGCCATCGGATAGAAGGTTCGTTGCAGTGACCGTCAGGTCAATCGTGAACTTGCTCAACTCAACCGAACTCAAGATTTCGAAGAGATTCTCAAGCATAATGATCTCTGCGTAATATTCGGTGAAGAAAAGGCCATCGATACTGAATTCCAAGATGGACTTTGAACCGTACGGAGCCGGATCGGCCGTTAGTTTGAGCTCATGTGCTCCAAGTTCGCGAAGGAGCGGCATGGTTCCCCTACTCCGTTTTATGGTCTTAGCAAAACGTTCCTCGTAAGAAGTACCTACTAGACGAGGATTAATCTTGATACTGTTCAGCATCGGGAACTTTGAGATGGCCCCTCGAATACATTCAGTTCCTGCCCGGAAGTGGTCTTGGTGGTCAATTAATCTCCTTAGCGTACCTCCGTGCTTTTGAAGCCAGCGACTATAACCATCTCGCTCATTCCATCGAACAACCAATGCTGACCCTGAATCTCTGCTAGTGTTACCTTTCCATAGCGGTTCCGGGAGCTTGACCATAGGCCATATTGGTCGGGCAGAGTCCACGTAGATGTAGCTCTCAGGATGCGGACAACCGGTAGAGGGCTCTTCCCACTGTTCCCTGACGTATTGGAGGTCCACTTCCAGATTCGTATTCAGAACCTCTGGGCCAAATTCCAGCTCTCGTACGTATGTGCGCAGCTGCTCGTCTTCTGATAAGGCCTTGAGGATTTCCAAACTCTGCGGCATTAGGCTGAATTTGGAAGATGCGAGGTGGCGCTGGAGGAAGGCGTCCCTAGTCTTCCAATGTATCGTTCGACTAGTGAGAAGGAGATTAAAAAGACTGATGAAGTCAATGATGAAGACCTCTCCGTCAGGGTACGAGGACCGTGAGTGGCATATCTGCGTCCAAAGCTCTGTTGGTAGGCTTTCAGCTGTAGCTTCTTGCATTTGGGAAAGTGGGGGTGATGACATTGCTGGTGCGGAGGAGTGTTGAGATACGTGGTAGCCGCAAAATGGTAGCAAGGAATGCAAACTAGCAATGCATGATCGGGACCTAAGCTGGAGAAGTTTGTCTGTCAGCTTGCGACCGCTTTGTCACGGAGGAGTGATCGGTAGCGGTACGCGAGAGACAATTATCTCTCTGTCTCATAGCACAGTTCCTAACGTGACTTCCAGAAGATGCCATAGACCCGAAGCCAGGGAGATATGGCATCTTACCGCATATCGCTCAATTTTCACGGCAGTGGTACCAGAAAGATATTCATAGCGGCGTTCACGGAAGTCCAACATGACAACTTGACTCATAAGTAAAGAATGTTCTAGAAGAGTATCGTACTTGCTGCACGGAAGCGGGTAGAATAAGCCTGTCACCTGCTTATGTCGTCGAGCGCTGGCATCACTGCAGCGACGATGTCCACAATTACTGAAGATCGAGTGAACCATGTACGGTACAGATAAGTTGGGAATAGATACCAAAGCCTACCTATAGTTGCCCAGTAGAAGCAGACCCTGCCATGTAACGAACACAGCTAATGATCTTCGCAGTGACATCGCCTCCGATCCGATAATCGACTAGAAGGCCGACGCCGATAGGGCACACGCTGTTGCAAAAACATGCGCAAGAGACGATTTGGTAGTGCGTCTTTGTTTGGTGTGGTGGCGACTTAGTGGTCAAAGCTCTGTCGCCCATTTCCACTCGTCGGGCATGATGCGCGACGCCCCACTTGAGCCGACGCGCCCCGGACGCGACATCCAGCCTCTCAGCTTTCTGACCACTCGAATCAACTCATCGCACGAACAACCCCAAGATATCGAAGGCCGTACATACAATAGTATACATAGGAGTTCGGTCAAATTGACCAAGCTAGATAAGCAGATAGGAATGACACTTCAGAGTAAAAACGGCAGCTTGGTGTGTCCAGATGTCTTGCGCATCTGATCGGATCTCATTGGACTCATGCGAAGAGAACACACTATAATCCACATCTCACCCGTAACGCGCTCATAACCTCCGTGAAGCCGCTCTAGTCTTTCCAACACCACCGGGACGGGCAGCAGCAGCACTACCACCACCACTACCTACACAAAAAGTGCCTGGTCGCTTGCTTTGCTGGAAGCTCATCTGCCTCGTTTCGTTTACTGTGGGCTGGGAAGGAGCCGCAGGAATAGAGGCGGAAGTAGGAGCCGGAAGAGAAGGCGGTGAGATCTTCACCAGCCGTGGCGTTGCTGGAGGGGGGTTGGAAGAGGCTGTGAAGCCGGCAAACCCGGCTGGAGAAGGAGCACCAGCGACGTGTTGGGTCGGCCATGAGGTATTCCATATCTTTTGCGTGATGGCAGGAGGGGCTCCGAAGTCGTTGTAGCTCACAAGGGGTGCCGAAGAGGGAGTGGGTATGACGACCGGCACGAAAGCGACGACGACACCACGGCCAGCCTCAACGATCTCGTTGCCGAAGACGCGCGGACCAGACAGCGGATACCAAACGCCACGAAGGCGTAAATCGACTTATCGTCGGTTACTAGACGACCCGGAAAAACGAGGGGATATCATGGAAGAACGTATCTTGTGGAAGAAGAGGACATGGGAGACCATCATCAATCGCCAGGGTGTAAACTAGGTAAGTCTGGAACTGGGTTCCGTCGATACTGAGCTCCGCAATGACAATGCCAGCATTGTCTATAAGAGCTTCAAGGAATAGCACTACGACGAAGTGGTCATGATGAAGTTGTCTTCACATGCAAAGACGGTGGTCGCATTCGACTAATCGTTAGTTATGAGATCGTGAAAAAGATTTATCAGTGGCGGATATACAACATTAACATAGAAGTTATCAGTCTTTTGACGAAAGTGTCAGCATCCTCATCCACTGTGTTGACAGAAGTATCAGCATCTTCGTCCGCCAGAGAAGAAGTTCAATAACACTGTAAGTTTCGTTCTCGAAACTTCCTTCTAAGTTTTTGTGTTCTTCGCGCCTGGAACCTTGAAGATTCAGCCCCGTTTGCTGTACCACCTGGACAGATTTCAATCATGAACGGTTTGGGACGCTTCGCTCTGCTGGTCTAATCCCGGGTCAGCACTCTTAGTTGTGTTGACATAAATCTGCGAGCTAGTATGAACGTTGTGTACAATTAGCATAGTAATGTACCTCAGCGCTATTCGTCAAACTCCAGCTCTTTCTGCTGTTATGCGATTCAGAATATCTGGCCAATATCAACAGCAAGAAGCCCTTACGTCATACGTAGAGCCCCGTTGGAAGTTATGATTATCCTCAGATGTGTAAGCTACCAAGCCACATCTGTCTAGCAGCTGAGCGCCGCAGCAAAGGCCATAGCCAGAACCATCGTGACACTCGCAGCGATCGTCCCAGCCGCACCTGTCTCCTTGGGCGCTTCAGCCCCTGATGTGCCCGATGCACCACCCTTCTGCGTCCCACTATCACCTTTCCCAGCCCCGGTCTTGTTCGATATGGCTTGGGAGAATAGCAATCCCTGCACCACCTGCAGCGCGTCAAACACCTCATTCAGGTTGCCGTCGCTAGCACTAGCAGCTGTCCAATTACCACCGTCCGGATTGGCCCACGCTAGCGAGCATTTAACGTCCTCAGAATCTCCGTCGCATGCGCTGGCGGCGGCTTTGGCAGAGGTTTCGAGCTTCTTGGTAAGGGGCCCTGCGAGAGCAGGAGCGGCGACGACTGCGCGGGCATAAGAGCGAGCAGCGATACCCTTGAAAGCACGCATATCTATGTCGCACTTTCCGTTGTTTTCGCAGGCTGTTTCAGTGAGAATGTCGTCTTCGAAGAAGATATCGGAGGAGTTCATGAAGCCTTTTAGTGCATCGGTCCATTTCTGCTTGCCGTCGGTCTTTTGTGGTTATTAGTGCGATGTTAGAGCAAGCTGTATCGGGAGGTACGTACGATATTTTGCATGATAGCAGAACCCTCGGTATAGGTGGCGTGGTCGTAGGTCCACTGGATCTTGTTGATATTGCCACAATCGTTCGTGGGACGAGCACCGTCATACACCTGATAGTCGTCGCTGATGAGACCGGTATCCTTAGCCCAAGTAAACGACTTCTCAGCCCACTCAGAATACGTTTCGTTGCCGGTGAATTTAGCCAGACGGGCAGCCAGGAGGAAAAATTCGCCGTTGGCAGCTCCATTCTTGTAATCGTATCCTTCCTGGAAACTAAAGATAGCCCAGCGAAGACCGCCTTTACAGCTTTCTTCATCCCAGCGTAGCACCTGTATATCGAACACATCTGCAGCATACTCCACCCAGGATCTGTTTTCCGGCTTTGGGAAATCAGATTCTGCGGCGGTCATGGCCGCGAGAGCCCATATGCTTTGGTCTTCGTTGGTAATGTATGCAGTCTGGTTTGCCGGCAAGAAGGTGTAGTCTTCCCCAAGTTGCGCTTGAATGCCTTCAGAAACGACAGAGTCATACTGGGTATCGCCCGTCAAGTAAGAATACTCGATCAATGCGTTGAACATGATACCTCCTTCCCACCAGAAATAGGGATCTGGAAATACACCGGGGGTTCCTGATTCGGAGACGCCCTCATTGTAGAACGTAACGAGACCATTTGCAAGAGTCTTTGCAACGTTCCTGATAGAGTCTGTACACATTAGCTTCGTAGTCGCGCGATTGGAAAAGATCGTCATTACCCTGGTTCTGAACATCCAAGTCTAACGCCGCGGACCTAACAATGCATGATAAAGCGAGTGACAGCACACTAGCGCGTGCAAACATGACGAAAGAGTAAAAGAGTGTGATTGCGCAAAGAAAGAGGGAACTAAAGTGGGATTGCAGCACGTTCAAGAACAAAAAAGGGAAAAGCAGTTGACGATGTTTGTAGGTGTCGCATGTCGACGCTAGTTTTGTGGAGGCCTGCCGCCTTGCCGTACCACCAATTGTTGCTCAGCGGCTGATTAGCGTAGAACGCCTGAACCCGAAAAAGCTCGTGGCTCATCTCGTGTAGCCATTCAGGGGCACTACAGCATCCTACGAGACACCTAATACGGGCGTAAAGATGCCTTGCAATGTGTGTTGGAGGTGGCACAGCCCTATGGCTGTCAGGTGTGTACGCCTCGTTCCAGAGCCAAGAGCTTGGGAACATGGCATTTGGGACGCATGGGCTACTTCTTTTCGTTGCCAACTGCTCCTGGACTGGGTATGCGATCTCTTCCTGTACCCTGCCGAAGTCAGATAGCATCACATCAATTTGCCTTCCCGCCAATCCCCATCTTCGCGACCAAAGCCTCGGCAATATCGTGCGCAAAGCCCTCATCGTTGACAGCGCGCTCATCCTCATTGATTTGAATATCGCTGTCCCGAAGTCCATTTCGTAGCGCATCGAAAAGCGCAGCATCTGCCTTTTGGTCTTCCAATGGTCCATCAGGGACCGCGATCATGCTGATACCACCTTTCGGAAACCAGACCTGAATCACTTCTGGTGTTTTCGCATGACTTTTCAATTTCGTCGCAATGAATTCGCCAACTTGGGTTGCTTCGTCTACCGAGGTCCTCATCAAGGTCACGACAGGATTGTGCCCGTATAGCTTGCGGTCCTTGTATCGTTCCGGTACCGTGTTCACGGGACCAAAGTTCGTCATGTCCGTCGCGCCTACAGAGACGATGTTTGGTATTCCGGCTTCTGCGGCGGCTTCGAGGCGATGCTCGCCGGCGCTCATGACACCGCCGGAGATATGATCGCATATCTCGGTAGTGGTAAGATCCAGGACTGCATCAAGGCCCCCTTCTCGAATAAGTCGCTCCATGGCTTTTCCACCGTGACCGGTAGCGTGGAAAACGTACGTCTCGATATCGTAGTTGTCTTCGAGATGTTTTCGGATGAAGTCAACAGCTGGCGTAGTAACACCGAACATGGTGATGCCGACACGCTTCTTCCGCGGTTGAGCTGTATCTTGTTGGCGAGACGCGTATGCGCGAGCCATTCCGGCGATGGCTGCTCCAGCATTGCTGAGCACGTTGCGGAGTACTTGGTTAAGACCAGCCACGTCTACAACGCTGTACATCATCGTGATGTCGGTCTCACCTACGATAGGTCCAGTATCGCCGCTTGCCACGGTTGACACAATGAGCTTCGGGAAGCCGATAGGGAGCGCAGTTCTCATCACTTCCGCGGCGAGCGATGTGCCACCCGAACCTCCTGCATTGATTGCGGCGTGTATCTTTCCTTCTTCAAAAAGCTTCTTCACAGCTTTGGTAGCGCAGGCAGCCATTGTTCTGATGACTTCTCCCCGAGGTAGCTTGCTCACATCTTTCACATCTCCGTGATCTTCTAGCAGTTGGTGTTGACTAATAGTAATGGCATCGTACTCCTTGTGGCGCCGACCCACATCCATCAGCATGACATCGACATTGTTCCCTTCTATCTCTTTGCGAAGGAAAAGCAGCTCCTCCAACTTTGTGTCGCAAGTACCGAGAAGAACCACACGTGTGTTGGAAGACATAATCGCGTGATCATCCGGAAAAAAGTACGTTATAGATGCTCTAGGTATCGTGAGAGGGCGTCGGCTGTAGATGCTCAAGCCAGTGTACTACATCCCCGCGCTTGCATTACGTCATCGTGCATGCTTCAACAACCTTTCTTAGCATCATCGCTACAACATCAACACTGTGGAAGGCAACATCCAATACTGAAAATCCCTTTCTTGTCTCAGTTGTAAGTTGGGATAACTCCATATTAAACAACATGTCACCACCGACCGATCGTAAGACCATACTGCAGAACCTCCGCTCGCAGATCGACAATGGCAAAATCGTCGTTGGGGCAGGCGCTGGCATCGGGTTAAGCGCAAAGTTCATCGAAGCTGGTGGTGGCGACTTGATCATTATATACAACAGTGGAAGGTATCGGATGGCAGGCCGAGGCTCGTTAGCTGGTTTAATGCCGTACGGAAACGCTAATGATGTCGTATTGGAAATGGTATGCAAGCCTCGTTTGACCCCAAAGACGGAAGTCTGTGGGGAGGATTAAATGACTAATGATTCCAGGCTGGCGAAGTTCTTCCTATAGTCAAATCCACGCCAGTGCTAGCTGGTGTGTGCGCAACCGACCCCTTCCGAGACATGTCTCGCTTCCTGAAGCAACTGAAAGACCTTGGTTTCGCCGGCATCCAAAACTTTCCTACCGTCGGTTTGATCGATGGAACTTTCCGGCAGAATCTCGAAGAGACGGGGATGTCGTATGACGCCGAAGTGGAAGTAATGAAGATGGCACGCGAAATGGATCTCCTAACAACGCCGTATGTGTTTAATGTTGAAGAGGCGAAGAAGATGGCAAATGCAGGGGCCGATATCTTGGTCGCACATATGGGACTTACGACGAATGGAAGTATTGGGGCGAGTAGTGGGAAGAGCTTGGACGATTGCGTGAAATTGATCCAAGAGATTCGTGATACCGCTACAGGAATCAAGGAGGATGTCATCATCCTGTGCCATGGTGGACCAATTGCAATGCCAGAGGATGCGGAGTATGTGATCAGCAGGACGAAGGGCGTGCATGGCTTTTATGGTGCAAGCTCAATGGAGCGCCTGCCAGTTGAAGACGCGATAACGAACATCACAAAAACGTTCAAGAGGTTGAAGCCTGGGTCATCGGCGTAGTTTAGCAACGAAGAAACAAACTAGATGCTATTGTTACATAGCGCTCGTAGTCTTCGAGTCACATGGTCCAGTACAGTATATCCAATTTGCTCTATAAGTCCAGGGGTGGAACATGGTTCTATATCTACAAAGTATAGCGAAAGTCAGGATGGCGATCGCCAAGCTTCCGAGGCACGTTGATGGTTTAAAGAAAAGTGTCAAATGGTTGGGAAGGTCCAACTTCATCTCTTTGGCATGTTTGCGATAGTTCAAGCCTATACATCGTATAATGCCGACTTCGGTTTTGGAAAGCGGTGGTAGCAGTCGTGAGATTGCGATTGCTGATGTTGGCTGAATATCTGCAGAGAGTACCGACGACCCGGTGAAAATGCGCACTCCAACATCTAATCTGGAGGCGAGGGCTGCGCCGACTGTACAATATCAGAAATGGCGTCCTGTGAAGAAGAGAGGTCGGCATACCGCTCGCCGATATGCTCAACATCATCTCCAACCGCAATAAAACGCGCCAAGCGACTCCATGTCTACATTGTCGTATCAGTGAACCCCATTTGATTTCCTGCAAGAACTCAATACCGTGTTCATTCCACTTGCGACATCCAACGATCCTATGTTTATCTGAAGTTTTGTAGATACGGCGGTAAACTCCGAAGCTGTGTACGTTCAAAGTCTCCGTGCTTAAACCTCGGATATTTATTCCATGCAATTCGCAGCGTGACGATTGATCTTATTGCCACGGCGTGCGTCTCCGTTGCTTATCGATCGGGAATTGTTGGACAGGCCGACACCCCTGCTCAAGCGGGTCAATACCCCACAACTGCATGTGCATAATGTTGGGTAACATTTTCTGGTATGCTGGTATGCTCCTACAAGACACGCGCTGAAAGCAGGAGCGCTCGTCAAACCCAAGGTTGTTCAAGTTTTGCTCGAAGTTTGTTCAGACCGTAAATGGCACATCTACAGCATGGTTGAACTACAACATCGCGTCTTTAGCGGTACGAAGACGCAAGAAAACAACGTGACCTTTCCAGAAATGCAAATATACCATTTTTTGTAGGCGCTATGTTGCGATGCTACACTATATAAATACAAAGGACGTCTTTCTTTACCACAGCCTCCGACCTATGCCTTCTCAGCAGTCAAAGCTGTCGCCTCAGGAATTTCTGGGTCTCCTTCTCTCTCCTTCTTGCCCTCGCGTCCGAGTTCTGTCTTTCCTGAAGCTCATGCGGTGCGCGAGTATAGGTCTGCTCATACTGCTCGCGCAGTATCTCCATACTCGCCGGAACGCCCGCCTGAGCCATTCTACTCAGATCCGCCATTGACCGCGAATTGAACCGCTTGATGTCTCGCTCACCCGGAGGCACGTTCGCCAGGTTTGTGTCAATCGGCGCGTATTGGCTACGGCGATTCAGAGCCACATTGACCCGCCCTGGACTCGGCGCCGTCGCTGTTATCGAATCCGGCGAGCTAGGCCGTGGCCCTTGAGTCGGGAACATGATGGGGAATTGGACTGGTTGCTGCAGCCACTGACCTTGTTCATCCTCTTGCTGAGACAAGTACTTTGACACCGGATTCCGGTTCCCTGGAGGCGGTGCTGGTGGTGTCGTCCTAGAAGCATTGGCAAATTCAGAGGGCTTCTGTGGCACTGGAAGAGGCATTTTGTGTATGTTCAGAGGACAAGGCATGAGACTGTCATGAACTAGACCTGAGGCGGCAGGACCGTCCATGAAACTGCGGTCGTCGAGAGAACCTGTCAACCATGACTGCCGATCGCTAGGTGGGGTCACGGCATCTCCGTTCAGGTCCAAGACCATTGACATAGTCGATAGGGTCGGCGAAGGTGTCCCCTGCTGTGTTGTCGCCGGTAGTGGATGTGGCGTTACCGACCGCAGCGACGTGGACGTTCTAGGTGCGAAGACGTCAACAGCCTGTCGCATTGGGGATTCCGAACGCAGTGATCTCCCGGATTCGGGGGTGTTCAAGGTCGAGCGACTCAGATCAGGATTCGTGACGTGCCATTCTTGTATTGGCGGCAAAGGAGCGATACTACCCACGGCATCCTGAACTTCTGGAACAGAGACTCGGTCAATCTCCCCAACTACGCTGCCTGGAGCATACGCAGCCCTTGATGGAGAACCGACTTCGAATCTGTTGGCCTGGTTCTCCCCTCGAGACCATAATCCGCCGCGGATTGCATTCTTCGCCAAAATCTTCGCCGCGTTCTTCGCCTCAACTATACCTTTGAAGCCTAACGTTGCCTCGTTCATACCCTTCGTGATTTTTTCACCGCCTTTGGTAAGCACATGCTGAACCAGAGACGAAGAGGACAAGGAATCTCCAGGAACATTGTAGTTGTTCACGGTCACTGGACCGTAGAACCTATACTGTACCGGACTCTGTCGTGAGTGTGATGAGACTACGATTGCCGGGATTGTCGGATCGGGAGCAGTTACTAGCGCTTGTCTCTCGACATCGATGAGAGTTGGAGGCCGAGATTTTGCAATAGGCTTACGCACAACGCTCGCATTTGATGTTCGAGACGACGGCGGTCGAACAACAGATGATGACCCACTCGAAGGTGAAGAGAACAACAGGGACGTGGACGGTCGAGAGCCTTGAGCTCCCAGCTGCTGATGTTCACCGGACTCATGACGCCATAAATCTGACGGAGCGGTCTGTGGCTGTTCATGGCGGTGGGGATGTTGTGTTTCCAAGGCTGTGACGAACGAGCCTTCAGAAGACACGGCACCCAATCGAGTCAGAGCGTTAATTGCTTGCGATGATGGCGGATATGCGCCAGGAAGTCGCTCGCTGGATCTGCTGTCGTCCAAAGGGCGTCGAGCTGTCCGGTGCCTCCGAGATAGTATCCCGGAAAGTGGTACTGGGCCGCCACGAGGTGCTTCAATACTCGCGTAAGACTGTGGGTACGCACCTGGCAACTTCGGGGTGTTAACTTCTGATATCCATCGCCCCACCGTACTACGTGCAGCCGAGCTTGCCTGGGAAGGAGACGGAGGATAGGCGCCGGGATGTACCGAAGTATCGTCGCTAGTTTGCAGCTCGCTTGAAATATCTTGAGGTACTTCGAACGAATCCGCTCCCTGCGTATGGTTCTCTTCTACCATGTGGCGCGATGGTAGAGGGGTCGAAGCCATCAATCGAATAGAAGACCCGCTTCTAGCAGAAGATGAAAATGAAAGAACTGCACCCGGTAGATACGGAGCCCTCACGTCGAGTCTGCTGCAATCCGTTGTAGATGTGGCCGGAAGAGCAGCAGGGCCATTGCTTCGAAAGCTTGCGGCTAATTGCAAACTTGCTGCCTGAGATTCTGGTGTCTCGGCGATTGGTATTAGGGGCCGCAAGAGTGCATCGAGATCCTGGATCGATTCTTGAGCACCAGCCACGCTCGCTTGCTCCTGCTCAGGGACCGAGCCCGGAGGGTAGGAGGCTGCGGCTCCCAACACTGGACGTCCATATATATCCTGAGTCGCTGATCGCTGGCTGGCCTGCTCATGCTCAATGACAGAGCGCGGCATATCTCGCCGAGTTTGCTCGACTTTCGCAGCATAATTCAAATGCTCGTCGTCCTGACTCAGCCGTATGGCAAGCTGCATCTGCTCGTCTTCATCCAGGTCACCAACAGCGTAGTCCGCCTGGAGACGGGCAAGTTCCTCGGCTTTTCGCTTCCGCTCACGTTCAGCGGCGGCCTTGATCTCAATGATTGCTTTGTAGATGCTCTCCTGCCGCTGCCGCTCACGTTCGGCTGCCAACGTTCTCTCAACAATGGCCTGTTCTTCCTCTTCTCGCGCAACTTGAGCCCGAGCGCGTTCTTCGCTCCGAGATAGCGATTCAGCCTTTCGAATATCCTCTTGGTAACGAATCCGTGCTTCACGCTCGGATAGTAGTTGGGCTCCAAGTATCTCTCGTTGTTCCGCATCGTCAGCTGCAAGACGATCAAGATCCGCCTGTTTTGTCATTACTCGGCTGACATCAAGCGCAAGACGAGTCTCCCCATCCTCTTCTGCGTGCGGGCGGTCGGCTTCAGCAGTTGTAGGATGCTGTGACTCTTCAACTATAGCGGTATCTAGACTCAACCGTATAGCAGTTTCCAAGTCTTCGTTTTCTTTCCGGTCAAGGTCCTTGGTCACCTCCGCCGCAATCCATGGTAGATCCTCCGGCTCGAAGTCGTCGTCTGAGTCGGTCGTCGGAATGTTTCTAGCCTCGTTCTCGGCCTGTACGATGCGAGCTAGGTCGGCCGGGTCAGCCGGCCAAGCCCAGTCTGGCGGATTGTTTGTGGGGAACGACATCTTCTGTGATGCGGTATGCGAGGAATGTGGCTGTCGCGCGGTAGAGCCGGTAGGTTCGGGGATGTGATGAGTGAAGGTGAGAGTAGAGGTGGGGAGTGGTTGGGGTGCCTGTAGTGTGTGTCGGGCTGGGCCTTTTATCGGTAGAAGGCTTACACTGCCAGCATCGTTGCTCACATGTGTCTCCTGAACAGGAGTGTTCCGGATATAATTTCTCTAACGTCATAGCTGTTCCGGAAAAGGCGCGATGAGATACGCTACCCGTGTGATGGTCATAGCACTTCTCGGGCGTTGAGGTACAGAGCTCCAGTTGACGCGAAGATCCCTGGATGAACATCGCTATATCTCGACTAAAATAGATAGACCGAACGTTGCGCCTACCGGGTCGTGTGTCCTATTTAATAATGTAAGGTATGAGTTGATATATCGAATGATGTGGGCAAATGGGTGAAATTACTGCATGGGGTATCGCATTCTTTGTCAAGAAGGTTTGTGTATCGATTAGAATCGTCGCTGTTTGTATTCGCATTTCTTTGTGGTGTCGCGAGGAAGTTTTGTTCCGGCAATTACACTTTGTTTCTCTCACGTGTCCAGTCCTGGTTCTACTGCTTTCGGGGTTGCTTTCCTGATGGAAGTTGGTATGTCCAACAGATAGACTGAGCAGTTTTGAATGTGAGTAATGTATCGTTCACAATCCACATCCAGTAGTCAACGCATCGACAACTTGTTTCCGAAACTCAATCATGCCTTTAACCGGATCGTCGTAGTGCCAAGTAAGGCATTTGAGCACGACCTGCGCATAAGCCTTCCCCATCTCTCTCTCAATGTCGATACTGTTAGCCCAATCCAGTGTCGCATTGTGAACGCGATTGAAGAGATCTTGCTGCTGCACTATGCCGAAGATGGGAAACTTTTCTATACGACGAGCGAAGACTTTCGCCATCGTTCGCCATAGCCCGAGCTCGAGAAGAACCACACCAAGGGAATATATCTCATGCTCATTCGAATATTCAGACGATGGTCGGCCGAAACGGTCGTGATGTCGGTACAGGTTCGGCTCCAATGCAAAGTGCGTAGCGTCGAGAGGTTGCAGGACGCCCCAGCCTACAAAGAAAGGAGATAACTCGAGGTCGTTCAAAGACCGTGGAATCATCGCAATACTACGCGACTGTACGTTTCCATGTACCCAACCGGAGGCGTGCGACTCAAGTAGTGTGCTCGTCAACGCTCTGGCTATGAGAAAGCGGCTTCCTATCGAAGGTCTGACTGTCGGGCCCTTTGAGATCAAATCATGCAAAGACGGTGGATTTGATGCCCAAGGATGGCTTTGCGGTGCTCGGTAGACGATCAGACTCCTTTTGTTTAGCGGATCATCGATGAAACCCATGCAACTAAGTGTGTGCAGCTGGTAGCCATCCTGAGCGTCGCTCTTGACAGATACATCAGTCTGGTGAGGGCTTTGTAGTAACCACGTAAGATGACACATGTATTCAGCGGGGGTCTCGCTATCCGCTCTCGGTTCCACCAAAACGTCAACCTCCTCGCTACCATCGTCGTATATCGTCTTGATTAGACTTTGTGATGGATGTTCGGTGCTTATTGTGTCCCTCAGTGCGCCTACAAGCGCGCTGTAATCGCCCAAAGGCTCTGCACCTGCTCGGTGCTGGCGCTCTAGTTGCTCTGCTACGCCAAGGATTGCAGCCTGCCTGGTGTTATTGAAACCTGGATCTGGTGGCCCAATACCAAGGAAGACAATCTCTACAGATTGTCGAAGCCGATGCGTCCATTGCAAACAGTTGAGGTTAAGCGCGACCATTTCCTCTTCTCCGAACAATGTCTTGTAGAGCCTAGGTCGCGCCTTTTCGCGCCAAAGTTGTGACCGCTCTTTCATCTCCTCTCTCCAGCTCTTCTGTTCGTATTGAACATCCAATGACGCGGCACGACCGCGCTTTAGGTCCTCGATGCTTCTTTGTCCTGCGTCAGGGATAGGACTTTTGCCTATGTACCTCCATGCCTCCCGATGCGCGGCTAGCGACTTGTTGAGTGAGTATAGAGAGTACTCTACATCACTCGTTAAGATACGATGCACACGGCTGTCGCGTAAGATCCCGGTCAAGTCGCTGAAGCAGACGTTCGAAAATACATCCAAGAAAACGAGTGTTTCGTTTAGGAAGTTGTTTGTATGTGGTATGCCGCTTGTGTCTTTCGTGACATCGCGGATAAAGATCAGAGTTGCGCAAATCACTGTAGCAGCGTTAGCATGTCAGCTTGCGACTGCGTGGTCTTTGTTTGGTGTTTGAGTTAGGACAAACGAGCAAGAGCTTCCCAGTCCAGAAAGTGTTTGCAGCGCATAACGGAATTTTCTTCGAATGCTACAAGGAGCTATCTACTAGGATACGTACGATGTATGAGCTCGAGGGATGCGCTGACATCGTCCATGGCGTCGCAAGCTACCCACGAATGGTAGACCTCAAGATACAGTCAACAGAACACGATGCAGTTGCAGAGAGTAATGTGAGGAGTGCATTAGCGGCGCAAGCTGTCAAGACAGTGAGCGAACGGCAATGCGGCGTGCCATCGCGCTAAGCCACCACGCCGGCGTCGTGTTCCAGCTAAATTTAAGTTACCCCGCCACATGGCCGTTATGAACGACCCTGATATGCGACACGGGCGAATGATTGACGTGATTTAATGAAAATATGTGAAATTCGAGGATAAGGTGGTTGGGAAGTGGGAAGTCTGGCGGCTGCCCAAGATCTGGCTTCCAAATTACCTGCAGCGTCATTGCCCGTGCACAGCTTGAAAGAAACTAGCTACCCAGGTGTATGTGGACCCATGTTAACGTTCGCATTCAGCTTCTCCAGCTTTTCATCGTTTCTTCCGTATGGTAACATTCAATCTAGTTAATGCACTATATCCTACTATTGAGTTTTGAGCATAACATGCACCAAGGTAATCTTGAGAACGGTCACATGACGATGTTAGCTCCAGATCTGGATCTGACGTCATCATTCAGGCTTAGCGCGCAGTACCCCTTTCTCCTTCTCGATGCTATCTTCTCGTGGATGTCAAAGTGTATGATTACAAAGACATCATGTTTAAGCTTATCGATTGAGGTGGTCTCAGCCTTCTCCTAATCCCCAGAATCTACGATCCATTCAGGAAACCTATCAATTTGCATGGTATCTCCGTTTCCCATCGAAAGACAAACGTTGTACTCGTTCCTTTACCCCGTCTCATACTGTATTGCTCTGGCATTCGATTTGCTAAACTTGCTACTCTGTACGCCTGCATCTGAGCTTATGAAATGTTGGATGATTCCACGTGCGAAACCCGGTCGCTCCTTCTTCCTGCCTCCCTTCTCCACACTGCCCTGCTTGCTTTTGACTTGCTGCCTCATCAACAGCCCAAAGCCCATCTCTATATGTGTTCAAAATACCTCGCTCCAGTTGTTCTCGCGAGGTCGAGCGAACACGATTGCTCTAGCAGAGCATCATGAATAGCTTCATCCCCTTGGTTCCGTCTGGGAATCTGAGCGTCTACATAGCGTCACAACTGTGTGCAGCCGAGGGAGCCGCGGAAAGTCTTTTCTAATATTATCAGTCGTCGAGTTTCTAGCCGAAGATGTGCCACTTAAGCCAAACGCAGGCGATATCTTGTGCGAGCGCGCATTCAAAGATACTGAGCTACGCCGTGAGCGACGAAGCCAATCATCTTATGTCGTCCATGGATGGCTGGGGCTCATATCTGTACAAGGTATAGGTTTGTGTTGAGCCGTGGTGAATCTTCGAACACGGGTGTTGTGATGGTCATCAGCCGAATCTTCATCACTCAATTGGCGAGATCCGCTAACCTTATTTTCGTTTCTTCGCTCCGGAAAGGTTCTCGCTGAATGATTATCCATGCCTTTGTAGGAGTATTATGATGGTTATGCTGAGGTTTGAAGTACTTTGGTTCATTCCAGATCCGAGAAGTCGCTCCGAGGCTCGCAATACAAGAGGAGAATACAAGAGACTGATTTCGACTGGTAAGCAGTTGCAGAGACTCTCGGACCATCGATCATAAGCCCAACAACATGGATCAATCAACGTTACAATACTTTTACTGGTAAACAGCTCACCTCAGTAACAGCGCACCGACCACGACATTTTGTCTGCCTGAGTACCGACGAGCACATATTACAGGCTATCCCTGACATCCATTCAGAACACAGCTTCAAATCTACTTTCCTTCCACCAACATATCGAGCATCGAAACCACTGCGTCCAGTGCCGCACAGCAACATGCAGTCACGCGCAGACTGTCCAGTCATCAGCATCACGTTTACCGGCTCTCCCTGGTGAGATTTGGAACCACATCTACAAGCACGTCCTGACATAGACGTATTCGCTAGAGACTAGATTCGGACAGTGTAATCCTTCGCGCTTCCACCTGGTTCAACACCAAGGTCAACAGTCATTCAACCATCTAAAATACACATGCCGGCAGCTCACTATCGGGATAACTGATGTTGAGCTCAAGCACAGCAGTATCAGAATTGCATCTAAAGCATTCGTCATGCGGGCGGTCGCTAGTCGGCGCCTCCGTGTCATGATCAGCTCGCCACGCTCAACACACCCATCGCATACCCCTTGGCTTGGTACGATCATCATAACTACTAGTCATTCTAAGCCCCTTCCGGATTTCGACCTAGATAGTTGGCGGCATCTTTTACTCTACCTAGACCCTACTTTTAGAGTTTCTGGGCTCTTTACAATCGTTCGATGGGCTATGCCATAATACCCGAACCTTGCGATCAGATATACAGGACCACAATTCTCTTCGCAGCAGTTTGAACGTCTTCATGTACTGGACATACTTTCTTTACGGCGTTGTCATGACTATAGCTGTCAAGACGTAGCCCTGCACCACTACGCCATGCAACCAAAAATGTACGTTGTTACAAGTAACGCGAAGGATTCTCTCCGTGACGGGGGAAGTGGGTTGAAGGTCAACCACGTCCACGTCAGAAGGTAATGATCTGCGCGGGGCGCAAGGGATCACGTGACTAGCATCCCGCCAAGACATGGCCTCCGGGAGGCCATTACTTAAAGGGAGGCCAGCATCCTCCTAGACCTCCCTCCACAGTATGAGGCACGGGAGGACACAGGACATAGCAACGAGGATATAAGGATAGAAAGGTTTCATTATTACACTCATTGTAGTCAACTTAAATAGTTCATCTCTTACACAGATTGTTAACTAGTTATTCTACTATAGAATTGGATTGTCTTTACCTTTAGTTAACTTCGATAACTCTTTTCCACACGAATCGCCAGACAAACCGCACGGCTTACCGCTTTAGTCTACCTCGCCTTAGTACGGACCGAGCTTAGAGAAGTATAGCCTAACCCCGTGTAACATACGTATGATCAGTGAACTACTGATCAGGGTGCAGGATAGTATATATATCGTCAGCCATGCCTAACAGTAGCTTTACGCGGTGCCGATCTCACTCACTTACTCCCCTGGTCCCCCTCCGGGTTGAAACTGATACTGTAGCAAGTTACGGGATGTTTCACACCCGAAATGCGCATTGAGTCGGGCAAGCTCGCTTCATGTTAGTTAATTAGGCTAAGAGAGATGTTCTACAATGGCTTCTGGGTGATTCGGTACTGATGACGGAGGGTGGGCGAACGCGTTCGGCAGAGCAGCTGAAGGTACAGCTTGATCAAATGATGATCTGACCAGTCAACGGCATGTAACTGCCGGGGGAAGGATTGTATGGTATCTGAGAGCAGGAAATTGATGGGGAAATGGACAATTGTACAGTAGGTGTTGCGGCGAATGAAGCACAAGAAATCCCTCTAAGCCTCGGATTGCAAGATTACCATGACGAGCGAGCCTACATTGTCGAGTGAAGTGATCGAGACATGTTCCATTTTCAGACGTGGAGGGTATTAATCTCACGTACCTCCTTCAACTTTATCAAAAGTTTCCAATTCGATGATTCGGCAACTGTTCTGTACATGTTTTATGGGGAGGATACGTGTGAAATTCTTAAAACCTATGAAAAATGAGTCATGTCGTGATGTGTTGAATGCTAGGACTAGTAGGTGGACGCGTCGATGACGTCACGCACTAAAAGCTAATTGATTGTCTCAACGATACGAGCTCGCCGCGATAACTCTTCACTACCACCACCGACCCTCACCCCAGCTGCACCAGCCATGGGCCGCAAGGGTTTGCGGCGCTATAAGAAGAGCAATCAAGCTCAACAGAACTCTGCGTTCGACGAGGAAACCACGACGCGATGGATAACACCGAATACCTCTACCTTTCCGCACACACCGACCCGAGATAGCAGCACCGCGAGCCTCTCACATACATCCACTAGGGCGCCATCGCCACACATATATCGTATCTAAGCCTAGTGAGGCTTTGCGCCTCCGAGTGGTGCCGGCTTGCTCGCAATCCGCTTGTCCTGCTCTTCTTTGGGCAACGTATCCCATTCCGCTACATTCTTGTCCTACCCGACATCAGTACAGTTTTTCATGCCACAAGCTGCTTGTTATCTGACTCACCCATTCTGCTACACATTGTGGCTTCCAGTTACACTGCTCCACCTCGCCATACATGGGGTGATTGCGTCGCGGATGTAATGTCGGCCATCCTGAAGCATGATAGTGATGCTTCACCAATGCCCCTCTTGAGTCATGATTTCCAGAATCGGAGTGTCCCTGGCCAGCGGCGAATGCTTCGACATTCAGCACTAGAATTCCGTTGACCAGCCTTGACTCGGCCAAGTTATGGAAAAGATCCCAGGTAACCGGCTTTCCATGGTTTTGTGCAGTCATCTGTTCTAATACAGCCTTCGTAAATGCTGATGGACCTGTCCCGCTAATGACTTCATCGAAGTCTAGATGAAGCTGCGAGATCCCGACTCCCTTCTCGTGCGACAGCTCATGCAACCACACTTGTATGTTCTCGATGAGCCTCATCATCACCGGTAGTCTTGGCTTGGCGGCGAACGTCCATTGACAGAAAGATTTGCACTTTGACCCCAGGATGGCGTGTTCCGCGAATGTTGGCTCGTCAATCTCCACACCAATTATCATGTCGACATCCTCCTCGACGTACCGCTCGGGTATGAATCTGTCAATGGGACGGAGGCATTCCACATCTATATCGGCATACACGCCACCCTCAGCATACATTACGAGATAACGAAGTAAATCAGCCTTGATGATCGTTATGTTGAGCTCTCGGTAAAGATCGACAAGGTCCTGTCTGTTGATACCCTGCGCACCGTAGTGCCATTCGAGGTACTCGTTCGCGTTGTCGTCGGTTAGAACCTCGTACCGATATCGGGGATTCTTTTCCGGCCATGTCTTCGCTGAGTCGGAGTCGCGCTTCTCGAAGCCTAGGGGGCCGACCTTCCATGTCTGCCAAATCTTCCTGGGTATTACCACACTGTTGAGTTGCAGCGGCTGTTGGTACTTGAGCTCGCGCCTGTACTTCGAAGCAGCCCGGATAGGTGTAGTAAAGAAATGTGTATTGGCGAAGAACAAGAAAATGAACAGTAGGGCGAGATACGCAGGTAAAACCCTTCGCACCTGACTTGTAAGCTTGCCTGAGAAGTGTGATGCGATTGGGGAATGAGGAGCCATTGTGGTTCTTAGGTGAAGCTTGGGCGGAGATTGCCTGGGTCGTGTGCGCATTCTGGGGTTATTACAGTAAAGCAGGACCCTACGTCGACCCAACCCTCTCGAAATCTATGGGAGATTAGCTGATTGAGAATCTCGTCCAAGAGCCTCTTGTCATCTTCGCGATCGGCCATTGCGCCCACCAATCCCCGCTCAGCTATCATCCTCGGTACGTCGGTACAAATGGTTGAGAGGGGCCAGCCTTGTGACGGAAATCCAATAGTGCATGTGCATCGTATGCCTAGGGATCCGTCTGCATCGTTGCGGCGAGGATGTTAGGTCAAGATGCCTAGGCTAAAGCTTCTTTAGATGATCCCTGCAACTTGGTCGGCGGCTTCGACATAATCGGTATCATCCCCACTCAAAGCCCTGCACCTGTTACCGTTTGTCAGGGACGATCCAATAGGACTATCTACCAAACCGTAATTGATGTGCGCTATTGCAGTTCAATCTAGTCCATTGTCGGAAGCTCCTGCGGTATGTCACCAAAATTACCATTAACATACCCCGCCTGTGTGGGCTGTTGGACTTGGATGAGCGCTTTATTGCACTTGACAAGTTGTACGCATGTGCTGCCTCGGTTGGGATAAGCTACAGGTACTATCTTCTTGAGAAAGCTCTGCGCTCTCCGGCCTAGCGCAATCCCCGCGTCATCCGCTATCGTTTTGAGTTCTTCGACACTCACCACTCCATTCAAGTCAAATCACATTCATCAGAATTACTGTTACGACGTCGTATTCAGCAATGCCAGCCACACATGAGGGACCACTGGATCATGGCTACCTCGAAGACGTCAAACTCTCGCCGACAATATGGAAACCAGTCCGAACAGCAAGATGGAGCCTTAACGCCGTGCGTCCAGAGTTTTTAAGTCTACGCTCGAACACGAAAAACAAACTGGTCAGGCCGACAGCGTGGTTAGACGGTCTGAGGGGGTTTGCAGCGTTCGTGGTATACTTGCATCACAATCAACTTTGGTCTCACGGTGGTAGGGGGAATCTGGTATTCGAAACCTCATTTGGTTACGAAGGAAGATACTACTCCGCGGCATTCCCTTTTATACGACTCTTCTTCTCAGGTGGCCACTTCGCAGTTGCTATCTTCTTCGTCATCTCAGGATATGTCCTTTCGCTCAAAAGCCTGCGGCTCATACAAGAAGGAAAGCCCTCAAACGCATCTGACACTATCGGCTCCGCACTTTTCCGTCGTTGGCTTCGATTGTACATCCCTATCATCGTTGTCACGTTTGCGTGGCTGTCGTTTCGACACTGGAGTAGACTCTCCGTTGACATGCACGCGATGAAACCCACTTATCGTGAGGACGTTGTCAGCTGGTACCAAACCTTCAAGAACTACAGTTTTGTATTCTCTACAAACATCTACGAATTTACAGAAGCATATCATCCTCATACGTGGTCAATACCCATCGAGTTCAAAGGATCCATCGTCGTCTACACTGCACTTTCTGCACTCTCGCGATGCACGCGAAACGCTCGCTTATGGTGCGAGGTAGCTCTGGTCACATACTTCCTTTACGTGGTGGACGGCTTCTACGCAGCGATGTTCATGTCGGGAGTATTGCTCTGTGACCTCGAACTGCTGGCCCAGCAGAACGAGCTTCCGTGCTTCCTTAATGCGCTGGCCGGATTCAAGGAGCTCATCTTTTTCCACTTGTTCATCGTTGCACTTTACCTCGGTGGAGTGCCATCGTTCGATGCGCCAGAAATCGATCGCACAATTCTCATCTCAAAGTCACCTGGATGGATCTGGCTGTCGCATCTCAAGCCTCAAGCTGTCTTTGACGCAAAATGGTTCTACCTCTTCTGGGCTGCATTTCTCGCAGTAGCCTCGATCCCGCGCCTGCCGTGGCTCAAGCGCTTCTTCGAAACTGGTTTCTGCCAGTACCTCGCGCGCATCTCATTCGCGCTATATCTAGTCCACGGGCTCATAATTTGGTCCCTGGGAGACCGACTCTACGCCGCGGTCGGGCTAGCAAGGCCATTCCATAAGGACGGTATCCCAGGATGGATCGACAAGTTTCCGCTTTCCCAGAAGGGGCCTATGGGCCTCGAGCTCGCGTTTTGGCTACCACAGCTAATCATTCTTCCTGTCACTCTCTACGCAGCCGAGGTTGTTACGAAACTAGTAGACGAGCCCAGTGTCAAGTTCGCCAATTGGCTTTACAAATGCACGCTTCGACCACAAGTACTTCCGCCGAAGCATCAGCGCAGTTATTCTGTACGTTAGAAATTCAATCAGTCTTACGCTAAGGTTCTTTTCCCGTGTCGCCGCCTTGCGCTCGACCACATGCACGCTCGCGTACTGACCTCCCGCTCGGCTTCATGTGATTTTACCTCCTCAGTAACATCCCGTCACAACACTACTGCAGGTGCTAAACGGGTGAGATGCATTATCAATTAGGCGCGATGTTTATTGGTTGTTCCAAAGTGGAGCTTGCTCCGAAATGGCGCCCCATGGGGTAATGTCTGGGCAGGGAACGTTGGCCCTTGCTCGGCTGCTGATCATTGTGGGCGGCAGCACCCGAAATTGGCGACAACGCCGCGTGATTATCTGAAGCCATACTCTCATTGATGCTGGGGCGGTGATCCGGTCATCGGCTTTGTCACCATTATTCAGGTAGCACCTCCTCTCTATCCCGTCGTTGGCTCAAGTATGACGTGGCTTTGCGCCCGAACATTTCGACTACAAGCGCATGTGATATTCCCCTTTTTGAGGAAGGTTGCATCTGGACTGGACCAGACGTTTGTCGCGAAGTGTGCATTGTGTCTCTATACACATCATGCGACGGCGACATAATATTACCTTAGCAACACTTGCTTGTCTTGGAACAGTATATCTCGTATTACAACACAGACATGGTATCGGAATCGCACAAGGGGCTAGGCATATCAGCGGAATCGAGACCTTACCGTCTGACGCGCTGACTATCTTCCAACATGGCGATGCATCCACCACTGCAGAGAAAGAATTACAACGCCAAACAGCGCCAGACGACGTCCGGTCGCCGCTAAAAGGATTCGCTGGTTCCGCTGTCGAAGAGCCTAGTTTAAGCCTCGAATCAACACCTTCTTTCGCGGAAGTGTCACCATCATCAAGCACGGATATCGTACCCGAGACGAGATATTCTTTCCAAGACGATCTGCAGCTCGTCCTACCTACTACCGCGATTCAAAGGTACTCGACGCAAAAGCCTCACAATTACGATTCTGGTGGCTCGAAAGGCTTTGCATATGCGACATTTCTCGCTACTCGCAACCCCTCCCTCAAAGATCCTTACTTTCTCGCTATCCACTCGCTTATCTATCGAATCCTCTGGTCTCCACGAACACATAGCGAAAAACACCCTCTCATCGTCTTCGTAGCCGAACATGTAACAGACGAGCAACGTGCGCTGCTTGCAGGGGCTGGCGCACTAGTCCGCGAGCTCTCACCTCTTCACTGGGAATGCAACGCGTCCGGTGTGCAAGACCGATGGAGAGACCTCTTTGCCAAGCTCAACATGTGGAAAGAGACCGAGTTTGAGCGCATCCTATTCTTGGACGCTGATGCCTTCCCGTTGGCAAACATCGACGAGATGTTCGAGCTCGCACCCACGCAGGAGTGTGTACCGGAGAAACTGCATCTTGATGACTTTCTACCCAGTGGCCCAGTATGCGAGCCTTATGTCTTTGCTGGCGTGCCACAAGATCCTTTCAGTGCGACGTATCCTAACATCAATGTTGGTTCGATGGTCTTTACCCCCTCTTTGCAGATGCACGCTCGGCTTCTTCAGAATTACGTCAAGATCGACAAGTACGATTGCGCGATGGCTGAGCAGGCGTTTCTGAACTGGCAGTTCGGTCCTGAGGGCGCGCATCCAGGGACCAAGTTGGAGAGGCAGTGGGGTGGTTTCTTCCCCACGGAGGAGGAAGGTGGTGGAAGTTTGAAGGTGGTTCATGAGAAGCTCTGGGTCTTGAAGGAAGGGTGGATGAAGGAAGAATGGGAATTACGCTGGAAGGAAATGATAAGGTTCTATGAAAGTCAAGATTTTGCGAAAGCGAGAGAAGATGATGGTATAGTTACTGGGGATGAGTAAGGCGATGTGAACACGTACACCGACGCATACAAGTGTTAGTAGAGATGCATTTCTATGCCAGTAATACAACATATGAAGCGGCTTTTACGCGCTAGCCTCCGCAGTGCTCTGCCTTCCAGCTATACTTCCACCCTTCCAACTTCCCTTTGGATCAACCTTACTTTGTACTCTACTCTCCTCACCCTCCTTACCCCAGCCACCGCCACCAGGTGTATGAATGATAATTCTCTCACCCGGTCGCATAGCCGCCGTATTCTTAGCACCCATGTTGATGTACCTGTACTCCACCTCTTCTTTCGCCCTTCCTGCATCTTTCTTTTGGAGAGCTTCAACCGCATCGGACGTCGTGGGCGCATGCGTAGCATCCTCTGTGGGTTCGGTCGGACGCTTGGAGTCTGAGTTTTGGTCGATGGCTTTCTTGTCTACTTTCTTGACCCAGATGTTTAGACCGCATGCTGCGTCGCCTCCTCCTTCCATGCCGTACGGATGGTAGACTCTTCGTTCGCTGAGGATGCTGACTTGGACGGGGATGCGGAACTCAATATCGCGGATTACGCCTTCACCACCGATATGCATGCCCTTACCTGCACTATCTTGGCGAAGCGAGAATTCGCGGAGTAGAACAGGGTACCTTCGCTCAAATACCTCGGAGTCGGTAATGCGGGTATTGGTCATATGCGTATGCACACCATTCGTGCCGTTCCATGTTGAGCCCGCACCGGAGCCTCCTGCGATTGTTTCGTAATACCCGAAACCTTTCGTCTCTTTACGTTCACCGTTCTTGTCGCCTTCGCCATATGTTGTACCGCCAAAGCCGAAGGTAAGATTGTTGCAGTCACCCTGACTCGCAGCGCAGGCCTTGAACGCCTTGAGAACGACGTCCGTCACACGCTGACTTGTCAGAACGTTGCCGCCCACAACAGCGGCGTTGTCGGATGGCGAGAGGAAGGACTTCTTGGGTATAAGGACATGAATTGGTTTGAGGCAGCCTTGGTTCAGTGGAATGTCTTCGCTAATAAGACAGCGTAAACAGTAGATGATAGCAGAGTAGGTAACTGCTTCTGGCGCATTGATGTTCCCGTAGACCTCGGGGCCTGTGCCGGAAAAGTCGAATACGGCTTCACCCTTCTCGGGGTCAATCGATACCTTGAGACGAATAGGGCTTCCATCGTCCATGAAATCTTCCGCACTTAGGTCCTGGCCTTCGAAACGCTTGTAGACGTCTTTGAGTAGAGCACGAACAGATTGCTCCGCGTTGGCTTGGATGTTGGTCATGTAGAACTTGACGACTCGCTCGCCATAGTCCGACATTAGTGTACTGATAAGGTTGATACCTTTCTGATTGGCAGCGACTTGAGCCTTCAAGTCATTGATGTTGTCACTGAGACATCGAGTACCAGAGCAGCCAGGATATTGACCCGGTTCGTCCAGAAGTAGCTCAGTAATACGCTTCTCGTTGAAGTGTCCTTCAGATACCAGCTTCTCGGATTTGATGGCTGCACCTTCCTGGTAAAGTTCTTTCGACGCAGGAGGCATGGAACCAGGGAGTATGCCGCCTATGTCAGCATGATGGGCACGGGAAGCGACATAGAAGATGATGTTATCGCCGCTAAAGGCGGGTGTAATAACAGTAATATCCGGCAGATGCGTGCCGCCGAACATGGGGTGATTGGAGACAAGGACATCGCCTTTCTTGAGCTTGCCCTTCCAGATAGCAGCTTGTTTGCGGACGCAGGTTGACATACTACCGAGATGTACTGGCAGATGAGGAGCTACAGTATCGTTAGCTGGGTTTAGTTACTTGTACAGTCTACTTACCGTTGGCGACTAGTCCGCCGTCCCCGTCGAATAGTGCGCAAGAATAATCAAGTCGCTCTTTGACGTTGGTTGAAACACTAGTCTTCTGCAATGCGCGGCCCATTTGCTCAGCAATAGCCATAAATCGATGCGCGAAGATACTGAGTAAGATTGGGTCGACCTCCTTGGTGTCAACCAGCTTATCCTGGTCCTCCGTCTCGCCAATATTTATCACCACGTGGGTGTTGATGACAAGCGCAGTAGCGCCAGGAGTAACGACGATAGTCTGCGTACCATCCGCGATAATCGCCGGCCCCTTCAGTCGATCGCCCACTTCCAGGTCTTCAAGCTTGTAGACTGACGTGTCTTGCCGACCACCCTCGAAGAATACTCTACGGGTGTCATAGCGCTTCGTATCACCCGAAAGATCCTTTGGCTTGATCTCTTTGAGTTGCTGGTCTACGCTCTTCTCGAGACCTTCGAATGTCTTGCCAATGCCGCGCGCCCGTACATCATCAACAATAATATCGCGATCAGGTAAAGTAAAGCCGAACTCCTGCTCATGCTGCTTGACAAAAGCTCTACCGAAAGCCCATTCGTCGCCATTGTATTCTTTCTCTGCCTCCTCCTTCGTCGGCTTGATGATCATGAGTGCCGACTCTGTTCCTCGGTATCTCAAATTGAGATATTCCTCGAAGTGGACATGCTCTTGGTCGAAACCTTGCTCTCTAAGCGTATTCATTGACTTACTCTTCAGGTCTTCCATTTTGTTCTGAAGATACTCCCTTATGTCTTTCTCGTCAGACCATACCGTAGACTCTGGCTCTTGCCTCTCATCGACAACGTCGGCGAGCGCCATACCATATGCGGAAAGAACTGACGAGTAGCGATGGATCAGGATCTGCGAGATGCCAAGTGCTTCGGCAATGGCCACTGCATGCTGACCACCTGCACCACCAAACGTCGCGAGTCGGTGCTTACTTGTGTCATGTCCGCGAGCTTCGGTCAGACTCCGGATTGGTCGTGTCATGGTTTCATTTGCAATCTTGATGAAACCATTCGCGATATCATCCAGCGACATTTCCTTTTCCTTGTTGCCGCCTGCGACTTCTTTGTTAATCTGCTCCGCCAGCTCTTTGAATAGCTTTTCACTCGCGTGTGCATCGAGACCCTCGTCTTCGTTCTTACCGAAGATCTTAGGGAAGAAGTCTGGCAATAGGCGACCAAGGAACAAGTTGGCGTCTGTAATGGTCAGTGGGCCGCCCTTGCGATAACAAGCGGGGCCTGGGTGTGCGCTTGCAGACTCTGGGCCTACGACAAATAGTCCGTTCCTCCAGAAGAGACGCGATCCACCGCCCGCAGCGACAGTGTTGATGTCGAGTTGTGGCGATTGGATGGTGACGCCGGCTGTGGTAGTTTCGAAGACGTGATCGTAGCGTCCAGCGCCGTATCTGCTTACGTCGGTACTAGTGCCGCCCATGTCAAAGCCAATGACTGGAATCTTCGTCTCGGGATCGTATGATGTGAGCGCATAGCCTACGACTCCACCCGCCGGGCCGGACAGAATAGCCTTTAGGCCTGAGAAGCTGTCGACGTCCACCAAACCTCCGTCTGACTGCATGAACTCGCAACGTGCGCCCTTGGAACCCTCCTCACGTTTTACGCTCTTGGTTCCGAGGCCGCCCTCGAAGCCCTTGGAGAATCCATCGATGTACTTTCGTATCGCGGGCGTGAGGTATGCGTCTGCGCAGGCTGAGGTAGCTCGTGGGACCAATTTGATCATGGGCATGAGCTCATGGCTCAAGCTGACGTGCTCGAAGCCAATGTCCTTAGCAATCTTGCCCACTAACGCCTCGTGCTTCGGGTATGTATATCCATGCATCAAGCATACCGCGATGCTCTTCAGTCCGCTATCATAGACTTCCTGCAACTGTTTTCTTATTGCCTCCTCCTGTGGTCGTTGGAGTATTCGCACCGTCTCGCCCGATAGGCCCTTGACTAACTCGGCGCTATCACCAGCTTCTTCTATGCTCTTTGCCTGCGTCTGGTTCCTCTCTGGGTCCTCCGCGTAGTCTTCCAACGTGACGCGCTCATCGATCTCGACAACCTTCCTGTACAGCACCTCCGGCTTCCGGATGTCTAGCGCGAAGATGTTCGGCCGACTCTGGTTCCCAATCTCAAGGCAGTCCTTGAAGCCCTTTGTAACCACCATGGCAATATTCTCGCCCTTTCTCTCGAGCAGCGCATTGGTGGCGACGGTGGTGCCCATGCGTATGCTCTCGATCTGGGAGGTGTCGAGCGGCTGTCCACGGGGGATCTCAGTGCCGGTGAACTTGGAAAGCAGGCGACGGATGCCTTCGAGCGGCGCGTCATCGTAGTTGGAAGGGTCGACGGAGAGGAGCTTGATGAGGACGTCATCCTCCATCTTGCCGGTGCCTGGATTGCCTACACAGTCTGTGAAGGTACCACCGCGCTGCATCGTTAGTCATGGTTATGCATGGATTACTCAGACATACATCAATCGCGATGCGGATGCCCCGCCCGCTAATCTTTGGAGTCGCCATGTTGATGATAGTTGGTGAAGCTCAGGGTGTTGTTGCAGAGCTTCAAGAGACTGGAACAGCATCAACAGACGCGAAAGGAAACCTCGAAGTGAGCTAAAGGTGATGTGAGGTTTGTGCATGACATGATGCAAGCCACACGCGACCGCATACCCACCACTCACGATAATAGTCGAAAGTGGGGTAGTCTGCTCGTTGCTGCCCCGCGAGCTTTTGTCATCCGTTCCGTGTGCGTCACTGCTGTCTCCGCGGGTTTCGCTGGTTTGGGCTTAGTGCCCATGGTCATCATCCGACCACCCCCACGGCTGCTCCCGTCTAATCACAGTCGTGAACTTCACCAAGCTCTTCTACTGTGAGACCAGGGCGCATTTGGCTGCGATGCGCTTGAATACTGGGTTACCATGTTACAGGAGTATGATGACCGAGTGACACTCATCACACTTTGGTCTTTGGTTCGCGTGTATTGCGACTACATTTCGGAAGATAAGCTTGCCTTCCATCGCATCGCACATCCGGCTCAGTCGAACAACTGTATCCATAATCAGCTTCAGTACCTTCTATCAAGCAAGTGCGAGGATCCGAGTTTTGAGGGACGCTTGAGCCGGCTATGTGGACGCTGGCACACGTCCAGTGGGCCGCCTGCATCAGAGCAATCGCCCACACTTCGCTCTACGTCCGCACCTCACCTTGGCTTTCCTGTTAAGAATTTCGAAGCAGAGAAGACGAGAGTAGCTGCAACAGATGATAGGATCAACAAGATAACTGAGTGGTTAACAGCAAGCTTCTCCGAAACCAACGACTGGCGCGAGCTTGCTCGGTGTTAGCGCATGCAGGAAAAAGGAACATGATATGATGCGTAGTACGACTCGTTCGACCTACACCAATTACTATAACAGTCCTTCTTGTTTGTCGTCGCGTCCTCAAAGAGGCCGCATTAACCCCCAAAAAGCTTCGCAGCAAGCTCTTTTCGCGCAGTGTAGAGCACTATAGTAGCTTATCAAGCGTTGAGTCATGGGACTATCGAGGTTGACAACCCAGCTTAGTAAACACTCTGAGACTAACAACCGCACAGATATAGGTATCTAGGCATTTAGGTACAGGTAACAATCTCAAATATATAGCCATGTCATGCCTGTACTTGCCACCTGTGACACAACTCCTCAACCCTGGCACCTGAGCCGCTTCTGACTGCTAAATTTACATTATATTTAGCGGGTCTACATAGTACACCCTCGAGTTCTAGTGCTAGCCAGGCAGTCGGGTCGACTAGATTGTACACGTAGAATCGCTCGTTGACACGGATTGACGAATACGTCTCGACTGCTGCTGCTCGATAGAGCTGACTGGCCTCGTGGAGTAGGATAGTGAAGCGGCCTTGCTAGCTCGCAGCGGGCAAGCTTGAGTCTGAAACGCCCGTAGAGTTCTGCAGATACATTTAGTCTACTAAAGCTGTGCATAAATTGGTCATACTACTGTAAGCATGACCTTATCCTCGTTTGTGCCGACCCTGCTGCTATTCGTCTCGATCCTGTTGTCATCCATCACGACCCTGCTATCTTCGACTGTGGCTCTAACCAGCACGTCTCGGTCGTGATGGCAAAGGCATGGTCCGTGCGGAAGATCGTTCGATAGTTGGAGGACGTTGCGCGTCTACGATCCGAGTGACTTTCGAAAGAGATGAGGCTGTCTTTCATGCCTAAGAGATTCTTGAAGATGGGCGCCGGTGACGAGAGTTGTGATTCTGAATCGATATCAAGTTTCAATTGCAGCGAAGTTGGAAGGACTAGGCGCGATGGGTGTACCGCGGCGCAAAGGGGGGTCGAGGTGATGGGGCGGGTGATGGAAGAGGAGGCGATGGGCTCCGAAGGTTCCTGCGCCTGTGCGCTGCCTGAGCTTACTGGTAGCGTGATGACGCGCGGACCACGTATTCAGCGCAGTTATGGTTGTAGTAGCACATATGTCATCGTCACAACGTGCCCCATCTCCGCTACCTCGAACCATAAATCCAAGTATCACGCTTCAGCCACCTCTTTCTAGACGCGGAAAAGGACCCGGACTGGTGCTTGTGTTGGATCACTATGCGGCCAGAGAAGCCAAGGACGGGTGTTTAGATCCACCGCCACTACAGAAATGGGCTGAGGAGGGGTTTGCGGTCGTGCAGGTATGTTTTGAGACTAGAAGGGTGACGACAGAAACGCGTTTCTAAGATCGATTGCAATGGAAGAGGTGGGAGAAGTTGACACATGATACTAATGCTAATTACCAACAGCTGCTCGTCCCTGGCAAAGTCGAAGACGGTAGCGAATTCCCTCTTCAAAAAGCTCTTGAAGTATTGAAGAAATGCGCAGGATGCGAATTCAGCAATGGTGTTGGACTGATATGTTCGTCAACTCCTTTCTGAGCAATGACGATATTTCGGCGACACACTGACCATACCCTGCAGCATACCTATCAAGAACTCCATATTACGTTGAAGAAGCCGCCGGCAGCATCGGCTCAACACCACTTCCACCCCAATTGATACACATAGCGCGGCTGCCAGATACTCGTCGTCGTGAGTCGTGTTCGCTAGTCCCGGGACCGTCTTCGGAAAATACGACACCGCTCCCGGAAAACGTATTCAAGTCTTACCGATACGAAGATGCAAAGAAAGAGTCTGGATGGGTACTTCCAAGCGATGAGAACTACCACAAGCGAAGCGCAGGCATTGCGCACACGAGGAGTTTGACCTTTCTGAAGCCGTTGCTTGGTGGACCATTCTTTAATCTGGAGGCGGTGTGGGAAGAGCATACGAAGTTCGAGTTTGGGGAGAGAGGTGTTGCGAAAACAATGGCTACAATGGTGGACCAGCCGTATGTCAATCACATACCGACTATAACGTACGTATCCATCCAGCACCATTATTGAGCGTCGATACCGTGTCTGAATACGATATGCTAATAACTGGGCAGCGGGGGGTGGGTCAAGAACGACTCACAGCCTTTTACACTCACCACTTTGTCTTCAGCAATCCACCCGATACTGCCCTCTCTCTCGTCTCACGCACCGTAGGCATCGACCGCGTGATTGACGAATTCATCTTCACCCTCACACACACCAAAGAAGTACCCTGGCTCTTGCCCGGTATCCCTCCCACCGGCAGGCCCCTCGCCATTCCCTTCACCAGCGTCGTTGCCATGCGCGGCGATCGACTGTGTCACGAGCATATCAGCTGGGATCATGCGACGGCGCTCAAACAGTTGGGGTTATTGCCGGAGTACGTCCCTTTTCCATACGAGATTGAGGGAGAGGCCAAACCGGAGGGGAAGAGGTACGAGGTGAAGTTGCCGGTTGTGGGAATGGAGGGGAGTAGGAAGTTGGTGGATGAGAGTTGTGAGGAGAGTAACGCGTTGATGGGTGGTAGATGGCGAGTGGTCGACGATGTTTAATAAGAGATTTTCAGGGGACGAGAACGAAGAACGGCCTGATGATCCGATACGATGGGTCGCAAATCGCGGCATCTTCGGAGAAACGTAGAGGCAGTTGGCGTGAAGGCCGCAGATCAATGCTATTTTCGGTGTCGCGACTAGTACTAGCGTCCGGGCAGTGTTTGCATGGGTGTGCGAACACCCTTCCGAAAAGGTTCCACCATCGTCCATGAGCCAGCGATTTTTCTAGAAGTTCACCGAGGAGGGCTAACACTCACTTTTGTTGGCTACTAGCCTCAGCCATGCCACTTCGTAAACCCCATACTAAATCACGTAATGGTTGCTTGCCTTGCAAGAAGAGACATATCAAGGTTTGAGCAGGCTATCCCCTTGCACAACTACAATGCTTGCTGATAACTTCCGAACAGTGCGGAGAGGAGATACCTACATGCCAGAACTGCATCTTTCGACGAGTAGATTGCGCGTATGGATCAAATACCAAAGCTAGTCGACATGATCTCTCCAGAGCTCCAAGTTCGGAAGCTACCGGATCCCCAAACCGCTTCCCGCATGAGGAGCCACCATGGCAAGCAGGGAAGCTTTGCGCACATGATCCATCATCGCAATCAACGATTGGTGTTTCGAGACGACAAGAGCTGCAGCTGATGGTGTACTACATAAACAGAACGAGTCGAACCCTGGCACATGATGCAGCAGAACTTCTTGCCTGGACGGAAGCCATCCCAGAAGAGGCTGTGCAGTATGACTTCCTAATGGATGGGCTCTTGGCGATGGCGTCGCTTCATTTCGCATTTTACAATCCGGACTCGCGTAGGCAATACACCGAATTTGCGATACGATATCAAAACGAGGGTTTGCAAAAGTACAACGAAACTCTTGGGGACATCAACGAAACAAACTGTACTGCCCTTTTTGCTTTCTCTATGCTTATAAATGTGATGGCCATCGCCTTGCCAAACGCAGATCTGGATTCCGCATATTCAGCGCATACCGAAAGCCTGATGACCACGCTTGAACTCGGGCGGGGTATAGGAATCATACACTCGAAATCCGTTCCCCTCCTTACCAATGGAAAACTGGCATCATTCTTCCGACCCTCACCAGGAGATTTGGAGCCCGATGATGAGACACAAGCTGCGTTGGAAAAGCTTCGTCGACATACAGATAGCCTTCTGCATTCCAATTGTATCGACGAAGAGCGTCATGCTGTCTATGCCTCAGGAATCCGGAGTCTTGGACTCGTTTTCGGGTATATGACGACCTCGAGTCATCTGGGGCGCGTCATTGGCTGGCCTGCGATGATCTGGCCAGCAGAACACAGGGAGGCGCTCATGAAGTTGATCCGACATGGCGATATCATGGCCCTAACCATTTTTATGCATTACGGTGTACTTTTACTCCATATCCGGCATCTTTGGTGGGGGGCGCGTAGTGGAATTAGCCTCATCGAGGACCTGGCGATCTCGGTACATGCTGCAGGTCCTAGTTGGGCTGCGTTGACCGAGTGGCCAAGGGAGGTTGCTAGACGAACTGAAGATGGTGGTCGAGGCGCTTTCCAATTTGATGACTCGTTGCCGGGAAGACTCGCCTAACAAGTTTTCTTCGCTGCAGAATCGACTCTCCATTTACATCAAGGACTCTAACTCTCTATCTGTACTTGGAATAATTTGGAAGCGATAAGTGACTATGCTGGTCCAGACTTCACAGTGGGATGAAAAAGGAGGTGCTTAATCAAGACTAAGGTGATACAAGGGTTGCGCCACGCAAAGGTTCTATTCTAGGCAGCTGTCCCGGCTGTGTTACATCTGCTTTCGCAATCAGGCAGGTCAAAAATAACTACACGGATCCGTCGGTGTAAACAACTCAGCTCAGTGCAGGGAATAAACCGATACTACTCGCCGCACCGCCTTCCCTCGACCCTTGCTCAGCAGCGCTGTAATCTCACTTGGATGAACCCAAGCCATCCAAACCATCGTAGCGAACATGAGCACAGCGTCGAACACGTAAAGGAAGACCTCGTGGGATATGAGATACCCTGAGTTACCCTGTGCATACTCAATCAGTCGGAAGATGCACCGCACAAGAATAAGTAAGCTGGCTACGTAGAGTGCATACAGCTGTCTTTCCCATGGCAACGACTGGGAATATACTTTTGACGTCGGCTGTTGGACAAGACGGGCATGGAAGATGACGCCGGTGATGATAAAGAAGCCGAAAAAGAGAAGCTGCACTACTAGGCCAGCAATGATAATCTTCTCTCCGGTATGCACAGATTCAATGGATCCACTTGCCATTATACCCCCACCTAGGTCCATGCGTCAGTCATCGCATCGATTTAGATCCTGGAGATTGGAAAATACGTACCGGCTCCCTGCATCATGAATGATAATACATCCCCCGTCACGAATAACTTTGTGAGCCATTTCTTGGGTATGAGTGAATGTGACTCGCCGTCGGTCACCAAGATGATGCGGCCAAGCATCATGTAGATGCTTGCCGCGAATAGGGCGGGCGCAACCAGAAGGAGGATAGTCGAGAGTGAGTAGATTGCGACCGACCAATTAGGGGACTCTTGGGCGGAAATGGCTCTCTGTAAAACACACACATTAGTTTTGCCGTCCTTTTTACGCTACAATTTCTCGTACGTACTCCAATATACCCGATAACCTCGACTGCGACAAATTATCAGCCTATCTCTTCACGGCGAACACAGAGATTGGGTGTAGCTTACAAACGCCGCCAAGAACGAAAGGAATGAAAATCCAAGTCCGGGTTCGCATGATTTGATAAAAGTGCAACGTTGTGATGAGGAAGAATAGGATGATAAAGATGACCGCCGCTGCCATCGAAGGATTGTAGCGGTAAAGCTTGAAATCGACGGTCTCTTCTGCCATGATGATATCGCTAATTGAAAATAATACGAAGAGAAGTGGTGTTGAATGTGGAAACGTGCAGTAAAGCAAAGTGAACAACTTTTTAGAAGCCTATAATTCCAAGTACCTAATCAACCTGTCCTATTTGTAACGTCCAACCCAGACTATCTACGTACGTTCCGTCGGCTGAGCCATCTAGTACAATATTCCACGGTGCGTATGCGTATTATATGATACGCCCAGGGGCAATTTCTGCTAGAGTTGCGAAACCACAGTACATCGTCCGAGTAATTTTAGGCGATCTAGCAATAAGGTTCGGGCTGACTACCGAGCTAAGGATAGTCGCTCCATTAGCGGGCCCACTGCGCATAGAGCGTATGCGTATGCGCGTGCGTATGCGTATCGCCCCACTTGGCGCCCGATATAGTGTCAGACTTGTCGAGACGGTACAGAAGTACGCAGCGTGGCTGAGTCTTCCCGATGGTCGTCAGATTTGTGCTTTAGTGTGGTTCACAGTTGGGATGGCTTTTCGAAGAGATTTTAGGATAGCTCTTTGCTGCACAGGTTTAAGGTATGTACAAGTACGACTGGAAGATTACGTCTTGAGGCGATATCTAATCGTTTTAACCATAAGGCATAACGTTTATAGTACGCACCGTTGCTTTCCTGACTCTCTTGCTGCTCATTGTACTTATACATTGGCACGCAGTATGATTGTAGTAGCTTTCTGTGTGATCTAGTTGTATTTCTACCTCGTACCGTCTTGAACGATACTGTGATATATCTACACATAGCTGGAAGTGACTCCAATGAGGGATGATAAAGAGAATCTGCTACCCAAGGGACATCATTTGACGTTGTTACCACGTGACGTCTGAAACAACGTGATACAGCATTATCTAGCTAGCATTCATCGACAAACTCCTCTAGATCACTATGAGTCGCATAGAAAGCTCCCTTTGGTTTGTAGTTCTCATCAAACATGAGCGGCTTTGCGCCTGGCACCCAAGTGTAAGCATGCTTATCAGTAAAGCCCCAGAAGTTGATATCTGTGATTCCTGCCTCCAAAGCCTCCTTGACGACGGCACCATAGATCTGAGTCTCGAGTGTTTTATTCAGTGTGTGCACGTCCATTTCGGCGATTTCGACTTGCAGCCCGAGCGCTTTGTAGAAACGAACCATGTCCGTTATCACGCCGGGTACCGGAGCGACTTCGGTGATATGCATTTGCAGGGCAACTCCATCGATTGGAACGCCGTCTGCAACGAGTCCAGAAACCAGGTCTTCAAGCTCTTGACGCTTGCCGGGAAGCACTTCTACTTGGTTTTCGTTGATGTATAGCTTGGCTCCAGGGGATGCAGCCCGTGCGATGCGGAAGGCTTCGTTGATGTAACCCGGACCAAGTTGTCTGGAGAAGTCATTCGCATTTAAGCCTCCACCCATGGTTTTAAGAGCCTCAGTGACTACGTCCCATCGGTCGATCCGTCCTTCGTACCGGTGCATGATAGCTTCGAAATGAGTCGTCATCGCGGCACGCAACGCTTTGGGATTGGTGATGTTGACTACAAAGTCGGGATTGCAGCAGCTCGAGATGAGTCCGTGCCCTTTGACTAACATGTCATGTTTGTTGGCGAAGTCAACGAGACGGTCGATGGGATCCCAGTTGTAATGGCCTAGCGTAGGGTTGATGAAAGACCATTTCATCTCATTCTCAGGATGCAAGCTGTTGAATTGCTCAGCGAGGACAGCCGCGAAGACAGGATCTTCAAGGTATGTCGGGTTGATAGCTCCAGATCCAATTGTGATGTTCTTCTTATGCGCCTCTTCTCTCAGCGTCGTAGTGCCGGTGCTGGGGATTGTGATGCTCGCTTTGACGGCGGTAAGGAGTAACAGAGTGGTTGTCATGGTACCAAAAACTTTGAAATTTGTGCTGAAGGCCATATTGCTGGGTTCGTGTGATTCGTGTTGTCTGCGCTGCTTGTTTTTGGTGCTATGTGCCTACTGCATCGGAAGGCTTGAACGATTTATATATGAATGAAATAGGGGTCTTGCCATGCTGTAGCCATGTCATGGCTCATCCGCTGGAGTATCTTGAGGTCGAGGCATAGTACAATACGCGTCGACGGCACTTGCCAGACAACGATAGTGTACCTAGGAGGACATAGCGTACCTAGAATGGCGACAGTTGCGACCTTTTCAAGGTCGTGCGTGGTATTGCACAGCCACTAAGCAGCGTTGGCCGAGTTGTGCAGCTACTAGCAAGCTTGGTAGCTTTTCATCGGCAACCAAAATTGACTTTCGCAAGCTGGCGCTGATTGGCTGAAACTGGGCTAGCGGCGGCGGTCACTGCTCGGTGACGCAACACACCCCTGCAAAAGCTGTGCTCAGCTCCAGACAACGCCAGTGCACATGCCTTCCAAACAAATACGCATACGCAGACGCATAATACACTTTAGTGCGTTCTTTAGAAACCGTCTGATATGTCTCGTCACCCTTGTCGGCAGGCCATCCACCAACATCACTTCTTTCTTACACTTGAATATTCTCCATCGACACCATGGAACCGGAAAAAAGGCTTTCGAATTTTGCCGAACTTCCCGGTGATATACCGATAGGTCGCAGGTTCACAGGCCATGAAAGTACAGAGATAAATCGTGATCGAAAGCCTATAAAGCTCAGCAGTTACCAGGAATCTTCTTCGATCAACGCATCAGCGGACGCACCCGATGATGGAAAGCTCAAGGCCGGCAGTAAGACTCACGATTCCTCGGTTCATCAGTTGAATTGAAACTCATGTTTTCTAGGCGATGGGCGCATCAACATCGATCTGAATTCGAAAGCTGTGAGGACGCTTTCGCTGCTCTACGGTGATGCTCTTAACGACATACCGGAAGATGCGCCACCAGAGTATTCAGAATTCCTAGACGGACCGGATCGCTACAAGTCGTGGCCTGTTAAACTGAACATTGTCATCCAAGTTGTAGGCAGTCGAGGAGACGTCCAGCCTTTCATCGCGCTTGGTGACGAGCTTCGGCGGTATGGCCACCGAGTGAGGCTAGCGACCCACGACATGTTCCAAGATCTCGTGCGAGGCTCCGGTTCTGGACTAGAATTCTACCCAATCGGCGGTAATCCTTCAGAATTGATGGCGTACATGGTCAAAAACCCCGGTCTGATTCCTAGTCTCGAGAGCTTGCGGGCTGGTGAGATCAAGAAGAAACAGATGATGGTCAGGGAGATGTTGGAAGGGTTCTGGAGGTCATGCATCGCACCAGACATCATGAGCCATGAGCCATTCGTGGCAGATGCTATCATTGCCAACCCACCCAGCTTTGCACATGTCCACTGCGCACAGGCTCTTGGAATTCCCGTTCACATGATGTTCACTATGCCATGGACAAGTACGCGAGCATTTCCACACCCACTAGCGAATCTGAAAAACGCCGAGGGCAAACAAAGCGCTGCAAATTACCTATCATATGGGGTTGTCGATTGGCTAACATGGCAAGGGTAAGTTGTTCATACAAAGTCGACATAGAATTCCTCGTTGCACAGACTAGATGATACTGACCTGGGATCTAGACTTGGTGACGTTATCAACCAATGGCGCCAGACGCTGGACTTAGAGCAGGTGGGGATGTTCGATGGCCCTAGTCTTGCGACCACACTGAGCATTCCCATGACTTACTGCTGGTCTCCGGCTCTCGTACCGAAACCCTTCGACTGGCCGGCCCACATAGACGTCTGCGGTTTCTTCTTCCGGGATCCTCCTCAGTACGAGCCACCAGCTGAAATTCGATCCTTCATTGAGAGTGGACCGCCACCTGTCTACATAGGATTCGGCAGCATCGTTCTTGAAGACCCTCAAAGAATTACCGCAGTCATATTAGAGGCTGTAAGAGCGAACGGATTTCGTGCTATCGTGTCCAAGGGATGGTCAAAGTTGGGAGATCACGGAGAGTCTCATGAAGATATCATCTTCATTGGTGATTGTCCACACGAGTGGTTGTTTCAGCATGTGGCCGCAGTGGTGCATCATGGTGGCGCTGGAACGACTGCATGTGGTTTGCTGAACGGCAAGCCCACGACTATCGTTCCATTCTTCGGAGAGTAAGTCCAATTGTCCACTCCGTTGCGTCGGCAAATTTGCTAATAAGTCGGTAGTCAACCATTCTGGGGCCAGATGGTAGCTGCTGCTGGTGCTGGTCCGATGCCTATTCCTCAACGGGACATAACGGCCGAAAGCCTGTCTCAAGCGATCAGATTCTGTTTATCACCTGAAGCGGCGAGCGCGGCTGCAGTCATTGCACAGAAGATGCAATCTGAGAGAGGCGTCGAAGCTGCAGTTATGTCTTTCCATCGGAATCTCCCATTCAGAGACATGTCTTGCGATGTACTACCACACCTACCGGCAACTTTCTGCTTTGACAAGAAAGGCCACAGGATGAAGCTTTCTTCCTTGGCTACAGAAGTTATGACACTGAGATTCTCAAAGGATGCCAAACATCTAAAATTGTAGGTTTCGCCCTTATCACTTCGTGCTTCGATGAGCATTTCCTGCATCCGATCGCTAATTTGTGTACAGATACGAGAGCAGACCCGTTGTCATAGAGCCTCGCCGATGGGATCCCATCTCCGGTGGAGCGTCCGCAGTCCTTGGCACTACAGTCGATCTTGCGACATGCGTCACAGGAGTTTTCACGAAACCAATAACGGAGTATCGAGACGATCGCGACCGACGTGCCTACGAAGACTCAAAGCTAGATGTTTCGGGAGCGTCCAATACCAGTATTAATCATATCGACCAATCGAAGCCGATGTCTGACAGCGCAAGTGCTGAGACATCAGCAAACAGCGTTGTTCCGAAACGTAAAGCCATCTCAGCAGGTCAACTGGCAGGTGCGTCCGGAGCGAGCATTGCCATGTTTGCTCCAAAGGCCCTAAAGGGTATGACAGTCGACATTCCTCTCGCGATTACCGATGGTCTCAAGAATGTGCCTCGACTCTACGGCGAAACACCTCGTGACCACGGGCCTGTGACAGGCTTCAAGAGTGGCGCAGCTGTTGCAGGCAAGACTTTCGCGTGGGGCTTCATTGATGGAGTGAGTGACGTTGTTGTAAAGCCATACCAAGGTGCTCAGGAGGAAGGTTTCAAAGGCGCTGCAAAAGGGGTGGGCAAAGGAATGGCTAGCATGGTCACAAAGACCGGTGCTGGCATGTTCGGTCTTTTTGGGTATACAAGCGCAGGTATCGCAAAAAGCTTGAGAACGGCAGTCTACACGAAGACCAGAAAAAGTATTGCTGAAGCGAGACATGCAGAGGGCAGGTGGCTAGTTGAGAACGACGAACATAGTACGGAAGAGGCTGAGAAGATCATTACGCGTTTGTTAGCACGGAGAGGGGATAAGCAATGAGAACGGGACAGGGACTTTATAGGAGAACGTCTTTCTGAAAGCAATGAAAACAATTTAACGCAGACATTGGAGCGACTATATCGCTACAGAGTATTGAGAATGGGGCGTTTGCGCCAGCTGTCAGTGCAGAAAAGAATCGACGACTGCTTAATGGATGCCGGCAGAGCATGAAAACTCCAACATATCAGGTGTTAGATGTAGCTGCTTTGGACCGAAGTGCTGAAGCTCTGAGTCTTTGGTCCGGGTAGCTAATCTTCCGAAGACAGAACCACTGTTCGATATCGGAAAGAAAGGTTTTGACCCACGCGAAGCGAAAGCTGCTGCCTACATAAATCTACTTTCAGCCTGGCCATATACGCCACTGCATCATACAATAACGCCCACATAACAAAAACAACGCGTACGCGCACGTACACACCCACACACTAATACGTACACCTTCCACACGTTCCAACATGACATCTCCGCAGCAGCCGCCTCGGCCTTCGTGTGACCCTCAAGATTCCGCAACATACCAGCGACTGGGGTCCGTGTACCACGTCTACTTCGAGTTCGAGAGCTGCAAGCCTACAAGTATCAGGTGAACCTTATACAAGGAAAAAAAACAGATAGATACAGAGATAACGAGCTCTACCCTTACAGCGTACATTGTCTCTTAATAAGAAGACTTTTATAGATGAATAGCATTGTAGTCTTCTAAGTTCTCTATCTATATCTACATAGCTCTTAATATACTCTTTTATGTAACGGTTTGGGCCTTGCCCAGATCAACTCTAGTACGAGTTAGGATAGCTCATGTACGGTCATCTATATATGTAGCTTAGCCCACCTCAGATAGTCAATTCAGCGCAGTCCTCCCCTCTATCTTAACACCGTCACAATTAGACCTAGCAAGTCGCCGGTTAGAGCACCTATCCTCTTCGTCCTAAAGTTAGATAGCATAATGCGATTGTGCGTTAACTATTGTAGCCTTAACAAGGTTACGATTAAGGACTAGTACTCTATCCCGCTTGTTAGCGAGATGTTAGACTAGTTATTAAAAGCTGCTATCTACACTAAGCTAGATCTTCGCGACGCCTATTATAGGCTCTAGATCTAGGAGGGGGATGAATGGAAGACAGCTTTTAAAACCCGATACGGGCATTACAAGTACAACGTAATGCCGTTCGGTCTAGCGAACGCCCTAGCAACGTTCTAGTCCTATGTCTACTAAGCCCTTAGAGGCCTAGTTAACCGTACCTGCGTAGTATACCTAGACGACATCCTTATCTACTCCGGAAATGAGGCGGAACACGACCGGCACGTCGAAGAGGTGCTGTATCAACTAGTCTAATAGGGGTTGTTTTGCAAGGCGAGCAAGTGCGCCTTCTTAACGAAGTTAGTAGAGTTCTTAAGCTTTATTATTACTCTAGGCGGCGTCGTGATAGACCTAGCGAGAGTGCAGACAATACAAGAATAGCTAGAACTAATAGGATATAAAGACATCTAAGTCTTCCTAGGGTTCTGCAACTTCTACAGACAGTTTATCTATAATTACTCCGCTATTATCCGCCCGCTAGTAGACCTTATAACACGCGCCTAATTACCGCTAACGCCCTATACTAATCCTAAAGCAGGAGAAGTTTAGAAGAAAAAGGCAAAGAGTCGCAAAGGGCCAACTAAATAGTACCTCCCTTAGTTATGGCCTAAGGACGCCTAAGAGGCTTTTAGAACACTGCGATAGAAGTTTACAGAGGCCCCTGTACTCTAACACTTCGACCTAACTAAGCTAGTAATAGTGCTAACTAACGCATCTAACTTCGCTATAGCAGCGATCCTCCTCTAACCTACAGATATAGATGTCCCTACAGAGAAGCACTAGAAACTAGTAGCCTTCTAGAGCAAGAAGTTTACTGGCCTATTACTAAGGTAGCACACCTACGACAAAGAACTATCTACAATAGTTAAGTTGTTTAAGACGTAGCGGCACTACCTCGAACATGCCCTGTCTACGATCTAGGTACTCTCTAATTACAACAACCTAAGGTACTTTATGACTACGAAGGAACTCTCCCCTAAGCAAGCGCGCTAGGCAGAAGAACTAGCTAGGTTCGATTTTAAAATCGAATACAAACCTAGGGCTAACAACTCTGCGGACGGCCTATTAAGGAGACCTAACTACGCGCAAGGCCTCTAGGTTAGTAAGCAAAAAGCACTGCAAGATGCTATGCTGCTAACCCTCTAGCAAAAGCTTCGAATATAGACTATCTAGATATCTATAGCTTCTAGTACTACTCTAGAAGTACAGGGCAGCGAACCCCCTAATAGAGGACTAGAGCGGTCCTGTTAACTATCTAGAACACTCGCTCTAGAGCTGGAATTCCCTGACACGTTGTTAGACCCCGGCGATAAGTCGCCTGTCCTACCTTGCACTTAACCTACAGGCAAAGAATGCTAGTGCAAGGAGGAAACCTACGAAGCTAGGGGAGAGAAATTTAATGTAGCCTAAGGCCTCCTCTAAAGCCTTAACAGTAAATACCTCTCGCTAAACAGCCTAGCGCATAAAGCTGCGCAAGGCGATAACGCCTTTGCACTAGAACCCCCAGACCTCCTACTCTAACACATTAGACTAGTTTAGGAACGTAATTAGGCCTATTACGGGAACGAAGCGCTGACGCGTTAAGCGGAGGGCGAGGCGAATAAGACAGCTAATATGTGGGAAGTTGACCCTACTAGCATCTTGCGCAGGAACGGGAAAGTGTAGATACCCGAAGACGCAGCACTCCGCGCGAACCTCCTTATAAGGAATTACGATAATCTTATAGGCGGACACTACGGCGTTGACAAGACGGTCGCTGTCCTCAAAATGAAGTACTAGTAGCTACATGCGAAGCGCGACGTTAGTAAATACATCTAGCAGTGCGCCGCCTGTTAGCTAAATAAGATCCGCAGGTATAAGCTATAGGGGCAACTTGTCCCTCTACTAGTGCTAGATACTGCATAGCGGCATTACTCCTTAGACTTCGTTACTAACCTGCCGAAGTCACAAGATAATTAAGGAAACACTTTTAATGCAATCCTTGTCTTAGTAGACAGGTTCTCGAAATACGTCTGTTACCTCCCCGTAGCAAAGACGATAACTGCCTAGGGCGTTGCTAACATCCTACTACGGCAATGTTTCCTAAAGATAGGTCTGCCCGACACACTAGTGTTAGACAGAGGCTTAGTCTTCACCAGCTAGTTCTGGTTAGACATATGCTTCTACCTAAAGATAGACTACTACCTAAGCACTGCGTTCTACCCTTAGACAGACGGGCAGACCGAACGACAGAATTAGGAACTAGAAACCTACCTCTGCATCTACATAGGATACTAGCAGGACGACTAGGTTAGCCTGCTGCCCTACGCAGAGTACGCATATAACTTAAAGGAACACTCTGCACACGGGCAATCGCCTATAAGAGTAGCCTTCGGAACAAACCCTAAGGGGTTTGATAGAGTACCTAATATGCATTAGTTGCGAAAACTACCTACATTATAGGCAGAAGGCGGGCTAACACTAGAACTGCGACGGCAGGTTAGCTACTAACTTACTAAGTAGGCAGACATAAGCAGCGCAGCTAAATCTAGTTTAGAAAAGGCCTAGCGTACAAACGCAAAATAGTATAACACGTCTAGACTACCGCTCTACTTCGCGGAAGGTAACTTAGTCTTGCTTTAATTAAAGAACATTACCACGAGCTGACCCTCTAAGAAGATAGATGCTAGGTACCTAGGACTATTTACGGTTACTAAGAAGATCGGTAAGCTGGCATACAGACTCGACCTCCCTCTGTCGATGGCCCGTATACACCCCGTCTTTAACATCGCACTCCTAGAACCCTAGAACGAACTCTTTAAGTTTACTAAGTTTAAACTAGGACTAATCTAGATACTAGAAGATGTCTCCGCAGGAGATAGATACAAGGTAGAAGGCATCCTAGAACACAGGGAGACTATAGTAAGAGGCTAGGAATATAAGGTTAAGTGGCTAGGATAGCTAACCTAGGATTGCACCTAGGAACTGGAAGACTACTTAGACAACTGCGAGCAAATCCTTGCAGAATACATGGCTAACCTAAGGGACGTATCACGGGCACGCGGTAGGAGCCGTACGGCCTAAGGACGGCCTATGGCTACGCTAACAACTTGTTACTAGACTTAAGGGTCTAAGAGAGGGAGGGGACGCAAGGGGAAGCTGTAAGCAACTCTATGTTATGCGTAAAGTAGAAAGTATTACTAGGATAACAAAACTAAGTTCTTAGAAGAAGATGTTATTCTACAAATACACTACGAACCCTAGAAGAACTACTAGAGACCTTAGTTACCCTTAGGGAAGTTACTAGCTCCTCCTATTAGGGTATTAGAGGAACGACGTTTAGAGTTGTAACGGCGCTTAGTTAGGGAGCTGCCGGCCTTACTTACATTTAGATATAGCGCCTGAACCTTATAACCGCCTGGAACCTTACGACTATAGTAGTACTAGCGCTTCTCTCGTTCTAACGCGGTACTATCCTTAGAGAATAAAGCCCTCTTAAGGCTAGCGTCTACTACAACATTAGAAGGCGCGTTTAAACCCTAAGAACCTAAGCTAGCAGTATAGCGCTTAAGGTTAAAGGTGTAGGAGACTTAACGCGCCTTAGCCTACTTAACGTTAGACATCTTAGAGCGGGTAATCTTACGCTTGACCTGGGCGGCATGTTCGGAGAACGCGGTACGGAGCTCCTTTACGTAGTCGAAGGCCCGCTTCTAGTACTTGCGGATGTTCTTATTAGCGTCGAACATCTCCTGCTCTTGTCCCTCTAAGTAGCTACTATCCCTTATAGCGTTAATGCTCTTGCAGGTAGCGTAATTGACGAGGTATATAAGCAGGTTAACGGCGCGGCGGAAGGGAAGATCAACCTGTAAGACATTAGTAAGGACTATTGCGATAGCAACTAGCACTTACAGGAGAACAACCTAACTTATAAGCCTTACGATAA